CGACCCTATACTAACCTATAGCCACCCACTTACAACTCGCGCGCTCAATTATACCGGCACTTCGTACAACGGTCGGACGTCCTGTACAGTTCATCGGCGGAGCTCCAATCTCAGTCTCCTAGTAACGGACATCTCGCGCGCCCTTTCCTCTCGCTCTCCACTTATGTCTCTCCCCTCACTCTGCCCGGCTTCGATACCTGTCGCCTCTTCCCTCTATCTTGCGGATGTCTCACTCGTGTATTCTGGGGACCGCATCACTGGGCCTTGGTCTTGGGACTTGTCTGTCACTAGCGTGCTTGTACTCGGGCTCCTAGCGGGTCCCTAGGAGGTCGCTTTCCTTGGCAACGTGCTCCTACTGTGTCTCAGTTTACTCGAATGCTAGCTGTCTAAATTGGGGCTTTGTGTCTTCTTTGTTCGCCTTGCCGAACGTCTTCGCTCGTCACCTCACTGTCTGCCATGTGCTCCCGATCAAGGCTATGCGGCTTGACGTCGGTCTCGCGCTGCTGTCTCGCGCTTTTCTGTCTCACGGCTCACGGACCTCTGTCTTAGTAGCTTCGGCACTCCTGGGGCGAATGTAGTAACACGTATAGTAGTAGCACGCACATGTAACAGCACTCGGTTGTATGTATGTTTTGTGTTGTTATATATATGATTGGGTTTTCCTGCATCTGCCGTGTATAGTACGACGACCCGGATTACGAAAAGCAGGCTATCTGCTAGCCCATAATACACCTTGCGTGGGCATAGAATATTTGAGGATCTCGAAATGATTGGGAATTTCGCAATCATTGCGGCGGTTGTAAGGGGCTCAACGCGATCGTAGTGGCATTACGACAGATTGCAAACTAATGATCATTGGGAACATTCCAACGCATTATAAGTCCATGATAGCTGGATTATATTCCATTGCAAGATCCGGGTCAAATCTGTGATGTGGGATTCCGACTCGGAGGGCCGGTAAATACCAGCATCGACCACGCGAAGTAGCCCGGTGTTACTTCCCTATGATGTTACAGCCGGAATACCTGAATTCAATATGCATTGAATTACAAGGCTAATCTGTATAGATACCGTAGCAAGCACCTTAGTAAGTACACAGCAGTGGAAAGTCCGCGGACCGCCACAGTAGGAGGTCGTCTAGTGAAGCTGTGGGACGCGGCCGACCTCCGATGCCGAGTCCACACTCTCCTTGAGAAGACGTCCAACCTTCTCCCACTTCTCCCGCGACACCCACGAAGCCCGGCCACCCCCAAATATCGAACCTTCCACCGCCCCCTCATATGACACATCGTCCAACGCCGGGAAGAGATGGGCCAAGAAATCCGCCACCCGGTCCGCGTCTACGATCGGCGCACTGTGCACAACAAGGGGGCCTCTAAGTGGGCTCTGCGACGGCTCAGGCAGCAGGCGCGCGAGCGTCGCCGCGTCTGGAACCGTCTCTGCGTGCAGATGAAGCTCGAGCCTGCGAAGGCGCGGGCAGCGGCGCGGGAGCTGCACCAAATCCTCCAGAGTGATGCATCCTGCGACGGCCCCGACCGAATCATCCCTGTGACTGATCAGTGCGAGGGCCTCGAGCTCCGGCCATGCGTGTGCAATATCGCGGAGCGCCAGGCGCGCGTTCGCAAGAAGCGAGGATCCTCGGATGGTGAAGTGGCGGATATGGGGAACAGCGTAGAGAGGCTGGAGTGCATGCGCGAGGTCTAGCGGGACCTCGACGCCGTTGATCTCAAATGGAGCTACGTGGTCGAGGACCACACGGTTCAGTGAGTTGCGGAAAGGGGAGTGCGCGAGGGTCTCGAGGCGCTGCTGGAGCAGAACGCTCCCGGGCCCGTTGAGGGTCCGTAACTGTAGCTCTGCAAACCCCCGCAGGCACCCGCTCCGCACGGCGCATAGGAACACCGCCGTGTTCTGGTCCATTTGCTCCACGGCGAGCCCCAGGCGGACGAGTGTATTGAACCAGCGTCCTGCACGCGCGCCGGCGGCCGCAGAGGCGGCCAGAGCGTCCGTTTCCTTCGAGTCCATGGTCAATTCCAGCGTCGCGAGCTTGGGGAGCGTCGCCAACACCTCTACGCAGCCCACCGGTATTCTGCAGCCTTTGCCAATGAACGTCACTCTCCAGCTTCGGCATGCCGCGCAGGAGTTGAGTCAGGGTCTCGCCATCGGGGCCGGCGGGCTTTGATTCCTGGTAGAGTCTCGACGTACACTGAAGATGCGTGAGGTCCCTGCACACCGCAACCACCTCGGCGAAGAGTGGCACGACCGTGGACACACTCAGATCATTTGAAGCGAGTTCCAGGCCCCGGATGGTTGGCGTGAGGAACATTTTGAGGTGGCAGAGCTGTGCTGGGTCTTGTTCCTCCCAAAAAAGAATGTGCAGTTTCGGCATAAATGGCTGGTCGGGACGGCGGAACCTGGCCAGAGAAGGCAGAGTGTAGGATGAGATGTATGGAACCGAATTATCACGGCTTCCGGTCCATTTGAAATGCTGGACGTATCGGGCGTAGTGGTCGAATCTTGTCCAGTCGAGGTTTTCAGGATGGTTGATTATCTGCGCATGCAACCGCTTAAGTTTGTTAGTGGTTTAGCGAGCGTGTACAGTGATGTGAAGGACGGCGTACAAATGGACGCTTGACAGCGTTAGCAGGAAGCAGACGCAAGAGCGGTACGAAACTATCTTGTTGCGCCCAAAGCGCGGGTATACATTCTTCCTGCATTGTCTTGCACGTTCGAGCGAGCGATGTCAGGGTCCTCTTGCTCCCGGAAGCGAGGAGCAAGTTGACGATGCCCCGGGTGATCTCGCTTATGAGAAGGCAGCGATGAGTTGCACAAGTCGAAGAGTCCATTGTCAAGCCTGTGAAGAAGCTACTAAGCAGCGTCGACTATGTGGCACCTCATAGTGCACGAGCTTACTTATCCTGGTTCTGAGATGCAGAGCTTGAGTTGGAGAGCGAAAGAAAAGGACGACATACGAGTTATATATACCCCCCTTCCCCTTTTGTATACGCGTGGACCCCTGAGTCGATTATGTGGTGGACAAAGTGTCGCGCGAACAACGCTGGGGCCCGATCTACCGCTGGTTCAAAGTACCGACGGATGTGCCGGGTCCAGTAGTATTCCTATCAGTTAAAGCGTTAGCGTTGTTACTTACGGTGGCTATTCAAAGTCGCGTAGCGGGTCCATTGTTGAAGATGTCGGCACTGGGGCCGCGTGGTCGCTTTCCAACAGTATGGTGGCCCCATGTATGGACAAAGTTGTAGTCTGAAGTCAACATCCGGTCGTTCAGAGGCGCTCAGCATCCTCGCGAGCTCGGCCATAGTGTTCAGAGGACCGCTGACCGTACACAAGATGCATGGCACTAGTACTGCATCCATGTTAGCATCGTAGAATATACACCAGCTACGCTCATCCGATCTCCCAGTCAATGATAGCGTGCACCGGTGGCGAATTCTGGGAACGGTGCGAGTAAAATAAAAGATGAATTGACGAGAGTGGGATTCGAACCCACGCCCTTTCGGACCAGATACCGGGGTACAGGTTGGATCGCTTACACCTTAGTCTGGCGCCTTAGACCGCTCGGCCATCTCGCCTTACAAAGTTGTAGCGTGTGCGTCTTATAATGTTTTGCGGGTGAAATATGCACACAGTCCTGCACCAATCATTGGTGCACTGGAAGAGGCACTCGATGTGCCTGGCCGTGGCCGCCAGGATGAAGAAAAGGCAGCACCTCTCCGGTGATAATCGGTACCATGTTTCGGTATATGATGATTTGAGCACTCCTGCGTCCTCAGAGATTACAGCAAACGTCAAAAGTGGGCCTTTCCGTGGCATAGCGATAGGTGCATTCAGCGTATAAGGCCCCTTATGCAAAGTTTTCAGCAATCGACACAAGTTCGATATATTCCAAGCATCTGCCTCAGATATAGCACGTTCAAGATATAAGCGGGGTAACGGACGTCATGCTAGTGAATATCGCCTAATAAATACATACGACGGCGCTCCAGAACAAGATAGCTGGCTCAAAACAGACAGATACAAATACACAATGTCCGTCGCCCATGCCCAGTAAGTGTAAGGAAACAGTGGATCAAACGATGGCCTCTCCGATGGAGAAGTGGACCTGGTCGCCCTCCGCCAGCGTGAGACGGACGGGCAGACGCGGGTCGATGCGCACGGGCGCACTGGAGCCGACGAAGAAGTCGCCGCGCGTGAAGTTGCGCGTGATTGCAGCGGTCTCCTCCTCGGTGAGCGGTCGCGGTCGTTTCGCCGGGCGGAACGTCGAGGTCGACGCTGCCGGTGCGGCCTGCGTTGCAGGGGGGTTCGCAACGAAGTTGCTGTTGTAGTCGTAATAGTGCGGGTGCGTCAGACCCTGCATTGGCGGAGGGTACGCCATCGCAGCAGCAAACGGCGGCACTTGGGCTATAGCGAGCAGGGTGAGACACGCTCGGCCTGCGAGAAATAAATAGCGGGGGACATACGTGGCTGAGCCTGGTTCTGGTGGTTCTGCGGATCGGCGTCGGGATCGGGGTAGGTGCAACTGGCACCGAGCCCTCTCTTCAAGCAGCTCTGCGTGCACGGCGAGATCGATCAGCATGAGGAGGAGGATGTGGAGTGACGTGACTGACCTGGCACGGCAGAGCTTCGCTACATCTGGTTTTACCGGCGTGGCAAGCGGTGCAGGCCCGACGGACGGAGGGCGCCTTGGCTGTTTACGGAGGCGGAGGCGGTCAGGACGGGTGCGGCGACGGAGGACGCGGAGAGGGAGACGCACGCTTGCGGGAGCCATCGGCGGACGCGGCGGAGGACGAGCCGGGGATCGGCTGGCCCTGCTGCTGCTGGAGGTCGACGGGGAGTTGTTGGTTGTGTTGTTGGAGTTGTTGGGTGTCGATCGACGGAGGGGCCCCGTCCTGGGCCGGCGTAGAGGCCTCTGAGAGGGCCGACATGGAGGTGATGGGCGGTGTTTCGGAGCGGACGGGCTGGCCTCCCCCGCGTGCCCGCCTTTTGCACCCCACGCTCCGCCCTTTGCCGACCGAACGCCCGCCCCCTCCGGATTCGCCCCGGCTGTCACCTCGCGGCGTCACGGTCACAGCTCCCCCTCCGGCATCCCGGCCTTGTTTCCGGACGACGATCATGGCTGCCCCGCACTCGCACTCCCCACACGACCCCGCGAACAGTGCGCAGGGGCTGCCCCCCGCCGCCTTCGACGACTTCCAGCTCTTTAACCACGCCCACCATGCGGCCCTACCGCCCCCGCCCCCGCTTCCACCGTCCAACGACCTGTTCTCGGCCTCCGAGACCACAGACCTCTTCGGCTTCCTCGAGAACTTCGACTGGGATTTCAATCTAGACCCCCAGCTGCCGGACGCTACACAGGATCCTCTCTACCACAGCCCGCTGCAAGAGACAGCACCTCCAGGGCTAGACCAGCTCTCCCCCTCGTCCTCCCTGTTCGCCTCGCAACAGGATCCTCGGCAGCAGCAACACCTCCAGCAGTACTCCCAGCAGCATGTACAGCAGCCCACGTACATGCAGCCCCAGCAGCAGGTGGATACGAAGCCACCCATGCCCGCACGAAGTCGGTCTCGTTCCTCCTCCGCCTCTCCGTCCTCCAGGGAGACCCCTGGCGCAGGCGCACCCTCCCGCGTCAAGCCTCCCCTCTCCACGCCGCAGAAACGCCTCAACCATATCATGTCCGAGCAGAAGCGGCGGAACGCCATACGAGACGGCTATCTGCAGCTGACTACGCTGCTCGCTCCGGCAGGGGCACCGCCGGGCTCAGGAATGCCGACCAGGGGGCGTCCGAAGGGCAGCGGCAGTCGCGGGCGAGGCACGAAGGGGAAGAGCGGAATTCTGTTCCGCGCGAAGGAATATATTCGCTGGCTGGAGGAGGGCCGGGACGCTCTTCGGGAAGAGGTGATGAAGGTCGAAGCCGCCGCAGGCATACGGTAGCACCTGCCTTGCCGTCTTACGTCGACTGCTGGTGAGTGGCTGGTACCTCGTCCGCTGCTGGCGCGCCCGACGCTCATCTTACGGCAGTATTGCGTTGTATCTTTAGGTGCCGTCTTGTATACCCAAATTTGCTCCTTCGAGGTCATCAACCCTGTATGTTTAACGTATACTTAGTTCCACATGTTAATTCTGACCTTGCGCGTAGATTGCCGCCGGTATCCGTCGAGGCGGGACTCGCTTGTACCTCGCTGCTGTGTATTCTATATGTCGTAACGATTGTCTTTCACACCTGAAATGGAACCAGCGCCACGCTTACTGGAGATACACACTATAGCCCCTCTTCACCCTTATGTCTGGGCCGTATCACTCGGCGCCCGACAATGTGACCGGTGAGCCTCGCTCGGAGAACTGTCATCACGAACTCCCATCTTCATTCAGTGCCTTACGAATGTCTGGATCGCACTGAATTATCAGGGGATCGGTATGTGATCACAAACCTTCACGCAATACCGTATACGTGCCCGTTGCAAACATACCAGTCATCAGGATTATCGCGCCAAGGTTTCGTCTGCATAATACTTCTATGAGATGACTACACGATAGCACCCAACACGTGAAATGAGTACGCAGGGTCCTTCTCCACATCTTTGACACCCGCACTAACACCCGCTGCCAACAGGAGTGAAGGTTTGAATGTCGCGCGGGACGAATGTTTGGCCGAAGTTCAAGAGCATCCGGCCAGGGGCTTGCGCTTCGCGTCGGCTAGGACGAACGTGCAAGACCGCCGGCGAAAGAAGAGGCATATCAGCGGGCGGCCCGCCTCGAAGAGTCGTCCCTGCGCATTATGACAATGTCCTTCACAGGTTGAACGAGTCATGACGACCGAGGGCGTCCAGGATTAGCATTGCCAATGCAATTCTTCGCTGAGGCGAGCGTACCGCCCGCTCGTGCTGCTATTTTCTAGGCGTATGATGACTGGGTAGGTACTCACAACGCTTGCAGCCCCACTTGTTTCGCGACAACACATCCTTGGAGCCTGGACTGCTGCGATGTGCATTCTTGGATGCGCAACGCCCGTCCGAGTCACCAATGGAACAACGCCATCGGCACGTCGGCCGCCTGACCCACTGGGAGAACCTAGCGATCTGCATCCCAGTCAGCAATAGCAAGGTCTATTCATGTGTCTGCTCACCTCGAACGACTTTGGGATTGCGTTTTCTCGCTGCAGGGCATATGGGCCGTCGGGCGTCGGACGTGGACGAGCGCGCGCACTCGCCGCATGGGAAAACAGCCGTGCAAGAAGGGCTAGTCCGCGTCACCTGCGTCCTGGGTTCCCCTGCGTCCCGCATCCCCGTCCCCGGCGTCGTCGTAAGCCATCGCGCGTCTCGTTGGGAACGTCTGCCAGCGCACACTTTCCGCTGCGCTGCTGGCTTGTTGCATATGCGCCTGCCTGCGGACGCGTCGGGTGCGATTAGATTTCACTACAGGCACCGCGCGCACCCGGCAACTCAATGGGCTCGCGTGCGGACGTTGGCTGCGCAGTCGCAGCACCCGCGCGCACCGGGGGTTGGGGAACGGAGGTGTGGAGACATACCCGCCAGGGCGCGTCGTCCGCGAGGGCAGCGATCGCATGTGCGCATGGCGGGGTCGCCTGCGGTCGCTCGTGACGGATTCGCGAGTGAGTATCCAGGAGGAGGACAAGGTACGGTGCGACGCGCGCAGCAGTGGGGTTCGCGGGCCGGGGCCTTCGGGGCCTGCGCCCGCCCATGTCATTGGCATCTATCTGCGCAGACGGTGACGGAGCTGTTTCGCGGGCGGGACGTCCGACGTCCATCAGCGAGGAGGATGGGTGAATGGTGGGCCCGCTGCGCAGCGCTAGCCGCGTCTGGGATCGCCGTCGCGGCCTCGTATGTGCTGTCGGACTTAAGCAGGCGGTATCATCATTCGGATTGAGGATCCAGCTGAGCGGGGGGCGCAATGCTTCCATTCGCGGACATGTCTTGTAGATGCTGGAGTTGCCCAGGGTGACGGCGACAACTCCGGCGACGCGCGAGCGTCGCGCGTACCGCCATCGACAGCTCGGAATACTGCTTCGCGAAGCTGTCGTAAGTCTTCGCTCGGCGAATGATATAGGCAGAGTCCTGTCAGAGTCAAAGTCTCCAAGACGGACATGTGAGTCGGGGACGATGTGCGCGGGAGTGCCACGAATGCTAATGACATACCCCGCGGACGTTCTGATTCAGACGACCTGGTCAGCACGCTAGCACATCTCATCATGCCGGAGGGACTGACGACTGTCCAAGGCACCGCCGATGAATACTGTGCACGCACCTCTCGGTTCCGATACAGCCATCCCGCCATGTGCGCCGAAACTGCGCAGATCGCCGGAAGGATTTGATTGAGTTCCCCCGTCGAATAAGCGTAAGCTCCAAGGGCCAGGGCGTCTGCGCAAGCTGGGTGGGGCCATCTCGATCCACTCCGTGAGTTCCAAGAACGCAGGACGCGGCCGGGTGCCCATCAGCCTCCGACCCCGCCGAGGCATATGTGCGGCGCCGAGCGCGGCCATTGGTAGGGCGCCAACATCCCGCGTCGCGGATGCAGATACCGCACCCAGCACCGAAGCTATCGCCGGCGACATCACCTCTCGTACCACCGGGCTCGAGTTCACTGACGCGTCTAGACGTTCCAGACCGGTAGAAGGCGCGGAGGTAGCAGGAGGTGGGAAAGATACGAAGCGCTAGGATGAGCAGAGCGCCTTCCGCCGCCACGACCGTCGGGTAGTTTGGGCGCTTGTTTTCCCGAAAACAACACAGCGCGTCGCTTCGGGAAGACCGATGGGTGCAGGAACGATACTGAACTGCGGAGCTGTACGGAACTAATCGCGCCGCTCGACCTGTGCCTTGCTAAAGGATTTCAGGCGTAGTGGAACGGAAGAGGAAGAGATGGGCGAGTGGACGATCATCGCACTGAAAGGCACGATCGTAGCTACCACTTCCGCGGGCCTCCGTCCCCAGCTTGACGTTTGATGGACCGCAGATTGTGCTCAGAATCAGCCCCAGAGAAGGGACATTCAGGCTCGTCAGGCTCGTCCGCTTGATCGTGCGCGAATGTCTGAGGGCCGTCTTTTACCGACTGCCGTTACATGTTCTGTAAAGACTCCTTTTAAGATGGTATCGTCAGCAGCTCACGAGAGCGGGCCATAAAGCGATATGTTGAGGTAATCTTACTCACATGTAAAATCAGGGAAGACTGTCATGGGACTCCATGGCATGGGAGGACAAGGAAACAGCTGGCTGGACCGTCAAGGTTGTTTGCATAGCCAGTTTCTTGGTACTGCATTTAGCGCGGGGAAGGGAGATAGTTGGGCGTTCAGTGACCGCATGGCGAGAATACTGCGCTTCGCGTGCAATTGTGGCGTACAGTCGAAACTTGTCATGGGCGTTTTCTAAGCAACCTAGGCCGACCGAGGCTTACGTCCCAAGCAAACGTGAACGTACGAATGAAGGATGGGATTACGGACGCAGGATCCCATGATTACGGAGACAACAGAGCGGCAAGTGAAGTCCAAGAGCTGCAGAGCCTGGGCGAGAGGTCTAGGACGACATCGGCTGCAACTTGGTATTGATTGTGGTCGTTGTGGCGGGACAGACGGCGATATGTCTCGAGACTGCGGGAGTCGCAGCAGCTCGGAGGTCCGGATCAGCTGGATCCCGTCAGGTACGAGGCAAATAGGCGGGGCAATGAGGAATGATTGGTTGACGGACTGGTGGCTTTCCACTCTCACCCTTGGGAAAGATTGACGGGCGCATCAAGCTGCCGCTGTTCTGCGCTCTCCGTCCAGTCTGGAGAGCTAGAAGGTGGTTTTTAGAGGGTCCTTGCGCGTATTTTGGGGGTTTTGGAGGCATGCGGTTGAAGTACCTTGAAACTCGGAGAAATAGGAGGCAAAAACTGTAGGCGCATGTAGGCGTTGGGTCAAGAGCGCGCATCGGACGGTGGGGCGGGAGGCGTGCACACGTGGATTGGGTGGCGGCAATCAACGGCTGCCGTTCTGGGAAGGGGTGGGTGTTGTTCGCCGTCCGCCCGGCGCTCTTCCTCATCTCCATCTCCCTCAGCGATTTAGCCATCCACGACAAAACATTCATCTGCTGCCGTCTGTGCCTTATGACGCCTATCATCCACACACAAGAATAGCTCTTTCCTTCCTGGCGGCCGAGGCCGAGCGTGAAGCGGCATCTGCTCTTTTCGGCGAGAGCAGCCTCATGCGATGAAATGTTGTGTTTGTGGCAGTTCAAACGTCTTGAGAGTGAGCATAGTTGTGAGGGCAACTGCACTTACCTTTTCTGACGTTAATTGGATGGCATAGGTGCTGCGTCGTCCGAAACGTTCGGCAGCAAATATGCCGCGGCCGCAGCGACTTTTCATGATCTACCTCCCGTGAGAGGAACGACGGCGTCGGGCCTTTCTCACGCGCAGCGCCGACTTCGCGCGACAGCCGCTGGTCAGGGCAGCACAGACATCTCCCATCACCCAGCCTATGCGCCCAGCTCCGGCACCGAGTCTGACGAATGCGGCCCGCCTGCAATCCCGACACTGCTCGGGGCGCGCGATCAGACTTTCCGTGAGGACGTAAGGTGCTGTCGGCCACCTCTCTACGCTCTCACGCATACCGCAGAATTCGCGCGACGACCGCGTTCCAGGGCCCTTGACAGATGCTGACACCGGTGCAATCTTGACACTGTACCAACCGGGTAAGTCTCGTCCTTGGTTCTCGGGGACTGGCGCCGGTCGCTACCCCTTGGTCATTCACTCTACCAGAGCGCTGGCTTCGCCGAGGTATAAAGGATGTTGCGCGACACCCTCAACACCCCAACTCAAGCCCCACTTGAGCTTTTGCGAGATCTTCCACATACCACTCACTACTTTCAAGTTCTTCAACATGTCGAGGTTTCACTCTCTTCTCGCTTTCGTCGTTGCTTCCCTTACGGCTGTGGCCCACGCTGGTATCGGTCCCGTCGCCGACCTAACCATCACCAACGCAGCGGTCAGCCCCGACGGGTTTTCTCGCCAGGCCGTCGTCGTGAACGGCGGCACCCCTGGCCCTCTCATCACCGGTAACATGGTTCGTCTCGGCTCGCACTAGCGGGTTGTATCGTTCCTGACGTTGTTGCAGGGGGATCGCTTCCAGCTCAATGTCATCGACAACCTCACCAACCACACGATGCTGAAGAGCACGAGTATTGTGAGCTGCTATTTCTTCGGACGGGGCTTCATTGTGCTAATAATCGTCGTGTGCAGCACTGGCACGGTTTCTTCCAGAAGGGCACCAACTGGGCCGACGGTCCCGCCTTCATCAACCAGTGCCCGATCTCATCTGGTCACTCGTTCCTGTACGACTTCCAGGTTCCTGACCAGGCTGGTAAGTACGGTCGTTATGGAGTATACTGCGCATTGCTAAACCACATGGTGAACAGGTACCTTCTGGTATCACAGTCACTTGTCTACGCAGTACTGTGATGGTTTGAGGGGTCCGTTCGTTGTTTACGACCCGAATGACCCGGCCGCCGACCTGTACGACGTCGACAACGGTAAGGACGAATTCGAACCGTAAATACTCGCTTACTGATGACTTCTCGATGAATTAGACGACACTGTCATTACCCTTGTGGATTGGTACCACGTCGCCGCGAAGCTGGGCCCCGCATTCCCGTAAGTCCATGAGTATTCCGCTGTTGAATCTGTCTTAACTGTGCATATCAGTCTCGGCGCCGACGCCACCCTCATCAACGGTAAGGGACGCTCCCCCAGCACGACCACCGCGGACCTCTCAGTTATCAGCGTCACCCCGGGTAAACGGTATGCTATATCTTATCTTATCTGATGGCATTTCTCTGAGACATTCTCCAGCTACCGTTTCCGCCTGGTGTCCCTGTCGTGCGACCCCAACTACACGTTCAGCATCGATGGTCACAACATGACGATCATCGAGACCGACTCAATCAACACGGCGCCCCTCGTCGTCGACTCCATTCAGATCTTCGCCGCCCAGCGTTACTCCTTCGTGGTAAGTTCGATTCATCCTCTAACGTTGGTCGCTGTTAGTGATGGTATGGTCATGTAGCTCGAGGCCAACCAGGCCGTCGACAACTACTGGATTCGCGCCAACCCGAACTTCGGTAACGTCGGGTTCACCGGCGGCATTAACTCGGCTATCCTCCGCTACGATGGTGCCGCTGCCGTGGAGCCCACCACCACGCAAACCACGTCGTCTGCGCCGCTCAACGAGGTCAACCTGCACCCGCTGGTTGCCACCGCTGTGGTATGTAATATTTTCGGTAATGTAATACATTGTTGCTGACCTCGACCCCCACAGCCTGGCTCGCCCGTCGCTGGTGGTGTCGACCTGGCCATCAACATGGCGTTCAACTTCAACGGCACCAACTTCTTCATCAACGGCGCGTCTTTCACGCCCCCGACCGTGCCTGTCCTCCTCCAGATCATCAGCGGCGCGCAGAACGCGCAGGACCTCCTGCCCTCCGGCAGCGTCTACTCGCTTCCCTCGAACGCCGACATCGAGATCTCCTTCCCCGCGACCGCCGCCGCCCCCGGTGCGCCCCACCCCTTCCACTTGCACGGGCACGCGTTCGCGGTCGTCCGCAGCGCCGGCAGCACGGTCTACAACTACGACAACCCCATCTTCCGCGACGTCGTCAGCACGGGGACGCCTGCGGCCGGTGACAACGTCACCATCCGCTTCCGCACCGACAACCCCGGCCCGTGGTTCCTCCACTGCCACATCGACTTCCACCTCGAGGCCGGCTTCGCCGTCGTGTTCGCGGAGGACATCCCCGACGTCGCGTCGGCGAACCCTGTCCCCCAGGCGTGGTCCGACCTCTGCCCGACCTACGACGCGCTCGACCCGAGCGACCAGTAAATGGCTTGCGCCGGTCGATGATAGGATATGGACGGTGACTTCGCACTTGCAATACGGACTCTCGCCTCATTATGGTTACACACTCGCTCTGGATCTCTCGCCTGTCGTCAGAACAAACTTGTATAATTCGCTTAATGGTTGAAACAAATGGAATATTGGGGTACTATGCACGCATCTCACTGTTTGAGCTTTCGTATGATCCACGGTTAACAATGTGTTGGTGTAATTGCAAGTCGACTAGGCTTGGCTGTAGCACACTTGCGGTACGAAGTGTTGCGGCTTTTGCACGACTCGTTACTACTAGTATCAAACACTATATGTAGCTCTAGGCCGCAGGCAGTTGGCATTCAATGTGATGGAAGTTCTTTCATACGTTCTTGTCAGTTGTACATTGCCTGTTCACTAATTGCTACAAGATACATTTCACGAACTGCTATCTTTGGGCCACGTCGCAATCTTCACCGCGCTTCCCGTCAGCGTGAACGTGTGCGTCAGCTTCGCGTCCGTGTCCAGCGCGAGCGTGTACGTTCCCGGATGCACCCACTTCTCCCCGTTCTCGTCCGCGCGCGCGATCGCGCCCAGCGTCACCGGCAGTTGCCCGACCGTGCTCCCGCGCGGCGCGAGCCCATGGATGCGCGTGTACGCGACGAGCGTCTTCTTCGGGTGCGGCGCGGGCCCAAAGGAGCCGCTCACGAAGAGCAGCGCAACGTAGTCAGACGCGACCTTCCCCGTGTTCGTCACGCGCACCGCGAACGTGTCGAGGGGCGCCAGGTCCAGGAACGCCGCGCTCTCCTGGCCGTGCGCCACCAGCTGCGAGATGGAGTACGATTTCGCGGGGCCGCCGAACGACGCGGTGGAGTCGGCAGCGGCGCCAGGGGCGGCCCAGGCGAACGCGAAGGTCGTGTAGTGCAGCCCGAAGCCGAACTCGAAGACTGGGGTGCCGGAGTACCACTTGTACGTGCGCCCGGGGTTCGTCGCGCTCGGGCGCAGGGTCATGTCCGTCATCGGGACCTGTTCGGCGTACGCGGCAGGGTACTGCGTGATGGGTAGGCGTCCCGCGGGGGCCGCCTTGCCCGTGAGGATGTCGAAGAGCGCGGTGCCGCCGCTCTGGCCGGGGTAGCCGCCCCAGATGATTGCGTTCACCTAGTGGAGTAGATGTGCACCCGCGTGATTAGCTTCTGTCGCGGGCGTTGTTGGGAGGAGGGTACGCACTGCTTTACTACGCTTGAGCGCGGTGTTGTCGAGCTGGCCGCCACCGAACTGCGCGACGATCAGCGGCTTGCCTACGCGCTCTAGTTCCGCGACGAGGTCGAGTTGGTTGCCCGGCCATGTTACGTTGAGGCGATCTATCTCCTCGCGCTCGACCGTTTCGTCGAGCCCTCCCGCGAAGACCACCGCGTCTGCGCGCTTCGCGGCAGCGACGGCGGCTGCAAAGCCGCTCGTGTCGTTGCGGGTGGTCACGTTGGTGCCGAATACATACTCGACCTCGAATCCGGCCTGTTGGGCACCTTGGACCGGGCTCACGAGGTAAGGGGCGATACCGAAGTAGTTGCCCTGCAAGAGGCGCGTGGCGTTCGCCCAGGGGCCGATGAGCGCAAGCTTGCGAACGCGTTTCGAGAGCGGGAGGAGCCCGTCGTTTTTCAGCAGGACCATGCCCTCGACGGCAGCGGTATGTGCGAGCTGCTGAGCTTGCAGAGTGTTGACATCGGACCATCCTAGCTGACGGTAGGGTTGAGCCGCTGGATCATCGAAGTAGCCCAAGCTGCAGAATTCATTTAGAATCGGTTTCAGGCATAACAAGAGGGAACCTACCGAACGAGCGAGGCATATTGACGGATAGCTGCTCTCCGGAGGTCCGTGGAGTTGACCAAGCCCCGCTGTAGAGCCTCGGGAAGGTAGGTCGATGAGAACGTCCCACAGTCAATGTCAGTTCCCGCGAGCAATGCGTCCGCCGCCGCTTGCGCCGGGTCGGTAGTGTAGTTATGCGGTGTGAAGATGTTTTGCACTGCGTCGCAGTCGCTCGTAACCCACCGGTCGTCCGTGAAGCCCCAATGGTCGCGGAGCACATCCTGCAGCAGGAAGCTGTTCGCACACGACGGGATGCCGTTCACGGCGTTGTACGAGCACATGACGCTCGCGACCTTCGCGTCGCGCACGCACGTCTGGAACGGCGGGAGGTAGAACTCGGACAGGTCCTGCTGCGAGACGACCGCGTTGAACCCGTAGCGCACGACACCCTCCCAGTTGTCCATGTCGTACGCGGCGAAGTGCTTGCAGTCGGCGACGACCTTGAAGTACGGCTTCGGGTCGAGCCCGCCTTGGAGGCCGAGGATGAGGTTGTAGACATATTGGGAGAGGTGGAACGGGTCCTCTCCCGGGGTCTCCTGTCCGCGTCCCCATCGGGGGTCCTTGAACGCTATCAGACGCTGTTTGGTGAGCGGTCCCACAACGGAGGGTAGGAGAGAAGACTCACGGTTGATGTTGGGCGTCCAATAATCGAGACCAGCGCGGCCGGCATTGTTGAAAGCGCGTCCTTCCGTGCTCACGATGGTCGCGATCGCTTGAATGAGTGGGTCATCGAACGCGGCGCCCATCAGAATGGGTTGGGGAAAGGAGGTCGCATAACTGAAATTGCCGGATGGTGCAAAGGTCACACCCGGGCTCTGGGCTACACCGTGCTAAACATAACGATGAGTATATTGCGACATGAAAAGGCCGAGATACGTACCAAACCTTCTGACCACCAGTTGTAGGCGGGAAGACCTAGACGGGGCACACCCGGAGAGGCGTTGACTGTGTTGTTAGTGAGCTCCTCGTCAGTCCAGATGCTAATGAGCGCCGTAGCTCGAGTGATAGGGTCCTTGGTGACATCACAGACGGCGTTGTTCTTCAGCGGGCCGTTGACACAATCCGGGAAGCCATACGCCCGAACGGTCGCAGCGCCGACGGAGAACGCGGTGAGAAACGCGTGGAGACGATGCAGACCGTTCGCCATCTAGACAGGCAGGAATGTGAGGAGACAGTCCACCACGAACCGTTCCATTGTGCCCTCTCTTATAACGGGGGACTTGGCGTTACGTGCTAGGGAGAACGTCGGAGTTGGCGACGAGGAGCATGATCATACAGAGAAGTTGACGAGTCAAAATGACGGGTCAGCTGGCTGGGTCAGAAGGGGACGCAGATGAGTAGAGATGAGAGTGCAGTCGCTGCCCTCGACGGTGCTCACGGAGCGAGCGGAAGAAAGAACACCGCCGGCGCGCGCTGCAGAGTGATCCTGTCACGTCCCCACACAGCACCTCCCATCAGAAAGCGTGACACGGTTCGCCTATTTGGGCCTGCAAGAACAACAGCCTCCGGACCTCATCCACCCGCTCAGCAGACCCGTTCTCTGGCTGAGATGCCGCCTCCACCGCCGCACGACCCAGAGCCCGAATGGCCCATTCCTGAGTTCCATCTGCGTATCGAAGACATCGCGCATCCCGGTGCAAAGCTTTTCCTCGACCTCGTCCGACCGGACATTGCATTACGCGAGGCTGTTGTCACCGTCTGCAACTGGCTCTACACGCCGGAGACCGTGCCCAAGAAGTGAGCACCCCACCCATTCTCCGACCCAGATCAAGAAGTACCTGCAGGCCGCCGCCGGCAGTTGAGTGCTCCCGCGAATGCCCTTATCGCCAGGCGTTCGCGGGCAGCACTCGCGATCACGCTCCGGCCCTTCTGACTTGCCAATACGACGGTTGACCGCACCGCCGCTTCCAGCGTCGAACGCATCACGTTCGTCCTGCGCCCCATGCCGGGCGTGGCCCACACGTTCGGCAGCGCGACGCACAAGGAGATCCACTTCTCGCTCGACCACATCCGCAACAGCGAGGCGCGCGCGCGCGACGAGATCCTCGGCGTGCTCACGCACGAGATGGTGCACTGCTACCAGCACAACGGGGCGGGCAAGTGCCCCGGGGGCCTGATCGAGGGCATCGCAGGTCGGTCATCCCTTCTCGTTCGCGAATCGCGCGGCCCGCACGCGTCCGCTCATGCTGTCATGCAGACTGGGTGCGTCTGAATGCCGGGCTGGGCCCGCCGCATTGGAAGCGGGAAGCGGGCGATAAGTGGGACGCGGGGTATCAGGCGACCGCGTACTTCCTCGAGTGGATCGAGGACCGGTACGGGCGCGGCTCGATCCGGGAGCTGAACGAGGGCATGAAGGAGAAGGAGTACGACGAGCACATCTTCAAGGACGTCACGGGCCGGAAGATCTCCAAGTTATGGACTATCTACAAGAAGAGCCTGGAGGAGAAGCACGGCCTATGATCATGAACGCAGATACCCCACGTCGTACCCTCATTTACACTTCAGTATTTATGGACTCTGTTGTCCCCATCGCACTCTATCGGACTTCCGGTGTCTATAAGCTTCAGACCCTTGGCAAGCTGCTATGACGTTTCGATCGTCGCAGAACCTTTGCGATCGATCAGTGTCATCTCAGATTGAGTCCTTCCCCGCACATATCGGGGACGGGTGTCCTCTTGCGCGTGCACTTGTACGTAGCCAACGCGCGCCCGGCCATTACTACGGTCAGAGGAAATCTACATTGAACTTCATGCTAGCGCTGTTCGTAAATCGACGTAGGCACAGGTATACTTATAGTAATACTACATAGTTACACACACAGCGAATAAACGGTACGTTCTACACTATCCACCAAGTACTTCCCCGAGCCCCCACATACACCCGAACGAGCAGCACAGTACACGAAACAGCACGGAGGAGCACCCACGCACACGGCACACCGGCCCCGCAGGCTATCCCCACTCTTCCTCCAGCTCGCGCGCGAGAAAGTCGTCCTCGTCGTCCATCTCGTCTTCGCTCCCCTCGTAGTCCTCGCCGTAGTCCCCCGCCTCCCCTGCAGACCCGTTGACGGGGCTCGAGCGCCGGCTCTGGTCCGCACTCGCATCGTCGTCGTCTGCCGGTTTAGCCAGCTGGTCCGCGGTGAACGCCTCCTTGAGGCGTGATGCACCCGAGCGGTCCGCCGCGAGCTTCTTGCGTTTCGCGAGCGGCGAACGGAGGACGTCTGGATCAGCGCCGTTCAAGGAGCCTGCCTCAGATGGCGTGATGCTGCGTAATCGTTTCCGCTTCTTGCGCGGCGTGGACGTCGTGCTGCTGATACCTGGTTCAGCCTCCACCACGGATACGGAGGAAGCGGCGAATACACACCTGACCACGCTGTTCGACTCGTCTGTCATCGAGCCCTCGTCCTCCGAGAACCCGCTCTTGACACTCCCGCCGTCGCCCTCCCCATCGTCGTCGCTCTCGTTCATCGCCGCCTCCACCTCGTCGTTGATCTGGTCCCAGTCGACCTCATCTAGTGCAAGCCCCTCCTCATTCGTAGCCCCTGCGCCCCCCGCGCCCGCCCCCTCTCCCGCAGCGGGGCCCTCGACCCCAAGCGCGCCGATCGCACGCCCGGTGCCGCTGCCGGTGGAGACGAGCTCGTCCCAGTCATCTGCGTCCGGCTCCGGGTCAGAACTAATCTGCTGAGGATCCGAGGGAGGACTCGCAAGCCGCGCGTCGCCGCTGCCGCCCCCCGTGTCCGGCCGCGGTTCTGGGTCGAGCAGGTACGGGCCCTCGTCCTGCCGATGCCAGAGCGCGACGGAGTCTGTGAACCATGCGAGCCAGACGATCTTGATGCCCCCGCGGCGGCGTGCAGCATCGACTTTCTGCGTTCCGCGCTACAGAGTATAATGTGAGTAAAAGGCGGTACAACAAAAGGAGAGTGACTGACCTTTGCTGCGACGACGTGCGTTATGCGAGGGGAAAGTTCTGTATAGCATTTAGCTCCGAATGCATGTGCCGTTTTCCAGATCTCCGTCGCTTCCGGCCGTGTGTCAAGCGGAATGACACTCGAGAACAGTATATGGCATCCATCCAACGTTTCCGTTCGTATTCGCGGGATGATTGTCTGCGCAGTGTCAGTGACCGTCGCATATGCCGCATGAAGGAAGACGTACCCGGACATCATACTCGCGCTGTGCCTCCGTGCGTTTGCCGTGTTTTCGCTTGCCATGTTTCCCCTCGTCCTCCGACTTGTACCTCTCCCAAGCCGAGTAAAAGCGATCGTGCACCAGTTCCAAGATCTGCCGAGCGGAGAATCAGCCATGTGGCACATCAAGCGCATCAACCGAACACACCTGCTTCACCCGCGTGAGCTCCGCGTCGTCGTTCTTGAGCAACGCTTTGCGCACATGCCGCTCCTTCGGCTTGTGCTCAGCGGCCGGCGGCGCAACTCCGCCGTTAGTCGCAGCGACTGCTTCCGCCGCAGGTTGTGCCGCGGCAGCTGCAGCGGCCGCATCTTCCTCGGCGGTCTCCGTCTCCTGCAGCTCCTCTTGCGCCTTCGCAAGGGGTCGCTCTTCGACTTGAGCTTCCAGCGCTTCGGTGTTCCGCGTAAGGATCTCGTTCTTCTGAACGTCTGTGAGGGTATCTTCGTCCACAGGCGGAACTTGGCTGTCGGACGACTCCACCATGTCTGATTCGAGGTCCTCGTCGTCCTCATCCTCATCCTCCGCATCCGGGTCTGCTACCGCAGCCTCGATCTCCGGTGAAGTTTCGACGGCCGTAACAGGCGGAGGAGGGGCGGCCGGCGTCAAAGGTACAAGTTTGGGCAGGAAAGCCGAGTTAATGTCACCAATCCCGACAAAGAAATCGTCTACCAAGCGTGTTAGACGGCACAAATATGGAGAACCGGTTAAACATACAAGGGATGACTTTGACCAAGTTGGGGCTCCATTCCCATACGTCCGCGCGATCATCGATAATGACTACCATGGACTGGTCGCAGGGGAATAACCGTTGCAGACTCTTCTGCGTCAAGCCTTTGCAGCTGAGTCAGCGAGATCGTTATATGCAAGCGAAAGCACACTCACTGCCGCTCTCATCTCGGCTCAGGATGCGGTTTCCGAATATCTTCCCGCCAGGGTCGATGGCCGCACAGACTTCTTCGGCATATGCACGCGTACCCATCGTATAAACGTGCATCTCATACTTCGTCGCCATCGTCTCCAGGAATTCCGGCAATCCCGGGCTGCCAGCGGATACGATTAGCGTAGTTGCGGTCGAAGCGGGAGTGTGTGGGGCGTACCGCGGCTTGATGTAGTACATACATCCCTCCTGTTCAATCAGCTTCTCCTTTCCCCGTCCCTTGCGTTGCGGTTGTCCGAGCGCCTCGGGGCCGAGCCTGAACTTCTTGACGTCCTTGAGTGCCTCCCAGTTCGGGTTCACCTCGTCTTCTGTGTCTGAGACCGTCTTGTCTGGATCCGCAGCGTCCTTCTTCTCGCCCTCCTCCGTTCGCGCGGCCTTACTGGCCTGTCGCGTTTCCCACGCCTCCCCCTCCGCGATCCACTCTCCGACGGTGGGGTCGACGGTAGCGTGGACGATAGTTTGATCAAGATCGACAATAAGCGAGAGCTTGCGGGAGCCAAAGAGGTGCTGTGCGGTCTCCTGCTCGATGCGCTGTGCTTCTTCGAAGGACACGAGGGGCCCGTTGGCAAGGTGGGTCATCTGGATGGACGCACGCGACGCGTCCGAGAAGCCGGTGTAGTCAAAGCTGGTGGCGAATGCACATAAGCGGAAGGCAGTGGCGTGTGTGGGCGGCGGTGGGGCACGCACCTGGTCATGTCCTTGCCGCAGAGACAGCAGAGGCCGCCGAGTTGGACGCCATGCTTGCAGGGCTCGAGGATGAGGACGGCAGGGGACTCGCGCGCGCGGCGCTCGGAGATGGAGTCGCCCTGGGTGAAGTTCCATTTGGCGAGGGTGCCTTCTACGGAGGCGTCCCATGTGCCGAACCGGAGCTCGGGCGGAGCGTCGGGGGCCCTGTGTGTGAACGAGTAGTCGAGGAGGCGTGTGCCGCGCTGGACGTCGGAGTTGGTGCGTGCGGCGAGCTTGACGAGCTTGATGGGGTAGGGGAGAGAGGGAGGGAGATAGAGTTCGGTTGGAGAGGACATGGGCGTCGGCTAGAGAATCGCGCGCGAAGAGGAGCAATATCCGCGCGCGGAGGGCGAGCTGCAGCGACGAATTAGCGTGTGCTTTGGGTGTCCCCTCGAGCTGCGTCCTTGGAATGGCCAACCCCGCCACGGCCCCCCGACCGCCCCGTCCGACCCGGCCCCTGTTGCCCCTTGTTTGGCTCCTTCCCCTTCCGTCACTCGACGCCCCCAGCCCTGCCGCCTCTTGTGAGCCAACCTTCACGGGGGCATAATTGCAATCGCAGTGCTCACCTCCATCTTCTCAGTCGCCGTCCCTACCTCTGAACGAGTGGCCCTGCAGTCGGAGCGCAATTGCACGCGCGTCACAGCCCAGCTCTGGCCGGGTCCCACACTACCCGTGCTTCTCGGGGAGGTTATCCGGGCAGATTCGAGGTACTTATAAAGCCCCTCATCCAGGCAGACGCATAGAATTCCCTTGCCGTCCAAATTCATCTGCGGCAGCATGTCCGACACCGCCAAGACTGTCGTTCTCGTCACCGGCTGCTCCAAAGGTGGCATTGGCTTCTCTCTGTACGTCCGCGCTCGCAGATAACCTCTCCGGCCATCATGAGTTCACCTTGACTAGCTGCGAGGAGTTCGCATCGCGCGGATGCATCGTGTACGCTACGGCGCGAAGGCTCGAAGCTTTGCAGGACTTCACTCACGAGAACATCCACACCCTTGCACTGGACGTCAACAATGACGAGAACGTGCAAGACGTCGTCAAAACTGTCATAGAACGGGAGGGGAAGATTGATGTACTAGTGAACAATGCTGGTGTGGGCCACACGGGCAAGTTCTAATAATTTACTGTGTCCCTGTACAATGTAACTAATCCGTACGTTCAGCCGCTATCATAGACGTCGACATGCAAGACATCATGAACGTGTTCAACACCAACGTCTACTCGGCCATCCGCATGGCGAAGGCGGTCATTCCCCACATGGCATCCCGCAAGAGCGGGACCATCGTCAACATAGGCTCAATTGCTGGCCTCATGTACGTGTACCAGCCCCCGCTCATCCAAATTCGTGCTCACAGCCTACATAGCCCTGTACCTTGGGGCGGCATATACGGGGCTACAAAGTCGGCTCTGCACGCCATCACCGACACCCTCTACATGGAGTGCATGCCCCTCGGCATCGACGTCGTCCTCATCGCGCCCGGCGGCGTCAAGTCCAACATCGCCGCGAACCAAGTCGAGCGCGTGCAGCTCCCCGAGAACAGCCTCTACCACGCATACATAGACTCCATCCTCAGGAAGCTCAACCTGAGCCAGGGCAAGAGCTCCATGCCGACGCGCACGTTCTCGCAGAAGGTCGTCGGCGCGGTTCTGAAGTCGAAGCCGCCGCGGTACATGAGCCTCGCGGCGATGTCGGGGTTCTACAAGGTCCTGCAATGGTTCCCGCGCGGGTGGGTCTTGCGGTTCTTCTGGAGATATCTTGGCGAGGGCCCGCGGTTGGCGGCGCAGAAGAAGAAGCAGGGCAAATAGCCTGTAGACATTCGTTCGTGCTTTTAACAGGTCTCGTCTCACCCACTACTTCCCACAGTAACTGTCTATCACGGACTCGAGTGTTGTATTCCTTACGGAGCGCCCCTCTGACCAAATGCCGATATTCCCAGACACACTGCTCAGGGCACCCTACTGCCACCGATCTTTAATTATCCCTCCAATTCCCCGGTACACCGCTGAATTACTCACTCCTGCAGAGCGAGATCGCCGCCAAAGAAGCGTTTTCAAGTGGCACAAAGCTGTGCTCGAGCACTCGACTGTGCTGGCAGCCTAGCTCGGGGACAGCGCGCTGCCCGAGGCTCGGGTGCAGCCCGGATGCTCCGCCGCCCGAGTTTTCTCTCGTTCCTCGCGGCCTGGACGTGAGTATGTGCCCCTAGTACGATTGCATATATATACGTGTCAAAGATTCACTTACACTGGGCTGTAAATTACCACTGAACGCCGAACACACCGACTTCCGCTCAATCCTCTTTGAATGGCTAGAATACGCAATGTAGTGCTCGTGAGAGGTTGCTCCGAAGGAGGCATAGGGTTTTGGTTGTGAGTCGCATCGCCTCTTATTCGTCACTGCACACTGAACAGAGGCCTCCTGCACACAGATGCAACGAGTACGCGGCCAAGGGCGGCCAAGTCTACGCCACTGCGCGGCGAACAGAGGCCATGGCCGGTTTGACGGACGCAAACGTCGAACGGCTCCGCATGGACGCAGTTGGGGTGGACACGAACATCATCGTGAACATGGGCGTGCACTTCAGCGTGCCCCTGACCACGCTCTACACGGACTACGAGGGCATGATCACAGGCGACTTCGATACGGCGCGATGGCAAAGGCGCCGCGCCCGGAGGACTTAAGGCGTACTGGATAGAATATTCTGACCAGTAATGACGTGCGTTTCTTGACCTCAGCGTCATGACATACGAAACACCTTCCCGGTTATCAGCAACTTGAAGTGCTTAGTACGACCCCCTATGTCTGAAGCTACCGGTCTGCATGAGGGGCGGGAACAATCACCGCACCTTTCATTGGTTAGCAAGAGCTCCCGCCGGTTACGATCGAACGGGTTCACAGCTTTGACGGAACCTCCGCGGTCAGCCGATCGAGGAAGGCGGGGATGAGTGGGCCAGAGTGGTGGCAACACTGATGTTCCCCCGCCGTGTCTGACCATGCTGGCTTCATTAGTCCTGTAATCCTCGCGAAGCCTCAGTGACCAGTTCCCGATATCGCGTCCGCGCACTACATATCGCCAATAATCGCCGACACCGCTGAATTACCAAGCGACACCCAAGAGTGCGATAACCGTCAAAGAAGCATTGCAGAGGCACGAAGCTGTGCTCGAGCACTCGACTGTGATTATGGCACCTCGGGCATAGCGCGCTGCCCGAGCCTTGGGTGCAGCGTGAAAAAACTCTGCCGCCCCTGTGTTCACTCGCATCTTGCAACCTGGACGTGCGGATGTGTCCCTAGAGCGATTGCATATAAAGCAGTATCAATGCCCTTCATGTGCTCGAGAAGCCCTCCACTAAACGTCCAACACCCTTTCCGACATACCCCAGAGCTCGTATCGCAATGGCCGACGCACCCAAGGTAGTACTCGTTACCGGTTGTTCTGAAGGAGGCATAGGATTTTGGCTGTGAGTAAATCTTGCCCAAAAATCGCCACAATACACTGAGACTTCTCTGCGCAGATGCAAAGAGTACGCGGCCAAAGGCTGCAAAGTCTATGCCACCGCCCGGAGGACAGAAGCCATGGCCAGCCTGGTCCACCCAAACATCGAACGTCTTCGTATGGACGTGACCGATGAAGCAAGTATCAAGGCCGCGGTGAACAAGATCATCGAGAAGGATGGGCGCATCGATATCCTCGTTAACAACGCCGGCATGACATGCTCAGGTAAGTTTCCCCCAGGTTTGAGCGTCGAACTGCCCGTATTGACGCGAATATTGAAGGTCCTATCGCTGAGGTCGACGTGGAACGCATCAAGCAGACCTTCGACACAAATGTCTTTGGGATCATCCGAACCGCCAAGGCAGTCATCCCACACATGGCCGCGCGCAAGAGCGGCACAATCGTCAACATAGGCTCCGTGGTGGGCGAAATGTGAGTACGGTCCGCAAGCTTTTCTCGACAATTCAAGAACTCACTTTTCATTTGAACAGCCCCATTCCGTTCGCGGGAATTTATTCCGCCTCAAAGGCGGCGGTACACTCCGTCACGGATGCGCTGTATATGGAGTGTCGGCCCCTGGGCATCTCCGTAGTGCTCGTCAGCGCAGGCGCGGTGCGCACGAACATCGTCACGAACATGGGCACGCACTTCACCGTACCCGAGACCGTACTCTACGGGGACTACGCAAGCGTGATTGCATACGAGTTCGACCCGGAGAGAATGGCGAAGGCGTCGGCGACTCCCCCGGAGAAGTTCGCGCGGGCGGTGGTGGGGAAGAGTCTGGCCAAGGCGCCGGCGCGGGTGGTAGCTGCTGGGCTGGGCTCGTCGATTATCAGTTTCTTGGGGTGGTTCCCTAGAGGCTGGGTTCTGCGCCTTTTCTGGAGTCAGTTGGTCGAGAAACAGAGGGTTGCGCTGGCGAAGTCGAAGTAATTTTGAAGATCATGCGTTCATCCTTGCTAATGATCTTGTTCGTTTATTGAGTTCGCTTTATAATGTAATAATCTTTTGATGCGATGTAGAATCGGGTCAGTTGGGTCGGAAGTACGCTGAAGCTGCGAGTCTGCATGAGGGACGGAAACAGACTTCCCTCTTGGTCGGCAGGAGCTCCCGAAGCGCGTTGTCGGACGTCGCGTCCTATATGGGCGTCTCATTCAAACCACTCTTGCCACCGTCCCTGGTTGTCCTTCCGTCCTCCCTATACATCCACTCTTGAGTCCGGGCCACCATGTCGCGCTACCCATACGGCCTCTCCCCGGACATCACGCCCACGAGCAGCCCAAGCAAGCTCACGAAGGCGCAGAAGAGCCGCGCGCGGCGCGAGCCATCTGGCGTGTTCTCGCTCTTCTCCCCGCCGCAGATCCAGCAGTTCCGCGAGGCGTTCGGGCTGATCGACCACGACGGCGACGGGATCGTGTCCGAGCAAGACCTCAAGCACATCTTCAGCAGTCTCGGTGCGTCCCCCGTACTCGCTCCGCCCCTTAGGAGAGCCACCCGCGCGGCAGGCCCGGGCTGACTTGAGACCGTCCTTGTCTGCAAACACAGGCATCTCCCCTTCGCGCTCAACGGTGGACCAGCTGCTCGCGGACCGCCCAGGGGACCGGCGGGGCTCGCTCGGCGGGGGCGGGCACTCGCGCTTCGCGTCCGCGGAGTCGGACGGGGGGAACGACCGCGGGATCACGTTCCCGATGTTCCTCACGATGATGGGCGAGCACCTGTACGACTTTGACGCGGAGCAGGAGCTGCTGCAGGCGTTTGAGTGCTTCGACGAGGCGGACTCGGGCTTCGTCAAGTGCGACGAGATCCGGAAGTGGCTCGGGGACGTGGGCGAGCGGATGGACGAGCACGAGGTGCGTGCAGGTTCTGTTGCATTGGGACGGCTGAGGGTCGTTTGGGAGGGGTGCGCTGACGTTGGATTGTGCAGATTGATAAGTTCTTGAAGGGACCGTTCACGCGGAACGGCCAGTTCAACTACCGGGAATGGGTCAAGGTGCTAAGAATCAACACGGACAATGAAGAGCCCGACTCCCAGTGATGTGCTCCCCGTTTTCCCGCCATGGACGATGTATGATATATGTTGTATCTGTCACGACCTCTTATGATCAAGGATACCCTCACCAGCGCACACGAAAGAACATTGGACAGCCTCAACAGAAGCGAAAACCATCGCGACAACAACAACACGCGTTTCCAAGCCTATGTATACATCATATACACTATCATACAACCAGTTACTTGACTTCTCCATTATCGTTTCACAGATTTTACGCCCATGCGCCCTCAAGAGGATCCGCCGGAATTTTGCCGTCTTCCATGGCGACCTCCTTCATGACTTCATCCATGCTCTCCTTGGACTCGTTTTTCTCAGCTTCCTCCAAGGCTATGGCTCTGTCAGCACTGACATACGGTTAGTGGTTTCTGGTACTTACCGTGACCCCTGCCCTCTCCAAGGCTTGTCTCCAGCCCTTCTTCCCCACTTCTGGCTGCGATGAACAGCAGCTCCGCTCCCTCATAATCCAGTAACTCTCGTCGCTCGATCGGTGCAAACTTCAAGCCGTACGACTCCCGGCCGCGGCGTCCACCCTTCCCAAATACTCCCTCCAATATTTCCTCTGGGTACTCTGCGCGATGGCTCTTGGACAATCCTACTTGGCCTGGCCCGGAAGCTGGCGCAAGTGGATTCTTGACCTGCAGGACGAATGACGATGCCTGCTGGATCCCGAGCGTCTGCTGGACCTCCCCGAAGTGCTCGTCGTCCGGGTGCGAGAGATGGTAGCCGAAGTGGGTCTCACGCCGCGAGGGCGTGCGCGCTGCCTCGTTGTTAACGATCGCGTATGCTCCGCGCGCCGCTAGACGGGCGGCAGCCTGGTGGCGGGTTCCTGGTGGACATGTTCAGGACGATGTCTATTAGCCGCTTCACGGGGTTTGCTCACCTCGAGTCTTGGTCTCATATTCTTTCGCTCCAAGGCCTTCCTCCAGTTTCTTCAGGTCGTCGCCGACCGTACTGATGGTCGACCAGAACACCTGCTTGCGGCCTCCGCCTTTGCCTCCCCCAGCGTCCGGGTTGGGCAGGCCCTTCTTGCCAATGACCATCAAGCGGAAGCGCTTCTTGGATTGTCCCTTCGGCTCTGGCGCGGGGACGGCGTCCGCTCCAGGTTCAATTAAAGTCATCTCCTGGTCCTCATCGTCGCCCTTGGGCTGGGCGTCCGCCGTGCTGTCTGGAGCGGCAAACTGAGGAGGCCGCGGCACCAGAAGCATGTAAAAGCGCTGGACCTCGTCAAGCGAGTGGGCCTCCTCCAGCTCGACCTTCGGACGGTAGAAGAAGTAGATGTGACCCCGCTCGATGGTACCTGCAGCGCACCGTGAGCAAACCTCCGGGAACGCGAGACGAAGGCTGTGCGGTGCGTACCTGCTTGGTACGTCCCTTCCGCCGGATGACGTCTGGCAGGGGCGTTCTCCTTGTCGGCTTCTGCCTCCTCGGAGCCCTCCTTTTGGCGATGAGGCTGTTCGTCCTTCGTGGACTGTTCCGTTTCCGTTTTGACCTTCTTCGCGGCGGGTTCCTCCTGCCGCGTCTCCTCAGCGTCGGGCCCTCGCTTCGCTCGAGTCGTCTTGGCCTTGGGCTGTGCACCCTTCTTGGTCGGCGGCGGCTTCTTCGTCGACGCTGGCTTCTTCGCGTTGGACGTGGGTTTGGTGGCGGTGTGCTTCGCGGAGTCTTCAGGATGGTGGCCGCGCTTCTCTGCAGCTTCTTGGGCTCGCGTTGTAGGCATCTCCGGGAACTATTGGACTGTGGTGGTTACAAGCAAGAGCTAGTTCTCATCTGGAGCGCAGGACATCGGTTATATACTGCGAGGTCGTTCTTAGGTAGGCTCTGACGTCACTGACGCCTACAGACGCATCCCGTGCGCATAGCCGCCGTTCTGGACAGCGCCCCGCTTCGCGTCCTTGCTGGGTCGTTCGGGTCGTACCCTCATGATGGCATGATGATCCACCCATAGATGGGAGTGTATAGGGTGCTTGGATTCGCCCTCCTCGCCGATATGTTGAATGATACGCATACACACAGATCGTACACATTCGATCGTACATCTTCAAGTTACCTTTCCTGGGTGCCACACGCGCTCGTACAATATTCCTACGGTCAATCCCAATCGTACAAGCATCGCGCAAAGTTTGAAGCCCATCGTCACTTGGGAATCCCAGGGTGCGTCCCGCCGTGGATGGATCCAGTGGAGGCGCAGCGCCTCAGGAGGCCTTCGCCGAACCACCGATCGCTTTGCTCCGGCTGTGGCTCCGCGGCCGTCATGGACGTCGAGCGAGCACTACACGGCCAGCGGTGGTTAATGCATGATGTATGCAGGCGCCATGACAGAGCATGAACAGCGTACATGGCGCCGTGGTCGGTGGACTTTGCCACCTTTGCGTCCCCGGCGGTGGCGATTGGAGCAGCAGAAGCTTGAGCTTGAGCTTGAGCCGCCGATACGCCGCCGGTGTCCTCGTCCAGCAGCTTCTCGAACTCCAGCGCCGGGTCGTAGTAGAACTGCGCGAACGCCATAGCAAGCCCAGAGTGCGTTATCCGGCTATATGTGTATCACAGCGGCGAGCTGGGGTGCGGGTGCATGGGAGTGCGGACGGAAGGTTCGTAATGATGAAACCCAATATTAATGATAAATCCAGCCCGGGCTTATGCGGCAATGGCGTTGGAGCGCCCCATGACATGGTGCACGTACCGTAATTCATCTGGGCGTGGGCACGATCGGCCACTCACTGTTGCAGAGGAGGTTCCGGAGTGTACCCGGACGGAGGGCGCGTCGTGAGTACTGCCTAGAATGACTGGAAGTGCGTTCTGTCCGTACGGGGATAGCTGCACAGAGAGCTGGGACCCGCAGTCCGCTCGCATTGACCTCCGCGTCCTCGAGAAGAGCACAACGTACGTACCACGCCGCCGTGCACATCCCAGGTGGCGCGAAGATAGTTCGCGAGGCCGCTCTCGGACAGCGCCACCGCCCCTCGAAGCCGCAACTTTGCCATTCCGCCGCCTTTGCGAGTCCGCCGATAGTTCAAGACCGCGAACGACTATGTATACCATAGGAATGTCGGGACGAACTACGTACAAGTACAACAACGGATACATATATAGCTTCGCAAGACAAGATATCACCCACGCATCCAAGACACCAGCGCGCGCCGGTACACACATCCAGCGTCCACTCAACTCCTCGCTCCTCGCTCCCTCGCGCTCAGGCCGCGATCATCTCCACGTCGCGCATCTCCTTCTCCATGCCACGCACCTCCTCCTGCCTCGGCGCCTTCTGCAGCCGCTCGCGAGCCTCCCTCGCGGGCGGGGGCGTCCCGAAGCTCCGCCGGTACTCCTCGTTGATCGCGAGCAGCAGGTCGCGCACGAGCGCCGCGTGCTTCTGGCGCTCCTCCTCGGAGACGACGCGGCTGTCGAGCTCGATGCGGCCGACGCGCCGCGCGAGGTCCTCGGCGTGCTCGCGCCGTGCGGAAGCGGACGGATACGTTCCGAGCGAGCTGATTGGGGGCAGTACGGGGTACGATACGCGCTGCGCCTCTGCGGACGAGGGCACTGGGGTGGATGAAGACGAGCGCGGTGGTGAGGGTGTGCGCGAGTCCTCTGAGATCGGCGATGGGCTGCGGCGGGACGACGGCGAGCCGGTGGGGGAGGCGGTCGATGCGCGGGAGTCTGCGTAGCTGGCCGCGGTCGCAGGGGGAGAGGGCGATGGCGACGGGGAGCGGAAGCGCGCGCCGAGCGGGGGCAGCTTGAGCCGCTCGTCGCCCGATGTGAGCAGCGGGTACAGCGGGTTGCCGCTCTTGCTGGGGGTGAGCGAAGACGACGCGACTGACGATGCGGCGGAGGACGCGGTGAGTCGCGCCGGCGGGCCGCGGTGCACGCCGCCCGCGCCCAGCTTCGGCTCGACCGGCTCTGGGCGACTTGCCAGTCCCGCGGGAGCGGGCCCGGCGCTCTTGAGCGGGACGATCGTGCGCATGTTCTTCTGGCCGTAGTCGACCTGGCCGAGCTGCACGACGGGCGGCGGCGCGCGATTCACGCGCACGTAGTCGAAGGCAGCCGCGCTCTCTGGTGAGACCGTGAGCGGGATGTGCGGTGGGGTCGCGTTCGGGGGCGTGGACATGCCGGAGTGTGACGAGTGCGGGGACGCGCCTGGGTTCATCGCGCCCGGGCCGAGGTCGAGCGGCGGTGTGAGGTAATGCGCGTACCCGTTCTGCATCCCGTACGACTGGTCAGGGAAGGGCGGAGAGTGGTTGTTGAACGAGTTGTAGTGATCCTCTGCTGAGGACGCGCGGTGGTTTCGCGAGCGGTGCGAGGTGTAGGGCATCGGTGGGGCGCCGCCGCCGCCGCCGATGTCCTGTTGAGGGTACATCCCAAACTGAACGGCCTGGACCGACTGGTGCGAGGCTCTGCTGGGGTAGGAAGGCATCTGCTGCTGTGCGTATTCGTTCATTGGGACGAAGCCAGAGTCGCCGTGGTACCCTGCGCCCGAGCCAGGCCCTTGCCCGGAAGGAACACCGGGCATGCCTGCAAGGCCAAGCTGCGCGAGATTCGCGGGGTCGAAGAACGACGCGTCGTCGACGGCAGCGTGGGGAACCGACTGTGAGTGCTGGTGCCTGGAGCCGTGCTGACCACCGGCAGAAACATCGCGTCCGAGCGTGATGAGGAACTCGTTTACGGCCGCGAGCTCTTCGGGCGTCCGGATGTCGAACGACACCGAGCGCGGGTTGAAATTGTGGGGTAGGTGGTGCATCTGGGGCAGCCCATTTCCCGGAGCACCGTGCGTCGTCGCACTGAGTGACTGCTGGTACGCCAGGTTGCTCAGACGGGCAGCCATATCTAGAAAACGGGTCAGCACATGCTCGAGAGAATATTGCTGCCGAGTGAGCACACGTACGGGGGTCGTATGCCGGTGTCACGCGGCGCTTCTTCACGTCGGTGAAGAAGTCGTCTACACTATAGTCGTAACTTCGCTTTGCGCCGCTGACGGGAACGCTCCTGCCCTGCATGTCTTCGGGAAGCACTTCCCATGTGGGGAGCGGAGGCTGGATGCGGTACAGCTGGTTTCGGGAGTGCGCGGCCGAGGCATCTTGCGCGTAATCGAGCTCCGGCGATGGTGTGGGTAAAACTCCGAAGTCTGCACCTAACGCGGGAGACGTTTGTTAACCTCCAGGTTCCTATCGAAGCATAACTTGTAGGCTCACCAGATGAACTGTCTGAGAGGGGAGCAGAAGTGGACTTCGCGCGAGCGATGTTTATTTGGTGCTGCGAGGAGGGAGGCCCAAGTGGTCTCTTGTCGTCGCCGCGTATACGTTGGCTGTACGTAGGGTCGGTAACGGTGATCGCTTTGGAGTGCTTGTGCTGTGCGTGATGCTCTTCAGTGTGAATCTTCTCGTGCTTCTTGAGATCCTGCGGCCGCTTGAAGGGTTTCTTGCAAATATCGCAGACGTGCGGTTTCAGGGGTGTGTGTACTATCGTACGCATGGGTTGAGAGCCCGTGGACAGCAGCGAATGGGACAGTTGACGTACCTCGGAGATGGCTTGTGATATGGTCGCGCTTGGCGCACGTTGTCCCACAATCTTTCCATTTGCACGTCAGGCAAAGGTTACCGGTGCTCTTCCGTCCAATGTGATCGTTGCAAAGGTGGTTGTAGAGCGTCTCTGGGTCTCCCAGGACCTTCTGGCAGTCCATCCACTGACAGGCGTGTCCATCTTCCTGTGAGGTGGACTGCGCGGCACTTGAGGAACCGCTGCTAGACTGGTTCCGTTCGGAAGAGTCCGAGGAGGACGCGGGGGGCGGAGAGGCTGAGGCCTTCGGAGACTGCGGGGGCTGGCTCATGGCGGGCGGCAGGGGGTGCTGTGCGCCGGGGTCGAGGAAGTCGAAGGGGTAGAGCTGGCGATGGAGGTTGTACTGGAGAGTGGAGAGCGGGACGAGATGGGGGAAGGAGTCTTGGTCCATGCCTGAGCGGATAGTCTCTTTAACTCTGTCGCCGATGTCGATCTCTTGGCAGTCCGTCCTTTGCCAAGACAATCTCGCCCAGGGCTTGGCACCCCTTGGCACAGCTTACGTAATACCCCTCTGCGCGGCGCCTCCGTTCGTTTTCACGAGCCGCGCGGTCTCTTTGCGCGCGACCACGACATTGGCGTACATGCCTCCTTGCTCATCCTCAGAAACACGCTGCACAATCTCCAACCTGGCTCTCTGAAGGGGCGACTTATCTCCGCAGAACACGTTGCGCGGTGCTTGAGGCGTTAGTCGGCACCGAGGGTATGCGGAAAGGGGTCGAAGGGGCCGATATGAATCCAAGCCTCCAAGACGCTCCCAGCGGCTCGCTGCCCACACAAGGTTCAACATGGCCGCCAAGCGGCAAATTCGCCAAGCTTGCGTCCCTCCCGGTGCTCGTGCATGCACAGTCGACTTGCCGTAAGTGCTGTCATCGCATTCCTATATTTTCCGTGTGGAAACATTCCCGCAGCGCAGCTTCGCATCCTGCGTCCGACGTAACCCGAAACGGAAACGCAGCAGGAAAGGCACACGCTACCGAAATGACAAGCTTCGAGATCCGAGGCCGACCGCATATACGCGGTGTGCACGGCGGGCAAAGCTCCAAGCTTCAAACCGCGACGCTGGAAGTGGGAGCCGAATCTTCCCTCAAAGCTTGAACTAACCTCCCCGAGCAGGTCTCCTTTCACCTCGTTTTCTAGGGAAGCTTTGGACTTCGCGGGATTCTCCCGGGATGTGATCTACAGCGGTCTGCCAGCTGCCTCCCGTGCGCATCGTGCGTGGCCGTTGAGGGGAGTTTGTGCGCTCTCCACCGTTCCGGAAACCTGTCCCTCGACCCATCGGTCAAACCAGGAGGAGCACCTCGAGGCCATGAATAGCGCGCCTGTCTGCCACGATCCTCCGTCCGGCAGGATTCGTGGGATACTGGCGACGCGACCCGACGGAGGGGGAGAGCTTTCGTTCCAGAACGGGAGAAGCGACGCTGACAGCGACGGATCCGCTCGGGAGGAACCTCCACCGTCGCTGACAGTCCTTGTCGTCCCCTGCCCGACCCGGCCATTTTCGTGAGAGTGCAGGTCCGACTCGCGTGGTGCTCCTCACACACCATCCCCCTCCCGCGGCGACCAAAGGGGATAATCGGACGCGGCGCGCACCTAAAAGCCTACCTTGGCCTACCAGCTTACGCACTTGAGTCTTCTCCCCGACGCGTCGCACGACCAAGATATAAAGAACGTGCGTTGCTCACGTAACGGCCGAGCGAAGGTGAGTGTCAGTTTCGGAGGTGGCGTCTGCTCATAATTGCCAAGCATATGCGCGGGCTCAGAGATCGCAGATGCCCGATCGAAGATCTCGCTCTTGGCCGTCGGCTTGCGCTGGCTTGGCGATGGCGGGCTGCACTTGGCCTCCGGGGTCTTAGCTCTCTCCAGCCCCGCCGCCGGTGTCAAGGACACCACGGCCTCTGCACATACTGCTGCGCCTTGGCATGAACTATTGCGGCGCAGGCACAGCAATTGGCGTTGGCGCGGACGCTGCGCGCACCTACAATTGCCCCTTAACCGATAACAACTACACCCACAGGCGCGCTGTCGACCGTGTCAAACTACTCCAGCTCACATGCCGCCAATTTACCCACAATTTACCCAGACAGTATTCATGAGCGTCCGGAGGACTACCCTCGTCATCCCGATGCATACCCATGATCAAATTGCGTCGACTTCTCAGCTCCTCACGGACGCCCTACGCGAGCACCTTCCCTGTCAGGACATACCTCGTGCGACGACATGAGCGAATGCCCCTCCGGCGGATCTCTCATGCCGCTTTGTAGGCACCACACTCCCGGAATGCATGAGTAAGCCTACTCACAACGCACCCTTGTCGCCGCCGGCTCGACCGCAAAGAAGGCTTCGCGTTCCGTAACGTCCGCCGCCGGTTCGCTCCGGACGGCTTCCCCGCAATGATATCTGCAGCGGCGGCGTGCGAGCGCGGGCCGCGGGCACACACAGGCCTTGGAAATGATGCTCCTGTGTGTCGTGTGCTAATATCCTAGTAGTAGTCGACTAAGCAATAATCTCTCCCTCCTTGAAACTATGAACACTTAAGGATTTGCTGTAGATAGCTACACTGCAATCAAGCTCTGTCTCCAAATTTGAGCACCGACGGCGCGCACGACCGGTCGGAATTAAATGTTTTGGGTCCCCTTGCGCTCGATGTGAGGATAGAATTTTGGAACGCTGATACTTAGTAGGTCAAGCTTTCTCCGCCGGGCGCTGAAACCCTTTGTCGAGCCCTGCCTAGGATGGCATGTCGGGCTTCATACTTAACAGCGATAGCCCTGTGATGTAAATGTGATGCCAATTCTTACTTCCGCGAGCGCGCCTCCAAGACTTCTGCGGGCGTCCCATACCCACGGCCAAAAATACGCAGCGCGCGGCGTGCCCGAGCGGTCGTGGTCAGTCATCCAAGGCTTGGAAGCGCAGTCTTCGCACAGAGAACATCGGACCTATCGAGTGACCCAAGCACACATGCAACACAGCGGCAGTCCGTTCTTAATAGCCAAGCCTTCGTGACCCGCATGCCATGAGAGGGACTTGACGCTGTCGAAGCAGGTCGATTACAAGCATGCGAATACTACAGATACATAGGCACGATATGCCCGACTCTAGAATACATAATTACCGTCCAATGCGACCAGAAAAAATCCCAGCGGAGTCCACAATGCGTACGACATCGGACCTACGACTTCTTGAGCATCAGCTTGATCTTGGGTGCTCCCGAGGGCGTCGCGGGCACGTCCTCATCGTCGTCGTCGTCGTCCGCCGGCATCATCGGCGGGCTCGTTGCGAGCGGCGACGGACCATGTGTGCCCGGGAACGGCCCAGGACGCAACGAGCCCGACGCTCCAGGCGAGTACAGGCTGTCCTGCGCGCCCCCGAACGAGAAGCCGCCCGATGTTGCTGGTGGGGGACGTCGCGGGCGGGGAAGACGCGGACGGCGTCGGCAGCGGGGGCGTGCCCTGGTTGAACTCCGCCCAGCGCGGACACTTCCGGTTCGTTTCTGCCGCGCGGACTTCTTTAGCACATGCGAGGACAGGAGGAAGACGTGAGACTTACTCATATGGCCCATCTGCCCGCAGTGACCGCAGCGGCGCTGAAAAAACCAGGGTATCAGCAAGAGCGGCGGAGAAAAGAGAGGGAGGAGCTTACTGTAGTGTCGGGCTTGATCGGACGGTTGAGCTGCAGCGGGGTGCCGCCCTCTTTGACGATCTTCGCATTCTTCCGGTGCAGCCGCCGCTCCTGGTTCTTCTTCATCCGTGCAATCTCCTCCTCGATCCTGCAGAAGCATCAGCTATCGCCGTAAAGCATTAAATAACGAGCTCGCCGCACCTCTTCCTCGCACGCCTGTCGCGCTCAGCGTCGCCGGTCGGCGCGAGTGCATCCGCCGTCATGTTCTCCTCCTCGATCGCCTGGCGCTTCTTGAGGTACGCGGTAATGACCGACGGGTCACGCACGATCTCCAGCTTCCACTCCCCGTCGACGAAGCGCTTGATGCGCAGCACCCGCCGCTGTGCGTCCGGTCCCAGGCTCATCTCGCGCTCGCGCGCCAGCGACGACCCCCGGCTGTAGGTTGGGGAGATTGGCCCCAGCGCCCCAGGGGTCTCTGGGGGCGAGTGCGCGGGGGTGTACCCCATCGACTGCCGCCGCTGCATGCGCTTGTTGTCCTTGTCTGTCTCGCGCCCGGCGGCGCGCTCTTCGGCGGTGAGCTCCGGCTCGTCCTTGCGGCTGAGCGAGTCGAACTGCGCCTTCCAGATACGCTCGATCTCGGACTTGTAGATCTGCTGCTGCTCGGCGACGTTGTATCGATGCGCGGACTTGGGCCGGCTCTCGGCCTCCGCTGTGCGCAATGTCAGAGTGTGAACGTAAGCTCCGGAGAGGAACGACGGGGGCACGCACCGAGTTTCTGCTCGTAGTCCTCCCCGGCCTTGACGAAGATGTCCTTCATGGAGACACGGATGAAGCTGAACGCCTCGCCGCGCCCGGTCGGGTCGCCCTCGCCGTGGAGCTTGAGCATCGCCTTGGCCTGCGTGGCGAAGAGGAAGTTCTTCGTCGTGATCCACGGCGCGAGCTGCTGCTCGATGGAGAGGTTGCCCTCGTCCTCCTCCGCTACCTCGCCATTGAAGCTGTAGCCGGAGTCTTGCAGGTGGCGCTGGCCAACTTGCATGCTTTCGGAGAGGACGACCTGCTCTGGGGTCACCATCTTCAGCATGTCCGCATCGGACGGGATAGTCCAGTTCCCCTTCAGGCGCCAGAAGCCTTGATGTGGACCGCGCCGGTGGTGCTCCATGAATTCCTAAATAGCAGATGAATGACGAGCCATGCGCAGTGTGTCGCGAATATTAAACCTACTTTGAGCCGCTGCCGCATCTGCAGCTCGTTCTGTTCGGGGAAGTACTTCATCAGGCGGGAGATCTTGAGACACTTCGAGTCGGAGCTTGCTCGTGTGGGCGCGGCCGCGGCGATCGTGGAGGGCGGATCTCGGCTGGGCGGGTATCTTGCGACGGTGCTGGATCTCCCAGATGAATTCGCGGACTCTGCGTGAATCCTGGGTTAGTATGGAATCCTGGGCTCGTATTGAATCCTGGGCTTGTATTTGCACGTGGGGTCGAGGACGGGGCACTCGAGACAGGCTCTTTGGGCTCTTCGAACGAGGCAGAGACGACGCAGTTGTATTCGAGACTTCCTACACATCCTATACACACGGAACACGAAGAAAAAGCGAGAAACAGAGGCCGCAAACGTCTTCGCGCACTCACCACGTCGCGGGCGCTTATTCCGCCGCTCCTCCAAAGGTTCAAGTCCTGCGTTCCGTCGTCCCTGCTCCTCGTCCCTGCTCCTGAATCGAGCGCGTACGCACGCGCGCTATATACGGCTGAATTTGCATTATTCTCGGAACACCCCCGCGCGCGGGTGCGGGCGCGGTAAGGGTGTTCGGCGCCGGTCTAGCGTCCGCGAAGGGAATGAGAAATGCGCTACGGCCGTCCGCAACACCAGAACGGTTAGTAAACATTCGCATATTACAAGGAGCCGCATACCACGTACTCAGCCAGTTTGGCCCGCTGGTTTCCCACTTCGCGCAGCCACCTGGACTTCGCACGTCCGGGACACGTTGCACGGGCTGCGGCGAGACGGGAGTGCTGTGCCGGTGTTGTGGTCGCTCATAAGGGAAGATGGGAGAGGCGTACTACGCGTCAAGCCGGACGCAGGGGGTTCCAAATCGACTTCGCGCGGTCCGAGGACACCGGCGCCTAAACCGAGTAGCTGCGAGCGAGAGAAGCCACGAACCCCGGGTTGCATGAGTCCCCTTGCCCCACGGCGGCGTCACTGGCATGTCTGTGTACGCACGCCGCACGCCTGCTGGCCTCCCGTGGCCTCACGAGCTTGGTATTAAGCATGCACCTACACTTCCACGGGCACGTTAGCACAGTAATTTGTTTTCCCAGCAGCCGGCAACACTTACCTCATAATATCGATCGCCCTCCGCGGGGACGCGGTCATGGGACGCATGCGGCATGTTGCCGTCTTTAAGGCCTCCGCTATGATAACTTCGCATCGCCGTCCCGGAGTGTGCAGTACATCCTGCGGGCGATGGAAGCCACCAAGTGGCTATCCGAGCGGAGGTGCCAGTGGGAGGGGTTTTCCGCGGGCGGGAGAGGAGATCTGCGCGCCGGAGCGGCGAAGCGGCCCATTCGACTTTCGACAGACGGGCGCCTAATCCGGGGCAGTCTTCGATTTTGAAAAATCGACAGCCTGAGTCGCGTCGTCGCTGTCTTGAGCTGTACCGCCGCCGCCTCCCGTTCGCACTGCTTCGCGCTCGCTCCGATATGCCCCACGGCTCTGTACAGAGTAGATTGTCTACATCACGTAAGTCAGCTGGGAAATGCCAAACTCGAACGAGGTACCGCGCGTACCGTCTCTCGGAGCTCATTACAGGACCATACACATACGAGAATCCTCGGGGCGTACACTGTCAACGCTACGCGCTCTCCGGAACATTTGCTTTGCATGGGCCGGGACTTGGCGTCGTCATCGCAGGGTGAGTAAGAGGCTCTGCTAGTATGTCTAGGGGGTGCCGACTGGCTGGCCAAGACACATGGTCGAGACGCGGGGACCTGTTTTTGAAAGGGGGCGAGGCCAAGCACGGCAAGAGAGAAGGAGGAGAGCGAGTGAGCCCAAGATCATGACTTTCGACATACGGGCGCCTATCCCCGTGCTGCCCGCGATGTCCGAAGTCGCGTCGACATCGTCGCTTGGCTGCACCCCACCACCACCCCCTCCGATCGCCGCCTCGCATCTGCTCTGGAACACACAAGTTAGCAGGAGTTGCAGCAAACAGACACGGTACGTACTATGTCTCCGAGCTCGTTACGCGCGCTCTCTAGAGGCCCGCTATGACGGCAACTTCGTGCAGCCGTCATTGCCGAGCGTGTGGACGCTGTTGTAGTTCGCCAGTGACAAACAGGGCGTGTGAATTGAAAGGGGACGACTGTCGCTCCTCGCTGGCCGGCGCGGTAGGAGGGCAAGGCAAGGGGGAGCGAGAAGCACAACTTCGAGCGACTTCTCGGAAGCGAGAAGTGAGAAGAGGCGGGACCAGCGCCTAACACAACGCGACTCGCGATTTCGACAGCCGCGCAGCCACTCAACTGTTCCCTACCACCACCGAGCGTCCTCGCTCACTGTCTCTCGTCTCTCGTACTAACCCGCCATCTACGACTTCTCAAGTCAGCTACAGCGCGATCAAGATAAATTGAATACGTACCGTGTCTCCCCGTGGGACGTCCTCTCTCGGAACACGGGCCCGGAGCACTGCACCATTTCCGGAGCGCCCGCCCTACCTGGAGCTTCATCAGGCTGCGCCCGCAAACGTAGAGCGCATGGAAGGTGAGTGGGAGTATCCTGCCGGACGACACGTAAGGCATAGGTCTATATATCAGGATGTGGCACTTACCGGCACCGAAACAGTGCGCCGCACGTTGTCAAAGGTAGCTCGGGAGGCTGTCTGAGACTGCGACGGGGACCCGGGAGCCCCTTGGCCAGTCAGATGTACGGTCGAGGACGAGAACGTGTCTCGGGCTTCAGCGTGCAGCGAGCAAGCATGCGACACTCGTGCGCCATGAGGCCTCAGGGCCAATAGTGGGCTGCGCTGCCGTGGTGTCGACCGCACGCGCTGGGTCCGCAAGATGGCATGCTACAGCGGTAGGGCGTCCCGCGCGGGCCGACACCGCGTCCAAGTCCAAGTCCAGGCGTGGGCGTGGGCGTCTTGCGCGTAAGACGAACACCACGGCATGCATGGGACTCCTCTCTGGAATTCGCGGCCGGTGGGGCGGCGCATTCAGATCATCGCGAGCGAAGGTGAGTGTTGTCAAGAGGATGCGTGTGAGCGCGAGACGATGCGAGTACGGGAGAGTGGACGAACATACGGAGAAGAGGGAGTGTCTGACAACAGACGAGACATTGCAGGTGGTGCGGGTGTGCCGACTCGGAGAGCAGACGGATGCGAGCGATGAGTGACGAACCACGTTGACTTACTTTGTCTGCGCGCGGGCTCTCTCCACGTGCGCAAGTACTGCGTTGTTCTCATTCTTGCGGAGGTTCGTGCCGTCCATGGCGTGCGGTGTGGGCGCCCCGGCACCGCGCGCATGTACCATGCATGTCATCTGCGGTGCCCAGTGCACGATGAGCTCGCGATCCCATACATCCCGATTCAGAATCATGTACTCACTGTTTTGCCCTAACAGGTGCTGCGACTCCACCACCAAGCTGCTAGACGAGGCTAGCCCCACCACACTCGCTCGCTGGCAAAGGTGAGCCTCCACCCACTCACTCACACGGCTGTGGGCAGCGTCTCGGAACATGCCCTGCAGAAGTCGGCCAATCACTGATACCGCCCTCCCAAGAGCCTGCTGAAAGGCATGTCTCGAGTGGTCCAGCATGGACATGGGTGTGGGTTTGACAAATGCCGCTGTGCGGAAACGTCTCCACTCAGTGTTCGGTGCTGTGAACACTAGAGCCGGCTCTAGGAGATATGGTGAATGCGCTGGAGAGGTGACAAGGCGAGGCACGCACTGGTGTAAGACGGAAGAGAGGGCGGGGTGGCCGGGTGGAAGGATGGAGTGGATGGAGGGGACGTGGGGCATAGGTGCGTGGGGTACGCCGCCAGCAATTCTGTAAGTCTCGCCGGATGACTAGGACGTCTGGCCCAGACTGCATACGGTTGGCATGGTGCGGCAAGTATACTAGCCTGCTGCTGTGCCGCGTGCGCATGTGCCGGTGAGAGGGTGATGGTGGCAAGCGGTTGCTGCCTGCCCGCCCACGGCGTCTGCAACGATATCTTCTGTCTCCTAGACCCACGGTATTCATGGCCGCCCGCTTGTAGCATATATTTGCTTACTCCCGTGTACTTGGCCAATTGTGCCCATTGTTTCCGGCTGCGGGGTGATCGGACAGTGGTCTCCATTTTAGTGTCACCTCTGATTTGTTACTGTACGTCAACGCCTGGGAAATGGCCCTCATTTCCAAGCCCAGAGGCTGGGATATCACACCACGCACCCCGATCCATTTGGGGCTTGACTACTCATCCATCCAGAACTGGAGGGATTCAGGAATAATAATGTGTGCAGCTCGTTGCTCCCCACACTATCATTCTTGACCTCTCCACTTCTAGCCTCTCATAGGCCACATAATTAATGTCTTGGATTGATCAAACAAGATGTGTGATATTTCACAAGCAAAAGCAAGGGCGCCGGCTGGGCGAAGGTTTGCGCTTACCGGTAATGCCTAGATCTGAGATGTCAAAGCCGCCCGCGGCCCTGCAGTCAAGATCTTGCACCCTACGTCACTCGCGCGCATGTCGCTGACCTATATTGAACGCCACGCGGACATCCGGCGAAGTCATCGAACCCATTGTGGTCGTGGTAGCTGTCAAACATTGTGTGAGAGCGAGAGGCAGAAATCTTTCTCTACGCTCAGACTGCCTATTCCGGTAAGAAGGTTCGACCCAGTGCGGCCCGCACACTCAGTGCTTAGTGCCACGACTCTCATTTTCTTGTCATTAGCACTGTTTAACCCAGCTGCGCCTACTCAATGCACTCCTGGGCTCTACGCTGCAGTGCGAACCTTGACAACAGGCACAGCGCTCCGGAAATCTCGGGTCGCACCCACTCCTTCGGAGCTCACCTTTGTCTCGCCAGATAGCCGCGTACCTGCTCCAAGCAGCTCAATGCCGTCCACGGATCTGCCACAACAACTCTGGGTGTGAGGTCTCTCGTATCATGCAAGTGTCGCACATCGGGAACCTCTAAAAGTGATCTGCCAAGAGATTCGACTTCTGGGCGTGCGAGAGCAGCTGCAGTGTTTCGGAGGTTTCGGGCGAGCCTCTGCCTGAGGGGACTCGGAGCTTGAACATGTGCCACCACATACCACCGGAAGCGCTGTTTCTCTCGTGTCCTGGTGTCTAGGGCATTGTATGCATAGGTAGTATGTTATCAAATCCGATATATGATACTAGTCCGAGTCATCTGCCTCGCGGTCATGGAAATAATCAAGATCCCGAAAGTAATTTGGGGAAGCAGCCTCTGGAGTCAAACTCAGGCTCGAATACCAGTACATTTCTACGCAAGCTGGCCTAGTCACTTGCTCCGTAATTCAGCTGCAGCGGAACATGACCAGAAGCATGCAGGCAAGCCTGAAGCCCTCCTCCAAGGCAGGTCAGACTGAAGGTGTACTCAGAATTTGTCCGTTTCAAGAGGAAACTCCTCACACCATGCAACTTCAGCCGCCGTTGGCACACTCCTTCAGTCAGATCGGGTGCGCCATGGTGTATTGTACCAAATTATTGCACACGGAGAAGCTCTCACAACCCTCCTGTTCTGCAGTCTACACTGCTGAATATCTTGCGTGACACTGGCGTGAGTGTGGCAATTGGCGAATGGCCGCTCAGCACACTCGGGCGAGACATGGCAGTCGGTGCTGCCACTTTATCACCTTGTCCCAGTCAGTTGCCGTTTCCGCTCCGGCTTGTCTGCCTATTGCAGATTCAATATGGCATATGTGCATGGCTGCATGTGGGATTTTTCAACACCTATAATCGCACGAGAAGGTGCACTCACAATGTTCTATGTATGTACAACTCGCCGTCAACCTGTTCGTGAGCGGTGCACACCCAAAGACACCCAGAAGCATGCAGTACAAAATTATGATTCATCGTTGCAAACATGCACCAGGTCTGATACAAACTCAATAATGACTGTAACACAGTCCGGGAGGGCCGCCGCATAGTCTCTGCGAGGACCTGGAGGACGAAACCCGCCGCTCGAGCTAATCCTGCCCGCCGCTGACCCGACGACTCCGAGATGCATCAACCGATGCTATACCTTCCCCAGCACAATGGTGCCCATGGTCCCTCGAAACGAGGGCGGTCCGTAGCATCTCGCGTACCGAGTGCCGGCCATCCGAAGCGAGCGTGTCCGCCATCTGCAAATCGAGACCAGATGGTGAAACATACCGCGCCGCGTAGTTACCCTGTCCCCTCCCGCAATGCGTCCGTGCGTGTCCTCTCCCGCTCGTCCCGTATCGCTCGGCTAGGCGTGTCGTATTCCGGTTGGTTCGCGGTCTATCGGGCTCGGTGGATTTCTCCGGTCCTCTCGTAAGTTCGTTGCCTGGGCGCGATAAATGACTGATTCCGCGCGACGGAGGTAGGCCTGGCTCGAGTGCGCGGTCGCCGCACGGACCATGGTGCGACGGAGACGGAGGGCGGCCCTAAATCATGTCGAGGATAAGTACGAGCCCGGCTGCGACGCGAGCGTGCTCACCGTCTCCTTCCGCTCCCGCACCTCCTTCCTATATCCCCATCTTCCCCTCCCCTTCTCATCACCTGTTGTCTCGCCCTGGACAAGGGATGTCTCCTGTTTGCGAGAGGTCCATCATCATCCCTCACTGAATAGACTCGTCACTAACCTCTTCATGTCCAGCGCCGCGGGTGTGCGAGCACGCATTCAAGGCATGCCACGCGAAGCGTACAGCGCGGGCGGCATGAAGGTCTCAGGCTTGAGACCCGGAGAGCTGTCTGGGGCTCAAGGGTGGGTGCCCGCATCCCCGAGTCCGGTACGTGTCCTCTCGTGTTCCGTACGAATGCTGACTTGGGTCCCAGCCTTGCTCACAGCCTACGCGCAGAGACTCAAGAGGGCATGTACCATTGTCGTCGTGTTCTGAGGTGCGTCGCTGGTATACCGTGTGCAACTTCACAGTGCGACTCGATAGGATCCCGCGGTCGCGTCGAACGACGTCTTGGTCGTCCCGCGGGTCACGCAATCTATGCGCAAGTCATGGTACGTCAGCGTGCAACCCGAGAAACAAAACACATACATAACATACCTCTACCAGAGCCCGGCACCCCGAGTGGCCGCGCGCAGGGGCATACAGCACGCTGCATGCTGAATACCTCTACGTCAACGTCGAGCGCGCGGCTGGGATCCGTTCCGGGTCTGCGTATCTGCCCTACACAGAATGTGAGTTTCTCGTCTGCATGCGAGGACGCGCGATCCGACTCACTCTTTTATGTAGCTTCACGCGAACCCGACATCCATCCGCCGGGCACATCGAAGGTACAGGATGCGAGGCGACACGGTGAGTTCTGGGCGGCGACGTGCGCGTACGGCATCCACTTACCTCATGAGTCGTTCGCAGTGTGCCCGGTGTGGCAGACGACGAATACGCCGCGAACGAGCAGCGCTGGGCGCTCGATGAGCGGGAGGCGGCGACGTCGAGGGCGCACGCGGACACGCTGTCTCGCGGAGGGTCAGGCAGCGTATTGCACAATGTACATACATGATAGGGCGTCCATTACGGTATAGTACATACGTCCGCGCGCGCCACCGCGCCAGCCCGCTCTGCGGCGTTCTGGCAGCCAGGGCAGCGGGGAGGCGGTATCTGTCTCCGTGCGCCCGCCGCGGCGCGGCTGGTCGCGGACTCGTCCGGAGTCTTGGCGAGGAGGTCGGCGCAGGTGCTCCCGGGGTCATCTGACACAACTATGGTGAGTGCAACATTCATGTATGAGCCAAGACACAGCGACGAGCTTACCTTCCTCATCTGATTTGGCAGCGCGCAAACCACGGCGGCACCTCTCAGTGGTCGTCGTGCTCGCGAGACGAGTGTCCCGCCAACGAGGGTGAGTACGGGCCATCCGGAGGCGCACACTAGACGGCTGACCTGACATCGTCGCCAGCACGCACAAACGCCGGGAACGCCGCAGGCGTCAGGAGGAAGGCTCGGGACAAGGGCGGGTGGGGACGTTCATAGCGTATCGTACGTATACAGTCTGGGACGCGGCGGTCGCAACGTGCGCGCCGAGCGCAAGAGATGCGCTTCGGGCGAACGCGTGGTGGCGCCCATCTCGGTGCTAGCTACATACGTCCCGAGACGACCCCCGGCCGTCGTGGACCTCGCACCCTCGGCTCCTCCGGTACAGGGATGGGCTCGGGGTGTCGGCCGCGGCGGGCGGGGCGGGACACCGCCGATGGCGGTGATCCGAACGCCCTCGTGCGTGTCGCCGTCGTGCATACACGAGGCATGTCCTTGCGTCGTCCCGGAGCTGGAGCGATCCGCGCGGGGCGGCCACGTCGCACCTTTGACCACGGCGCACTCCTCCCCGCCGCCATCGCGGTCGACGTCACAGCCGCCCTACGCGCCCACTAGCGGCTGGGGACGACTCCCACGCCCCCGGGGCCATGCATGGAGGACGGCATGGCCGGCGGGGGCGGTGGGCCGGCGCAGCGCGCACTTTGCTGATGTGGCCCAAAACCGCCCGAAATGGCGCGAAACGGCCGAGACGCAAAGTCCGCGCACGCCCCCGCAATCTCTGCAGACGCCGCCGAGCACGTCCACGAGCGTGCACGCCAAGTGGCTCGGCCCTGCGGGGCGGGACGCGCGCAGGAGGGGCGCGGGACACCCGCACCCGCGCCGCCGCCCATGAAATCGCGCGAAACGGCGCGGATAGCATGTGCCCGGATCGCGCCGCGCCGCCGCGTGCGCATTCACCTTGGGGCATACAGCCTGGGGCTGCGTTTTCAGAGGGCCGACGCGCGCCGTCGGAGCGCGAGGGCGCCGACACGGTGCCGGGGCGAGGTGCACGAGGCCGTCCCGCTGCATACAGTCGCGATGCAGCCCTTGTGAGCGTCGGAGGCCGTGGGCAGTGTCCCAGTGAGCGTCCATGCCGAGTGGCGGCGCGCTGGAGGGGGGGACGGGGACGGGACGGGGACGGGACGGCGGCGGGACGCGAAGTGTCGTGCTGCCGTCCATGGAACTCGGTCGACGACGACGCGATTTTGATGTTCGCGGATCGCACCGCAATTGCGCGTGCGCATGCGCCCCGGTGCGTAGGGCCTGGGCTTGCGTTTTCAGAGGCTTACGGCGGGGCGTCCGAGTGTGACTTCGACCGCATGGCGGGCGGGCCGCCGCCGAACGACCTGAGTTCGACGCCTCCGGATGCACCCGAGGCTGGCTGGAGGCTGGAGGCGGCTACGAGAGTCCGTGGGCATGTTCTAGATGCCGGACGCGTCGATGGGGCGTAGAACGGCGACGGGAGGGGCGATGTATCGTGTCGTCACCGTGTTTTGCACATGAAATCGGGCCAAATGTCCAAAATAGTTTCTTTCCCGATCGCGCCGAGACGTGCAGGGTGTATGCGCCGAGGATCATGGGAGTGTATCAGCGTATATTTGAGCGGTGTAGGTGCGGCGTCGATGTGCGAGGGGGGCTGGATGCCTGCCAACTTGGACCCGGCGTGCACGCAGCCGACGTCGTCCTGCGCGTCTGATCTCGGCAGAGATGGTCCAGGGGATGCGACGAGGCTGTATGCGCGAGGAAAGGCCGACAGGACCGCGCCCGCGTGCGCTGCTCACATTTTTGAGCGCGGGGGATCTGAAAATACGACGTCGTCAGAGCAGCTCGTGCGCACACTTCCTGGGATCTCGCCTGTAAGGAGTGCATACAACCATGCACTGCCTCGTTACGGACTCGCGCGCGCACGGCAAAGGATGAGGCGGCGGCGAGACCGGAGGTCGGCGGGGAGGTCGTCGTCTGGTGGGCGTCGTTCCGGGCGAGGAACGTCTGCGGCGCCTTAGCCTGTGCGGCGGGAGCGTCTGCTCAGTCGGGCCAACGTATTAGTGGCACTCTGGCGGTGGGGCGTCGAGTCTCGCGGATGGGCGTAGGCTGACTTGCGAGTGTTCGCACAGTGAGCTGTACGGGCCCTGTGAGCGCAGTTCGCGGCGAACCGGGCTGAGAACGCACCTGATACGAGAGAGACGTGTTAACTTCGACGTCGTGCAAACCGCTTGAGTGTTGACATCGATAGAGAGGGGTGAGGGACGATGGAGGAGGGAGGGATGTCTGTGCGGGTGTAGACCGTGTTCCGGAAGAAGGACGTCGGCGGGGTCTTGGTTTACGGGCAGGCATCGTCGTGCAGGTGCATCCGACGTATGAGAAATGCTTGAGCAGCGGGGCATCGAAGTACACGGGCGGTGCGAGGGGATATACGCGCAACGACCTGTATGGACTTGGTGAGCGCAGTTCGAGTCGGGGCGGGATGGGAACTCACACGAAGCTCAAGCGGTACCATATGAACCATTTCCCACAGGTTTCCAGCGGGGCGGTTACGGCCGACTGTGAGAAATTGCGGTAGTGTGTTCCGGGGTGAACCGAGGACAGTGAACGAAGGACGATGACGGCGTCTTCGAGCTCGCAACAGCGACACCGCCGAAGTGCACCAAGCACGTCCTGCAAATCGCAGAGCCGGGTGTCGAAGCTGAGACGAGATAGCGCACATTCCAGTGAAATGTCCACGCGGTGCTAGCGGGTGCTCCTTTGACTTGCGCCGTTACTGGGTTGGTGGCGCGCACGAGAGAGGTCGTGCGGGTGTGTGTGCAAGAAATCAGAGTGGGCAGTGACGGGACGGGCGAGCGGCGGGCGGAACATGTCTGAGGACGGGCAGCAGAGGGGCACAGGACAGGGCGGTTTGGCGTGTTCAGCAGAGAGGCAGGCAGTCGCGATCGGTGGGAGATGTGCTGAGAGAGACGTCGAAGGAGTGACGAGCCCGCCAACACGCGTCCTGAACGCAGACGAGCGTCTGCAAGTCCGCGCCGATCGGGATTGCGAGCAGCTTGACCTAACCCCAGCCCTCCTCCCTGCCCGCCACAAGCGCGTCGTAATCACCTTCAGCTCTCTCTGCGCGGCGCCTCCGTTCGTTTTCACGAGCCGCGCGGTCTCTTTGCGCGCGACCACGACGCTGGCACACGTGCCTCCTGCTCATCCATCCAAACACGCTGCACAATCGCCAGCCTGGCTCTCTGAAGGGACGTCCTGTCTCCGCAGAACACGTTGCGCGGTGCTTGAGGCGTTAGTACTTAGTCGGCACCGAGGGCATGCGGAAAGGGGTCGAAGGGGCCGATATGAATCCAAGCCTCCAAGACGCTCCCAGCGGCTCGCTGCCCACACAAGGTTCAACATGGCCGCCAAGCGGCAAATTCGCCAAGCTTGCGCCCCTCCCGGTGCTCGTGCATGCACAGTCGACTTGCCGTAAGTGCTGTCATCGCATTCCTATATTTTCCGTGTGGAAACATTCCCGCAGCGCAGCTTCGCATCCTGCGTCCGACGTAGCCCGAAACGGAAACGCAGCAGGAAAGGCACACGCTAGCGAAATGACAAGCTTCGAGATCCGAGGCCGACCGCATATACGCGGTGTGCACGGCGGGCAAAGCTCCAAGCTTCAAACCGCGACGCTGGAAGTGGGAGCCGAATCTTCCCTCAAACCTTGAACTAGCCTCCCCGAGCAGGTATCCTTTCACCTCGTTTTCTAGGGAAGCTTTGGACTTCGCGGGATTCTCCCGGGGTGTGATCTACAGCCGTCTGCCAGCTGCCTCCCGTGCGCATCGTGTGTGGCCGTTGAGGGGAGTTTGTGCGCTCTCCACCGCTCCGGAAACCTGTCCCTCGACCCATCGGTCAAACCAGGAGGAGCACCTCGAGGCCATGAATAGCGCGCCTGTCTGCCACGATCCTCCGTCCGGCAGGATTCGTGGGATACTGGCGACGCGACCCGACGGAGGGGGTGGGCTTTCGTTCCAGAACGGGAGAAGCAACGCTGACAGCGACGGATCCGCTCGGGAGGAACCTCCACCGTCGCTGACAGTCCTTGTCGTCCCCTGCCCGACCCGGACATTTTCGTGAGAGTGCAGGTCCGACTCGCGTGGTGCTCCTCACACACCATCCCCCTCCCGCGGCGACCAAAGGGGATAATCGGACGCGGCGCGCACCTAAAAGCCTACCTTGGCCTACCAGCTTACGCACTTGGGTCTTCTCCCCGACGCGTCGCACGACCAAGATATAAAGAACGTGCGTTGCTCACGTCACGGCCGAGCGAAGGTGAGTGTCAGTTTCGGAGGTGGCGTCTGCTCATAATTGCCAAGCATATGCGCAGGCTCAGAGATCGCAGATGCCCGATCGAAGATCTCGCTCTTGGCCGTCGGGCTTGCGCTGGCTTGGCGATGGCGGGCTGCCCTTGGCCTCCGGGGTCTTAGCTCTCTCCAGCCCCGCCGCCGGTGTCAAGGACACCACGGCCTCTGCACATACTGCTGCGCCTTGGCATGAACTATTGCGGCGCAGGCACAGCAATTGGCGTTGGCGCGGACGCTGCGCGCACCTACAATTGCCCCTCAACCGATAACAACTACACCCACAGGCGCGCTGTCGACCGTGTCAAATTACTCCAGCTCACATGCCGCCAATTTACCCACAATTTACCCAGACAGTGTTCATGAGCGTCCGGAGGACTACACTCGTCATCCCGATGCATACCCATGATCAAATTGCGTCGACTTCGCAGCTCCTCACGGACGCCCTACGCGAGCACCTTCCCTGTCAGGACATACCTCGTGCGACGACATGAGCGAATGCCCCTCGGGCGGTTCTCTCATGCCGTTTACTAGGCACCACACCCCCGGAATGCATGAGTAAGCCCACTCACAACGCACCCTTGTCGCCGCCGGCTCGACCGCAAGAAGGCTTCGCGTTCCGTAACGTCCGCGGCCGGTTCGCTCCGGACGGCTTCCCCGCAATGATATCTGCAGCGGCGGCGTGCGAGCGCGGGCGACGGGCACACACAGGCCATCGGAATATCGCTTTCGTGCTACTATCCTACGCAACACAAATGTGGGCTTTCTTTCCCTTTTTGAAGCTAGGAACACGCAAGGACTTACTGTAGATAGCTACATTGTATCTAAGCTCCGTCGCGAAGCTTAAGCAACAACGGCGCGTATGTTTGGTCGGAATTAAACGTTGTGTCCGCTTGCGCTCGATGTGAATATAGAATTTAGACACCAATACCTAGGTCAAGCCTTCTCCGCCGGGCGCTGAAACCTTTTGTCGAGTCCTGCCTAGGATGGCATGTCGGGCTTCATACTTAACAGCGATAGCCCTGTGATGTAAATGTGATGCCAATTCTTACTTCCGCGAGCGCGCCTCCAAGACTTCGGCGGGCGTCCCATACCCACGGCCAAAAATACGCAGCGCGCGGCGTGCCCGAGCGGGCGTGGTCAGTCATCCAAGGCTTGGAAGCGCAGTCTTCGCACAGAGAACATCGGACCTATCGAGGAACCCCAAGCACTTATGCAACACAGCGGCAGTCCGTTCTTGTTAGCCAAGCCTTCGTGACCCACATGGTTTGGGAAGGAGTGGACGCTGTCGAAGCAGGTCGATTACAAGCATGCGAATAAGTACTACAGATACATGGGCACGATACGCCCGACTCTATAATACATAATTACCGTCCAAAGCGACCAGAATAAATCCCAGCGGAGTCCGCAGTGCGTACGACATCGGACCTACGACTTCTTGAGCATCAGCTTGATCTTGGGTGCTCCCGAGGGCGTCGCGGGCACGTCCTCATCGTCGTCGTCGTCGTCCGCCGGCATCATCGGTGGGCTCGTTGCGAGCGGCGACGGACCATGTGTGCCCGGGAACGGCCCAGGACGCAACGAGCCCGACGCTCCAGGCGAGTACAGGCTGTCCTGCGCGCCCCCGAACGAGAAGCCGCCCGATGTGCTGGTGGGGGACGTCGCGGGCGGGGAAGACGCGGACGGCGTCGGGAGCGGGGGTGTGCCCTGATTGAACTCCGCCCAGCGCGGACACTTCCGGTTCGTTTCTGTGCCGCGGGCTTCTTCAGCGCAAGCGTGGACAAGAGGAAGACGTATGACTTACTCATATGGCCCATCTGCCCGCAGTGACCGCAGCGGCGCTGAGAAAAAAAAACAGGGAATCAGCGGGGGCGGCGGAGGAGAAAAGGGAAGGGAGGGGGCTTACTGTGGTGTCGGGCTTGATCGGACGGTTGAGCTGCAGCGGGGTGCCGCCCTCTTTGACGATCTTCGCATTCTTCCGATGCAGCCGCCGCTCCTGGTTCTTCTTCATCCGTGCAATCTCCTCCTCGATCCTGCAGAAGCATTAACGATCACCGCAAGACGTCGAACGATGAGCACGCCGCACCTCTTCCTCGCACGCCTGTCGCGCTCGGCGTCGCCAGTCGGTGCGAGTGCATCCGCCGTCATGTTCTCCTCCTCGATCGCCTGGCGCTTCTTGAGGTACGCGGTAATGACCGACGGGTCGCGCACAATCTCCAGCTTCCACTCGCCGTCGACGAAGCGCTTGATGCGCAGCACTCGCCGCTGTGCGTCTGGCCCGAGGCTCATCTCGCGCTCCCGTGCGAGGGACGACCCGCGGCTGTACGTCGGGGAAATCGGGCCCAGCGTCCCAGGAGTCTCTGGTGGCGAGTGCGCGGGGGTGTACCCCATCGACTGCCGCCGCTGCATGCGCTTGTTGTCCTTGTCTATCTCGCGCCCGGCGGCGCGCTCCTCGGCGGTGAGCTCCGGCTCGTCCTTGCGGCTGAGCGAGTCGAACTGCGCCTTCCAGATACGCTCGATCTCGGACTTGTAGATCTGCTGCTGCTCGGCGACGTTGTATCGATGCGCGGACTTGGGCCGGCTCTCGGCCTCCGCTGTGCACAATGTCAGAGTGTAAACGTAAGCTCCGGAGAGGAACGACGGGGGCACGCACCGAGCTTCTGCTCGTAGTCCTCCCCGGCCTTGACGAAGATGTCCTTCATGGAGACACGGATGAAGCTGAACGCCTCCCCGCGCCCGGTCGGGTCGCCCTCGCCGTGGAGCTTGAGCATCGCTTTGGCCTGCGTGGCGAAGAGGAAGTTCTTCGTCGTGATCCACGGCGCGAGCTGCTGCTCGATGGAGAGGTTGCCCTCGTCCTCCTCCGCTACCTCGCCGTTGAAGCTGTAGCCGGAGTCTTGCAGGTGGCGCTGGCCAACTTGCATGCTTTCGGAGAGGACGACCTGCTCTGGGGTCACCATCTTCAGCATGTCCGCATCGGACGGGATAGTCCAGTTCCCCTTCAGGCGCCAGAAACCTTGATGTGGTCCGCGCCGGTGGTACTCCATGAATTCCTAAATAGCAGATGAATGACGAGTCGCATGCAGCGTGTCACGAACGTTAAACCTACTTTGAGCCGCTGCCGCATCTGCAGCTCGTTCTGGTCGGGAAAGTACTTCATCAAGCGAGAAATCTTCAAACGCTTCTCGGAGCTCTTCTCGAGGAGCTTAAATGCAATGATTTGCAGTCGTAGCTTGATAGTGTTTGTGATCTTCCGGGAATGTGGCCCAGGGACCTCTGTGACCGGGTACGTTTGGCCGACAGCGAACAGGTTACCGATCTCGCGAATGTAGTACTTGGACTCTCCCTTGACCGTCGTCCTGAGGTAGAGGTCAGTTATGGGCTCAGACTGGGACAAGAGTACACGCACCGAATGACAAGGAAATCTGTAGGATATGATTTGTGACGGAATAGCGGAGCACGCATAAGATTGTTGTACAGGGCGGGGACAGTTTGCCCAGGGTACACATAGCCAAACTTCATGAATGGACTCTCGTCTTGCGGTTCGATCACGATAGGCTCCCCCAAGTCGGACTATAGAGGGTTGAGCTGGTTCTATGGAAGATGCGCGTAGATGCACTCACCTTAGGTACATGGTCGTCCTTCTCATTCTTCTTGCGGTAGTAGTTTACCAAAATACTGCCCATACCGAAGTTCGAAATGATGGGAGGATGCTCCTCAGAGAACTCCCACAGAACGAAGTTGCTGGTGTCCCGTAAGCTGAGATCGCCTGTGCGGTGCAAACCCTCGCCAATGTCGCCGCCCTTGCCGACCTTGCGACCCGCCCTGTCCTTCTTCTTCTTCGCTGTACGGACTTTGCTGAAGTGGATCTCGATATTCGACGGGAACTGTAGGGCGGTTCGATGGAAGGAACGAGCCTCCTGCTTTGATAGGCGTGTCTTGTACTATACCGAGCGGTCAGCTGCGACGTTCTACTGTCTGTCAGCAGGCCGACACGTACGAAAGGCAACTGCAGTTTCTGAGCGGGATATGCATGCTCCACGACAAGCTGACCAAAGGTCTGCCGCACACGATGTCGTCCTCCATCCTTGGAGACTTCGTAGAACTGATCGTTCGAGATATTGAACTTGTCGCGTGGTTGCGTATCGGTACGCATGCGTTTCCTGGGGCGGGCAACGTCTTGTACTGACCCGAAATGAGCGCGTATGTGAGGAATGACACGCGGGATACCATACCTGCCGGCCTTTCCTCAGCGGCTTCCTGCTCGTGCAACTCCAGCTGCGTGAAGTCTCTGAATGGTTCCCGTGGACCCCAGATGATGCTCTGTGTCCAACTGCCCTCCTCCAGCGCCTTGTTCAAGGGCGTGTTCAAGTCGTTCTGAGGGGCAGCGGCGAGCGGCGGTGCTTCCACATCTGGGTCCCACACGATCTGGTCCTCCCAATTGGCTATGTTCACCAAGAAGAAGGACCGCTGGTCCAATGCTGGTTGGGAGGCTTGATTGCCGGACTTCTCTCGCGCCTGCAGGCGGAGTAAGTCAACGGAGGACGACGAGAGGTGGCTATGCTGACTTGTAGGGCGCGCATGAGATCATGCTCAACGTCTCCAGACGCGACTACCTCCTGCACCCGCTTGCTCTCTACTTGGCGTTCGGTGTCTCCCACTATTGATTGTAGAAAATTCTTAGGGATCTCCTTCTTCTTGGGGTACACCGACTCGACTGAGGGGGATATGCGTGGGTCTATGGCCTCCCGTGTTGAAGCATCGCACTCACCGTTGAACGGCCGCTTCGATATTCGCGACTTGTGGACGGTGACACCCTTGAAGAGTTCCGTGAAGTCCAGCATCTTGTCTTTCTCAAACGTAGGAAACCGTTCGTAGACAGTCTTGGGACGCTCTACGAGCCTACGAATGACGCGTTTCCGCTTTTCCCGAGGACCCATGTGTACGGGGGATTGGATCTCCATCTTCACCTGTTCCTCCGGGTCCGAGTCTTCCTCCGCCAGTTCTCGGTCAACTTCATCCTCCCAGTCCTCTCCTTCACCAGGCCCAACAGCCTCTTCCTCCTCTCCGTCCCATCTGTCGTTGTATATCTGTTTGGCACTCAGAGCCGGTACACCAGAGATGCCTAGCTGGTTCGAGAGTCCTGGTCCAGTTGGCAGGTCAAGACCACTTAGCACATTGTTCAGAGAGAAGCCAGTAAGCGTTGCGATAACATCGTTCTCGTCCTAGCGCAAGATTAGTGCATACGCGCCACATGAGACGTCAGAACCGTTACCTGGCCGGCCATCTTGACGTTCCCGTAACTGTCGAAATATGGCGGCGTGCGCGAGAAGAAAGCAGGTAACAGCGAAATAGCACAGAGTCAGCAGTACGAAGCAAGCAGTCGCGGCAGAGAGTAGTGGATAGCGGTCGAGCACGACGCCAAAGTGGCCGTCCTCAGGATGCAGTTGGCGGGCAAGTGCAGCTGAGTCCTCGCGGGCCGCTTACAAAACACGTGGCTGGGTGATCGAGATCCATTGTTCATGGGCGCTTCTCCAGTCGTCACTTTCAACGCGCTTCGCGTCCACCCACGCGTCTTTCTTTCTCTCTCGACACCGCTTGCTGCAGTAGCCAAGTACTCCCACTCCTCCTCGCTACAACGCTCAGAAACATCGCCAGCACCGCCCATAAGCAAGCTTATACATGTCGTCGTCGAAGGTCACGCTAGACAAGAAGCTCAAGAGCGAGCTTGACGTGCGTGCATGCTACATTCACCCACGACGCGTATTGACCACAGGTTTTCGCGACGTCTTGCTTTCGACCTACAGACGTTCCGGGAGAAAGTTCATGTCGAGGGCGAGAAGGTGGTCTTTGAGAACTTCCCTCAGAAGGTGCGTAGTGGCGGGCAATGCATTGTACATATTTAACACGCAATCCGCCACCCGTAGATCTTGTGAGTAGCTTGTGACCGGTATACGCTCGCGCATGCGTTTACGGTGCATGTCCAGGGACTTGCAGAAGCTCATAGAGTCAACCCGCGAACCGACCTCGCCATTCCATCTCTCCAACGCGTCGCACCTCACGGACACTGCTATATACGTCCAGCCGTCCGCGCCCGCGCAGCCCGAAGCAAAGAAGCGTAAGCTTGGCTCTGGAGAGGCTGCTAACGGTGCCTCGAGCTTGGATGATGCTAGCCATGCCAAGCACCCAGGCAAGATGGTAGGGAACAAGCACACTGCAGCGCTGCACGAGCAGCTCAAACGGGAATGCGAAACCCTGGCTGAGTACTGCGTAAGTACTTTGACCGGACCCACCCTGTGCGCCCGTTTGACATCCGCGTACCCCAGGACAAAGTCAAGTTGTGGATCAACCTTTCGATGCCGAGGTGGGTGAGGGATTCTATCTTCAGCGAGTATCATGATTGACCATGTCTGCAGAATTGAAGAGTACGTTCAGGTCATCTATTGGCTAGCACCGTGTATCTGATGTTTTACCCACAGCGGAGACAACTTTGGTAAGTGATGTGTTACGGCTTAATGGGGCACGCTGTTAACCTTCTTTGCAGGTGTCCAGATCCAGGAAGGTACGCACCCATAACTTTGTTAACGCGACGCAACAATTCATTTTGCTGCGCAGATGTCTTGTCCGAGATACATCGCTCGCAGGAGAGCGCATACAACCTCCGCGATGCCGCGCGTCAAGACTACCTCACTCGTGCTAAGATCTGCTCGAAGATTTTGAAGTACCCGCACCTCGAGGATTACGCAGTATGCACATTCCGCATTTTTGGAATACCTAACCAAATTTTGATATTTTGAAATAGCACGCATTGAAAGAGCATGACGAGAAGCAATTGTACATCGCGCGCCAGAACCTGTATGACTTGCGCAGCATATACGCGATACTGACCGACATGTTGCACAAGAACATCGAGAAGGTGAGCTTCATTTCCGTCAAAACCGCGCGCACACATTCATCAGCACCTGGCCGATCAGATCCGCACCCCGAAGGGCAACAACTCCAGTGGGATGTACTGATTGATATGCACTCAACCCATGGATATTCCGGTCGTACCGAACCCATGGACAGTCACATGATCCAGGATTTCTCGCCCCGTATCGTTACACACGTTGTAGATTTGACTTATGCATTACCATCGGACTCCAGCATGTGTATGACTATAGCCCTTACTCTATATCCAAGCCTATATTGCATATGCGCTGAATGCTGGTCAAACCGTGTTACAACAGGTAAAGGTGCCGCTGATGCTACAATTACTATCCGCAGAAGCCAAGCCCCCGCCAGGTCGATCATACAGAGATCGTTTTGAAGACGTTGAAGCCGTCGAGCGCAGTGCTGACGACCGCGCCCGGTATTTGCGGGTGCCAGTGCACCTCCTTGACGTCCTTCTGGCCCTGGTGCACGAAGAGTAGCTGTGGGGGCACTTCGCGTCCGCCCGCAGGGGTTGCGTCCATACCGCCGGTCTCCTCGTCGTCCTGCTCGACTGCGAGGTCCCAGAGGGTGACCTGGTCGTCCGCGCCTGAAGCGGCGAAGATCGAGTCTTCCGTAGGGTGCCATTCGATGGAGGTGATGGGAGCGGTGTGCCAGTTGAACCCGGCGACCGGGGTGGGGTCTGGTGCGGCGGAGCTGTGTGTAATAATGAGCACAGGTGGCCAACCGCAGCGGCACGATGCGGCACTTACCCCTTCTTCTTGACATTCCGGAGGTCCCAGACTTTGATTCCTCCCTCGTCGCCGCCGCTCAGCAACAGGTACGTCGAAGCACGATTCCAGCTAATGACGTTTACGTCGGCATTATGCGCCTGGTCAATACCGGCGACGCTCTTGCGGCCCTTCGCGCGCACGTCCCAGATCTGCACGCTCTGGTCCGCCGAGCACGACGCGAACACGGTCGGTTCCGCGGGGCTCCACTGCAGGTCCTCCACGCTCGATGTATGCGACGTGAACGGCTGCGCGAGCGGGTTGAACCCCGTCGGCGTCGTCGTCGTGAGGAAAATCTTCGAATTGATGTCGCCCGTGAGCAGACGAAGTGCGGACGGGTTCGCGCCGCCCGAGGACGCCCAGTCCATGGCGAAACCTTCCGCGCGCCCGTGCGAGTTCACGGTGAAGGCAGGTGTGTGCGTGCGCGCCTTGTCGATCGTGTATCCGGGGACATCAAGTGCCTCGATGAGCGGGCGCACGTCCCAGACGTGGACTTTGCCCGTCTCGGACCAGGACGCGACGTAGTACGGCTGGGACACTGGGGGTAGTGGGGAGGATGTGGGGAGGGGTTGCGCACGGATGCGGTTGACGCCGCCGAGGTGGGGTATTGAGCGGTGCTCGAGTACGGGGTCTTCGTCGAGTGCGTCTTCGTCTTCTTCCTCGTCGTCCGAGTCTACAAGAATTCAGTACAAGGCTGAAGCCCAGCCTACGGAACGCTCACCATCCTCCTTCTGTGTCCGCTGCAATGAGCTCATCTTGTACACAGAGATCTCGTTGTTTTTCGCGACGTCCGCCTGGCTTCCCGCGACGAGGTACGCGGTAGCGGGGAAGCGCTGCCTCTGGTCTCCGAGGTTGTCTCTGAGGATATCGAACGAGAGACATGGCCAGTTTACGGTCATGTTATGGCGCATGAGGTATACGGAGTCGTCGGGCTCGAGGATCTCGTCCTTTGCTAGCTGATGGACACCCGGGATGTATGCTTCCGCTGCGGCGGGCTGCTCCTCGGACTCCTCGATCGGAGGCAGGACCTCGTCGTCCACATCCATATCCATGCCTTTGCTTTCGGTAAGCCTCGTTCAGAGTATATTGAATGGTATAGACGTACCGTCTTCGTCCTTTCCGGCCTCAGCATCTACCACTTCCTCATCGCTCTCGAGCTCATCCTCCCAAGCATCCTCAAATTCGCCCATCTCATCGTCTGCAGCAATTTCGCGCTGTTTTGACTCTCCCCTAGGAGTCTTGCGGGGCTCCGCTTGGCTTCCCGAAGAAGCATGGATTTCTGTGACCGATCGTTTAGACATGATGAAGCAGCAAGACGCGTAGATGGAGGTGCTAAACGGCCGGGAGCGGTGGAGGATCTATGGGCGCTTGCCCAATTTTTTGGAAGACGCCCGGCGGAACCACGTGCCGATCGAAATCCGAATTGAGCGGAGTCGCGTAGATGCTCTTGGACCTCCGCCGCAATCGTGCCGAAGAATTCTACGCGGTTGTTCTCAGCCGTGAGTATACGTGTATCGTTCGCTCGATGCTCGGTACGTTTGCCTGACATACGTACGTGCACTGTGGAGGCACCCTGACGAGGGAGACTGCTCGGGTGCCTCAGTCTGTGACGGGTGGCTGTGCGTCAATGTTGATTTTCTGGACGTCCACCGAGTTGGCGCGGTTTGCGATCTCCCACCACATCCATATCGCCCCCTTCCAATGCCGGACGCCCATCTCACACGTCGTTATCGTTTTTGTACACGGGTTCTCCGGTTGTCCGCATCAACCTCGAAGATACCTGTTCGTAAGACACGCGGCAAGTGTAGAGACTCCGAATCATACGGACTGTACGCCGATGGCATGCATGCCGCATGTACACGTAGGAGCCACCGCCAATCGTCGGGGATTTGTATGTCATCCCAAGCGATCCCGAGCACCGTAGGAAGCCGATTTGAGCGGAGATGGGTCGTGTAAAGTGCGGGGAGTGCAGTCGTGGGGAACGGGTGCCATGTCCGGATGCTGTCAATGCTCTAGAACGTTGCCGTACACGGTAGACGTCCATGGCAACGAGCAGGGCTCTCCCATAAAGGCGGTGGGGCGACCGTCCCCGTCCTCCTCTGTGCTCTCACGTGTCGGGCAACGTCAGCTTCAACCCATCGCCCGCCGCCCTGAACATCCGCTACGTACGTGTCATGATCGCGGCCCCGCCTGTGGCAATTCCGATATACTCTCGCCGTGCGCTGACGCAGCTCGCGGCCGCAGTTCTCCCAGCAATATAAAGCCCACGTTCCTGCTTCTCCTCCCACACCTCCTTTAACTCCTGCCCATCACCCATCCAACGCAATGTCTACCGCAATCACTGGTATCGCCCTCCCCAAGGAGTACGTTAGCCTGCCAGATATGGCTCCTGTTTCCTATCTAATCGCGTTTCTGCAGGTTTGCTTACCCCGCTGCGGCGGTGGTTTCTACCTTCTACCTGCTCCTCTGGCAGTCTATTCGTGTTGGTGGGGCCCGCAAACGCGCCGGAATCCAGTATCCTCAAGGTAAGCCAGTCCGTTTGTTTCTTGCATGACATAGAAAGCAAATCTTACCATTCGTCTCTAGTTTATGCCGAGAAGGCTGAGGTCGCAGAGAAGAAGGAGGCCCACGTCTTCAACTGCACGCAGCGTTAGTGACCCTTTACTGTATTCGTCACTTCCCCTTCTCACACACTTCCAGGCGCGCACCAAAATACCCTTGAGGCGATGCCTATTGTTGTCGGCTCGACCCTCATCGCCGGGTTGACGTACCCTGTGGCCGCTGCTGCGCTCTGCGGAACTTGGGTGTTCTCGCGCATTATCTACTCCATCGGGTACTCGACTGGCGACCCCAAGAAGGTCAGTTACAGTCATGTCGTCCCCTTTGAACGAATCAAATACTAACTCAATTACAGCGCAACCTTGCCGGCGCGGCTGTGATCGGCAGTCTTTCCGCCGTCTGTAAGTCATGTCGCTCATCCATGAAAGTGGTCCCATTTTTGACGATGCATCCCTGGTTTTTAGCTCTGATTGGGACCGCAACTGCTACCGTTGTTTCTCTCATCCGTTCCCTGTAATACGGGTAACGATACGCGTGCCTGGGTAATACTTACAACATGTGACGGCTGCGGCCAAGCCTAATATACTATTGCTAAGCGTCGAACTGAGAATTGGTGTCAGAGCGAGCTTGAGTGAGTGACCAGTACTTGGTACTGTACAGGCGTTCAAGCGCCCGCCAATTATGGCGGCGCTTATTTCGTGCCGTAAAGCCAGTTCCAGGAACTGGTATCATCGTCCACCCCAGTTACTCTAGCCACCTCTCCTCGCTTTCCAACCCATTGCTCTTCTCTCCATGCACACTCACCGAACTGCACCTGATCAACCACTCAGTCGCTCTGTTTGAACCAAACATGCCTCACCACCCCAAGCACGGGCCTATGTCCATCACTACCCGACCCTCTCTGCCTACATCTACATCTGACTTCGCCCTGCCCTCCTCGCCATCGACGTCTCTCCCAACGACCTCCTCGGATGACTTGAGCCCTTTCATGTTGCGGCTGCGCCGCCCGAGCCTCCTTGGACCCCGCCCCGGAGGACTGTCCCTATCTGCGGAAGCCCGCCTCCACAGCCCTCTCGTAACCTCCTTCACGCGCCGCCATAGCTCAAACGGGACCGGAGATGATTCTGAGAGCGATCGGGACAAGATGTCAACAGACAGCGACTCCGGGAACGCCACGCCCCTCCTGCCTGGGCCGTCCATAGACTCCGAAAGCGACACGAGCATGAAGACGAACCGGCCACGGACTCCCCCGCGCCTCGCCTCCGCCTCGAGTTCGAGCTCGGGCATCGACGAGCAGATGTCCGGCATGCGCCTGCCCCCGCGCAGATTGTCGAAAGCCGTGCGTCCCACCCTTCCTCGTTCCGTCCTTCTCCATTATGCGGCGATTCACACGCCGGCTGTGTCTGCAGACGAAGATGCCGCATATTCAGCGGCTGGTCGCGGAATCGCACACACAGGAGAACGAGGTGCAGTCGGAGGCCCAGTTTCAGCGTATGCTTGCGTCGTTCAGCATGCATCCGCGCACGCCGCGCGCGCCGTCTGACCGCGGCCGCTACCCTGAAGACGCTGCCGAGGATGAAACACAAAGAGAGTCGACGCCGAGCGACGATGAGGAGCTGGACGAGTCGGTACCATTCGCATACACCGACTCTGCTGCGGCCACGAAGCCCGTAACGCCTGCACAGAGCATCTGTGGGGACGACCCCTCGATGCTGGAGAGCCCTATTGGGTTCGCAATGGACGTAGACATGGTATGTGGCCATAGACTATATGCGTCGTAAATGTGCTGACAATGCGTGAAACAGCCGTCTTCGTCTGTTGGTTCTCCCAGCATCTCCTCCTGGAGATACACTCCCCCGCCCACATCTACCAGCGCTGTGCGCAACAAGAGGAAACGTATGTCCAGTTAGTGGAGCTCACTCCCATCTGTCCTGGCCAAGCACTAACCACGTTTCTAGTCGACGACCGCTATGATCCCTATCCAACCGCAGCCAAACGGCGAGCGGTCTCGCCCTCAGTAAATCACCTCCGCATGGCCAACGGTGCGCCTCGCCTCAGCATGCCCATACCCATACCCATCCCCAACGGCATCCACTCCGGTGCCTCCTCGCCCGTGGTGCAGGGCTCCAGCTCGTACTTCAGCACCCGCCAGAGCTTTGGCTCTGCGAGCGCGATGTCGAGCCCTACGTTGCGCGCCCAGATCGGTCTGTCCAGCCCCGTGCTGCGGCCCATGACCCGCGCCCGCCGCGATGGCGAGCGCGAGGTCGACGGCGCCGAGGAAGGCGTGAACGGACTGAGCATCGGATGACCCTTCTTCTGTCGCTGTCGTTGTCTCCTGCTACGTGTCTCCCGCGGTCTATCGTACTGTACGATTCCTTTGCCTGTTTATCGTGTCACATATCTCCGCCCCGTCGTCGTCTCTGTCCATCCCATCCCCTCGCTATGTATGTAGGATGCCGCATTGTAAGCATATCCACTAGAATGATCCGTCACTGTACATTGTTCATTGCTGCATCCGTATCTCACAGGCCCATAGCTAGAGTACCGTGTACACTAGGTATCTTACCGCCTCTCCGTGAATGACATCTCATGACTATTCCCTACATCTAACTCCCCCGGTATGTGGTGTACGAGAAGGGGCTTATGAGGAGCGGTATGTGGTAGTGCTCGGTTGGGTTGCCAACTTCGAAGGTGATCTGCGCGGCGCAGCTTAGAAAACGTTGCAGGTGACGTACAAGACATGAACAGGAGGATACCTCGACCCAGGGATAGAAGCACCTGCGGCCGGTGCTCTCGAAGTAGTCCTTCGTCTTGAAAACCACCTTGTAGAACTGTCCGGCCTGCAGCTTGATAAGATCCTCACGCTTCTGCCCCGGCGCAGCCTCGGGGTAAAGCTGCATACAGCGACCGTCATAGTCGGTCACGCTATATGCGTCCCTCTCAGCTCCTGATATGGCCTGTCAAATTTCAATGCCTCACCCTTCGGCAAGAGTAGTGAAGGTCGGCGCGACCCCGTCCGCGGAGTTGAGCTGCTGCAGTTGCACCGGAACCCCAGCTGCAGGTTTGCCGATCGAAGAGTCCAGCACTGTAGACGTATCACGTCGGTTCATGACACTCTCAACATTTCCGGAAAGCACGCACCGTGGCAAGTGACTGGCGATTTCGACATGATGGTACGCGCGATAGACTCGGATGCAAGAAGCTCGAGCTCGCTGCCCGACGCGTCTCCCCGCGTCCGCGCGATGATCTACGCGAGCATGCCACAGTCGGCCCGCCAGGCCCGGAGCGCGTCCGGGGCAGCTGCGGGTAGCCGCTGCTACAGCGCTTCGCGCGGTCGCGCAGGGTACACAGCAACTCTAACTCTACGCCCACCCACTCCCATCCGCCGCATGGCCCCCCAGGCGTACGACGACGACGACGCCCCGCACGCCGCGACTACTGGACTGCGCATCTCGGCGGGCTTCACGCTCGACGACGCGTTCTCGGACAATGATGACATCGACGTGCCGGAGTTCAGCCCCGCCGCGGTCCGCAAGGAGTTCGCGGAGAGGATGAACGGCGCGGCGGACGGCTGGGAGGTCGGCGATGGCGGCATAGATGAGCTCGTCGCGAAGATTGGGCTGTCGGTCGACCCGGACGCGTCGGTGTCCACCTTTGACATCGATGCCGAGCAGGATACCCCGCCGGCCTCGCACTCGCCGTCTCCCCGAGTGTTCCCGTCGCGCATACAGTCGACATCCTCTTCGCACCAGGATTCTTTGTATGACGTGCCGCTTTCCTCTGAATTCTCGCAGGTCTCGCTGTCGGACAATCGGTCGCCGTCCCCGCCGCAACACGATGAGCCGGAGGAGATCGTGTCTGACTACCCCGCCGTCCAGATAGATCTCTCCGCGCAAGAGGCCGTCACCAAGCAAACACATCCCGAGCGTACTTCGGTCGACTCGGCGCTTTCTGAACAAGAGTCCTCCGATGGCGCGCATCCCATGCAACATCCACAGTACGCTGCTTCGCTTGACAACTTCCGCCCCAAGAGCCCGCCTCCGCCACTAAACGTCCCACTATCCAATACCGGGGCCTCTTCCACCTCTGCCCTGCCGCTGCCCTCATCATCTTCCCTCCCAACGCCCACAACCCCGAAGTTCTCTGATCCCCCACCACCAGCTTCGCGCCACAGGCTTACGCGCTCGGTCGGACCGAGCATGCTTGATAAAGTCATCAGCAAGACGCGTCCTACATACCTCCCACCGAAGCCGCGCGCCGAAGACAGAAAACATCAGCATGACTGGGAAGAGATGATGAAACGTAGTCGCGCAGCGGGTCAGTCCATTCCTTGCAATGGCATCCTCGCCTACCCAATGAACATTCGTTGACGTAGTCTGTGCAACATGACCCATCATCCTCGCAATGTCAACCGCATACATCCTGGAATTGTCTGCGAATAGAGGAGAGGAGGCGCAAAACGCTGCAAGACCGACGTCTCGCGCGCGAACAGCGCATAGAGATGTCGATCAGTATATGGGAGCGCGAGATCGTTCCGGACTGGACAGTCGTTCACCGAGATCCAAACCTACGGCGATTGTGGTGGCAAGGGATACCGACCAAGCTTCGCGCGCCGATGTGGCAGGCCGCCGCGGGTAACGCGCTTGCTCTCAGCAAAGGTGCGTCAGTCGTTTATGCATGTTGGGCAGAAAGCTTAAATGCTGGAATGCAGACGCGTACAAGACGTGTGCGTCAAGAGCGAAAAGGGCCCTGGCGTCTGGCTCGTTTCCAACGACAGTGCTGGGTTTGCTGGAGGACGACATTCGGACCACACTACCCGCTATATCTCTATTCGCACCCGAGAAGGGTCCGTTGTATCAAGATCTACGAGACATGCTGTGTGCATGGGTTGTAGCGCGCTCTGATGAGGGCCTGGGCTATGTAGTCGGCGTAGCCAAGATCGCAGCGATGATTCTACTCAACATGCCTCCCTCACAAGGCTTTGTCGTTCTGCGGAACGTGCTTGAGCGACACTGTTTGAGGTCATTTTACGGCGGAATGGCCTCGAAGGATGATGTGAGCGATTTTGTTTTCGAATGCATCTACCGCGAGCTAATTTGGAAGGGAATTAGGTAGAAGCATACTACAGGTATGCATCTTGTTCGCCCGCATATACCGACGCCATTTGACACTGGTCAGGATATTTGACACCCTCTTGGCCGATGGGATGCCCAAAAGTGCGTCCCGCAACGAACAGTGAGGTTGACATGCTGAGCTTACTGAATGGCTGGCTAGTCTACTTCAACTTCAAGCAGCATCAAGTGTCGCCCGCAGCGTACCTGCCGGATTGGCTCGTCCCTCTATTCCTAGACCACCTGCCCTTCGAAGCGTGCGCGCGAGTGTGGGACGTCATCATGCTAGAAGGCGATGCCTTCCTCTACCGTGCGGCACTGGCCATCTTGGGTGTCTTGGAGCCACGGCTATTCTTCCCAGACAAAACGGAGCTGCTTGAGCTACTACGGTGCGTCCAGTTCACTACACATGCGTCAGATAATCGCTGAGAGGCCGTCGTCAGGGGTGAAAACAAAGCTGCGTTGGAGGTCGCGAAGCGAGATGGCCGGCTGCTCAACAACGGCAAGTACGAGATCTACGGCGTAGACGAGGAGAATCTCTGGGAGCGCATCGACAGCATGGACGAGTGGTGGCGCGAGAGCACTTGGAAGAGATTGATAGAACGGGAACTGCCGGACTTGTAGCACTATTGGGGAGTATGTACGCTTTTGCGTGTTGGTGAGGCAATGACCGCTGCGGTACGTCCGCACCTTTGTCGACGTTCGTGACGGATGCTAGCTGGAGTCTGGACCAGGCTTTGTCCCAAAGACGGATTCTTGCACTTCCGTTTCATCCCGAGAATGGCTGGATGTCAGGATGGGCTGGAACAGTGTCGAACGACTCACTAGTACTTGTCTGACTGCATGGTCTTTGCGAGTCTGGTCCCCGGCCTCGTCCTACGGTCCGGGCCGAACTCAAGGACCCGACGCTGTACACAATCAAGCGCCTCCCACTGGTGCATCTCAGTCCTCGGAAACGTGCGGTCAATTAACCCGGTGCGTCATATCAGCATCCGAGCCCTCTCACGACGGACAAAGCGATAAATCGCATCCCGGGAAAATCCCGCGAAATCCAAACTGTCCCTGGAAAACGACGGGAAAGGATACCTGCTCTGGGCGCTTAGGTCACGTTCCAGGGAAAGGAAAGACTTCGCGGGATTTTCCTACCAATTTCCCGCCTTGCGAGATACCGCTTTGCCCGCCGTGTCTGGGCCTGACCGACTCGTCCAGGCCCCGATAGCGACGGCGGGAGGCGGCAAAAGTCGCACGGCGTTGTTTGAGCTTGTGGGCGGCGGTGCCGGGTTCCAGGCGAGCCCAATTCGGCCAGAACGCCTATGGGCCGCACGTGACCGCGACTGGGCCATTCCATCTGTCCGCTTGCGGCCGTCCAGACTCTGCGGTGCGCGCAGCGCCTTGCCTTTGGCAGGCAGCCACAGGGTCACGCTATGCCGCGCGAGCGGGTCCATCGCGGGCTGGTCTGTGCGAGACGGGGCGATGTGTTCCGAGTTTTGTCGAACGCAGGGTGCAGTAGGAACGCGCAGGGGTCGGTGGTGCGATGCAGAGGGACGGCTGGTATATAAGGTGGGGGTATCTGGCCTGCTCTCCATCCACCCAGATCATCCCAACTCAGCTACTCGGTCTTCCAACACCTCCACTCCTCACACACACCCCACTCTTCCACAACAACCCCCTCTCACCACCACCACACCACTCCAATGGCTCTTCCCTTCCTCGTCATCTCCCGTGCTCCGGTAAGCATCTTCTTAGCTTCCTATGCGGTATACCGAGTCTAATGCGCTTCGCACAGTCACTGGCCCTCTTCGGCACGCTCGAAGCCGGCCTCGGCTACTTCGTCTACTCGCAGTGGAAGAAGCCCAGGTTAGTCCCCCTCCCCTCCCGCGCCGACGCAACGGTCGCTGACCGTGCGTCCGCAGCATGATCACCGGCCCCTTGCCCACTGCCATCCCCAAGGGCTACATCGGCAAGGCCAGGTTTCAGCCGCACGAGGCGCCCCAGTCCATCCACATCGCGCACTCGCTCCGCCACTAGGCTGCCGCTGCCGCAAGTGCTCGCCCCGACCAGCGACTTCTCCAATATGATACCCGCCCTTAATGACAGCCTCATCTGGGACTGACGCCACGCCCCACTACACCTACCACCACCACCACCCACCACCATACACACGGGGTGCCGGAGATGGGGAGCGGCGGGGTTCTCGGCTCGGCTCGGACTAGCGCATATTCGCACTCGAATCTTTCTCGGTCTTGTTGTACAAAGCAAAGTACCTGTATCATATCATTATTTTTCGCGCTCAACAGAGCTAGCTACCATCCACACTGCGTGCTTCCGACCCGGAGTCCTCGTCGTCCTCCATGTGCTCCTTCCAGAGCGCGTACAGTTTCCGCCGGTTCGCGTCGCGCGTCTCGGGCTCGCTCGCGGTCTCGAACATGCGCTTAAGCAGCGCCTTCTTCAGCGCCGAGCTGCTCAGCGCGCCCTCCGACTTCGGTTGTGTCGAACAGGCGTTGGAGACGAGGTTGGGGTACGTCGGGGTGGAGAGCCGCGGCCGTTTGCTGCTGCGCGGCTCGTCGGAGTCGGACGAGGTGCCGAGCGCGGTGTAGAGCGGGTCGAGGAGCGCGGACTGCATGCGCTGGTAGGTGGTGTTTGTTGGGGTGCGTGCGGCGAGGGTGATGAACGGCTCGAGAAGGGTGGTGAGGGGCGCGGGCGGCGGTGAGGGTGCGGGAGGGTTTGCGAGCGCCTTGTCGAGTTCTTCGAGGTAGATGTCGGCAAGGTGGTATGCGAGACTTGTGGGAACTCGGATGTCTTCCGGGCTGGCATCGAAGAGGTGAGGAGGACGAGCCGATAGAGAGGCTCCGCAAAGGGCTTACCATAGCGGTCCTCCACGGTCAGTCAAAATGGAGTTGTACTCTTTACATGTCTCTTCGTCCCACTCGGCGCGCATGAGTAGCCTGAACGAGGCATTGGAGAATCGGCGGACAAGCATGTAGTACTTGTCAATTCTGCGCACAATTCCAAAGCTCAGGATTGCCGCTCATACCAAGGATATATAACCCCATAAGTGCTCACCGTAGCCGATCGATGTTGTTCCACTCTCGCACGGTCGTCTCCCAAAAACCACGCAAGAAGTCGAGCGATACAGAGAGGTTTGTGATCGTGAGGAGGATTTCGGCAATCTCTGTTGCAAGTGCTTGCTGAACTAGTGGCTTGTCTGACATCCAGAAGCCTTTCCATGGTATAGATGTGAGGGTGCGACCAGGAAGTATCGTATGCGGTGCACGCACAGTAGAAGATGCCCTTCCATAGCTTCGTCATCTCCGCCTTCGGCAATGCATCACGGGAGGGGTCAGAGAGGAAAGCAGCGAGGTTTTTGATCGCCTTATCTCTCGTCTTTTTGTCTTGGTGTTTGCGTCAGACGACTCCAGGACTGCATGCACCGAACATATGTGCGTACCTGTCGACGCAAGGTATTTCCCCAAAGGGAGGCTGCTATTTGAAGCAGCTTCCGAAGCCATGTTATCCTTTTGTTATGACGTTGCAAGTCAAGCGATGTGTAGCAAGCAAATGAGAGCCCCGGGAGACGAGCGAGCGGAGAGTGGCGGGGAACGAGCCGGGGCAAGTGATGGACGAAAGTGAAGCAGCGCGAAAGTTTCTCCGCCTTTTTCGGACGCGTCGAGCTCGATCACAGACGCGTCGCGCGCGGAGGCGCCCACACATCCCTCCTTCTCCCTTGACCCCTCCGCCCTGAAGCCTGAAGCCGCAGTATACCCTTCCTCACTCAAACGGTACCTATTTGCGATGATTGCGGAAGTACTGCTCGTGCTCGCCGGCCACTCGTCTTCGCTCTTCCCCACCGACCACACCGTTCACCCCGCATTCGCGCCGCTCCTCCACCCCGGCGAAGAGCAATGTCTAGAATCTCTCGCGCAGATCGCCCTGCGCTACCGCAAAGTTAAACATGCGTGCAACGCGCTCGCTAAGCCATCATCGCGATACCTCTCCGCCCTCTGCGCGACCCTCAACCAGATCCTCAAGGAAGGCTACGAAGTGCTCGTGGTCGAAACTGAGGCGAAGGTCCTGCAGCGCGACAGCAGCCTCGTCGCGTCCGGCTCCTTTGTACCCCTATCATCTTTGCGCGCTATCTTCGCGGAATGGGACGCGCCTCTGGCCTCGCTGGAAACTCTTGTGGACGAACTGCAGGCTCAAGAGCAGTGGCCCCCTGGCCCCCTCATTGACCTGCTCTTGACTCGGTCTCAAACTGGTATCCACCGCGTCTCCGCTATATATACCCGCCTCTCTGAAGCAGTACAGCGCGTTTGGATTGCCCAACTTCAAGCGCTCCTCATCCACGGTACGCTTTCACCGAGCGAACCTCTCGCGGACAAGAAGTTCGTCCTGCTTGAAGGTGCTGTTCCTGCCTGTATATCCGCTCAGTCTCGGGACTCTATCACCTACGTTGGACGCGCCATCGGTACTGTCAAATCTGCGAAATGGGAGAAGCAGTTTCCGCAGGATCTAGCACGGGAGCATACCAAGCTACTCAGCACAGTCCTTCCTCACGACCAATATGCCTTCGATCGTGTCATTACAGATATTCGGACTGCGGTTAGTGAATGGCTATGGCTCAATGTGCTCACATACAAAGACGTCAATGAGGCAGTTGAATCATTGTGAGTCCCTCCCCTTCCACTCTATACTGTGCTAATCATTCCACAGAGCCAACTACTTCTTGCTGAGGAATGGCGAATTCGCTCTATCGCTCATCCGCGAGATAGAGCGGTTGAAGCTCTCCAGGCTCACCGCCCGCGCAGTCCCGAGCACGATGATCCGCGAGCAGGACCTCCACCTCGCTCTCCTCCGTGCATCATTGGGTACCACAGCCCAACAGGACCCATCCCTCGCTCATCTACATTTCCGCATGCCTGCAGGACCTATTCGACCCCTCCTGCCCTCCCTTGCCGGCGCCGCCGCCAAGGACCTTTCGACATCACTCTCCCAACCTGCTGAGGCCACCTCGTTCGATGACCTGCTACTCGGAACGCCCCTGATCCTCACATATAGCGTCACTTGGCCGCTCGACCTGTTCCTGCACGCCTCTGACCTGCAGACATACGCGGTGCTGTTTTCCTACGTTTCCGCGCTGCGCAAGACCCACACACGCATTCACGCGTGTTGGACCGCACTCTCGAACGCGCAGCGTGCGCGCCGGCGATGGACAGGGCTTGGGGAGGGCGGCACGGCCGAAGACCTTGAAGCCCGCAAGGAGCTATTGAGATGTGGGTGGGGCGTCGTGCGGGAGATGAACTGGTTCTTGGACACGCTGCTCGGCTATGTCATGACGGACGTAGTGGACGTAGAGTTCCGCCGGATGAAGGCTCTCCTCCTCGGTCGTCCAGCAGGGGGCATCGGTCGACAGATGACGGGGTCGAGCGGAGCTACGGATGGCGCGGGTACCATGCCACAAGGGGTTTCCTCGAAGTCTGTGTCGAGCATGCCCCCCTCTCAAAGTACGGCCTCAAATCTTGCGGCGTCCGCTGCGCTGCCGCTGGACTTCACGACATTACGGAGCATCCACACGACATACCTGGAGCGGCTGCTTACTGGGAGCCTGCTCTCGAACCCGGCCTTAACGAACATCATCCGCATGATCCTGGAGGTCTGCGAGCGGTTCGCGGCCCAGGTGGAGAGATGGGGTGGGGACGTATTGCCCGCGCTACTCTTCGAGGGTTCGCTCGCCGCGGGCGCACAGAAAGTCGGCGAAGCGGTAGCCGAGCGGAATGCAACCGTCGGTGAGATCGACGAGGTACGTCCCCCCCCTACCTCCTGCACTCACTAGCTCCCCCACTAACATCGCCCACGTTCAGACGCTCCAAACGCTCCTCGACGCGTTCTACGAACAGCTCTCGCTCTCAACCACGCTACAGCCGTTCGCGGCGACGGCGGACGCGACGAAGTCCGCGCTGCTGCACAACACGAGCATGGCGAACACGACCGGGTTCCACACGTTCGTGCGCGCGCGCCGCGGGCGGCGCCTCGAGGGCGACGAGGAGGTGCGCCGGCATGTCGAGCGGCTGCTGCTCCGGCTCGACTTCAACGGGCAGTTCTCGCACCCGAGGAGGAAGCGCAGGGCGGGCGTGCGGGCTGCGGAGAGCGAGGATATCCTCAAGCAGGGCGGGTTGGCGTAGGCGCAGAAAGGTCTGGGCAGCCGTGGAAGACAGAACCTCTCTTGGGTGCAGAGGAACGAACATCATTTCGCCGAGCGACGGTCGTCTAGGCGTCCAAGATTTTGTCAACCCCCTCGCTCACACCACAAGACGAGTCAAGGTGACTCGATGGCAAGGGAGCAAACGGTCTCGTGCTAGAGGAGGCCGGGCCAGGAGCTTCGAAATCGTTCACCTCGGCCCGAACCTGGTGGTACGAACGCCTCAAAGACGGCCTTCGTGCAACCTCCTAGAAAAGGCTACAACTTCACAGAGGGAATCGCGGAGCCTCTACGCTGCTACAGCGTGAATAGGAACGGGCGGTAGTAGCACTTAGGTCGCGCGCTTGGCGCTCCAGTAACTAGAACGGGCGCTCTCCGCACCTCCGTCGATGACAGCCTATGGTAGCACGGCCCTTCGAAACAAATCCTTGCAAATTCACCTGAGCACCGTTACTTTGGGTTGGGCCGCCGAGGAAGAACCGGCTTAGAAAGGGGAGGGGCCCGGCCAAATATAGCAAATATAAGCAGCTAAGGGAAAAGGTAGAGTCACGTGGTTTAGCTCCATGACTCAATTCGAGTTTTTGGAGTTCTTGAAAAGCCGGACGTGCCGCTCTGCTTCCTCTACTTTCCAAACTTTTCACCGCCCACCCTCGTCTCCGTCTACCTCGCCGTCCTCGCCATCTACACCCGCCCTACACTCCTCTCACACTCGAAAAACTACAGCCAACATGTGCCCCTGTGAGAACGGCGTCGCGCCGCCCCCTGCCGACAACTCCGAGATGGTCCAGGTGCCTCTGAACGGCTCTGCCGCACACTCTGTGCCCACAAACGGCGTGAACGGCCACACTAACGGCCACACGAACGGCGCCGCGAACGGCTCAGCACCGCAAGCACGCCCCGTGAACCCCTATGCGCCGCGGGCGTCCGACTTCCTGAGCAACGTCTCAAATTTCTCGATTATCGAGAGCACGCTCCGCGGTACGTCCCGCGCACAGTCATTCGACGAGAAAAACTGCGCAGATACTGACGGGGATGCGTGCGATCAGAGGGCGAGCAGTTCGCGAATGCGTTCTTCGACACGAAGACCAAGATCGCGATCGCCAAGGCGCTCGACGCGTTCGGCGTCGAGTACATCGAGCTCACGAGCCCCGCGGCGTCTGAGCAGTCAAGGCGGGGTACGTGCGAATTTGGCTGATCCCGCTCCTACGCGAGGGCGCTAACCAATGGGGCGTCATAGATTGCGAGGAGATCTGCAAGCTCGGGCTCAAGGCGAAGATCCTCACGCACATCCGGTGTCATATGGACGATGCGCGGATAGCTGTCGAGACCGGCGTCGACGGCGTCGACGTGGTCATCGGCACGTCGTCGTTCCTCCGCGAGTTCTCGCACGGGAAGGATATGGCGTACATCACCAAGACCGCCATCGAGGTCATCAACTACGTTAAGAGCAAGGGTGAGTCGATCTACGCGAAATTCACTTCTTACAGCCGCTCATGACTGTGTATAGGCATCGAGGTCCGATTCTCCTCAGAAGACTCCTTCCGGTCCGACCTTGTCGACCTTCTCTCCATCTACCAAACGGTCGACCGCATTGGTGTCAACCGTGTCGGTATTGCGGACACCGTCGGCTGCGCAAACCCCCGTCAGGTCTACGACCTCGTCCGCACCCTTCGCGGAGTTGTTTCGTGCGACATCGAGGTCCACCTGCACAACGACACCGGTATGGCGATCGCGAACGCGTACTGCGCACTCGAGGCCGGTGCAACGCACATCGACACGTCCGTGCTCGGTATCGGCGAGCGTGTCGGCATCACACCCCTCGGTGGCCTCGTCGCGTGCCTGTACGCAGCGAACCCCGAGTACGTGAAGGCCAAGTACAACCTGCCGATGCTTCGCGAGATTGAGAACCTGGTCGCGGAGGCGGTCGAGGTGAACGTGCCGTTCATGAACCCCATCACGGGCTACTGCGCGTTCACGCACAAGGCGGGCATCCACGCCAAGGCGATCCTGAATAACCCGTCGACGTACGAGATCCTGAAGCCCGAGGACTTCGGCCTTACGCGCTACGTCTCGATCGGCCACAGGCTGACGGGCTGGAACGCGGTCAAGAGCCGTGTCGAGCAGCTCGGGCTTACGCTCACTGACGAGGAGGTATGTTATGCCCGCGTCTCATGTTTTGTGGCATGGAGCTGACAGCTGGTGTTAGGTTAAGGACGTCACCGCCAAGATCAAGGAGCTCGCGGATGTGCGCACGCAGTCGATGGACGACGTGGACACGCTCCTGCGCGTGTACCACTCCGGGATCCAGTCCGGAGAGCTCGCGGTCGGCCAGAAGGAGGCTCTCGACCGCCTCCTCATCAAGCACCGTGAGGGCTCCGTCACCCGCTCCAGCTCCCCCTCACCCACCCGCGCGTAAGCGGCCTCGCGCACACTACGTGTACAAAAGGGCCCGGGATGGGTCACGGATTTGTCGTGCTCTACGTTGGTTGCTTCAGCATAATGCCTGCCCCCTTTCACGCCCCTTGTAATACCGCACCCCCGAGCCGCGCGGCGCACGTTCGCCGGCGGCGCCCCCGCTCCCTTTATTTTCCACGCTCTCGAGACTGTTGACGAAGGAACCTTGTACGAGTGGACGCAGTAAAAGCAGCGTGAGGCTGCCCCGCAATGAAAGGGAAATTGTACATATTGCGTGCTCTGCGAGTGGCCGGTGCGCTTCGTGCATCTGACCGGTTGACAAAGTGTGTGGTACGAGTGACGGCCGCTGCGTGCGATGGGGGAAATGGGACGGACTGGATAGGCGGGGGAGATAATCTAGGCGATGGCGATTGCGATAGTGATCTTTAGGCGGCAAAGCTGTCTAAGACTACAGCCCGCTCCGCATTCTATAGCGATATTCGATATGCTGAGGGCGGCCTTCCTTTGCGGTTATAAGTCCCATATCCGGCCGTGCATGTCTGCCATCGCCCTTCGCCGGCTTGCCCTCCACACCCGCACCCTCTCTTCATCGGCCTCCATCATGGCTGCCCGTGAGTGCTGCTCTGTTTGCTGGCCGCTGCGACGTGCTCACCATGCCCGCAGAGTACTCCACCCGCCTCATCGGCGCCCCTAACACGCTCGGTGAGTAGCCTTCCACGGCGCAGGGGCATTTGCATCGACGACCCCCGCCCTCGCCCCCACCCACCCCGTACGCTAACGTGGGCCTGCACAGAGCACCGTGTGTTCATCGAGCAGAACGGCGCCGTCGTCTCGCCCTTCCACGACATCCCCCTCTTCGCGGACCAGAACAACGGGATCCTGAACATGGTCGTCGAGGTCCCGCGCTGGACGAACGCGAAGATGGAGATCTCCAAGGAGGAGGCGTTCAACCCGATCAAGCAGGACATCAAGAAGGGCCGTCTGCGCTACGTCCGCAACTGCTTCCCCCACCACGGCTACATCTGGAACTACGGCGCGTTCCCCCAGGTGCGTGCCCCTCTTCGCCCCGCATAGCCCACGAGTCATGTCGTGGGGTTGGTGCGGTTCGCGCAGCATGTGCTCATACCACATTTCGTCCGGCAGACCTGGGAGGACCCGCAGCAGATGCACCCGGAGACGAAGGCGAAGGGCGACAACGACCCGCTCGACGTGTGCGAGATCGGCGAGCAGGTCGGGTACGTCGGCCAGGTCAAGCAGGTCAAGGTGCTCGGCATCATGGCGCTCCTCGACGAGGGCGAGACGGACTGGAAGGTGATCGTCATCGACGTCCGCGACCCGCTCGCGTCGCGCATGAACGACATCGAGGACGTCGAGCGCCAGCTTCCCGGCCTCATCCGCGCGACCAACGAGTGGTTCCGGTGCGTCCATTCTTTTTGCTCGTGGGTCGTGTGCGGACCGGTCTGATGGCTTTTTTGTGGCGGGCAGCATCTACAAGATCCCCGATGGGAAGCCCGAGAACAACTTTGCGTTCTCCGGTGAGGCGAAGAACAAGAAGTACGCGACCGAGATCATCCACGAGTGCCACGAAGCCTGGCGCCGTCTCATCTCGGGCGAGAGCCCCGCAAAGACTGCATCCTACGACCTCTCCATGTACGTTTACTACACCCACGAGTTTTTAAGCACAGCTACTGACACGTTCCTCGTAGCCGCAACGTCTCCGTCCAAAACTCGCCCGGCTACACGCGCAAGGACGACCCCGCCTACGCCAGCCTGCCCGCTGACTCGCGCAAGCCCCCCGGCCCGGTTGACCCTTCGAGTGCGTGCATATCACATTCCGCGATTAAAGCCCCCTCTGACCCCACGCAATTTTGCACCTTCCAGTCTCGAAGTGGTTCTACATCGCGTCAGCCCAGGTATAGACCTTTCTGTAGTCACGTCGCGTTGTGTAGTCGTCAGAAGAAGTAACAAAGATGCTGTTTCCCACTCAGCCCGACGACCTCGTCCGCTCGCGCATATAGCGGGATGCGGTCGCTTTCATCCTGCCATGATGCAGAAAGGCACGGGGCCTGTTTATCAATTATGTACGTGCTACAGAGTATGGAGGGGGAACCGGTCGTGATGGAAAGCGAAAACATGGAGAACATGGTAGACGTTTTGGGACTCGTGGAAGTCATCATCTCGACTTTTCTTGCGTGTCTTGGGTAGGGGGGTACCTGCAATACCTATCCGAAATAGACGTAATAGTCCAGGTTCCTGATAGAATATATGAACGTTTAGACACGATTCACGATTGAGCACACAAGAAGCAAACACACCTTGGAGCGCAGAGAAGATCGAGTACTCCTTGGTCGTCACGCCCGACACAGTGTGCGTCTCGAGCACGCGGCCCTGCACGCCCTTGCGCGGGCTGAGCTCCGCGCGCTGGTACGTGAACGTGAACGGCGGCTCGCCGACGAGCGTGAACACGATCTCCGCCTGGTCGCCCTCGTGGATGTCCTGCACGATCCGCTTCCCGTGCCCGACCTGCGCGGCCGGCAGCGCGTGCACCGCGTACCGCAGGTCCGGCACCGCCGTCTTGCACATCTTCTGCTGGTGCGCGACGCTCGTGATCGCGAGCTCGCCCGCCTGCGCCGCGCCGACGGACCACGGCGAGATCTTGGCCTCTTGGGTGTGCAGCTTGCCGTTGATGCGGTATCTGCGAATGTCTGTGGTTAGCGGCTGTATATGCGGCTCCAAGGGCGAGAAAAGCACGTACCCAATCGTCCATGGGGGCGTGCCCTCGAGCTGGAAGGGGATGACGTCTCCGACGCAGTAGTCCTCGCGCCTGCTGAACGGAATGATAGCCGCTGTCTCCGCGACGTCGACCCAGATGCCCCTGTAAAGCGGGTCTGGCGCAACCTGCTCGCAGCGGCTGGCATCCTGCACTGACTCAATCGTGACCTGGTGCGGCCCGATCGAGCGGAAGGTGTAGTGCGGGAGGTGCAGGCGCCACGTCGTGTCGTGCAGCTCGATTGTCTCCGTGTACACCTCGCTCGCAGCAAGGTTGCGCACGGAGACGGTCAACTGGAATGGCGGCGTGCCCTCAAGCACGACGAGCCCGTCCGCGCCCGCAGTGTCGTGCGCGGTGAGGATGTCGTTCAAGCAATACGACATGCGATTGTGGTTCTTGAAGCGCACGGACGGGCGCATGAGCACCTGCTGCTCAAAGAGGAGGCGTTCGGAGCGCGGGATGATCGCGTCCTTGTTCTTCGCAAGCGGGTAGGCGGCGTCCCCGATCTGCTTGACCTCGTAGTAGACGCGTCCGGGCTCGGACGTGCGGAGCTGGAAGCGAGTGCGGGGTTGGATGCTGCTGAACGTCGGCTGGTCGAGGAGCTTCGTCGCGCCGAAGCCGTCGTCCTTCGCGATGTTGTACATGATCTGGAAAGGAGGCCGGCCTATCACGCGTGTGGGTGTCAAGTAAGCACAGAAAGCGGGCCGAGTGCTTACCTGTTAAGTCGAGGTCGACATGGTCGCTCAGGCTCTCGCATATGGGTGGGAGAATATGGGACCCGTTGAATCGCTCATATGTCGCCTGCACGTCTGATGAAAGCTTGGCCAAAGGCCTAGCGACATGGTCGACACGATAAGTGTTCTCGCCGCTGACAACAGTTCCAGGACATTGAGAGTCTGAGACCTGCACGGATATCAGCGTCTGTAATATCCGCGATGCGTAATAGTTGTACTGACTTCAAGGAGTTCATACGTGCCCTTGCCATTGACGTGGAGCTCGTCGTTGGGCGACCTGAGCGTAGCTGACAGAGCCCGCCCTGGTGCCTCTTGTGTGCGGTATTTCACGCGCCATGGCTAGCGTATACATGGTGAGCAAATTACGTGTGGAAATGTTTCACTGTGTCACTCACTCCCTCGCCAGAAAGTCGGAGCGGAAGTACAGCTTGCTCGTGATCAAGGACGGTAACATGCCGTTGATCAACCTTTCCGTAGAACTTGACGGTAGGCTACGCAGATTGCGAGTTAGTGTCAAAATTTACTACCGGAAAATGCGCAACTCACCAAGACACGGCGGACGTTAACAGCCACGCCTGGAACTGACAGGGTACGCTTGCAGCCATAGGCGTCCTCAACGCTGACTGAAATGTGGAATTAATGGCATATTCGCGTCGTGTTATATGGGAGTACACACCAAGATCGATATCGAAAGCACCGCCATCTCTATCGATAGACTTCGGGATAGGCAATGACAGGGTCTTCTTTGGGGTTTCAATACCAGAGAAGGGGATAACCTCAGAGCCCTTCGGCCCAACGATTTGGACTTCGACGTTCCACGGTGCGGTACCCTGCCAGACTGCATTGAGCCTATGACCGCATGCACCCCATGTGTCAAAAAAACCTCACCCGAAGTTCAACATCGACGTCAACCATGTTGCCCGCACAGCTACTGATGCTCTTCTTACCCCTGCCACTCTGCGGCGCGCGCACAAAGTCCGCCGCGGGCGGTGGGTGCACATCGAGCTCGATCGACGGCCCTTTCAGATCGGTCTTCTTGTAGTTCGCATCGCTCAACTGGGTAAACTTGAACGTGTAGTGCCCGCTGCGCTCCGGCTGCAAGGTAAGTTCACCGCGCGAGCTCGCGAACGTCTTCGATGTCTCCCGTGCGGGCTCGCTGTCCCGCTGTTGACGATAATAGACCTGGAACGGCGGGGTGCCGTGGAGCACCAGCGCAGCAGAAACGCCAGTGTCGCCCGAACTAGTGCGATAACAGCACAGCAACAACATCAATGGAAGGCGGGGCGGACGGATGTGCGGCGCACGTACCACTCGTGGATCTTCTTCCACTCAATCTCCGCCGTGGGCAGCGGCCGCTCGACGACTTTGCACGTTTCGGGGCTCAGGACGTCACCCTCGCAGTATTGGCCGTGCACGCCGACAATCGTGTATTCTCCAGGAGCGCTCGCGCGGAGCGTAAGCTCCTTCCGTTCGCCTTGCGTTTCGAGCGTTTTCGTCCAGCCTTTGTACCGCTTGCTGGGCTTGCCGTCCTCGGCGGGCGGGTCGTAACGAACGTCGACGTCCCATGGCGCGTCGATAGTGTCCGCGTCCACCGTGGAGATCGCGAGCGGCGCCTCGGCGCCGATGAGCAGGGAGGCAGGATGCCCAGGCCCACAGTGTTTGAAGGACACACTTGGACGCCGGAGGACTGTAACTGACCGGGTGCTCGCGGTGTAGGGTGAAATCTTGCGAGACGCGACCTCGGTTCCAACATATTCTCCAGCTTGTGCGACGTTACCCATAGCGTCCGTGACGGACTCGAGCTTGTACGTGTGCGTCCCGAGCGCATCGAGCAAGACTGTGAGGGGGACCTTGACTTGGGTAGGGGCGCGTTGGCCGGGCCCGCTAGAGACACGGCGGTCATCTTCGGAATGAGTCTGATGCTCGTGCTCGGCGCCTTCGATGCCCTCGACCATGAATGACTCCTTACGAGAGCCAACTTCGCGAGTCCAGCGCAGGCTGAGAGGTGGGACACCGAAAATATTGATCTCAAGCTGGAGCTCCTCGCCTGCGCCACTGACTAGACGTGGCGTCGCGCAACGAACCTCCTTGACCTGTGTCATGCTTTCCGACGTAAACTCTGCACGAGGGCACGGAACGACAGTGACCTCTCCGGGATTGACCAACCGCGCATCGACGTTGGAATGGTCAACCACCCGTTCTATGCGGAGAGTTCCGGGCTTGTTGAGGCGAATGTAGGTCATGTCTTGGGTCTTCTGCAGGTTGCCATGGCCCGTCGGCTCCGTGTGATCTTCTTCCTCGTCATCGTCGTACTCGTCGTACTCGTCGTGGTCTTTCTTGGCAGCAGCCGCACGAACGAGTTGAAGGTGCTCAACGCGGCTCTGTTCGATAGCACGAAGTTCCTTTGCTGACAGCTCCAGATACTCAATCTTGCCAGAGCTACGAGAGGACTCCGAGTATGCGAGTGGTGTGAGACTATACCGCACGCCGATTGGGGACGTGTTGTTGAGCAGAAGAGGGATGAGGACATGCGAATTTGACGTCGGCAAGCAGAAGGTTTCGCCGTAGGGATTCAGGTGAGCCGTGCTTATAGGTGACATGCGCACAGTGTGCTGTCCAAGGAGATGGGTGTCCTTCGCGCCGTGCAAGACGGGAAGCCCGAAGTCTGGCAGGTAATCCCAAAAAGCAGATGACTTGGTTGCAACGTGTCCTGAGCGCAAAGCAAGTGCTGTCAGCTAAGGAGCATGGTTCGGACATGCCCGCATACCTGAAGACCCGGCCGACTGTGACCACGAGCCACCCGCTCCGATATTGACAGAGATGCCGCCAAACGCGAGACCGTCGAAGAGGCATAGGAAGAGTATTTGCAGCACAACGACTGCCTTGCTGTACCGTAGCCGAGGTATACGGAGCCACGACAGAGCAGCGCAATACAGGAAGTCCACAAACAACCATTTCCTTGCGAAATGTAATGGGGTGTCACTTGACGATGTCCAATATTGGAGCAAGTCCCAGATTTTGGCTGCCTGACATAAAGGTGAGCATATAGAACACTCGGCTCGGTCTATTCGTGATGTGGACGCGTCTGAGCAGGACCCTTGCCAATCATGCTGGGCACACATGCCTTACACCAAACGAACTAAAGAGAGCTTTCTGCAGGCACGAAGCCTTACACCGACCCGGGCCACCGACTGGTTCAGCCCCAGGTCTCGCGTCAAGTCGAGAGAAATCTCCGATTTTTGGACGGGCATTACGCCGTTTCCAGACCGAATCGGGTCTCGCGGGACGCAGGCTTGCGCGCGTCGAGGACCAGAACCACCTCCGCGACCCCAAACCCGGTGCAAGCCATAATGCTACATCTCGTAGGCTGCGGTGTAAGACAGCCCGGAGGATGGTCAGGTGTCCTTCCTGAACGACAATGTCGTTTCTCGAGCCCTCGTCCGCCACAATTCTTCGAAGAAGGACATGCGTACCTGGCATGCTAGACCCAAGCCAAGTACATAGTACCGTTGGTCTGGTACTTCAAGTATTCTCTCCGGTATACGCGGTAGAGGTTGAGGAGGTCCGGGCGCCGTCCCAGTTGTTGGAGGTTTCGAGTCGGTGGACATGGCCGCAGCGTCTTGCTGGCCACCCAGTTACAACGTTTACAGATAGATGCACGAGGGTTCTCCCAGTAGGTGTCGTCAGAAGTATCCAGTACAGAGAATTCAGAGGATGCAATGGCAGGGTGTGGAGGACATGAGCGGAGGCGTGAACAATGGCGGAGTGCAGCAACCGCTCCAGCCTGCAGACGCGCCTACTCGGGCGGCGCACGTGATCGTAGGGGCACAGAGCGCGACGCGACGCGCCAGACGCGTCGTTGTCTCACCTCGACGTCGAGGCGATAATCATCCAAGTCCCACTGACCATACGGTGTTCATCACTCGAGTTCCGTTCGACATATGGTGTCCATCACAGATGGCTCGCGGAGTAAAATACTCGGCTATGAATTAACGTCCGAAAGTAGGGTTTTGCGAGGTATATGGACAGGGCGAGGCGTGGCCCGAGCACGGCTTTAAGGCATGGGCACTAAGGTATCGATCGCGGAAGGAGCGGCTGGCCGACGGGCGACCGGGGATAACGACGGTGTGGACGAGATATGAGATATGAGAGTAGTAGCATGTAAAAACGATTCGGATAGCTATGAACAAAACCGCTACCAATACAGAACGTAACCAAACGAGATATCAAGCATGTCTAGCATCTATACAAGTCGGGGGGACGGACACGGAGCACGGGCACGGAGGGGGAAACATACGAGTAACGAGTAACGAGGAACGGGCACTGATCATACACACAGATAGATCCCAACGTCCGCGGAGCACGCGAGCATATCGTGGTCATAGCATGATCATCTCACCGTTGCAGCCCGCCGTAGGTCGAGCCCCGGAGCACCTCCGTCGTTTGCAGCATCGCCTCCAGCCGCCGCTTCGCCTCCCGCAGCTCGCGCTGGTGCGACGCCAGCTTCTGGTCGAGCCGCCGCTTCTCCTCCTCCAGCTCGCCGTGCATTTTCTGAAGGTTCTGGTAGTACGAGCCCTGGTGGATGGCGGAAAGGATCTGGTACGACGACTTCTTGCGCAGGTACGTCTCCTGGTCGAGCCGGTGCGCCGGCCAGCCAGAGTACACGCCGCCGGACTCCGCGATCTCCCCAGACGTGAGCAGGGTGTGCTCGAGCAACATCGAGCTGTCCTCCATCGACGCGCCCGACAGCAGGCGCGAGCCTGAGCGAAGTGCGGATCTGCAGCAGAACGGTGATGGGCGACCACGTCGGGCAAAAGAAATAGAAGCACGTACGAGGAGCCGATCTTGAGGTGGTTGAGCGAGAACTGGCCGCGCGAGTTGATGTGCGCGACGACCGAGCAGTCGTCGAGCGCGACGCGGTCCCCGAGCTCGACCAAGTCAGGCTCGGTCATGAGCCCGACGCGCCCGCCCGCGAAGATCGCGCAGTCCTTGCCAATCTTCGCGCCGAGCGCGCGCAGGTACCAGACGAAGAACGCGGAGCCGCTGATGCTGCCGAGGATCCCGCCGTTCCCGAAGCCGCGGTAGAGCGGCTTGGAGAGGACGAGGTGGAGCTGCCAGCGCTGACAGTACGAGCTCAGGTCCCAGTTGTAGCTGCCCTCCTTGCGGCGGCCGATGACGGCCCACTTGGTGGCGACGACCCAGAGGAGCGCGACGACGGCCTGGATGTTGAGCGTCGCGATGAACCAGCAGCTGATGAGCCCGAAGAGCACGAAGATCTGGCGGGGGCCGTCGTGGAAGAGGTGCAGGTGCGGGATGTGGATGCGCAGCTGGTTGAGGACCTGCGTGCCGACGACCGCGGCGATAGACCAGTAGCCCGCAGAGAGGATCGCGACAGCGAGGTTGATGAGCACGAGCATCAGGTAGGGGAACACGAAGAAAGTCGCCTTGCGCTCGTAGAACGCGCGCCCGAACGGCGTCGTCGTCGGCTTCTCGTCGTCCTCCGCCTCCTTGCTGCCGTTCTTGAAGCACACCGCCTCGCCGCCCTCCGAGCCCATCCACACCGAGCCGTCCGCGTACGTGACACCGCGGCGTCCGAGTGCGCCGGAGCCCATCACCGCCCGCTTACCCACGGTGGTGCTGGGAAGCAGCACAACGCGGTCCGCAATCATCGCCCCCTTCCCAATAACGACTTTCCCGGAGCCCGCGCCGTCCGTCGTGAAAACTTCCGAGCGGGACCCGAACACGACGTCGTCGCCAATCTCGAGCAGCTCGGGGTCCGGGCAGTAGAGGCCCGAGCCCGGCCAGTACACCCGCTTGCCCACCTTCGCGCCCATGCAGCGCCAGATGAACGACGTGACCTCGTAGTGCGAGCCGACGATGTCGTACGCGCGCTTGAGCGCCTCCTGGCTCAGCAGGCTGCTGTTGATGTAGCGCCGCAGCAGCGCCCACTGCGACTGCTCCGCAGCGGGGCCTTCGCGGTTGAGGCCCATGATGCGCTTCACGATGATGCCAAGGATGATCTGGAGGAGGGGCGGGAAGATGACGCGGACGATGCGCGCGAGGGCGTGCCAGGCGACACGATCGGGGGACGCGAACCAGACGATGACGCGCTCGAGCTCCGAGCCGAGGTTCGCGGGGGGCGGGGGCTGCGCGAGAAGGATGAAGAGCGCGGCGAACCACGGGACGTAAGCCCCGACCTTGATGATGAGGATGACGGGGGCAGCAACGAAGACCTTCAAGAGCCAGTGGGGCTGACGAGCGACTGCGCGGTTGGCCTGAGCAAGGTAGTCGGGGGAGGGCTCGTCGTGCGAAGAGGCATGCGGGCCAAACACCGCGCCGTCGGGGATGACAGCGCCGGGGGCGACCTGGGTGAACGTGTTGACCGTCGCGCCGCGCCCGATCACAATGGGGTCCAAGCGGAAGCAGCCATCGCGCTCGACGCAGAAGCCGCGCACGAGGGCGTTGTCGATCTGGCAGCCGTCATGCAGAGTGAGCAGGTCGTACTCGGCGAGCTTCGCGCGCGAGTCGATCGAGACGTTCTTGCCGATCTTCGCGCCCATCATGCGGAGGTAGAGAGCCTCCAGCACGGGGTGCACGGCGAAGACGCCGCGCCCCGCACACCGGATGAACTGGTTCGTGATCCACCATCGCAGGTGGTAGTTGCTCCAGAAGCGGTACGTGCCCGGCTTGTAGCGGCCGATGACCGCCCACTTCACCGCGATAGCCAGCAGGGGGAAAACGATGCGCGTCGCCAGCCGAGAGCTGACGACCGCGACGAGCAGAGAGCCAATGCGAATCCAGTAGCCAGACGAGACATATCTCGTGAAGAGAGAAAGGATATACACAATGCCGGTCCAGGTGAAGGCGGCCTTTAGGGGGTAGAAGAAGAGCAAAGGAATGGCCTGGACGATGAGAGACAAGGGGTGCGTCTGGCCGCGGCCGGTGCTCGAGGCAGGCGCGCCGTACTCGAGCTCGGGGAGGTGCAGCGAGCTCGCCGACTTCTCGGACATCGCGGGAGTGTTGTGCGCCCGGGTGTTGACGGCAGTCTTGTCAGGGCTGATAGGGCTAGTCGACCCTGACTCATCCCCTTCGATAAGTGAGGCAATCCCGTTGATCGTGCTGTGCGTGAAGATGGAGGGAACCCGGACGGTAACGCCAGTCTCCTTCCGGATAACGTGCGCGAGGCGGCCCAGAAGCAGAGAGTTGCCGCCGAGAAGGAAAAAGTCGCTGTCGCCGGTGATGGAGCCAGGTTCCTTGTCGAGCAGGTCCGCGACGATGTCACGGATGACGAGAGCCTGCGGAGACATGCTGCTCGCGTTCCTGCGCGCGACCTCGGCTTCCATGAGGTCCCAGTCGACCGAGCGGTCCTGCTTGCGGGCCAGGAGTTCCCGGAAGACGTGCATGGGAGTCGGGATTGCGTACCCGGGGATGAGGTCCGCGATGGCGGCTACAAGAGCGCTGGAGTCGAGGTCGGACGAGGGACGAACAGCGACCATCGCTTCCGGTGTGCCATCGGATCGCGTACGAACGGTAACTTCGTCGACGCCGCTGAGGCTCGCAATCGCACGCTCCACAGCCACCATGTCGAGAGTTACGACCGAGCATTCAATGGGCTGGGAAAGAGGAGCATTCTTGTCGGGGACAGCGGCTTCGTAGTGCCGTGCGACCGCAGGCGTGTCGTCAGTCAAGCACTCGATACCCAGGCGCTGCGCAAGCTTGATCCTGAGAGGCTTCCCAGCATTGTTCTTCGGGAGGTCGTCCATGTAGACAACTGCGAACGGCCACTTCGAAGGGTGGAGCTGGGCCTTGAGAAGATCGAGCAACTCCGAGAGACCGATCCGCGGCCGACCGGGAACGGGAACGATGACGACGCCTATAGTCTCCTGGAGGACGTCGTGGGGAACGGAGAACGCGATCGTGGACTTCACGCGACCCTTTGCGACCTGGACGATCGCCTCCTCGATCTCGAAGGGGGAAATGACTTCTCCGCCTTTGTTGATGATCTCCTTGGACCGACCGGTGATATACAGGTACCCGGCGTCATCCATGTAGCCAACGTCTCCAGAATCGAACCAACCCTCCGACGAGAAGGCGGAGGTGTCGAGAGGCTCGTTGGGACCTGTTTCATACCCATCGAACGTGGGAAGACCGCGGACTGAGACGGCACCTGTTGCCCCGCATGGGAGCTCGCGCTCGAGGTTGAGAGGGTCGCGGATAGACAAGTAGGGGCCGCACGCGACACCAGAGCAACCAGGACGTTCCAACGCGTATGTGGTGGGTGGAGACGCGATGGGCATGCACTCGGTCATGCCATACGAAGGCAGGATGACCGCGCCAAACGTCTCCTTAAGCTGGATGGCGAGTGAGGGTAGGAGACCCCCCGCGGCGTTGGCGATCATGCGAATCCGAGTGTCCCTGAGGGGCACGATGGATTCTGGTTTCGACGCCAAAATAGCGTGGTGCATAGTAGGTGCCGCATAGTACCTGTTCTTTGGCATGAGCTAGATAAGAGGCGCGCAATAATGGAACCAGCCATACCAGGTAGCCCCGCATGCCATTGCGATAGGCCAGAACGCAGTGCTGTCAAACCCTGGGCACATAATGGCACTCCCGCCGGAGAAGATAGGAGCCCATAGGTTCCGAACGATACCACCAACATGGAACAGCGGCATCATATTCACTGCGCGTTTCGACAATGAGTGACCCGAAAACGCGTGATGTCACAAACCACCCACTGTTGACGTCGTCGGGTTTCAAATCCCAAGAGCGCACGACTGCGCATGTACCAACGATGAGGGCGCGGAGTGTATAAGGTACGACCTAATAATACACCGATCATGAGGACGTATGTTTGCACAGGGACAAACAATCACGAACCTTCTTCTTTCCGCTGGTTCCTGATGTGTGTAGCACGAGGGACTGGTCGTACAAACCATGCAGTTGAGTCGGGGGGCGAGTTGTCTTCTGTACAACCGACCATGTGTCGGCGTTGTCGTCGTCGCGGTCGTCCATGAGTGTCATATCAAAGAGGCCGGTGGGGCTGTCGGCGCGTGCGTGGATGAAGATAACCTCGCACCGGAGCTCCTCCCTCAACTTGCGCAGCTCGAGCCGCTCGATCGCGTCGGTGGTGGTAACGATCGCCTTCGCGCGCAGGCGGCGCGCGTCCTCGGAGAGTTCGCCGGCGGTGCAACCGGAGTTGACGGGGGCACATGTGTGGTAGGAGGAGACGGCGAGAAGCGCGACCGCGTTCTCGGGGCTGGTGGGGAGGACGACCATGACGCGGTCATTGGGACCGAGGTGGTCCTGGAGGCCCGAGGTGGGGAGGGCGAACTTGGAGATGAAGTGGTGGAGGGCGGCATGAGTGGTCGGCGGACGGGTGGCGGAGACGGACCAAAGAGCGGGGGCGTCCGAGGTGGGGATACAGTCGAGGAGGGTGGCGACGCGTCCCGCGTCGGTGACGGACTGGGCGAGTTGGTCACCCAGAGAGACACCAGGCAGGGGGTCCGCGAGGTCGGAGAGGAAGGCCAGGGGGACAGACATGGCGCGACCGGTGGGGGACAAGCACAGGTGGGGCGAGGGACGCTAGGGAGGCGGCCTGCGGGGCGGGGGGTCTTTATTGCGCAGAGCGGGGACATTAGAAATGCAGAGGGACAAGTAAATAACAACGAAAATGGAAAGGGAGGCAAGCGAGCAAGGCGAGCGTGTAGGGTCGCCGTGTTACGGGGTACAGCCGGACGCTTCTTGCACTCGCAGCGGTCTGCTCAATCTGCGATCGTTAGCGCCCGGGCGAGATTGACGTGGGCTAGCCGAGCGGAAGACATACCGTATCCGAACGCCCGGGTCCGTACGAACAGCCCGGCGATAAGGTGGGCGAAAGGGAGGCCCGACATGCGACGCCGTTGCGCGCACGCTAGCACCATCCACATCGTGCAGCCCTTCGCGACGAATCAGACACACGCATGATGCTCGCCCCGACCGCGCGCACCCAGCCCAACTATCAAATGTCGCGGATTCTGCACTCGAGACGCCATCCGCCGTGCTCCCATCCCGCGTGCTTCCAGCCAGCCCCCGAGCCACCCCGGCGGCGACCAGTGCACAGTTCGCTTCTAGTTCCGGCGCGATCGCGAATGGGAAATCCCAGTTGATCCTGTTCCCTTCGTTAGACCGAGTTTGGGCGAGATGGCCTTGCGCGATGCGGGTTCACCGTGCGACCCGCGAGTCAGCGAGCGGGATTGCCGAATGCAATGCGGTGCGACAACAGCTGCGGCGGCGGGCCTGATGCCAGCGTCGGTGTCCGACGCTTCTCGGTCGCAGCTTCGGGGCCTGCGTCGCGCGCCCATGCATCTGCCATCTGCCAGGGTCTGGCGGTCGCGGTGTCCTGAAAAGGGCAGTCGATTGCTGGATATGGAGTCAGCAATGGAGCACATATGGAGTTGCAAGCTCAACGTCAACAGAGCCGCTGCGTCTGCAGAAGATGGCGATAAAGCACGGCGTGCGAACACGCGTCCGTCGGTCGGCTGCTGTAATCACGGTCACAGCAACCCAGCATAACCGACGCACACCGCCCATGAACGTTGCAAACCCCTACGCTCGCGAAGAGATCGAAGCTCATCTTGAGAAAATGACGCTGCCAAGACTCTCTCAGTCCGGACGGCAGGCTTCTCCTTTCCCATAGATCTCCCGTGGGAGTATAGATGACGCCGCTCGATAGTTCGTCCGAAGCTGCGTCCATGTATGGGAGAACGTTAGCAGAAATTGCCCGGGGTAATTGTTCATTGAATATGTATTACGAGGCTTTCCTCTCCACCTTCGTCCAGGCCGAGGCCTTCCGACGCCACAACGTCTGGCGGCTTGTCGCGTCAGCGTTCGATATCATGCATTACACAAGTATGTCATCGTCGCTTACCCCGTAACCGCTGCCATCTGAATGGCGATGATCAGCAATCTCAAACGCGCCGCAGGTCCCGCCCGCAGCGTTAGCTACCTTCGCGTAGTGGCCGGTATCGGACGGATGAGGTGCCGCTCGGAGCAGCGCCACGCGATCTTGGCATTGGACAGGTATCATTGAAGTTGTGTTCGGGACGCCGTATGAAGAGCTTGAGCGTATCGCTTCTGTGAACAAGAGGTGTTCTACGTCCGCAACGCCCACGGGCAGACGAGCTCGCGATGGCATTGGCTGGGATCTGCTGCGGCGCGCGCGTAAATGCTGTCCAGCGGTCGAGAAGACGTTACTATCGCCGGGTCGACGCTCACGATCTGTACAATTGTGAACCGTACTGATGCTCCACCGACGCTATCGGGTGAAAATTGTTTTGGCATCTTTTGGGGGGCAACGCCGGGGGAAGATATCAGGACTCGGGCGGCTTGTTGATGGTGGCCGACATCTCCCACCAGCTCGATCGAACAGGGTATCGCGCCCGATACCTCTCGAGTCGACTAGGGTACTCGGGGTCTATGGGATGACGAATGTTAAAATCACGGTAAGCGGAACGAGTAGGATCACATACGCTTTCAACCCGCCGCAAGTGGTGGGAGGTTGGTCGTCAAGCGGTTCACAGCGGGTGCAATTGCTCCGGCTGCAAGTTTCAAGACGTGACAAGCCAGCTTTACGCTCGAACATGACGAACATGTTGTTACAGCATAATACAAGGCGGTACGTGAATAATAGGCGATGAATGCGCACTCACTTGAGCCACCAGAATACAAGGTAGCCTCCAAGGAGATACAGGAGCACCTTCACTTGCGGGTCCAAGGCCTGGAAAGCCGCTACGCCTCCTCCGCCCACCGGCCCCGGCCCCGGGTTGGACGAGCCGTCACCGAGGGTATGGCCCTTGCCTGAGAAGGTTCCGGACGAGGAGCCAGAGGAATGCCGGCGCACAGCAGCCTCGAGGGCCCTATTTGCGAGACCAGATTGAGTGGAGCGGAAAGCGACGATGAATTCCCATTGCTTACGGCTTGTTTGCCCCGCGGACCCTCTCCACCTCGGACGTGCCCTTGAGAAATATGAAGGTCGGCCTGCGGCATCTGCTTAGCCTCCTGTATTCCCCCGGCCGCCGTTCAAATTCAAACTCACATCGCGGTGATGCGGTAACGGCCAGCAATGTCCTTCGCCTGGTCGACATCACACTTGAGGAAGTTGGCGTTCGGGTATTGCTTGGCCAAAGCCTCGAACGTCGGAGCAATCATATGGCACGGGCCGCACCTTCAGGAAAATTATTTACGACCATTCTACAGGTCGTTACGGCATTGACATACCATGTTGCATGGAAGTCGATAACCTGCAAGCTGCTTAGCTTAGCACTCGGGCAAAGCGCTTCGCACGACGTACAGAAAGCTTGTCCTTGGACTTGCCGAGGATGCCGTCGAGCTGGGCAGTGTTATCAAGGTGGGTAATAGACATAGCTCTGGTCAAGAGAGTCGAGTGACGCGGCAGCTGACGAGTAATGAGAGCGGGACGAGCCAGAGAACGCAGCAGCATCGCAAGGTACACGATGACAGAGGCACAGCAGGTCGCACGCCCGGCCGGCGCCAATTCCTCGACGCGCTGTCGCGTCTTCACGTGACGAAAGCCAAACATGCGCAAACGCGCGAGGTTTAGAGTCGCGCAACGCGTTGGACGCGACTTGTCTTCCAACCACCACCACCTTCTCTGAGCCCCCTCTGCGCCGCTCACACAACACACCACCTACACTCACCACCTTCTCACTTACTCGAACAACATGTCTGGACGCGGAAAGGGAGGAAAGGTACATTTCGGCATCCTCGTGCTTCTTGTCTTGGTCTGACGGCCGACGCGCTTCGCAGGGTCTCGGAAAGGGCGGCGCCAAGCGTCACCGCAAGATTCTTCGTGACAACATCCAGGGTATCACCAAGCCGGTGAGTAACGCGCATATATGCGCTATATTTCGCGTCGGACTGACATGTGCCTTGCAGGCTATCCGCCGTCTCGCCCGTCGTGGTGGTGTCAAGCGTATCTCCGGTCTCATCTACGAGGAGACTCGCGGTGTTCTCAAGATCTTCCTCGAGAACGTCATCCGTGACTCCGTCACGTACACCGAGCACGCCAAGAGGTGAGCTTCTGAGCCTTCTCCAGCGCCGGCGACCCTGATCATTCATTGCAGGAAAACCGTGACGGCACTGGATGTCGTCTACGCCCTCAAGCGCTCCGGCCGCACCCTGTACGGTTTCGGTGCCTGAGCGTTGTCTTTGTCTTCCCGCTCGTATGATGTATGGTTATGTTTCTCGTGCGTTCCTAGCACATGTACTATAGTTCCCAGCCTATCGTAAGTATCACCCACCCTCTACTGATTGATCAATGACACGCCGTTGTATTACACGTTCTTGTGTGACGCCGCTGGAAACAAATCGACAAGGTTCAAACTCCTCGAAGATTTGTGGTAACAATAGATATTACCCGTTCTTGAGTCGGCTGGGCGTGGTACATAGTTTACAAAGAATGCATTGAGCGTTTAGAATGCTCCGCTCTGGCGCAGTGAGTCCACCGCAGTGTCTACATCACTGTCGAAGTCGTAGTGCCAAACCGGTTTCCACATGTCCTTGAGATCCTCGCATAACCCTTCCTTGGTGGCACCGTGCGGTCCTTGAAGGTGGTAGGTACTTCCGGCGCGGTAACTGGCATCCCAGACGCTCTGCGCCCGGGGTTGTCTGACTGCCGAGTAAGCCTTAAGCACGGCCTGGGAACGAAGAGCAGATAAGCAGGATACCCGCGTCACGATTGCTGTGACTACGAACCTCCAAGTTGTCGACATTGGTTTCCGGGTGGCTGAGCAGCCGAACCAATACATATGCATCTTCCAGGCCTTGGCTAGCTCCGGCTCCCAGATGAGGTAACATCCCATGTGCCTAGCAATCGGTACCGCTCTTAGCGGTCGACGTCCCCTCTCGTAATGTGCAGCACGGCGGCCGAGTGAGGTAAGTAACTCACCGCATCGCCGATGAGCGCGACGCGCCCACGGGCGTACCCCGCAAGCGGCGGGTGCACGACGTGGATGGCCCACCTGCTCGCCTTCTCCGGCATGCACCGGAGAAGGGCTGCGACGTCGGGACCCCAGCCATCGTACTCCTTCTCCAGCTCCGCCCGGGACACGTCTTCGACCCAGCGCGCCCCCTCGGGTAGCGCCTGCGACCCGATGGGAACGTCGTACCGCGTTGCAAAGGCGGCGACGTTGATCTGGGACGACACCAAGACGACACAGAGCACCAATGAGCCAGAAGACAGGTTGAATGACGTCGCGTGGTGCACATACCAATTCCCCGTTCTTTATCGGGACGACGATGATATGCTGTATGCATTGCAATTCTTCAGCACAGCGCTCGGGGACACCCTATAGGTAAAAGTGCGCCCACCTTGCTGGGACCCATGAAGCACGCCGGGGTTCCCTTCACGTCCGTCTTGAAGCCGGCCGCCTCGAGCGCGACGCGAGGGATGAGGCCACGGTACGCAAATGTATTGCTGAACGCGGGCCCCGTTCCCACTCCGCCCTGGACGAAGTCGCGCGCGGTGCTTCGTATACCGTCAGCGCCAAGGACGACGTCCGCCTCGTGGGTCGTGCCGTCCGCAAAGTGCACGACGACGCGCGCCGGGTTGGCGGGCGAGACCGAGAGAGAGGTGCAGCGTTTGTTGAAGTGTGCGGCGCGTGGGTCCACGGCGCTGACGAGCGCGTCGAGGAAGGCCGCGCTGTGTGCGGTCGCGCGGGCGCGGCATCATTAGTCACGGAAGGGAAGCCGCGCTGTGGAGCGGGCTTGGGAATGCGCACCGGTGCATGCTGATGCTCGCGTCCTCCGGCGACATTGGGTACTGGGGGGCCCGTGAGACTCCGGACATCGTCGTAGCGACCGGAGCCTGCGCACCTCGTAGACGAGCTCGTGGCCATCAAGCCCCGAAAAGAATCTAAACCCCTTTGGCTTGAGTTCACCAGGGTTCGTCTTCTTGAGAACCGCGTCCAGCACGCCGAATTCCTTCAGCACCCGGATGGCGTTTGGACCTAGGCCGGCGAATGAGGTGATTCGATACCGTAAGTCGGTAGAGGCGCAGCATTGTGCGAGACAACGCACCCAAGCCGATTCCCGCGCCAACCTCAGTGAAGGCCGCCTAGAGCAGGGAAGGTCGTGTTATCAGGTTATGCCGGACGTGCGATGTATGAGCCAAGACATACCGCGGCTTCGAAGAGTTCCACGGCAAGTCCGGCGCGCTGAAGAGCGATTGCGCAAGCCAAACCGCACACGCCGCCGCCTACGACGGCGACTTGGATAGGTACCTGCGAAGTTGCCTGTGCCATAATGTCAAGAGCTTAAGATACCGTCCATACGTGAGCAGAACCACAATCTATATAGCCATTGCTCGGGACCTGCGCGTTCATTCGGCATGTTCAGTGATTCCGCCGAGGTCTGTACAAGGATGTCTGTACTCACATAGGAAGATACCAAGGCTTCAGGGGATTGGAACACGTACGCTGCAATGTCTTCTGAGGGTCGAGGTTGTGGCCATTTTGAGGTGTTGACGTGTCAGAAGCGTACGAGGCCCGTCGGCATCGACCTAAGTACTGCCGAACCTGTCAACGACCGTGGTCGCAGCAGGCACTATCATATCAAATCACGACCACAAGTCGCATGCTATGTCAAAATGGTACAGCATCTGTGGGGCAGGGCCGCTCATGTGAGAGGCGTGTGGAACATGAGGGGCGCCGGGAGTCCGCATCGAAGCTGGAGAAGGGCTGACGCGCTGCTTCACGCAAGGGCGGAGTCGTGCCGCAGTGATGTATATCTGGTGAGCCCAAATGTCAGCCAATTATAGCTATCATACAATGGCTTCAATACTGAGTTATGACCATGACAGCGGAGGCCTAAGATGTCGTGTTAGCACTGGCAGTCAAACTCAACAGCAGCTTCAAAGGCGCCAAGGAGTTACACCGCTATACCGTGTTTGGAAGGCGGAGGCTTCTGATCCTAACAGAGCCAAACAACCGCACGCCACGGAATTTGCCTGGTGCGCGTTAGCCAAGTTGGGGCCTCGGAGCACTCATGTTGCAAAAGTGTGCTGACTCCTCAGCATAGGTGTGTCCTATATGTCTTTGAACTCCGCTTATCAAGACTTGCTGTGTCTCAAGATTTGAAGGTCTGCACGTACGGACGTTGGCTCATATGATTTTTCTGGCGCGCTTGATCCGTTTGTGCACTCACCGTGATCACTGCCGCGACCGCACAGAACAGGCCCGCCCCCCCTCACGGGAGCCTCGGAAGTTTTTGCATAACACTTCTCCATTATCACGGCTGAGCATGTTTCTTGAACATACAATCACCCTGAGAAAGCTGACGACGACGCGAGTAGCGTTCATCTAGTCTGCCGGAGCACCTCTGCGGTCAGTCATGCACAGTCGAATGATGTAAAACTCTTGTGGTGTTTGCTATTTACATTGTGGTGCGATGTGAGTACCTTCCAGGTCGTGTACCAATCACGTGTGGACGAATTGGATGATTCATATTCACACCGTCAGTGTCAGGGGCATCTTAAAGCTTATCCTCAGTTCCTCCCAAGCTGCAAGTTGACTTGCTACCCTCACGACGCCGACAATGACCCTCAAAGGACGTTGGACGCTTCTCTCGACCGCGACCTCGCTCGCCCGCTCGTCCCACTCCGTGTCAGTGACGAAGTCTGGTCTCTTGACCGTCTACGGCGGTGAACTCAAACCCCGCACCCCGATCGATACGGGTTCCGGAAAGGACGATCCACCGCGAGGGTCCCTCCACGTCTTCGATTTGAACAAGGATAACCTATCGCAGAACTGGACAACGCTCTCCCCCGCCTTGCCGTCTTCCGAGGACACCACACACGGTTCATCCGTCCCGGAGCCTCGGGTGGGAGCCACCCTCGTCTGTCACGAAGACGCGTTGTACATGTGGGGAGGACGGGGCGGACAACAAATGACGCCCTTCGATCAGCACCAGATCGGCATATGGAAGGCTACCGTCGATCAAGGCGGGCAGGGTGCACATGGCATCCGCTGGGAGCGCATCGCCCCCCTGAATGAAGACCGAGCCCCTTCACCGCGTAGCTATCATACCTCCGTCGTCCATGGGGTGAGTTTATTTTTAACGCGGAGTAGGCGTCGGATGCCCGTAGATGCTGACCACTGTATACACAAACTCTATAGGATAAACTCTACGTCCATGCTGGCTGTCCCGATACGGGTCGGCTATCCACTCTGCATGCGTTCGACGTGAAGAAACGCATATGGGAGACCCTGGCGTCTGCTCCGGAACCAGGACGCGGAGGCACTTGCCTTGTGCCAGCTGCCATTCGGGGATCGGGAGACCTTCTGTTGCGCTACGGCGGTACGTCGTTCATTGGCAACACAGTTCCGTGAAATTTATCGTGTCATTCCAGGCTTCAGCGGTCATGAGCTACCAACAGTCCAGGGGTCCGTCGACGTTTACGCCATTGGAGAGAACAAGTGGTCAACCGTTGATCCTGCCCCGGACCCTGAACACGGGTACCCAGGACCACGCTCCGTCCACGGCTTCTCGCCGTACCAATCCCGGGCCCCTCATTTGTCCAACGCGGTCGCGATCCTCTATCACGGCGAGCGCGACGCGAGCACGCTGGGCCACGCAGGGGCAGGCACCTTCTGGGACGACGCCTGGGTGCTCGCCAAAGAGCCAGGGGAGAGCGCTATTTCGGGCTGGGCATGGCACAAGGTCGACGTCGGGGCAGGGGACGTGCCGGCGGGACGCGGCTGGTTTCCGCCGGCGTCTTGGGTGGACCCCGAGGGCAATACCCGGGTCGTGATGTTTGGCGGCCTCCTGTCGAGCAACACGCGCAGCGACGAGCTTTGGGAGCTCCGCGTCGATTGAAATCTGAGTCTGATACACTCGGGTCCGTCGTTTTCACGTGTGATCGTGCCTCGGGCGTGCCACTGACAACGCTGATCGTGAAGTGACCGCACCGCGTGCATGTACAGATGGTAGCAGCCGCGATGTATTGATGGTGTACAGATAAGTGCGACTCGAGGTAGCTCGAGGTGTACAGTATACATGACGCACATGGAAAGCGGTGCAGACGGATCAGCAATCTAATTATAGCGAGGGACGGAATCTTAGCGGTGCTCTCGTCTCCCCGACTAGGATCAGTACAGGCCAAGATCACTATCACCGATGTCTCGGGATGAAGACGAGGTAGCGACGTCGATAGGGGATGACGGCGGTAGCTGCATGGCCTCCAAGCGCCGCGCCATCTCGACATTGAATCGCGTCTGCAGGATAATGGGTTGGTTAGCGCCGGAGATAGACGGGGTCGTCGTGCATTGACCGTGCGCATCCTCACCATCCGCTCGACGCCCACAAGGTCTGAGTATTCCAGCAATCGATCCTCTGCGCTCTTCTCCAAGAAGTCTTCTAGGGTTGTCTGGTATAGAAGCAACGCCGCTACGAAAATGTTCATGCCGCTGACACCGCCAAGGTCGTATTCCCCCTGTGAAGATTACGATAAATTAATTCTCACAGAGAGGCTTTGTGGAGACTCACATCACGTTCATCTTGCGTCAACCATACACGCTCTCCCCAGAGGGCGCCGCCAGTCTCGTCCCGCGTTTCCGCGATGTCGCCGTACATCCTGACGAAGATAGCGGCCTCTTGCGCCGTGTTTGCAAACGCGTACTCCACGACCGTGGCTCCGCGTTTAGTTTGGACCCCTTCTGCAATCGCGAGATCGCGCCTGAGCTTCTTGACGGCCTTTACCACCGGTGGGCTCCACGCGCTCGCCACAGGCTTGCCCGTGAAGTCCTGATCGCCCTTGTAATTCCATGAAGACGGATAGCACTCGAAGACCACCAGAAGCCTAGAGAAACGCCAAGAGAGCCGGCCTAGTAATGCCATCGCCGCCTCCCCGCGGCTGGGTAGACTTTCCACCGACAGGAAGAGCACCGCTGTATCGCAGTCCAGTATGAGGTCGACGTTCTCCGCGTCCGGGCCGAGCTGTTCCCGCTCCACAAGTTCGACGGCACAGCACGTCGTGAGAGCCCGGACCAGCGCGCGCTTCTGGATCAGCTCTAGAGAAGCCATATATCGATGACCGACGCTCGGTGACATATACCGCTCTGAGAGTACCATCGTCCGATTATTGATGAGTTCGGGCGGCGTGTCCTTGGAGCGATGTGCGGCCGCAGTAGTCGCAGCCTGGACCTCGAACACCCCGGGCGAGGACGGTTCCGGGTCAAAGATAGACACAGAGGTTTGCAGAGGAACGCTAGAAGCCTGAGCTAGAGATCCCTTTCCGCAGATAGCCAGGAAGTGACTCAGCGACGGTCGAGCGAATGCGCCCGGAAGCTCGGACTGCGCGCGTGGGGACCCACGGACGTCGGAAATGTTAAGGTGGAACGAACCGAAAGTAGCCGGCTGGTGATCGGTTAGGGCTGGCAAGACCGCAGTAGAGGAACGTAAGGGCGCGGGAAGAGAAGTTGCGGCGGGTAAGAGAAGAGACCGACGGTCGTGAGTGGGAGCCTGATGGAGCGGAGGCGCCGCTGCTGCACGCCCGACTTCTTCCACATCTCGACCGTCGCCGTTTAGGACGTAGCAATCAGAAAGCAAGGGCGACAGGATGTCAGTGTCTAAGCCATAAGGAGGAAGGAAGCCTTGAGAATATGAGTCGGGTGCGCAGTCGAAGCGGTAGTCGCCGGAATGTAGGGAGTGGACGTCTTGGAACAGGTCACCGTCAGCGCTTGGTCCTGCGAAACCCTCCGAGTCGTACGCCAGTTGTCCGAACGAGTATCGGCCGCCGCTCATTATCGCACTGTCATTATCGCTGTCATAAAAGAACACGCCGGAGTCATCTGCGCAGTATTTCTCGAGGGAGCTCACGACCTGGACCGGCCAGGGTATTGGCTCGCAGTGGACAGGATCTTGGAACCGCACCCGTTTTGTGGGTCGTTCTCCCTGCGCATGCTCCCCTTGGGCGTCATCCAGCAGCGTCGCATCGGCACTCGGTCGCTCTGGGGTTAGAATGGTCCCACTGGGTTGGCTCAAGCTGTCGGTGTTGCTACAGTCGTCCGAGAAGGGTGGAAGGTCCGCCAGGCGCCTCCGATCTTGTCGCGTTAGTATGAGCGTTTGCGCATTCTCGAAGCCGTAACGTTCGATGGCGTCGTCAACGTCCTGGATATTTGATAACCACGCGTTCAAGGACGGCGCAATTTCTGTTGATGTTGACTGAGATCCAAAGGCCATGCTCTCGTCCAGAAGGACCCCGAGGCGCGAGACGATCTCGTCCTGAGCCAAGTCAATATCCTTTGTGAGCTGCGGGCAGGGATCGTTTTGCACGTCCGCGACCTCTTCGTCCGTAGGCACGGTGCGTCCATACTTGAACGGACTGATGATCGGTTCCGCGGTCAGATAAAGCGAGCACAGGGAGAAACACCTAACTTACATCCAGCTCAATTCGATCTGGAGCGGTTGAAGGCCCTTGGCTTTCTTCAGGTCCACGGAGAAGCTTCGCTCCGCTCCGAATTTGCGAGCGCCAGTGTCTTTGGGAGCGAGCAAGTCGGTAAGTCGGGATGGCACAACAAAGGCACCGATAGGATGCTCGTTTGGCGGGCGCATCAAGGGCACTGTCACTTTGAGTGAGTATGCATTATATCGTGTTGTGTCAACCATCCCGAGGGACACGCACCGTCCATCAGCATCCCATCTTTCTCGTCCAACTTCTCCAGTAATATGAAGTGCCTAGGGTCCTCGCGTCCGACGCGGTCTCCACAGGCACGTTCCACCGTCTTAACGGCGAACGCAATGGAATCATCGCTACTCGGGTGCGTGTCATCGCCAGATGTGTCAGCGATGACCTCCGGGACATCTAACACGGAGGGCTGTCCAAGTAGTGACATAGTAATAGAGGTACGCGGAGAGGAGGGCTGTGATCTTGGGGAATGGATGACTCGTGGTCCGCAACTTGGAGCTGGACGCACGAGGGGTGGGAGAAAATCCGACAATCTGCACAAACAGGCCGTCGGATCTGCATAGGTATGGGTATAGGAGCAGAACGTACTTATTCCCTTGTTCCGCGAGAGAAGGTTTCTCGCGTGCACCACCGACCCTGGACGACCTCAGCATCTGGGGGACCTCTTCGCAACGCATTTGATGAGCGAGTATATGAAATATTTGCCAACACAACTTACCCATTTGCAGCTTATCGGTACGAAATAGCTCCGAGCCGGGGGATGAAGGCATGAAGAGCTCGTCAATTTCGCTTGAGCTGTCCGCCAGCGAAGGTGTTGCAGGAGATGAGGTTCTGAAAGCCTCTTTTAAAAGTGATGATCGAAGTAAGCATATGCGCCCCAAAGGCCATAGAGATACGCACGCCATCCATCCACAGCAACTAAATGCTCTTCCGCGAGGTCGTCTTCGTCTTCGTCTCTCATCCTGACTTTCGTTATGAGACGCTCCGACACCTGGGCCATAACATCCAGAGCGACGGAAGCGCCGTCCGACCTCGGGCCCAGTGGTGCACTGCGGGGAAATATTGGGAGCACTTCTAACTCAGGTAGGTCGAGAGGAGGAGAGGAGGACCGCAGCAACTCGTCGAAGTGATGGGTATCCGAGGGCCTTGCAGTGTTCGCCAGACTAGGAATCGTTTTCAAGAGCTTGAGAACGCCTTGGTGCGTTTCAGCATCCATAGGGAGTTTGTTGCCGCTGCTCGTCGTGAAATGAGTCTCGTATTGGCCGCATATATGCGCATTTACGTACAGGATTTCTTCGGCGTTGACCACGGTCTCTTCTGGAACAATTTCTTGCAACTTCCCGACTCCGCAGTGCTGGAGCAGCTGTTTGTTGGATTGGGGTAGTTTCGCTGCGAATGCACCCTTCTCAGGGTGCGGCGTCTCCCGCCTTGCACGTGCTGACAGGATCGGCGACATTGGTCTCCTCAACAGGAACGCATCGTACGCGTCTGGAATAGATATTCAGCTTGAGTGTCAAATTCAGGCGAAGCGAAGGCTAAACCGTCATCGTCGGTCTTCCAGTGTCTCTCCGCGGCCCCTTCCGTTCGACGTTGCAGAGAGACTATGTGGCGCTTGAGATAGGCGACGGCGTCCTTGTCTATCACTTTCCACCTCTCCTCATATACGTCTAGGCTAATCAGATTCAATTGTTGTGAAAGAACCTGAAGGGGCTCAAGGGGCAGCGCAATGGCGTTCCTTTCCGTCATTGGTATGGGGCCCAAGCATTCTGCGAGGCCCTATGTCTTCGTGTAAAAAGCAGGTCAATATCACAAGGACGGGAAGTACGTACGTTTGCAACCTCTGATTCAGTCCATGCTATGTAATTCGTAGCAAGATGAGTGGCCGCATATTGCGAGAGTAGACTGCGTATATGCGCCCGAAGCTCTACTTCTCGATCATCAGAGCTTAGTAGCATGGCGCTAGATCCGAAGAGGTGAATATGAGCAATTGTTCAGCCCAGCTGTTCCAGTTCCGAGGGCTGAGCTTAAGCTTGAAAGCTTGAAGACTCAGTCGGTGAGATGGTGGAAGGAAGGAAGCTGTGAATGTTGGGCGCCTAGTTGCCAACCCGCGCCAATCCATAGTAAGTACTTAAGTACTGGCCTGCACGACATCATGATAGACGCCTGTGGCTCTCGTTTCTACCATCATCTACGCGCTTTCGTTTCTCTTTCCTGACCACTAGCTACTGAGTGAACTCGAGACTCCGATAGTCATGTGAGATTCGGCGTAAACTAATATTGTGGTACAGCATAGTCTCTTGAATATGCCGGGTAGAAGATCCGTAGGACCACGGCAGACAGTGACAGTGGCGTCGATAGTCGAACGGAACGCAGTAGCGAACACGTATCAAAATCCCACCCGTACGTACGTCTCACGCAACCTCCATGTTTGCGGCGCTCATGCACACATGGTCCTTCCAATACCGGACCGGACGTAGCCCCTCATAGATTCGAGAACGGCCATAAATAGGGCAAGTACGCTGTCATTTTCCCAGGTGCATGCAATGACTATCTCATGTGGACAGTGACGACAGACGGTATTACTACGATGCGAGTCACCCGTGCCACTTCGCTAGCCTTAACTGTCTCGCGACTTATGAACCATCAGGGACGTTCTCAGCGACGCCTACTTAAAGCCTTCGGTTAGGCCTTCGTGCTCGGACACACCGCGCTGGGCCCTCCCTCCTCCTACGTAGACCCCGAACGACGTTTCACGAGCTTCTCATGGCTCGTGCATTGGCCTCAGCGTACCGCTACGCGTCTACGTGTACCCTGTTCCTTGCTGCGTTCGCCGCCTCTCCCTCGCTGGACATCCGCACTACCTCCGGCACCTTCAGAGGACTCAACACAGGCAACGGGACTGAAAAATGGCTCGGTGTCCCGTTCGCGCAGCCACCGGTGGGATTGCTGCGGTTCAAGGCCCCCGTGCCCATCACGAATGCCCCACGAACTGTCAAAGACGCGTTCACGTTCGGAAATGCCTGCCCACAGCAGCCCTCTAGCAGTCTGGGTGCGCCGCTTTCCGAGGATTGTCTGTTCTTGAATGTGCGCCTAAGAATATCGTCCTGTATCTGCCACTCTGACGGCCTAAAATAGGTCTTCAGGCCCGCCGGGACAACATCCTCGGAGAAACTTCCAGTACTAGTCTGGTTCCATGTACGTCGCCCAGTAATGGTATAGCACGACGTCGCTGACCTTCAACTCGGTTTAATCAGGGCGGCGCGTTCTCGCGCGGGTACGTGTGTAGCACAACTTGGGCGACCATCCAAGTTTCTAATTATGCCGTTGTGTAGGGCTGCCTCTGATCCGGAATTTAATCCCACGTGTGAGGATGGGCTTCTTCGGCATGCTAAGCGAAAAACACTAATCTGTTATGTCTATAGTCCTCATACAGCGCAGCGTGGCCACACGCAAACCGATTATATTCGTCTCCGTGTATGCACTCCCTATCTTGGTGCTGACTTGTCGCTTACCTATAACAATATTGTAGCAACTATCGTCTCAATGCTTTCGGCTTCGTAAGTCGTGTTTAGCCTGCAATCAGGGGCCTGCTGAACATTTGCGGACAGCTCGCCAGCAGACATGTTCCTGCGGAAGACTTGAACGCTGGTTTGTTGGACCAACGCGCGGCGCTCACTTTCCTCCAAAAAAACATTGCAGCCTTCGGTGGTGATCCTTCCAAGGCGAGTGACCACGCTGTTCTATTCAGCTTACATGTTGATGTGATTGCGACTATAGGTCACTATTTGGGGCCAGGTTGGTATCCAACGGGTCCGTCCTTGTTATAAACCTAACGTTTTCACAGTCCGCAGGTGCCGGGTCCGCAGAAGCCCACATTGTGTTCCCGGCTTCGCGCCCGCTCTTCCGCGCCGCTATTCTCAATTCGGCCACAGGCCCATTGTGAGTACAACTCCCCCCTTCACTAGATAGACTTGAACTCAAGATCACGCAGCAAGAACACTCCCCCGGCCAGCCGTTATGATGACCCGGGACTTCCTTATGCGCGTATTCTCGCTGCGACAGGCTGCCCTGCGGGCCCGGCCTCATTCGTGTGTCTGCAGAAAGTGCCCTTCAAAGTGAGTCCCCTTTGTCTTACCACCGCGGGTATTCTCAGAAGCTATAAGCTGCCGCTCACGATGCGACACACGTAGACGTTGTTAGATATTTCGAACAACATGACGGCAGAAGTAGTGAACGGCCAAGTTTGGCAGCCCGCGGTAGGGCCACCAGGTAGTTTCGTTCCCGAGCGAGCATCGCTGCGTATCGCGAGCGGCAATTTCCAGCACGTCCCGATCATTGCAGGAACAAATGTAAGCGACCCGCATTCTCGCTTTTCATCTGTTTGTTCAAATATTTATCGCCGCACCGGCAGAACAACGAAGGGACCTTCTTCAGCGGGTCCGTACGGGGTCTGAACGTTCCCGCCGCGCAAGAGAACGCGACATTCAACACGTTCATCAAGGACAATCTCGTCGACCCGTCCACAATCACGCAGGATGTGCTTAACACGATCAACTCGCTGTACCCACCCAACGACCCGTCGCTTGGCGCGCCCTTCAACACTGGAGATTCGCTGTTTGATCGCGTGGAGGCGTGGTACACGGACAACATGTTTCTGGCAGCGCGCCGGCTGTTCTTCAACAAGGCAGCGCCCTTGCAGCCGCTTTTTGCGTATGAGTTCAGAGAGTTTATCCCTGGCAACGACCCGGCTCTGGGTGGTGCGTTGCTGTCCCATGTCCCATATTCCGAGTCTCGGAGCGTTGACCTATCAGACGCTCTTTACAGTGACTCACGCCTCTGAGCTCGTGTTATTCTTTGGTGAATTCCCGGCTGTCGAGCAAGCACTCGCAGAGCAGATGACGGACTTCTACGTCAACTTCGTCAACGACCTCAATCCTGGAGGTATGCTCCGTGACTTTGTTTATGCGTCGCGCGGGCACTCACCCTTCTGCGCTAGCTCCGTGGCCGCAGTTCACTTTGCAGACAAAGCAAGTCCTCCAGCTGATGAGAGACAACATCACAGTCATCCCCGATGGTACGCCATCCAGATACTATCATGCGACTAACCTAACAGGCGTGGCTCTAGAATACAAGTTGCAGAAGACAGACTTCGCTGACTTGACACGCGTATTGGATGAATTCCAGAAGTAAGTTTGTGTATGCGTGTAAGTTGCTGTACGAGTAGCTACTGGTGAAGCTAGCTTCCATCCGATGTCGATCGCCTTTTTAAACCCCTGTGGTGCATTATACACGTCTAGCCGTCAACAAAGAGTACATCAAAATGTATTTTGAACCTGCTTGAATCCAATTCGCTGAGTCCCAAAGAGGCTCCGGCTTAAGTCACAGACTCACAGCCTAGGCCACAACACGGTGAAATTGGGTATACACATTGCAGAAAATACTAGTGTGCGACAGAATGTCTTCAAGTATACTGTTGTAAGCGAAGCCACCGTAGATCGGTTCGACATTGTGTTTAGCGAAGGCGCTTATACATCGGAGGTTGCCGAAATGTGTCGAGGCGTTCAGTAGCGCGTGCCGCGGCGCGTTGTCATTGCATTTCTTTCGTACTACTGCTCACGCCAGCGAATGAGTTCCCGTTTGACATATCAGTTTAGACTGATATATTGGGAACAGGCTTCTGAGACGACAAAAGCATACATTCCCAGCCCTAATATGCACCTTTTGGCACGCTCCTCCGCCGTCGCCCAATGTCACTCCACACGCGCAGGCTTCCAAGTATTCTGAGACGCACAAGTGAGTAAGCACCCCGAATATCGTTCTCCGCAAAATTCACTTACCATACAGTTTAGAATATCGGTCGGATCAACTCAGACCTCGCAAATGTTGCTCGGAGAGCAGAGGAACGAGACAATGTTCGTGCCGGTGTTCACCCCCTGGCATCCGCCATCCTGGTTCGTGAAGGTGAACATGCGGCCCTCGGCGCCGGCAGGACAGCCGGGGTCCTCGAACATTGTCACGCAATGGTTGCCTGACCCGCCGTCGACCTGAACAAGAGATCGTCAGCCAAGCTGAAGCTCGGATACTGGAGCCGTAGAGTTTCATGGAACATACGCGGAAAGAGTGCCGGTTGTCGAACGCGTGGCACGAACCGTCGCAGGGGACGTCCAGCCCAACGTCGCCGCCGCAGGTGCCGGTGCTGAACGCCGTGACCCCGGCCTGCGCTGCCTGGGGGGCGAGCGCAAGCATGAGTGCGGAGGCGACGAATGCAGCGGTGGTAGCGGAGTAGCGCATCTCTGGAATGTTGTGAAGGAGGTTGTGTGTGAGAGGAATGCTGTTGGACTTGGTGAGTCTCCATGCATTAGAGGGTGTGGTATATATACTGAAGTGTTTGTATAGTGAGGCGCAGATGACCCATTTGTGATACATTCTCGGCCCCCGTCTACGTCCACACCCACGAGAACTTCCATCTCGACACATACTGAATTAGTATGACAGACCTTCTGTCCGGCGTGCGCTCCAGTCAACAGCTTCCTGCCTGAACTACGCGGCTCTCCGCGCCCCCGGAGCGCTCGACTCTTGATCTCGTTCGACGCAGTATCAGCGAACTGCGCTATGCACTCGTACCATAAAACTATTTGTTGCTACAGAGTGGAGGTACGCCTTGTGCCAATTTCTCAAACTTTCGCGGCCTTTGCTCACTTAGCCTGCCAGTTCAAGTGTGTTAAGCGGCGACAACGCCGCCCCGCCCTAGATAGACGCGAAGAACCTTTACGAGCCATACGTGCTATGGACTGGACAACAGCTTCCGGACACTAGCAGCGGGGTCGAATGTGTTCAAGCATGCGCGCAGTGTTGCAAGGGTGATACAGCTACAAGCCCCTATCACCTGTTTCGAAATAACCTTCAAGCTAAAAGTGATCCTCACGCCGACAGATCGCAGTGCATGGTGACGTTATACCGCTCAGATCCTCGACGGCACCATCCATCTTCATACAGAACGTTGGTCAGAGGTACCGTGCTCCACAGAACGACGCACTACGGTCTCATCCGGGATGACTTCTGCGGCCACGGCCTGTCAGTCTCAACGTCCGGCAGCTTCATAGCGTCACCAGACTGGCCTATCCACATTGGCCGGCAGAGCCTCCTCGCTATACTTAGCAAGCCGCGCGGGTCATAGATGATTATACTGGAAAGGTGAGTATGTCGCGTCATTCATTACGTTCGCCTACGCTTGCGGCTCGAAGGACCAGGGAGCCACTCTGGCGCAGGCGCTGCTAACCGGATCATTAGACTGGAGGATAAAGCTTCGATGAAGGTTGGCCTGCAGTGCACGACGGGATAAGATGGTAGACGGAGAGCGAGTCATTGTGGATTCCAACTCGTTCAAGAAGTTGTCTAGCATGGCCAACTGGCGCTTCTCACGAGGCCTCGTCCGCAAGCAAGCGTGCCATAATAGACGCTCGTAGCTCTCTTTTCTACCATCATCATCACCTACAGGCCTTCGTTTATCTTTCTTGACCCCCAATGAACTTGAGACGAGGTGTACACCTCATTGGACCCCAAGTACGGGGCCTATGAGGTTGATTGTGGGTATATGTGGATGATTGTGGCCTCGTTAGTTCGGATTTAACGCAACAGGGATATACCGGTCAACTGGTCGACGCCAATACGTCAAACATGGACCAACTACTGCGAGTTACTGCCGTAATCTGACTTGTTATCTTGTATGGGTATTGCTTGGTGATAGACCACCATGGCTCAACACCGGTGGTAAGACGGCCTTGACGAGACCTCTCTTCAGCAAAGACGCATCGCAGAACGACTGCCTTAGCATTCCACCCGTCGGCCGAAGTACTTCCGGAATCCCGCCCGTACGTATATCTCACGCATCCTTCCATGTTTGCGGCGCTCATGCGCCCATAGCTGCTGTGATGGATGCCTTCTGCTACGGCTTATGCCTTCCCGAAGTCCGGACCGACCGCAGCCCTGCAGATCCACGGGTTCAGCAGCCATCAGCCGCCCTCCATAGATTTCGAGAACGGCCGTAAATAGTGTAAGTATACTTTTATCTTCCCAGGTGCATGCAGTGACCATCTCATGTGGACAGTAGCGAGAGACGGTAATACGATGCCCATCACCCGTGTCAGTTCGCCCGCCTCAATGGTCTCGGGGTCTATGCACGATCAGGGACGTTTCTCAGCAGTGCCTACTTAAAGCCTTCAGCTAGGCCTTTCTCCTCGGACATGCCGCCCTCCCTCGCACATCACCTCCGAGCGACGTCCAACAAGCTCACCATGGCTCGTGCACTGGCCTCAGTATGTCTCTATGCTTCTGTGTGCACACTGTTCCTCGCTGCGTTCGCCGCCCCTGTCTCTCTGGACATCCGCACTACCTCCGGCACCTTCAGAGGACTTAGCACAGGCAACGGAACTGAAAAGTGGCTCGGCGTCCCGTTCGCCCAGCCACCGGTGGGATCATTGCGGTTCAAGGCCCCCGTGGCCATCACGAACGCCTCACGAACTGTCAAAGATGCGTTCACGTTCGGAAATGCCTGCCCACAGGAGCCCTCCAGCAGTCTGGGTGCGCCGCTTTCTGAAGATTGCTTGTTCCTGAACGTACGCGGTCTATGTATATCGTCCTATATTTGCACACACTGACGATCTAAAATAGGTCTTCAGGCCCGCCGGGACGACACCCTCGGAGAAACTCCCGATACTCGTTTGGTTCTATGTACGTTGTCCGCGAACGGTTTAGCACGACCGCTAGCTCACGTTGGGTTTGATCAGGGCGGCGCGTTTATGAACGGGTACGCAGACAGCACAGCATGAGCGACGATCCGGGCTTCTAATGCCGCCACTGTGTAGGGCTGCCTCCGATCCACAGTTCGATCCCACGTGTAAGCGCGGTTCTCTGGTGTGCCAAGAGAAACACACTCATGCGTCTAAAGTTCTCATACAGCGCAGCGTGGCAACAAGCAAGCCGATTATATTCGTTTCCGTGTATGCACACCTTGCTCTAGTCCCCGGATTGCTGTTTATTTGTAACAATGACGTAGCAACTATCGCGTTAATACTTTCGGCTTCGTAAGTCGCTATCAGTCCGCATCCAAGAGCTTACTGAACGTTACTGGACACCTGGGGGTAGCTCGCCAGCAGTCACGTCCCCGCGGAGGATTTGAACGCTGGTCTGCTTGACCAACGTGCGGCGCTCACATTCTTGCAGGAGAATGCAGCAGCCTTCGGAGGCGATCCCTCGAAGGTGAGTTAACCCCCTCGTGCTCTACTCAAACTCGGTACTGACGAAGTCGCAAATATAGGTCACCATATGGGGCCAGGTACGCATGGAGTTAGTCTTTACTTTTTATAGCGTTGACGTCTGCGCAGTCCGCCGGTGCTGGAGCCGCGGAGGCGCAGGTTTTGTTCCCCACACCGCGCCCTCTCTTCCGCGCCGCCATCTTCGACTCGTCCACAGGCCCATTGTAAGCACACAAACTCCTCTTTCTCCACAGGGCGAACACAAACTCAGCATGCCGTAGTAAAAACGCCCCACCGGCAAGCCGCTATGATGACCCAGGTTTCCCCTTCGCCCGTCTGCTCGCAGCGACCGGCTGTCCTGCGGGGCCGGCTTCCTTTGCGTGCCTGCAGAAGTTGCCCTTCGAAGTGAGCCCCTTCTATCGTTAAACGCGTCTACAGCACACCACTCACTATGCGACATACGTAGACGCTGTTGAACGCCTCGAACACCCTGACGTCACAAGTGCTGAACGGCCAATTTTGGCAGCCCTCCGTGGGACCGCCAAACAGCTTCATGCCTGAGCGGCCCTCGCTGCGCATTGCGAGCGACAACTTCCTGCATGTCCCCATTCTCGCGGGAACGAACGTAAGTCCGCCTGATTTCTTGCTATATCTCCGCGTAACCAGACGTTCGTTCCCACAGAACAACGAAGGTACCGTATTCAGTGGGTCCGTACGGGGTTTGAACGTGCCTGCCGCACAAGAGAACGCGACCTTCGACACGTTCATCAAGAACCTCCTCATCGACCCGACCACCGTTACACAAGACACTCTCAACACGATCAACTCGCTCTACCCGCCCAACGACCCGGCGCTCGGCGCTCCTTTCAACACCGGTGATTCGCTCTTCGATCGCGCAGAGGCATGGTACACGGACAACATGTACCTCGCTGCGCGCCGGCTGCTCTTCAACAAGGCCGCACCGCTGCAGCCGCTTTTTGCGTACGCGTTCAGGGAGTTCATCCCTGGAAACGACCCGTCGCTCGGAGGTGCGTTCATCCCTGCATACCTGAATATAAGGGCCTGATAGGGCGATGTCCCTAGTGTTCCATGGTTCCGAGCTCGAGCTGCTCTTTGGCCACTTCCCGGCTGTCGAGCAGGCGTTCGCAGAGCAGATGGCTGACTTCTATATCAACTTCATCAACGATCTCAACCCCGGAGGTATGATATATAGTCACTACTGCCTGTCGCGCCGATGTTCACCACTTCGGATTAGCTCCCTGGCCACAGTTCACTTTGGAGACGAAACAGGTGCTCCAGCTGATGAGGGACAACATCACGGCCATTCCCGACGGTATGCTACCGAAGTGATGTTAAAGGGACCACCCTGACATACGTGTTCATAGACTTCAACCTGCAGAAGACGGACTTCCTCGATTCCACAGTTGTGCTGGGTCAATTCCAGAAGTGAACATGGGCGAATTGCTGTACGCGTAGCTGCCAATGTAGCTCTGTGTCTGGGCCGCTTGGCCTATCTAGTCTCGTACATCTCCATGACTATCGTCGCTCTTCAATAGCGCAATTCGACGGCATATCTCAATTTTCGGATGTGAAGCGTTTACGGAAGTCAAATAGGAGCCGTAGACTTACATAGACGCAGATCACTAGCGCGTGAAACCGTGAACATATACATTTCATCGCTCACCAGCATCCTAGGACGGCATACTAAGCTGCCAACATTTCGAACATGAGTTTTCCGCTCTGCCTAGCCGTATAGAGACAAAATTCGGACCGCCATGAGATGCCGGAGGGAGTCCAGGGAATCCTCGGGCCGGCCTCACGGTCCGTGCAGAGCGGTGATCGAGGCGGAGCGCCTTGGAGAGTTCGCTTGCAACGCGGGGTGGAACGCCTCAGCCACCGACGACCATGTCCGAATCCCGTCTACGACTGCTTACCCTCAACTGCTGGTCAGTCGTTTGTGTCTGAGCTGTATGTCCCGCTGATACATGTTGGCAGGGGTCTGAAGTATGTTTCAAAACACAGAAAGGAGCGCGTTACCGCCATAGCAGCCGCGCTAGCCGCCTCCGACCACGATGTCATCACGCTGCAAGAGCTTTGGGTGTTTGCAGACTATGAATACGTCCGAGATGCTGTCTCAAAGCGTCTACCACACTCCAAGTTCTTCTACAGGTGCGTGTGTCACTAGCGACCGGTTCGCACGCCAGAGCTGAGGTGTACGTTCTCGTAGCGGGGCGCTGGGAGCCGGCTTGGTCATATTCTCTCGGTTCCCCATCATTGCCGCCACTATACACCCCTACTCTTTGAATGGCTCGCCTGTCGATGTTGCCGCCGGGGACTGGTTTGTGGGCAAGGCCGCAGCCAGTATCCTATTCGCCCATCCTATTCTTGGACATGTACAGGTCTACAACACGCATGTGCGTTTCACCTTCCACATCTCATTCAACCCTGCACTGACAAGCCGTTATTGCTTAGCTCTTTGCCAAGGGTGGAGACGAAGGCGCAGAGTATCACAAGGCCCACCGTTTGGTGAACGCCTGGGAGTTCGCAAAGCTGGCAAGACAGTCCGCCGAACTGGGGCGCTATGTCATCGCCTCCGGAGATTTCAACAGCGTACCAAACTCGCTGCCCATGACCATCATTCGTGATCACGCCGGCCTCACCGACGCCTGGACTGTCACGCACCCCAACACGCCAGAACCGACCGCTGCGAGCCCACCGTCCCCAGAGCACGCAATACGCACCCATGGCGTCACCGCAGACTCCCCACTGAACTCGTACTCGGCCGGAAAGCCGCTAGAACCTCTCGCGCGCAAGTTCCAGGGCAAACGCCTCGACTACGTCTTCTTCCGCCAACCATCCAACCCCGGCGCGCCTGTCCTCCGACCAATCGACACGCGCGTCGTGCTCACCGAACGCGTCCCCGGATGCAGCTTCTCGTTCTCGGACCACTTCGGGCTCGAGGCCACATTCGCGATCGAGGGTGTCGATACAGCCGGCCCCCCACAGTCCCCCTCGGTGGCGCTGTCCTCCGTGTCCAGCACCCAGCACCCCACGTGCGCGAAGGACCTCTCCCCGGAGTCGATCACGCTCACGCTCTCCTCGCTCATGGCGCGCTACCGCTTCGCGCAGTCGCAGGCGCGCACGCAGCTCACCGTGTTCGCGGTGTGCATCGCGCTGCTGCTCGCGATCATCGTCGGGTCGGCGTGGTTCCCGCGCTCGTGGATCAACCCGATCTTCCTCGTCATGACGGTCGCGCTCGCGTGGCTCGCGACGACGATGTTGTATATTGGGTTTGTGTACGGGAACTGGGAGGTGAACGCGCTCACGAACATCATCGAGGAGCTCGAGTTGTACCGCGGGATGCTCCTGGATCAGAGGCGTAGCCGGAGTTCGCGCTCGTCGTGAGGGCGAGGGTCCGGGATTGGAGTTATGGAGGAGATCTATATATTGGAGTGTGCTACTCTGTCCATCGGAGGAAACATGCGGAACAGACTACGTACTATACACATGGATTGGGAACATTAGTGAACGTCCTACTCTATGAACGGCACAGACTACTGAATACGAGGTCCGGAGCGATGTGGTATGTAATCAGCCCAAGCGGCCACGCAAGTGTGATGGTCCATGACACTCTCAGTCCTTGGGGAGTGAAACAGACCGTGTGCGCATGCAGACTGCGGTTTATATGCCTACAGATGATGGTACACGACAACATCAAACCCGTTCCAAATGCATGCTCGAAAGGAAGCGACAACAAAGACAGCGACTAGCTACGCTTGGCAGAGAACGCAGACAGAGACAACGTCCTTGAATGCCTTCGCGCCACGGTCGCCTGCGGCGACGACACCGGGCTCTCCGGCTTGTACGTCGTCGTATGGTTCGCCGGGCCCAACGAGTGCCACTGCTGGCACAGCGAGCTGATGTCCGGATGGCTATACTGCGAGCGGCGGATCGCAGGCTCCGGCGGCGCGTCCACCGAAGACGTCATGCTCAGCGACGACATGCGTGTGCGCCGGCGCGGGGGCGGCGCGACGTCGTCCGCGGAGGCGGGACCGTGCGCGTGCACGGGGTCGACGTGGATGGAGTCGGACGCGGAGACGGTCGCGGCGTCTGCGATGGCGGAGAATGTCGAGCGCAGGCGGGCGAGGGAGGGTCGTTTCGGAAGAAGCGATGGACGGGCGGCGGGGCTGTGGGGAGGGGGTGTATAGGATCGTGATGGACGCAGAGCGCCGCCTTCGAACAAGTCTCCTTCGTCCTCGCTGCTAGAGGATACGTACTTGGAATCCCAGCTCGGGTCATCGCCTTGAAGGGTGGGCGTTGGGGAGACGGAACGGCGTTTCCGGCGGTAGCTGCCGCTGTCACGTTTGCTCTTCGGAGACTGGGAGATTGCTTCGCGACCTGCGCCGGTTTCAGTGCCGTCTCCGCGGACTACGCGTGCCGCGTCGTTGTCGATCTCGTCCTCGAGACCCTTCTCAGCTGACGTGTCGAGGGACTGCGGTGTGCGACTCTGGTATTGCGGGAGAAAGGACCACACGAAGTCATGGCAGGATATAAATGCGTGTTTAGCGGCATCCAGGAAGGGGAGTGATTGGAATACGTGGACCTGGAAGCGAGATGTGAGATGTCCGTGTTGCGTCCCGTGAAGGTAAGCCACCTACCATATCTTCGTAGAGCTCATGTCGTACTTCGACGCCTGCTAGAGTGGCCTTGTGCGCAAGGAGCGTGATCTCGTCCCGAAGCACCTCGACTTCGCCGGCTTGAATAAGTAATGGCGGCAGTCCCTTGAAGTCTCCGAACAATGGGCTGGCGTAGGGATGTGTCAGGTATTTCTCCATGTGCTCGCCGAGGTAGCAGGCTATCGGGTTTAGATGGTCGCCGGGTTGGGGCATGGGAACAATGTCGTACTGAGCATTACTTTCCCAGGACTCGCAACTCATGGTAAGATCTGTCGTCAGAGTTGTGTGAGTCGCTGGAGCGGATGTTGGAGCAAAACCAAACTTACCGACCCATGGTGACATCAAGATGGCACCGGCAGGTAAAGGGTAATCGTTGTCGCGCAGGTACATCAAAAGTGCGAGCGTGAGACCACCTCCAGCACTATCCCCGGCGACGACGATGTTCTCTGGGGGAACATGGAGGTCGTCCACAAGTCTAAAGTATGCGGAAACAGCATCATGGAGGGGACCTGGGAAGCGGGTTTCGGGTGCAAGTCGGTAATTCACAACTAGATACAAGTCAGCGTATACGAGCCCTTTCACAAGGCTTGTACTTACCGAATAATCGTGCGTCCAGGTACTTGGCAAGGGGAAGTGTGATCAACCTATGCGTCGCCGCACTAAACATATAATATGCTCCTGCGGAAGGCTGTGAGCGCAGGGACGCAGGGAGTACGACCATGGTACGACGTACCGCCATGGAGGTATAGCACCACGCGTTCTTTCCGCTTCGGCTTCTCACCGAACTTGCCTTCCTTCCGAGCTTTCCACTCCGCTTGTAGTCTGTGCCATGTCTTCTTGCCGACAACCCACTCGGCACATAGTTCCCGCGTGCCGTCTTCGGCTGCGTCAAAGTCCTCCAGGATACCCCGTAACCCGCGTTTCCTAACGGAGAACGTGACCGGCGTTACGAGAGCATCGGATGGTACGGGTACCAAGCCACCGATGCTCATAAGCATACGAATAGTGTCCTGCGACGCGTAAGCTCACGACTGACGAGTGAGGTGGAGATTTACATACAATATCGGTCAGGTGGGAGTAACGACTGACTCCGCGCATCATGCTCGAAAGCAGGGTCATCTCGATCCCCCATGACTTCCGCGGCGGGCCCCACAAGTGATGCGAAAGCGCGTCCGCGGCGAGTGTCGTGGCTAATGTATGCATCAAGCAGTGTGAGCAACATTGTCTCGCCAAGCAATGTACGGAAGATCGACGTCATGTAGAAGACTGAATAGAGACGAGCCAATCTAAGATCGTTACCCCGCATTCGCAGGAATCATCAAAAGTTCTGGGACGCTGTTGTTCGATCGGAGGCAGTGGGCTCGCTGACTTGGGAAGAAACCGTATGCCGTTGCGGCGTGGGCGGAAGGTTGTTTGACAACGAGACTCACCTTTGACTGCCGCGAACGCTCCGAACTTCCACCAGTGCCATAGCCTCATCGGTTCTCGTTGACCCTGCTTGAGCCTGGGGTCTCCGACTCTGGAGGAGGGCGGTTGTACCCCAGGGCGTTCAAAGTGTTTCAAGGCCTCTGAGGGGTTTGAATCGGATATAGTTGTGGGCAGCTTGGAGAGCACCGAAGGCTGCGGCTCCTCCGAGGGCTGCACAGGATCCGCGGGGGCTTTCGAGAGGAACCAGCGCATAGGGAGCAGGCGGAATCGAAACGGAAACAAGAGGTATACTCGACCACAGAGACTGAAGCACTGTAAGCTGGGAGATGATTAAGAGGAAGGAGGCAATTGGCGGGAGAGGGAGAGGACGACAAAGGGAGAACGCTCTCGCGACCGCACAGCGGGCGCCTGTTGTGCTCACATTGCCCCACAGTCCGTAAACGGCAATCACATGCGTGATCGAGGCACTCCCCGACGTTCTGCCGCGGCAGTGCCGTTCAGAATCCGCGCACGCGACGTCTCCGTACAAGGTCACTCTGTCCTTCCGGCTCTCAGTACAACAACAACATCGCAGTAATCTGGCAGTCCGCCGCAGTCGTCTGACCGTCCTATGACCGTCTCCTGCGAGTTCCGCCCACGGCTGCCTAGTAATCGTCTCCCCGGCTGACCACTTCTTTCCGTGTCGGACGTAATAGAATGGTGTGCTCCTACAAGACTGTGTCAGTCCATGTTCCGTGCCAAGCGCCAATTCTTGACATACAAATTGAGCAGTCATCGATCCTCGGACATCACATAGCGGAGGGTAGTCCTGCACGATACCTTGAGATACCAAGTGGTTGAGCTGCGTAGAATACCAGCCTGTCAGTACTTTTCTCAGCCAGCCCAGGAATTAGGTACACACTGCAAGGAGGTACTTGCTCTCTCCCGCTCGCTCAAGATAGCGCCGGCAGAAGGGCAGAGTGCCGAAGTTTTTGTTGATCGATTTCAATAGTGACTTCGCCGATGTCAATCTGTGCACATCCATTCATCAGCAACGTGCTTCTCGATGTATTGCAACTCGCTCTCAGAGACATACCGGAGAGGAACATGTGGCGCGTCCACCACTCGGGCGTAGTGCGAGCATTCACCCTGCTCGATGACCTTTCCTCGCCCTGTAGAGCCGAAGGTCTCGATTGCGAAGTACTCGCCCTCCTCCATCTTGGTCTGATCGTCGTTCTTCACCAGGAGGACCGACTTGCCGCCATGAATTTGGTAGGGGGTGATGGTGTGTCCGCTGAGGTGCTCAATTGGTTTAACTGTAGTAGAAATGTCAGGACATCGGTATCTATCGACTGATACGCCGGTAAGACACTAACCAGGTAGTACCTTGCCGTTGACCTCAACTTCGTAGGATTCCATGGTTTCCTGGATATAGCCTGCGAGCTCGCCAAGGCGAACATCAATTCCAGCTTCCTAGCAGCCAAATTTCCAGGTTAGCGGAGACAATGGAGAACCCATACAATGATCGTACCCGGATGCCAGTGTCTGTCGCCGCCCTGACTGCCTCGAGCAGCTTGTCGTATGTGGGGTCGAACGACAGCGTGAATGCAGAGTCCAGGATCCGCCCCTTCACGTGCACACCGAAGTCGACCTTCAGCACGTCCTTCTCACCCAGAACTGCCGGCGCACAAAATTAGTCCAGGCCGCTTCCCACCCGAGCCCTACGGGCACCCGCGCCGCGGAAGCGGAAGCGGAAGAGGGACGCACCCAGCGTGTCGCCCGGATTGGGCGAGTAGTGCGCCGCGCAGTGGTTCAGGCTGAGCCCGGTGGGGAACCCGATGCCCGCCTCGAGCCCGTTCTCCTCGACGAGGGCGCGCGTGCCGTTCTCGATCACCTCCGCGATGTCGATCATGCGCATCCCCGGCCTGATCACCTTGCGCGCGTACTTGCGCACCTGCCGGTGCACCTCTGCGCCGCGCCGGATGCTGTTGTAGGTCACCTCTGGGTCCTCCATTGCCATGCGCTCGTCGTAGCGCCTCTCCTCGGACGTTGTGCGATAGGCATTGCTGCGGGCGATACGGTCAGTATCACGCGGAGATCGCAGGAGGGGGCGGGACGGGGCGCACTCGTCTTTGTAATCTTGCAGCTCGCCCTCGGGGTAGTTGCCGTCGGGGAACAGTTTGGAGAGCCCGATAGTGGGCGGCTCCGTCTGCTCTACTTTCTTCTTCTTGGGCTTTTTCTTTTTCTTCTTCTTCTTGCCCTCGCCTGCAACGTGCTGAATGAGTAATCTGACGCCAACCAGAACACATCTTATCGCTCACCGCCAGCGCCCTGCGCCTCGGGTGCACCGTCCTCTTCCGCCTCATCTGCATCCTCCTCCGCCTCCGGGGAGGCGGGGGGCACTTCGTCGGGCTTCTTCTCGACTGAGGCGGTCATCATCCGCCCTGAACGCGCGCTGGCTGGGCCGCTGCAGGAATAGTCGTCGTCAAGGCTGGGGTCCAGAAAGAGAAACGAGCACGGGCGACGGCGCAGCTGAGCAAGCTTTCGAAGCAAAACCGGTCAGACGCCTCAGCTCAGCCAAAAGGCGATCGTCCATCGTGGGCGGCCCGCACGTGACAGACGCCCCCTCTGCATCCGAAAGTGGTGGCGGCGGAGCTCGTGGCGCTCGTACGCTCTTGTCGACATACCGCTGCCAGCTGCTATTACCGTCGCGCGTTGCTGGGAGGCTGTCTCGAGGACAACGCTGGACAGAGGATATAGACGGAGAGAAGGCAAGTCACACTCCTAACTTATTCAATGCGAGAAGGAGAGCAGCGTGGCCGCGACCCACTCCTGGGGCGGGTATTACGCGACCCCGGGCCAAGGAATTGGGTTGGCAGCGTTCTCCCGGGCTCTCACATGCGTTTGCACCTGCGCAGCGCCATGATGAACCACCTCTTTCAAAGGTCTCGTCGTGTCTGGGCCGGCGATGCTGCAGCGAATGCCGTGGTTCAAACGTACGCGAGTTAAAGCTAGCTTTCGAAAACACGTATTCTGTAGGTACGTGGCGTACCATGTATACGTAAGTGAAGCGGGCTGTAGGCGGGATGACTCGCACAGAGCCTAAAGCTTAGGGCGGACGATCCAGGCTGAATTTGATTATTTTGTCAAATCTGCGTTTGCGGGGTCTGCAGGTGAGTTTGAGTCAATACGCCCGGTAGTCGCACATCTCACAGGGCAGAAGTGGATTGCTTATACCCTCTTGCAGTCGCCTGAACTAGCTTGACGAAGATGTCATCACCTCTAAGCCAAACCCTCCCTCGGCCACCCCCCATCCTCCTTGACCTATATGGGTTGCCTGCGTCCGAAGCTATCCACCCATCGATATACGAAGAGTCACGCGAAGCATCGCTCTTCACGCCTTCAAACGACGAGAATAGACCGTGCGTGACACTCACCTTTGCACAATCCCTCGATGCGAAGATCGCCGGGGCGGGGGGCAAGCAGCTCATCCTGAGTGGGAAAGAGAGCATGGTGATGACCCACTGGTGCGTGCACAGAAGACCTACATCTTCAAAATGAGGTGCGATGGTAAGACAGGATGCGCACCTTGCACGATGCGATCGTAGTCGGCATCGGCACTGCGCTGAACGACGATCCCCAGCTTAACAGTAAGTCCCGATACATTCACCTTCAACGACGCGTATTTCGAGTGCACGAGCGAACATGCCCTCGGTAGCTCGTCACCTTCCCCCGCTCCCCGAAGGACACCCTCACGGGTACCGCATTCCGAGGCCAGTCATCCTCGACACGCACCTCCGTCTCCCGCCTACGTGCAAGCTCCTGCGAAACTACCAAGCCGGACGCGGTCGGCGTCCCTGGGTCGTCTGCGCGCGTCGGACAGGATCGCGCGACGTCGCAGGCAACGAGGCGTTCACGAAGCGAGCAGCAGCCCTCCAGAACGCAGGCGCGCGCATCGTCGAAGTGGACGCTGACGAGGCTACCGGTAGGCCCTATCTGTCCAATATACAAATTGCAGCGAGGCCCTGAAGGCGTCGAACGTGGTGGTTTGCGATTGACAGGTGCGATCGCCATCCCGGCCCTCCTGTCCGCCCTGCGCGAGCTTGGCGTGCGCTCGGTGATGGTCGAGGGCGGCGCGCGCGTTATTCGCGCGTTCCTCTCTGCCGCCGCGCCCGCGCACCGATCTGCGGGTTCAGGCTCAGGCTCAGGGGACACAGACACGAAGACGGAGAACGCGAAGGCCGTCGACGCGCTCGTCGTGACCGTCGCACCGACGCTCGTGGGTGCGGCGGGTGTGGGATACGGCACTGAATTGCTCGCGGACGCAGTACGTGTGCCCAATCGCGCCTGCCCCGCACCGTCGATAGCGACTGATATATCTGTGTGCCCGCCGAAGCTACCGACGTTTCAGCACGTCCGGACCGAGGCGTTCGGGCCTGACGCCGTGACGGCCCTAAAGGTGCTGTAGCTGCGGCGAGCGGCGAGCCTGGCGGTCGGGCGTATCTGTGTACGAGCCTGGCGGTTGGGTGTATTTCGGCGCAGGAATACGCAGTGTAAAAAGGGGTGCTCAATTCTCGCCGTTCGTTCGCGCGTTCGGGCGCTACATGGGCGCTACACCTACGCGGTTCAGACTCCGCCTAGCACAGTGTCGAGCGTCGTGCTTCGTCGCAAGTGTTGCTAGCACCAAGATGCTCTCTGTGATCACTTAATGGACTAAAAATAAGTACAAGATGCTGAGGTACTAGGCACCATGAGCTAATTTCACGGACCTGCCATGCACATTCGCAGTCGGGCGCTTCTTTCGCCGCAAGAAAGTACTAAAGCAGCCACAAATGGCAGAAATTATGTGAATCTCCTCTAGATACAGTCAGGAAATTCTTGCCCCCGGTCAAGCTGCCGTGTACTTGCAGGAGTACCACTGACGAGCGTGTACGCGCACAACGCTCGACACTGTGCTAGGCGGAGTCTGAACCGCGTAGGTGTAGCGCCCATGTAGCGCCCGAACGCGCGAACGAACGGCGAGAATTGAGCACCCCTAAAGGCCCTGGGCGATATCGAACGACGACGGCCTCCTGTAAGGCGTGCTTTGACGGCCCTGGCTAGTGCGGTCCCTTGCCGGCTGCGGCACGCTGTTTTCGCGACTGAGGGCCCTTCCGGTGAGAGAATAATACCGTGACGATGGAGCTGGATATACCGGACTTTGCGCGCACAATAGACTTGATTCTCCACTTTCCAGCAGTCGCCGCCTGGAAAGATGGAAGGCCCGCCGTCCCGCGAGCGTGGTGCGGAGCTGGCGTGCCTGCGCTGTGCCTGCGAGTTCCTGGAGAAACGTGCGATGATGTGACATGCTGTGACCGACGCGTGACGCTTCGCGCTAATCGCAGCCAGCGCCGGAGCTTGGGGGGAAAGCGGTCGTTTGGGATCTGCAGAAGGCAAGGCGTAGCATGATAAGGCGGGTGTGGCAGCGTGGCCTATCCACGGGTCGTCCGCGGTGCGACCACAGGACAGACGGAAGGCGTCGAAGACTCGAAGACCCTCACGGTCGTGAGCGGGGTCGGCCGACCCTTATGTACATGGCGGCAGCCTTGCGGCAGAGCATGGCTTCTCGAGACATTTGCGGCGGGGGACGTGCGAATGAAGCGGGGATACACGCGTCTCGCCGGACACGCTGCATTGAGGATTAAGCTCAGAAGCCGCTGGGTTGGGGCGTCGATACGGGGCGCTCGCAAAGCCATGCGAACATGGGAAGAGGCGACCCAAAGATTGCGCCGAGTTCTTCCGACGCGCCGCGCAGAGCGCATGCATGTCCGCCGCAGGTAGAACGGTATGCATGCGGTGTCTGAAGGTGCGCCGGGGGTCATGAGTGCGCCGCCACCTGTGTTATGGCCTCCTAATCACAGCCGCTTACAGGTGGTGGTCAGAGTTTGCGCTCGGCTAGTCCAGGTGGGTGTAGAACACACAAAGCCAGCGCTGTGGAAGCATTCGGTCCAGGCGGTGTGACAGTTCCTGGAATGTATAGGGACATTGCCGTGCAGCTGTGGGGGGCGGCGAGAGCGATCAGAATGCCGTGAGTCTGGCGTGTGTCCGCGGCGGCGGGCGATGTGGAGCAGAACGGGACTCGCGACGAGAGCAGGATGTGTTGGAAGCGTCTGGAAGTGGGCGCACACACGATAATCGACAGGCAACGCGGACGAGGGCGCTGATCCGGAACGTGGCCACCAATGGCGTGGGGGGAGACCAGGGACGGCCAGGGCGAAGGTGGGTTGACGCGCATGGGACGGCGTGACGTCAGAACGACGCGGTCGGTCGTCACGCTAAAATACAGGCCGCCCTGGCCGGAGATGGCACCTCTTCGCCCTCCCCGTCCGACTCAGGTCGATTATTTCCCCCCTCCTCCTCCTCCATGGCCCTCCCGCCCCAAGCGTAGGCGTCGCCCTCACAGGCCTCTCCGCGCCCACCTCCACGCCCCTCGCGCGCGACTCATCGTCGTCGCCCGTGTCTTCCTCCTTGTCTGCGCAGGGAAGCGCGCCCTATCTCTCGAAGGCCCCTCGGTGCCTGCAGATCCCCCACAGCGCCCTTCAGGAAACAGGCTCCATGGAGTACCAGCGCAAGCGCACTGACGTCCATGCATCCATCCCAGCAGAGATCTTTAACCCGTACGCCATGCCTCGGGCGGCGTACGCGCCCTGGGGCGGACTCGTAGATGGCCGTTATCCATCGTTTGCGTCGTCCACGAGCTCCTTGCGCCCGACGCGCGACGAGAAGCGGCTGCCGGAGACGCCCGCCCGACGATGTACGTTTGTTGACAATCTTCCTTCTTCGCTTCATACTGAGATCCTCTATAGCCGACGCAGTCCGCGCAGACCCTCGCTCTTCGCAGCAACCCGCTCCACGTCCTTCTCGTCATGCCGCCCCTCTCGTGCTCGTCGCCGTTGGGAACGCGATCCACGCCGAAAGCGACAGACGCACGAAGGTTCGCTTATCACCGGCGGCGGCGGACGTGGACGAGGATATACCGCCTCCTGTCCCTCCCAAGTCTCCATTGAGGTTCAACCGTGCAGAGTCTGTCTCGTCACAGATGCCTACCGATATCTCACCGGCGGCACGCACCTTCTCCCACTCTCAGTCCGACGTCGGCCACTCGTATCGCACTACCGTCAATGGCACCGCGACTTCGCCGGAGGGCGCGCCGGGCGCCCGGGCGATATTAACTTCCCCCCATGTGTCCACACCTGCCGGCCATGACAGCTTGTCCTCACCGAAGGCCCCACACGCTCGCACTTCCATGGAGCCTGCTACGCGTAAAGCCTCTTCAATCCGCGTTCGCAGGAACAAGCTGCACAAAACCCGTCAGCACTCCTTGCCGCCGTCGTCTTTCCGCCAGTCGCTCTTTGGCTCTCTGTTCGCGCGTGCCTTTGGATCCCACGACGCTGCCTGTCTCTCCAGTAGGTCGAGCAGCTCGCCCAGCATGAGCGACAGGCCTTACAGGGCCACTCGCAGCGTGAGCGACAGCGGACATTCGGTCACGAACCGGCCCCTACCCAGCTCGAGGAGCAGCGACACGACGGACAGTAGCTGTACGACGGATAGCTCGGGAAGCACCGCGTTCTCGTACGCCTCAACAGCCTTGACCACTCCTGATGCCTCCCCGCCCTCTCTGTCCCCGCGCAACAGCACGAAGGGCGTCCGCGCGAACAAGCTTCACAAGCGGCGGCCGCCACGGGCGCCGTCGGGCGTGTACCAGTATCCACTCGGGGGGCATGCGGCAGCTCTAGGCAGGTCGCAATCGACTCCAGACGATCTAGGCCAGCGCCCGCCGACTAGGAGGAATTGGTCAAGTGTCGAAGAAGCGCGATACACTGCTGAAGAGGCCGACTCGTTGGAGTACGGTCCGGACCCGGCCTCATGGTATACTTCCGTAAGCCTCCTTGCTTGCTGCGCGCTATCTCCCGGCACTGACGTGCTCCTCATGCCATCCGCCCGGCCATCACGTTCTGTCCCGAACTGCGTCCTACCACCGTCAATCGTGACATCATGCGCAAATTCGCTGCCCGCAGTTGACGGACCTCTCGTCGCCTTCACGCGATTCGCGGCGGGCGTCGACGTTGGACCCGATCTTCGAAGTCCGGAGCAAACGCTCTTCGCATGCGCTCGCGCAGCTGGCCTGCACTGGCTTGTGCTCGACCTCCGTTGCCGCCCTGTCTTCTCAGCTTGCTCTGCAGGATGACCTGTCCGATCGCCTTTCCAGCCTCAACGTACGTGAGTGGGACGATCCCATCAACGCAGACCCATTCAATCCGTACGTGGAATGCGCATCGCCGACGGAGTATGTGATTGGTGGCCCTCCTTCACCATCCGCGGAGTCTTCGACTTCTAGCCCCAGCCCTCTCCAGCGCGTTGCGCGAGGCAAGGCCGAAGGCACTGGGTTCTCTGTGGTCAGCGGATCCCTCGACAGAAGCGAAGACGCGATGCGGCGCTGGACACTTGCGATGGCCGATGTCCCAGACGAAGTCCTCGTGCACCATCTCGAACGTCTGCGGAAGGAGAGCCAGGCGCTGGCGCGTGGTCGCCTGCCCGGCCGTCGCAGTGCTGCGCCCAGCCAGGTTGGCCACGGAGACGAGAACTCCACTCTGGACACCAGCGACCGCCGGTCGTCGTTTTTCTTCGGAGGGCCGCGCGAGATGGGCATCTCAACGCGTTCTCCGTCGCGCGCACGCTTCAGTGTCGGCAACTTCGACCGCGAGCTTGACGGTGACATCTCGGACGACGACGCGCTTTCGGACGGAGACAACGAGGAGGACTGGAACACGGCGCGCCAGATGCTCTTTCGCTGCCGCGAGCTCGTGCAGACAGAGCGGAACTACCAGGCTCGCCTCCGCGAGCTGGCTTCCACGGACCTCTCCTCGCATTACGCGTGGCTGGTCGTCCGCCACCTCCCTGCTCTCATCAAAGTGTCTGAGACGCTGCTCGCGCACCTCTTCGACGACCCAAGTGCGTGGGGTGTCAGCACCGCCTTCATTGGCTGTGAGGAGGAGCTGGAGACCGCCCTGGTCGCGTGGTCGGCCGTCGTCGGCGAGTTCTTCGCAGAGGACGCCAACCTCAGGCCGACACGCAAGTTGACGAAGAAGTTCGCGGACGACAGCTCGAACCACGGGCACGACTCTCCCGCGCCGAGCCTGCGGCTCGCGATGCGCACGCGCAGCCAGAATGGCACATCGACGCCCATCAAGCGCGACTCTATGGCTGGCCGCCGGTTCTCCACCACAATGTCCGACGTCGGCCATGGCGGCGGCGAGACAAGCTCGAGCATTGGGCACGGCAGCGGGATGTTTACCGCTGCGCTGGGCACTGGACTCGCGTTCGGCCTCTCCGTCCCGCAGATGCCGCCGCCCTTCGAGCCCGACTATTCCCCGGTTAGACCCGCGCACGCTCGCAGCGCGCACGGACACGGGCAGAAGGCTAATGCTTCGGCCCTCGGGCTGAGCCGCGCGATGACGGCAATGACCGCGGTGGGCGCGTGGAAGCGCAAGAGCATGCCGTCGTCGCTCAGCAACTTGCCGGGCCTGGTGAACCCGCCGGCGTCCCCGGTCTCCCCACACACGCCGACGCATGGATACGGCAGCCACGCGCACACGCACCACGGCCACTCGTCGAGCGCGAGTGCCCACGGACACGGGAAAAAGCACTCGGAGCAGGACGCGAAGATGCATGTGCGCGAGCTGGCGATCCAGCCGACGCAGAGGGTCATGCGCTATGTGCTGCAGTACCGAGGTGCGTTGCTTAGGCTTTCTGTCGATTAAGCATAACAGTGACACTGACCACCTGCCGTGCAGACCTGCTTGATCACACCCCGACGACGAGCCCCTCGCGTGCTCTGGTCGAGCGCGCATACGAGATTGCGCTTCGCATCGCGAAGAGGTGCGACCGGGCGCAGGCCCACGCCGCGTTCCTTCGCCAGCAGCACCAAAAGTAACTCGTTCACGCTTCCCTTCACGACGATGTAACGATCACGACCCCGCACGACTGCATTGACTCTCCATTCTGCAACGCCCCCACCCCACCACCACACACCCCCACCCCTGCAGCATTCGCATCATCATCCCCATCTCGGTCCCCTTCCCCGCCCCCATTCCATTCCCCTTCGCTCTGCCTTGCATCTGTCCGTTCCTGTGTAAACCCATTATATATGGTATTGTAAAGTGTAACTTGGCTTAACGTCCTGTTGCTGCGCTTCGACCCGCCTCGCCCGATCCACGTCTTGGCATCCCCAGCACTTCGCCATAATCCCTCTTGCATTCGACCCCCCGTACCCACACATCGGCTCCGTCCCCCGTCTCCCCTCCTGCTTTCTCCCCACCTCCGCTTCGGCCGCACGCGTTTTCTCTCCGCCCCGTCCCGCGCCCACGCGTCTGTCCCCGTTTCCCCGCATCCCCGTCTCGTCTCTTCTCGTTCTCGCACTTCCCTCGAAGCAGCCTTCGATGTACACCACACACCTCTTCTCCCTTGTCAACCTATTTATCTACTCTCACGTTGTAGGATACAGTAGAGGCCCCCCAGGCGCGTGGCTACGTCTCGTTTGTTTGTCTGGTGTGCGTACGATGTCATGTCCCACCTCCGCGCGGCGTGCCCGTACGGCACGCTGCGTCATAGAGAATATAACCCCATCTGTACACGTTGATAGTTATGATACGACCGACGTCATACACGAATAGATTCTGACGACATACGACATGCGGGCCTTGGGGCCTAACTTGTGATGCGGCGTGTGGGAAGGTTAAGAACAACGTGTTGTACAACAGGATACGAGAACAGCAGGTCGACGGAGCGGCGAATACAGCATGGTACTAATACAGGTTCGGAGGAAGTACAACTTAACAAAGAGGTGGAATGGGACAACGTGAAAAGTAACGGTGCAACGGAGTGAGCACAAGCCTAGCAACGGAGATGAGGAGGAGAGACGGGAGGGTATGGTGTGGATCACTGGAGGTTGAAGAACGCAGGAAGGCTCCGCCACAGCTCCCTCCGCTTCTTCTCGGCCATGACCGTGATCTCGGTCGTGCACGCCGCGCACGGCAGCTCTGTGAACAGCGTGTCCAAGCGCATGCAGTCGTACAAAATATCAAGCGGGTCGTCCATCGAGTTCGGCGCGTTCTCCTGGAAGTACTTCCAGCAGTCGTTCCGCGCCTTCGTGCACCCCTTCACGCCCCGCTGGCAGCGCGGCCCGAATATGTCCGTGCCCACCGCGCGTGTGTACCCCGCGAGCAGCTTCTGCCCGTGCACGAGCCGCATCAGGTCCCGCTTGTCGAGCAGCCGCCACCGCGCCGTGCGCGCCCCGAACCGCAGGTGCTTCCCCGGGTTCGCGCGGTACGCGTCCCAGTCCGCGTCTGTGCTGAGCAGCGCGAGCTGGTAGAACGCCGCGGGCAGCAGGCTCGGGATCCCGTGGTCGCTCGCGATGCGGATCGCGGACGCGGGCTCGGGCAGGCGGTCGTCGAGGTATCGTCCGCCGACCTTGCCGGTGAGCTGCAGCGAGTGCTCGGAACGGAGGATGACGGCTTCGGCGCGGCGGGCATCCCACTGCGCGAGGGTCTGCGGCCAGTCGGCCTCGAGGTTTTCGATGATGCGGTGTCGGACGGCGTCGCATTCGAACTTTGTCGCGAGTTTGAGCGCGCCCTCGACGAGCACGGGCGTGTTGGGATCAAAGCGCTTGTATGCGGCGCCGCTGCAAGGGGAACGCTAGGTGAGTGACGTGCGTGTGGTGGCGAAAGAAGGGAGAACGCAAAAGTAGCATCTGTCACAAGTGTAGAACGCATACTCCGGGATAACTTGAAGTTGCCGGTACCCTTTATCATCAAAGTTGACGAGAACGACACACTTTGAATGGACGCCAGATGTTTGTAATGCGCATGTCCGAGGCGGCTCCCTCAAGATCGTCGCGATTTTCCTTGAACTCTCGCTTCACCCCCGAGAGCCATCCTAAAAGTTTATCGCGCCACTCGCATCGTACTTTGTGGAATGCATGGAACCGTACCACGATCTTAGGGCTACCTCTCGACGTACAAAGTGAACGGCGGGAGGCTCGCTGCGGCGGCTGATATAGCGAGCGACTCGAGTGGGTTGTACGGTCGTACCATTCACGCGAAGCGCGCTCTGCGGGCAATGTACTGGCTGCTATGAGCACCGCGTCGATTATGGCTGTTCCGTTGTTCTGGGGAACATACCAAACAGACATGTTCCCAAGAGCGACGTTTTCAAATGCGCGCACGGGTATAGGCTCCTGAACATCAGGTACTCACAGTGGGTCGTAGAACATCGTGAGAAAGCTGACGAGCTCCTCTGCACTGTCCGGCATCTGGACGTGCACGACGCCGTCGTACGTCTCCGCGATGCACGTCCGCGAGCCGGGCACAAGGAGTGGCGGGATTGCGAACATGTCCGCGATCATGGGCGAGTGGCGGCACAGGACCGACTTGTGCACCTTGAAGTACTGGCGAGTGCCGTTCTGGGTGAGCGCGGAGAGCACGACCGTCCCATCGTCGTAGTAGAGATCCGGATGTCGCTCGCTAGTCGGGACGGTCGCCACTGAAGCGGAGCTGTAGCTGTAGTCTGTGTCGGAACTCGTGCTGCTGAGGGGCGAGTTTGGAGGTATGTCGTCCGTCATTTACGGGTACTCTGCGCGAAAAACGTCTGCAGAGAACGCGAGCGCTGTACGGATGGTGTCACAGGTCGAGTAGAGGGGTGGAGAAAGAGAGATTTGGCATTTGGTCGCGTGTGGGGAGGAATAAGATGCGCGGTCAGTCTCGGGGACACTGCTTCCTGGATATACTGGGCGCATCATCAAGTCATGCGCCCGCGAGTTCGCAGCTCACTTATTTATTGCTCCCAGCAGTCGATAGGAGTGATCATATGGCCTCAGAACATAGGTCGTGTGAAGTTGCAGATGAGACTCATGATCTGAGGAGGAGAAGTATGCACATCGCTGCACAAAGCTTGATCAACTTACAAGACGTCCATACCTTATGGAGAAGATTATCTGAAGTAAGCACCATAGATATATACACGTACTTCCAGCAGGATTCATATTGATAGAACATCACGAAGATCTTGCGCTCATAAGGCTTGGAGCACCGACAGGGCTTGAACCAAACGCGGCAGCTTACCTCCTCGACGCCGGCGCCGGCCACTTGCGTAAGGCTCACCACGGCTTGGTGTGCATATGGTCTCCGTGAAGGTATGTTCTCGGGGGCTGTTCTGCGCGAAGGCCTCTGTGCAGGAGATCAGTTGGGGTGAGTCATCTCGAGGGAGGGCAATGGTCCCGTCTGGGGGTTGATATGATGCCCGACCCCGCGAAACTGGCGGTGGCAGGATGCGGGCGAGTCAACCTTCCGACGTACATATATGGAGGTGTCGCAGGATGTCGCTTCATTGATCTCTGAGCAGAGTAAAAGGGTGGTGGTTTATCAATATCAATGCTGCTGTCATTCATTGAACCTGATTTGTCCTATACGACAACCCTCAACTCCATTGAAAGTCAGAACGTACTCTCCTTCGACTACCCCGTCCCGCTTGAGCTCGCCTTCGACAGCCTCGACTATCCGACCGTGTTCGAGTAGCCAACGGCGCATTACGCCAGGCAGACACCCGGTGGAAGCTGAAGGTGTCACCCAGCGTGGTGGTGAACGACGCACGAAGGCAATGTTGCGTATCGACGTCTCGGTAATGTCGCCGTCCTCATTGTACAGCAAGACCTCGAGGGGGGAAGCCGCGGGTGGAGGGGGAATATGAAAGCGGTTCCTGGCAGCCGTATAGTGATCCCGACAAGTAGTTTTCGTTCGTGTGAACAGACTGGAGGGCGTTGGTTCGGTGTCAAGGAATACTGCCAAGGGGTCCAGCGATGGCAAAGATTGAGTGGCAGAAGAAAGTGTCGGTAGCCAAAGTGATGATGCCGCTATGTCAGGAACTGGGAGTGAAGGGATTGGGGCGGCAGTAACGGAGAGAGAGCCCGAAAAGGACAACAAGATGCGGATCTGGATCAGCGAGTGAGCATGAGGGTGTGTGCAGAATGTGTGCGAACGACAGCGCAGTACCCGGAAGGCACCCTCGGGACACTCAGAACCTCCCCCTGCGCCCATGATCGCAGCCTTGCATAATCCCTCTAAGCGATCCAAGGAGACGTCCGCCGGGATTGTCCAGTTATGTGCCGCCGCTGCACTGAGGAGCCTGTCTCGGTGATAGCTGAGCAGGAAATATGGAGAGGGTGTGCCTGCGTTTGCATCCGTGTTCCAGGCGAGGTCTCGGAGACATGGGGTGTATCTCGTAGAGGAAATCAGCTCGAAGTCGGGCACAGATGCCATGCCACTGATGATACTGATGATGGAGGAGGAGAGAAGACGTTGTGCGCAAAAGAGCGAAGGCGGGGAAAAACTGGGGAAGACGCCCACGTGATCACGGCGCGTCACGGCTGGTCACGACCCGAATACAGAGGGCGCTTATTACGCTATATAGCGCGTACGTACATGTCGCTCCGGGTTCCAGCCCGCTCCGTCTCTCTCCTCTCCACCACCACCATGGCAGCCTTCACAGTCAAGGCCACCTATCGCAACGAAACTCGAAAGTTCACCTTCCCAGACCCCGTCTTTCCTACCTATGATCAGTTGTACCGCCAGGTATGTCCCTGTGCTTCGCGACCCCGCATTCGTACTTACCGCAGCACCTGCTCAGTTGTATAGGGTCTTCCCCATATCCCACTCCTTTTACTTGTCCAAACTCTTATTCGCTCCTAATAACGCTCCCTCCCGCGTCCTAATCGGCAAGGAAGTCCATTCCGCGGAAGAATACAGTCGGCACACTGCACCTTATCAGGGGCGCTCGTGGCCTGGTGCTCTCCTACGCTTCTCAGTCTACGATGAAACTCCCCACAAATCTCCTCACATGGCCCCGACTCTCACCTTGGACGAGTCCTCTGCGGCCGAATCCGACGTAGATGTACGCACATCCGTTGCTACAGAGTCCGACGCCCCCAGTGAGCGCTCCACAGCCACCGTCGTTGAGTCTGCTGCGGATGTTCGCAGTAGTTTGCGAGGCGAGCGTCAGACCCTCTTGCAACGCATCCGGGAGGGCACCAGCAATCGCTCTTCCTTGTCATTCAACACCATGCCTCCAACGCCCCCTCGCTCTTCCCGGCCCACATCCATGGCCGAGAGCTCAAGCTCGTCGCGCCCGACATCGTTCGCCGAGGACTGTACTGCTGAGTGGAGGCCTCTTCCTCCCCGGCCTCCCTCAAGGGTTACTTCTGCTACGAGCACAGCCAGCACTCGTACTGTCAGACCCTCGCTCTTTGACCTGCTGGGCAACACATCGTCCTCCGCAAGAGTGACACAGGTCGCGCAAGAATCGCCTCGAGTCAGTGCACAGACGCGTCCACCTGCGGAGCAGCGGTTTGGCGGGGATCTTCCTTCGCCTTCTGAGTCCGCAGCAGACACGGACTTCTTGGCCAAGACGCTCAAGCTGATCTCGTCACTCCCTTCGACGGCTTCCTCGAAGGCGGGCAAGTCACCGGCCTCGGACAGAGAGGCGTTTTTGCCTCCGCCGGCGACTTTCGTGGCTCCCCCTCCACCCATCTTGTTCTCCGATAGCCGGCCAGACCATGTAGCCCATGACAGCGACGTGGTCATGGACTCCCCGCCGATGCGCAGTAACTCGCATATTCGCCCGGGTGGAACGGCGCAGTCTGGGGCGCAGCAGGCACCAGCGCAGCGGTTCATGCCTTTCCTCACAGCAGAGCAGCGTGCGTGGCCCTCAACCGCGTCGACCATCAAGGCCAACCCCCCTCAGAACGTTCGCGCTGCTCATGCTTGCTGCTCAGTAGCGCAGGGCAAAGCGGAGATCAAGGCACTCATGGACAAGTTCCAACGGGACTTCGAGGAGAAGATGACAAAGACATTCGGGAAGGACTGGGACAAGGACCTCCACAGGGAGAATTCCAGGGACGAACGACTTCCCAATCTCCCGTCCCCTCCAACCCATCGTCCGACCCTCCCGGGTCAGTTTGCTCCCAGTAGGTATTCTCGTGCTATGCATTGGCCCCCGCATCCACCTTCTCCTCCAGGTATACCTGCTCCGCCTTTGTTCATCCCGCCACCGCCACCGCCTCCTTTGTATATGCCTCCTCCGCCCCCGCCTTGCGTACCGCCCCCGCCGCTACCCCCGATGCCGCTTCCGTTCTTTTCTCACCGGAACGAGGCACCTGGCATCAAGATTTTGCCGCCCCCTCGCTGGGTCCGCACCCCTCCGCCCATCCCGCACGTCGCATATGGACCCACCCGCGATGCCTCGCGCCGCTCGGCTACATCCGAGGATGAACGTCGCAACAACGAGGACGGTGTACACAAGGGCGTGAGGTGCGACAACTGCGACAAGAGGCATATGAAGGGTATCAGGTACAAGTGTCTGGACTGCGCCGGTGAGTACACTCATGCATTTGTTTTGTCGCTCAGTAATTCAACAGTGTTGTTAGACTACGACCTCTGTCAAGCGTGCATGGCCTCACCCAAAGTGTGGGGAAACCACGATCACACCCATGCGTTCTTCCCGATCCATACGCCTGAAGACTTCGTCGACTTCTGCATCGTGAAGGACAAACGTCAAAGCTCCCAAGTCGTGCACAAGGGCATCACGTGCGACGGATGCAACAAGAAGAACATCTCTGGTGTTAGGCACAAGTGTTTGCAATGCAGGGGTACGTCCCCGTCCATCGACTTCGCCGTTCAAATCATTGACCATGTCTTTAGACTACGACTTGTGCGACGTGTGCGTTGCTGACCCCCAGAAGCGTCAGATGCACCCCGCCGATCACGGCTTCTTCCCTATCGCCTCTCCCGGCAAGAAGGAGGCGTACGATGAGGCCCGTAGCCGACTCCAGTCGAACTCAGCACCGCCGTCGGACACTGCGGCTCGCCACTTCCACGTGCATTGCGATGAATGTCGTCAAAGTCCCATCATTGGCGTCCGCCACAAGTGCCTGGATTGTGCAGGTAAGTTCCGTTTCAAAAAGTTTCATTTTTTTTTCGTTGACGATTGCATAGATTACGACTTGTGCACGTCTTGCATCTCGAACCCTGATCGTCGTCAGAAGCATGACACGTCGCACGCGTTCTTCCCCGTCACCACTCCCGGAGAGCTCTTCGACTACTCGATGGCTGCGGCTCGCCACACTCGCCCGCTCTTTGGACGAAGCAGTCCGCCAGCCTCTGTGCAGCCCCAGGGTAACAGTGTGCGAGACGCTGCAGCGCCGCCGGTTCACAAGAACATAATCTGCGATATTTGCAACAACGAGATCATCGGTATCCGCAACAAGTGTCTCGACTGCCCCGACTATGACCTGTGCCAGGCTTGCCTGACGACGCCCTCCCTGCGCGCTCAGCACCACTCTGCCCACCAGTTCTTCGGCATCGAGAAGCCCGGCGAGATCATCGTGCACACCGTGTTCTCTGGCGACGACGCGCGCGACGCTGTCCCGCAGCCCGCTCCGCGCGAGCAGGCGCCGAGGGTTCGTCAGCGAGACATCGAGCCCGTGGTACACAACGCCATGTGCAACCTGTGCGATTCGCGCATCCGTGGCGACCGTTTCGTGAGTACATTCGGCATGCAAAGTGCGATTACCTCCTAATATTAGTACAGAAATGCTTGGAGTGCCCGGACTATGATATGTGCCAGCTCTGCTATAAGTATGTTGGTGTGCTTGAGTGTCGTGGGCCTAAGCTAACCCAGTGTCTTAGGATCGTCAACGACCAGCACCCCAACCATGGCTTCGTCAAGGTCAGCGAGCCTGCTATCCTCATGGTGAGTGCCTCGGTCGTTCGTATTGTAGCTCTACCTCACACGCCCACTAGCTCCGCGATCGCGCCAGTGATCCCGCGCATGGTGCTTCCTGCAATGTCTGCAGCAAGAGGATCGTCGGCGTCCGTTACAAGGTTTGTCATTATAACATCAATTCGTTGTGGAAATACTCATGTCTGTTCAGTGCATGCACGAGACCTGCCAGGACTTCGACCTCTGCGAGACCTGCGAGGCTCACCCTATTCCCGTCCACCCTGCCACGCATCCCCTGCTCAAGCTGAGGACCCCCGACGTGCGGATCCCAGTGATGCCGGAATCGCCCCTGCGTCAGACTGCCGATCACGTTGAGGACCCCTTCCTCGACGCTCAGGAGTTCGACGACAGGATGGTTACCATGCCTGAGGTCCCTGAATCCCCCCAGTCTCAGCACTTCACCTTGTATGCGCCTCCTCCGCCTCAGGTGCGCCCTCTCCCCGAGGTCACGCCAGAGGACAGAATGCGGATGCTTGCTCAGACTCCCCCTGCCCCATCGATGCCGCAGTACCACCGTCGCACTCCCTCTCCCCTGTGGCAAGCGCCGGAAAGCTGGGTCATCCGCGATCGCACCCCGCCGCCGCGATCTCCTTTGTCGAGCGCAGGAAGTTTGTTCGACCGCGCGCCCACTCCTGCTCCACGTGTAGCCGATCTTTACGATTTGTTCCAGCGTGTACTCAGCAACAGTGAGGCAGCCCGCCCTGCGCCGACCGCAAGCGATGTCCGCCTCATCGACCTGGATGAGCCCGCCGCTGCCCATGAAGACCACACTATGGAAGAAGCTGGTGGCGACGCGGAGGGCCCCGTCGATGGATTCACTACGCCCTCAGACGTCCCGGTTTCTATGTCCTCCTCGAACTCTGTCCCGAGACTCGGGCCGGTGAACAACGAATGGCGCCAACTGTGGCCGGAAGTTACGTCCTTGCTCCAGCACCTCCTGCAGCCCCCCGCTACCCCCGCTATCGCCACGTCGTCCGGACAGCCCTCTGGCAGCGGCTTCGCGATGCCCGGTGGCATGATCACCGACGAGGCGAAGGTCGAGCAGCCTAAGAGGCTCGACGCTGCAACGCTTCCTACCGTCACGGAGTCGCCGCTAGTTGGAGAGCCTCTTCTGTGCAGACCGCTCTTGCCCGAGAGGCCCACGAACCCGTTCACCGCCAGCCGCCGTCTCAGCGAGATCATCCTGAGCGTGCCCCCCGTCCGGAACGCGGCGCGCAACGTGCGGGAGTCTATTGACCGTCTCGTCCCTCCGGCGCCGGTCACGTTCCCCTCCCCTCCCCCGGCTCCCCTCCTGGCTACCTTCGTCTCGGACAACAACATCGCGGACGGTCAGATTTTCCCTCCCGGCGCGGAGTTCGTGAAGTCGTGGCGCATGAAGAACATCGGATCGAGCGACTGGCCTGAGACGACTGAGCTCACCTTCGTTGCTGGTGACCGCATGGCACCTCGCGAGAACACGCCGATCAAGATCAATGTCGGCGTTGTGAAGGCGGGCGAAGAAGTTGAAGTCGTCGCGGGAGAGATGAAGGTACGCCATTGACACGGTACTGACAAGCCTTTTACTGACATTCCTCGCAGGCACCTGAAGTTCCCGGCAAGTACGTTAGCTCCTGGCGTTTGAGCGACGGGCAAGGCAATCTGTTCGGTCACAGCGTTTGGGTCGAGTGAGTGTCCTCGTGCGTCCTACATGTGCATCTGTGAGCTAACAATTACCATCTCAGCATCACCGTCGCCGAGGTGAACGAATCCTCTTCGGAATCTCTGGCGTCTTCTTCGGTCATCATGCCCCAGCCCACTCAGCCCTCGTCGTCGGCCCACTCTGTCGTCGAGCATGTGCCCACTCGGTTCTCTACGCCCTCGATGACTGTCCCCTCGGCACCGCCTTCTGACGGCGGCTCGTCTGTCTCGCTTCTCGACGCTGTCTCTTCCGCCGAGTCGTCCGACGATGACGAGGCTATGTACGAGGACAGCCGCTCGCGCGTCCTCGTCTCCCCGTCCGAGCTGGCGCCGCAGGACATCGAATACGTCATGTTGTTTGACAGCTCGTCCGAGGACGACTGAGCTCGTAAGTATCGTTTGAAGGACTCTGTGTGGAATCTATTTTGGAATTCTGGTTGGGACTCGTTCCCATTGTACGATATGCGTCTGGATCGTCGCGCTTGGAGAGACACGGCCCGTAGCACTTTGCATGTACTATAGTTGATACACCAATGACGTTGAAATATACGCGGTGATATAGAAGATCTGTGAGTGCATCGTATAAGGAGCTGATCGATAAATCCACTGATGGTAAAGTTTACATGTTTCATGCTATGCACTGAACGCCCCTCGCTCGCGCAGCGTCGACACTACACCCGCGAATTCAGCGTCGAAGTCGTGCCGCCACACGGGGGTGAACAGCTCGGGCGACAGGTCCTCTCCGATCTTCTCCCAGTCCTGACCGTGCGGTCCCGTGCCATCGTAAACCCGACCGGCGAAAACGCTTCCGTCCCACACCATTTGTGCGCGGGGGAGCCGGACTTCCGAGTACACCTGGAGGACAGCCTGCATACTTCCTCGTTAGGGATGTGCCGTTGTGTATGCTAGCACCACAGACGCACCTCTATGTTCTCTGCGTTCGTGTCCGGGTGGCTAAGCAGGCGGGAAAGCATGAACGCGTCTTCAAGACCTTGCCCTGCCCCAGCGCCCATGTGGGGCAGCATCCCGTGAGCCTGCAGAACATATAGGATGAGCCCATTTCCGAGCAGCCTAGATGCAGAACTCGGATGCCTTACCGCATCACCCAGCAATGCAACCCGGCCTTTGGTGTAGCTTTCGAGGGGAGGGTACAAGACATGGATGGACCATTTGCTTGGCTTCTCGGGCATGCAGTCCAGCAAGATAGAGACGTCGGGGCCCCAGCCCTTGTACACCTTCTTCAGCTCGTCTCGCGTGGAGGGCTCGACCCAGGATGCACCCTCGGGCAGGTTCGCCGCGCCGATGGGTATGTCGTACCGAGCGGAGAAGGCCACGACGTTGATCTGTATATGTAGAAGATTAGAGTGAGCGATAAAGCAAGAGCACGCAGTGTGTGTGTAAATTTCGTACAATCTTTGCGTCACTGATAGGGAACACGATAAAATGCTGAAAGGCAATGTGTTAGGGATGGGCGGTATGACACGATCGGCGAGTTGGGCGAACGTACTTTACTAGGACCCATAAAACAGATAGGGTGATCAACCACGTCTATCTTGAACCCCGCAGCCTTCAAGTCCGCATACGAGATCAGACCCCGGTACGCGACGGTGTTGCTGAACGCGACCCGGTTGTCCCCTTCCCCAACGAGGAACTTGCGCACGGAGCTCTTGATGCCGTCGGCGCCGAGCACGACGTCCGCCTCGTGCGTGGTCCCGTCAAGGAAGCTAAGCAGCACGCGCTTTGGGTTGCTGGGCGACTCCACGACCGATATGCAGCGCTTGTTGAAGTGGCAGCTTGCGGGGTCTATCTCGCCGATGAGAGCGTCGAGGAAGGCCGCACTATGGAGGGTGCGCGATCATCGTCAGCTATCAGTCGTGTACACGCTGCGAGAATTACGCTGAAGCTTACCGGTGGATACCTAGTCCTTCGTCTTGGGGAAGTTCCACGGGGTACTGCGAGACCAAAAATTCTGGTTAGCGGACAGCTTTCGTCGGACAGTAGCCGTCATGCACCTGGTAGGGGGATTTGTGCTCGCCAATACCGTTGTAATAAACGAAGCCCTGTAGCCCGAGGTCGGCGGAGGTGCATTTCTTCATGACAGCGTCCCATATTCCGATCTGCTTCAGGACGCGGATAGCGTTCGGCCCTATGATAAACAGGTCCCGGGTCAGTCACGGCGTGTACATTTGCACGCGAAACCCTCATGCTCGAACGCACCTACGCCGATTCCGGCACCAATCTCGCCAAATGCTGCCTATGATCACGAGTAAATGATCTGAGAAGCTGCGCATAAGGGTGTGCGTAGAACGTACCGCGGCCTCAAAAAGCTGTACAGGCACTCCAGCTTTCTGCAGAGCTATAGCGCAGGTCAGGCCGCACACGCCTCCGCCGACCACGGCGACCTCGAAGCTCTTCTGGTGTGTCTGCTGCATGGAAGTCTAGTCAGGTCTTGCGTATCGTATCAGTGGTCTTGTGTCTATTATGGCGGCGAAGCACGCCGTATATATAGCCGTGGCATGACGGGTGAGAGGCGCAGATCCCTGCATCATACCACGGGACTCGCGCAGCGATCACAGGTGCCCCAGCCTCGCCCCGTCAAACGTGAACAAGCACGAACGCTGCGCCCCCCGCATCCGTGCCAGAATCCACCCAGCTTACACACAATGCATAATTGGCGGGCGCCTGGATGCTGCGAAGTCAGGAAGCCGTGATCGGCCGCACAGCGCGGGTGCGCGTGGTGGTTCGCTCAACTTCGCTGTATCCGGGTACCGCATCTGAGGTTGTGGAATTGATATTCGCAGGAAGTCTCTGGAACACCAGGTAGATTATGCGGCGTCAGCATATTTAGTGTGTTTCTGACACACCGTGCAGCGTTTGGCGGCGTAGTACGGGTGCGGAGAGAGGTCGAATCCACTCATCGCATAGCTCAAGGACGCGTTTCCTATCGGCACGAAGGTCATTCATAGCTCAGAACGTCACCCTGCCGCTGTATTTCCATCCCTTGATCTACGCGTGCAAGCGCTGACTACGGAGAAGCATCCGCTGAGAAAGCCCCGCGCTCGCGCAGCAGCGCGAGGGCCGCTTCGAATTCAGCGTCGAGGTCGTGGCGCCAGACGGAGTGGAAGAGGCCATCGAGGTCGGCGCCGACGCTGTCCCAGTCTTCCCCGTGCGGCCCGTTCCCGTCGTACGTGCGCCCCGCGAGCTGGCTGAGCTCCCAGACGGACTGTGCGCGCGGCTTCCGGATCTGCGAGTATACCTGCAGGATGGTCTGGAGGGGAAAAAGATGTGGGCTGTTTAGCGAGCTGCGATGCGCAGACGGGGTGTGGAGCGAACGAACTTCTATGTTATTGATGTGTGTTTGGGGGTGGCTGAGGAGACGCGAGAGCAGGTAGGCATCCTCCAATCCCTGCCCGGCCCCAGCGCCCAAGTGAGGCAGCATCCCATGGGCCTGTACAGAGGCGGTTATGTTAGTGTCTGAGCAAACATACCCGGGATATAGACTTACGGCATCACCGAGCAGGGCAACCCGCCCGGCAGTGTAGCTTTCGAGCGGCGGATGGACGACGTGGATAGACCACTTGCTTGGGGTCTCGGGCATGCACTCGAGGATCGCGGCGATGTCGGAGCCCCAGCCTTCGTACACCTGCTTCAGCTCGTCCTTGGAGACCTCTTCCACCCACGGCGTGCCTTCCGGGAGATTCGCGGAGCCTGTGGGGACGTCGTATCTTGCGGCGAACGCTACGACGTTGATCTGCGCAAGGGATGTCAGAAAATAGTGTGACATCCTGGTTGGTCATGCCGCACAATCGTATCGTTCTTTATCGGGAAAACTATGAAGTGCTATAAAACAACAGGCGGAAGACATCAATATATGCGCCATTTACAAGGACAGCCAGACTTCTGTACCTTGCTGGGCCCCACGAAGCACGCCGGAGACGCAGTCAACTCCGTCTTGAACCCCGCCGCTTTAAGCTTCGGATAGGGTATCAAACCTCTATACGCGACCGTGTTGCTGAACGCGGCCCTGTCGTCCTTTCCTCCCAATATGAACTTGCGCACGGAGCTCTTGATCCCGTCCGCCCCAAGCACGACATCGGCCTCGTGCGTCGTTCCATCCAGAAAATGCAAGAGGATGCGGCTGGGATCGGTAGGCGATTCGGAGATGGACACGAGGCGTTTGTTGAAGTGACACGCACTGCTGTCCACCACGCCGACGAGCGCGTCGAGGAAAGCCGCGCTGCGAGAGATCTGATCAGCAATGGCGTTCCAGTGAAATCCACCCGGCTCTTGTGAGATATCTACCGGTGCATACCGATGCCCTGCTCTTCAGGGCCCTCTGCGGTGGTCTGTGGGCCTCATGTTGGGTGATAAATTCTCGAACTGTGCGCATATACGCACTTTATACACTGCTCTATGTTCGCCGACGCCGGTGCGATAGGTGAAGCCTCTAGGCCGCAGGTCTCCGGGGTTGCATTTCTGCAACACCTCGTCCAAGACCCCCAATGCCCGCAAAACGCGTACGGCGTTCGGTCCTAATAACGACCACCGTCAGCGTCACAAATTCCCACCGCTGTCATTGCACTCACCGATACCTATGCCGGCTCCGATCTCCCCAAACGCAGCCTAAAAACACGAGGTCAAAAGAAGGTCAACGACTGAATACGCCACAGACAAACAAACACGCACCGCGGCTTCGAACAGCTGCACAGACACGCCGGCCCTCTGCAGCGCAACCGCACAGGTGAGGCCGCACACGCCCCCGCCCACGATGGCGACGTCGACTTTGCGGTCTGCGCTGGGCGTCGACATGGATCTCTAGGGAGCTGGCGAGTGCTGCGCAGCGCCCCTACCCCCTGGTATTTATCCCCGCGCGAAGCAATGGCGAGTTTTGGCGTATGCGGCAGGCCATGGGACCGGCGGCGCCGAAGTGGGCTATCGCATGCCGAGATCGTTCTCAGCTTATCCACGCTCGCGCGGGGGTGTAACTTTGATTTCACCGGCGTGCGCAGCGGCGGGGAACAGGCATGCGCAAGTATGACCACCCATATGGCGCAAGTCGCGCATCTATCGACTACAAGTTTAGCGAGTGCCGGTGGCGCGAAGTGGACGTCGGACACTCACAGAGAAAGCACCCCGTTGCACTGTCAGAATTTTGGCCGCAGCTGAGGGCCTGGCCTTGGGGTCCATCGATGATTCGCCCAGTTCCTGGCACTTGGAAGGCGGATGAGTGCAAGGTAGAAGGAAGAGCCGCGTCCGCGTCCGATGTCTACTTCCCCATATGGGCGCCTACATGCGAAACCGCCTGCCGATATGCCGATAGCGTCGAGTTCGGCAGTTGGTACAACAATTCTCGGCATGCGCTGAACCACACAGCTGTTTTACGGGCCTGGAGCACACCAGTCGAAAATGGGTAGAGCTTCTCATCGTTGATAGGGCAGAAGGGAGTAATCTAGTGATACAGGTATTAAAGGAGGCGGTCGTGGTACAGCATATGGTCGTTGCGGGATGGAGAAGGGTATATCATCCGCTTGCTCGTCAAGAAGGGGGGACTGCTCAGTATCCTCCGCCTCCGCCACCGCCGAAGCGGTATCTGTGGGTGCCTGTGCGCCTCGTGCGTCCTCCGAAGCAGTTGCAGCAGAGGATATCGAAGATGACGTCGAAGATGGTGACGATGATCTATTCAAGGTTAAAGATGAGTGTCAAGTTGAATACTTGAAGCATGCGATGTACTGACCGTTACGATGACGCTGACGATGATCATGATAATGTTCGCAATGGCGGAGACGATCGCGTTAATTGCGCCGCCAATTGCAGAGAAAATAGCGCCCTATAATCGAGAAGAATATAAGTACGCTGAAGTGAGCGCACATGCAGTGGGGAGCATACCATGATGGATGATTGGTGTTCGTGAAGAGGCGTTGGATGGGGATGTGTGAGTGCAGAAGGGAGGAGGAGGGAGCAAGGTTATATAGCGGAAGGACAGGCCATGAGAGCGATGACGTCGATGGAGGGCGGGCGAGGACGAGCATCTGGCGCGTCATTGATTCCTTTCCTCAGAGGCACCCCGTGGAGAGCACGGTCTACTTTCAGGCCGGGGCCTCCCATTTTCGCCTCCCTGTCGTCCACCGGCGCGTGGTCGCGAGCCTTCTGACGTACCACACACCTCACAATGACCGCTACTGGAACTGTCTCCTCTGTTCTCGTCAGCCCCGTGCGCCGACACACGTGTACGCACCGAACGGTCTAGGCACGCATATCGCACGAGCGTGGCATGATATGGAACCACAATACGAGGGTAAAGTGTATTCTGGGGACGTCTACTTATCCCGAGATGAGGGGGCTGAGAAGGAACGGACATTGCGCGCTCGGACACAAACTTAATGAACCCGTCGAAGGCGCTTAACTGCGCGTACCACACAAGCGCTCGCATCTCGGCAAGCTCCGGGCCTCGCAGTGCGCGAGAGGCTCGCCGACCTCGCCGACCACACTCACATCCCGCTCCTTCTCCCTAGTCAGCCTGCTCTACCATTCCCATACTAGTTCTTCTTGGAACTTGCAGATCTAGTCACGTACCACCCGCCAAGCGCCATGGCCAACTACGACTCCCTCCACAGGCAGTGCCGCACGCTCGAGTCCCTCTTCGACACCAAACTCACCGCCTACGCCCGCCTCGCCTCCTCCATAACCCGCGGCCACGACGACGTCGAGGCGAGCGGCTCGTCCGAACGATGGCGCGACCTCGAGCACGAGGTCGACGAGCTCCTCGAGAAGGTGCGCCCGGGTCCGCGCAGCATGCGTACTTGAATGCCGAGCTTAGCGTAGGGCCTCGCGACAGCTGCAAGAGATCAACGACCAGCTCTCCGCGCTCTCGAGCGACGCGGAGAACCCCCCATCGCAGTCTATGCTCCGTGCGATACAGCGCCATAGGGAGGTGTACCTCGACTATGCGCGGGAGCTGAGGCGAACGAAGGTGCGTCCGTGCTGCTGCGCCGCGGCTATGCTGGGGTTATTGACGGATCGCGCTTACCGCTGGTGGGGTTATAGGGCAACGTTAAGACCGCTCTTGACCAGGCCAATCTCTTGACTGGCGTCCGGAATGACATCGAGTGCGTGCGGGTATGTCGAGCCCTGACGTTCCTCCGCTGATGCGCCACATCGTGTAGTGCATACAAGTCGTCCGCGGCGGACTCGCTACTGGCCGAGCGAGGGCACATCGACAGCTCGCACAGAATGACAGACGATATGCTTGCGTACGTTCGTATGATGTACACCTTTCTGTCTTGGCTAACCGAGGACATGTGCGCACAGCCAAGCATACGAGACCCGAGCAGAGTTCGGGCGGCAACGGACGACGATATCCGGAATAAACTCCCGAATGCAGGGCGTGTTGAGTGAGTCCCGTCCAGGTATCTGCTATGCCTATAGTTGTTGACCGCGTCGCTCTCCGCCCCCTCGTGCCATCCATTACACCCGCCGCCGGCAACGCCACGTCCGTCACTCGTTCAATTGCGGCCCAGGCTCGATGCCCGGCATCAACAGCCTGCTCTCCATGATCAAGACCCGCCGGCGCAGAGATGCGGTCATCGTCGGCTGCGTCATCGGCCTGTGCACCGTGCTTCTCTTCATGTACGTCTTTTGACGGGGCGCACGGATGCCGCTGGCACACACGCGCCGCTGTCGGGGGGCGGGGCTGCGCCGTGCACGGATGTACGCACGCAGCGTCCTGCCTCTGCGGACGGGGTGCTTTATACCATATGTAATTTCGGACGGGAGTAATGGATGGTACCAGCAGTGCGCGATCACGGATGCGGATCACTGTGTGCGCCACCGATGTGACCGAGGACCGAGGACGGGGACGCGAGCTGCTGCGGCCGCTGGCCGGGCGTGCGCCCATATATGTATCTTTCGTGTTCCAGTGTTCTATTTCGATTGTGGGCGCGCACGTAGACGGCCTAACTAGATCCATACACGCTGATACAGGTCGATACTAGGCACGCGCAGCGGCGGACCAGTGCATACAATGATACACTCACCGTTGGTGTCAGTCGCTCTCCGCGCCCGCTTCCCATTCCTCGATGGCCCTGTCGCGCCTGTGTTTCGTGCTCACGCGCTCCGCGTGCCCACCTCGCTCGAACAGCTTCCAGTTCTCCTCCAGGCGGCGCACGGCGCCCCACTCCGCCTCGGGTGCGGCCGCATAACTGTCGTCCCACGCATCCTCGATGCGCCAACCCTTGACGTCCGCAACGGTGCGGAGCATGTTCCATGTGTACGGCGCGGACCCGCGCACGTCGGGGAAGTCGGACTCAACTAGGAGACGGTCCGGCGCGCATGCAGCTGCGAGTGCACGGTGTGCGGGCGAGCGCGCGTTGATCGCAGTGGACAACGAAAGGAATGCGTTCGGGTGCCGTTTCTGCACAATCAGCGAGTGGAGTGAATCACGGTGATTACATGCGAGCGTGCACGGCATTATGGGGTGTATAGAGAGGCGGACTTACCGAGAGCTGCATCCATGTCTGCGCGCTGAGCCCGCAGCTGTGGAGGTCGACGCTGATCCGCAGCCACGCAGGGCCATGCACGGTCTTCATGCGGTCGAGCAGCTCGACGGTCGCCTGCTGACACTTGACGCTGTGCAGGCTCACGTTACGGCGGAGCTCGACCGCGAGCGTGAGCTGCGCCTCCAGGATGGCAAGCTGATGCGCGAGCGGGGTCGTGAACGGGGAGACCTCGCGGGGGATGTCGCGCGGGGTATCGTATACGGCGGCGAACGGCGGGTCTACGGGGTGCGAGTAGGGCACGCGGAAGGCGCGGTCGATGCCGACCTCGCCGAGCATGGCGTTTGGGAATGTTGTAAGGCGGGCACGGACATCAGAGAGCACGTCAGAAAGCAGGATCGGGTCCGGGAGGAAGGGGAGGAGTTTTTCGAACGCAGAGACGAGTTCGGGCTTTGGTGGCGTAGAATCTGAGGAAGGCAGGAAGAGAGCGCGGTAGTGCACGTCCTTGGAGGAGATTGGCCCGAGGGAGATCCAGTGGTAGAACCAAGGGTGGTAGCCTGCAGAGCAAGGACGAGTCAACGCAGGTGCTCGCGCGAGGGGGAGCACAGACCTAGGAACGAGGGTAGAAAGTTCGGGCGTTGCAAGGGGCAGCCACGGAGATATGAGGCGTGCAGTGCATAGTCTGATTACACCCTGGCGCTAACTCAGGGCGGGCGGTGGCACGAGTCGCACAAAGTCTCAGTAGGCGAGGACGGACCGCAATCGGAACAGAGGATGCACGCCGTTCGGAAGGCCGCAGAAAAGGCGGAGGAAGGGTCATGGGCAGAGAAAGGGCGGGACAACGTATAGAAGACGTTTGAAAGACCAACCGAAGCATGGGACGACCTTGTCAGGGCATGCCTCCGCGAAATCTGCCACAAGCTGCTGGTCGCTGCGGCGCGTTGCCATCGCGCAGATGCGTATTGGTAGGTCGCTAGCGGCTTCCAGTGTCATTGCGAAGTCAGAGTCGGTCGGATGGCAGTGTACGTCCACCACATGTGCGAGCACCACGCGCGAAACACGATCGAGCTCGGGCTGGAGCTCATCTCGCGAGGGAAATGGCGGTCCCGTTGTGTGCTCTTGACGCGTATGCGCGCCGGCGTTGGGAGGGCACATCGGAGATTAATGACTTTGTATCGACGCGGGCGGGTCCGAATTCGCCGTTGGTCACGAAGCGAAGCGGCAGGGGTGGATGGTGAGGCAGATAAGGCGACCGGAGTGAAAGAATCTGCGAAGGCGGTCCGAGAAGGTGCGCTAATGTCTCCAAGGGCCGCAAGCTGCGGCGGGGATCGCGGTCGGGCTGCAGGCGAAGGCGGTCGTATGATGACGACCGTGGGTTAATCGATGGATCAGGCAAGGGGAACAGAGCAAGTGGACGTCGACGAGAGATGGGAGGGCGCTGCGATCCTCGCGCTGCGTCGCGTCGTGGTGGTGAGAAACAAGACGCAGATCATCTTCTCCGACGCGCGAGCCTGCGGGCGCGGCCTGCACGCGGCGGGTCCGCGAGCGCTCCGAGGTATAGATCGCGCGGCACGGGCGCTTGGCTGTGGACCAACAAACGGCGTGACGTTGTTTTCCATCTCTCGACCATCTCCTGGCCTTGCTACCACGACACGCTGTCTGATTCTCTGCTTCGCGCGTATCCACACTCCTGTGCAGCGTCTTCTTGTGCTTGATTCGATTGGCTTCCGAAAGTACATGCTCGGCCGTCTGTGGCAGACTAGACGGTTCATCAACACTGCTGTACATAATATGCCTCAAGGAATCAGCCAACACCTCTTCTTGCCCAAGGGCCGCGGTATCGGGCTCAAGGATGGAAAACTAGACAAGGAGCCGTTTAGGAAAGTCCTTCCGGTGCTCGCGGCAAAGGTCGCGCCGGAGAAGGCAGGTGTGCTGCTTAAATCTTCCGTCATGAAAAGGTACGCAGCCATTCGCAGATGCATCGCTGGTGCGGTGCTGACCCTCAGTATCGGATAGATCATTGTTGGACGTCCCGCGAGTGAAGAGTGTTGCGCGCGGACCTAATGATGAGCGTTTGGTGCTGCTGAAGTACTCCGACCAAGGTGCATCCTTCGCCAAGTCCTATTCATGAGCATCAAGCTGAACGTGGTGCAAGCTAGCCGACCTCACGCCAGAAGTACAGGACTTCCTCCAAACACAATCTGCCGAGCTGGTATCGCATGATATTGTTTTTGACTATGACTACTGGACTGCTGGTGCGAACATTCACTGATGCAGCCATGGCTGACTGCTGAGATCCATTGACAGATGAGATCATACATGCTATCCTTCCGGAGGAGATAGAGTCCGGAGCGCCATCTGGGTTCGCAACCGTCGGTCACTTAGGTACGGGATGCATCGCATGCGGCACTACCGCTGGCTGACTGTTCGCAGCACATCTCAACTTGCGACCTGAGTACTTGCCATACAAGTATGTCATCGGTCAAGTGATCCTGGATGTATGTTCACTCCCTCCCGATTACATCTTTGTATCTCACCATGCTCCTAGAAAAGTCCCACGTGCAGGACTGTTATCAACAAGCTCGACAACATTGCCAACCAATTCCGTGTTTTCCGGATGGAGCTTCTGGCCGGGGAGCCCGACTATGTTGTTACCCAGGTTCGAAACGGGCGTGTCATATTCGCTGTGCCTCGCTCACCGGATCCTCATAGTCAGAAAACGGGTGTCAGTTCACGTTTGATTTCCGGGAAGTTTACTGGAACTCGCGCCTACACACCGAACATGAGCGAATAATCGCAAATTTCAAGACAGAAGATGTTGTAGCGGACGTTTTCGCGGGCGTGGGCCCTTTCGCGATCCCTGCCGCGAAGAAGGGCTGTGCAGTCCTGGCGAACGATCTCAACCCGTCAAGTTACAAGTATCTGACGCAAAACATCGCGGAGAACAAGGTGCGCCTGGAATCGTTCGTTCGTCAAGCTGATGTTGACCGTTCGCCACAGGTTGACTCGCTCGTGCGACCATCTTGCGAAGACGGCCGTGCGTTTATTCGAAGTGCATTCAACCGCGCCTATGACGACTCTCTACCTCCTGTGCCTCCGCGCAAACCTAGCAAGGCAGAGGTGAAGGAAAGACGGGCCGAGGGGCAAGCTCCTCCACCACCACCCGGGCCCACAAGGCAGCGTGTCGACCATTTTGTCATGAACCTGCCTGATACCGCGATCCTGTTCCTGGACGCCTTCCGCGGAGTGCTATCGCCTGCGAACGCCGGCGAGCGGGATTTGAGCGGGCTTTATGCCGAGGGCTCAATGCCCATGATACACTGCCATTGCTTCACACGAGAGCTCGAGCCGGAAAAAGCTGAGGTGGACATACGCCAGGTGAGTTTTAGAGCCAAGCACGGTTCCGGCGGCTGGGGCTGATCGGACTCTGTAGAGGGTGGAAGAGAAGATAGGGCAGGGGCTGGGAGAGGAAGCTACGTTCCACTGGGTCCGTTCCGTCGCGCCGCAGAAGGAGATGTATTGCGTCAGTTTCAGGCTTCCGCATGCCGCCGCATTTGCGAGCCCGTAGCGATATCTACGCTGTCGCCGTGCGCCGTGAAATACAACGATGGGTCTCCGTCTGTCCGCGCCGGATGAGTGGGCCGGAGGTAGCGCTTGACGGACGGCTTAGTCAGCTAACCCCGCACTGAAAAGTGGAGAGAGACGCCGGGCGCGAGGTCCGCCAACTCATCATCGCACCTGCTGCCGTCCCCGCACGAGCGACTGTCTGCCTGCGCTCTCGCTTCTAGAGTACCCTACTCTCTCTTTCCTAGAGTTCTTGCTTTCTTTCTTAGAGCGGCTATACCCTCTAGCTTCCGCTAATACCTGCTCGTGCTCTCCACCCGCTCCGGAAACCACCATGTTTCCCCTTGGTTTGCCCCGTATATTCCCGACCGTGTTCTGTGACTCGGACAAGGACGCTCCTGCGCCCGCCTCGCGTGCGGTGTCTGCAATCAACACTGTCAAGAGCGCGATGGCCATTCCGGAGACCGAACTGAAGCGCTGGAGGAGGACGTTTGACACAAATGCCCAGACCGCTGTTGACGGCCAAAAGTGCGTTGTAATTTGACCATGCTATGCGTGTGCTGACGGCATACTGCGCCGCCTCGCCTGTGTCTGTGCAGCTTCATGAACAGCGAGCAGTTCGTGAACGCGATCGCCCCGAAGGGCGACCTGTACAAGATTGGGCGCGCGCAGTTCGCGACGCTCTTCCGCGTCGCGGACACGAACAAGCGCGGGCTGCTCTCCTGGGATGACTTTGTGGTGTTTGAGACCATTCTGAAGCGGCCGGATGCGGACTACTGGATAGCGTTCCAATACTTTGACGTGTACGCACACCCGCCCTTGCTTATTGACCGTGTGCGAATGCGATGCGAGCCGACCCTTGCTTTCCCCTCCGCCTGTGTTGGCCCGGCGTTGCAGAGACGAATCGGGGACCATCTCGTACGATGAGTTCAAGAACGTGTTCAACGCGAACATCGGGTCCGACGCGATCCCGTTCGACTTTGAATGGTGCGCATTTATGCTCGGGTGTTGTGGCGCGGGATTTTAATACGCTGTGGGCGCGTGTGTAGCGACTGGGTGAAGCTGTACCTCGGCAAGAAGAACGGCGCGCACGTTCTCGGGTGTAGGTGCCAAGACGGCTGTCGGGTTGTGCCGTTGCTCACGCTTGCTCGCCTGCTGCAGACAACGAATTCACGCAGTTGATGAAGGGTCTCCAGGGGGAGCGACTTCGTCAGGCATTCAAATACCTGGACAAGGATCAGGACGGGTACATCCGCCCGGAACAGTTCAAGAAGATCATCCTAGTGCGCTCGGGCTCGACGGAGTAACGGCGCATACTCACCATCTTCTATAGGACATTGCGGGACACAAGCTCTCCGATGCGGTTATAGAGAGGCTGCCGACCTTGACCACCCTGAGCCCCGGAGGCCGCATATCCTACTCCGAGGTCGTCGCCTTTTACAATGTCATTAGAGGTGCGCCTTCCACACCTGTCCACCGATTGACACGCACCTTCTCACACCACCCGCAGAGATGGATATGGTAGAGCGGTCAGTTTGACAGGTTTGGCAATTGGCCGCCACACTCACCTGTTCGCAGCATAATCCGGGAGGCAACCGCAAAATCGAAGGACGGCCGTATCGACCAGTCGGACTTCCTCAATCACTGCGTCTCCAGCACGCGGTATTCGCTGTTCACACCGATGGAAGCCTCCATCGTCTTCCACTTCGCAGGCCGCGGAAATCCCACACAGCGCCTCGCGCTCATCGACTTCGCACAGCTACTGGATCCGCGCTGGAAGGCGCCGTCCGAGGCCGTCGAGACGAAGCCCGTCGCGTCTGTGCAGTCGTTCCTGCACGGGTTCGCACACTCCGCGTACAACTTCGGACTGGGAGGTAGGCAACGCCGCCAGGGACGAAATTCTGCGAGGCACCGCTGACAACCCGCAGGTATCGCGGGCGGATTTGGGGCTACGATCGTGTACCCCATTGATCTCGGTGTGTCCGGTCGTGCTGTCTCGTAATTGACGTGATCACTAACGCATGCAACAGTCAAGGTAAGCTCTGAGCGGCGGTGTATCAGCCGCCGATGATACTGAACGCCGCGCGATGCGTACGGTATTATTAGACTCGGTATGTTTGTTTGTTTGTGTCCTGGGGTGGCGTGCTGAATGACAGGATAGGATGCAGAACCAGCGGAGCACGGTCGTCGGGCAGCTGCTGTACAAGAACAGCATGGACTGCGTGCGAAAGGTGCTCAGGAACGAGGGCTTCCTCGGCTTCTACCGTGGTCTTGGCCCTCAGCTGATCGTGGGTGCACACACCTTATCTCCGTGGCCTTCATATTCAGCGACTCTCCTTGCGTTCGGTAGGGTGTCGCGCCGGAGAAAGCTATCAAGCTCACCGTTAATGACTTCATCCGCTCGCGCACGAGGGACCCGGAAACTGGCCGCATCGCGCTGAAGTGGGAGCTTGTTGCCGGCGGAACCGCTGGTGGTTGCCAAGTCGTACGTACCGCCGCGAGCTTCTCGGAATGACCGCGCCTCACTTACCATTCGCAGATCTTTACGAACCCTCTGGAGATTGTGTACGCCATCAATTGTAGTGTGGAGCTAAACAGGTACAGACTGATCACGGCGCTGCAGGAAGATCCGTCTCCAGGTGCAAGGCGAGGCAGCTAAGCTGGAGGGAGCAGTGCCCAAAGGCGCTGTCCATATCATTCGGCAACTGGGCCTGCTCGGACTTTACAGGGGCGCGAGCGCGTGCTTGCTGCGCGACATCCCGTTCTCCGCGATCTACTTCCCGGCGTACGCGCACCTGAAGAAGGACCTGTTCGGCGAGGGCTACAACGGCAAGCAGCTCTCTTTCCTAGAGACGCTGACGTCGGCCGCAGCTGCGTGAGTAGTCTCAAACGGCCACCATCTCCTCCCGGTGATGGAAAATGCCTCACATTGATGGGCACGCTGACGGCTTTGAACCCCGGACAGCGGTATGCCTGCAGCGTATTTCACGACTCCGGCCGGTGGGTCCAGAGCACTCTATTAGAGCGCCAAGACGGTGACTGATCGGGGCGGCCGGGCAGATGTCGTGAAGACCCGATTGCAGGTGGAAGCGCGCAAAGGCGAGACCAATTACAAGGGGCTCACTGATGCGTTCGTAAAGATCTGTGAGTGCCGGATTCCTTCCGGGAGCGTTCCTAGTGGCCGGGGGCGGGCCACGGAGAGCTGACTCGGGCGGGTTAACAGATCGCGAGGAGGGCTTCAAGGCGTTCTTCAAGGGGGGGCCGGCACGCATCATCCGGAGCAGCCCGCAGTTCGGGTTCACGCTGGTTGCGTACGAGTATCTGCATAAGGTAAGAGGGCACGATTGCAGGTATGTAAACGAGGCAAGACTGATGGAAGGGTGTTGTGGGATTGGTCGCAGTTTGTGCCGGTGAGTCGGGTCGGCTTACTTGATAAGGCTGTGTGGAGGGCTGATTGGTTCTGGACGGGAAGTACCCCTTCAACGGGGCATCGAGGGAAGTGGAGACGGGGCTCACGTCGCAACCGGAAGACATGGCGCAGGTACGGGCGCGGAACGCGTTGCGGATTCTATTGGACGTGCACGGGGACTTCGGGCGTCGGTCTGGGTGACCGGACGCGGCTTCTCGAGGGATCGGGGTCGGGGCGGTATGCGAGCGCGACGGTCGGGGTCGCGGGGTGTGATAGGGCGGGACGAGGAGACGCTGTGCCTCTGTGGATCATCGCATTATTCGCGCGCGCGCGTGCGCTGGATGTTGTTAACACGGGCTGGTGCGGGCGTGATAGATGTATGGCAATGGGATGTTCTTGGATTGTCCGTGTCCTGTGCAGCTGGCGGGTCGCATCAGGTGTCGGGGATGGGTGAGGGACGCAGGCTTTGGAGGATGATGGAGGGCGGCCAATGGGGCAGGGGGCGGAAGCGAGCCAATGGGGCCGAGGAACGGAATGTCTCCCTAGAGACACGATCAGTGATCATCTGTTCTGTCATGACAGCACAGATTCGGTCGGGTGTCGCCCACTCATATAGAGCGGCCGTCCCTCTGGGCAGCTGTCTCTCATCCCCTTCCCTCCCGCCTTCGTTTCCGGCTTCTTTTCCCTCCCTCCTTTTATTCTTCAGCGGTCAGTGCGCGACATGTTCTGTCCAACGAGCTCTCCGATGACTGACACACGACACAGAGCGCTTCGCGTCCCATCCACGCAAAGCTTCCCGCACTTTTTGCCAGCAACTGCTAGCCAGTCTCGAAGCGTAGACCGCTCCCACTCCTTTGCAACTAACGTTATTCGTTCCCGGCCCACATCACGACTATCTGCTGTCTTAATTGCTGCTCGTCATCATGAACTCCGTCATCATCGCTCTCTCCCTCGCGGGTGCCGCCGCCGCACAGCTCGTCGCCGGCCCCGTGTCCATGGTCCCCGCCTCCCAGGTGTACGCGTCGGGGACGCCCACCGCGGCCGACAACTCCAACCAGTACTCGGCAGCTGCCTCCTCCGCGGTCGCGTCCTCAGCGCCCGCGTCGCAGTACACGCAGCCGCCCGCGACTGACGGCGGACAGAGCGCCATGCCCTACTCCTCCTTCATGAGCGGCGGCTACTCGAGCATGAACTGTGGCTACGGATACTCGAAGGGCAGTGACGGGTCTTGCAAGCAGATGAGCTGGGTGCGTCGATCTCTTTCCACGCCCGTCGATCGCGGCGCTAACGGACCGACGCGTGTGTAGTACCAAACGGAGGGTTGCTACGAGACGATCATCATCAACCAGTGAGTCGCACGCCTGTCTGCTACCAACCTTCCGCGCGTGTGCTGACGCGTCTGTTCTCGCAGCGGCGGAAGCGGATACGGTGGATATGGTGGAGGTTACGGCGGCGGTTGCGACAGTGGTAGCACCCAGACTGTCACCGAGACTAAGACCATGACCGACACCAAGACCATGACCGACACGATGACCGTTACCAAGACCATGACTGACGTAGGTTTCATCTGCTATCGTACGCTTCGCACTCTCTGAACGCGGCTCTCCAGACCAAGACCGTCGCGACCACCGTCACGATGCACGAAACTTCGGTTGTCACCCAGGTCTCCACGGACATCGAGTCGGTCACCAAGACGCTGCTCGCGACCTCAACCGAGCTGGTTCCCACCACCCGCGTCTGGGTCTCGACGGAGACGATCGACAACACCAAGACGATCGACCACACTCTCACTGCCACTGAGACGAAGACCCAGGTCAACGTCTACACGCAGACGCTCACCAACACCGCGACTGCGACCAAGACCCAGACGCAGCACGAGACGGAGACCGACAGCGTGACCGTCACCCGCCTCAGCACCATCATCCAGCCGACGACGTACTTCAAGACGTACGTCCAGACCTCCGTCATCGACAACACCAAGACCATCGAGATGACGAAGACCGACACCATCACGGATGAGATGACGATCGTCTCCACCGCCACTGCCACCGCGACCCGCACCGAGACCGACTTCATGACCGTCACCCAGGTCAGCACGGTCACGCAGCCCACCACCTACGTCCAGACGTCGGTCAGCACCCAGATCATCGACAAGGTAAGTCGACTCCGAGCGCGTTTCCATGTACTCCGAGGCTAATTCTGCTTTCAGACCAAGACCGTCGAGAGCACGATCCTCCAGACCATGACGGAGGACCGCACGTTCACCCAGACGTACCTGTCGACCGCCACTGCCACCGCCACCAAGACCGAGCACGACACCGTGTCGAAGACTGAGACGGAGACCGCCACCGCCACCGTCACCGACACCAGCCTCTACTCGTGCCTCGCGGGCGTAAGTCCATTCGGATGTGGATATCCTCCTACGATGCTGATCGCGATGGCGTTCTTTCACAGTGCAAGACGAGCTACTACTTGACGCCCGGCAACTCGATGTCGTACACTTACACGTCGACTGCGACTGCTGCCGCCACCTCGGTCACCTCCTCGAGCGACTGCGGTAGCAGCGGGTGTGGCTCCTCTTCCAGCTCGAGCAGCGGCTGTTCGAGCGGCAAGTGCGACAGCTCCAGCTCGTCCTCTTCCAGCGACTGCTCGAGCGGCAAGTGCGACTCGAGCAGCACCTCGACCATGAAGAGCAGCTGCTCGAGCGGCGACTGCAGCGCGTCGTCTGCTGCCGGAAGCAGCGCTTCGGCAAGCATGGCGAGCGCAACGTCGAGCTCGTCATCAAGCGGGTCGTCGAGCGGCTACTCCGGCTCCGGCTCGGGCTCGTACGGCAACTACAACTACTAGGGTGTACCGTCCATGGTACCAAAAGGGACATTTCGCGTAGTGATGATCACGGACTCATAGTCGAACTGAAACGGACAGTTTGGTAGTACGCGCGCCTGCGCCGCCTCGGGTAGTCTAGCTAGGGTTATCTCCCCCATCCCCACATGCACTTACCCACCCGCTCGCCCGGGGTGGCCGGACGTTGTTAGGTCGAATACGTTGCTTGCAACATGCTTCAGCTATTCTCCCGTTTTATTTTCGTTGCTATATATTCTATCATTGCTGAAGCTATAAATTAATGGGCTGTAGGAAAGCATCCATCCGTCGCTCGGTGTGTGCATCGTCTCTTGGCCAAAAGGTACATACCGGTGCACATGTACAACGCTCTGTGTACGGTCACGCGGCGTCCATTTCCCCGCCTGCTGTCTGAGCTCAATTCGTGCAAGGGGTTCGGTCCGCAGCGGCGACGGTGGGCGTTCTTGATGTCTTAGGCTTGCTAAGCGATGCTTCTCGTAGCTGTGTGTCGGTATCGGCGCGGTGGGGCATCCGCCCCGGTTGTCTGCGTACATGTAAGTTTGTGGGCTTGGGGCCCGCGCCTGTCACGGAGGGGGAGGACGTGTACCGCCCATACATGTGGTGCTATCCTCAGAAGACCCACACGCGACTTTCGATATCGTCTCTGGAAGAGCATGCAGGTCACGGTGCCCCAATCGCCGACTCGCATGTGCCGTTGGTATGTTGTGCTTCTCCCGCGAGCTTGGACTTTTGGTAGGCGCTCGGGGTATCTTCTGACATGAGGAAGGTAGTGCTGACTGTCTGCTTACAGCCAAAGGCGGCATCGGTGTCGATCGATGGAAGACCTTCAACATAACCTGCATGCATGTAGAGGTTTCTAAGGGGTGTCCCGCCGGACGAGCGACTCCCGAGGCGAGCGAGCCTGAGCGCCTCTTACACACGGCCTCGACTCCGCGAGACGCTCGTGTGGGTCCTCGGCGCTTCCTGGGCGGCGAAGGGTACAAGCACCGGCGATGGCGCGTTTTTTGCGCGTTCCCCCCTTTCACTGGTAACTGGCGACCACCCGACAATACAGCACAGTGCTATCGTACTCGGAAACAGACCACGACCACACAACGACAGCGGTACCGTCGGCCGACGTCGAATAACGTTGACGGGGTCGGAACTCTCGCAACCGCATCTCTATTTGCATCCGCACACAACGAGGCTGCAGCATGCCCCTCCAGGAATCTACAGACCCCGCAGCGCCCTCGTGGGCGCACACCGTGACCGCTGACTTTTTGATCTTCTACTCCTCGCGTGACGGAAATGGCCGTCTCTGGTGCCCGGTACGTGGCTGCGTGCGCGTAACCCTCCGTGCTGATAGGAACCCTCTCTCCCTGCCTTGTACTCCACCAGGACTGCGTCTCCGTCGAGAATCTCGTCCAGAACACCTTCGGGCCCGCCGAGGGCCCATCGGGCGCGATTGTTTACGTTGGCCAGCGCCCGGAGTGAGTGCCCCTCCGCGTACAACCTTATGCCGTGACAGCCCCACTGACGGCGGACACGCCTCTCCCGTGCGCACAGTTGGAAGACGCCCTCAAACGCGTTCAGAGCCGGGCCGTGGAATGTCAGTTCAATTCCTACTGTCATCCGGACCAGGGACGTAAGTGTGGCTGGTCTTCCAGATGCATTGCGCGCTTCGCGGATAGCCGGCTGACAGGTACGCTGTAGGGTGCCCGGCTCGTGGAAGGTGAGATCACCGAGCGGCTTTCCTCGTTCGTGAGCGAGTAATCCCGTCGTGAGTGCTGCTCGTCTTCCGGATGCCTTCTGCGCGCCTGGCGGAATTTCGGCTGAGCGGTGCGTTGCAGGGCGCCCAACTGTTGGGAGAGGATCTCACGGAACGGATTGCCTCGTTTGTGGGCGAGTAGCGTCCGCGCGAACCGCTGAATGGGAATATTCGAACCATATCGCATCATGCCCGTATAGCCCTTGCGACCGCGGAAGGCGCCCGCGTGGATTCGAGATGGTATCGCAGCGCCCGAAAGGCCACGCTGCGCTCGCGGACTACCACCGTGTGTGCGCAGGAGGGGGGTCTTTGAAAAGCTCAGCCTTATAGGCGAGATGGGCCCCCCCGTTCCGCCGCACCCTGCCGGTACCATTCTTTCTAGGGCACTCGTGCTCAGGGATGGCGAGGCAGGTGAGCACGGTTTAGCGGGTGCCCCCACGATTGATAAAGCGCTAGACAAAGTATCGTCTGCTATGGGCAAGAGGGCACATAGGATCAGACGATTACCATGGAAATTCTCGCTCTCTCCCGGAAAGGACGGGCCCGCGTACTTAATCCTGAGCTTCGCCCGAGAACGCTCCTTCGCACCAGTACCCTGAACATCAGCGGCGGACCAAACCTCATCATGGCCCCCGACATCCCCCTCCAGGAAGTTTCGCGCGCGAAGAAGGCGGAGCGCGAGGAGCGCCTCGCCAGGCGTCCGGAATGGCGTCTGCGGGCCCAAGTTCCCCCGAGCCTCACGGACGTCTCTGCGCTCCCGACTTCGCAGCTCACGCCCCGCGAAAACGAGATCGTGCACTTGGATGCGACCGCGCTCGCGGAGGCGATCCGCGCCCGCCGCTATACAGCCGTCGAAGTCCTTGAAGCGTTCTGCCATGTCGCGACGATCGCGCAGGATCTGACGAACTGTCTGACGGAAGTGCTCTTCGAGGAGGGTCTCCGGCGGGCACGGGAACTCGATCGTCATCTCGCGGAGACGGGCCAGGTCGTCGGGAGCATGCATGGAGTGCCGGTGTCGATCAAGGACCATATCCTCGTGAAGGGGCACGATACAGCGACGGGGTACGCCGCTTGGGCTTTCCGGACAGTCGCAGCGAAGGACGCCGTCGTCGTGGACGTGCTGCGAAAGGCCGGGGCTGTCATCTACGTAAAGACCGCGAACCCGCAAACCTTACTAGTACGTCGCGCCGCGGCGCAAGCTCTAGAGAGGGATTAGACTCGCCTGATGCCCGCTGCAGTCGCTCGAGACAAACAACAACATCTACGGGAGGACCCTGAACCCGCACAACCGCGGTCAGTCTGAGCTTGCTTTCGCGTCCGGTCCTGCGCCGTGACGGCCGCTGACATGGCGTCACACCTCCACAGCGCTCACGCCCGGAGGCAGCAGCGGCGGCGAGAGTGCCCTGATTGCGGTGCACGGCAGCCCGCTGGGGGTCGGGACAGACATCGGTGGTTCGATTGTGAGTGCGCCTCGCAGATCGGGCGAGATCTCGACACTCATTCAGCTTCATTCACCCCGCACTGCTGCGCGCACAAATGCACGCGCAGCGTATTCCTGCGGCGTACATGGGTCTGTACGGCCTCAAGGGCTCCGTGGGCCGCATGCCGCACGCAGGCCTCATGGGCTCCCACGACGGGATGGACGCCATCGTGGGGGCGCTCGGGCCGCTCGCCACCTCTGCGCGCGACCTCGCCCTCTTTGCGCGCGTCATGCTCGAGCACGAGCCGTGGCTGGTGGAGCCGCCGCTGCTCGAGATCCCCTGGAAGCAGGACGTCGCTGAGGGGCGCACAGGCGTGCCGCAGAAGCTCACCGTCGCCATTCTCTGGGATGACGGCGTGGTGGCGCCACACCCGCCCATCCGCGCCGCCCTCGCGCGCGCGCGCGACGCGCTGCTCGCGGCGGGCCACGACGTTATCGACTGGGAACCCGTCGACCACCAAGTGGCCTGGGATCTCATCGTACGTCCGCTACGCCCCGGATCTGTCACACACCCGCATACTGATAGACACGCCCCCATCCCCAACCACTTAGCTTAAACTGTACTTCCTCGACGGCGGTGCGGAGTACCGCGAGGTGCTCGCACAGGACCCGCCCGTGCCGCAGACGCAATGGATCATGGACCAGGTGCCGAACGGCGGGCGGCCATACGGCATTGACGAGGTGTTCAAGATCAACCTCGAGCGCGAGGCGTTCCGCGCAAAGGTGCTTGCGCACTGGCATGCCCACACCACACGCACGAAATCGGGCCGGACTGTGGACACGGTGCTCAGTCCGGTCGCAGCAACGCTCGCGCCACGCCACGACGCGACGCGCTGGTGGGGGTACACGTCGTACTGGAACCTGATGGACTACCCTGCGGTCGTGTTTCCCGTCGGCCGCTTTCGCGCGGCGGGGCACGCGGCGGCGGCCGACGCGGGAGCTGTCGACGAGCCGCGCAATGAGACGGAGCGCGTGGTCAGGGCGGAATGGGACCCGGCGACGTACGATGGCATCCCTGTCAGCCTGCAGCTCGTTGGAAAGCGGTTGAACGAGGAACGACTTTTGGGGATGCTGGGCAGGGTGGAGGACGCGCTTGCTCGCTTCCCGGGCGAGGGTGCTCATTAACGACGGCACGATGCGCAATATTTACTGTCTCAATGTCGGAATGGAATGCGTACGCGAACAACGGCGGGCGGCAGTGCACACGGTTGGTCATTTAGGAGCATGTTTGGGCTAGCACGACTGTGGGAACGAGTTTGTAGGAACAGGTGAATAGATCTGTCGTGGCAAGTGATTACAACACCGAGCCGGCATCCCGGTGGAGTCCCTGTCTGTTAGCAATGGTTGCGGCGAATGTACAGCTGCGTGCCACCGCCCTGGATCTTTGCGGGGTACGCATCGCGACGGGCACGGAGTGGACGGGGTACGGCAAGATGGGTAGTACGGCATGCGGCATAGGAGGGCCTGCTTGCGAGGCGGCCGCTGCGGGCGCTGCGGCTTTGCTGTGGGGCTGCTGTTTTGGATATACGGATGAAGGTAAGTCAAATAAGAGGGCTTCCCTGAAGATGCGTGCGCAGCAGCGTTGACGACCTGGCACGACCCGGATGATGATGAACGGAAGGAGAAGATCTACTAGCCAGATATCGAATTGTGTACCTCGACAGCCAGGGGCGACGTTTTGCAGGCATATCGCAAACTTCAGGGTAAACGGAGTGACCGGAGTTCGAGAGAATCGGCGGAGATGAACGTCACTGAGTCAAGCGGACTCTCCTGGTCTGCACACTCGAGCTGAGTCGGTGCCGGACCAATGTCGGGGTGCTTGGGACGAGGACGGTGCTGTTCCGGACCAGTGCACGATGATATTGACGGCGGGTAAGCGATACAGGCCGATGGAATCGCGTGCTTCTGGTTGTGGGCGTTATGAGCTCGAAGTGGGCCGCGGGGACTCGGGAGCCAGGTATCTCGCCGTATCTCGATACTGCCACTGCGGTTGAAGCAGATACGAATGCCGAGGGCGTCGGTGGTGCGTGATGGACATCGCGGGCTCAGGGTGGCAGCTCGCGAGCGGTGTTGGTGAGAAGCCGTGAGGAGGATGGGGGAGGCCAAACGAGTTGCGGACTCGGACCACGCGCAGAGCTGATGGACCCATCTCAGATTGGACGAGCAGTGCGAGCGGCGTACCAGGCGCCCGCCCTCTCTTGCGCCTGCCCCGCCTGGCTCAGCTCTTCCCTCCCGTTCTTCGCTGAAACCTGCTGCAAATCCAGGCGGACGGCCGATGCGCATCGCCTCGGAACACGACTCAATAGCTCGCCCACGAGCCCCGCGTTTGGCTGCCAGGCCGCGAACTACAGCCGTCTGACGGGCACATCCGGACAGATGCAGGCAAGGAGATCTGGTGGAGGTGTCAGCCCATCTCGAGATGCGAAAACACCTGTGTTTATGTAACCTTCTCTGGCATAGCGCACCGACACGCAGGCGTTGTTCGCTGGCCCTCGCCGTCGCGCACGACGAGCACACGAACGCGTCAAAGTCGCCGAGGAGGGACAGCCATGACCAATGATGCTGTCCACCCGCGCGACCACAGCGTCTCTCGCTCGCCGAGGAAATTTGACAAGCGCTCCATCGGACGGACTGAGGACGCTCTTACTCATGGGCTGGGGGGCAGAATGATAATATTGGCATCACCCATTCCTCCTGCGCTCGCCGCCCGGCGAGTCACAGACCCGGATCTCTGGTCCTCCAGATTCCTGTCCGATTCGATTTCCTGCAACTCACCGTCGTCACAAGCGGTACCCGCCGCAATCCCCGTAGACGCCAGCCCCGCGTCCAAACCAGGTCCGCACATTTTCCAACTCTTGTCGTTTATTCGTGACATGGCTGTTCATCGTCCCCACATAAAAGCCTCCGCATGCCATCGACATCCGCCCACTACCGCCCCGCCTCCCGACCGGCCTCTCAGTCTCATCGCCCCGGCTACCTCTACTTCCACTTCTTAAAAGCACGCTCAGCAAGCGCACTTTCCCCACACTACCCTACTACCCGTACTCCCGCCGACAACTACCATGCCGGGCATTAATGCATCTCGCTCTAGCAACCTCAACGTCCTTCAGCACGACTCCGCCCAGGACTTCCTCTCATTCACAGCCCCCTTCCTCCGCCGCCACGAAGCCTCGTCCAACATCGTGCTCGCCCATGCCCTCAAGCGCGTCGACGCCCAGTCGGCGCTCAGCGGCTTCGAATTCACGTCCGAGTCCGATGTGTACGCGCGCCTGTCCTCAGCTGATGCGGATTCGTGTGCTCCTCGCGCGACCAGAGGCGCGTTCTGGCTCACTGTATGGAGCCACGCCTCTGCATCAAGTCCGCCCACCCTCGACCTCGTCCTTTCCTGTGTCGACTGGACCTTGGGCGACTATCCCATCTTCCTTTGGACGCCCAACCGCGTCTCTGCGTCATCCAGCGCGTGGCTCGGCCCCCGGATGGCAGAGCTCACCGAGCATCTGAACCGCTGTGTGCCGCCGGAGCGCGTCTACTCCGTCTTCGGCCTCACCTCGCTCGTCAAGGCGTTCGCGCGCACCTGGACACAGCTCACCGGCTTTACCGTCGAGCCCGAGCCGTTCTACGCCGCCCTGTTCTCCTACTGCAACGCGCGCACGTTCCGCGAGTCCAACGCCCCGCTCCCGGAGGGCCACTGCTTGCGCAAGGCGACCATGGCGGACCTCGAGCCCGTTGCACAGCTCTGCAAGGAGTTCGCTGATGACACGGTATGTGGCCGTTGGGCGTCCCAGCCGAAGCAGAGGACGCATCACTCACCCGGATCTCGCGCTATTCATCAGATCGTGTTCCCCCTGAGCATCGAGCGCGCGCGCGTCGAGGCCCGCGAGCTCATCGCGAAGGGCCTCCTCTGGGTGTACGACGCCGCGGGCGACATCACCACCATCTGCGCCGTCACGCGCAACAGCCACCGAGTGTCCGCGATCACGAAGGTGTACACCACCCCGCGCTGGCGGAGGAACGGGTGTGCCGAGTACCTCGTGCGCGCAGTTACCAGCCAGTGAGTACCACCTGTTGGGATGGGGTGCGGGGGCCGAGGGCTGACCGCAGTTTAGGTTGCTCTTCAATGTGGGGAAGGAGTCCGTCGTGCTCTACGTCGGACACGAAAACAGCGCGCAACGCGTGTACGACCGAGTTGGCTTCGCGGGCCTCTGTGGCAAGGACAAGCCCGATGCCGTCGAGGACTCCCTCGAGCTCGGCTTCGTTGGTACCGACCGGGGACACTGGTAAATCAGCCCCCTTCCCGTTCGACAGTCTCGGCGAACTTGGCTGGCCCTAGCAGACTTTGTGCAGCGTCCCCTACGTGACCCCACGAAACTGTAGCACTAGATTATTCCTATTCGTATCCTTGATTAGTAGCTTGATTATTCGCGTTCCACTATCCCGCCCCCTCTCCTAGTACTTTGCAAATTACTGTCTACTCTTGCTATATCTACAGTACCATTACGCTGATAGTTCACGTATAATTAAAACTGTTCCCACCGTGTACATCCATCGCCGCGTGCACATGTCCCAAGAGCCTTGGACCCTGCCGGGACTTGTCGCATTGGGGTACTGGACCCTGCTCAGACTTTGCGCGAACAGCGCCCTGAACTCTGACTATGCGGATAAATTTGACACATGTTGACCGCCGTGCCACAACGCTAAGGTACAAGGTACCGTCGGCCCAGCAAGCACAGTGCACGCCAAAAAGGGTACGTCACGCTCGTGAGATCCGGACATTGACACGGCCCCGGTCCACCAGCGCACGGTGCGCACATGCCCTCACGCTCTGCCCAAGACAAGGGTTGTTTCGGGGCGACTGCGAAGGCCGTTGATTCATGTCTGGGGGAGTCACCGCGTTCGATATGTCGCACCGCCCGACGCCACCCGAGTGGCACGCCGTACGCATACGCATACGCCCTACGCCCGCGTCCGCACAAAGCTTCCCCCCGCGCCGCCGTCCTTGCTCGTAACCATAATCTCTCCGATCGCCATCTCCCGCCCGGCGACGGCCTTGAGCATGTCCCACACTGTCAGGAGCCCGACGGAGACCGCAGTCAGGGCCTCCATCTCCACCCCGGTCTTGCCCTCGCACGAGACCGTAGCGCGGCAGACGATGCTGTATGCGCGGACGAGGCGCGCACCGTCTCCCAGCCCGGTATCGGACCTCGAGGTGTGCGCGAAGCCCTGCGCGGTGTCCGTAAGCGCGTCGGGGTCGGGCCGGGGTGCAGGCGCGGGCGTATACGCATTCTCGACCTCCGGGTGGAGCGTCACGGCGATGTGCGAGAGCTGGAGGGGGTGGCAGAGGGGGATGAGGTCCGCAGTGCGCTTGCAGCCCATGATGGCGGCGAGCTGCGCGACGGTGAGGACGTCGCCCTTTGCTTGTGCCTTTGCGCGTGCCTTCCGAATCGAGGCGGTCTCGGCGTCTGCGTTTGCGTGTAGATCGTCGCCGTCACGCTGCTCGGGGACGCCTGTGACGAGCTCGTACGCAATCTTCGGGATAGTGATGCGTCCCGACGCGGTGGCCACCCGGCTCGTCGGGTCCTTGTGCGCCACGTTTACCATGGAGGCTCGGCCTGAGTCATCGATGTGGGTTAGACGTGGGGTGCACGAAGCTGTGCCCTTGTTTCCGGTGGCAACGGTGGTGCTGAAACAGCGGACTGTCGCGGGGTGAGCCCACGTGGCCGGGGCCGGGGCGAGGTCGAGGAGGCGTGCGCCCGGAGTGCGTTGAATTGACCGGCGTAGAGCGGGGCGATGCACACCTATTTGCGCGGACGGAAGAATCAGGGCAAGGAATCAGAGACCGAGACATTCCCCAACGAACACGCTCGGGGCAGGAATATACTCAACCACCGATGAGGATCATAGGCCGATTCGTGACGACGTCAATGTCCTCCATGCCCGCGTGCTTCTCTTTCTTGCCTGACACGGCGCGACCGATGGTGGATAGAAGCATGTCGTCGCTCGAGCCGGCACGCATCTCGTCCCGGAGCGAGATTTCTTTCGCGTCGAACAGACAAACCTAGATGGGCCGCGGTGAGTGGAATTGTGGCTGCATTGCGATAGCGGGGGTAGAACATACCTTAATCTGCCCGTCTGCCGTGAGCCTCAGTCGGTTGCACGATCCGCAAAAGTGGTCGGACATGCTGCTGATGAATCCGAAACTCCCAGCGTGTCCGGGTATGATGTAAGAACGAGCGGTATCGTTGAGTTCGTCGGGGGCCTTGCGGACTGCGGGGTACCGTTCACGTATACGCGCGAGCAGCTCCGAAGACGGCAGCATCTTTGCCTTGTCCCACTTGTTGCCTGCATCAAGAGTGAGTCAGACTGGCGTGTGCCTGGGGGATCGGACCTGAGCATAGGCGCACCTGTGAACGGCATGAATTCGATGAAGCGCACTGAAAGTCGGCTCTCTTTCGTCATCTCCACAAAGTCCGGAACCTCGTGGTCGTTCAGACCCTTGACCACGACCACGTTCAGTTTCACCGACTGGAGCTCCCGGGACGCGAGCGCCGTCTGCAGTGACCGCAGCACCGCATCGTGGCCCATCCGGCGTGTCATGATCTCAAACTTGAAAGGGTCAAGAGTATCCAGACTGGAGGGCACTGTTAATCTCTCGTGTTCCCGGAAGCGACGGGGTGCGGTGCAAACCTTATGTTCAGGTGTGTGAGCCCGTTCGCGACCAGGGCAGGCAGTTTCCGGTGGAGCGCAATGCCGTTTGTGGTCATCCCGATGGATTGCAGCCCGTGCTTCCGCAGCCCGTGCAGTCGGCCTGGTCGGGTGCACTGTCAACTGTGTCCGGACTCGTTCGGGGAGGCGCATCGCGACCTGCGACGCGTCGGGAATGGGCGTACGTACCGACGATATCAACTATGCCCTTCCTGACCATCGGCTCGCCCCCCGTGAGGCGTATCTTGGTCACGCCGCTCTTGACGAACAATGTTGCGAGACGGATCACCTCGTCGTCCGAGAGGATGTGCTCTGGCGGTGATAGCTCGATGCCCTCGCTCGGCATGCAGTAGAAACCTGTGAGACCCGGTCAGCTGCATCTCCACGAGGCGTTTCGTACAGGTAGGGCGGCCGGGGACGCGCTGCTTCGAAATAGAGCATATTCGCCAATGCAATGCAAAACGCCTTCGCCAACCAAATCGCAGGCATTTTGGGCGCGTTACTTGAACAGGCAGGTGGGCAAGGTTTGCATTGGGTTGCGAATATTCTCTAATGGGACGCGGCCGCGGAGGAGGAGAGAGAGACGCACATCGGAGATTGCACCGCTCGGTGAGCGAGATCCGCAGGTAGTTGTGCCGCCGGGCAAAGGAGTCCACGAGAAATGGGGAGACACTGGGGCCCCGTTCTGCGTCTACGCGCGAGATCCTATGCTGTGGCACCGGGCGTGATCTCGCGTTAGTGTGCACTGCAAGGATCTTTGGCAATGGCGCACCTTGATTCGATTCCGTAAGCCGCTCGCTGAGCTTGCGAGTTCTGGCAACACCTCCGCGTGTCGTAGCACCGCGGACGTGCTCAAATTGCGCGATACGGGCTTGAGTGGGGCCTGGGAGGAGACCGCAGCTTGGCGGATCATGGTGGTCGACTGCAAAGAGACATTTGCTCGGCGTGCTCGAATATGTGGCCATGAGCGGCTCGGAGTCGGATCGACACTGCTCAAGGGGCATGCTCGGGTAGCATGGGACAGGCCGCATTATTGATCGGCGGACAGCAGCTAATGGTGCGCCGCCGGCATTCTATGAGCCTTCTAATACGTCCGCTAATAATATCAAGAGTGTCGCAAAGCAAATTATAAACACGCGTTAACAGCGCCCTTCTTATCTACCCAATAGCACGCGAGCAGCGAGCATTGCAGCGACCGGCGAAGTCGAGAGGTCCTCCGACATCCATGGCCTACATCTAAATCCTCCGGCACGTCTATATCCAATGATTGTCTGTTGCCATCCTACAGACCCCGCAGCCACACCTCCGCCACCACCCATCTCGCCGACTTGTCTTCACCCAGCCGAGCCCTGTAATAGCGGCCGGTCGCCCGCAGGTGCAGCGCACTAGAGCCGAGCACCATTTGCACGCTACACTCGCTCAGCGGCACCTGTTCGTCCCCGATCTTCGCCTCACGAGTGGTGGCGTAGCAAATGGGGTTATGTGCGGCGGCGTGCTGTAAAGCTCTCAGCAATCGAGACGCCGCATACACTCGAGGCGAAACGCCATACCCAGGTGACGTTGTCAGATGACCACTCGAACGTGCACGCCTGCAGGATGTCCTCCGTGGCGGCGCCCACGAGCCACACAAGTTCGACCGCTGTCCATTCGCGCGCGTCGCTGATGTCCGTGAGAATGTCGAGCGAGAGCGTGTCGCCCTCCGCGGCGTCTTGTTCGGTAGCGTTAGGAGTCCGAATGGCTATCCGACACTCGCGCAAATGCAGTACGTACGTGCGAAGCTCCGGAACACCGTCTCGGCTTTCAAGTCGACGGCGTTGGACGGCGCGTGCTCGAGGTAATTGGACTTCCCGGCCTCGCCTAAGATGTCGGAGTTGCGGCGTTCGAGGGTCAAGATATCGTTGACGTTCGTGGCGAAATGAGAGATAGTCTCGGGTGCTAAACGGATATTAGTTTCCAGGACACATGCGGACCCACGGCATGCTGCGTGGGTCTGCCCGGAAGGGGTATATGGCCCGTCGAGGGTCACGTATGGCGGCCTGGGCCGTGGCAGGTCTTTGTCGACCGTAGAATCGTCGCATGAGGCATGGCCACAGTGTGTCAGCGACTCCAGGTATCGCGTGGCCCTGAGCTATGAGAGTGCCGGTTTCAGTGTACGCTCTCGAATTGTGGCGAAGGATACCCACCGTATAGTCCTTGTTCCGCTCATCGCCTTCCGAGCCGACCGTAAAGGCGTGACCTCCGCCGAGTTCAAAGTTCTGGTCGAACCACACCTCGGGCACGCGGTTGCTCAGGATGGTAAAGAAGTTGTCCGCCATTTTCATCTCATCATCGGCGGCCCTAAGATATCGCATGAGATTGAGGAACCGCTGGGCCTCGGACCGGCGCAGCATCGCCCCGTAGCCTAACCAAGCGAAGGAGGTGTGGATGTCCGCGAGATGGGATGCATCCGGCGACCTAACGTGGACCTCGCGCAGCGCCGTCGAAAGATGCTGGTCCGGCGGCAGCAGGTGTATAGCTCCAGATGCGCCTGGCTCTGCGATGCGTGCGCGGAGTGTTTGAATGATCTCTGAGCGGATCAGGAAGTCATCATCCTGGAGAACAGCCCTCGTCAATTTCTACTCCCGCGAGATAGGAAAGGCAAGAGCTCACTTGGATGAAGCAGTACGGTGTATCAGCCTGGGCGCACGCGAGGTAGCGCCCCTGAAAGAGCTTGTTCGCGGGCGCGTTGTGGATGCGCAGCTTCGAGCGCGGGCAGCCGGTGTTCTTCAAGTCCTGCGTTCGATATCGTCGTATCACGGCGCGGAGAGAGAGTAAGAAAGCGGTATGCACACTTCATAGGAGAGCGGCTTGTGGTGGTTGTTCCATATGTACACCTGTGCAATGGTGTTGTCCAGCCAAGGTCCGCAGAGCAGAGAAGTGATAAGCAAGACGTTCGGGAAGCGCGACCAGTTTAGTATCACGGCAGTAGTGTCGGCAGGCCCAGTGCTGTTTTGCACGACGGAGACGCGTTCGTAGGGGGCGAGTTCGGGAACGTCGGCACGGAAGGTTACAGGCAGCGTTCTGGGAACGAAGTCGATATCGGCTAGCAGCGGCCGGTAGAGGGAACCCGGAGTCTCTTCGACGGTCTGCTCAGGCCAGAACAAGCGAACGACGTAGGCGAGGATGAGCGGCACCGCAACGGTCTGCACCGCGCGGAAGATCTGTGAAGGTGATCATGGCAACCCGTGAGTCGAGTGTGGTCGAGGGTGGTCATCGCGGAGAGACGTCGATCCAACCCGCGAGCTCATCGTGGACGGCGTCCACTGTCCACAACGGGCGCATATACCCACGTGGGCCAAGCGGTTGCCCCGCCCACGTCATATGTGGCCTCCACCCAACGCCGCGCGCGTCCTCTAAACCCGCGACCTCCGCACCCTCTTTAACGCACCCATCTCCTGCACTTACGCGTCGACGACCAGCTCTCTGACGACTCGACCTCTTACGCAAAGCTACACGCTCTTTCGATCCTCAACGTTACGCGACAATGTTGGCCCGTCTCAGCACCCAGGCGGTCAGGCGGAACACTGCGGCGTTAGTGCAAGCGCGACGTGGAATCTCGGTGCAGGTAAGGCATATAGCTAGGATGGACGTCAAGGAGGTGACGCCTGAGCGTGTGTCTCTACTGCATGGATCTCCGGAAGCGAAACAAGAGGGTGACGTTGGCGCCCGCGATGACGACGCGCGTCGACGTCATCGGCTGGCGAGATGCTGCCTGCTCTGCTACTGGTCCCGCTGTGTGCTCGTACGCTGCGCCCACCGAGGTCCGTCTATGCTTGCACGCTGGGCCGACACGTGCGGCTTGCTTTCATTGACTTTGTAGTCGCCTCGCTCACTTACTCACTCAGCCTCGTAGTGGTGTGCGAGCGGCCGTCTCCTGCGTGCCCTGTATGCGCCTCCGATGCCCATGAGCGGACGGAAAGCCGCGCACCGTGCCAGGTCTTACCGCCGACATTTCACTTACTTACCGCGGGCACGCTCTCCTTGTTGTCCACTGTGTTACCGCTAACATCACTGCCCGTTCTCTAGATCTACTCGCAATGTCTGCGTCTCTGCCTGCCGCCCGCGCGAGTCCCTTCCTGTATCGCCCTCCTACCTGCCGGCGTTCATTCCGCTCTCCGTGTCCGTCGCCGCTCTTGTCCGCCTAGCTGCCCTCCCGCCTCCCGTCCACGACCACCTCCGCCCTCGTTTCCCGTCCGCTCTTCTGTCTGGCACCCTCGCAAACGGCATACAGCCATACCCATGTGCTGCTCCCTCCCGAACGACACCAAATTCGCTCGATACATGTTTGTACCCGCCCGCCAGGTCCGTTTTTTCACTCTTTGCCATTGCATGCGGCTCACTCTGTCTGCGGTCCACAGCGATTTTGAACAAGTTCGACATAACTCGCTCGTCCCGCGCTCTGAAAACCGCGATACGACGTTGCCAGCCTGCAGGCGACGTCTGGGCTCTCGTAAATGCGCATCGCACGCCGAGCGGACACTGCGCGCACGCGCTATCCGCGTATTTCACCTCGATGCAGCACAGTATCGTCCCTCGCGCGTTTAAAGTAAGCTCCCTCGCCGCGAAACTCTGTTGGCATGCGCTCACAACGTCTCTCAGCCGTACACATCCGTTTGCGACCCGCTGCGCGTCCGTGCGCGCAAGATATCTGCAAGTTTATGCCCAAATACGACCTATTTCGGCCATAGCTGACGCAAATCACGCAGGCCCTCGTTCATAACTCGATAGAATGGTCCACGAACACGACCCTACCGACCGCGCACCATTACGCGCCAGGGAAACCACTTTTTATCACGCGTCGAAAACGCCATTTCATTGCGCATTCAATAGGCGCCGGCGCGCATTCCTTTGGCTCTTGCCTGTGCAGGACGCCCGCACGGCGCACAGCGCTGGTGCGTCCTTTTAAACACACAACACGGTCGGCATGAAGCTTATCACTGCTTCTTAAGATTGCTATACAACGTTCCAGCTGGCTACGCCCTCGGTCCCCCCTCCGCCCGCATCCCCGGCGACTCGGCAGCCCACACCGACGTCCCCCGCAGCGCCCCGCAGACGACGAGAAGGACTGGGGGTGTTCCCCTAGTGGCAAGTAACCGTAATCAACGATGCACAAGGCCGCCCGCGCACCCTGCTGTGCGTCACGAAGCTCGGGCCTGGGCCGGCCGTCCTGTCCCTATCGCAATCACGGTGAGTGCCACTGCCCCGAAACTGTTTTGTACGGGTGCAAACCTTATACTGCAGCCGCGCGCACACGTTTGCGACGCTCAGCGCGCCAGAACGCGTGGGATATACGCCGTTTACAGACCAAATCTCGCCCAATCCGGCCGTACCGCACGCAAAATCCGCCCGAACTTTTTCAAAGCACGAGCACGCGTCCCCCATGCACGTCCCCATTTATTGCGCACGTTCCCATGCCCCGAAAACACGTTTGATTTTCGCACACAAGTCGCGATTTCATTGATGTTTCGTAGGCGCCCGTGCGAAATCGGCAGGTGCGTGCAGGCTGGGGCAGCCAGGACGGCACGGAGCGCGGGCACGACGGTGTAGAACTGTTCCGGTGGCCTCCGCGCAGCTCCTCATGCGCGTCGCGACGTTGTCGGCTCGGCCGTCGTCCCTTTACAGGTCAAAGTTTGTCCAATTCGGCCATACCGCGCGCAAACTCCACCCGAGCGGCTCCAAACCACGAGCACACGCCCCTCGTGCACGCCCCTACCCGTCGCGCACGCTCCCATGCACGGCAGACGAGTTTGATTTTCGCGCGCAAATCGCGATTTCATTAGCGGTTCGTAGGCGCCCGTGCGAAATCATCGGGCGTGCGCGAGCTGGGGGAGCCAGGACGGCGTGGAGCGCGGGTAAAACGGTGCGGAACGTTACCTGTGGCCCGCGCGCTGTCCTCTGTGCACGCCGCGACGTCGTCGGCGTGGCCGTCGTCCTTGCACGCGGGGAAAGGACGTCTGGCGGCCTGCGCCGGCGTGCTTCGCAGCGCGCCGCCCGCACTGTGGCGGGCCCGGATCGACGCGCCTGGCGCCTGGAAGACCGCACGACGGCGCGCCGCTACCGAGGGCGGGTCGGCGCACGCAGCCCCTACAGGGTTGCGGCGAGTACAGGTGTACGTGCTACACACGACGCGCCCGACCGCCCCTCTCGCCGTCCTCCCATGGACGTCTCCCGTCCGTGCACGCCGTGACTGGAGACTGCGGATGAACGGGTGAGTGGAATGCGTACGGGACGAGGCGAAGGTGGGTGCGACGTACGAGCTCGACGGACTGCGCACGACGATCGGGGGCTGGCTACATACGGCGACTGTGGGCACGCGTACGCTGCTCCCCGTCGCCGTCTCCTATGGCTGCCCGGGCGCACTGAAAGTGGACAGGTGAGTGGCACGTCTACTGGAGGAATCGAAGGTGTACTCAACGTACCAGATGCGCGGGGCCTCGCTGTTCAGGCCGCCTGCGTCGCGTGATCGCTGTTGTGGGCAAGTCTGAGCGTCGCTGGACCTGTAGATACGCAGGGCACCGGTGGGCGAGCACAGTATGCGGGAACGGCGCGAGCGTCGTGCGAATCGCTCACCCGGGCGCACCAAGAACGCAGGCACGAGGCGGGCGGGCGACGTAGACGAGTGGACAGGTGAGTGCGCGCGTGTGCAGAGCGATCTTGGCGGGGACGTACGGAGGCATATGCGGCGGGGCAGAGAGCGGTAGGGAGAGGGGATGGTGCCCCCCTCCACGCACGAAACCCCGTTTACAAGGCTCGTCAATGCCGACGTGCATGCACGCGAGCTACGGCCGCACCCAAGGACAGCGTGGGCGTACGCCCGCGCTGTTCGCTTCCCCTCCCTCTTGTACGTCCTCGCGGTTTCCGCCGCGACCCTGTGCATCGCAGACCGCGCGCCCCGTCGCGAGTAATTTCGGACAGAGGACGCTCTCGAATGGAAGGTGCGCCGTTCCGCCGCCCGCCCGTGTTCCCCATGTGATGTACGTCCTCGTGCGTGTCGGGAGCAGGAGGTGGTCTGCGTCTGCACCGAGCGAGGTGTTCTCCGTGCGTGGTGTTTGCTGACCCGCGCGCGCCGTGTAGATGCCATGTGTGCTGGACAGGCAACAGCGCCCGGAGCGCATGCAGAATGGGGCACTGCCGACCCCGCCGTTCGCGTCGCGTACGTAGTGACAGGTCCGATGCGGGACAGGTTCTCGCGAGCAGAACGGCGGGAGGCACATCGGACAAGCACAATCGGTCGCGCCCGCATGGCGCGTGCAGTGCCGACGCAGAGCTCACGCGCAGGGTTCCCCCTCGCCTGTATCTTTTACTGCAGAAATATATTTTATACACGAACTGCTACATAACATATGTGCGACGTAGCATCTACTCGCAGACACGAGCAGACGAGCTCGACCTGCAGCTCTCCGCATCGTTCGCGACGCTTGACGGCAGAGGCCACTGGCAGTGCCCCACCCACCGCCGTGCTCGCTACCGCCCATGGCGGACGGCGTCTCATCACCACGATGCAGACCGTCCGCGTCCGCTACAGGAAACTCGTGCTGCATAGCGGCGACGTCGGTGAGCACGAAACAAGGAGGCTAGCGCAAATGACGTACATACAGCCCGCCGTCGGAGGCGAACCGGGGACACTGACATGTCCGCGAAGCTTGAAATTTGCACCTCGGACGCGCCAGGACAACCCTGAGATGCAGACGTACACGGGCACATGCTGCAGCAGTGCCCTCGTACTGTTGAAGGCGGCGACCGCCTGCAGGAGTGGGCTGGACGCGCAGGAATGAATTTGAGTGTTGTGTAGTACGCCACAAGACGGCGAGTGGACCTACAACTGACGGCGGCCAGATGCCCTCGGTGGCTGCCTCGTTCTCTGGGTTCCCCGCCTGCCAATCCGTTGCCGGTGCACCGGGCCCCAGGCGCTCTCGAGGCCCCGCAGATCGCCTCCGCCATCTTTGCCTGGCACGAGGAGACCGGGACTGCCAGCGCCGGCCATGGACCCCGTCCACACCGTTGGTGCTGGGGACATCGAGGGACCGAGATCTAAACGGTCGTGAGCAGCGTGATCGCCAAAGCGGGAGAGCGCGACGACGTACCGGTTCGGGCATCTGCCAATTGGGCCGAGCAGCGTACCTTGCAACCGAGCGACCCGGTGCTGAGTCGACAGGTTAAGTCCCCGAGAAGAATCGGCCTCGGCGCGATCTGCCGTCCAAGGCGCACGATAGCGTCGGTGTCCGCACCGTCGGGCACAAAGTAACCGCAGGCGATTTTCCTGTTAGGAGACAGGCGGTGCGCCCGCGCGCGCCGAGACGTCAGATATAATCCACCGGCCGCGCCCAGTTCGTGCATGGGCCCTGGACCTGCTACTCTGAGCGCGTTGCACGTGAAGAGTCTGCGTAGCGAACCGATCAATAGCGCGATACTGACGGTCGGATTCTACTCACCCCTTTGTGATGACAGAGACAGGGCTATTGCATGCAGTGTTGAGTACACGGGGGCCTGCTCGAGTAGCCGTGCGCGAGGTCGAACGACGGGGGTGTGGGAACACTTTGCGTGAGCTCTGCGTCGACACTGCACGCGCCATGCGGGCGCGGCCGATTGTGCTTGTCCGATGTGCCTCCTGCCGCACTGCTCCGAGTTGCGAGACCCTGTCCCGCATCCCTGTCATTACTTACTCGACGCGCGAGACCAAGTTCGGCCGTATCCCGCGCACGCTCCAGGAGCTGCGTCTGTTCAGCACACTCGGATTCTGTCTAGCAATAGTAGGTCAGCAAACACAGCGCGCGGAGGACGCCTCGCTCGGCGCGGGCGCAGGCCACCTCCTGCTCCCGACATGCACAGCGACGTACATAGCATGGCGAGCACGAGCGGAGGGCGGAATGGCGCACCTTCCATTCGAGAGTGTCCTTTGTCCGAAAGTACTCGCGACGGGGCGCGCGGTCTGCCATGCACAGGGTCGCGGCGGAGACCGCGAGAACGTACAAGAGGGAGCCTGGGAAGCGAACAGTGCGGTCGTGGAGAGTCTGCGTAGCGAGTCGATCAGTAGCGCAACATCGGTCTAATTCTACTCACCACTGCGTGACGAAGAGGACCCGCCTATTGCGCGTGGTGTTGAGTACACAGGGGCCTGCTCAGATCGCCGTGCGCGAGGTCGTACGGCGGGGGCGTGGTCTGCGCTCGCGCGCACATTACTAAGTCGGAAAGCAGCGCAGAAGAATGCGGGGCTCTCACGGCCGCCCATGCGCTTGTCGTCACTCAAGCGCTCCGGTAAGGGGCACAGCGCAGCGGACCAGCGCTTTGCGAGAGACCGCCAGGCATTCTAGGAAGTCCTGATGTCCATTTGTGCTCGAGCGCGCACGATCCTCGGCTAGAAACTCCTTCGACCGTCTCGATTCGGGCCAATAACATTTGATCTATCTACCTCAATCAAATGTTAGTGCTGTGAGCTTCGAACGAGAGCAGTAGTCACGTAGCTATTCGTGCACCACTGCGAGCACCGTAGGAGCGCCGAGTTTGGGGACTACATATTGAGGTGCTGCTGAATGTCACGAGCACAATGTGTCAGAGGCGGCCACACTCTCGAGGTTACGGGCAAGCAGATAGAGTCCACGAAGGGCGAGGTCAGGCATGAGTAAGTACGCACGGCAGGTCGGCGTATCCGCTGTGTTCGCAGTCACTCTTGGCGCGCTATGGGGCGCTGCTCGCGACCATGGAGGCGAATCACAATGCGTGGGCCTTGCACGAGGCGAGGCGAGACGGGCGTCGGGCGAGCGGCCAAAAAGCGTCTTCAGGGGTCGTGCCAGAACGTCGGGATGGCAGACGCTGCCGCCAACCGAGCAAGGTAGAATTCGGGAGACCCTGCACGTCGACCTATAAAATTGTAGCGAATTATTAGCAGCTCGCAGCGTGAGGGATTCATAAAGGTGCTCACGGACGCCCAGTTGTTTCCCCCTGACCCCAGTCGGACGCACTCCTCATCTACCATGTTTACCGAGCCACTCACTGCCGCCAACTACCTTGATCGCGACCACCATCCTGCGTACGACCACCACCCGCCGGCAGCTCGCGAGGAGATTGAGGATGAGATCAGCGCATGCCTGACCAGTAACCTCCGTGAGTATCAATTCCGTGCTCCAGGCTGTATCGTTGCTGACGAGTGCAAGCAGGAGAGGTCTCGGGCGTATCGACCGCAATCCTCCGGTACTCCTATGCTTCCTATGCCAAGTTGATCGTCATCCTGCTTGAGTGCAAGCTCTCCGGCTGGCCGCCCTCCATCCCCTACACGAGCTTCAGCAAAATCCCAGGCGGGATCGCAGTCTTGGCCGAACTCCTCAAGCACTGCAAGCAGGGCGAGATCTACTTCGAGCCCGCGACACCTGAGGACATCGCGAACGCGATGTGCGACCCAGCCACTGTGCACCCGAACTATCGACGTCCCGGTGCTGGTGGGAAGCTGTCAGCGCAGGCGCCGTCTGATGCGCAGGACCCCACTGTCGTACTGTCGTATGTCCTCGAGCCCGAGGGCTTGGGCCTCATCGGTGTCCAGCCCATCTCGACACAGCCCTCCACTGCCGCCGCCCTGCTCGACGGCATCCCGTCTCAGCAGCGCAGCGACATCAAGAGGCCGCGCCGCCGCATCCTCGACGGCCCCTACTCCCGTCCGCGCCCGCTCCCGAAGGAGGGCGTGAAGAGCGAGCCGTTTGTACTCGAGTTGGCCGCCGAGGACCGTCGCCTGGACTCGCCACCTTCGGAGCACCAGCGCGAGCATTACTTGCTCGTTCGCGAACCGCTGCTGGAGTTCCTTCCCGCCATGCCATGGGGCGCGCTCACCTCGTTCGATATTCTCCCTCCCATTCCGTACGGCGGCGCTGGGGAGATGTGTTCCGAGATGGCGATGGACGCGTTAGGGATGGTCGTGTTCTAGGACGGCCGAGGAGCAGTGTTTGCTAGCATTTCTTGCTGAAGTTGGGTCGGCAGCGTTCATTCTCGTGTGTAAATAGCATACTGTATGCATATAATCCTTTGCTTCTTGAATTTCCCAGCTAGGAGAGGGGCCGTCAAATTGAGTCGTGTGGAGGTAAGACGAGAGCCTGACAAGCGCTCTGAACTAGGCGAGTTTCCTGTTTCGGAGAATTTGGAAGCTCGGGCGCCAGAGCTTGTGCGGCCGATCACAATATGTCTGTCTCGACCGTCATGTCTGCAGCCCAAGCTCGACACCGATTTCCTCTCAGACCACGCAGCGCAACTCTTCTCTGTGTGGTTCTCTCTGTGCACTCCCATGCCGCAGACCTGCCAGACCCTGGAGGCAGTCAGCACGGGCCGATTCCCAATACTAACTTCAGCTCGAACTTGGGCCCACCACGGACTCGGGCGCGGCGAACGGACAGCGCCACACCCCAATTCGAGTCGTTGGGACTTGGCTAATAACGTCGCTCATTGGTAAGTGAGTCAGTTTGTCATGAGAGATGAAACTTTTCTAAGCGCACATTGCATGCGACAGGCAAGTCCACGCTTTCGGATAGGCCGATGCAGCGCGCTGCGTGAGGACGGAGCGCCCTCACTTTATATTTCGGTACCCAGCACGCACAGCTCTGACAGGACCATTTTATAGCCGCTAAGACCACCCGTGGACCCCGCCCTCCTCCCCTCCCCTCCTCTCAGCAGATACGACTTCGCCCTTCACATCTCCGCCGCTCCCATCTCCTGTCTGTTGCTCGATGAGTTCGTTCGCTTATGCAGCAAAATGTCCGTGTGACTATCGACGAGTGAGTTATCCTAGTACGTGTATATAATGTGCTACGTTCTGACTCAGGCTACAGCGAGCACAGCGGGCCACGTTTGAACGTGTCATGCCGGTGACACGTCGCTACTGATACCCCGCACAAACAGCGCTGCACGGTATCCGACGGGGGTGAACTCGATGTACCGTATGGCGGCACTGTGAACAAGACATGGAACATCCCGATAGTACGGCCAAGTGCGCATGCATTTCGACGCAAATACGGTGCTAGTGAGTGCCTGTCCCCATCCTTTGGATCTGTATATTGACTGTCTCTTTTGTTGCAGCTACACGATCCGACGACGTCGGGTGCGCGGCGCGGTCGTCAGACCGCTCATTCGCCTGAGTGCAAGTGCAGCGTGCGTTCAAGTTGGACCCCGTAGCTCTCCCCTGTAATGTCGCGTGCCACTCGGCATCGGTGTCCGTGCGTCTGATTGCGAGGGCCTAGCATGGTGTTCGGTAAGCTCGCGGCATACGCCAGGGAGGGCCGCCCGCGCAAATCTCGCTCGCGCATGCAGCGTGCGTCTGGTGTGTCTGACTTGTCAGCATCTACACCTGCGGCGATTCCGCGGTCTGCTCTCTGCGTGGGTAGGTATCAACAGCCAAGCTTGGCATACGTGATCCAGGTACGGTGCCCCAGGTCAGTACACGGACTTCCCCGTGCGGCGATAGTTAGCTCACGATCATCTGTCTCGCAGTCAGGAGTACTTGAGAGCGTCGCATCAACGACTGCCCGCTACTGCGACATCCTCCAAAACTACGAGGCCCGCACGCCGTCTCGCTGTTGGGTGCGCCAAATGGGCGTACCGACACATTTTGAAACAGCCCACTCGCAAACGCGCAAGGACAGCTAGCCTGTGGCCACAAGACTGCGCATATCGGATTGCCAGTGAGCAGATCGCTTTTCGGACCGGTCTGTGTGCCCGCGAGGGGACTCAGTCAAGGTGAGCCCGGTCTGTCGGGACCGCGGCGTGCACAGAGCACCTGTTCCCGCAGATGCCACTCCCTGGCTCTCGACGGGCGCCGGAGTGTTCGCTCCAGGCCGCGATGCTACGCCGGCCTTTGTATGTCTCGCGGAAGGCCGACTGACTGGTATTGCGCGCGCAGGCAGACGTACATGGCGAGCGGTGTTCCTCGGGGTCTGCGCGGACGGAGACCACGGACACGCGGGCCACGGGTGGTTCAGCTCGTAGCGGGCGCGAGGGCGAGTGGCTGGGCGGGTTTCTCCCAGGCGGACGAGCCCGTAGTTCGAGTCGCTACCCGTACGCATTAGTCGCAATATATTTATTTATGCCACCGCATGCGCGAACGCACTTCTCCGCCTAGTTCGCCGTCATCGCCCATCACGAAGCCACCCATTGTGAATTCCGACCCACGCCGCGAAACTACGACCCACAAAACTACGACCCGCGAAACTACGACCCACAAAACTACGACGCACAAAACCACCAACACCGCGAAACTACGACCCACGAAACCACCAAAGGTACGCTTTATTTCTCTCTTTGTCCTATCCAGATCAGGCACCCGTCGCCGCCGTCCATTCAACGAAATATATTCCCGGTCTGCTACCGAACACTGCGTGCAAACCTTGTATGACCCGTTCACGACTAGGACAGGGCGGCTCTCTCTCGTCATCTCCACAAAGTCCGGAACCTCGTGGTCGTTCAGACCCTTGACCACGACCACGTTCAGTTTCACCGACTGGAGCTCCCGGGACGCGAGCGCCGTCTGCAGTGACCGCAGCACCGCATCGTGGCCCATCCGGCGCGTCATGATCTCAAACTTGAAAGGGTCAAGAGTATCCAGACTGGAGGGCACTGTTAATCTCTCGTGTTCCCGGAAGCGACGGGGTGCGGTGCAAACCTTATGTTCAGGTGTGTGAGCCCGTTCGCGACCAGGGCAGGCAGTTTCCGGTGGAGCGCAATGCCGTTTGTGGTCATCCCGATGGATTGCAGCCCGTGCTTCCGCAGCCCGTGCAGTCGGCCTGGTCGGGTGCACTGTCAACTGTGTCCGGACTCGCTCGGGGAGGCGCATCGCGACCTGCGACGCGTACGTACCGACGATATCAACTATGCCCTTCCTGACCATCGGCTCGCCCCCCGTGAGGCGGATCTTGGTCACGCCGCTCTTGACGAACAATGTTGCGAGACGGATCACCTCGTCGTCCGAGAGGATGTGCTCTGGCGGTGATAGCTCGATGCCCTCGCTCGGCATGCAGTAGAAACCTGTGAGACCCGGTCAGCTGCATCTCCACGAGGCGTTTCGTACAGGTAGGGCGGCCGGGGGTGCGCTGCTTCTGCAATGGGACGTGGCCGCGGAGGGGGAGAGAGACGCACATCGGAGATTGCACCGCTCGGTGAGCGAGATCCGCAGGTAGTTGTGCCGCCGGGCAAAGGAGTCCACGAGAAATGGGGAGACACTGGGGCCCCGTTCTGCGTCTACGCGCGAGATCCTATGCTGTGGCACCAGCGTGATCTCGCGTTAGTGTGCACTGCAAGGATCTTTGGCAATGGCGCACCTTGATTCGATTCCGTAAGCCGCTCGCTGAGCTTGCGAGTTCTGGTAACACCTCCGCGTGTCGTAGCACCGCGGACGTGCTCAAATTGCGCGATATGGGCTTGAGTGGAGCCTGGGAGGAGACCGCAGCTTGGCGGATCATGGTGGTCGACTGCAAAGAGACATTTGCTCGGCGTGCTCGAAGATGTGGCCATGAGCGGCTCGTCGACTACAGTCACGATCGACGCTGCTCAAGGGGCATGCTCGGGTAGCATGGGACAGACCGTATTAGTAATCGGCCGACAGCAGCTAATGGTGCGCCGCCGGCATTCTATGAGCCTTCTAATACGTCCGCTAATGATATCAAGAGTGTCGCAAAGCAAATTATAAACACGCGTTAACAGCGCCCTTCTTATCTACCCAATAGCACGCGAGCAGCGAGCATTGCAGCGACCGGCGAAGTCGAGAGGTCCTCCGACATCCATGGCCTACATCTGAATCCTCCGGCACGTCTGTATCCAATGATTGTCTGTTGCCATCCTACAGACCCCGCAGCCACACCTCCGCCACCACCCATCTCGCCGACTTGTCTTCACCCAGCCGAGCCCTGTAATGGCGGCCGGTCGCCCGCAGATGCAGCGCACTAGAGCCGAGCACCATCTGCACACTGCACTCGCTCAGCGGCACCTTCTCCTCCCCGATGGTCGCCTCACGAGTGGTGGCGTAGCAAATGGGGTTATGTGCGGCGGCGTGCTGTAAAGCTCTCAGCAATCGAGACGCCGCATACACTCGAGGCGAAACGCCATACCCAGGTGACGCTGTCAGATGACCACTCGAACGTGCACGCCTGCAGGATGTCCTCCGTCGCGGCGCCCACGAGCCACACAAGTTCGACCGCTGTCCATTCGCGCGCGTCGCTGATGTCCGTGAGAATGTCGAGCGCGAGCGTGTCGCCCTCCGCGGCGTCTTGTTCGGTAGCGTTAGGAGTCCGAATGGCTATCCGACACTCGTGCAAATGCAGTACGTACGTGCGAAGCTCCGGAACACCGTCTCGGCTTTCAAGTCGACGGCGTTGGACGGCGCGTGCTCGAGGTAATTGGACTTCCCAGCCTCGCCTAAGATGTCGGAGTTGCGGCGTTCGAGGGTCAAGATATCGTTGACGTTCGTGGCGAAATGAGAGATAGTCTCGGGTGCTAAACGGATATTAGTTTCCAGGACACATGCGGACCCACGGCACGCTGCGTGGGTCTGCCCGGAAGGGGTATATGGCCCGTCGAGGGTCACGTATGGCGGCCTGGGCCGTGGCAGGTCTTTGTCGACCGTAGAATCGTCGCATGAGGCATGGCCGCAGTGTGTCAGCGACTCCAGATATCGTGTGGCCCTGAGCTAGGAGAGTGCCGGTTTCAGTGCAGGCTCTCGAAATGTCGCGAAGGATACCCACCGTATAGTCCCTGTTCCGCTCATCGCCTTCCGAGCCGACCGTAAAGGCGTGACCTCCGCCGAGTTCAAAGTTCTGGTCGAACCACACCTCGGGCACGCGGTTGCTCAGGATGGTAAAGAAGTTGTCCGCCATTTTCATCTCATCATCGGCGGCCCTAAGGTATCGCATGAGGTTGAGGAACCGCTGGGCCTCGGACCGGCGCAGCATCGCCCCGTAGCCTAACCAAGCGAAGGAGGTGTGGATGTCCGCAAGATGGGATGCATCCGGCGACCTAACGTGAACCTCGCGCAGCGCCGTCGAAAGATGCTGGTCCGGCGGCAGCAGGTGTATAGCTCCAGATGCGCCTGGCTCTGCGATGCGTGCGCGGAGTGTTTGAATGATCTCTGAGCGGATCAGGAAGTCATCATCCTAGGGAACAGCCCTCGTCAATTTCTACTCCCGCGAGATACGGAAGGCAAGAGCTCACTTGGATGAAGCAGTACGGTGTATCAGCCTGGGCGCACGCGAGGTAGCGCCCCTGAAAGAGCTTGTTCGCGGGCGCGTTGTGGATGCGCAGCTTCGAGCGCGGGCAGCCGGTGTTCTTCAAGTCCTGCGTTCGATATCGTCGTATCACGGCGCGGAGAGAGAGTAAGAAAGCGGTATGCACACTTCATAGGAGAGCGGCTTGTGGTGGTTGTTCCATATGTACACCTGTGCAATGGTGTTGTCCAGCCAAGGTCCGCAGAGCAGAGAAGTGATAAGCAAGACGTTCGGGAAGCGCGACCAATTGAGTATCACGGCTGTAGTGTCGGCTGGTCCAGTGCTGTTCTGCACAACGGAGACGCGTTCGTAAGAGGCGAGCTCGGGAACGTCGGCACGGAAGGTCACAGGCAGCACTCTGGGAACGAAGTCGATATCGGCTAGCAACGGCCGGTAGAGGGAAGCTGGAGTCTCCTCGACGGTCTGCTCAGGCCAGACCAAGCGAACGACGTAGGCGAGGATGAGGGGCACCGCAACGGTCTGCACCGCGCGGAAGATCTGTTTGAATGTGATCATGGCAACCCGTGGGCAGTCGAGGGTGGTCGAGGGTGGTCGTCGCGGAGAGAGACGGAGAGAGACGTCGATCAAACCCGCGAGCTCATCGTGGATGGCGTCCAGAACGGGCGCATATACCCACGTGGGCCAAGCGGTTGCCCCGCCCACGTCATATGATGGCCTCCACACAACGTCCTCTAAACCCGCGACCTCCGCACCCTCTCTAACGCACCCATCTCCTGCACTTACGCGTCGACGACCAGTTCTCTGACGACTCGACCTCTCGCGCAAAGCTACACGCTCTTTCGATCCTCCAACGTTACGCGACAATGTTGGCCCGTCTCAGCACCCAGGCGGTCAGGCGGAACCCTGCGGCGTTAGTGCAAGCGCGCCGTGGAATCTCGGTGCAGGTAAGGCATATAGCTAGGATGGACGTCAAGGAGGTGACGCCTGAGCGTGTAGTCTCTACTGCATGGATCTCCGGAAGCGAAACAAGAGGGTGACGTGCAAATTCAGCAGCATGGCAGGCTCGTAGCGCGTGGCAAGTACATTCATGGCTTCGAAGGTGAGCGGTCAGGAAGGCCCCTTTGCGAGAACCCATAACAAGCCCCATGGCACTCATAGTGCACAAGGTCAAGCCCGCGGCGGTGGAAGAGTACAAGAAGGCCGCGTGAGCAGCTCTTTGTTCGCGTTGACATCCTCTTTTTGACGTTTATCTGCAGAGAGGCGTATTACACGGCGATCAAGGAGGACCCGGACTTGCACGTTAAGCTTACCGGTAGCTGGGAGGCCGTGGTCGGCGAGCAGGACACGTTCTGTGCGTGTCTTTCGGCCGTAAAACCCCGTCCGTCGTGATCTCACACATGCCGGCAGACCACATTTTAGAGTATGAGAACTACTCTGGTTACGATAAGACAACCCAGAAGATTAAAGCCTCCGAGGTACACCAACCCGCTGATATACCGTCTACATACTCACGCTAGTGTATTACAGCATCTCAAGACCTACAGCCAGTTGATTCCCCACCTGACGGGTCGGTCTCAGCAACTCTGCCAAGAGTTCGCTTTCTTCCCGACAACTCCTCCTCGGACTGAAGGAGGTGTCTTCGAGCTTCGTACCTACCAGCTTCATCCCGGAGCTCTGTTGCAGTGGGAGCACGCTTGGTAAGGGGGTCAAGCGCCCATATTGTCGATCACTGCTCATGTCTCCCTCCAGGCGGAAGGGCATCGAAGCCCGCAGGAAGTTCGTTGAGCCCGTCGGGGCATGGTTTTCGCAAGTGGGTCGGCTGCACCAGGTCCACCACATGTGGCAATACCCGTACGCGCTTCCATTCTCCTGTTCCTGGCGATCATGTCATTTAGCCAGGGCCGCTTTAACTTACAACCAGGGACCTGCAAACTCGCAAGGAAACGCGCGAGAAGGCCTGGCAACTCGACGGATGGTCAGAGACCGTGTCGAAGGCACGTCATTTCGATGGTCGAGCATGTCACAGTTCGTTAGCTGACGACGCTGCCTTTTAGACTGCTGAGTACTCGATGCTGATGGATTCCGTCGTCCTGGAGCCCCTTGCATACAGCCCTCTCAAGTAAGGCGCAAGGACAACGCTTGTATGAAGCGGAGGCCAGTTGGTTGCACCATGTGGGTGCCGGGTATGGTTTGCGGGTCGGGTCGGATGACGATCATTTTGGACGGTGCTTGTATATTTATCTCCCCTGGAATAGGCATAGTTGCATACCTTGCGTAATTCCATCGTACGCATTTTGACAGCGACATTCGCACCCCGTGCGAACGATTCCGCCGGCACTGACTCGGAGCCACATGTGCCATGCGCAGCACGGGCATCGTCAGCCTCACGATTACTGTACGTTGGCTGCGAACTCCGGGTCGCATGACGCAGGCTGATAGCACCCTGGGTGAGGCCCTGTGAGGCCTTGAGGACCCTGGGGCTAGCTTAATTTTGGAGGGGAGAAGACGGGCAGGATCGATGCGCGCAGAGAGTTGCCGGGCGGGCTGATCGACCAATGATAGTGGGCGATTCCGGGGTTGTCCCCCGCGCACGCGAAAGTCCGATAACACACATCAAACGCTGTTGTGGCTTGAGTGCGCTGGCAGGCCAGCGCATATCGCGGCAAAATATACTAAGAGAAGCCAAAGAGGACCATGTGCGGATTCCAGGTCGCAAGGGGTTGTGTCGGGACGGAAATAATATTTGTTGGCGTGGTGAGGGCTGTGCGTTTGTTTGGATCGGGGGTCGGATCTAATAGAGAACAAAGGGCTAGTGGGGGTCGTGGACCCACAAGCTCAACTTGTGCGCCAACTCTTGCCTTTTCCTCTCCCCAGTCACACTCCGCCCTGTCGCTCCTTCCCCCCTCTCCCCCTCCCTCCCGCCCCCATGTCCTCCCTCAACAACCTTCTCAACCCGGAGTCGTCCTACGAGTCGTCGCTCAGGTACGCAACGCCCCATCACCCGCCGCTTCTCGCGGTCTCACACCCCCCGCCTTCGGCTTCTATCGTCAGGTTGCAGACCGTCCGCTCCCCAACCAGCTCCGCAACGTCTCCGACAGACAAGCCCATAGCTACGATCCACACAGTCGAGATAAAGCCCCCTCCCCCTCCCCCACCTCCACGAGCAGAGGTCTTCATACGCGCGCACGAACCACATCCCGACTGCCCAGACACGCTAGCATGTCTTCCGGATACCGACGGACGCCCACAACACACCCTTCCCGTCATCCTGCGCTGCACCATCCTCGGTAGCCCACGAAAGCGGCTCACAATCAGGGAGATTTACGCGGCGATGGAGAGGAAATATCCGTATTATAAGACCGCGGGGCCGGCATGGAAGGTGAATACCCTCCCACTCTTCACGCGCGCGCCTTCTGCACAGGAGGTGGCTAAACCGCACTTCTCCAGCAATCTGTGCGGCATCATCTCTCCCTCAATCGCTTGTTCGAGCGTCAACCCCGTCCACCCTCCGATCCCGGCTTCGGGTCGTACTGGACAGTAAACCTCGATGCCCCGCCGGGTACCAAGCGTCCGAGGAAGAGGGGAGGAAGGGCGAAAACCGACGGGTCGGAGACGGGAACTATAACTGTGCTGGGTCCGTCCACTACGCCTCCTCCACCTCCCATCCCCATCGGACAGCGTACCTTGCCTGCTTTGCCCGGTCCCCCGGCTCCTTCAATGCCGGCTGCACAAAGCACACAAACACCAATATCAACGTCGCAGATTCCTCCGCCACCACCGTCAGCGACACCATCCAGTGCTTCAAGCGTCGCGTCTGCACCCTCTCACACGCCGCCCACATCCTCTACTGCTACTTCGGCGTCGGTGAGTCTTGTTCACCCCGACTCTCAATCTGCGCGACAGTTGCCTGAGGAAGATCCTCAGGCGCGCCCGAGTCCGCCGAACCATTACATCCGCTCCTCGCAGCCCCCCCTACACATACATCAGTCTCCTTACTCACAAGTACAATCCCAGCCTCCCCATCCCGGGCACGCCCCACCTCCATCTCATGTATCCCCGCATCCCCCACCCCATGCGCATTCCCAGCCTCCCTCTCATACGCGCCGTCTCCCGCTCCCTCCGTATGCACAATCCTCGCCGCCCATCCCGCCGCCGCCCACGCATGGCCCCCCTCGTCCTCATATGCACTCTCAACCGTTGCACTCGCCGCATAATCAATCCCCGCCTTCGCCCCCACAGCCGTCGGGCCACCCACACCCTCAGCAGTCGCCTTACGCGCAATCTCACGCTCCTCCACCTGGGCAGGCATCCCCACACCCTCTTTCAGCGCATCCCAATTCCGCACATTCCAATTCCGGGCACTCGCACTCGCATCCTCCTCATGGACATCCCCATCCACACCCCCAACATTCTCCTGTCACTACCAATGGGAACACTTCGGTATCCACGATCGCGAAGTTACGTCCGGTGGACAGTAGATCATTCAGCCATGGGTCTACAATGCGTTCCCGCAGAATGTACGACGAAGATGACGACGATTCGATGGACTGGGAGGAGGACGGAGGGGGAGGACCATACACCGATGACGACTACTCCAGCTCCGAGGACATGCCGTACCAATATGATCCCCGTCACCACAACCACAACTCGGCCTCATATGCCGGACCCAGTCACCGCTCCTACTCGGGCTCTCAATCTCAGCCAGGGAGGTCGGTCCTTCACGGGGCATTCTCGGCGTACCCCAGTATCGAACACCAGGAGTCGACAATCGAGCGGCTCAAGATGGAGATGTCGGGGTTGCGACGACAGTCCCAAGACGCGGTCACCGCCTCTTTGCGGCTCTCCGACGAGCTGCAGGCGTCGCGAGAGGAGGCGGGGCGCGCGAAGGCCGCGCTGAAGGTTGCGGAGAACATGCGCGAAGAAGAGGTCCGGCGTCGGATACAAGCCGAGAAAACCCTCGAGGAGGAGGTACGGCGACGGAGGATCGCCGAGGACACTCTCCGACAGTATCAGGCGCAGCCGCCACGAAAATCGGCGGGGTACTCGGCGCGAACGTGACCCCGCCCCCCACATTCGTCTTTTTGGTCTTTCACTCCCTATGGTGCTCCCCTTGTCCATTGTCCATCCCCCACCCCCACATTCGGCCTTTCAGCGGATTGCTCGCGGATTGTACCCATACCTGCCCCCTTGCTGATTTATGGATAACCTGTCCAGGATTATTGACTCTCTCGTGCGTTTTGTTCTGCGGCCGTGCGTTGGTTATCTAGTTCTGTCAATATTATCGCGTGTTACGGCAGTGCTGTAAGTCGGTATCTCGAGCCTGCTTCGCTCGGCATCCCGGCCACTAAGGTCGGCGTTCTCGCACAGTCTTCTCTGGAGACCATGGCGGGAGTGTCCGCACGCGTCGGCGCGCCACGTCGTCCCCTTGTCAACTCTCCGGGAGCCCCTGGTCGGAAGTGCCAGATAATGCCGGGTTAGTCCCACCGAGTGCCTGTTCGGGCGTCGCGGTCGCTGCCTATCAGACGTGTGCAGAAATAATCACTCACAGCGCGCCCGAGCGGGGGGCGGGCTCCCATGCTGCGCTGCGAGTCAATGCTTGCTGCCGTTCTCGCGCAGGCCGCGCGAGCAGCGCAGGGGGCCCGGCGGGGCCCCGCGGACGGGACCTTGGCCGCCCCGGACGTGCCCTGTGAACTCCGACGGGGATTCCCCCGCGCTGAGCGGGGATGGGGTCAGGCGGGGGGCGGGGGAGATGCAATGTATTCCGTGAGGCGCACGGTGCAGCGTGGCTCCCCCCATCAACGGGAGAAGGGGGTGGGAGGAGGGCGATTGAGTGGGTTCGCAGGCGGGTGCAGCTGCGAAGCGCGCGCGCGATCAGAAGGCTGATAGACGCCGGGAGGAGTGGGATTGAGGCCGTTGGACAACAAGCACAAACATTCGCCTGAAAAAGTTGGCGGCGGCGCTTCCCATTGGCCGCCGATCGTCCTCCGGCTGCTGCTTGCTCTCTCTTCTGCGCCATGGACTCGACACACCGCCCGAAGCTCAAGACTGCGTATGTTGCTCGCTTTTGCCTTCCTTGCATGGTCTGACGATACGCATGTAGATTCAAAAAGGCGCGCGTAGTCGCGCCGCTGCACACCGCGGGCCCAGTAGCCGTAACGCCGGACGGCTCGAGGCTGGTCACCTGCGTCGGTGAGGATGCCCTCTTGACAGATGTAAAGGCAGGGGTGGAGATATGTCGGTTTGCAGGGGTGAGTAATTGCGTTCACGTGCGCCAAATCGGCACTCAATTCCTGCGCAGGACACAGAATCCATCACCTCCCTGTGCATAACGCCCTCGGCCTCACATCTCCTGCTGTTCACCTCCTCTCTGTCCCTCCGCGTATATGAAATCCCCACATCCTCGGTACCTCTTACAAAGCTCGTCAAACCTGTGCGCGTAGTCGCCCGCGCGCACGACGCGCCAGTGCACGTATGCAAAGCCGATCCTACCTCCACCTACCTCGCGTCCGGCTCCGCAGATGGAGTGGTAAAGGTATGGGACATCCTGCGCGGGTATGTCACCCATCTCTTCAAGGGTCACGGAGGCGTCGTCAGCGCGCTCGCCTTCAACTACCCCTTCGACCCCTCGTCGGTCATCCGGGAGCAGAAGATGCAGCTCATTACCGCCTCCGTCGACACGCGCATCCGCATCTTTGATCTGTCAGCTGCGGCGGCCCGTGCCAGTGGCGGATCGAAGCCCGAAGCCGTCCTGGAGGGGCATGTATCAGTACCACGCGGCCTCGACGTCAGCGCGGACGGGAAGTGGCTTGTTAGCGGCGGCAGAGACTCTGTCGTGCTCGTCTGGGACATATCTTCCAAGGCCGGCCCTGCCAAGAAGAGTAGCAAGGGGAAGGGGAAGGAAACAGAGTTCGCGCCAGTGCTGCACAAGACCATCCCGGTTCTTGAGCGCGTCGAGGCCGTGGGTCTGTTACATCCCGACGAGGACCTCGCCGGCGCTCCATCTGGTCCTGGGAAGCTCCGGTTCTACACCGGCGGAGAGAAGGGGTTAGTGAGAATTTGGGATGCGCGAGAAGGCAACGTGCTTTTTACGCTCAGGCAAGAACAAGGCGAAGCAGCAGAAGACCAAGAGGAACAGCGACAAATTGTTGATGCGATGTAAGCTTCCTGAGCCACATTGCACCTGCACAGTCGCTCACGGCACCTATAGTTACGTGCCTGCGACGTCCACAGTCGTATCTGTGCATGCCGACCAAAACATCCTCTTCCACTCCCTCTCGACGCAGACGCTCAGCCGGCAGCTCATCGGGTTTAACGATGAGATCATCGACGCGACGTTCTTGTCGCCCAATCTTCCCCTGCAAGCGTCAACACCCTCTGCCCTCTCCGACACCCACGTAGCGCTCGCGACGAATTCGTCGCTTATTCGCGTATACTCAACGTCCTCCCTAGACGCGCGCCTCATCGCAGGCCATTCCGAAATCGTGCTCTGCCTCGACAGCGGGGCACAGGGCCGCGTGCTCGCGAGCGGCAGCAAAGACCGCTCCGCGCGGATATGGGCCCCCGTCCCCGCGCGCGCGGACGCGGAGAGCCCAGCGGTCCCGGAGTGGCGTTGCATTGCCATCTGCGAGGGTCACGCCGAGAGTGTGGGGGCCGTCGCATTGTCGCGCAAGGCCTTCGCGGGCGACGCCGCTCCGTCTGGATCGGCTTCGGCTTCGGGGAGCGATGGGTTGCGTTTCATGTTTACCGGGAGCCAGGACCGGACGATCAAGATGTGGGACCTATCGCCAGTGTCGCTCACAGGGCCCGCGGACGACGCGGACGAGGACGCAGACGCAGACGCGCGTGTGGTGAAGTGCAAGAGCCTCACGACGCACAAGGCGCACGAGAAGGACATCAACGCGCTCGACGTCGCGCCGAACGACCGGCTGCTCGTGTCAGGCTCGCAGGACCGCACCGCGAAGGTGTGGGAGATCGAGTACGCGGCGACGGGCGCGGGCGTGCGCGGGGAGCTGCGCCTGCTCGGGACGTGCAAGGGCCACAAGCGCGGGGTGTGGTGCGTGCGCTTCGGGCGCACCGAGCGCGTCCTCGCGACGGGCAGCGGGGACAAGACGGTGAAGCTGTGGAGCCTGGAGGACTTCACATGCGTGAAGACGTTCGAGGGGCACACGAACTCGGTGCTGCGTGTCGACTTTTTGAATGCGGGTATGCAGTTGGTGAGCAGCGCGAGCGATGGGCTTGTGAAGTTGTGGAATGTCCGCACTGAGGAGTGCACTGCGACTATGGACAACCACGAGGACAAGGTACGTACAGTCCGCGTTAGGCATGCCCTATCACAGCCAATGAACCATATTCTTGTCAGGTATGGGCACTCGCCGTCAGCAGCGACGAGTCCACGATCGTCTCCGGCGCCGCAGACTCCGTCGTCACCTTCTGGCAAGACTGCACAGAGGAGCAGCAAGTCGAAAAAGAAACAGCACGCGCCACCCTCGTCGAGAAGTACGCCTCCCCTCCTCCTCCTCCCCTCCCCCATACCCCATAACTAACACCCACCTCACAGGGAACAAGACCTCCAGAACTACCTCGCCCTGCACGACTACCGCAACGCGATCCTCCTCGCGCTCAGCATGTCCCAGCCCGGGCGCCTCCACAAGCTCTTCGCCGCGCTCACCGCCGCCTCCCCCGCCGACGACCTCCCGCGCGCGCCCTCGTTCACGGGCCACCCCGCGGTCGACGAGGTGCTGCGGACCCTGCCGGGCACGGACCTCGCGCGCCTCCTGCGCTACGTGCGCGACTGGAACGCGCGCGCGAAGACGAGCGTGGTTGCGCAGCGCGTGCTGCACGCGGTCGTGAAGCTGCGCGCGGCGGAGGATATTGCGCGTGCGTTTGACGATGAGGCGGCGTTTACTGCCGCGACTGCTGCGCCCGCGAACGACGAGGAAGACGACGGCTTTGCGAAGAACGGCACGGCGGAGGCCGTCCCGCTCGAAGGGCGCGGGACGACGTCGTTGAAGGAGCTCATCGACGCGCTGATCCCGTACACGGAGCGGCACCTCACGAGGATGGAGAAGCTCCTTCAGGACAGCTATGTCGTCGAGCACCTGCTTTCCGAAATGGACGATGGCCTGTTCGGCGAGCTGGGTGACGACGACGACGGCGACGAGCCCATGGCCATGGATATCGACAGAGCGATAGGGGTCGCTGCGTGATATAACTTACGCCGTATAAAAGTATCTTATATCAACTGCTGTACTGTTTTAGTGCTTAACACCTAGCTGGGATGTTCACATCCGAATCAGTGCAGGCAGCTGCGACGAGCGGTTGTTCAGGGCGGCTTCAGTGCTCGCAAGATATGCTGTCTATTACACTATGGGGTCTGATACAGGGTGAGGATGTGCTCTATGATACAAAGGATCGCATACAGGATGTCGGGGCCAACTTCACATATTCAACGTTCTCCATGGGGGGAGCCTCACATAAAGACAACCTTCTCGCCAGGGCGACCTTCTGACAAGAGGACGACAGCCTATGTGAACAAGGGTGAGTAATGATTCGTCTGCCTGCAGAGCCGGTACGCACGTATTTGCCACTGATCTTCCAGCCAGGCTCCTCCTTGTCCAGACGCTCCGCGAGTTCATCGCCGTCGGGACCAAGGCCGACGACCACGTCGCTCTTGATCGTGCGCATACTGCACACCCTGGGAGCGCCAGCAGCAGACGCCATGGAACCGATGGCGATCTCGAAGTCTGTGGACGGCGGGGCGGCACAGTCGTACGTCAACTGCAGAAGAGTCAGCTTTGATCACTCAGAATATGTGAGTATTGTGTACCTTGCGGTGGTTCAGATCACCCTTGAAGATGACGAGGTCCGAGCGCGAGAGGTGGAGGAACAGATCAGGAGCTTCGTTGTGCAGCTCCCAGAACGTGAAGCCGGTGCACCAGAACGGATGCTGTTCGTAGATCCACTTGCCCTCCTTCTCGTATTGCTATACTGACGTATTAGCCCTAGCGATTGCGCAAAATATCCGCGCCGCTTACCTTCCAGCGCAAGCCGAGACGACGCAGACTCTCCTTCTCTTCCTCAGAAGCCTTGGGGAATAGGTGGCCGTATACCATGGTGTTCAAGAGCCACGACCAATCCTTCTTCGTGACGTCTGAGACGAACCACGGGTAACGCTTGCCGTGGAAACGAATTTCCTTGGCCAGACCGCTTTGGATGAGGAAGTCGGCTAAGATATGTAGGTCAGCACCATTGAATTGGGTCGAACGGAGGATGTACTCACCATAGACGCAATCGCAGTACAATTCGAAGCCAGCGTTATCCAAAACGAAGTCGACCCGTCCTCCGGTGTTGCGGAGGGTGAGCGCTGTCTCCCAGAGCTTCTGCATGTGGTTGCCGAGGATGTTCTTCTCAGTTGCGGCGAGATTGGCGCCTCCCGTCGACTGCAAGGACCGGATCTGGTCCTCCGTCATGTTGATCAGCAGGGACAAATCCGTCGAGTTTCCCCAGAGACAGACTACCCGTTGACTGTAAGCCTTCACATCACACAAGAACAGGGTGCATATACTCACTCTGAGTAAGTTCTTTGAACATCAATCGCTCGGCTTCGAGCTTCTGGTCGGGAGAGAGACCGTCCTTCAGCTTGAAAGGCTCAGCAAAACGCATGGACAGCTCGAAGACGGCCTCGTTTGAGCGAGAGAAGGTGTCACACTACAAAGACACGTTTTAGCAACTGGTGAACAAGAGCAAGAACACAATGACTACCAACCTTCTGCCTGAAGAAAACGTCGTAGCTCTTCCAGAACTTGCTAATGCTGAAGCATTCCTGCAGACGACGGTACTTGTACGCCTCCGCGAACAGCCAAGGGGCGTTCATGAACGTCTTGCCTGTAGATTTAGGTCAGTAAACCATGTTGATATACTACGCACACGCGAATCATCATCCCCAAGATGCGATTACTCACCATGGAAGTACTTCGCGATGAGCTTGTTCCACAGAGCTACGTCGGCCTCGCCATCGTCAATGATGGGGCGGAGCTTTGCCTGGGCCTGCAACTCCCCCATGAGGGCGTCCATACGCTCGATACACTGGACGAGGTCGACGACGCGTTCCTCGTCGTACTCCTGGTTGAGAGTGACGACTACGTCCTCGATTCCCTTTCCAAGGATGGTGGGCAGGCGCTGGCCCATAGTCGCGTAAGCGAAGGAGTACCTGTTCCGAGTGGTAAGTCACAACATCCCGCTAATGTGTTTTCGGACGACTCACTCGTGGTAGCCACGGTATGCAGGCCATGGCGGGTTGTTGGGGTCGATCTGCAATGCTCCGTTAGCACATTATAGCGCATATATGCGGATCAAATTGCTCGCAAGTCGGGCTGCCCGCTACAGGCCCCCAACAGACGAGCAATACAAGACGCGTATGAAGCAATCAACGTACCGTAGAAGGCGAACGCGGGTAGACGGGCTTGATGATCTGCCTGCTGGGCAAATGGGAGAGCTTGAGAGACATTCTGCCGGGTGCGTCCTTTGTGCCGGTCGTCCCGTTGGGCGGCGGGGCAGCGCCGTTGATGGCGATGTTGGGTGCGCTCATGTCGTCGTAGAGCTGGTGGTCAACGGAGTCAGCATCGTGCGGGGGCGTCGGGGGGAAGTAGCTGTCGGCCATGGCGGTAGTGGGGGTATCGAGTAGGGTATCGGGGGTGGCGTAGGGATGCGAAGTCGCGGGGGTATTGCACGTCGAGGACGGGGACGATGAGGACGAGGAAGGGACGCTCACCTGTGCGGATTTTTATACGGCGCAGTAAGAAGCGGGATGGTGGGGGTCCGGGGACAAGAGAGTTTGGAATCCAGGGAATCGTCGCAGCCGTTTTCTGCAGTCGGCCAATGTCCCAGCCTCGTTCATTCTCAAAATGACGTCACGCGCCGAAGCCGATCTCTGCACTCGCGCTCCATACCGGGCAGGTCGCCTGCCCCTTTCGCCTGCAAATCCCGCCCCAGATCGATATCGGCGACCGCCTCCCACCGCTTCGGGATTCCGCGCGCACCCTGCCTGCGCCCGCCCGACCGCTGTCTTTTGCGTGCCGGTCGACGCCTTCGCTATCTTTAAATTCGGCGCGCCCACTGTGCGGCAGGGAAGTCATATGCGCTGCTTCGAACGGCGCACCGCTCGGCATGCAGCTAAACCGCCGCTTATCACATTATCAGTCCCCCGTTCGAAATCACCTTATTGCCATCTTCGCTCTTACACTCCGTTTTCTCTGCCCTCTCGCCTTCTATTACGCATCGCCGGTCGCTCCACCGTGATGCACAGGTCCGCCGGGATGCCCTCCTCGCCTTCCTGGGCGCGCTCTCTTCCGCCACTCCGGTTTTCGCGCCGCGTGGGCTAGCTCTGCACCCACGGGCCACTGCTTCTTGCTGCTACCCACCGCCGCCGTTGCGTATACGGGATCCACTCGCGGAGCCAGAAGAATTGCCTCTCTCGCCCCCGCACTCGCTCGCTGACGTTGCACTTTTCTCTTGCACCTTCCATCGTGCCCCTCGGTTGACGCGTCTCGGTCAAGTGGCAGCCCCACCGCACGGCCCCTGGCCCACCGATGGGGTCCTACGCAATTGTTCGGCCGTGTGGCCGTAATCGGCCCTATGATGCATGCATACGTTGGTGAGTGGCACGTCCGTTACGGGTTAGAACTGTGTGCTGGCCATGCCGTTCCGTACTCGGTAGCATCGCGCTGAAAGTTGCTGGCAATGACTAAATGCAGCTATTCCGGGTGTCTGCTACCGACGAGCTCACTGGCAGGCGTGTCACTCCGTACTACTCTTGAGGACGCGCAAGACGACGCACTCTTGCACCCGGGACGAGCGAGCATCCATGGGGCTTGGTTTACGTGGATGCACAATCCTGCAGAACACAAGGTGGTGGATTCTTCCGGATGCTGCTTGCGTTCCTGCTCTGCGTTCCATGCATTTGAGAACATAGCACGGCGATGCTCTGCAGGCACTTCACGGGAGCGTGCTTCGCACACCGTCGCGACGTAAACGCGCCCGCTCCGAACGGCCGACAACCATGTATACGCGCGTGCCTTGCGGAGAACACCTTCAGACAAGCTTGACTTTGACCCGCGCCCTCCGAGATGAAGTCGTAGATCCTGGAACAAGCCGACGGCACGCGCCATCCTACGTAAGAACACACCCTTCCCATTCGCCAAGTACTGCTCTGTGCTGCTCATACGATCATCCTTGGTACGAGGGATGACTGCCAGACAGAGTGTGCGGCGTGTACTCGAGCGCGGATATTCGGGGTCTCTTCGAGGGCATGCTCGGCGCCGGGTCAAATTTACGTACGTCCTCCGCCTTCCCTGCGGCATCCTCAGGCTTGTGCTGCGTTTTGCTTCTCCCCGGCGAGCGCGTCAAGGTCAGAAGTCCCCCCGATGTCCTCGAGGGCTCGACGGGAATGGTCCTTTGCCACAGCGGACACGTTGGGGTGCCTGTCAATGGGGTGCGTCGTACGACCTCAGCTTTCGATATCGAACGTGCATTTACTTGAGGGCAGCCTTGTGATCATGGGAGACCTCCAAGATGTGAAGATGCGTGCGAGGAGGGGTCAAAGTTGCTTACGCTGTGCGCGTGAACTGCGGCTTCAGAAGACATCTTCGACTCTTGGTATACTTGATTGAATAAAGCGTCCGTCCCTAGGCATCGTACGAGGGATGTGGATACATTCAAGATGAATCTTGTAGGTGAGCCAGAGTCTACTTGCGTTGAATCGAGCTCCAGAACGTTCGCCTTCCATTCCCCTTCGTGCGCATGCACTCCCCCGAGTCGAAACCTGGTCTCGTGGCACTGTGACGCAGGCTCACAAGTACTCGCGACACGATCTCGCCGGCCAACTCGACGCAAACTCCGAACGGCATCGAGCCGTGGTCCGCTTCTAACGCCGCAGTCGCGGGGCTGCGCGGGATACCCGTCACAGAGTCCAGGAACTCGGTGGCGACTTCATACTTCGTTCGCCCAAAGAGGTAGGCAAGCTACCTCCTTGGGACGAGCGTGCGCGTCGTGGCGCTAGTTGGTGGGCGTCCGCTGTGGCCAAAGCCACTCTTCCAAGTACCTCCCGACGTGCGCTACCACAGGGTTCTATCTTGGTGGAGAGAATCCTGTCTATGTCGAACTCAGGGCCAGTACCCTGGCGATGTCCCAGGATGCGGTAGTGTTGCCAGAGCTGCAAAACAGCCTTGTCCGTACTTGAGCCATGGCGACTGCCAGTGATGTTCTACAGTCAGTATGGATTCGACCACTATGAACGCAGGGTATTGTTTTCGCTGACATGCACAGTTTTGAATGCTATGGCGTAGTGCAGGATAGTCTAGGTGAGTCCGAACGAGAATTTGCCTTGGTTGGGACGTTCGCTCATGGTTCATAGTCGTCAGCCCGAGCACGACATAAATTGCTGTGTACATATAGCACACTTTGTTCGACCTGCACTGAGATACCCGGATCCCGACGAGCTTGAAGCACTCAACATGATGATTCGACCCACGTGCCCGCCTCAAGAACTCATTCTGGTTATTTTTGACCTCGGCATACTCTAGGACGGCGGCCGTCATGCGAACTATCAAGGAGAAGATTCGCGGAAGCTATTACACTGCGGTGAGTATCCCAGGCTCTACTATCCTATAAGCCAAACGTCGAGACGTCTCGCACACGCTCTGTGAGACCCAGCGACGACACGCCATGTTGTCAATGCTTGCCCCAGCCCTCTCGACTCCGCTACTGAAGATCCCCATCCTTGTTCCCGACGCGATCCTGACATATATATCTTTAACTCCACCCACCGCGCCGCCTTCCGCAGACGAGCGCAAGAAGTTTGCCTATTCAGACTACTTTTCCGATAACTATCAAGTCCAGATGCAAATTGTAAATGCATGCAAGGTAAAGGCATGCTCCCTATTCGCGCCGGGCGCACCAGTACTCACTCCGAATGACTCGCAGTCAGCCCTCATAGGCCTCATGGCCGCAGAAACGACCACAATCCTCGCCCAACGCTTCCCCTCCCGCCTGTCCACCCGCCTCCTCTCCCTCCTCGCACCCACGCGCCCGCTCGCACTCACACCCACCCCGCGCTTCCTGCTCACCGGCGCCCTCGTGCTCGCCGCGGGGCTCCTCCGCCTGTGGACGTACCGCACGCTCGGCCGCTTCTTCCGCTGGCAGCTCTCCCTCGTCGACGGGCACCGGCTCGTCACCGCCGGCCCGTACGCGTGGGTGCGCCACCCGAGCTACGTCGCGAGCGCGCTCGTCTCGTACGGGAACCTCGTCCTGCTCTCCGGGCAAGGGTCGTACTTTGCGGAGCGCGGGCTTGGGCGCACGAAGCTGGGGAAGGCGGTCGCGGGGGTCATTGCGGGGTATTTGCTGTATATACATGCGAGCCTGATCGTGACGCGGGTGGACAAGGAGGATGCGGTGCTGAGGGAGCAGTTTGGCGAGGAGTGGGAGGCGTGGGCGCGGAGGACGCCGTACAAGCTCGTCCCGTACGTGTACTGACCGAACAGCTAGTATGGATCCTATGGGCAGTACGGGTCTGTGTGGTGTTTCAGAACATCCATTGGGTATGAATCTTATACAACAACCGATCGTGAGCCCCGCTCCTGAATACATGGGGTGCTAATTTTACATCGACAGTCTGCGTCATATGTCACGATATCCTTCCATGCACCGCCGGACGCCCATGTTCGCGCCGCCCCCGCTCATGACGAGACGATGGAGAGCGTGTACGACTTGCTGTGGCTGCTGCCCGTGAACACCGTCTCCTGCGTGCTCCCGCTCGGGGTCGCGTCGCTCGAGAACGACGTCGAGCCCGAGGACGCGAGCAGCAGGCTACCCCCGGACGACACCGCGGAGAACGTCGTCGCGGACACGCCGCTGCCGCAGGTGAGCGTGCCGCCCGAGACGCCGCAGCTGCCCTTGGAGGTCGTCATCGTGAAGCTGCTCGTCGTGCCGGAGAAGTGGTACGTCGCGAGCGTCTGCGTCGACCACGTCCCGCCGGTCAGGAGGCCGCCCGTGGTAGACGCGTGGATCGTGCCCGTGCTGGGCAGACCACCGGATCCCTGCAGTCGCGCGCGTCAGTACAGAGGGCAGGATGGATGGAAGGGAGATGCGTACGCCAGTGGGAGTGCTACCGCCGGAGGTGGTCGTGGTGGTGCCACCGGTCTTGGGCGGGTACTTGAGGCCGCTGCTCGCGCAGGAGCCCTTCGAGGGCGCGTCTATGTTGCTCGTTAGCCTTCATACGACCGCGAACCGCGCGGGATACGCACCGATCGGGACGAAGACGCCATCGAAGAGGGAGCCCTTGACGTTGAAGTACCACTCGATCTCGTTGATCGCGGTGCCGTCGCAGTTGAGTGCAGGCGTGACGCCCGTGGCGGCCTTCAGCGCGGCCGTGAGCGTCGCGAGCGTGAACGTCTTGCTCGTGGAGGGCGTGATGCCCGCCGCGGAAAGGAAGTCGAAAGTGGGCAGCGTCTGCAACCAGCTTAAAAACGGTACGTCTGGGCTCACAGCGGCTGGCACATACCTTGAACAGCTTCACGACCTGCTGGAAGAAGGCGACCGCCTGCGGTACCCAAAAGTGTAAGTCTGCGGTGTGGAGCGCAGCGAACGTGCGTGTCACGTACCTCGGCTCCCTTAGGGCTGCCAGAGGGCAAGCACTTGGTCTCGAGGGTGCTGTAGCATGTTCCGTGGGTGCTCCATTCGTGCTGACCGGGACGGATCAGCGGGCGTAGCGCGGCGCAGGAGCACATCGCCACTAACCTCCCAGAACTTCTCGTTTGCGCCATTGATGTCGACCCAGAACTAGAGGTGGCGCATTCGGGCGAGGTCAGGTCCCGCACTTCCCGCGATGCATGCTTGCTTACCTCCTGCATGAACGACAGGGTGTCGCTCGCGCCCTGGGCCGTCAGGAGCTGTCACACAAATCGATTAGGCACACTCGGAGGCGGGGCTGGGAGGAGCCGGAGCTTACACCGGCGATGTCGGTGTAGTCCCGGGACGGGTCGCAGTTCTCAGTGAACGTGCCGTCGCAGCTGTGATGCGGTAAAATTGGTTTTCAGAAGCTGGGGGTACGCATGGCGCGAACGCACTTGTCGGGCCAAAGACCGTGGATAGTCCAGCTGTTCGACGGGCCCGTGGACGGGCTGGTGTCCCAGAACTGGGTCTGCAGGAGCAATCCCTGCGTGCGCAAACAGCGTCAGTACGACACCCCCAAAGCGAAGCAGCGCGGAAACGTACTCCTGGGGACTCGAAGCAGCAAGAGCCCGCCGCCGAGCCGTGGCACGACGCAGTGCCCGTCGTCGAGCAGCCAGAGCTGATGCGCTTGAACAAATGGTTCAAGTCCGAAGCGTCGCTAGTGGCGTTCGAGGCGAGCGCAGTGCCCGCGAGGGCGGCGAGAATCGCAGCGACGGCGAACATCCTGTAGAATGAAGAGGCGGAGCGGGGCACCTACGGAGAGAGAGCGGTTCAGGGCCCGGCGGGAAGCCCACGGGGCAGCTTATATAGGCCCACCTGGGCGACCCGGAAGCGAGGAGGCGGGGGTATATTTACTGCAGCAGTTGAGGCTCGCTCGCCTTCGCTGTCGCAGAAGCCCCAAGGGCGATCGTGCGTCTGCGTCGCCACATGGGCCAGATACGCTCACAAGCCAATGTGCTCACCAGGGCGCGCCGCGATACGATAGCGGGCACCCATGCGCGGCGGGCACCATGTGTTCACGGACGTATGCCTGCCCAGGCGAGACGCGAGACGCGCGATATCAGCCCGTTTATGGAGTGCGGGGTGTTGTCCTGGGGTGTGGTGCCGCAGAATTGAGCGCGCGGCACGATCGCACCTGCGTGGGCCGGCGTGGCGACCGTTGGGGGGCGAACAGCGCGAGAACGGGGGCTCACTTGGGACGATGTTGGCTAGATCCTCTGGGCTGGAGATGGGAAGCAGAGGCTGCAGGCAGCATGCTACGCATCACACGTGCATGTGGGCACTTGCGAGATTCGAACGCCGGCGGTACATCGATCATTCGGGACCGCGCACGATTGGCATTCAGTGAAGAGAGCTGCGCATGCGATCCCCAGTATGCATCGAGGCCAGTCAGGGTGTACCGGGGAGCGTGGAGATCAACGTGGGCGGGGCGATTGGGTCCGTATCAAGAGACGAGGAGCGAGAGCGAGACCGCGTGCTCTCCGGCGCTTATGCTGCCTGTTTAAGAACACGTCTCCGGAGAACATGTGTCTCCGTCCTTCTCCACAGCGTTTGTTGCTCTTCATTGTGACACGGCCTGGACACGGAGTACGGTGGCGAAGGCTTCTGCAGGTTCGTCGGAAAGATCCTGACCTGCGGAGGTAAACGGCATAGGTTCATCCAAGTCATTAATAGATCATCGAATACATTCGCACTGTACGGCCGCTGCAGACCACCCCAACCCCCTAGTCGCCCTGCGACGCGGAAGAGACCTACCGCCCACTCGCCTTGATCATCTTCAAGAGCGCGTCTATCCTCGTACGCCACGCATCAGCGTACAGGAATCCGACCATCCCGCTGATGAAATCCCTGTAGCAACCAGTCAGCCCATGCGCCGATATCACAGCTATGTGGAGCCCAGCGTGCACTCACCAACTCTGCGTAACAGAGCGGATAGGGTAATCCAACACAGCGGGGATGCTGGTTTGGATAGCCCACCCCCAGCGGTCCACAACGATCGCCTTCACGTTGGTCAAGGCACGCAGACCCTCCGGACCACCTGGCGAAGACATCAACAACCTTATCTCTGTGAATCACGGGCACTCGAACATACCGAACCGTCCGTAGCCACTGTACTTGGTACCCCCGAACGGCAAGTCTTGGCTATGCAATGGGTCAGTCACTCGAAAATCAGCTGCCAGGCGTGATGAACGTACTTTAGCTAAAGACGCTCGTCAGTACAGTACATGTCCCTGATAAAAAGAGGCACTCACATAGAAGACTCCGAAGTCGTTGACCGCAACCATGCCGCATTGGAGCCGTTTGGCAACCTTGATACAATCGTCGCGCACAGGACCGAAAACACTGGCACCCAAGCCATATCGCGTGCCGTTTGCGATTTCGACGGCCTGGTCGACGGTGTCATACTTCATAATCAAAGCAATGGGCGCGAACACTATGGCGTAATTTGTGAGGTCGGTCTTGCAGTGAAGCATATGTTCACTCACGTTCATGCTGGGCAACGTCGGACTCGGGGTTGACGTCTCCAAGCACAGTGGGCTTGAAGTATGTGCCCTGCTCCAGATACGGATGGCGCCACGGCTCGCCGCCAACGGTCTGAATTGCACCCTGCTCGACCGCGGCCGCGAGAGCATGCTGCAAGCCGGGGAACCGTTCGCCTGACACCATCGCGCCGACGTCCGCAGCCGGGGCAACTCCGTCGCCGGGGCTCTTGAGCGAATGTCCAGGACGGAGCTTGTCGGCACGCTCGGTGAACATCTTGAAAAGTTCGTCGTATTGCGATTCGTGCACAAGAATACGCTCGATGCCGATGCAGTTCTGACCTGCGTTTTGGCTGTAAAGGCGTCAGTCAAATCCGAAGATAGGGTAAGAGAGGTACATACTAAACGCCTCGCATGAGCAAGCTGATCCACTTGTCAAGATCGGTGGAGGGCAGGATGATAGCTGGGTCCTTGCCGCCAAGTTCAAGCGTCACCGGGGTGAGATATTCGGTGGCCGCTTGGGCGACCTATTGAATATAGTCAACAGTGTGCTCCTACCGGCGCATAGGTTACTCACAATGCGGCCAACACGCTCGGAACCAATGAAGGTGATATGACGAACGAGAGCGTTCTTGGTAAGTGCTTCCGCATCTTCTGGGTAACAGCAGACAAGCTAAATCAAAGTTAACAGCGCAATAACGGTGCGGTGAAGGACTGAATTACCTGGACGAGCTCCTCGTCATGGCCGCAAGCCTTGAGACATTCCTTGATAGCTTGAACGAACCAAGTAGTTGACCAGATTACATGCTCAGAGCACTTCAAGACCACACTGTTGCCGGCAAAGAGAGCAGCAATGATGGGCGACCAGGCGTTATGAAGGGCTGAACATTATATATCAATGGGCATTGCGCATAGTAGAAATGAATTTGGAGCAAAGAGTGCTTACGGTAGTTCCAGGACGTGATTGCCGCTACGACACCCAGAGGCTCGTACTGCACCCAGGAGGACTTGTAGAACATGATCAAGTTGTTGTGCCGCGACTCGGGAGAAAGGGCGCCCTCTCCATGGTTGATGAGCCAGTCCAACTTCGAGCATGTCGTGATAATCTCGCCGAGCGCCGCGTCCAGCACTGCGCACGTTTAGTCAACACGAACAAAGGCCGAAGAGGCTCTACGTACTAGTCTTTCCGGTGTCTCTGCACGCTACCTTCGCGCAGATCTCCTGGTTGTCCACGAGCCACTTCTTCAAGCTGCGCATGACGCGCCTGCGGTCGTCGAAGGAGGTGGCAGCCCATTTTTTCTGTGCTTCGTACGCGTGCATGACCTTTCTCTGAATTTGCTCCTCGGAATCAGCAAGAATGGTGTCCAAGTGGTAGGCCGTGGCAGGGTCGTATGCCGTGATATATTTACGGTCAGGAAGGGGAAAGTTGGGGAGGAGACCGTCGATGTTCAAATGCGCCTCGAGCGAGGGCTGCGGTAACTTCTGCGCGGTCCAGGTATCTTTGATTTGCTAGGAGACGCGTGTCACTAGGTGCACTCGTTACAGCACAGACATACACGCACGATAGGAGGGGGTATCTTGAAGTATATGGCGCGGTTGAGAATGGAGTAGTAGCGGCGCCAGACGAGCCATACACCGAGCCCGAAGCAGATCGTAAGGAGCTTGACAGGGTCGATGATCCCGCCTTCGTCGTCGTAGTCATAGTCGTAGTCTGCGCCCGAGTAGCTCATGGTGTCGCGCAGGGGACGCGAGGGAGCGCGAGGGGAGGAGGAGGAGGAGGAGAGACGCGGCGGAGAGCGTAAAGGAGAAAGCTAGAGAAAGTCAAACGGACTCTGCCGGCGGGGGCCCCTTGACCACGTACCACCACCATCCACGTTTTTCCCACGCCTTCCCCCGGGTGTGCGGAAGGCGATTTTGGACCACAGCAGCAATGCTGGTCGGTAAATATGATCTGTTCTGGTATCATGAGTGTCCTGTGAAGTACCGAAAGATGCAGATAGCAAAACTCGCAAGGCGGGAACGCTCAAAACTGGCTGCAGAGGTGATGACGCGTACACTCGGGGCAGGCGCTAGAGCCAAACCGAAGAAGTGACTGCTACGTTAACTTTTGGACTAGCGGGGATGTTAAAGTAACGCAAAGACACCCTAGAAGCAGAGATATGTGTAGGCCTCATATCTAGAAGGCTGAGACGAAAGCGCGAGGATTGAGGCATGCGTAACGATCCGGCGCGAGCACGCATAACAACTTGGCGCGAGCATGTGCAACGATTCGGTGCGAGCCGGCCTATGGCGTCGGGTGTCTTGAGATGGCGCGTAGAAGAGTAGCAGGGCGGGCGGAGGAGGTGGCTGGCGCAAACAGGTGCAACGCGGGGCGTGGAAGGTAAATTTAAGCCCGCGTCCACGCCCGCGAACACGCCCGCGAACACGCCCGCGAACACGCCCGCGAACACGCCCGCGAACACGCCCGCGAACACGCCCGCGAACAGTCTCCTGTCCCTGTCCATTGCCTCTGTTCCATGCCACCCTACCGGACTTCCATACTTAAGGAAGCCGAGGTGCTCCAGAGAGAAAAAGAAGAATAGAAGCAGTGGCCTGAGAAGAACGTGCCAGGCATGCATATATACAGAGCGCAAGGATCACAAGGATCACACGAATCATCAATAAGCCGCCCACACCCCCTCTCCCTTCCCACCGCCTCCCCACCCCAATCCCCACCGCACCTCACGCAATGGACCAAGGGATGCTAGTCCTAGGCATTCAGAGAGGCTCCGCGCCCGCCAATGTCCCAAACAGGACTCGAGCCTTCTACACGGACCAAATCGACGTAGTAATCCCGCCGAACACGCCGCTGAGGGTGGGCGAGAGGGTGAAAATCTACACCATCGAGCAAATCAGCGACCCCTTCGGGCGTACCCAGGAAAGCGAGAGCGACAGGACGTACCAGGCTGAACCGCTGGGGGTCGTAGGAAGGATCACTGGTGTACGGGCGATGGAACGGGAGACCACTGAGTTCATCGTCAGCAACGAGAACCCCCGCTCGGCGACGGCCTACGTCTACCTCACAATCCAGCACGTGCAGGGTGAAACCGTCGACTTCGAGTACTGGAGAAGGATCCTGAGGTGGCTCATGCAGCCGATGCTGGCGACGACGCGCCGTGTCCCGATGGAGAGAGGGGCGCTCGTCCTAGACAGAGAGGACCTCCCGAGCACTACAGAGGACAGGGCAGAATATGGCGACTCGCTGGGAGCGGACTATGAGTAAGAAGCTGGAGAGATGTAAGAGGAGGGGACGAACAAACGAAGCGTGTATCTGATGCTCAGCAAGATAAGAGCGAGACTGGCGACCGGGCAACAAAGCCCGCGCGGAACAAACCGGCTAAAAACGGCAGCCCGATGTGAGCGAAAGTCGCGCAACGACTGAAAGACGCAGACCTGTTAGAGGGAAGTGCACGAAGACGGCAAGAACAAGTGTGAAACTCACCGTAACAAAAGAACGCAGGTCATGCAACCCTGCATGAAGAAGCGGTCCAAACCTGAGAAGAAAATCAATGCACCGCGCATCGCGCAGAGGGAAACTGAGGAGAAGGTGGGTGTATAAATGCGCATGAAGCGAAAGGGCAAGAGAACGAGTGCGTGAGCGAAGCAAACGGGCAAGGGTATACGCGTGCAGACAAAGCGGCCCACTACAACATCAACCCCGCACGCCAAACGGAACATTGCACCTCTCTAGTCGGAAAGCAAGCTTACCTGCCCCGCTCAGGGCGCTCAGAACCTGGCAAACTGTCGCGGCAGAGCACGCGCGAGCACAGGAGCTGTGGGAATGCGCTCGCGCGCGCCTCCCCGATGGGACCGGAGATGCTTAAGCGAGGAGAAAGGAACTGCGCGAGAAGCGAAGAGAAGCTAAGGTACAAACTGAATGCAAACAGAAGCAAAAGCGGGAGCGTTACCTTAGATGGTCGGGCGCCTAGCGCCACCGCGAAAGAAGCAAGTCGTACTCTGCAGCGCAGAGAATTGCGGCAGCAACAGCACCGGAAGCGACAGACGTCGACCTGCGCGCGACAGCGAGGAGGGCTCCCGGATAGAACCACCTGAACGCGAGGCGAGCGCGCGGCGAGCGCGCCCAAATACTGGGCGAGAGGCGAGATGCATCCCCGCCCTCTCCCGCACCTCCCCACTGCGCATGCACCCCCCCGCCGCCCGCGAAACTGCAATGGAATCGTTCTCTCAACCCCGCAACACCAACCCGTGTCAGCAGAACACCTCCCGCAGTCAAAGCGAGCCTCCCACGAGCGAGATGAGCAACGAAACCCGCACGACCGACGTGACGCACGTCAGTGAGAGAGAAGCCACGAAAAATCTCGACGAATCTGCGAGTTTCGGGAGACACATGGACGAGCAACGGGCAGAAAGCCAGGTATGCACGCATATGAAATTGCTCGAACGCGGAACTAAGCCCTGCCTGCCTACTCTACCTATGTGTACCCTGCACTCCTCACCCCGCGCGCACCAACTCACGAAAGACACCGCGTGGCGAAATGGACGCGACACCGGTCTCAACGCCCGAGTCCTCGCACATGCGACAGGCGGAAGAACAAAGAGCCTCGCCAGACCCCTTCGTCGTCACCCCTGCCCCGGGACAGCGTCTCGCGCGCCCCTTCGCCCCTCTCCTGGGACATGAGATGGAGGACGATCAGACGCAGTCGAAGGCAAGCATAGAAAATGAGGACTGGCTCCAGGAGCTAACCTCTGAGATGGGCACGCCACAGGAAACAACACCGACCGCGAGACACAGACCGATGTCGGCTGCCCTAACCAAGAGTGCTCCTGCCAACTCCCTGGTGAACCTCGCGGCGACCATGCATGTCGAGAGACCGCTGAAACGGCTCAGAACGGCGATATCCCCGACGTCGCCCCCGCGCGATGCGCGACAGGTGCAAACACAGCGAACGCACGCGCCCGCGGATGGCACAACCGTCGCAGTACGCGCTGCCGCTGGAGACCCCCCTGTCCCCCGCGTCAGGAAGGAGCTGGCTGTCGAGCCACCGCCGCAGTACGCGCCCGCAGGCCAGTCAGGCGCGGTGAGCAAGAAGGACATCTTCGGCTTCCTCGCGGACGCAGTCAACGTTTGGATCACCGTCGACCCCCTCAAAATGCGTAGCGCCCCTCCTGTTCCTGTTGACGGCGCCGACATCAAACGACTCATCGAGTCTGGTGCATCATCCCCAGGCGCGCCCGCGACAGAGAACACGTCGGAGCAGGCCCAGTACATGCCCACCATGACCACCCTGCCCATCTCCAATCCCACGGCTCCCGGAATCTACCAGAGTAGCCATGCGGTGCAGCCCAGCGCGTACAACCGATGCTCGCTGCCGAGCGAGAACTCGCTGCCGGCGTATCTCGATCCGCGCGCGAACGACGCTATGGAAAGCGATGAGATCTCGAGCAGGCACAGCGAGATAGGAGACACCCGCGAACACATGGACGTTGATCCGCAGTCTTCCATGACGAGCTATCGAGGCCCGGCCGGGGCCGGAGCGGATGCTGAGCCTTTCCAGGGGGCGACCGCGGAGGAAGTCTGGCCGCCGCTCGCGAACTGTCCCTCGAGCTTGATCAGGATCCGGTACCTAAACAAGAACGGGATACTCCAGGTCCTTGAGCGTCCACGAAACGGCTACCCGGAGCGACACCGTCGAGGGCCGTACGACATCTCGCAGCACCTGAGCGAAGTAACGAGACGGGCGTGGAACAACGAACGCCCGAATCAACGGTGTATAGTCAGCTTCTTCAAGGGGAAAGTCTACATGACGGAGGACGACATCGAGTTCTACCGTAGCATCCTGCGCTCCGTGTTTACGGCAGTCACGGGAGAATCCGCCTTCAAGATCTTGTCCTCGAAGATCACTAAGCGCGAAAGGAGCGACACGGCGCGGTACTTCCCGGTGCTAAACTTGTCCCCGCACGCTGTACGCATACTCTTCGAGCAGTACGGCTGGTCGTCCCCCATTGGCTCGCTGTTCATCGAGATCGAACTTGAGCACATCCCCTTCTTCCTATACACGCTCGACGGCTTCTACGGGGTCTTGGAGCACGAGAAAGAGCTCGCGGAGCAAGTCGAGAAGTACCTACAGGACGTCAAAGCACAGGAGGTCACAAGGGCGCTGGTCCTCCACGACGCCAACCCGCCGAGCGACGTCGAGGCGAGGGTTAAGGAGATCCTAAGTCACATCGTGGTGAGCATCGTGGACTATGGCGCGCGCGACCAATCGCAAGGGAAACGGCCAATCGTCGCGAACGTCCACTGCGCGTCGCCGACTGACGACGGGGTACTGTGGGAGGAATGGCGCGACGCGATGCAAGCACTAGGCGCGGCAACGACCTTCGGACACGGGAAGGTGCGAAAGCACATGCGCTGCGACTCGTGCCACGCCGTCGACCACCCAACGCACATCTGCCCGTACGACAGACTCGGCTGGTATGACACCCCCACCCCGCCGCGCGCGAAGCGCAATGCGACGCGCGCGACTCAGAACACGTCGCAGCAAGGCAACCGCCAGCAGCCGCCGCGCGGAGCTCCGTCGAGCGCCCCCGAGTACGTACAGCAGACGCAGCTGCCGCGCGGAGCTCAGTCGAGCGCGCCCGAGTACGTGCAGCAGAAGCAGCAGACGCAGCAGATGCAGCAGACCAACGTCGTACCCTTCAGTGGGGCCCCGCTCTACGGAAGCCTCCCACCCCGCGGCGCGATGCAGTCAGCGGGCAGCGCGCCGCCTCTGGCCAACGCACACGCCTACGGAAACGCACAAGTGTACCGCGGCCCGAACGCACCTGCTTATAACGGCGTACCGAACTACAACAGCGCAGCGGGCTACAACAACACACTAGACTACCAAACCGCGTCGAACCACAGGGGTGCGCAAATCTCTGAGGATCTGCAAAGCCACGGACGTCCGCCCCCGCACGTAAGCGCACCACACAACGTCCCGTATGCATACGGAGGAATCGCCGCTGGCCCGCCCTCTGCCCCACCGCCGTACGGGGGCGCAAGGCCTCAGGGGAGCGCGCTGCCCTTCCACGACCCGCAAGCGTACGGACGCGAGGATGTCCCGCAGTACTTCGGCGGCGCGACGCAGTACAACCCGCCCCCGGCCCGTGTAAACGTTGACCGCGACCACGGCAGCCGCCCCGCGATCGCACCGCGGCACGGGCAAGCAAGCCGCGCGCAGGTCAGTGTCCCCCCCGCACAACCGTTCATGCCGTGCACGATGAACAGCGCGCAGCGCGGAGGAGCGTCGGGACGGGCCTCTTGAACGACGGGGATGTGTGGGGGATACAGGCAAGTGCGAACGCGCGTGCGCGGGGCCGCGAAAGGGTGCTGAGGAGGAGACGAGTGGAGAATGAGCTTGTAGTGTGACGACATAAGAGACGACATTTCTTGGACCATTATCGAGTACTCGTACAACCTGCCCGCGCCGTCTAGGCACAAGCTAAGAATGGTAGCCCGGCGAGCATCGCTGGGACTAACATATGAATAACATCTTGATGCTCGGACACTGGCTGAGCAAGTATGCTCGCAGGGGTGAGGAAGCACTGCCATAAGACCGAATCTTGGCTCGCGGGCGACGAGCCGTTTGAACACTGAAGCAAACGAACATGTACGATGGCTGGGGGATAAAATCGAGCTGAACTTATGACTTAGGACGCCATGCGGCTGCTGCCCGTGGCCGGGGCGGCAACTGTGCCGCAACTGCACCCCGCGCCGCCCGCGACGAGCGTCGGGGAGCTTGCAGAAGTGCCCATCCCCACCCAAATACACTGGCTTACGCACAGGAAAGTGGGGATGTCTCCTTGTTAAATCCTCTACCCATATTGAGGTGAACGGAGACCTATTTAGGTCACGACGAGCCGTGCCGAGAGGCTGAAGCGACGGGTCCTGGAGGTCTGCGAAGCCTTAGGATGGACCCCTAGCATAGTCGCCGCGGGGGTCGGATACACCCCCTGCGTGTACGGGATGGTTGTATCGTACACTAAGATAGCCAACGACCACCTCCACCACAAACCAGAACACACAAACACGGATGCTTACGAATGGCCTGGGACCCTTGCGCCCCGCCAGGGGAGGAGGGAGCGCTGCTCCCGCTGCCACTGGGCCTCCTGCTGATCCCCCTGGAGGGAATGGCGGCGACCTCCCCACGCATGCTCATGAACAAGCGCATGGCGTTGCGCGTGCCCGAGGTGACGCTGAGGGCCGCCCAGCGAGTGGGGGGGTGAGGGAGCGGGGAGGAGGTGGACGACGCACCAACTCGACCAAAGCGAAGCTGCTGATCGCGAGTCTCAACATGAGAGGGTACGGGAGCGAGAGCCGCGAGCACGGGTCGAGCAAATGGATGCTACTGAACCAACTGGTGAGAGTGAACAGGATTGCTGTCCTAGCCCTGCAAGAGGCGCACATGAATGAGGAACGACTGAGAACGTTGAACAAGATCTTCGGAGCTTTTCTCGAAATAGTGTGCTCCCCAGACCCGGAGAACGAAACGGGGGCAAGGGGGGTTGCTTTTGTAGTTAACAAGAGGCTGATCGACACCACGGGGCTGACCTCAACGACTGTTATACCCGGTCGAGCTATGCTGCTTGACCTGAAATGGTCAGAAACGAGGAGGCTGCGAGTTCTAAATGTATACGGACCGAACGATGCCTCCGAGAACGCTGCGTTCTGGGATAGTTTGCGCGAGGCGAGGATGCCGAGACTCGACATAATGGCCGGGGATTTCAATGTTGTTGAAGATGGAATAGACCGTATACCAGTTAGAATGGACGCGCCGAGGGCAGTCAAAGCGCTGGCAGACCTGGTGTCGTGGCTCAACATGTCAGACGGATGGAGAGAGGAAAATCCTCAACTGAAAGGCTTCACATACATGCAACCTGCGACAGGCAGCCAGTCCCGTCTAGATAGAATATACATCCGGAAAGCGATGAGTAAGGACGCGAATGGATGGTGCCTAGACGAGTCTGGAATACCGACCGACCACAAAATGGCCCGGGTATCGCTCGCGGACTACAAAGCCCCATACATCGGGAAGGGAAGGTGGGCCATGCCCACGCACCTGTTGAATGACGATGAGATGAAGAAGGAAATGAAGAGGCTGGGGGCGGAACTAGTACGAGGGATAAATGGCCTGGCAAGACGCACCCCTGATAACAACCCGCAGACGATCTATCAGAAATTCAAGGAGCAGCTGACCTTGGCGGCGAGGAACCGCGCAAAGGAGAAGATCCCTAGAATGCAGAAAAGACTGGACGCACTGAAAAGAGACCTCCACCTGCTCCTGAACCCGACGGCTGACGCCGACGGGGGCGAACCAACTGAAGATCGACTGCTTGAAACCACCAGATCGGCGGCAATCCTGCAGGACCGTATAGCAAAGCTAGAGATCAAGCGCTTTGGGTGGACGAGGAGGAGTACCGCTGTGAAGCACTGGGCCCATAGCGAAACGATGAGCAAGCAATGGATACGTGCAAACACAACGAGACTCACCACGGAGATGATGTTCGAAATGAAAATCCCCGGGGTCCAGGGTGAGGAATACACGTCCAAGAGCTCCCGAATGGCGCAGATTGCGCGAGATTTCTATGATAGCCTGCAAGATGAGGACCCCCTAGAGCCCCACGAGAGACATGTAACATACATTACTGAGGCGCTACAACCCTTGAGTGCAAGACTTGAGAACACGCAGAAAGCAAACCTTGCGAAGAGAATATCCAGGGAGGATGTGAGCGAGGCAATACGAGATGCAGCGCGCAACAAGTCGCCGGGCCTAGATGGGCTCCCGACTGAGGTCTGGAAGGAGTATGAGAGGTGGTACGAGGCGGACATCAAGAGAGGAGCCCCGGCGGTGGACATGACACTGGCTCTCACTGCGGTCTTCAACGATATTGAGCTCCATGGAGTGGACCCGGCGGTATCCTTCACGGATGGGTGGATCTGCCCCATCTATAAGCTGAAGAAGGACAAGCGTGAAATAAACAACTACCGCCCGATCACGCTACTAAACTCAGATTACAAGATAATGACAAAAGTGATAGCATCTAAGATTGCTGCATGCGCGGCGGACATCATCCACGCAGACCAAGCGGGATTCATCCCTGGAAGGCGGATTTTCGACCAGATCAAGCTATCGAAATTGATGCTGGACTATGCTGAAGCAGAGGAGGTAAACGGAGTAATAGTGGCACTAGACCAAGAGAAAGCGTACGATAAGATCGACCATGAGTACCTATGGGCTGTATTGCGTCGATTCAACTTCCCCGAGAACCTCATAAGCACGGTGCAGAAGCTCTATGAACGTGCGGAGAGCTGCGTAATCGTAAACGGTGTCAAGAGCACCAGGTTTAGAATAAGACGGGGTGTGAGACAGGGGGACCCGATGTCGTGTCTGCTGTTCGATCTAGCGATAGAACCCCTTGCTGCTGCTTTCCGATTGTCCACGCTGCGGGGCATAGAAGTCCCGGGGGCGCAGGAGCGGCTGATCGCAAAACTTTTCGCGGATGACACGACAGTCTACCTGTCGGAGGAGGATGATTACAGCGAAATGGAGTCGATCACCTCTAAATGGTGCCGAGCGTCGCGTGCAAAGTTTAACACGTCTAAGACGGAAGTGCTCCCCATGGGGACTGCTGAGTACCGCGCAAAACTCATTGAAGGCAGGGCGATGAACCCTAGCTCAGCGCAGATACCGGAGTCAGTCCACATAGTGAAGGATGGCGAGGCGATTAGAACCCTGGGGGCGTGGATAGGAAACAACGCACCTGAGGCGACACCGTGGACTGCAATCCTCCGCACCATTGAGAGTAGATTAGAGAAATGGAGTCAAGGACACCCAACACTTAACGGAAGGCGGCTGATTGTTGGAATGGAGCTCGGGGGACGAACGCAATTCCTCGCGATGGCGCAGGGGATGCCGAAAGAGGTGGAAAAGAAATTGACGGACATGGCCGTGAACTTCATGTGGAAGGGTGACAAGCACCCCCGTATCGCGCGCGAAGTGCTGTACTCGGGCGTAAGGGAGGGGGGCGTGAAGCTGCTGGACCTGAGTTCGCGAAATGAGGCGATCGATCTGATGTGGCTGAAGTCCTACCTTGATCTCACGAGGGACAGACCCACATGGACAGTTCTCGCGGATGCGCTCCTGGCTCGCGCTGCGGCTTTCTCCTCGAAATCCACGGAGCCAGAGGCGCGCATAAATGCGTTCCTGCAAACATGGGAGGTCAGCATGAGGAAAGCAGCTGGCTTGCCTGAGGACCTGCGTCGCATGGTGCGGGCGGCGAAGAACAACGACGTGGGGACGGTGGTCCGAATGCCATCGGACGCCCTGCGAAGGAGCATGCCGGCATGGTATCACCCGGGGACGCAGGAAGGGAGGTGTGTAGCAAACACCGCCGCGAGCAAGTGCTTGCGTGTAAGACACCGAGTGAAGACGATCGACGACCACCTGCGATCGGCGAGAAGGCTGCACGAGGCCCTGGCAGGGCACAGGCGGAGCGATGCATGCACATGCGTGGCCTGTCAGAGGGACAGGAGCGATCTTGGCTGCGCACACCCGCATCGGTGCGCGATGACTGCGGAGAGGGCAGTGGCGAAGCTGACCCAGTTATGGAGACCGGGGGGTGCAAAGAATGCGGACGGCCTGAGCCTCACGCGGAGAAGAATGAGACTTAACGAAACGGCAAGAGCTGAGAAAGGAAGAATCACCTTCGACCCGAGCTTAACCCAGGGGACCCCGCTAGCATCCGTCTTTCGCGTCTTCACCTCATCGGAGGCTGCGAGAGGCACCGCGATGCGTGAGCAAGGGCGTTTCCAGATGCCGAATGAGGCGGTCGAAGTCTTCACGGATGGGTCGTGCCTTAACAATGGAATGAGCAACGCGTGCGCAGGAAGTGGCGTCTGGTTTGGGGAGCATGATGCTAGAAACGAGGGAGTGAGGGTACCCCACCGAGAACAGTCAAATCAGGCAGCTGAGATGTACGCGGTGACTGTCGCACACATGAAAATCGCCCCCTTCGCCCCCATGCATGTCGTGAGTGACTCGAAGTACGTAGTGGACGGGCTCACGAAGCACTTGCCGGCATGGGAGCAACGCGGATGGATCGGCGTTGCAAATGCTGACATTATAAAAGAGACAGTCGCCCTCCTACGCACCCGAAGCGCCCCGACGACCTTTCGATGGGTTAAAGGGCATGCGGATGAGATCGGCAATGTCGAAGCGGACAAGCTGGCAAAGATTGGTGCTGAAGCGGCGCGCCCTTTCCGCCCTGTGGCACTACCACCGAAGGCGGCGTATGTGAAGGACGGCGCGTCGCTGGCGCACCTCACCCAAAGCCTGGCATACCGTGGTATCAGAGAAAGGAAGAAGCGTGTGCAACGTAAGTCCACCCACCGGAATGTATGCGGTGCACTCGCTGCAATTAAGAACGCGACGAGCGAGGAGCACATTGCCGCCTCGCTGTGGATGTCTCTCCGAAAGGACCCTATCGAGAAGAAGGTCAGAGATTTTGTGTGGAAAGCCCTCCACGACGCCCACCGTGTAGGTAAATTCTGGCTTAACATCCCGGGCTATGAAGGGCGAGGCACGTGCCGCCACTGCGAGTGCGTGGAGTCGCTCGAGCACATCTTGACGGAGTGCAAGGCGCCGGGACAGCGCACGGCGTGGGACCTGGCTAGACAGATGCTAGCAAAGAAGAAGGTGACACTGCCCGATGTCACGGTGGGACTGGTGCTAGGCGGCCACCTCTGGAACGTTAAGAATGACGACGGAGAACTGAACACGGGCGCAACGAGACTAACGAGGCTGATCATTAGTGAGACGGCTTACCTGGTGTGGAAGCTGCGCTGCGAAAGAGTGATAGAATGGGCTGAGGAGCACCCCCGAGTGCACTCAGTATGTGAGATCACCAGGCGGTGGCTGGCGGCGGTAAACAAGCGCCTTGATATTGACTGCGCGCTTACGAACAAGCGTGTTGCTGGCCGTAACGCGCTAGCACCGTGCACGGTGGAAGCAACATGGGGAGGTGTCCTTGATGATGAGGCGCACCTCCCGCCGGACTGGACAAGCAAGTCGGGGGTTTTGGTGGGTAGGCTGACGCCGCAGCGCGATGAAGGGTGAATATGGACTACCGCGCTGTAGAAATGCAGTCCCACACTAGGAAGCAAGCTTCCGTGCATAAAGCATTTCCCCTGGCGCGGTGCAGAGGGTACCTCCCTCGAAACTTTGCACATTACTTAGCGAGCTACACTATGTATTAGATAGCTGCGTTAAGTAAGCACCGTCAAAAAAATCAAACGGACTCTGCCAAAGTTGATCGCACGACAGTCCACGTGTACGCGTTGTTGCGCCCTATTTGCCTCCGGTGGCCCGGCTCGAAGCGCCCGGAGCGCGCCTGCTGTCACTGGTCGCGTGTCAGGAGAGCGCCTCGACGTCATCATGCCCTGAAGCCTGGTTAGCGCTCCGATGCTTACAGTCGCTCAGGCTGCAGTGCCCGGCTGCCTCCTTACCCTTGCCTTTCGCCACATTCCTCCTCAATCGCCATGTCGTCCAGAGAGCCTATGTGGTACTGCCATGAGGTGCGTTCCCAAGTCCTCGCTACAGGCTTATGGCTAAAATGTGCTCCAGTGCCATGCAGAGATGAGGCCGCTGATGGTATGACTTCACTCGCATCCCGCCACTGCCGGTCGTCTGATCTGCTATAGGTCCCAGACCCGCATTGCGCCTCCTGTAACGGAACATTTGTGGAGAAGGTGTGTATACCATTGCTCCTTCCGGGTGCTCGACTATATACGAGATGCAGATAGAGAACCCCGCGGATGATCCCCGAGGGTTCCGAGTTGCCGATGGTGGTCAATGGGACAATGGCGCGCTCCCAGGAGATATGGATGCTTTCCTGAGTGCGCAAATATTTCCCTAAATGCCTTCCTGATACTGACGTATATCAGCAGCCGGACTACGGCGCATACTACGTCCGCCGCAACCCCCGACAGCATCAGCGAGCTCGAATTCCCGCTCTAGGTCCCCAACGGCTCGCCGGTCGTCCAGTGATAGCTACAGACAAGCTGGAAGCTCAGATACACGCACCACGGTGTGTTCTCATAATTCTTTAGCACTATGGCAAGACTCTGATAGCAGGACAGGGCCGTACCAGCCCGTTTACCTTGCGGATAGAGCGCACAAACGCGCCAGGAGGCCGGACCCGCACGTTTGTTCTGGGAGGCCAGCCTACCGCAGCGGGAGACGAACTTCCCCGATTGTCACAGTAAGGTTCCACGCTGTGCTCTTAGAAGGTTCGCCGTTCACGCGAGTTCCGCCAGGTTCGCGCCGCCCCGCAATTTGGACGGAACCGCGCAGGATCGTCCTAACATAACGGGACCCATGTTGGCTCAGTATCTGCTTGCGCTCATGGGCCCTGGTCGTGGCGGTGATCCGTTCTCTGACATGCTGGGTGGCATGTTTGGACCTGCCGGTATGCCTCCTGGTGGTGCAGAATCAGGAAGATGGGGCGACTACGTCTTCAATCAAGAAGGTGAGCAGATACCTGCCTCAAGGGGCGTGCATGTAGCAGAAGCACACACATCTGACATGTCCCCACAGCCCTCGATCAGATCATCTCCCAGATTATGGAGAACTCGAACGCTCACCAGCCAGTCCCGGCTACGGAAGACGCGCTAGAGAAGTTGCCCAGGGAGGTTCTTGAGGAAGGATGTAAGTGGATTACCGCTTGAGAATACTACGTTTGCCTCATCTACTATCAGCGCCTCTGCTCGAGAAGGACTGTGCGGTTTGCAAGGACCAGTTCTCCCTCCAGAGCGAAGACCCGGATGAACTCGTCGTCGTTACCCTTCCCTGTAAACATCCTTTTCACGAGACCTGCATCATGCCGTGGCTCAAGAATAGCGGAACCTGCCCCGTGTGCCGGTACGTAACAAACTCCCTGTGGATAGTGACACCCGGGCCAACGTCTCTTGTGCTGTAGATACCAGCTCGTCCCCCAGCCCGACCCACATTCTGGACCCGGCGCGCCGCAAGCCGGCTCAAGTGGGCCCAGTACCTCCTCGAGCTCGCGGAGCGGTAGTGGCGACAATAGCGGGGCCGGTGCCGGCCCCGCTGGGAGTGGTCTGCTGCAGAACGTCTTCAACTTCTTCTCCAACCATGCGCAGCAGGGTACTAGCACAAGTGGCCCAAGCCCAAGTAGCACGCAGAGCGGTACCGCTTCCGCAGCCCCGCCGTCGGCCTCTGCAGCGCCTAGCGCTGGAAGCAGCGGCAGCTCCGGGTCGCGAAGCACGCCCCCGTCGCGCCGTAACACCGACGATCACTTGGATTTGCCTGGAGGCTGGGGAGACGAGATCGACTAATGTCACATGCAGTGGGTAATCTGTGTTCTCGACCGTAGAGGGTCTGGTCTGTAGCATCATGCATGTATGTATACTTGAGTGGACGCTGTTTCCGTATCGCGTCCAGGTTGGAGGATGTATTTCTGGATTCGAATCCTACTTACATGTGTTTTGGGTCCCGTTCTGGTGCACACGCAGGCTCAAACAATTCTTTTATTTATCCGCTTGAATTCGCTGCTAGATGCGAACCTTCGATGGGTCCGATGGGCGTGAAAACGCGACCTCCTTCTTGCACGTGAGGGACGCGTCGCGATCGAGCGCCCAATATAGATGCAGACGCGTCGAAGGTGACGCGACGTTCGATCCCTCGCCGCGATGCGTCACCGACCTGTCAACCTGCTCGCATTGGACGAACTCGGGGAGAGTATATATATGCGCGACTTTCCGCATGAGCCCGCCCCATGATCTGCCCTCCTTTCCCCACGTACCGCCATCTCGCTCTCAGACTCTCCACCCCGCAACCGTTCCGCACATTCACCTCTTCGTCTGCAAGGAAGATGCCCGTCGCCGACCCCAACGCCCTCAATGCATCCGGCTTGAGCGCGTCCGAGTCGCAGAAACTCAAGGAGAGGAGCCCGGAGGCTCACGAGGAGAAGATCCTACAGGCCATCAAGGAGGTTCGAGCTCTGCATTCAAGTCGAAGAAGGACCTACTGACGTGATGTCCTTGCAGCTGTACTCTTCCAAGGCCTCCGAGGTAGCTTTCATGAAGTGATGCTGTTACATGTTAGTGACCCGAAAATTCAGAGGTCGTATGAAATATATGCGCCCGAAGCTGTCTTCCATGACCCCGTTGGCATCGCCGAGGGCATCAAGGCCGTGCGCGAGCAGTTCAACGGGCTCGCCAAGGTGTGTTATGCACTTCATATCATCAGGCTTGGCTTGACGCGCCCTGTATAGCTGTTTCCGCGCGCAGACATACCCAAATTCCGTCTCCTGGAAAACCCATCCTCCGTGCCGAAGAGCAAGATCCTGATCGACCAGGATGTCGCGTACTACCGGGACCCCAAAGCGTCTTCCCCTACAAAGGTACGTCTTCATCAGTACTGTAGTAAAACTTCTGCTGACATACCATGGGTTGTCGCAGACTGTGAACTCCCTCCTCACGCTGGAGACGAACAGTGAGAACAAGGTTGTCAGACACACTGAGGAGTGGAACCACCACCGCGAGACTACCTCGGAAGACGGTTTCCTGGGCATGTTGAACGAGAACAGGAAGAAGATAACTGCGACCGTCACTGGGATGTTCATCAGCCAGGAGCCACCCGTGAAGAACTGAGTGACGTACTGGTTGCACATACATGTATAATAGATTCGCACTCGGGTTGTGTAGGACTAAGCAGTAGTTGGCGTGAATCGAGGAGCCTGGAACCTGTAGAAGAATGGAGGTGTACAAGCTTGTGCCTGGGTCTATGGTACTGATTATACGGCAACCATATAAAATACACAATATACAGGAACCACACGGAGCACGAAGAACAGGAACATCGACTTGACTATAGTGCGACAGCAATCTACCGCCAAACAGGGTAAGTCAGCAGGGAGTTTAGAGAAACGCGGCATGCCACCACGTCCATGGAAACCTGGTACTTACCTCAGATACACCACTATGTGCTGTCGACGACACAGGTGAATGCACCGTAGCAGACTCGGGGGCCTCTGCTTCCGCCGGGGACCTCACAGAAGGGCTCGCAGCTACTATCGTGCTGAGACTCGCCATCTCGTTGTCCGCAAAGCGCTCATCGTCTCCCTCGGACCATTCCGTGGAATAGGAACCGTCCGACCCTGAGAGGCCATGGTCCAGCTCTGCGCCCATCGGGTCTACGAAGTTCGCGAACTGCATGCCCGTGGACGCTGCATGGGGCCCGTTACGCGTGGAGGCGACGAAGGACGGGCGGGTGTCGTGCACGTCTCCGCCGAGGGTGTCGCGGAGGTTGAGGAGGAAGCGGGAGACGAGGATGCTTGTGACGCTATGAGGGTCGTCTAGTAAGCGATGTCTGCACAGCCATGCTATAGAATGTGAAACTCACGGGTCTTGAAAAGCGGAGACGGCGCTGCTATTCTGGAGCAAATGTTAACGTCCTGTATCGGTTGAGGTTCTGGGCCATACACGCACAGGTACAGCGTTGACGATGATATTCACGACATTGAGAATGAGCAGGCACCTGATGTCAGTCGCTCAGCGGCACGTCACCAAGTACCCTGTACAATAGCTCTTACGCGAAGTATAGCGTTCCTACGCTAGCGGGTCAGCTTGTTATATTAATTGGTGTATGAAGGATTCTGACATACCGTCTTTTAGGATAGCGGTCGTGAGGGACATGCGGATGTTCGCGACCCGAGCCGCCCGTGTAATGCCAAACGTGCTGTGCCAAGTGACTATGAGGACGATCAGGTCGCCAACGATGAGGCAAACGCGTGATGCTATTGTAACTAAGAGACACGTCAGGTCGGGAGTGAGACGGTGCCTCCGAGAGGTGTTAACTTACAGCTGAACAGTACTATCAGTCAATAGAACTTCTGTTTGCGAACGATGAAGTACTTACTGGATCCAAGTGGCTTCGGGCAAGTTTGAGGCCAGAAGGCAGTTAAATGGCGGCTCGACCGCTATTGGAACAAGGCGCGAGTAGTATATCTGTGTTCCGAAGCAGGATGTGGTAAGCCACCGCATCGCACACAGATAAATGAAGGACGCACGGCAGTCAAGACGATATCCGGGAGGAAGAAAGCAAAGATGAGGATCGCTACCCACCACTTACGCCCGCTCAGAGCGTACCCGCGGAGGGTGGAGAACACTGGTAAGGATAATCAGATTGTGAGAGAACAGAACAGTGTATACTGCATACCAGCCCAGATGAAGGGCGGGCCACCATTACCCACTATCACCATGTATCCGACGACGGTGCAACTGTACGCCTCGGGTTAGTGTCTGGTGCCATCATTCCCTGTGGAGGACCGTCCGCACCTCTACGAAACTTCAGCATATATCCTCGTGCGTATCAATAAGACAGTACGCACCGTTTGTGATATTGGATACGTCGTAACGACCTGAGTTACATACTGAAAGAACAGCCAATACCTGTTCAACACGAACAGCGTGTTCGCGCCGGTGACCCCGCCGCCCCAGACGAGCCGCACTTCGCGATCGAAGGTGATCACATACTCGTACGCGAGTAATGCTGTGTCTGTATCAGGATTTGCGCACAGGGCGTGCAAGCGAGACTTCCGCCCTCACCGAATGCCGCGAAGGTGTAGTATGTCTCGTTAAAGCTGTGTTACGAAGCCAAAATCAACATACGATCATCGTCAATATCGTGATTAACAGCGGGACTCACAGTGTCTGAACTTCGTCCACGAGCTCATTGTCAGACATGGCGGCCGCGCGCGGGTGAGGGGGTCGTGGTCGTTGGTAAGGTTTAGGATGACGAACTCGAGCAGTGCCCTGCCCGAGGTATTAACGAGCTGGACCGGGGGAGACACGGAGAGCGGTAATGGTTTAGTGCGACGGAGACGCCGGTGATGCCACCACTCCGAGTTTCAGCATCAGACGCAACAGGGCACGCGGCTGTATGCGAGGATTTGCAGTGATTACCGACCTTCCAGGCTCCAATGAGCGATCTGCTCAGACCTGATGGCATGGAAAGGGCACTGCATCACTGACATCGCGGATCAGAGATATGGTTGGGGGGTATCGACTCGGTCCCGCGCAAATGTTTTCGACCAAAAACACCAGGAAGCAACGTTTTTCACTGGGACACGGGTCGTCTTGGCGTTAGATGAGTGCTCGAAACTAGGAACGTCTTGTCTCAACGACTGGGTCACTGACGAAGTACGGAAGGATGATAACAGTGACACACCTCATGCCAAATGATAGGGGCGCATTGCGAACAGTTGATATTCGTGTGCTCCGACTCGGAGCCTCGCAGCTTCGCCTGCTCCGGAGCTCCATAAAAATCGCCTGCAGTGGCCCACCCCATACATAGGTATAGTTGGCGGTAACCGTCCGGCCATCGTGTCTAGCTTTGTCAGACTTGAGTATTCCGGAAATTACCAAACCTCCAGGCTATCTGAGCCACGAGCAACCTTCAGTTACGGTTCATTTTGCAAAGACACGGATGTGTTGATACTGCGTTGGCCTGTGTAGTGAGTACATGTGATATCTGATGGTACAATTTGTGAGACTTCGGGAGCATTTCGGGCGCATCATCGAGGCTTCAAGTTGTGCGCAAGATCGCCGGAGCTTCAGAACCCGAACCAGCTCTTCATACCCTGCTGCGTTGCAAGTCTCTTCGCCTGTATAGTCGATGAGCATTGGAGTATCGTCATGTCATGTAGCCGACATCCACGTACCTGCTCGACCATGCTCTTGCTCCCTTGTTCCAAGGAGTCCATGCTTTGCTGCAAGTCCCCGAGCATTTCTCTGCAGATGTCGCGGTCTACGTGAGTTGCAGGTGGTAGATATAGACAGTGCCAACATACCCTCTCTCATTCAACGCCGTTCCGAGCTTGTTGTACAGATCAGCCACGCCGCTGGACATTCCCGCGGCAGCCGCAGACACCGAGGCTTGAGAGGAAGACCCGGCCGTACCGCCCGTGGGTGCAGCACTTGGGCGCGCACTTAGTCTGCTCACGGGCACAACGGGTCTGTCAGGGCCCGCAACTGCATTGGCCGTCAATTCGGTGCTTTTGGAACGGGAGCTCTACATGGAAGTGCTCACGCAGGGCGTCGATCTGGTCTCCCACGCTTGCCCCGGTGAAGGAGCCGATATATCCCATCACGGAGCCCATCATCGAAGGAGGACCGAGAGAGACGGGCTGCGGCTGCGACGGGACTTTCCCGCGCCCATGTGCGAGGTCGACCAACGGGAGGGTATATGGACCTTTGCGGCGGCGGGAGAACAGTGTGTGTATCTCGCTGCTGAGCAGGGGCCGGAGCGATGACCCTGCGGGCGTAGGGAAGGCGGTGTGGGTAATCAAATCTCCCGTGTCGTCGGTGCTTGGGGGGCTAGAGGGAACGAGAGCATATATAAGTGGCTGGAAGACTAAGATAGAGAGGACTCACTCGGAAGACCCTAGTGCGGGAAGCGGAAGGGTGTGTATCTGCTCGAGGTGTGGAAGAGAGTAGATGAGTGCATTTCCAAGGCTCGTATATGCCACGAGCGCGCACGAGTCTGCATCATCATCAGCACAAAAGACCGAGCACGGTATACGCGTCGACTGTCACTCACCACTCCGTTGGACCACCTCGACGTGCTGGATAGTGCCGACTTTGCTCCCCCAGTCCACCTTCGCGATTTTCTCTCCGTTTATGCCAAGCGTGCATCGCACGCCCTTCGCCCCGGCCGCGACGAGGACAAACTTCCTGTCCGCGTCAGCGGCTCCCTCTGTCTGCAGAACCGTGGCAAGGCCCTGGCGATTTGCTAGACATCTGGCTCCCGTCCTCGCGTCAAGTACGAAGCAGCCGCCAGGAATTGGGCGCGCGGGGGCGTCTACAACCACGGGAGGCTGGGTGACGCTCCACGTACCAGCGGCGTCGTGCGCTAGGGCATATATCGAGGTGGCTCCAGAAGCTGCGCTGCAAATGAGGCGAAGGCGTACTTCCAGGTCTGCCATGGAAGGGTATGAGTAGAAGCCTAATGGAGCCTGTTAGGTGACTCGCCTGAGGATGTGCTACAACACGTCCACGACAGAGACAGTACTGGCTCGGCGTCTGAGTGCTTGTGGAGGAAGCTTGATGAGCTGTGCGAGTCGGGGTCGTGGCGCAATATTACTCGCGGACCACGGAAGTCGATGATGAGTAAAGAGCCCGAAGCGTAGGCCACCGCAAGGAAGCCTGCTCGTGTAAATATCACGTAGGTCAGCAGCGGCGGGACTTGACATACCGACATCGCACAGCGCGCACGCAGTAACAGATCCGCGAGTCTTGTGCGGCTTCACGCCGAATGCAGGGCTGTACCGCAAGCCCGCTCGGGGCGGTATATGCGACAAGGAGACGAGCTCATCATCCGGAAGCGACTTCTGGCCGAAGGCTCCCTCCGTGTTCGGTACATTCAACCTGTGCAGGATGACGGCGCCGCTCCGCAGTACCGTCACACATTCTAGAGCCTCCGGGACGAAATGTACAGCGTCTATCCTTTCCTTCGTCAACCTAGGGTCGTATCCCGCGGAAGGGGATTGTATGCGCGAGAGACCAAGCGAGTGGTCGATGAGGAGTGGCGCGAGCTCGATAGTCAGTCTGGGTATCGGAGAGGGGAAGCTGCTGGTATGGGGTGCATTTGGTCCGGTGCTGACCAGGAGGTGCGGGCTCACGTCCAGGAAACGGACGGAGAGATCGCGTAGGTGTGTGATCATGATCCTGTGGGATTGTAGCTGCGTGCCTTATTAGCACGCGCAGAAACCCAGAGAAATGGGCAATATAATCTACCTTGATGAGCTTCATGATACCATCTGGGTCTTCCGACCACGCCAGGCCTCCCTTGATAGGAAGGGGGATCTCTCCGTCGATAGGTACGAGCTTGTCCTGAACCAATGTATCATACGTATGCTTGTCCACCTTGACGAGGTACTCGCCCAAGACACTCCAAAGGCACAGCGGAAGTCTAGCAAGTCGGGCCTCGTCGGACATAGACATCGCCTGCATAGTCATGGCAAGCTCTTTCGCCAAAGCGTCCGCCGCACCGGCGCCCTCTGCATCTTGAGTATCACCGCTTGACGCGACAGCTCCAGGGCTCCCAGGTAAGCTGACGAAAGTGGGAGGCGGAAATTCGAAGGCCTCGGTGATGCGGGCCTCCGGAACGTCCGAGTCTGACGTTACGACTATCGCGCTCGGGTCATAGTGGCCGGAGAAGTGGGGGTTCGAGCGAGGGAAGAGAAGGAAGTCCTGGACGGGGCCAGCCGTTACGTAAGTATAGATGTCTTTTACTATGAGCGAGTCGCACATCGCCGCACGCGTGTGCGGATGTAGGTCGGGCACACCAGCTGGTTTGGGCGACGTAGGGTTCGGAGGGGCCGGAGGCTGGAGTGGCGGAAAGAGCAGCGCAGTGACACCTGGGGACGCGTCGATCGTCATACCTCCGAGGACTGTCAGCACGGTGTTACCCCCGCGAGGGTCGGAGGAGTTCGGGAATCCGCTCCAGGCAAGCTTGAAGATGGGCTCGCGCGGTGGCTCGACTGGATGATCTTGCGGGGCAGACAGCACCGACTCCAGCTTCGCAGTGTCGATGGCGCTGAGATCCTCGTCACCTGTGCTATCAAGAGTGCGGAGAGCTAGTGGCTTATTCTCGTCTTCGAGAGCCCAAAAGCCGATAGTGCCATCAGCGTAGCCGACGGCTAGTAAGTGACCTGAGGGGTGTATAGCCAATGCGGTAGCTTGCAGGCGGCGGGGTAGAAGAATGTCCTAGGGTTTCGACTACGTTAGGAAGAGCCACCAACTTCTCTCGAGCCAATTTACCTTCGCGTGGAATCCAGAGCCTCCAGGCGCACCGGGGGACAAGATGAGTTCGAAGGCTCTGACAGTATTTTGCTCTTTCTGGAGGATATTCGAGCCTGCTCAATTTCGGCCCGTACGGATAGACGCACCAGGTCTGAGACAAGTACACCACCTGGAGATGTTTCTTAGCCTTTACGCGAACGTGAATCCACGCACAATGACTGACCTTCATAGGCCACGAAAAGAAGGTTCAAGTCACGCGGATGAATTACCATGTCGATGATCACATCGCTGGAGTATGGTTCGCTTGAGGAGTAGATGCACAAAGGTGAAGCTGCTTACGAGCCAGGTTCACTGGTGATGGAAAGCTCTGTTGCTAGCGATTTCTTCTCGAAGAGCCTCCACTGATTCGGTATGGCATACGGGGATATGCGTGAGCAGAGCAAGTCGTACGTCTTGATTTCTCCATCTGCTAAGGCAATGAACGCCTGCGGGGATAATGAGTATCATATTCAAACTGGCTTGGTGACCAGCTCTGACATGGGTATGCGATGGGGAGGTAACCAATGCGCTGAAGTACGCAAACAGTTAATGGTGCGGCTCGTGTAAGCGAGGAGAGCACCTCGTACTGTACGGGTTGACCGAAGCCGGTAATCCGTTGTAGCGTAGGCCGCCCAACGGAGGTAAGGTCCCACACATGTAGCCAATTGTGCTCGTCTGCGAGTTGTGTGCGTGTTAACCTCAGATGTACCGCACTCGACTGTGTACTGACCGATACACAAGAGCTTCAGCACAGAGACAGCAAATTGCAGCAGCTTGACCCGCAGGCCAGCGGGCTCAGTGAGCTTCAACCTGTGTGTAACACCAGGAGAGCCGTAGATATATATTGCACCTCGCGCGGTCCCTGCAATGGTCACCCTGAGCGTTCCGGTCGCAATGTGCAGACATGGTGCATTCAGATACTACATACCTACGGCAAACAACCCAGAAACGGGGTCTGTCGCGACTGCAGTCACATCAAGATGATAGGGTATCGTCCTAAGCAAGCCTGCTTCCCAGTCGGATGGATCCGAAAGGTCCAGCGAGAAATCCGGAAGTGCTTTGACCGCCTGCGAGGCGAACATGATGGAACTATTGCCGCAGCTTGGGTGCGCCTATATCCAGCTGACGAGATAGCGATGTGGTGGTGTCTGGATTTCGACGAGTAGAGCCGTCAGGGTGATGGTCGTCGATGAAGGCGGCGTCGAGAGGGGGGCGCCTGAGCCAAGACGCGCTCGTTGCCGCAACGCGGGGATGTCACGTGTCGAGACGCGTCAATTACCGACAAATATTCTTGGCGAGCGTTCCGCCGATTGCTCTTGCACTACCCTCCGCTGTGTAACGTGTATAGCTGAAGAAATCAACCTAGTGCTTCGGTACGCTTCTAGGTTGCAAAGCTGCAAACGGATTGCATGCAGGATGTTGGAATGGCTACTCCTATAGCAGGCCATGCCCCACTGCGGCGCTCATGTGGACCCACACCCTAGCGTCATCTGTGAGCAGGTGCCCCCTCCCCCCTGCGATAAATAGGAGCCGCCTGGAGGGGCACTTAGTCCACCAAGAGAATGGCCCATCCTCTCTACAACCAACCTCCCCATCAACTCTCTCTGAACATCGAACACTACTTATGTGGGTTGCTCACTACGCTTCCGGGCTCATCGCGAAGCCGTTTGCGCCTAGGGTCCCTCTGTCGCTGCTCGCTCTTGCGGGTGCCTTCCCCGATGTCGTTTTCTTCCTCCTCCAGTTCTTCGGCATCGAGACGTTCAACCTCGACAGCTCCTTGATTCCGCACGGCTGCTTCCCGTATACCAATGACTATCCGTATAGCCACTCGCTGCTTGGTATGACGCTGTCGGGTACGTATCCCTCAAGCCTCGGTGTGCTCAGGAATGAGAGACTTACCCGTCTGCGAGCAGGTGTCGCATTGGCCGTTGGGTACAGATGGAGCACCTCCGCCCCTGTGACCCTGAGGGACCAGTCTGCTATCGTGGCAGCCTCGGCGAGCCACTTCCTGCTTGAATGGCCGTCTCACCGCGAAGGTATGCAACCAGTTTGCCCTTGATATACCGCAAATCTTAACCCCTGCGGCAGATATCAAGATTACGCCGCACGACTCCTTCCAGCTCGGTGCTGGCTTGTTTGACAGCCCGGTCGCGACCTTCCTCGTTGAATGTGCGATCTACCTTGCTGGTCTGTGGGTGTACACCACGTTCGCCCCGATCACGACCAAGGTCGGGTACAAGACGCACAAGAACCGCCTCTGGGGAATCACGCTCTTCTTGATCGGCGCACAGGCTCATTTCGCGTTCGGCTCGTAAGTGCAGTGCCGTGTCCTACCCATCTACGGGTCGCTGAGTGGAATACATTTCACAGGGCACCCACGACGGAAACACGCTGGGTGCATGCGCCCCTCTTTCTTAGCCAAGTGCTCGCGAGCTCATGGTTGATTGGCAAGCTGGAATCGTGAAGTGAGACGGCTTGAAGAAGTCAAGAATGAAGCACATAGTTCTGTGATAATAATGTAGCGTTAGAACTGTATGTACAACAGAAGAAAGAGATTCTATCTCACCCCTCGCCATTCTTACGGTTTCACATCGTCAACAGCGCACTGTACTTTTCGACCGCCTCCGCGAAGGATGAGCGGGAGCCGGCCCGTCTATCCGGAGCCGCCATAGGAAGGAAGTCGGCATGGGCGCCTGTGTGCGCCGTCCCCTCCGCTCCCGCCTACATGGATTCTGCTTCAAATCCGCCTACGCCTTCGAGCTCTGATGCCTCCACCTTCGAACGATGGCGGAGAAAGTTTTCAATGATAACTGGCGTCGGTGGGACAGCAGAAGAGCGAGAAGCTGACATGGACGCGCGCCATCATACCAAGTGCGAGAAGTGGAAGAACGAGCTCATGACATACAGTCAGTACCATTGGATTCATGCACCCTGGGACGTTGACACTAGTCGTACTCAAGGCCGTGGGCTACCCTCTCGCTTCCTGCAGGTCCGGCCGTGGTATTCATGATGAAGCACCTCAAACTGAACGGCGCGGATGTGTCCTCCGACGACCTCGTCTGCGCGCCGTGCGACACGAACCGCTCGGGCGGGTTCAGCCCAGAAGCGGGCGCGGTCGTGCTCTGCCAGGGCAAGCTCATGGACAAGAGCCACATGGAGGACACGATCGTACACGAGCTCGTACACATGTACGACCACGCCAAGTTCAAAGTCGACTGGAATAACCTACGTCACCACGCGTGCAGCGAGGTATGTGAGCCGTTGCCTTCACCCACTTTCTATAGCCCGTTCCCCCCGCCTCGTGTCTGCGACGCTGACCGCCTTCCCTGTGAACTATTGCCGTGAATTGTGAAGATCCGCGCGAACAGCCTAAGCGGGGACTGCAGGTGGAGCCGCGAGTTGCGGAGGGGGTTCGTCGCGTTCTCGAAGCAGCACCAGGTCCGTACTTCCGCCGAGGCCATTCGTGCACCGCAGCTTAACCTGGCGCACGGCTTCCCACAGGAGTGCGTCCGACGCCGTGCTGTGATTTCCGTCCGCAACAACCCCGCGTGCCCAGACGACGCCGCTGCGGAGCGCGCGGTCAACGAGGTCTGGGAGAGCTGTTTCAACGACACCAGGCCGTTCGACGAGGTAAGGACAGCACCGGCTCGCTCGACGGGTGCCGTATCACTTACGCTTTCATTGACAGATATACTAGAAGCGCGTGCACGATTGCTTCATTCCGCCCGGCAACTTGAGTGGCTCCTGAGGGCGATACGACCAGTACTTGCGCGCAGTTGTGATGTGCTGCGAAACAGGAGAGCGCAGGGTTATTCTCAGCGGAGTCTCGTGATGCGCGTTTCACGCGCGAAGTGCCGCTTGTGGCGGGAGATGTCGTGCTGGCCGTAGCTTCGTGTGGGAGGCTGCCCGTCGCGCCGGTCGCCGTCCGAGGAGCGTGTGCCGGATGCCAGCAGCGCGTTGCTGGCAGTGTAGACAGCCCGAGCAAAATAGAATATTGGACCATCCTCGCGAGTGCGTGTGAGACTGCGCGATGCATGCATGGTCTGTGCTGGCGTGTGTTCCAGCCCGCCATGTCATCGTCAGACATGCATCAGGCAGCAGGAATAGGACAGCGGCATGTTATTCTTGGCTGTCTGCGGTGAACCCTGCCTAGAATGGGACCAATCGGCGCGATCGGTGGCGGACAGGAAGGTTCTCGGGCAGGCGTGCGAATCTCGCACCCAGTACAAAGACCCAGCCTCCGTCGCGTCCGCCACGCCCGACGCCCTTGTCGACCCGCTTCCCAGCTTTTCTCCAACGCCCCTCCCTGGCCCGTTCGCCTCAAAAGCTCACCAGAAGCCTCCATTCGCCATGTTGTCCCAGCTCAGGTATGTGCAGTCGCTCTGGTCGCGCGTCTGTAACGGTCGGTGTCTGAGACGAAATTCGCGCGTTCTTGCAGCCTCGTCGCGGCCCTTGCCCTCGCCCCCTGGTCCTCCGCCCTGCTCCTGGCCACCCCCGTCGACTGGCACTCCAGCTCCGTTGTGAACATCAGCTGGTCGAGCGTCGCCTCCGACCCTCCCTTCTCCTTCGAGCTTGTCAACACGGATGCGTTCCACGACACGTTCGCCCTCGCGAACAACGTCAACCCGACCTTGAACTTCCTCTCCTTCGAACTCGGTGTTGTCCCCGTCGGGTATGTGCTCGATTTTTGGTGTTACATAGAGCAGCGTAGCTTAAACGTGCCCCCTCTTGCAGCACATATACCCTGGAGGCCATCAACGTGACGTGAGTAGCGCGGGATTGCTTTTCTTGGAACCCGAACTAAAGGGAGTCATGCACAGTAACAACGCCCAAATCTTCGACCAGACCCCGTCATTCAGCATCGGAGCGGCCCCGGCGAGCACCTCTTCCTCGGCCTCGTCGACGGTCTCGTCCGCCGCCTCATCCTCTGGGTCGGCGTCCGCATCCGCGACTGGGTAAGAACCGCTCTCGCCACTTCTGCCTTTGCTCCTGCTGACCTCCCCTCCAGCTCTGGCTCGAACACCCTCACCGTTCCCGCCGCGTCGTCCACCTCGGGCGGGTTCGGCACTACGGTCTCCAACACGGCCTCTGCGTCCGCTTCCGGCTCTGGCTCTGCCGCCGGCTCATCGTCGTCTGCTGCCCCCACGAGCTTCAACAACGGCGCGGCGTCGCTCCCTCGCCTCGCCACCTGGGCTATCGGCGCCCTCGGTGTCGTTGCCGGCGCTGCTGCCCTTCTTTAAACCGACCTGATCATGGGCTGGTTATGATGTGGACGGGAGGCTCCATACGGAGGACTTCTAGTTGGGTTTCACATTTTTGGTCTTGGCGTACTTTTCATCTTCTCTGGCTCTCTACGTTGGACCCGTATCCCAGAGTACCATCAATTCAGTAATATCCCGTCACGCTACGTACGGACACACGCGCCCTCAGGCCCCTCCTCATTCCATACGGACTTCTGAACACTGCTTTCGAGTTCGCCGTCGTCGTCCCGTTGTGTTTGTTGTTCGAGTATAGTGCGAATACCACGACACCGGTTCCACAGTCTTTACAAGTTGAGCTTCGGGCAGCCCCGTGCTCTTGTGTGGTGCAGATACCCGATGTCGTCAATGCGATGATCCTGCATCAATTTTGGGTGTGCGCGAGACGTGATATATGCTACAATACAGAGACGGTACAGTAAAGAAGTGTTCGGAAGAGAGGGGGGATCGAGATGGAGAGCTAGGTCCTGTCGGTTCGTACGTACGAGAGCTGCGCTTCAACACGGGAAGATCTCTGAATCGAACGGGAAAAGTCTGGGTTTCATGGACTCGCACGCGTCCTCCGACTCGTGCATCTCTTTCACAACCGTGATCGTGATCACTACTGCCGATGGCAGGGAGGGCGAGTCTGCCGACCGAGCGCCCCGCCGCCTCCTTGAGAAGGTGGGCTGAACCTTGTTTTTCCACAGCTGGCAGCAGTCCTGGGATGACAACAGGCACCGGATAAGCTCAGGCTCGGTTACGCAGGGAACCAGGGCAGCAGAGCAGGTACGCACCGACGTGAGGCCGAAGATGGAGAACGTCGTGAGAGGCACTGTGAGTCGCGTAGCTGGTAAGTGGCTGTGCCAAGTACTGGGTGGTGGACGAGAGAAAGAGCTCACTCAGGGCTTGCAGAAGGATGGTGGCGATGCGTACAGAGTCGCTACCGACGTAGGTGCGCAATGTACTGAGGCTGTGCGAAAGAACGGGGGAAAGACGTCAGCGACTGGTAACTACGACGGAAGCCGTCGCGCGGATCCCGGGGCACGTGCACGGGCGGAGGGACGGACGGACGGACGTACATGAGGAGCAGTGCCTGGAGACAGGTGAAGGCGACGATGCGCGCGGCCTGGGAGAAGCTCAGGAGTCGCGGGAGGCGCCAGGTGGGCAGGTGTCTCCGCGTCGCGAGGGAGTGGACGATGGCGTACACTGTCGGCCACAGAACGGACGGGGTCGAACTTATTGAGTATAGAGGACAATAGGCGACAGACCGACGTACTTTCGAGGGTGAGGGTGATGACTACGATGACGGCTATGAAAATCTGTGCGGTCGTAATGCTGAGCGGGCCGGTTGTGAGACTATGGAACGCGGGACGGAAGGTGGTGGTATCCGGCTTACAACGCGGGGTTCTGCAGGGAGCATGCTAGATCGTTGGGCATGTGCCTGACTTGGTCTGGGTGCGCGGCGCCGAACGCGGCGACCCCAGATACGAATACGAGGAAGACGATATATGGGATCACGACCAGCTGTATATGTGCTGAACGGGTGGCTGTCCGGCAGCATGGGGCTTGGGGTTCACGTACCGTCATCCGGAGGTGGTTGGATTTCGGATTCTTCGAAGGGATCATTTGTGACTCGGCCAGAAGGTCGATCACCAGGGACAAGGATACAGCAGCGAACCTGTGCCGGGCGGACATGAGCGTCCTGGGTGGCTTGGGGCCTAGGCGTACACTTACGTGCATTGGACACCTTCTAGTAAGGCTGCTTGAGTTACACATAAGCCAGCTGGGGGGTTCGGGCTATAGATTTCCCCGGCGTACATCCTGTAGAAAACCGGGCGTGAGTGTTGAACAACGGGGAGAGCATAGTAGGGTACCCTCACAGGAAAAACTGAGGGACTGTGCCGAGTAGGCAGATGGCGAGGAGGTTCAACAAGACAGGGCTGCGTTTGTAGACGGTGTGCGAGAGCAAGAAGGTTGCGATGAGGAGCACAAGAGCGAACTGGCCGATGGTGGTGAGCGCAAAGGCCGCATTGACGAGCATACTGGGGTCTGTCCCTAGACCGCGATACAAGAGAGCCCGCGACAGATGTCCAGCATAGTCTTGGCCCGAGGCATCGCGAGGGGTGAGGTACATCGAAAGCACAGAGCTGCAACAATTGAGCGAGGAGGTAGTCGAGCACGGTGAGGAGGAAGGGGAGCTCACTGAGAGTTCGGACCATACAAGTAGGACCAGCCTAGCGATCTGTCGAAAGCCAAATGGACCATATACGCCTAAACCAGCGGTCCCATGCGCTGTCTGTCCGGGGTGTGATAGAGTGGTAGATGTATACCGAGTATCATCAGAAAGGCAGACAGATGTCAGTCGCGGGGCATGTCAGGTGAGTTGCAACGGGAGGTTATATAAGTAGAAGAACCGGGCGAGGCTTAGGTTCATAAGGTAGAGAGGAGACCCAGCGTCATCCGAGTATCACGACGGTTGACAGCAGAAGGCCGTTCGCGACGAGAGACTGCGTGCATCGTATGGCGTTGCTGGTTTTGCGCATGAGCCATGCCTAGTCCATGCTTGTTCATCATCCTCAAGCCGCATTTCCGTGTCCCCGCAGCCCTCACCCTACACAGATCCAGCCACAGATGCGATAATCCGACTGACTTGATGAACAGCGAGCGAGTAGTGATCCACAACCCAAAAGTGATTGTTGACTACGTGAGACAACGTCCAAGAGAGATTGTGCAACGCTAGCTAAGTTGCAAAGCGTCCTGCGTAGGATTTACAAGCAGGTTAGCGAACTCAGCGTATACCGGAGCAGAAAAGGAACTTACGTTACTGTCCGTGTATATATAAGTGGTACGTAACTGAGCAGCACCCCAAGTAAGTCCACAAAGGTGTCAACGATGACTCAAGCGACATACATATCAGCTCATCTGCCGCTGTAGGGTATTTGTGTGCCGTTCAAAGAAAGCTTGACGAACCTCCAAGGGCCTCGACCCTCTGACAAAGTACGAGGAGGCGGTCAAGATGTCGAACATTTCGATGCGGCCTGAGGTCCGCCTCAGAGCATGCCGGCAGATGCCGCCGCCGGGCCACTTGAAGCGCGCGGGAAAAGAACTGGGAAGTAGCCTAGTACGGTGCACTCCTGAAGTAAGCGCGCTGATTGCAACAACTGAAGTGCAGAGAACTTGGGCTCGGACAAGGCGCAGGTTTCCTCCGCCCACCTCTCCTCCTCCCCCTACTCCTCCTCCTCGGGGCTCTGCATCACCGCCAGTCGAGAGATTCTACCTCTCTCAGTTGTCTCACGAACGCCGAGCTGGAGCCACGTAGGTCTCAATTTATGCATGATAGCTGTTCCACTGCTGAGGATATCTCATACATAGTTTGAGTCCGATGCGGAGGCAATAGTGTACCTTTCATCCACCGACGCGTCCCTACCCACCACTCACGCTATTCAACGTCCGGACGCCCTATACGAACGCCATGCCCAGTTCATCACCCGACGACCCCACCTCCCCCGTCTCCGCAGGCTCGGCTCCTTCATGGGCTCGTCCACGGACACCACTACCTCCCCATCGGTTGGCGAAGCTCGCGAATGCGCTCGGTGTGTCAACACCAGTTCCTGCTATCTATTCCGTCTCCTCCCCTTCTCCCAGCTATGCCCCTTCGCCGATCGTACCGAGCACCGCTGCCTCCTCCGCTTTCGACTTCAGGCGGTCCCCCACCCCGTCTGCAGCATCCGGGCACACGTACACGCCAGCCACGCAGACCTCCAAGTATCTTCTTCATGTCATGCCGCCAAATCATCTGCCCCACGAGTCTGAGACCTCTTACGACAACGAACTCCTTCCACCACCTCCGACGGCCTCAGGTTATCACGCGCAGTTCCGACGAGGTATCCTGGTCCCTGTCTACCCCACGCTCCAAAGCCAGCTCGCCGCCATTGCGAAGGAGTACGCGCTTCCGAGTACAGTTGGCCTCGTCCTGTACTTGATCAACTCCTCTTCCGCGGCGCAAGCCAGCATGCGGCTGGGCAACATGGTCGAAGACGAACAAGACGTCCCTGGTCCGAGACTTTCCGAGGATATTTGGAGACACATATGGGTGCGTGTCCTGAAGGCGGAACGCGAAGACATGCCTTCCTCGGCTGTGCGCACGAAGGGTCTCGGATTTGGCACTCCGGCCGCCCAGTCTTCGCCCTCCCTGCTGCAAGATGTAATGTCCAACCAGAACAGTTTGCGGCCACTCCTTTCCCCCATGAGGACGGAAACGCCGCAGCTGATAACGCCGTCGCCTTCTACCACCGCGTCGCACTCCGCGATCTCGTCCCGGTCAGATCTTGATTCTCCAGAGTCGACGACGTCTGTATCAGACGGAGACGGTGGTAACGGGGACGACGTGTCGCTTCCAGGGCTACACTCGCCTGCGCTGATTCCTATCTTGGCGAAGGTGGAGTTCGACATCGACAAGCGGAAAGCGACGTGGTACGATCGGTGGAAGCGGAGCAGGCGCTCACAACACGCCAAACGCGCGGAGAGTAGGTTGGATGTGCAGAGGCGGGCAGCGTCACGAGCGGGCGACGAGTCGGGCGCGGAAGAAGAGGGCGGGGAGGATGGGGAGCGGAGACCTGCGATGCCACTGCGCTTGGTGGACCGGCTGCAAGCTACGGCGAACACTCCGGTTCATTTGCGGCCCACGAATGGGCGATTGCTCGGGCCAGGTGCGGACGATGAAGATGAGTACGCGCAGCTGCCGGATTCAGACGGGGAGGACGAGGATGAAGGGGACGCGACGGCGCGGTACGGACAAGGGCACGTGAGTGGTGATCCATTGGCGGACGTGTTTGGCACGGATGCAGAGACGTGGGCGGACATGCGGGCTGAAAACGCATCCCAGAGGAACACCGTGAACCCGAACGTTGTCAACCTTGCACTCGACGGCGCAGCGCTTTCTGCGCTACCAGATCCGGTGGAGGACGGGGAGGAGATGCAGGCGCAGGATGACGCGGACGACATTGCGGAGCTACTGAGACGGAGTTCACGGCCGCAGCTATCGGTCGCGATACCGGCTTCGCCCCCACAGGAGGGACGACGAGCATCACAGGGTTCGGGGTTGTCGCGGAAACACGTTCCTCCTGCGCTGAACCTCGCTCCGTCCCTTCCTGGTGCTTCTACACCTGCTGATGACCCTGACGCAAATCTTGCGTATCTCCAAGATGAGACCACGCCTTCTTCCAGCGAGTTTGCAAAGACCGGTGATGCACCCTCGGACGGTGAGACAACCCACAAACCACGCCGGAGTCCGTTGGACGAGAAGCGCGAGGGTGTGTTCTACGACGAACTTAACCTCGGGCTGGAAAGCTCGTATGAGGTGACGCTGGCTGCTCAATTATGGGTGTACAGCCACTGACCAATGTTACAGTTCGACGAAGACGATCCGCACGACCGTCGGCGAAGCCAGGTACTGATGATGGCCAAGCTGGACGAGATCGAGCGGGTAAGGATATTTATGCAATTCGCTACCGACGTATACTGACAACGTGGCCTAGAATCTTGCCCAGTTCTCTCCTCGTCACATGGCGTTGGAGGACCTTGCGGCAGAGACTCCGACCGGGATGCCCTCAATCGCGAACAGTCTAACACCGCCGGCGTGGGGCAGGACACCGAGCGCAGGCCCTTCTCCGGCCCCAGGGTTCGTCCCTTCTGATTGACTCGCAATCGTTCGGGATACTGAAGGCTTGCGTAGGCCTGCGCCGGAAGGCGCCTCCTGGCCTGCCGTGCCGTATTCCGCCTTGTCCGTTATGAGCGGCGGCGGTGCCCCCGCAGGTTTCGAAGCCGCAGACGACCTCCCCTCTCCACCCCGCATTGCGTTCAATGGCATTTCGACCGATCTTCCGAAGTCGCCATTCCAGAAACGCACCACGATGGACGCCATGTCCGACGAAACGCTCGCGCGACAGCGCGAGTTGCAAGAGGAGCAGGATGCACTCTACCCTCCTCTTGTGGCCCCATCTCTCCTCCGTAACTCATCAGCAGATTCTCCCGTCATCCCACTATCCCCCGACCCGTTTGGTCGGTTTCCGTCAGACCTAGACAGCGTCCCGCCCATGCAGGAGGAGATCTCTGGCCGACCTCCCCCGGGGAGGAAGGCATCCGGTCTCCGTCACGCGCATAACAACAAGTCGTCGAGCGGTGTATCTGACGCACCGTCGAGTCGGTTCTCGATCGACTCTCTTGCCTCAGACGAGGTTCCAGCCACCCCAGCTCTCTCTGTGGCGGCGACAAAGAACCAGAAACCTGGGTCGATCATGAGTGTGAAGAGCATCAAGAAGCTATGGCGGCGGACGAACAAGTCGTCGGTCTCAGGTGCGGCTTCTCCTGCTGTCCCTGAGTCTGGGAGGTCGTCCCCGAACTCGGCGCCGGCGGTGGGTAAGCGGTCGTCGCGCACGATGTCGCGAAGCCCCCAGCCGGAACCGTCGATGCCACCACATTCCGCTCCCGCACTCGCGCCGCTCAAGCCGAAACGTTCGCTGCACGCCTTCCAGTTCGACCAGCAGTCCCCCTATCCGGTCCATCCACCACCGCCCCGCCAGCCTTCCCCTTCCATGCCGCCGGCGATGACGCCCCCGCTGCCCGCGTCTGCCCCTGCCGGGTTGATGCAGGGCGAGAAAGGTGCACGTAAGTCGATCCTGAAGTCTTTCAAGTCGCAATCGGGGAGCCTCTCAACACACTCGTCTTCCTCTTCAATCGGCCAGACTCCCCGCTCTAGTTCTGAGATGGTGCAAGAGACCCGGCGGCGCAAGGGCAGTGTCGTTGAGCTTGGGTCTGTTATGAAGCGCGCTTCGGGCGTCACTTCTTCGATGACACTCGTCGACATCCCGCGCAGTCCAGCACTCCCCGAGCACCTCGCCAGCCAGTCCCGTTCAAATAGCCGCCAGTCACAGCTATCGAACGCGAGTGGGCGCATATCCGTGACGTCGCGCCAGCGGCCAAGCATCTCCTCGACCGACTCCTCATCGTCCCGGGCACCCTCGCGGCTCATGGCGGGGGCGTCACCACCGCGGAACGGCTCCGCGCTCAGCGTGCCGCGCACGTCGGGCGACTCCTACGACAGCCGGCCAAGCTTGGACGAGTCGCAGTTCGAGATCGTCTCGCCGAAGCTCATGCCGTCGCAGGCGTTGTCGTATCCATACCACGCGATGGACAACTCGATGTCGTCGTCCGAGTAGTAGCGCGCGACGTGACTTTGCTTTCTTGATGATCATACGGCTCTCTCGCTCTGTCGTCCCCCAGGTCGCGGCCCCCAGCCTCGGATCCCCGTATATTTGGCCGCGGCGCGGCCCTATTCTGACCGCCAGCACCTTGGGTGCACACTTGCTTTGTGGGTTCCGCCGATGTAGCGTCGCTTTGTATATTCCTTACCCGTACCGTACCGACCCAGCATTACTACTATTCTGACCACTCCCGCTCTATCGATATCGCCGTCGTACATTTCCCCCGCACTGCACTCCCCAGTCGACATGTTTTATTAATATATTCCGCGAGTAGACCGTGCGTAGCACACGCGCAAAACAATACATGTTTCCCCGCCACGCGAGGTGAGGTCCAGCTAGATTGGGTGTGATGTTTGTGCGTATCTAGAAGGAGTGCTCGGTGGAGTCCTTGCCGACGGCGGACGTGCTCGAGGAGCCCGCGGAGATCGTGGTGAGGATGCGGTCGATGTAGTTCGCGCCGCTCCACTTCTGGTGCGTGAGCACGTCGCACCCGATCTCCTTCTCTTTCTTCTGGACGAGGTTGACGTAGGCGAGCATGCCCTCGGTCTTGTACTGCCGTGCGAGCTCCGCTGGAGGTGCGTTAGTGAACTGTATAAGACGATGTCCTCAGTGCGAGCGCCTTACCAGCAGCAACGGCGTTCAGGTGGAGGCCGGCGAGCGAGATGAGTTGGAGGACGAAGCTAAAGCAGAGGGTAAATTGTCCAGTAGCGAATGTGAATCAGGATGGTAGCTCACCCTTCCTTGCCGAGGTCCCAAACGAAGTTCTTCAGGTCCTGGTCCGAGAAACCTTGTCCGGCCCAGTTAAAGCTCGGGCTCAGGTTATACACGAACCACCTATATGCCACCAACGTTCAGCACCGGAGTATAGCAGCTATGTGAGAACAGCACGCACTTTCCAGGGTACTTCTCCCGGATCTTGCGCGAGAAGTAGCGCGCCTGCTCGAGGTCGGGTAGCTTTGTCTCTAGCCAGATCATGTCCGCGTAGGGCGCGAAGGCGAGCTCGCGTCGGATAGCGGCCTCGACGCCTCCCGTGTAGTGGTAGTAACCCTCGCGGGTCTTGGGCACTGCGGACAGTCAAAACTGCTACTGAAGCGCTGCAGAGGGTATAAGCTTACAGTCCCAGTCCCAGAAGATGTTCTCGCCGAGGATATCCTTGGCGACGTCCCGTGCGTCCGCGTTCGACTTGCCGTGCACCGCTTCGAGGTAGGCTTTCAATGCGCCCTCCTTGTCAGCGACGCTCGACTTCTGCAACGCGTGTTCGAAAGCTGCATATGCCCTCTCATTAGCAAGATCGCCCAACGTTAATCAGCGAGTCAGCCGACCTTCATTGAACGTGCAAAGCGGGTTCCGCGCCAGCCAGTCCGCCTCAAGCGTGTCAATCTCCGCGCCGGTCTTACCCTCCGCCTCCGCGGCAGCAATCACCTCCGCAAGGGCACGGTCAGGCGTGCTGATACCACGGATGAACTCGTGGTCAAGCGTGTCGACGGTACTCGAGAGCAGCTTCGCGGACTCGGCGTCCGTGCGCGCGATGAGCAGCATCGTGGACTTGAGCAGGTCGAGCTGGAAGCGCGCGGCGATGAGGCGCGCGACGTGCGCGGACGCGGGGACGAGCACTTTGCCCGCGAGGTGCCCGCACTTCTTGCCGCCGACGAGCTGGTCTTCGAGATGGATCGCGGAGGCTCCCTGAGGGATGAGCAGAAAAACGTTAGCCTGCGTATGTCAGACAAGCAAGCAGGGGACATACCGACTCCGCAAAGAGCTTAGTCAGTTTCATCACGGTAGACTGACCACCGTGTCTATAAGTTTAGGATACCTTTGGGTCAGTCCTCTTACGGTCGCGGCTCGTTCGAACGAGCAAGATTATTCACCCCATGTCTGCATCTGCAATGATAGGCCGCAGATAGTCAACGTAGGGCACCTTCGCGCGGGCCTCTGCACCGATAGTCCACCGTTCATCATAGTGCTTCTTGTCATGCAACTGCTGTGCGCGGAACAGCCGGTGAACCTGGTTTGGCACCGTAGTATAAGGGTAGTCTCTATTGCGTATGTACATATATGAGTGTGTAGTAAACTTGACGATGATATCTCTGCGCACCCCAAATCCGGACCGACTTCGTTATTCCCGGTCGTGAGCACGCTCGAGGCGGCCCAGCCACTGACATATACGACCTCTTGATGCGGCGCCATCTGGGTCATCTGCACAGGGTCAATCGCGCCCATGGTATGCACTGGCTTCCCCTCCGCATGTGCCTTCTCGAAGAGCGAGTAGAGCTTGTTTGCGAGGAGGGTGGAGGGCAGTGGAAGGACGGGGAAGGAGCCCTGCTTCGACGCGACCTGCGCTGCGGTGTATGGACGCTTCAGAGAAGCAAAGCGGGGGTGGTTGAAGAACGTCTCCATGTCTGCTACCCGAGCCTCAAACGCCGCCGTCTCTTCCTCCGCAGAGGGCGGGGTGAGGGGGAGGGCCGGGGTGGAGAACTTGAGCGAGCTCATCGCGCGGGACCCAGATGGGAGGAAGCGGGCTGGGGCTCGGAGGGTTGTTCGTAGCATGCTCGACATATCAGTGAGCAGCGCGTCGTATACCCGTCCTCAGTCAAGATGGTGCACGAACAGAGGGAGGGGTGGTGGTCGAGAGGATGGTGAGCTCGCGGTACTTACCCCGCATTACTCCTCCGGCTATTTCGGAACGGGGACGGATCCGGGGTCGCGCGCAAGCGCTTATTAGTACCCCGCATTCTCTTCGGCCGTGCCATGGTCGCACTGTTCGGTCGAACTGTCTTACAAAACCCGGTCCATGTCCATTCGTACGAATCACAGTAGCACTAGTATACAGATGTGCAAGACCCGCGAGAGCATACAACAAACAACAGAAAAAACAGGTGATTCCATGTGCAATCCCCGACACGCGACTGAGACGTTCACAACTTTGCCGGGTTCTTCCATGACGGTTTGCGTTTCTAAAGAGCATATGTCAGACGTGAGTTAGCATGAGTAATCAGTTGCACTACTGACCTGGATAAACGCCTGGAGGCCCTCCTGTATTCCGAGGACCGCAATGTCAGCGGATTACACTCAGTTGGGTCAGGTGTACTACCGCACCTGGATGTTCTCGCTCGTGAAAGCGCGCTTGCTTTCCTTGGACTTTATGTGTGCGACGACGGCGTCTTCTATGCTTCCGTTCCGGCTAGCGAGCAACAGAGCGCGCTTCGTGCTTTGGACAGCGTCCGGACTGTTCGCGTTGATCTCCGCGGCCCACGCTAGCGCTGTCGAGAGCACTTCGCCTTGTGGTACGACCTTGTTGACACTGCGAGGAAATTAGAGCGGCACTGACAATGGAGACGTAAAACTTACAAGCCGAATCTCTTCGCAGCGTCTTTTGCAGTAATGGTCTTGCCAAGGAGCAGCATCTCGCTCGCAAGCTGATGTCCGGCGGTCCGAGACAGCCTCGGCATGCCTGATGGAAGCCGGCAGCGTCAGTAAATGCGTGCATCGGGGGGCGTAATGCCGGCCCACCTCCTTGCACCGCGACGACCCCCCGCTTGACTTCGGGGAGTGCGAACTTGGCGTTCTCGCTCGCCACGACCAAGTCACAGTTGAGGATGGTCTCGACTCCTCCGCCGTACGCACCGCCGTTGACCGCGGCGATGATGGGCTTGCAGGTGGAATACCGCCTTGAGACGGAAGCGAAGCCGTCCACGTTGTCGATGATGCTCTGCTGGTCCGACTCGGCCCCGCCGCTGGCCTGACGTTTGTTCCACCTTCGCGAAGACGTCAGTCCTGTCCCCGAATAGACTGCATTGCACTTCTGCTCACGCAACGAGATCGGCGCCAGCGCAGAAAGCGCGTCCTTCGCCCGTGATAATTGCGATCCTGCGCCCCTGAGGTGAGTACAGAGAGTTGGGACATACGCAGGCCACTGCTACCATAGACTGGGCTCGTTGTCAAACCAGTCGAGCACGGCCTTGATGTCAGCCGTCATCGTAGGGGTGATCGCATTGAGCGACTTGGGACGGTTCAAGGTGAGGAGGATGACATGTTCCTGTGGGAATGCGACCTTGATCTCATTCGAGTAAGAGGGTGGCTGCAGTGACGTTCCGTGTGCCATAGTGCTACAGAGTGTACAGCGAGGTGGTGGTAGGAGGAAGAGGTCGTGAGCGAGCGTCCTTGGCAGGATGGATTCACAAGGATATCATAGACATAGCAATATAAGCGGTGGCTGCGAGCCGGCAGACTGTTCTCCGGACAAGAAGCTTGCGAATAGCCGAACATGGCACGCTCACCAGGGTCAGTTGACTCCGGTCCGCGGACTTTGTTCCTCGACTCCCCGAGTTCGGGTTAGGGTCTCTGGGCGCAAACTACTTAAAGTTATATGGGCGAGCGAGGTATCTAGCTCGTATCGTACAAATGAACACAAAAATGGATTCATCGCGTTCATTGCTTGCGTATTGGCGCTATACAGAACTCCCATGTGCGATCCTCTCCCCCCTCTCCCGTCTTGCCCGTTCCATGGGCTCGCTCGCCCTTGGTCATGCGGTGTTCATAGTCTTTCCAGGCTGCTCGATGGAACACGAACGATCGTAGCTGTTTGTATCGTGGATTGGGTTCCTCGCCAGTCGTAGTCGGTAGAGGAGGATTTTTTGCGAGCTTGGGAACGTCCCTAGAGAAGTGCGTCAGAAAGACGTACTGGGCTCGTAAAACAAGTAGGTGCTTACCACAACGTATACGGAGCGACATTACGCAGAGTGATGAGAATGGTGCCCCTGTTCCTGCGGTCCGTGTCAGCTGTATCCTCGGCCTCGTCTTCCTCCGGGCCATCATCGTCGGGATCTCGTTTCCGCTTGCGAGACTTGTTTACGACGGGGATGGGTCCCTTTGTGAGGAACGGCGCGGCGGAGCGCAGAAATCCGAGCAGCAACAGCTGGTTGGAGAGGATGTTACGGTCCTGGTCGGCGATGCCTTTCCCTATTTTACAAGCAGTTTTATCAATGGACGGACGCAAAATGAGAGCGAAGGCCTGTACAGACCTGCGTGAGGAAAGTTCCACACAATACGGTCAAACGTGCGCTCCTTCAGTGCGGAGACTTTTTCGAGTTTTGTAGCGTCGACACGGAAAAGCACAATGACGCCTTTTTCTCGTAGCGCCGCGACGATCTCCTTGGCCTCAGGATACTTTGCATAGCACTCTTCTTCCGAATCGTAGGCTGTTGCGATGATATTCGACGCCGGGAGAAACTCAAGCTCCGGCGGAGGGTGTAGCGCAAGCGCGCGCGCAAACGAGAAGTTCCCCTCTCCTATGAGCAAAATGTTGTCCGTGGCGGTGAAGGGGATGGTCGGGCGCAGAGGGGCCGCCTTCCCCTTCTCCTTCGCCTTCGCCTGCACGACGGCCTTGATGCGCTCCTCGTGCTGCGCCGCATGCTCGACCTCCTTCTTCTTCTTCAGCCGCGTCTGCTGCGACGCGAGCGCGGCCTTGAGCGAGCCCTTCTTGCCGCCTTTCGCCATGCTGATCGGGGGAGGCGAAGAGAGAGGCGTTGTTTGCGCGTGTTTGAAACGGAAGCCGCAGGCATACACGGCCAAACATCCGAGCGCGCCGGAGAGCGCGCGCGCGGATACGTGGCGCGCACCGAACTCAGACACGTCCGTACGCCATATATACCCTCCTCAGCTGCGGATACACGCCCCTCACACACACACTCAGTCGCTCCTTTACCCACATCCCCTTGGAACCGCGCATTTGCCATGGTCTGTCTATGTGAATGCCTGCTATGCCTGCTGGGAGACTGACAGATATCGCACACCGACAGCCTACCGAATTCGAGCTCCGTAAGCGGAACAGCCAATTCGCGGAGAAGGCCCGCGCTGGCAAGAACCCCATCAAGCCGTCGCGCCAGGACCGGCTCTCAAAACGCAGCCCAGTGAGCATCTGGGCCCTTGGTATCATCCTGTTCGTCGTATTGGGAGGAGGTACGTCTTCGATAGTATGGGGTACCGGGTGAACGAAACTCACCGGCCGTATACGCACAGTCATCTTCGAGCTCCTCCGTCTATTCTTCCTGTGATCGCTTGGCAGGAGAAGACGCGCTTCGGAACGAGGGATCCTCGTTGTATAACAGACATGCTTGGTTGTAACTTATGCTTCACACCTGCCACTAGTCAGATCACCCCGTAAACACATCGTCACTTCAACGCAAGCAATTCCGGAAAGCACGGGTGCGTACAATTCGAGCGGGAATGATGATACACGACAACACATCTCGGGCGCGGTTAGCACAGTGACCAGTCTCATACAGTATTGCAACATGTCCCTCAAGCAGTCGATGCCGAAGGTCCTGCGATGTCCGCATCCGTCTCACCATCCCCAATCTCGATGCCCTCCATAGCCTCCCCCTCGAGCTCCTTTTCGTCGATCCTGACCTCGTCTCCCGCCCATATCCGCATAGTGGGCTGCCAAATCATGACGATGTTGTCCTCCGAGGTGCTGCCGGCGGACCAGCTTTCTGCCTCACCAGGCGCCCAGCAGAAGTCCGTCGGGCGAGCAGTGTGACCTGTACAACATTATTGAGTAACAATATTGATCGTACATGGCTCGAGCTTACCTCCGTGCACGAAGAGGAGTTCAGGCGGGCCATCCTCTTGGTCATCCGGAGTTTGCTCGACGCCAATCTGTGAGATATCCCAGACGTTGACCCTACGGTCACTCGATGCGGAGGCAAACACGGTCGGGTTGTGTGGTGACCATGCGACGTGAAGGACCTCGTCTGTGTGCGCCTCGAAGATGTGAACAGGGACGTCAAGCTTACGCCTGTCGCGTAATTGAATGGTCTATAGCATTGTTAGTACCAACAATATGATTAATGGCTAGTTCCGTACATACCTTGTCAGCACTACCGGTGAGAATGAGGTGGGGGAAGTCGACATTTGGTGTAAACGCGACCGCAAGGATCTCCCGGTCATGAGCTTGTAGTTGCGCAGCGGGCTTGGCCGCATCGCGAGTGTCCCAGCTGAATCGGATCATGAGCAACGGAAGACATTGCTGGACATGACCGCCAACATACAGCATCAACATCTTATCGTCTCCTACACTGGCGAAGGTGTAATCTTCGGTAGCATGCCAATCTACGTCCTGCGGGTGACCCAATTAGACAGACATAATAAGGCATTTGACATAACTCACTCCTACGACAGACGTGTGTCCTCTGAAGACATTAGTCGGCTCGATGACGGCCTTGGTTTTCGAGTACGAATTGATGTCCCTGACAGCTCCTTCAATGACGGCACATTGGCACGGATTGGATGCGAAGTCTCACCAATGGCATACGGTGGTATCCTCCGACGCGCCCAGGACATGACCGGCCTTGAGAGGGCTCCAAGCCAACCCGTATCTAGCACTGACTCAGCTTCCCGACCCACAAGGCATCTGGGAAGTGTATTTACCCTTCCTTTGTCTGGCCCACAAGCCGGATGTCAGGTTTGCACACGCCACCACGTTCCGGCTCGCTGGAATGCTTCGTCCTGTCGAAGATGAGCACTTCACCGGAGACCGCTTTGGTTGCAATGAGGTCAGGATTCTGAGGCATATAACGCGCTCTGTTCACTTCGCCCTCATGATTGATTTTCTGAATAATCTGAATGCGGGGCTGGGGAGGGATTGTGTGACCACCGAGCTCGCCGCGCTCGTCGTCGTAGTCTGCACGGTCAAGCCTATCTGCTGACCCGCTGTCGTCGCGCTTCGGAAGGTGTACGGTGGCGATCTGGAGGTAGTCTTGTGCTTGCCCGGACGTGTGCGTCCCGAGAAGCAGCCGGTGGACAGTGTAGGGCTTGTTCGCAGGCCTGAATCAGGGTGAGCGAGATGGCATCGCGAGGCGCTGAGATAACACGCACGACTCCTTGTCCGGGAACCACTGACACGTCAGACTGGGCCAGTCAAGCGCATGCGTAATGACAACATCGTACAGGTATGGTGCGTTCTTCTTCCTGTTGCACGAACGTGAGCACCGGTGCGGCCGGATTCGCGGGGGACTTACCAAGTTTTGTACTCCTTATGGCATTAGGTTCGTCAGCTGTAGCTCTATAGAGTTATGGGTACCGTGCAGATATACCTCGTTGATCAACTTGTTCTCTTCCTCTGCGGCAAGGTCATCCTCCAGCTCCTCCTGCATAGGCGGCTTCATGATACCAGTGAAATTACAGACAAGAAAAGAGCACTAGGCGTTTGGACGGCAAGGGCTGCGAGCCGAGGGCGTTTGCGGGGCACAGGGAGTGAGTGGCGGAAGGAGACAAGCCGACCTCGCTCGACCTCGACTCGGACGGCGTTCGCGTCGCGTCACAGACGCGTTCCACAAGTACGTCACAGATCACGCGTCACGTCCGCCAGAGACTGTCTGAAGCTCTCGGTTTGCACCGGAAACTTGTGCGGGAGCAGTACATAGCTCACAGATCCTGTGCATACAAACCTGACATTCCACACATGAATAGCATCAGCCGTGCGCGATGATACGGGTGTCAGGAAGCACAGAATTATGCATAACGGGGCCGTGCTGGCGGGTAGGTGCCACACTGGCGCAGTAGAGTAACATACTGGAGGCAACGAGACCGCGAGCATCAGGGGACGGGATTTGCCCATGAGTAGCCGGGCCTGTTCTAGTAGCGGAGCACGGCGTAGTCTTATCCGGAATAGGCCTGCATTCTAGGTGGGGATATACAGACAGCGTCCACGTTACTTCGAGTCCGCCTCCCACTTGGCAATGAGCTTCTCAAGGTCGAACTGAGGATCTTCAGGGTTGGTGATAACTATTAGGGAAAGGGTAAGCATGACATGACACCATGGTAGACGTGACCGACGCTTGGCCGTGCACGGTGCAGAGCGGAAGGTTTGCAGAGTACAGGGAGAAACAGCATAGTGATAGGCAGGAAGAGCGACTCACCACCACCCTTGGGGCTCTCTTGCTTCTTTTTCCATGCCTCCTTCGCCTCAGCAATCAGGTGCTCGCGTTCGTGGATCGCGTGCGACTTGACATCGGCGTCATGAGCCTTTTGTAGTGACCGGCGGTGCGCAATACCATAGAAAACGCCACCAAGGAGAGCGGTGTACCGAACGACCTATACGGAGGTCAATACACACGTCGCAAAGAGGTTGCGACGACATACGTTGACCGTAGTGGAAGCCATTCCGACCGCGATAACCTGAGCACTAACGAAGGGAGGGGGGAATCACCTAGATTAAGCAAATATGTGTTAGCTCAATTACACCAATCATTTCTGCATGAAAGCAACCGCAAGACTCACCAGGAGGAGGACAGAAACGGATGAAGAGCCCGTGAGTGTTGCTTGCCTGGGCGGATGTCGGGCGGGAGGAACAGGATGCGTGCTGACGTAATCGGAGGGCTGCACAATTTGGGTCAGCGGTGTCCGGGGGTAAGCCTTTCGCTGCCCTGGCGGAGGGACACACGACACCCTTTACCGCCGCTTCAGCGCGGTGTGGCGCTCACGCTGGAATGCTTCACGAAGCTGTGGATGGTCGTTCGCCCCCTCAACCCACTCTCAGCATAGCCAGACTTCATCTCTGTCACTAACTGCCTCTGGACCGCGTTCGCGTCTAAACGAGAACCGAGATTTGGATCAACTCAAACCGTGAACTTCAACCACCACACCTCTATACGTTGCCTTCTGGTCAGAAAGCCTTTCACTACGCTCACAAAGCTGCGTTGTCTGACATGAGCACCCCCTAGTATCAATCAGAACTCTCTACCGACTGTCGAAATGGCCGAAGACATGGATATGGACGCGCCGCAAATCTCAACCTTGCGGGAAGAGACAACACCAGAGCCGCACCCGGCTCGATCCAAATTCAAGCTCAAGCTCCTCGTAGCTGAAAAGGGAGAAGGCTCTAAGGCTGGTTCTACGTCAAGCAAACATGCGCGAGCCGACAGCGAGGAGGATGACGAGGACGAGGATGAAGACGAGGAGGACCAACTCATTGACGACGACGATGATGACGTCCCCAAACCCGCCCCCGCTATACCTCTTCCAACGGCAGTTCCTGCAAGAGGCTCCCCTGCAAAGCGAGGTTCGCGCGGACGCGGAGGTGGCAGAAGGGGTCGTGGTGGGAGAGGGGCTGCATCCGCGCCTGGACCTGGCATAGGGTTCTTCGAAACAACCCCGTCAGAATCGACCTCGGCTCAAGAACCTCGCGCTGAGGTCTGGGATCCAATGTCGACTGACCGCCCCTTCACGCAATCCATCTCCGCGGGACCTCCAAAGAAGAAACCTGGCCCGCCCAAGGGCACCGCGGCCCAGCGGGCAATTCGGAAGAAACCCTCTAAGTGAGTGTGTCTCTACGCACGCTCTTTCGACTTCTAACATGTCTATCACGATATTTTAGAATTGCCAAGGGTGCTGCTTCTTTGATTAAGGACGACGCAGACAGCGTTAGCGAAGGTGGGTTAATCAGTTCAGTTTAACTGCTTAACCTATATTCATTCGCTTGTCTCTTGTATAATAGCTTACGCTGGAACGGCGCCCTCATCTCCAACACCCCATGAAGGCTCCCCCGAGCCTGACATCCCGCTATCCTCTCTCATGACACCAGCAGTGCACATCGACGACGCGCCGCTTGAGGGTGTCCCTCTCCCTGTATACCCCTTGCCCTCAAAACCCTTCCCGGTGCAGCCGCCACCGAAGATAGCTTCTGGATTCGCACCCGTCATCCCCCTTGACAAGAGTGGGAAGCCTGTGCGACGGTGGCGACAGGTTCATCGGGAAGTACGAGGTATTGCTGGAGGCCGCTGGTTCATCAAGAACTGGGTTGGGGAGAAAGAGTCCGACTTTGCCACAGCCGTGGCCGCATCCCAAGCGGCCGCCTTGAGTGCTGCCGGGGACAGTGCCTCTGTCGCGGGTCTAACGTTGCCGAAGCTGTCTTCTGTCTCCGTTTCCGGCCGCGGTAGGGGAAGAGGTGGGAGGCTCGCTCACGACTCCTCCCGCGCTGGGTCCGCGATGCCGGACACCCTCTCTGCGCAGCTCGCAAAAAAGCGAGGCAGTGGTCCCGGTACCCCTTCGATCGAAATGCCTCCTGTTGCGGTCTCCGCTCCCCCAGCACCCCTGTAGGTGTTCATCTCTGTTTCGACCCCAGCTTTTGTAGACATGCTGTCTCTATGTTCTGTAGTACAATACGTGTATTTTTGCTTGTAATGTCAGCTCTACGTGTTACATGGACATATATATCCGGTTCAGGTCCGCCACGCAGTAGTAGCAGTAGCGCCCGTGTCATCGCGCGTGGGCGCGCGAGTCGCTGCGCCGCACAGAGCTCAGCCACTCCTCTCGTCCGCGTACCCCTTTGAGGCATCGGCGAACTGCCGTCTGTCTTCTGTGCCATATGTCTGCTGCTAGTTCACCTAGGGTTGGTAGTGTAGATCCGACTAAACGAGGCCCTCCATGGTACGCTCTACGCGGTGGTGACGGCAGTAAGTCGCGCTTGTAATACCTCGCGTGCGTAATGGTCTGACTGAGTGGGTGAATCTGTAGCATCTACACCGCCTGCATATGCGGCGGATCCGAAGTACAAGAAGTACACTCAGCAAGTGGAGAAGTGCTTAAATTCATTCGAGAGTGTGCACGAATGGGCGGATTTCATCGCGTTTCTGAAGCAGCTGCTGAAGGTGCGTATGCTATGGCCGCTCCCACAAGCGACGCGTATAACCGTATCTTTGCTCTTGCTAGACCCTCCAATCCTACCAGCAGTTCAAGGAAATCCCGCGCAAAGTTGTGGTCTCCAAGCGGCTTGCACAATGTCTGAACCCGGCTCTACCTAACGGAGTGCACCAAAGAGCGCTGGATGTATACTCGCATGTCTTTGCGGTTCTCGGGGTGCGTCCTATGCCAAATGTCTGTATGCCGTACCCCCTTACCTTGTTGGCGTAGTCCGAAGGCCTGCAGCGGGACTTGGCTCTGTGGTCGTCCGGCCTGTTCCCCTTCTTCGAGTACGCATCTACTGCCGTCAAGGTGAAGCTCGTGCCTCTCCAGAATTGTACTGCGCACTTATTCCCCTTGTTAGCCCACTGTCCTCAATCTATTCGACACAAATTACCTGCCACTACAAACCGGACTTCGCCCCGTCATGAAAGCCTTCATCCTCGCGTTGCTGCCCGGGTTGGAAGAGGAAACGGGAGAGTACTTCGACAAAGTTCTTGGACTACTGGACCGTCTTGCCGGCACGATCTCGCAATCCTTCTTCTTCCAGAACATCTGGCTCGTCATGCTAACCACGCCGCCTGCTCGCGGGACAGCATTGACATATCTTGCGAAGAGACTACCCCCATTCAAGGCGGACGAAGGTGAGCTTATATGAAATTCTGTTAATTTTGTGATATTTGATTCATGTGGAAGTTAATAGACATCACCCCGATCGTGGGCGACGACATCGGACTCATGATTCGCGCATTCTCCGCCGCGCTGGAAGACGACGACTTGCTCGTGCGACGAGCGGCCTTGGACATCTTGCTCCAGTCGTTACACATCGACGGCATTGCTGTCAAGAAGGCGCAAGAAGACGACCGGGCTATCCTCATGCGCGCCGCCACTAGCGTGGTACTGCGTCGTGATCTCGCGCTAAATCGTCGCTTGTTTGCTTGGTTGCTGGGGCCGTCGGAAAGTAACACGGCGCAGCTTGAGTACTACAAAACGCATTCTCTGGGTCTATTAAGTTCCACACTCAGGGTAACATCAATTCTCTTGTAAGACAGGCCCTATGCTCACAATCCTGTAGAACGAGATGTTCTATCCTTCTCAGGAGTACTCACAATCCCGGCCGTTCAAGATCTTCATCTCATTGCTGGATAAATATGAGATCGGGCTTCCTTTGACTGAAACTCTCGTCTACGACGCCCTCAAGAGCCTTAGGGCACTTCTTCAGTCCGGAACAGATTCTGGTGATGATGTTAGACATCCCCTCTCGAAAGCCACGCATGTGCGCTGACGCTTACATTTACAGCTGTCTATGACCGGCAGCACTCTCTATGAAGCTGTTGAACCGCACGCCCTATGGAGCCGTCTTCTTAGCGTCGTACTATCTGACATCACTTCCGGACAGCCTAACGGCGAGGTACGGCTTGATTGTCGTTCGCCACTGGATATCGAGCTGACTGTAACATCTATAGGGATGTGGAATGGTCCAGTATCTCCTCCAACGATTCCATGCTCATGATGAGGAAATTGAGATCATCCATCTACCTGTGGTCTTCAGTGCCATCACTAGCGTCATCACCGTGAGTCGTCTCGTTATGTCGAAAGTCTGTGTCTAAATCCGCGTTAGGCCCATGCGAAGGATGATGCATCATCATTTCCCGCCGCACTGAACGCACTCCCTCTGCTACGAGATATCTTGGAAAAGATCCCTCAAGGCGCCCTCAAGTCGCGGCCCGTTCTACCTGGCCAGGCGGAGTCTCCACAATCGGATGAGGATGCAGTTATCTTTGCGTACAGGTTCTACGGCATCAAGCTGGAGCCTCCTTCCGTGAACGCAAAGCGTTCCGACATCCCATTCGTTGTGGCCTTCGAAGATGTAGTCTCCTTGAGCAGTGCCGCCGCGAACGGCCTCCTCGATGGACCTGCAGACCCCCGCCTTGCTCGGTCACAGCGCGATGTTCTCCTGCTATCACTGTCCCTCTTGGATATGCTACTGAGTCGACAAGAGGACGAAGGAGATGTTACCTTCGCTGTCGACTGGAATCCTTCTGGTTGGCTTTCTACGTTGCTCGCCTGCCTAGCCCAGACGGTATGTACCGACTCTGGCTAATGTCCGTGTGGGCCATACTGAGGGTTCCACATTCAGAACGTGGCCTTCGTGACTGTGGACCGCTTCATCACAGTTGCGACCAAGATTCATCAGAGAAGTGCGCTGCAGCCAGGTTTCAAGTTGGACCAGCGTGTGTACATGGTACCGATGATCAACGTCGTGAGTGCCTTGAAACACTCTGACAATGATCGTGTGCTCAAGTTGATTTAGCTCCTCAAATATTTGCGACCTTCCTACTCCGCATATCATATGCGTGCAGTGAACCTCATCTGGTCATTGGAGAGGCTCAGCAAGCAACCGCACGTCGAGGCAGTCATCTCGCAAAGTCTTTCTGCTACACAACCCGCTGAGCTGCAGGATGCTTGCGAGGCGTTTGGCGTCCTGTGGAGATTGACTGGTTTGTAACCTGATATCATTTTGCGTGTCGTTGATTAACCTGGTGCTGCAGAGGATAGCACACTGCCCGGTGTGCACCTCAAAGTCCCAATGATGACCTTGCTGGAGACGCTTAGAAGCGACGACCCCAAGCTACGTCGTATAGGCGAGACATGGATGCGATGCAGCCTGAAGTCCTACTTGCGGTGAGCTCCATTTTCGATGCCCAGACGTGACATCTCATTTTCTCATAGCGTGCTAGACCCCATCCTCTTCGACTTGTTTGATCCCACAATCCGGTATAGTCCATCGACAACGGAGCTGAGGGGCAAGCAACTCCAAGGCTTCGTATATGACCGCCCATTCGATCAACGATACGTCAACTATCTGCTGGAGACCCTATTTTCCGTCGTCAAATTCGGTGGCCAGGGATTCAGTAAAATCGCTAGGACTACGCCTATCAGCCGCTCATTATATGGCACCCTTCTCCAACGCTTGCAGAGCGGTATGTTCACCGTCGCCCGGACCGCGGTGTCATGCTGATTCTGTATAGTGAGCGCCACATTCCCAGATGCGACTTACATGGACATCATCGTCTCGCAGCTGCTTATGCGGTGAGTAATCAGTTTTCTTTTAACATCATGCGTCCAGCTGACCGTCCGCCGAAGAGTTCTCCAATCCGAACCGAAGTCGTCTTTGTTACCCACCATGCAGCCCTTCCACATCGTGACCCAGAACCTCTCGGTGGATCTCCTACAAGCACTTGTCGCTCGTGGCGAAGTGGACTCAATCACACTCCAGTCATTAGAGTCAGCAGTAGTCCAGAAGCTGTACTTCTGCGTCCACACCGGTCGTCTGGATCTGCAGAACAAGCTGCTGCACCTCCTCCACTCCGTCATCACCGCGTCAATCTCTGAGGGGCGTGTAGCTGCGCAGGTAGAACGTGGCGCGGATGGTATCAGTCTCCAGGACTCACCAATCTCAAGACGAGAATCCCATGCCGTCCACCCGTTGCTAGTTCAAACCCTTGTCGATGGTATCTCCACGCCATCGAATCGGTCTCTGCTACAGCATTGGCTGGACTTCATCATGATGACGGTGCCCCAGTTCAAGGAGACTCTGAGGGCCGTCGTCACGCCGCTTTCCGACTGCGTCTGCAGACAACTACGGCTAGCACTGGGAGAAATCCTGGAGGCCTCGGCGGAGGGGTCCCAGAGCGACGACATTGTGTCATACACAACCGACGCAGACTTCCTCATGCTACTCACGACTCTGGAGCGTCTCACCCTCCTCAGCATGACTCGCGTGGCTGGAGAACAACCACAGGAGGAGGAACAATCGGCGGATCGGAGTACGCAAGAGTCAAGTGGGCTTCTCGGTTATGTTTCGAACGTCTTCAGTTCGGAGGGGGTGACCAGCGCGAACGAGGATCCTTCTCTGGTCAGTTGTCTATTACCTCAGTTCGATCAGAAACCTGACACCTCTATTTCGCAGACGAGGTCTTCAGATCATCGTTGTCTGCACAACGCCGTGCGCGTGCTGTATGCAATGTGGGACAAGCTGAGCATCCCACAAGACGACCGGTGGGGATCGCAAGAGGAGTCCCTGGTGTTAATCTACGGCCGTGCAAAAACCCGCACCAAACGCGTCCTCGAACACCTTTTCCGGGCACATTCATCCGAAGTCCTGGAAGCCGTGGTCGACTGCTGGCACGACCAAGTTCTTGTGAGTGTATAATTACATGTCTGAAGAACATTGCTGAGTAGGTTCGCAGGCGAGACCAGACAGTGTGGAGACCTCAACGGCGTACGACCTCGTCGACGTCCTCACGACGAGCGCTCAGAACGCTGTTCACATGCTGTGTGAGAGCATCTCATGCCGAACACCCGGCCTCTTGGAGCGCACCAAGAAGACTACCGCGCTAGCCGATCTGTGAGTGGTATCGAGGTATTTGCAGCCTTGCATACTGAATGGATTTTACAGGTCCGACATGACCTTGTTTGACTTCCTCGAGCAATACATGAAACGGTTGGAGGGTCCCCTAGCACTGCAAGTCTGGAATCGCTTCCTCCAGCTAGCAAAGGACCTGCTCGTGTCTCTGCGCGAATTCCGCCCACAAGCGTTTGCAGCTCTGAAGTGAGTCAATCGCACGTGCGATAAATTTTTTCTAACTAGTTTTGCTGCAGATGTTTCACTGTTCTTGCGGACAAGGTATCGCAAACGACAGCACTGGACGATCGTCGGCTTCGCAAAGACCTGCAGGTATTATGATCGTGCCTCGAGACTGATATCGTGTCTGACCTGGAGCGACAGGAAACATATGGCAAATTGCTTGATATCTGCGTGTTATCGGGCAGGTCTGTGGAATCCGGCTCGTGGATACGAAGATCACAACGAGAGGCCCTCGCCGCCAACGGCCGAGAGTCCCCTTCACCCACGTTGCGAGGTATGGGCATTCATTACAACCTGCCTGCACAGAACTGAACATTCATTAAAGCTCCGGAACCCAAGGTGGACGAGAAGAACGCCAGCACTGTGTCATTACCTCTCCCGGAAGGCGCAAAGTCCAGCTTCGGCGGTGACGTCGCCCAGCAAGTTAACGTCTACATTGCGTCCGATGCACTACCCAGCCTGCGGAAGTTCCTTGTGGATTCGGACAAGATCCTGGCGGCGTGCAATCAGATCGTCTACAACATCGTGAATCCTGCGCTCAAGGGGAAAGCACGGTACGCAGTCCTCTATCATGTGCTCTGAGCGTAGACAAACTTCTTTGTTGTAGACCTCTGGACCTAGAGGAAGACGTAGTGGCTATCATTCGCGAGATGGCGAAGATCAGCGTCGCTGTGAAAGCGTGGCGCACACCAGTCGCCGAATCGCTCAACGATAACAGGTGCTTCAACTCGACCGCAGAATCCGGAGAGCAATGGATGCCAATGATCAAGTCCTTCTTTGACACCGACAGGACCGCACTGCCAGAACTGCTAGGTATGTTGCTTCACTTCCTCACAATGTCAGGCGTCTAACTGGTCACAGGCAAGATCACAACCGCACCTTCGGCTAATATCTTCACGAACCGAGAGTATGAGATGCTGCTCCGATCGCTCAATCTTCGGCGACTGTCCTACGTCATTCTTTCCGCGGAGAAGAACCACTTCCTTGCGCACCTTCCGAGCATCCAGGAGAAGCTTGTGGACACTCTTCGCAACGTATCGGCACCGATCGTTCAGAGCGAGGTCTATCTCTGCGTCCGGGTCTTGCTATGCCGTCTATCACCGCACAACCTGTCCAGCTTCTGGCCAGTGATCTTGACCGAGCTTGTACGTGTTCATGGTTTTTTCGGGGAGTGCCCGTCTCACAATGGGTACACAGTATCGCATCTTCGAGCAGATCCTCGACAATGTCCCGGGCGATGGCTCCGAAGAACTCGGCCTGATACTCTCGGCCTGCAAGCTGCTAGACCTGCTTTTGGTGCTGCAGACGGAGGAGTTCCAGATGTGAGTGCTTCCTCAACGTGTGTGAAGCTGTAGACTAACTGAATAAATAGTCATCAATGGATCTTCATCACGGACACCGTCGATGCGGTCTACCGACCGGACGACTGGTTCCCAGAGGCCCTCCTGGACCGTCTCGCCGAGGTCGTTGGTGCGCTCCCAGCCGGCGAGGTACGTTTTTCCCGTCCAAACATACCTTCATATACTGATGCCGCTCGCAGAACACGGTCCCGCGCTCAGCGGCACAGGCCATGACACCTTCCGTCCCGAGCAAACCAATGCGTCGGCCGATTCTGCACACCCTGCGGCAGATCGACAGCGTGCGCGACCTCGTGCCGTTCTTCTCCTCCGCGAGCATGACGTCGTACGAGAGCGTGTACCACAGCGGTGGGCTCGTGGACTGGCAGGCGGTCGAGCGCGGTCTGCTTGAGGACTTGTTTGAGGGACGGTGATAATGACTGAGTGAGCTCGAGCGGAGAGAACTGGACTGCGCCGATTCGGAATCTAGTACATCATGTAATACCCTGGTGCGCGCGTGTAGCCCTGATACCATTGCTATTTGTTCTGTTTTCTTGTCACGGCGTCGGACTCACGGCTGAGATAGGAGGTTCTTGCGAAGGTTCCATTTGGGTAGCTTCTGTCAGCAAACACCGTGGCCAAGACCGTACGACGAGCTTGAACACGATTGGGTGGTGACATCCCCGAGGCAACCGCTACAAGCTGTTGCTCTGCGGAGATATCGCAAAATGACAAACATACTTGGCTCGATAATCGGGATGGCAGAATATTGCGCCACCACCGTGCAGACGGGAGGTCCGCAACCGCGCATTCGCGATTCATCGGGCATGGTTCCAGGATGACAAATGAATGGCATTCGGGTGAACGAATGAGTATAACGGAGGGTAAAAGGCGGTCCCGCAACACAGAATCCAAGGAGCAGATGATAAATATATAGGTCCAACAGAGACCCCGGCCCTTGGCGCACGCGTCCGGGACTCTAGAAGTCGCCCCAGGTGCGGCGGAACTTGTACTGAATGCGGTCCTAGGGTAAGCGTCCACAATTGCAGGGCACACGAAAAGCGGTGCACGTACCTTGTAGGGCAGGTTCTTCCTGGAACGCGCAAGGGACGCAGATGCATCAGCCCTGGATCATCATACCTGCTGCTCGGGACGCACCTCATCTTCTCAGAAGGCGACTTCGGCGACTTGTACCCCGCGTCGCCGGCGCCCCACTCGCCCTCCGCCTTCTCGTTCGCGTACCGAACGGAAGGATCTTGCTTCTCGGGAGGAGTGACGCGTGTGATCTTCGGAGGTCCGCCTACAACGGGTGGCTCGAGGGGAAGCTGGTCATCGTGCGGGTTCTGCACGACGTGCTCGGGGTCGGCGGGTGCGCCGGCGTCCGGGACGTGGTGCTCTTCATGCTGGGCTTCGACCTCCTCGACGCTGACGCCCTGGTACTTGGCCTCGCGCTCCGCCTCCTGGTGCTCGATCTGCTCGTGGTGTGCGAAGTGCTCGAGGTCCTCCGGGTGGTTGTATGACTCGTCCGTCTGCGTCTCCGGGGTCGAGTGGAATTGCTCTGCGGCCTCCGTGAGCATCGGGGACAGTGAACGCCCGCCGGCGTGTACTAACCTTCGTGGTGCAGGAAGAACTCTAACGGAAGCGCGAGTCAGTCATTGAAGGAACGCCGACGTGAGCTGTCCCGGCGTACCGCTCTCCACATCATAGTGGTGACCCTCCGCGCCCAGGTCATCAAAACTGGGCAGCCCATCAAGCCCGACCACTTCGAACTCTTCCAGGCTGATTTTCCCGTCGCGGTTCTTGTCGAGACGTCTGAGGACCTCCATCACGATGTGGTCGGCCTTCTTCGCGTGCTCCACATCATCCTGTCCATCCGCTCTCAGTACGCCTTCAGTGTAACCCTCGGAACCGCACGCACCTTGGACTTCTTCTGCGAATAGATGTGGTGCACACCGTAGACCGCTTGAATCTCCTCCGCGTCCCAGACCTTGTCGCTGAGAGGTGATTTGAGCGGGCGTGGCGTACGCCAAAAGCCAAAATCACGCACCGGTTCAAGTCGTGAAGGTGGAAGAAGCTGGGCACATCGAAGGTGTCGCTGCAAGGAAAGGGTGAGTATCTGCATGCATATTTAGTGCCCCGTCGCTGCGCACATGTGGTGCTCCGTGGCCATCTACATTGCGCACGTCCATTGAACACGTCCGTGAGCGTGGGTCTCGTGTGGGACGCCTGGTTGCTACGTACGTGTCTTTGCGCATACTGCTGAAGCGTCTCGCCCTCTACGTGTTCGCCATGTCCACCGTGCGCGGCAGCGGCCCGAAGTGAGGCCAGGAAGGCGAGGCCAGTAAGGAAATGCATGGTCAAGCGAGGGACGGCAATGAGCGGGCAGCAGAGAGCAGCGAACAGCAGACCAGAGACAGGCGCCCGTGTCTGTGGGGTCAGTCGGTGGCTCCGAGGCCCTACAAGGGAAAACGCTCCCACGCCACTTTGAGGTGATCGGGGATCCACTGTATCTCGTCTCCGATCACGCCATTGGCCAGTCAACTGGAGTAAACAACGCCGTGTTAGCAGATGTTAGCTTTATCACCGCGGCTAGGTTAGCAGCTGTTAGCGCTTTAGCAGCTCTACTCACGCCCAGCTTCCCCGCCAACATTTGCTAATGCCTCCTCGGTCAGCGGTACCCTCCTTCGCCGCCCGCGAACATGATCCTGCTGAATAATAAGCGGATATAGGGTTTCATGTCGAGCTCCTTGTATGAAGCCTCGGCCCCCGAATCTTCACTCGCCGCCAAGGAACATGTGTCCTCCACAACGGAGGCCCAGCGATCGTACTTGCGGGCCCCGTGCCGCAGTGGCTCCGTCGAGGTACTTGCGCCACCCGCAAGATCGCTCTCAGGGTAGGTGGGTCTTGTAAATCGTCGCGGTGTTGAAGGTACGCGGCCTGCCTGCAAGGTCGACAGCACTTCTGAGGGCATAATGGTAACAACGGCCTTGGGCGCTGGGCTCGCGGCTACGGTTCGTACGATTAACTGACAGTACCCCGGATGTGTGATATTATAGTAGATGGCCGTGTGGCCCGAGTCCCCGCACTATTTGCCGGTTCGGGTTATTACTAACGTTTTGCCATCGATTGCCACGGCGAAACCTGCTGCATTCACGACGATAAGGGGCCCCATGTCGCACCGATTCTCGCATGTTCGCCGACGTAAGGACATCGTTCGGCTTGCAGGGTTGCATGCTTCTGAACCCTTCGACTGGCATGGGCGTCGCTTGAGACATCCCGACGCGTCCGACGAGTCGGACTGCCTGACGCTGAGCTCTGCAGGAAAGGCATGCATCCTACTGCACAGCGTACGGCCCCATTGCAGAGCGCACCGACCGGGATCGCAGACCGGGGAGCTTTTGTTTGCACGGAACCGAATACTAGACTTGCGTGACGATCCGTGACTCTGCGGGGGCGGCCCCGCATCGCTGGGATGGGGAAAGAAGCGCCCGTTTGTAAGAAGGCTGAGGTCAAGATCGTATATATAACGAACGCGAGAAGATCCGTCTTCCGTGTCGTTTCCTCCCCTCCACAGCCTGCCCATGGCCGACACTCCAGGAGATGACCGCACCCTCCGCGGGGACCTGACGCCTTTGCCGGACTCGCACCATGTCGACATAGCAGGCGCCGAGGCTCAGTTCAACGAGCTCCAGCGCGTCCTCTCTATCCGCTCTCTCCAGGGAGCCTCCGAGCCCACTGACCGCGCCTCCTCCGAGCGCGACCCCGAGAAGGGCGAAAAACGCGAGGAGGGGTTCGACCTCCGCGCGTACCTCACCTCGTCCAACGATGCCCACGAGAAAGCGGGTTTAGCACATAAGCACGTCGGAGTTACCTGGGAGAACCTTCAGGTTGACGGTATTGGCGGCGCTGGCCACAAGGTGGGCTTGGCTCTACTATACTGCTGCGTTTCTTTCTAACAGTTGCTTGCAGTTGTATGTCAAGACTTTCGGACGTAGGTTCCAGCGACATTGTATGCTATCCCCGATTACTAACACTTAGTCCGCAGAGGATGTATTGAGCTTCTGGTGGGCACCCTTCCGCATGGCGTACTCCGCCGTGCAGGCGGCCGTGCCCCGCCTGCGGCCCACGCTGCCTCTCACGACGATCCTCCAGCCGTGAGTATACTCGGTGCTTAATATACCACTTGCGGCACCGAGAGCTAATTGACTCCGACAGATCCTCCGGCTTGCTCAAGCCTGGAGAGATGTGTTTGGTACTCGGTTGCCCCGGTTCTGGTTGCACGACTTTCCTGAAGGCCATCGCCAACGAGCGCAAGGACTACGCTCGTATTCTCGGCGATGTGCGGTACGCCGGTATCGACGCCGCCGAGATGGCCAAGCACTACAAGGGTGAAGTCGTCTACAACGAAGAGGGTGCGGTCACTTTGACGAGAATGCCGCTATCTTCAACGTCGCTGACAATTTGACACAGATGACCGTCATATTGCGACGCTCACGGTCGCTCAGACCGTCAACTTCGCTCTGTCTCTGAAGACCCCGGGCCCTAACGGCCGTCTTCCTGGCATGACGCGCAAAGACTTCGACGCGGCGGTTCGAGACATGCTCCTCCAGATGCTCAACATCTCGCACACCGCCAACACGTACGTCGGTGACGAGTTCGTGCGCGGTGTCTCCGGCGGAGAGCGTAAGCGTGTCTCTATCGCTGAGATGATGGCTACTCGCGCACACGTGCTCTGTTTCGACAACTCCACCCGTGGCCTCGATGCCAGTACGGCGCTTGACTTCATCAAGGCTCTGCGCGTCATGACGGACATCCTCGGCCAGACGACTTTCGCAACTCTGTGAGTCATGGCAGCATGCAATGGGACCACGGCCCCTTCTTGACGCGCGTTATAGGTACCAGGCTGGCGAGGGTATCTACGAGCAGTTCGACAAGGTCCTCGTTCTCGACAAGGGCCGTCAGGTTTACTTCGGTCCCCCTGCTGAGGCTCGCGCGTACTTCGAGAACCTCGGTTACAAGCCCCTCCCCCGCCAGAGCACGCCTGACTACCTTACCGGCTGCACCGACCCCAACGAACGGCAATTCGCTCCTGGGCGCTCGGAGGCTGATGTGCCCTCCACCCCCGAGGCGCTCGAGCAGGCGTTCCTTCAGTCGCACTACGGCGCAGACCTGCGCGAGGCGCTTGCCAAGTACAAGCAAAAGATGGAGATCGACAAGTCCGACCAGGAGACCTTCCGCCAGGCGGTCATCGCGGACAAGAAGCGCGGTGTGTCCAAGAAAAGTCCCTACACTCTCGGGTTCACCGGTCAAGTCCGCGCGTTGGTCATTCGGCAGTTCCAGATGCGTCTCCAGGATCGTTTCCAGCTCATCACTAGCTTCACGCTATCAACGGTATGAGCCATCAATATCCGCTGCGGGTTGAAATGCTTACATTTTTGTGTCATCAGGCTCTCGCTCTCATCATCGGCGCTGCTTACTACAATCTGCAGCTCACGTCGCAAGGTGCTTTCACTCGCGGTTCGGTTATCTTCGCTGGTCTCCTCACGTGTGCCCTCGACACGTTCGGAGAGGTACGTGCATTATTTACGGTAGGATCAGGACTCAGAGCGCTCATTTTGTTCCGTAGATGCCGGTGCAAATGCTTGGTCGGCCCATCCTCAACAAACAGGTGCGTAAACCCTATCGCTGAATTTACTTGATTGGTCTGACCGTCTCTTCTGCAGACCAATTATGCTCTCTACCGTCCTGCCGCTATCGCGATCGCGAACACACTCTCTGATATCCCGTTCTCTGCCGTTCGGATCTTCATCTACAACCTTATAATCTACTTCATGTCGAACCTCGCTCGCTCGGCAGGCGGCTTCTTCACGTTCCACCTCTTCGTGAGTATTTGCTTATGACCATCCCATAGGCAGCGTACTGACCCCGCCCGCTAGATCTACCTGGGCTTCCTGACGATGCAAGGGTTCTTCCGGACGTTCGGTATCATGTGCACGAACTTCGACTCCGCGTTCCGTCTCGCGACCTTCTTCATCCCCAACATGATCCAGTACGGCGGATACATGATTCCGGTGTCCCAGATGAAGAGGTGGCTGTTCTGGATCGTGAGTACCCATACGACTGCGCATCGAAGTATACACATTGATCAGCTGTGCAGTACTACATCAACCCGTTGTCGTATGGTAAGCTGGTCAAATTCAGACCGTTAGTCTGCAGTTACTAAAGCTGCTTCTAGCTTGGGTCGGTTGCATGGAGAACGAGTTCATGCGGATCTCAGTAAGTCCTCTTTGCACCACCGCCATGAATCTACCCTAACGTGTCCGGTAGTTCACCTGCGACGGCACCTCTATCGTTCCTCGCAACCCTCCCGGGATCAACAAGTACCCGTGAGTACCACTTTATTTTTACGTGTGCGGGAGCCCTGGCTGAGGCTGTGTCAGGGATGGGCTGGGACCGAACCAAGTGTGTACACTCTTCGGCTCCGTCCCTGGCGAAGACATCGTCTCGGGCCGCAACTACGTCAGCTTCGGTTATGGCTTGAACGTCACCGATCTTTGGCGGCGGAACTTCCTCGTGCTCCTTGGCTTCTTCTTCCTCTTCCAGCTCACGCAGGTGTTCCTCATCGAGTACTTCCCGGTGAGTAGGCTTCGCTGCTTCGGTGTGGTCGTACGTAATTCTGACGAGACTATAGCAATACGGTGGAGGGTCGTCCGTCACCATCTACGCTAGGGAGGACTCGGAAACTGAGAAGCTGAACGCGGCTCTGAAGGAGAAGAAGGCGGCGTCCCGCAAGGGCAACTCCGAGAAGGGGGCCATCGAAGACTCGAAGGAGCAGGAGTGAGTCGTTCGCGCTAGATCCACTGCTGAATAGCGCCTGATGATCAACGCAGCGACGCCGTCGTCAAGTTCCACGGCAAGCCCTTCACCTGGGAGTCGGTCAACTACCATGTCCCCGTTCCCGGCGGCGTGCGGCGGTTGCTTCACGATGTGTACGGCTACGTGAAGCCCGGTACGATGACCGCTCTGATGGGAGCTTCCGGTGCTGGTACGTGTTGGCTCCTACGCTGCGTCGGACGCGGTCTGATACCGGTACAGGCAAGACGACCTGTCTAGATGTGCTCGCTCAGCGCAAGAACATCGGTATCGTGTCTGGCACTCTCCTTTTGGACGGCAAGCCTTTGGCACTGGACTTCGCGCGTAACACCGCCTACGGTGAGCTTTACTATGGTACTCCGTGCCTCTAATTTTGTGCTCACGTTTTTATAGCGGAGCAAATGGACGTACACGAAGGCAGTGCTACCGTGCGCGAAGCCATGAGGTTCTCCGCTTACCTGCGGCAGCCGCCTTCGATCTCGAAGGAAGAAAAGGACCGCTACGTCGAGGACATGATCGAGGTGCTCGAGCTCCAGGACCTCGCCGACGCCCTCATCTTCAGTCTCGGCGTTGAGGCGCGCAAGCGTCTCACCATCGGCGTGGAGCTGGCTTCCCGGCCCTCCCTCCTGTTCCTGGACGAGCCAACGTCGGGTCTCGACGGTCAGAGCGCGTGGAACCTCGTCCGCTTCTTGCGCAAGCTCGCAGACAACGGCCAGGCGATCCTGTGCACCATCCACCAGCCGTCGTCGATGCTCATTCAGACCTTCGACAAGCTCCTGCTCCTCGAGCGCGGCGGCGAGACCGTCTACTTCGGCGACATCGGTCCCGACTGCTCCATCCTGCGCGAGTACTTTGCGCAGCACGGTGCCCACTGCCCGTCGAACGTTAACCCCGCTGAGTTCATGCTCGACGCCATCGGTGCTGGTCTCGCTCCCCGTATTGGCGACCGCGACTGGAAGGACCACTGGCTCGACTCTGCTGAGTACCAGGACGTCCTGTCAGAGATCGAGAAAATCAAGCAGAATACCGAGAAGGACAACGGGGAGCCCAAGAAGCTGACGCTGTGTATGTCCGCCCGCTCTACCGTTCAACCGCTGGGAAATATTGACAAGGATCTTGGGTAGATGCTACTGGCTTCTTGCAGCAGCTCCGCTGCGTGGTCGCCCGGAACAACGCGAAGCTCTGGCGTTCTCCGGACTACGTTTTCAGCCGTCTCTTCGTCCACGCGTTCATCTCGCTGTTCGTCTCGCTGTCGTTCTTACAGCTCGGCCATGGCGCACGCGACCTGCAATACCGTGTCTTCGGAATGTAAGTTGCTTTTTCTGCGGTGACCATGCCAAATGCTGACCGATTTCGTCAGCTTCTGGTCGACCATTCTTCCCGCCATCGTCATGGGTCAGCTCGAGCCGATGTGGATCCTTAGCAGGCGCATCTTCATCCGAGAGGCCTCCAGCAGGATCTACTCGCCGTACGTCTTCGCCATCGGCCAGCTCATCGGCGAGATGCCGTACTCCGTCCTGTGCGCGATCGTCTACTGGGTTCTCATGGTGTACCCCATGGGCTACGGTGACGGAGCTGCCGGCATCGGCGGCACGTTCTTCCAGCTGCTCGTCCTCATCTTTGTCGAGCTGTTCGGTGTCAGCCTTGGCCAGTTCATCGGCGCCATCTCGCCCAGCATGCAGATCGCGCCACTGTTCAACCCCTTCGTCATCCTTGTCCTCGGCACGTTCTGCGGTGTCACCGTTCCGTTCCCGACCCTGCAGGGTTACTGGAAGTGGCTGTACCAGCTGAGCCCCTACACTCGTATCATGAGTGCCATGCTCTCCACCGAGTTGCAGTACGTTTCACCGTTACATAGTTCGATGGCATGTAGCTGATATATGCCTATAGCGGCCTGGAGATCACCTGCAAGGCGGACGAGTTCATTCCGTTCAACCCGCCGTCTGGCCAGACCTGCCAGCAGTGGGCGGGCGAGTTCGTCACCGGCTTCGGTGGCTACCTCGACAACCCGAACGACACGACGGCGTGCCGCTACTGTCAATACGAAGTCGGAGACCAGTTCTTTTTGCCTCTCAACATCCGCTACGAGAACAGGTGGCGCGACGTGTGGATATTGTTTGCTTTCGGAGGTACGTGAGATCTTAAATCCGTTGAAGGCGTTGGCTTAACTTTCCCCTCCCTTCTAGTCTTCAACTTCTTCGCCACGATTGGTGAGTACTATCCGTTGACTGATGACTATGACTTTCCGCTGACAAATATTATAGTGGCTTCACGTTTCCTCCGCTATGCTAAGCGGTAGTTCTATGCTCACGAGGTTCCATCACGTCTCCCGTCATGCTACACAACACGCAACGCTTAGATAGATGCTCTCACATACGTTTTGGTTACTGGTATACGCATATGTTGTTTTAGTCGTCGTTTTAATAGTCACAACTTATCGCGCAATGATACAGATCTTACACTTTCCGTGGCGTGTTCGAGTTAGCATCGGGAAGACAAGCGACGACGGCGAGATGACGAGATCCAGAAGAGTCGACAGCGTTGACGAGAGAGAGCTAGATGATACAGCACTAGGCGCACGAGAATATTGTTACACCAGTAAACGGCTATGATTCTTTCGGAGCATTATGGAACTGAAAAGAGGTCAGAGAGATGGAGCATTAGGGATTCGGTGCATGCTCACAATATCGCGGAGCTGAGCTTGGGCATCGTTGAATTGTTTCTCCAGGTACTTCGACTATATGGCAGGGAGGGTCAGCAAACAGTATAGCGGAAGCAAGGACACAGCGCGCGAACCTTCTTCTCGAGATTCTTGATATCCTCCGTGAGCTCTTTTTCCTCGTTCTTCAGATCGCCCTCCATTGCGGGACGGGGGACCATCATAAACCTGCAGCAGGACCGTTCAGCCACAATCATCGGTGAACGTACGTCTCGCACTCACATCTTGCCCACGCCCTTGTACAGGTTGACATCTCCCTGCAGGCCGGTGATCTCCTCGATGGTGAGCTGCAGTATCCTGCGCTCGCGCTCCTTTGCAGCGATCTGCTGCTTAGAGACATTCAGCGCGCGTTGGGACTGGATAGCTGTCTGCTGAATTTGCAGTAGGATCTACGTAGCGGTTGTAAGCAGACGGTCATACAATGCAGTGCAGTAAATATGGCGTACCTTTCTCAGCGTATCATCTGAGAGCGTGGCCATAGCTGGTCGCCGTCGCCGTCAAAGAAGAGGCTGAGGGTGTACGGAGAACGAATGAAGTGCATGATGATCGCGGTAGGAGTCGAAGCGCCCGCTTGACGCGTTCTTCCTGACCGCGACCGTCGACGGTGGCTCTCGCGCAAAACCCGTCTGCTCCCTCCCCTCACCTGCCTTCTGCCCTTCTGTCTTCATCTGGGGCTCGTGTCTGTGTAATATTTGCTCCAGCTTGCACACGGTCTGCCCTCCCTGTACTCAACTGCCTGGACGCGTCTGCTGCTCCGTGACCAGTACTGCGTTCCTGTCTCTCAAACTCCGCGTTAAACTTGTTCTGCAAAAATGGCTTCCTTCGAGGATTACGACGAGTTCGGAAACTACATCGGCGGAGACCTTGACTCCGATGAGGAGGTGGAGGAGCTCCAGCAGCAGTCTCAGTTCGCGCCCCAACCAGAGGTGCAGCCTCTGGAGGGGTTCGACGAGGAGCCGGCACAAGATGACATGGCCCTTATGGAAGTAGACGGTACGTGTGCCCAGTATCAGTGTGTACTTATCGTCGTTGAAGGCCTTCGCAGAGCCGATCCAAAATGCGGTCGTACTACACGAGGACAAGAAGTACTATCCGTCGGCGTCTGAGGTATACGGCGAGGAAGTCGAGACGTTGGTCCAGGAGGAGGACGCGCAACCACTCACACAACCTATCGTTGCGCCTATCAAAGTGCGGAAATGGACTGTGGAGGAGAAAGATATGCCGGAGACCCGGTTCGACAAGAGGTGCGCGGAAGTGAACAGAAGGCTACGTTGTGTCGAGCTGAGCACACTACCTTAGCTTCCTGCTCAATATGACAGGCTTCCCTGAGTTTGTGCGGAATGTTGCTGTTGTTGGTCACCTGCACCACGGAAAGACCGCACTGTTGGACATGCTCGTGTTTGAGACACATAAGCTGACATGGAATTCGGACCACCCGGTGAGCGAGCTCAGTAAATATCTGCAAACTTGTAGACTTACTTAGACTCCGTAGACCCGGTACACAGATACTCACGTTCTTTCCCGGGACCGAGATATCTCCATCAAGTCCGGTCCTATGTCCTTGGTCTTGCCCAACAGCTACGGGAAGTCTCACCTAGTCCATCTCATTGACACTCCCGGACACGTGAACTTCGTCGACGAGGTTGCTAGTGCCATTCGCTTGGTAGACGGTGTCCTCTTGGTGGTCGACGTTGTGGAAGGGGTAAGTACAGTGCTACCGTTCGCCTTGCACTGTCGTATTCATGCATATACTAGGTCATGTGTAATACTGAGGCGATCATCCGACATGCGCTCCAAGAAGGTGTCAAAATCACCCTCGTCGTGAACAAGATTGACAGGCTAATCCTTGAGCTGCGCATCAAGCCTGCTGATGCGTACTACAAAATCAAGCACACCATTGAGGAAATCAACACCTTCATCAGGTACGCTGTTGTGGATTACAGATGTTTCAATATCGCTGACAGGCAGACAGCGGTATCAACCCTGACCCAGAGCTGAGGCTCAGCCCCGAGAACGGAAACGTTGCATTCGCGAGCACTGACATGGCTTGGTGCGTCACCCTGAGGTCCTTTGCGCAGATGTATGCGGACACATACGGTACGTTTGACCCTGTGTGTCTATTCGCCGTAGCTTATGGCCGTGTGCAGGCTCTGTGGATGTTAACGCTTTCGCGGACCGCCTATGGGGCGACATTTGGTTCAACAACGAGACGCGTAAATTCTCGCGCAAGCCTGCCGACCCTGAGGCAAACCGGACATTTGTGCACTTCATCCTGGAGCCCTTGTACAAGCTGTATAGCCATGTGCTCAGCGAGGAGACTGAGCCGCTCAAGGAGACACTGGCAGCCCTCGGCATCTCGCTGAAGCCTATCATGTACAAGATGGACGTGCGGCCTCTCCTGAAGGTTGTACTCAGCCAATTCTTCGGTCCCTCGGTAGGGCTGGTGGACATGATCACCGAGCACATCCCATCTCCAGTGGAAGCTACCCGGTCCAAGGTCAGTCCCGTGTATGTATATAATGCTAACCATAAAAGCTGACTGGGATGCACAGGTCCTAGGAACTTATACCGGCCCCATGTCGTCTGAACTGGCTCAGGTCATGCAGGAGTGCAATCCCGAGGGCCCTCTCATGATCCAGATCTCCAAGCTCTACCACACAACCGACGCCCAGCACTTCCGAGCATTCGGCCGTGTCATCAGTGGTACCGTCCGGAAGGGCATGGATGTGAAGGTGCTCGGTGAAGGGTATTCGCCCGAAGACGAGGAGGACATGGTCAAGGCGCAGATCGAGGATATCTGGATCACCGAATCACGGTGAGCCTCTATGTCTTGCTGGTGTGTGCAAGTGCTTAGTGGGATTAGGTACCACATCCCGGCAGAAGAGGTTCCTGCGGGCAACCTCGTCCTGCTCGGCGGCGTAGACGCGTCTATCTTCAAGAGTGCAACGATCGCAGCAGTGGATATCGACGACGACCTGCACATTTTCCGCCCAATCAAGCACATGACGCAGTCAGTGCTTAAGATCGCCATTGAGCCCATCGCGCCTTCAGAGCTACCGAAGATGCTGTCAGGCCTCCGGAGTGTGAACAAGAGCTACCCTCTAGTGTCGACGAAGGTCGAGGAGAGCGGAGAGCACGTCGTCATCGGCACGGGCGAGCTGTACCTGGACTGTGTGATGCACGACCTCCGAAGGCTGTTCTCCGAGATCGAGATCAAGGTGTCGGACCCGGTCACGAAGTTCGCGGAGACGGTGCTCGAGACCAGCGCGCTGAAGTGCTACGCGGACACGCCCAACAAGAAGTGAGTCGATGCGAATTCCTGTACCGCGCCGCGCTGCTGACGAAGGGGCACTAGGAACCGGCTAACGATGATCGCGGAGCCTCTGGAGCGCGGTATCGCGGAGGACATCGAGACCGGGCGCGTGAACATGCGTATGACGGCGAAGGAGCGCGGCAAGTTCTTCGAGGAGAAGTACCAGTGGGACCTGCTCGCGTCGCGGTCAATATGGGCGTTCGGGCCCGACGACAGCGGACCGAACATCTTGCTGGATGACGTGCTGCCCTCGCAGGTCGACAAGAAGCTCCTCGGCACAGTCAAGGAGCACATCAAGCAGGGCTTCCAGTGGGGTACGCGTGAAGGCCCCCTGTGCGACGAACGTGAGTGCAGGTCTTATGTTGTGTAAATGGTTGTGTTGATGAGTTTTGGGCAGCGATGCGGAATGTCAAGTTCAGGATCCTTGACGCAAGTCTGGCGCAAGAACCAATCTACCGCGGCGGTGGACAGATTGTGCCCACTGCTCGCCGCGTCTGTTACTCGTCGTTCCTGATGGTAAGCCGAGTTGTTCCATTCAAGTCTATTTAGAGCTCCCGGGTTTACGCTATCAAAACAGGCTACACCTCGATTGATGGAGCCCATCTACTACGTCGAGGTGCAGGCCCCGGCGGACTGTATATCGGCTGTATACACGGTGCTTGCGCGGCGCCGTGGTCACGTCACACAGGATATCCCGAAGGCAGGCTCGCCGCTGTACACGGTGAAGGCGCTGATTCCAGTCATCGACGCGAACGGGTTCGAGACGGACCTTCGGACGGCAACGCAGGGTCAGGCGTTCTGTCTGCAGACGTTCGACCACTGGTCTATTGTGCCCGGTCGGTGTTTCTTCTGCCGTGGTGTGCGAGCGTGACTGAGCGGGCGGCACAGGTGATCCCACGGACACGAGTATCAAGCTCCGGCCCCTCGAGCCCGCGTCCGGGCAGGCACTCGCGCGCGACCTTGTGCTGAAGACGCGGCGGCGCAAGGGTCTGGGAGACCAGATTTCGGTGTCGAAATACCTGGACGACGAGTTCATCGTGCGTATATTATACACCCGCGAAGGTGCAGCCACTGACAACATTGACATGACATCACTACAGCTCGCACTATCTGCGTCGGGGCATGCGGATCTGCTTGGCTGAGTGTAGCGTAGTGCGTGTTGTATGTACGTAGAATGTTGGGCCTGTTATCCATTTTGCTTTCCGACACTGGCCGGGTGAGGCTTGAGCTTGAGCGCGCCGACTCGTCTGAGACAGGGAGCGAGATGCGGGCGGGCGTGGGAGTGTCACGCGTGGAACGCGCTGGAACCGGGGAAGCGCGCAGTCCAGGATACGTGGCAGTCTGTGCGGGAAATAGCCGGCGCAGGATATTAGAGCGCGCTAGTCCGTCACACCTCTCTCAAGTCTCTCACCTCATCCAGTCTCATTTCTCTCTCTCTTTCCTCACCAACGCCCTTGCCTTGCCCCGTCCCGGTCCTTCGTACACAATGCGAAGCGTAGCGCTTTCTGCCCTGCTTGTCGTCGCTGTCTCGTCCGTGCACGCCACGGAGGAGCAGCCCAAGCCTGCCTTCACCGTACGCGCCCGCCTCTCGCGCATTCCCCACACGAGTGCTGACGTGTAATGCAGGCCACCTCCGTCAAGGCTCCTTTCCTCGAACAGTTCACGGATGACTGGTCACAACGGTGGACCCCCTCGGAGGCCACCAAGAAGACCGCCGTCGGTGGCGAGACCTGGAGCTACGTCGGCAAGTGGGAGGTCGAGGAGCCCCTTGAGCCCGTCCTCGACGGCGACAAGGGCCTCGTCGCCAAGACCAAGGCCGCCCACCACGCCATCTCCGCCGCCTTCCCCAAGCCGATCAAGTTCGACGACAAGCCGCTTGTCGTGCAGTACGAGGTCAAGTACCAGAAGGGCGGCAACTGCGGTGGTGGGTACGTCAAGCTCCTTGAGGACGGCTTCCAGACCGCCGGCAAGGAGTTCGACGACAAGACGCCCTGGACTATCATGTTCGGCCCCGACTTGACGTGCCCCGGCACGAAGGTGCGCGCTCCCCGTGCTGCTCTCGCTAAAGCGACGCGTTTGTTTACGCTGCGCGCGTGTTCTAGATCCACTTCATCTTCCGTCACAAGAACCCCATCACCAGCGAGTTTGAGGAGAAGCACCTTAAGCTTCCCCCCAAGCCCGCGTTCGGCAAGCACACGAACCTCTATACCCTCCACGTTTTGTGAGTCGCACCTGGTGCATATTCTCGCTTGAAGGTGCATTTCTGACATATGTTCAGCCCCAACAACACGTACGACGTGCTGTTCAACGGCGAGAGCTACAACCTCGGAAACTTCCTCGAGGACTTCACCCCTGCCGTCAACCCCGAGGCGGAGATTGACGACCCTGAGGACTCGAAGCCCGAGGACTGGGTTGACACCAAGCGTATCGCTGACCCTGATGCCACCAAGGTTGGTTCAGTAGCTTCCCGATCCATACACCAAGTCTGATTTCGGGTTATAGCCCGAGGACTGGGACGAGGAGGCTCCTTACGAGATCCCCGACGAGGAGGCCGAGAAGCCTGAGGGCTGGCTCGATGACGAGCCCGAGTTCATCCCTGACCCTGGTTAGTCTCGCTTGTCTCGCGGTGTGAATGCAACGTTCTAAACAAATCACATGCCAGACGCTGAGAAGCCTGAGGAGTGGGATGACGAGGAGGACGGCGAGTGGATCGCCCCCACCGTTCGCAACCCCAAGTGCGACGAGGCTCCCGGCTGCGGCGAGTGGAAGCGCCCTTACAAGGCCAACCCCGCCTACAAGGGCAAGTGGTACGCCCCCATGATCGACAACCCCGCCTACAAGGGCGAGTGGGCTCCCCGCAAGATCCCCAACCCGGCGTTCTTCGAGGACCTCACCCCCGTTAAGAGCCTCGTGCCTATCGGTGGTGTCGGTATTGAGCTCTGGACCATGACCGAGGACATCCTCTTCGACAACCTCTACGTCGGCAACTCCGTCGAGGACGCGCGCAAGCTCGCCGAGGAGACCTACTTCGTCAAGAAGCCCCTCGAGGAGGCGCTTGAGAAGGCCGCGACCAAGGCCGACGAGGAGGACGAGGACGAGTCGACGGTGTCCTTCAAGGAGGACCCCGCAGAGTTCGTGCGCAGCAAGGTGTTCAAGTTCATCGAGGCCGCCAAGGTCGACCCTCTCACCGCGTTCAAGACGCACCCCGAGACCGGCGCGAGCCTGGTGCTTTCCGTTGTCACTCTTTTCGGTATGCTCGGCGTTCTTTTCGGCTTCGTTGGCGCACAGCAGAAGCCCATCACCAAGGTATGTTATCCTTCGCATATATGCAAGGTAGCGACAATGCTAACCTCGCATTCCCTGCAGTCTACGAAGAAGACCGACGCTCCTTCCCCCGACGACAAGAAGAAGTCCGAGACGGCGCCCGTCGCGCCCGCAGGTGGCGCCAAGGACGAGACGCCCGTCAAGAAGCGGAAGTAAAAGGGACCTTCAGGGACCCCTCTGACTCTATCGCTTTCGACTCGTTACTGCATTATGTGCTATTTGGAAAGGCAATGTTTCTCTTAATATATCGGGCTTTCTGAGGATGTGTGTGGGGTGTGCTACAGTGTGCGTGCTACAGCGTCTAGAAATACAAACTTGCGGCGAAGACAACTGCAAGGGCGGTGAGTAGGTAATACAACCGAGAGAGAGGTGAAGACGTACTGTCTCGCTTGATCTTGATTTGGGCCTCCTCCATCTTCTTGAACAACTCTGCGTCGCCGATGACCCGCGCCGCGTCTCTCACCTCCCGACATGTCTCGTCCAGTCGCGTGATGCAGCGCACGATAGTCCCCTCCGCCACGTCCGTAAGCTCTGTGATCTGCTCAAATGGCTACCAGGCGATGTCAACCAGCAAGCCCCCACAAAAGAACAATACTTACCATTCCCTTCGCCCACTCATACACGACCTCGACGAGCCCGGCCTTGAGCGCGCGGAACTCCTCCCCAGGGACCTTGTGCCGCTCCTGCGCGCGCTCGACGCGCTCCGCGAGCGCGTTGATCGCCGCGAGCCCCTCCTGTAGCTTAGGCGGGACGACTGGCTCGACGTCCGTCTTCTCCTGGAAGATGAAACACGAGAGGAGCGCAACGACCTCCTCAGGTTCGTACGCGGCGAGCGTGTTCTCGAGGATGAGCTCAGTGAGCACCAGCTCGTTCGCTGAGTTGATCTGCAAGCGGAGCGTCGATGTGAGTACAGTAGAATAGGAGAGGGCGACGTACCTCGCAGGCGACGCGGCCCTTGAGGAGCACGGTGGAGTTGTCGTCGATGAACTTGAGCTCCTTCAGGACCTCGATGCGCTGCTCGTAGTCCGGGATGAGCTCCAGGTTCTGGTCCGAAATCGCGAGCTTCAGGTCAGCGATGTTCGCCTGCAGCAGCTTCTTGCCGTGTGTGTGCAGGTACTGCGTGGCTCAGTCAGTATGCAGACACGGCAGCTGTAGTTGCGAAGTGCAACTGACGTGATCCTCGAAGCTCGGACACGACACGCACGCAAAGCGGTCCAGCCGGGGGACGAGCTCGTTCCGCGCGCGCAGGAGCTCCTGGAACTCCAGCGCCCGCAGCCTGCTCCAATCCGCCTCGGGGATGGTCCCTGCGCGCAGCCATTCCGCGAGGACCTGCTGCAGCGAGCGGATCGCGTCGTTCATGTACGAGATCCGGTGCTTCTCTACGATCCACTCTGTTTCGACCTGCGCAGGATCAAATCAGCGCCCATGAACTGTGGTCGACGCGCGCGAGGGGGCGACACCGACCTTGATACTGCGGCTGGTGACCATGGCTATGCTGGAGAGTGGGATAGGGGTGAGGTCGTATGTGGGTTCGTCGACTAGAAGAGACTCCGGGCGGGGCGGCCATTGTGGCGGAACGCCTTGCGCGTCCACATCTGCCCGAACCATAGGTTACTACAGAGGCCCAGGTGGTGTAATGTGGCCGTACCTGTCTCGCCTTGTCGCGTCTCTGGGGATACGAGCGCGAGCACATAGTAAAGCTTGACTTTCTCGCCAGCGGGCGCGCTCGCAAGTGCTGTGGCGATAGCACTGGGAACCTGCTTGAGGAGTACGCCGATATTGGATTTGTAGTGCTGCGGGCAGGGGCGGTAAGAACGTTGACCTCGCAGAGCGTCGATAGACACTCACCCCGTCCCGTAGAATGACGATTCTACCAGAAGAGAGGAGTTTCCCGCCCGCAGGGGTATTCGCAGCCATCGCCAGGATGCGCTGATTCTTCTCGACGACGTCGTATGACGTATCATAGAACCGCTCGATATCTGGCAGGCACACGTCGCATGCCAGCTGCGCCATCCCGGAAAGTTTCTTCTCGGTCTAAGAAACAGAAAATGACAGGGGTTAGATGTGCGCAGCGCGTAGGCGGGATGATATGACGTCTTACATCGACAACTTTCTTCTGGTTTTCGGGGAGCAGCCGCTGCGAGGCGTTCTCGGAGAAGCTGCGCTTGATCATCTCCTCGACGCGCAGGGCCTCGACTCGCAGCAGGTTCAGAATCATGTTGTACGTAAGCCTGAATTGGGACGAGAGCTTCGAGGGCGTCCCGAGAATCATATTGTGCAGGATGGATTGCTAAACGCGTCGGCGGCGAACCGGGCATGAGAAAAACGCGCTCAGCCGGCAGGGTGTACAGACTACTCACCTCCGGGAGGTCGTCATTCGCGACTATGATGACCGTGCCAGTGGGGTCAAGGCCACGGCGGCCGGCGCGCCCAGCCATCTGGGTATATTCGCCGGGCATGATGTCCCTAAAGCTGCGCCCATCGTGCTTCCTGATGTGCGAGAATACGACACATTTTGCCGGCATATTCACGCCCTACAAAGCGGATGAGCCCGCATAAAATTGTGCACCGTCAGTCCAAACTCACCATGGCAAACGTCTCCGTCGCGAATAGCACCTTCACCAGCCCGCGTGCGAAGAGGATCTCGACCACCTATGCGATGTGTCAAAAATACTGTTTACGTTTTCAAGACACATATCTGGCGTACCTCCTTCACGATGGGCAATAAGCCACCATGATGCACTCCAATGCCGCGCGACAACAAGTCTCGCATTCGCCGGATCTGAGGCAGCCGCTTGTCCGAGCCTGGAATAAGCCCACCACGCCGCCGTGAGAACGCCGCTCAAAACACGAAAAATGCAGTCGGCCACGCACCTTTCAGGCGCGAGAGCGCTTTCTCGATCGCGACGTGGATCTCGCTCTTCTCCACCGCCGTGCACAGGTCCGCGTTCGTGAGCGTCCCCGCGTTGTCCTCGCAGCGCTTCTTCGAGAACGTGAACACGACGACGGGCAGCAGCGCCTTCTTGCGCAGGTGCCCCAGCAGGTGCACATACAGGTTCTTGTCCGGCTGGTGGAACGTGCGCTGCGAGCCCCCGCGGCCGCCCCCAGAACCACCGCGGGCGGGTGCGTTACCGCCCCCGCGTTGCCCGCCGCGTCCCGTTTGACCCCCGCGCCCGGGTTGGCCTCCGCGCTGGCCACCTCGTTGGGGCGCGCCTGCGCGGGCGCCGAGCTTCTGTACCGGAGGGAGACCGGCTGCCTCGCGCTCCTTGTCCTGTTTCCGCCGCAGCGCTTCTCCAGCGCCCTTGTACCTGTGAAGTAGCGTTAGAAGACCGCTTGTGGGGTATGCGCGCTGTCTCTGGACGCTCACCCGGCCGTGAGGAAATTCCGATCGGCGTCCACGATTTTGTGGAGGTCGCGACCTGCATATAGGTAGTGCTCGAGCGGTACAGGGCGCTTCGCCGTGGAGATGACATATATGTCCTTCTTCTTAGTCCTCCTGCATTTGTGGTCAGTCATAAGCAAGTGCCAAAGTCGTTCGACATACCCGACCCAGTCTGCGAACTCTCTCGTGTTTGGTACCGTCGCGGAGAGAAGAATGATGTTTACATGATCAGGAAGCATGATGATGACCTCTTCCCAGACCACTCCTCGCTAGAGGTTTTTAGCACCACGACCATCGGGTTGTAGTCAGTCGTCTCACCTCGGCGTCGTTCACGTAGTGCACCTCATCGAAAATGACAAACTCGACGTCCCGGATGAGGTCTGCGCCCTTGTAGAGCATGCTGCGCAGGATCTCCGTGGTCATGATGAGGCAATTCGCCTCCGGGTTGATCTGGACGTCGCCGGTGAGGATGCCGACAGAAGCGGTTCCAAAGGTCGTCTTGAAGTCGCGGTATTTTTGGTTGGACAGCGCCTTGATAGGAGAAGTATAGATGGCCCTGGAAGCGTGTCAGCGCTGCAATAGAGCGAAGCAGAACTCCGCCGCGGTCGCGGCGCGCGCACCTGGTCATATGTTTTGCCGCCAAGGCGATGGCGTACTCCGCGACGACAGTCTTCCCCGCCGATGTATGGGCGGCGACGAAGACGGAGTCGCCCATCTCAAGATGGTAGACGGCCTCCTTCTGGAACGTGTCCAGCTCGAAGGGGTACTGTCAAGAGACATGAGGCTGCGCCTAACTTTAGATATGCCCGTCTGGGCTCACCTTGTGAGCCATGTCAGGGACAAGCTCCGCGAAGTTCGTCATTGGCTTGTTGACATCGACGACGTGGGCCCAGTCGCGCTTCTGCACTTGGGCGCGCCGCAGGGGTTTACGTGTAGCCGCGATGGGGTTGAGGTGGCTTCGCTGTAAAACACGGGATGAGATAAATGCAGGATATGGAAAGCATGCCTCCAGCCGCGTACCGAGGTAGGCAGGAGTTCGTCGACATCAGAGGCTCCGCCAGGCATCAGCGCCATGTCCAAATCATTATGGTGCAGAAGAGAGACGTGTCCGTCCTAGACAGCTAGGTCAGTTGATTGCTATACGAAGGTGGTAGTCACATACCGAAGCTTGGGCATCTTCGCTATGCCTAACAAGGTTGCCACCGAGGCCAATCACGTCGGCATCGTCCTCGTCGTCTTTCGACAGCTTGAGACCGCGAGAAAGCCCAGGTGCAGTGGTCCGCAGCTGCGAAGATCCTTCTTGGAGGTCGACAACATCATTCAGCTCCTTGAGATTATCTAGGCCGCCAGGCCAGAACGGTACGTAGCCAGCTTTGCCTCGGACAAAGTTGCGGCTTGGTCCTGGCGCGCGGTCCAGTGCGGTCGAAGTAAGGCCATTTGAGACGCGAGGATTGGATATCTACAGATAGCTCAATTGGGATGTCATTCGCTGAGCAGTCGGTTGTATGCACCTCAGCGTAGCCGGTAACGCGCCCCTGGAGCCCTGTGCGGACAAATGAAAGGCTGGTGGGTGGTGGGGCTGGCTCATACTTGAGCAGAGCGGGTATGGACAACTTATTCTCCCAGTGCCTACAGAATAAACCATCTCAGCGTCTGATTAGATAGTGGCGTACAGTTACAACCCACAGTTGGTACGTAGGAAGCCAGTGACTAGGCAGGCTTTCTTTGGGCAGCAAAAGATCTGTTTCTATCTGGCGGTGCACTTCGTCTCTGGAAGGCAACGCGGCGAGGCCTAGCTCCGAGAGTAAGCCATCTGCATTGGACGAGGTAGGGTTGAGGATCTGGTCGAGCAGATCATCCATTGCCATGGTGTGCAATCCGTTGTATGTGCCTGGTATGACCTGATGGTGGTCAGACAGGAGACGAAAGATACTTTGAGCACGAACTGGACGGACTCACGCGGACTCGAGCTGAAACGCCTCGGGGAGACGTCGGAGTGCGGAGTGCGTTCACAAGCGCCCGCATGGTTTCTACTGAACGCCCACGTCAATATTCGCATTCTGCCGAGCGCTTTGGCGCCAGCTCTTTGCACATCTTCTATCCCGCCTCCTGCTCGTGCCTGCTTCTGCATCTACAAATTTGCCTACAGTTTCGATGCTGTCTGTCGAGATGGCGATAACTATCTCGCGTGTCAGGCAAGTGGCTTCTATCTACCACGAACAGTCAACTGGCAGGTAGTGGCTCTGATACGCTCTCGGTAGCCTCGTACTATGCATAAGCGCACTCGAACGGGATGTGCCAACAAATCCTCACGGTTCGTACTCCGAACATCACGGCGACATTGTACGTGTGGGATTGCCCCCCTGTGCTCTCCTGCCGCGCGCTGTGCTTCGGTAGTAGTATCGCAGTACCGTCCCCGTCGGAGGGAAACCATGACCTCCTAAAATTGATGAGCTCGCTGCGGAGACGGAACCCGTGCCCCGCCGGATACTGCATAGCTGCTTTGTGCGCGGGTCCTCATCATGCGATGCGGTGCAAGGAGTGTGTAGGTTCGCTCGGGAACATGGATTCTGGGCGGCAGTCTGTCAATCAAAACCACATGCAACGGCGTCAAGTCCGCATAACTGTGTATCGCCAGGGCGGGCGCAGGGCCTATACCGCGTATGGCGCCGTTATATACAGGTCTTCTGAAGCGAGCCTCTGGCTCGTCCCACCTGGTCACTCTGTAGCTTCCACCTCCACAGCACCATGACCAGCGAGTGGACTGTGTCCATCGACGACTCAAGCCCCCTCATCCAGTACCTACCCCACGGTGCGTCTGTTCGCTTGACATGCAAATCCTGAAGATCATCTCATGATGGCACCGCAGGGGATGGTGGTGTTGGTGACTGGACGAACACCGGCTGGCAGCCCTGGTTCTCCGGTTCAGGCGGGTTCAACAGCGCGGGCGGAAACGACGGTGTAGGCGCGTCATATCATGTTACCGCCTTTCCTGGTGCTCGTTTCGACCTCTTATTCTATGGTGAGCTTTCTCGTTCTGTGTTCTATCTATGCACGCGTCAACTCGGATAACTTTGAAGGCACCGGCGTCTCCCTACTTGGCAACACCAGCTGCTCGTATACGGTCTCTATCGACGGTGCCTCCGAGTCCTTCCAAGCAACTGAGGGCACATTGTACTCCAAGGATGGCCTCTCTGTAGGGACACACAATGTGTCTGTGACCGCCGACGCTTCAGCCTCGGGTCAATTTTGGTTTGATCGTGCAGACATCTCCCGTCCTCTTCCCGCAGGGTGAGCATGCATGCCCAGCGTATACTGTCACATTCTGATAGTCACGTCCAGCGCCGGCGCTCCCACCTCAATCGTATACCAAGCGACCAACACCACATTCCTGCAGTACAGCGGTGACTGGAAGGTTCAGAGCGACCCGAATGGCCAAATCCCGAGCAAAGACCACCCCGCGCCATTTCAAGAGGTCCAGGACGCCCCTGCATCGGTATCCTTTTCTTTCGAGGGGAGCGGTGTCGCCGTCAACGGGTCGCGCAACTGGGGTGGCTTTACGTATGATGTCGTAAGTCCAATACGCGTAGTTGACTTGATGGTGGATTTTACTGACCACATGTGGCAGAACCTCGATGGGAACGTCAGCACGTACAACGCTAGCACGATGTGGTTGATTGGCGACGCCTTGCTTTACTACCAGGAGGGGCTGGATCCTCAGACGACGCACACGGTTAACATCACACCTAGAGTGGGCGGCGGATTGAAGTTCTGGCTCAACTCGGTCACACTGCTGGCGGACTCCGGCAATGCCATTGCTGGTGGCACAAATAGGTTCGTGCCCCTAACACGTTCCGTATTTCAGAACCGAGTCTGACCGAGAACGCACAGCTCCAACAGCTCTACACCCACAAGTACAAGTACAGGTACAAGCTCTGCAAGCTCGATTCCTAGTACGACGGGGTCGCCCGTCAACGACTCGGCATCTGCCAGCAAGAAGACAAACGTGGGGGTAATCGTCGGGCCCATCGTCGGCGGGATCGCCGTTCTGCTGATCCTCGCAGCCCTTGCGCTTTGGTACCGCCGCAGGCGGCGCGCAGCCTCCACCGCCTACACGAAAGCCCAGTTCTCGCCGTCGCCGTACGTGCTGCCCTCCCCCTCCCCCACGCCCGCCACACAGGAAGCAGGCGCCTCCGCGCCAGGCACCCCCCGGCCGTCCAAACTCGCCGCTGAGGCCAACTCGCCCTACGCGGGCCTGCAGGCCGCACGCTCCCCGCAGATGTCCTCGCACCCAAGCACGAGCTCCGTCGTGTCGTCGCCCCCGCCGCAGACGGCGCAGAGCCTGCCGCCCGGTGTCGCGGTCTCGTCCGGGGCGTCCGAGGCGTCGTCCGCGCAGCCGCAGTCGCCTGCGTCGGCGGCGGCGGTGGATCGCCTCATACAGATCATCGCGGACCGTATCGACCGCACGCACCCGCCACCACCGATCAGGTACGACTATGGCGCGGACGTGCCGCCGCCGGAGTACGGTGCACTGTGATTCTGAGGGCCCGAGGGGGCGTGGGCGTGTCGAGTTTTGTCATGGTACTGTAATATTATACCTCGCGGACGCTAGCGTGTCGTGCGCGTAATGATCTTGTCTGACTCTCGTTACTTCTTGCGGGGCTGGTGTCCAACTTACTGGCGCCGTAGCCCTTAGTTCACATTCCTTTACGTCCCTGTAGCATCTATAGTATATCCGCGACTCACCGCCGATTCGTCTCGCATGTATGATATCACTGTGTAAGACAGCATGCAAATGAGATGGATTGCGCGAGAGCTATGCTATTAACAGTGTGACGACGACGACACCTGCGACCCGATGTGTGTGGAGGGGGATGGGTCCGGAATAAGGATATACAGGATTACAGGATACAGCGCGAAGCGAGCGTCCGCGATTATAAGATATGTCAAGAATAGTCCAAGCAGGGGAAGGAGAAGCGGGCATTATTCAGCTTTTCGTCTCGCGTACGAGCTTTGGACGCGGATGTAGGTTTGTGCGCCGGCTGTGCGGAGCTCGTGCTCGGCATTGCTTTCGAGCTCGTCGACCATGCAGACGTCGAGTCCGTTGCTGAGAAGGAGCGGCCTTCCAGATTTCAAGAAAGCCTACAGACACTGCATGAGTATACCGCATGTGTTTTATATGTTTGAAACGCAAACGTACCAGGATATCATCACGCATCATAGCGCCTATCCGGTTTTCGCGTGCTGTTTGTGCATCGTGGCCCTCCTTCCAGGGGCCAGTCTGGAACCAGATCTCGCGGTACACCTGCTCCTCGAGGAGCGGCTGGTCGCGCACCCAGCGCTCGAGGTGATTTGCGGCGTCCGGTTCTCCGCCGCGCTGCTGCACGGCCACGTTGACCATGTTCATCCAGCGCGCGAGCCACGGAGTCTCCTCCTCGAGGCGCGAGGGCAGGATGGGCGTCTTGTCGACGTCGTACACGCGAAAGTCGAACTCGGAGAGCTCGATGAGACCCCGGGGACGCAGTGTCTGCGCCATCTCGTCGATCAGCCCTGCATAGTCGCGGATCTGAGATAAAGGTTAGTCAATTTGACACGCGAGCCGCATTTGGTAACACGAGAAGCAACGGAGATTGCGATGAGATTCGATCACTGGGCGATCTGAATCTCAGGCGCCCGCGGCACCGACCCCGAAGTCCGAAAGCGGAAGGGGCACGTACTCCGGATGAGACCAGGCGGGCGTGCGCGACATTGAATGCGCCGTAGAAGTGCTGCAGTCCGAGATTGATATCGTCAACCTCGCTCCTGGTAGGGTGTGAGCCGTATGTTTTATGGAGCACGCGCTGGCGAACTCACCGGCAATTCGGAGGCATGTTTCTGTGTCCGGACATTGAGTTAGTGAACCCTGGCGCAGCCGCCCGTTCATGACCACTCACACGTCTTGCATGGGAACGAGGTCTACTGCGACCGCACTACAGTGTGGGAAATCCTTCGCGACGTCGAGTATCCTGGAAACCGGAGAATCAGGCACACAGCATCACGGGAGGGGCGTAGTGCGCGTACCAGCTGCCACTTCCACAACCCAGGTCTACGCAGGTCTTCGATACTCCCGGTTCGTCCGCGAGCACTTCCTCCATACAGTGGGGGTACTTCCCCATCGCCTCCATGAACATGATGTGTTGGCTGTCTGTTGATGGCATCAGTAACTTTGCGGCACAACGCTGCGCAGGGACCATACCGAGGCGTTCGAATTCCTCGTCGTCCGCTGGTAGGCGGTACACTTCGGAGTAGTTGTTGATGCCTCTACCAAACTCGTGGCGATATGATGCGGCGCGGAGTGAACTGGTCATAGAGTACATTGAGGGAGCCGGAGAAGCCGAGCGCATGTCCCAGTCATGGGAGGTCGCGGAGGTTGCGACACTGGGTGCGAAGCCGAGACTTGCAGGCGCAGAAAACACGGACCCGGCGTCGGTGTCCATATCGTCGTCGTCGTCTTCATGGTGGTCGAGACAGGAGGGGTGTTCGCAGGCGACTTGCATTTGGTGGTAGTGCGAGGTGGATGGTGAGACGAGCATGAGGGCTGCGAACGGAGGAGGCGAAGGAACGGTTCTGAAGGGGTGATATATATACGGAGCGCGGCATACGACAGTCGACGGCGGAGGACATCTCGTCGAACCGAGTCCCGTACAAATCGGACGTCACGTGCGCGGCTGGGATTGGAGGGCAGGGCATCTCCGTGCCCCGACGGGTGGCGGGGGGCCCGGGCAGCGTTCCGTGGAAAGGTTCGGCCGCGTTGAGACGGGCGGCTGGCTCGGCTTTCCCTTTCGAATGCGCTCGGTTCTCCGTTCTCGTACTCGTCCTGCCCGTTCCTGCAGCATGCCATCAACGCCTGCCAGCACGCCCAGTGGGAGGCGCGCCCCCGAACCTGCCCGCAGCTCCTCCGCTTTCCTTCGATCCTGATTGAGCCCACCAGTGCCCCGCTTCGACGCACACGAGTCCGACGCCCTCTTGATGGCCAATTATCCCTCCGCCGGTCCCCTTTGCGCCCATTCATTGGCCCTCCTTCTGCCGCTTTCGCATCTCATCTCTTCCTTGCGCGACTCCCGAGTCCGAACACCGCGCCTGCAAGCACCCGCCAGCTCGGCGGAGTGAGCTCCAGTCTCCGTCGTGAGCTTCAGCGGGCTGTGCATACATGTGATCCCTCTTTCTCATGGACCGCTGTCAGACGAGTATTGTGCTCCCCAGTGAGATACAGAGTAATAGAGCGCGCATAGGCCCATCGCCGACTTACTGCCACGTCCACATGGCAGACTCCAGGATGTCACCGGGAAATTCCGCACCTTGTCCTGGTAATTGCACCGCTGATGCCTGATCCATGGAACCTCAAGCCTCTGAATAGCTATACGACCGTATATACAGATGGATCCGGATGCGATACGAGCCCCCAGCACTCGCTCAACCTCGCCCAGAACGCGCCGGGTACAGTCGCACCTTCTGGGCGGAGCTCAGGCGATGGGAAGGCGCGCCCTCCCCGTCCACTTCGCGCGTTCCAAAGGAAGGTGAACTGGTGTCTTCCCCGGACCCATCTTTTTCACCCTGCGCTTCCTGTGGCTGTTGAACGCCTCTTTAACTCAATCGGAGCGACCATCCGGTCCGCTCGATCTCGGAGGATGCGACTTGCGGTCGTCCGCCGACTAGGTTCGTGGTGCACACGCGCCGGCCGGGCCAGCGACATATCCCTGGATTTGGGCTTGGGGTGTACAGGTGCCGAGTAGCACCCCAGTCCGTTCCGCAATTCGAATCGAGACCGCGTCAACACCGTCGGATGTCGTCGCGGCAGAACGCGGTGGTGCACCTTTGTCCGCGGTGCGTCCTACTCTCGAATACCTTGCCATGCAGCTATAGTACTGCTATCATGGTTCGCAACAGGTCTCCAGGTACGTGATGTTTCGTGACCGCTATTTTAAACATACCATCCGGTCTGATGGCATGCTCAGGTTCGGCGGCCACTGGGCAGAAGTATTGCGACACTATCGTTCGGCGACGGAGTCTGACGGTCAGGAAGGACTCATGGAGAATCTCGGCTTGTCCAGATCCCCCTCTCTGCCTCGGATTTATGGTTCTTCCATCCGATGGCCCTTCGTAGGCATCCACACCGCGGTTCTTGTGCGTCATTGAGAGCCGCTGCACTCCTTGGGCCGCGCTGATCATCGGTTGGACGCCGTCGTTCGCCGTGCGTTATGGGATGTACATCTAGACCCAGATACGACTGCCATCGGCCGAGACCTGCGGGAATGTCAGACGATATGTGTACCGCACCACCCGCGCGTACAGAGGGCCACGGTGGGCACCCACTGTAAAAGAATCGTTACACACGCACATGACATGTGCTTGTGTATACTCCCTTGCCGAGCTTCCCGCGGCGAGCTGGCACGCATGTCATAATCACGACGCCCTTCTCACGACCCAGAGCCTTGTTTCCATCGCGATATCGACGCTAATATTCATGGGACTGTGGTCATCGACAGGTGCGCAAGCGAATACGATGCGATCCGTCGTTTACCCGACTCTACTACGCGCCTTTGGTTCGGATTGCTGTTTCCTCCGGCCACGTCGCATGTGAGTACAAGTTCCAAAACATAGCGTTTTTTCTCCGACGTAACTATAGGCGATACATGACGTTGACATCAGGGCAACATCAGGGCAACCTGAGCAGGGGTGAACGGATGGTCCCGACCGTCGGCCAGCCGGACACAGATCCAGAGAGCAATCGCATCTGCTGTACAGGCACCACGCAACCCTACCAAAATTCCGCCGACGGGGCAGCCAGCGGCATTGAGTTGCCTCCCTGCGCCGAAGCGTGATCCGCCGCTCACACAGGTCCTGCCTATTGCCGTAGCCGGTGAGTAAACCGACAGCCCGTCACGATCCGGGCGGCTCAGCCTCGCAGCGTGAATCACCCACACGTTCGCGTAGATACTGGATGGGCACTGCAGCCTCCCGAGGTGAGTCCGGAATTAGCTTGGAAGCCCGGACGTTGAACCCTATGAATGTGTGCGGTGGATGTCTGAACACCTCTGACTCTATTTGTTGAGGGCATGAGATTGCCTGTAGCTCGGAATAATCAGACTACTTAAATTGGGATCCACATACCCGAGTGTAACTGAGAGACTTGTCGCGCTCATCCACACAAAATGCTGTCGACAAAAGCACGTGTCTCGCGGCGATGTAGCCGAGAGGCACCTGCGACCACCAACTCACCTCGCGACGTCACGAATTCAAGACCGCGAATGTCCGTAGGTGCGGCTAATGAAGCCATCAGGCCCCGTCTAAACAGATAGCACCCGATAAGTACCGGTATGAGAGTGCATACTCACTTCCTCGCCGGGCCGTGTCCGTCTGTGGTACAAAACAAAGATCTTACATTACTCCATGAACGTACAACAACCCTCGGTATCTCCGATCCGCAGGCTAGCGCTTCTTCAATGCCTCAAAACGCTTCGCCAACGCCGTAAACTCGTCTTCCTGGGGAGCCTTCGCGGGGGGATCCGCAGGCGGGCTCGCGAGCCCCGCCGACTTCTCAACACGCGGCGCTTTCTCTTCCACCGGAACTTCGGGAAGCTTGGGCGTGCGCACGCCCGCGCTCCTGGCTTCCGCCGATATCGCTGCAGCGTCCAGCGGCTTCGGCGAGTCCAGAGCCGCAGACGGCGCTGCTGCCTTCGCTGGCGTCGCAGGCTCTTCCGGCCGTTCCTATATATCCATACCGGGCTCAGTGGTTCCGCACGCTCGGGCGAGACGCGCGAGCTTACCGTGACGCCTCCGTCCGGGCCCCCATCCTCGTCTTCGTCCTTTGTGCTCGGTGGGATTGGGGGCGACCACGCTACGCCGTACCCCTTCGCGATCTCGCCGAGATAGGCATCGACCAGCGCCGATGACGGTGTCGATATATCCAGCTTCCGGGTGACCTAGAACACGACGGTCACTCGCAGCCGGGGAGGACTAGTTGGAAGCACGTACACGTTCACTGACTATTCTATCCTTGTTCTCCATGACCGCGATCGAGAACTCGCGGCCGAACTTGTGCATCAGGATGTCGCGGAGAATTTGCAGCTCTGCGCCGAGACCTCAGTTGGACCGCTAGCTCGGTGAATGCATGATTGACGTACCCTTTAGCTCTGTTCTGGGCGCCGCGTATATCACGGCGCAAACTCCTTCGCTCACGGCTGGATCTGGCTCCCGCGTACTGTCCGAACAGCCAATATGTACGTCAATGGGCCGAACTAGCGGAACGGAATCGGACGGACCTCTGATCCAGGAGCCCGAAGCGCGAGATGAGGAGTTCGCAGTACATCTCGAGGAGTTCCAGTAGCTCGACATAGACGTCTTCATTGATGACTGGCGGACTATCAGGCCGGGCACGCTGGACGGCGATGCGGGAGGTGCTCACTGTTCTCGACTTTGATCCTCGCAGTTTCCACCTTACCCTTCTCAAGCAGAAGGGCTATGTCTCTCCGCGCGGCCTTTGCCTGGGCACTCTTCTTCTCCTGCAGGGTCCGCAGCCTCTGTACGCCTAGCCTGAGAGCACGAGGATAAGAATGAGCCTGGATCCAAGCATTGGTCGGTAGTACCGGAGTTGAACCTATACACGGCAGCACATCAGTCACCCTTGCGCGCAGACATACGTGTAATAGCTACAGACCTTTGCTTTAGCAGAGTTCCAGGGCACCATGTTCGGAGAGTTGTGGAGGTGTTGGATAGACAGTGTGTGTAATTAGACGCCTATGATGAGAGGAGCGCCCATTGAGCTAGATCCGATCTGATCTGACGGCCCGATCCAGCCCGGGGAAATGTTTTGCAGTGTTTTCCCCGCAACGTCGGCCTCCTCGGCGCATCGCGCTGGGCGTCCAACACCTTCTGATGATGCCTCTCACTTGCAAACGCGCGCGGTGCTCGTACTTGGCCACGTCTCGGACATGTACGCAGTCAGGACATCCTATCTGCTCAACTTTCACGTCATACCGCGCATCTGACATGCTGTGAGTCTTCGGGGAGACTGGCGGCGCGCTTAACGATGGACAGAACTGCGTGGATTGTTTTGCATGTTAGGAAGCCGATAGGTATGCATACGCAGCGGGCCTTTCTTCCACTTCTGGATAGGTTACCATGCAACAGACTGCTGACGCTCACGCCCGCAGGGCGGCAACAGATGTATCATTCACCCACATGAAGTTTACCTGAACCTTCGGTACCGGTGTCCCACGACATACAGCCCCCACTCGCCCCTCTGTCAAACCCTATAGCCTCCTGTCAAGTGGCCTTATCATGCGTAGTACGTGAGCCTTTACCCTGTGCCTGTGAATGCGCCCGCGGGCCGCCCACATTGTTCGAGACGGAGTTGGGAGAGGCGGTTGGTGCGGGCGGCGTCATGCCTTGGCATCCCTGGTTGGCAAATGTCGCTATGATTGTACGGCTGTAAGTGAACTTAAACTGGTAGCAGAGAACGATGCTCACGACCGTTCACAGTGGTTCCGCTCTTCCAATTTGGCCTCATCCGGTCGCGCCGTCCTGAGAAGCGCGTTTGTCAGGAAGCTGTCTAGCTCGCGGGGCCGGTAGTGCGTTGGACACATTATTCCCCCCGTATAGAACAGTGCCCACACAAGTTGAGACCATGGGCGTATTCCAATGTACGAATATACATCTGCGTCTAAAGCCCTAGATTAGGCAAGACGTTCTGGGTCCTGGTCCGTAGATGTGGGCAATCACGTTTGTGATGGTAGCTGTCTGAGGAGGGGAACATATGAGCCGCTGCGCTGGAGATATACTCCCGCGATGCGATCTCCCCCGCGTACTTACTGGACTGCAGCGCAAGCCTGAGCTTGCCATCTTACCCTCACTCCGCTTGGTGTACCTGTGAGCTGCCGGTGCATGCAGTGTTGAACGCCCTCCCGCCCTAAAGTGCTGCACATGGCTGGTCCACACTCTCGTCTCCCTGCGAAGCGCGGCGCTCCCCTCCCTCGACTGTGGATAGACCCCAATTTGTCGAGCCCCGAGCTCCCCACGCCGCCCTCCGCAAGTTCACCAGAGCGCACCAGCCTGGCGACCTCTTCAGAAGAGACTCTCACCCCGGAGTCGGCGGAGGTCTTCTACGTGTTGTGTCTGTATGACTACAACGCAGAGGATGGCAGCCAACTGTCCTTCCGCCGAAATGATATCCTGGAGGTCGTGAAGAAGGAGGAAACTGTACGTAGCTGTCTTTTCTGACTAGTTCGTGGCGACTCATGTTACCCCAGGGATGGTGGGCTGCCGTTCGCCCCGAGGACGACACCGTTGGTTGGATCCCGAGTGCATTTGTGGAGCCGATCTCCGATGCCCTCGCAGACAAACTGCGGAATAGTGGCGGCAACGTGCAGATCTACCAAGAGGACGCAGATAGGTTCCAGGGCTCCCCCGACTCACAGCTGACCGACCCTTTTGCGGTTGGTCCCGATGGCGAACAGCGGGGGTACGAGTGGATGCCGCTGGTCGATGGCGAGAAGGTAAGCGTATTGCTGTTATGTGTCAAACAGGATATCCGCTTATGCGCTACACCGGTCAAAGGTCCCTACTATCATGCAATTAGGGTCCGACCCCGCTATCCATCCGAGCTTAGCCAACGTCTTGAGCCCCCTCGTACCTCCCCATGAGGGTATAGACGGAAACTTTCTGGAGATAGAGTCCGAACTCTCCCCCACTGAAGTGGCCATCTCGAGACGTAAGGCACGACCCCGGCCTACGCTAGAGGAGGATGGTGCCCAGGTTATCACTGTGTCCACTCCGCCACCCACAGGACAGAGCCCCATGCCATCCACCCCTCGCACCCCTTCTCGCCGCCGCAGTCTCTCACTGCCCTCCGGCGAAATCGTTCCCTCCGAGCATCAGAGATCGCGGTCCGAATCCGCGAAGCCTGCGGTCGTTCGCCACATGCGCCGCCGCCCTCTGCTGATAGATGACCAGTCTTCTCTCAGTCGGCTCACCACACTCTTTGAAGCACACAACGTCGAGGAGCTGGATTACCTTATCGCGAGCCCGGTCGTTGCGGAATCCTTCGATGCGTTCACACGTACGACGAGGGCGGCGACGTCGCGTCCGGACAAGGTCAAACAAATCACAGGGGACGACGAGGCCCAGGCTTTCCACGACGCAAAAGTGGTTCACGGGACCTGGTATCTGCGACCTATGTACGGCGAAGATGAACTTCAATTGCAACCGGACGGAGCCGTATCCGCTGGTAGCCTGCGCGCCCTCGTTGAACGGCTGACCGTGGACTTTCCAAGTAAGTAATGCTTTCCTTTGACGTCGTCGAGACCGCCGCTGACTAACGTTGTGCAGAGCCTGTCCAGGAGACGAAATACCGACAAGCGTTCCTGACGACCTACAAATCCTTTGCTACCGCCGAGGAAGTGTTCGACCTGTTGTTAGCGCAATTCAACATCAGCCACCCTACCGCTCTCAACTTGAAGGAGCTGGAGCAGTGGAAAGAGAGGAGGCTAAAGCCCACTCGGCGCCGGGTCCTCGCCGTGCTGCACCTATGGATCGAGGAATATGGCCTCCTCCAGGACGACGCGTATCTTGCACGGCGGATTGTCGACTTTGTGTCGTCGATCACCAAGCCGCCTCAGCTCGCCAACACCGCTCGCGAGGTGCTCAAGTCGCTGGAGCGCTACGTGAGTAGCACTTTCTGCGCTACACAGTGCATCGTCTAACATTCACACAGATCTCGAACATTCCCGCGACACCTGTATCCGCCACCCGACACAAGAGGAGCAAAGGCTCGAAAGGCGATCTCCTGAAAATAGACACGCTGCTGCTCGCCGAGCACCTCTGCATCCACGAACAGAAGCTATATTCACGCATCCGTGTGTCGGAATGCCTCAACTGGGTCAAATCACCGGCCGGGAACGGAGTGAAGCATCTCGCCGCGTTTAACGCCTTCAACGAGAAGCTGTGCGCGTGGGTCAAGACCAGCATTCTGAACACGGAGAGCACGGGCAAACGGGCAGACACCATCGACTTCTGGATCAAGATCGCTGAGGTGAGCGGGCTGTGTTCGCCATGACATACAGAGCTGATGGGTGTCCCCTTGACAGAAATGCAAAACTCTGCACAACTATGCCTCGATGTATGCTCTCGTCGACGCGCTGTCGAGCCCCGTCGTCAGCCGCCTCCACCTCACTTGGGCGCATGTCGGACGTCGCTCACATCTCGAGCAGCTTGCGAAGTACCACGACCCGACGGGCAGCTTCTCCGCGTACCGCCTCTCGCAGCGCGCAGTGGACGGGCCGTGCATCCCCTACATCGGCATGCACCTCGCAGACATGCAGGCGGCGAACACGCAGGCCCCCGACAACACCGTCATCCTCTCCTCGTCCTCGACGTCGAGCAGCCCGCTGTCGCTCATCAACTTCGCGAAGCGCGAGCGGTGGTACGAGGCGATCGAGGCGATCGTGCGGCACCAGCCGCGCACGTATGCGTTCGCGGAGGACGCGAGCGTCGTCGCGTACGTTGACGCGAACATCGCGGTCGCGGGGGAGAAGGACCAGGGCTCGTTCTGGATGAAGAGCCAGGAGCTTCAGCAGGCTGAGCTCCAGCACGCGGACATCCGCAAGGGTCTCGAGCTAGCAGGCTTCTAGAGCTCGACCACCGGTGGTCAATATTTATTGGTATATGTACGTTTCCGTCCTCCGTTTTCACTCGTTTGTTTATACGGGCCATGGTGCCTGTGCCTCTCGCTGATCTACACTCTTGTATGCCGCTCTTTCTTATTGCTACGATCATTATTACCTGCTGTATCCTCTGCTCACCTGTAATTGGTATATCACACGCCTGTCAATCATAAATAGTTCTTGGTACAGACCGAAAGGGAGGGAACCACAGGTGTACTAGGTATCCCCGAAACGTAGTCCATATATAACAGAATGATTTGAAAGGTGTAGATTACAAATGAGAAGGTCGGTCGAAGCGGGGAAAGGTGTAACCTGCAGGAAAAGGGGATGTGGGGGGCTCCAGTGTGGGGGTAGGAATGACAGATGGAGATGGCGTCGGAAGGCATTGTCATGATGCTCAGCAGTTGCACGCCTCATTCTGGCCCTGTCCACCGGCGGCTTGCTTGTTGAGGTCGACGCCTGTCCTGCCCGCAGCACCCGGTCGGCTAGCGCCGCCTCGCGCAGACGGCGCGGCAGTGAGGGGAAGCTTCTTGGCTGTGGGGCACCCAGTTAACCGAGTACCCGAGTTTACAAGAGGTGGGGACGTACCGATAGCGTTGAATATCTCGGAAACACCTTCGCCGCTCTTGGCACTGGTCTCGCCCCACATCAAGCCCTCCTCCTCGGCGTACTTCTTCGCCTCCTCTTGAGAGACCTGGCGGCGGGCCGCAAGATCGAGCTTGTTGCCGCACAGAGCAATGACAATGGATGGGTCGGCCTGACGTTGCAGTTCGCGGATCCAGGACTTCGCCTTCTCTAATGACGTGGACTGCGTGATATCATATACCACTACCGCGCAGTTGGCATTGCGGTAGTACATTGGTGCCTGAAATGACGTGTATGAGGATCAACCGGCTACACGGCGTGAAGGGAAACCTACAAGGGACTGGAGTATAGCATGTCAGCCTCCGAACAGTATTCACGCGAGCAGAGTCACATACCTTATAACGCTCCTGGCCCGCGGTATCCCTATTTCAAACGCGATGAGGTTAAAGAGACCGAGGTGCCTTTGAAGAAGTCTTACCAGATCTCGAACTTGACGGTAGTCGAGTCCTCCAGAGTGACCGTTTGGGTCAGGAACGCGGCTTGTGGGGTTCAGGTTCAGGGTCCTGGGTTAATAGAAGGTGTATTACAACATACCACCGATGGTGCTCTCCCGGTAATCATCGAATTGGTCCTTCACGAAGCGCAGGACGAGACTAGCATTGCGAAGCTCAACACGGATATACGTGCAGGACCGAAGCGGCAATGAATTACCTGGACTTCCCCACCGCAGATTCGCCTGAAGGAGCAGTCAGACAAGGCATATTCCGACCCATTTCGAATATTGGACGCACCGAGAAGAACGAGCTTGAACTGGAACTGTTTGGACATGGCGGAGGATGGCGAGGAGGAGGTGGCGGGCGGAGGCAATGTGTCTGCCATCGCGCAGCCAGGCCGCTGACGCCGATGAGGCGAGGGCTCCTCGGGGCACTGCTAGGCGCCCACGGAGGGGCCTCCGAAAGCGGATTGGTTTCCCACGCGCTTCCTCTCCACAAGTCGACGAAATTGATCATTTTTTCTTTCCTCTTGACCACCACCTTCGCACTGCACTCACAACGTTGCTCTCTGCCACCCCGCTTCCTGCAAATTTGAGCTCAGCCGCCTGCGACCATCTCCTCAACCGATAGTATCTGTCTGCCGACCACAACTGAGCTATCTCCTGAAATCGACAAGCACGACACGTCACTGAGCGCATATCCTATCGCGAGATTGAAGATATCTATTGAAGACCTCTGAGACCATGAACCGGCACCATCCATACGGAGGATCCTATGACGGTCCACCCCGCAGAGGTGGACCCCCCGGCAACTATGGGCCTGGTCCTGATAGATCCCACCGCTATGACCGGGGCGGCGGCGCCCCAAGAGGAAGAGGTTTCGGCCGCGGCCGTGGCGGTGGTCATGGCTCGTACGGCGGTGGCTACGGTAATGCAGCCCAGTATGATCAAGGTCCCCCGCAAGGCCAAATGGGCGGCTACAACAATAATTACCAGTCAATGCCGCCACAAGATCCTTACTATCAGAACGGCAACTATGCTGCTCCTGGTCCCGGGCAGTACAACGCGCCAGATCCATCTGGCGGCTTTGATCAGGGTTATGGCTTTGAAGGTGCGCTTGAGTGTCCCCGTTTAAGCTTTCAGTTCGTCCATCGTAGGCGTGCAGGCGGAGGTTCCTCAGAACCTCGGGTGCACAAGCTGCACTTTTTGACACACGACCGTGAATTTGAGCTCTGGACCCGTGGATTGAGCTCTAGCATGCGTCCGACGTCTTGCCTCTGGGAATTTTGATTTCAAAATGTTATCCCAGCTGAGGGGATATTCTTCAAAACGTGCATTAGCAGAGGAGCGCTATGTTGCACACGAATTCAGGGATGGCGTTTTTCGTATTTTCGAGTCTTCTTTTGGACTGCGTCGCCTACGTCGTTAACGCCACGAGTACATTCTCACGTCCATTAACTGTTTCCGTTAGATGGTTCGGACCAGAACTACAATCAGGGTGGCGGCTACGGACGATCCCCACAGAAAAAACCGCAGCGTCGCGAGCGAGACGACAAGGTACACGACTCCATCATTGAGGAACGATTGCAACGCGAGCGACCTTGCCGCACCCTCTTCATACGTAACATCAAGGCAAGTTCACCACGTTCACGGATAAGCACCCCACCAACGGCTTCTAATCAACGGCGAACACAGTACGAAACTAGCAGCGACGATGTAAGACGGCTGTTTGAGGAGCACGGTGAAATCAAGACGTTCTTCGATTTGATCGCCAACCGAGGAATGGTCTTCGTAACATATGTAAGTGTTGATGTTTCGCACATCATGAGTTTGTGTCTCATCCACGAGTAGTTCGATTTGCGGGCTGCCGAGAGAGCGCGGGATCGATTGCAAGGGTCCGAGATTAGTGGTCGTCCTGTAAGTGAACCTATCGCCCGCTGACGAGTCACGATTCACTAAGCGTTCTAGATCGACGTTCACTACTCCTTGCCACGAGACGACAACGGCAAAGGCGCAGATCGGCAACGGGAGCAGGTGTGTTATCTTCTAGTTGTATATGCAATGTCACTAATACCATTTGTAGGAGCTTCAAGGAACATTGCTCGTCACTCTTCGCTCCCCGTCCAACCAACCTATCGATGACGGGGAGGTACGTCATAAATTCCAGCAATTCGGGGACATCAAGGCCGTCGGGCCTTCAGGCGACCGCCCTGAGTAAGACATTCCGTCCTTGTGCATGCTTCATACTAAGTTGACTGTGCGATTAGCCAACGCTTCGTCGAATACTACGACACGAGGGTGAGTCCCGCGGTCTTCAGAGCGAATTCAAAGACTCATGTTCGTCAGGCGAGCGAGGAGGCACACGACCGACTTCGTCACCAAGGACTTCAAGATGGCGTAATGGAGATCGTTTTCGCAGCCTCCGGCGGCGATGACCCCCGTGGGGGTTCACCTCGGTATGTATCGTTGGCTCGTGAATCGTCTACCATACTGAGCTCCAAGTAGCCGTGACCGGGAAGAGCATGGAGGTTTCGAAAGACAGCGTGACTGGGAAGAGCCGAATACCCGTGGTCGTCGCGGCGGCCGTGGCGGCCGTGGAAGGGGTCGCGGGTATGGCGGTGGCGGTGGCGGCGGCGGCGAAGATTATGGAGGCGACCGGCGGGACTGGAACCGCGACCGCAATCGTTCTAACGAAGATGAATTCGGCCGGGCCCCGCGTGGCGGTGGTGGTGGGGACTTCAACAACCGGGGCGGCCATAGGTCCAATGGATCCGGTTCCTATGGAGGTGGCCCTGGCTATGGTGCACCACCCCCCACGTATGGCCAATCTTCATCGGCTCCTGCAGAGGTAAGTCTTGATACAGCTACAGGTAGCGCTATGTTTAAATTGTATCCTAGGCCGCAGATGAACGCGAACGCCTTGAGCAGGCGAAGAAGGTTCAGCAGGTGGGTTTGGACTCACTCGCACTACTGTCACGTTCTAACCTATCGCTCATAGTTACTGGCCGCACTGAAACAACCCCAAGCTGCTGCCGCACCTCCTACTCCTACTCCTGCGGCTCCTCCTGCGCCGCCGGCGATGCCCCAGATGCCGCCAGCTCCCGCAGCCCCAGCGCCCTACTACAACCAGAACGGGATGGGTATGCCACCCCAGCCGCCGGCGTACGGTGCCAACCACAGCGCAGCTCCGCCCGCGAACCCATATGCTTCGATGTCGTCGCCACCACAGCCTCAGCAGCCTCCTCAGAGTGCTTCTGCCGCATCTATCCCAGGCCTGCCTCCGAACATCCTGGCCCTGTTACAGCAAGGCAGTCAGGCCCAGCAGTCGCCTGCGCAGACTGGGTCCCTGCCGCCGCCGATGCCCCCGTACAGCATGCCCCCTGCGTCGGCCATGATCGGGGCTCAGCAGGCTCAGCAGCAGCAGTCACCGCCGATGCCTGGCATGCCCCCTTCTGCCGCAAGCCAGCCTGGCTACGCGCAGCTTATGGCTTACCTTGTGAGTGCGCAAGCTGCACTTCCGGCATTTCGATGCTGATTATATGCGTTCGTAGCAATCCCAGAAACGTTAGATGGGTTTCTGAGAGCTCGCTGCTCCTTTTCTTGCGCTATCTTATCCTAAGTATGTTCGTGTACATGACCCCAGCTCCTCCTTCTCTCGTCAATATATGCTTCTTGCATGCGCGTAGTATCCATGTCACCGAATGTGTTAGCGTTGATGTGATTGGTCCTCCCGCGCCCGAGTAAGTACCGTTTGAGCCCCGCTAGGCGCCTCTGCATATATATGCTTAACTCGACTTTGCTCTCGCTTGTGTCCCTGTTGCACAGACCGCGAGCATGCTGAATCTCACCAACCTTCGCACTTTGATTTCTCGTGTGCTCGCTCCGCCAAATCTACACACTGTTGCCCTGTTCACGCCGGAAGGAGAGCTGGTGTGTTACGCCTCCGACCCCAGTAAGACGAAGGACCATGTCCGAGTGATCGTGGGCCTATCCACCGAGACCTGGCAAGAGACTCGGGAACAGCATGTCGGTAGGGTGGATTCAGAGGTCTGGTCTTGCTTTAATTTTCTATTCATTAAGTCGCTGATAGATTTGTGTGATAGCTTGGCCACCTGCTTGTGCTCCCCATAGAGCCACCGAAGAAGGATGACAAGGACGACGATGACGACCCCCTGATGCTGCTCGCGCTGAACTCCGAGACCAGCATTCCATGGGACGTCTTGGAGAACAAAGTGAGCAGAATACTGTTAAAAGTGGACGTTGCTCATCCTCTTGTTCGGCTTGCAGGGCAGAACGTTGGTTGAACACCTGGAGAAGCCGGTCGCGCAACTCAGCCAGACACTTGCCGCCCCTCCTGCTCCTCCCGTGAGCCCGCGAGCCGACCGGGGGACGCGGTAACGCTACCCTTACACTCCGATGGGACTTCGCAAGGAGGTACGCGCAAGGCCTCGTATCCTACCTACCTCGGCCCGTGCTGACATCATCGGGCCCCGAAGTAGGCCTCCTCGTATCCTCTCGCACCTTGCAAATCGCCAGCGCGAATTGAAGACCTTGAACAGCAATATTTGACGGCCTACGCGGTTCCTTATGACATCTTGTCGGGTACCTGCATGCAAAAATCCTCCCACAACCTTCGACATTCGGGCGCGATCCGCTGCGACTCCCGAGCCTTAGTTACTGCGCGTCCTCAGATCGGGTCCCACGAAGGCTCCTCACGGTCGGGCCTGAAAATGTGCTGTGTCCCGGGTTCTTCACGATGTCGAGACCGCCGTATGCTGTGTAATAGCTTGAGAGGTGTTTGTGGTGCGATAAAATACATGGGAATTGATTGGAGAACGTGCGGGGGTGGGACGAGGCGGCGACTATGGAGGCCGGAAGCGGGCGCGGAGACTACATACGGACGCGCGCCTTGGGCGCTGTCTCACCGACCTCCTTCCCGGACCCTCCGATAGCCAACTGCGCGCCCCCTCGACGTCAACGTCACCTCTCTCCCCCGTCTCATCCCTCTCGACGCCCGCGGTAGCGTCCTTGCTGGTCATGCGACGATGCGCTGTTGCTGGGGCCCGCCGGCCTTGCCTACCACTGCCAGCTTCGGTCACGCGGGCTCGCGCGCACAGAAGTTACAGCGTACACGTCCAACAGAAAAAGGCTTCCACAGCACAACCGCAGGCGCCTCCAGTAAATGACGCCCTTTTCGCGACATCGGCGGTGCCCAAGGCCCCCGCCCCCCGCCCGGACCCATACGCCCTCGTCGCGCCGCAGCTGAAGGAGCTACGGGAGACGCTGCTCAACCTGCTCGGCTCGTCCCACCCCTCCCTCACCGAAATCGCGAAGTACTACTTCCTGCACCCCTCAAAACAGCTCCGGCCGCTCCTCGTCCTCCTCTTCTCGCAAGCGACGAACGGGCTCGGCAGCGGGTGGTACATCAAGAAGTGGGCGGCGGACTGCGAGGGCGCGGGCGGGCGGGCGGAGGAGCTGGACCAGCCACTGACGCGTGCGGACGTGCTGAACGACTGGAACCCGAGCATGCCGGACAACACCGCGTCGTTCTCGAGCTCGTTCTCCCTGCGCCCGCCGCGGCCACCTCACCAGCCGCCGCTGCCGCCACCCTTCCCACCGTCCCTCCACATCCCGGCCGTCGAGGCGCCCGCGGCGCTCCTCCCGACGCAGCTCCGGCTCGCGCAGATTGTGGAGATGATCCACGTCGCGTCGCTGCTGCACGACGATGTCATCGACAAGTCGCCATTGCGGCGGGGCGCGGCATCTGCACCCGCGGCGTTCGGGAACAAGCTGTCCGTGCTGGCGGGCGACTTCCTGCTGGGCCGGACGAGTGCGGCGCTGTCGCGGCTAGGGGAGAACGAGGTGGTCGAGCTCATTGCGAGTGTGATCGCGAACCTCGTGGAGGGTGAGATTCTGCAGCTGAAGGCCGTGCATGCGGACGCGCTGGGTCTTGCGGGGCTGTCGCCGACGGTCGGGCAGGACAACTGGAACATCTACCTGCAGAAGACGTACCTGAAGACGGCGAGTCTGATGGCGAAGGGCGCGCGGGCGGCGGTGGTGCTCGGGGGATGCAAGGAGGGCGAGGTGTGGAAGGAGGCGGCCTATGCTTATGGGCGCAACCTTGGCATTGCGTTCCAGGTGAGAAGTACTGTGTTCTATGCGTAAGGCGTATACTGATACTTGGTCCAGCTCATGGACGACGTCCTCGACTATGAAGCCGGCGACGCGACGTTAGGGAAGCCGGGCGGAGCCGATCTGCAGCTGGGACTTGCTACCGGACCAGCGCTGTTCGCTTGGGAAGAGCACCCCGAGATGGGCCCCCTTATCAAGCGCAAGTTCGAGCAGCCAGGCGACGTCGAGCTGGTATGTTGTTGACATATGTTCTGTAAAGACATACCAGTTTCTGACATCTTCCATCCTCCTCTACAGGCAAGGGATCTCGTTCGGAGATCATCTGGTGTCGAGCGCACACGAGATCTTGCGCGTGCGCATGCTGATAAGGCACGGGAGGTGCTGTCTGTGCTGCCAGACAGCGATGCGAAGGCAGCACTGGAGGTGTTGACGGAGCGGGTGGTGAAACGGACGTCCTGATGTTGGCTAACTTACATATATTGCAGTAATCACATGCATACACGCTTAGCTCTCGCTGGGAGCAGCCCACTAGCTCGGTCTTATGCAGGGAGAACTCTAAGCATAGCCGTCCCATGGCCAGCCCACCCACCCCGCGCCCAAGCCGTACGCACTTCGCGGCAGCGCGGTGGCCGGAGTCCTGGCAGGTGACAGGTGAAGTCAAGTGAAGAGCTGCTTGCGCTCGCCATATGAGGCGCGTTTTCCTCTTCTCCTCCTCTTCCTCCCCCCCTCTCCTTCGCGCCCCTCCCAAAACCTCCTCTAGCCTATCTTCCTGTCGATCCCCGTAAAAATGTCTCTCATCGGACACAGCTGCGACACCTTCATCCCTACCAAACGCTCAGCACCATCAGACTTTGAGCCATTGCGGATCAGTAGGAGCATGATCTCAGATGACCCATACAACAGAAATCTCCTCGTAGACCGTCATTCACCTCCTCCAGTTTCCGCCTCTTCTAGACGACGCGTCAATCCGGAGTCCTTGGCCGTGCGCCTTGGGCCCGAGCTCGTCAGGGAGCTCGAGAGCTACGTTAAGCCTGGCGTCGTCGAGATGCCGTCTTTCGCTATTCGGCAGCAGATCCAGATGCGCCACAAGGTCGATCGCCGACATATCTACGACTGGTTCCACAGCAAGGGCCTCAGGGTCACCAAGGAAGACAAGCGCGCTACAGTAGAGCAGAAAACCGACGCTATGCGCATGCAGGTACGTTTCAACCGCGAAGTCATATTCATATGCTTACCTTGATGTTATAGCGACGCATTCGACGCTGTCTTGCCCCGGCTGTACCTCCTGCCAACTTGTGCCCCGGCCTGAGCGACTCAGCTACCGACAGCGCACCTTCGTCTCCTGCGCTGCTCACACCCGTCGTCGTCACCTCGGAGTTCCAACCCATAGTAGCTCCTACGCCGGCGAAGTACTCGTCATCGGATCACCATAGTATCGTCAGGCCAAAGCGCGACATCCTCCGCACTGTGGATCCCACTACCTGGTTGAGCAGCGTCCCTGTCAGGGAGTCCTCCTCGGCTGGTCAGGTCCTCCAGAAAATGGCCTCTAAGCTCGACGTTCCCCCTCGTCCCCCCGCTGGCTACACGCGCAGGTTCAGGGATTCACGGATTGAATCAGTATTTCCCAAGGACGACGTCGCCTTGCTCGATCAAACGAAGCGCGAGGCCTGCTATGATACGCTGTCTCGAGTTCTGGGGCCCGCCGCCGGCGTTCAAGAGTGCGTTGGATCCTACAAGGCACACATGGCTAGACAGCTGGAGATCTACTATGAGGAGTTCCTTCCTTGTAACTCGACACCTCTCTCTGAAAGCTATATCGGGAACGCTAGTCTGGGGACTCCTCTACAGTCTCAAACATCCACCCTGGGCTTGCAGCTTGAAACTTATCCAAGCGTTCCGACTTTAGGCGAATCGACACACCTCTGGGGCGCCTTGAGTACTATCTGTGACTGGGCTTCGTATCCTCCAGTCGCGCCGAGCTCTTCTGTTCCGGTGGCTGAAATCTGGGCAGACAACTTTGCTACTTCGTCTCTTGATTGTCTGGCTCTCGAGGACATCTTGACGATACCGGTACTGGAACAAGAGCCGCCAAACCAAGTCACGTTCGCCTCCTACAGCAAGATGCTACCGCCACCGACACAAATAGTCTCGCTTTCTGCGCCACCGTTCTTCGGCAGTAGCTCGAGTTCTCTGGCTGGCGCTCTTGGAGAAGTGTCGTCCTCTTTCGCTCAGCACGAACAAGACCCACGACGCAAGTCCAAGGAGTGGGTCCGTCCACCCATGGGTCGTGCCAGAGCATACTCCGCTGGTGGCGGAATGTGAAGGTTAGTCCGTGGTTTCGGCTTCTCTGCCTCAATACTACTGACCTGTGACCTACCGTCCTGTAGAAAATTGCTCTCCATGACGCCGTGTTATTGCATCCTGGGGCCTGACATTCGTAATCGTTGAGTAAATCCCATCTGTCAGCCCGCCACGTATGTTGTTCTAAATGTGATTGATAGTCTCCTCCCTCAACTACGCCGTCTTCGCAAGCCGGGGCACATAGCTTTCGTCCGTTGATGTCCCAGATTCTCCATCTCCGCTCTCTACGCGCCACCAATCGTTCAGTACAACGCCTCAATATCTCTCTACATCCGCGATGCCCTATCTCCGCGTAGCGTGCCGCTGCTTGTCGAACGTCCCTTGTTCCCTTTATGTGACATTCTTTCAAGTACGGCGGGTGCCATCCTTCCACACCGTGCGGTTCTCTTCTTCTCCGTTGTTGCCGGATCGTTCGCCTCGCTGTACAGTCCTATCTTCGAGCATGGAATAGATGTGATTATTATTCTACTGGACGTCCAACATACGTAGGTTACGACATAATGAACCATGTCCATTCGCTCGGCAACATACTTCCTCATCCGCGGCGACCGGGAGAACGGGACGTCATCGCCTTGCCAGACATCTCTATCACTGATTCCGGGATGCGTTCCCACCGCTGCATGTGCGGCATCGTCTTTACGATAAGGACGAGCTGCTAAGTTCGTCCTCTGCACCGCGGGCTCAAGTTCGCAACTGCATGCGAGCGGCCGGCGGGTCTTAATGTCGGCGAAACGTGGACAGGAGGCCCTTCATAGTTCTGCGACGTCGACGTCGACGTCCATGCATATTCTGCGATGGAGATGGACGAGCATTGCACGCACGTAAACGGATATCCAGGCCAGGCCGGCCAGGTCGCAAGCGGCGGGAACGCGGGTCCGCCACCAGCGTCATAATATTCACTCCAGCGAGCGACGATGCGGTCATCCAGTGCCCGGCACCATGCAGAAGATAACGGCAGCACTCGTTATTGCACCCCGTGCGGGCCTGGGCTACGCACGATGCCCGAAGACTGTGATATCGACGCTGGCTATAGAATGCGCAGGACGGCATGGAGGCACACGCGGATCGCGGTGGCCGACTGTGGCCGAGTGGGGCGTGCCAATCTGCTAAGGGGATGTGGGGGAGGGGGCTTGAATGGGGCTCAAGGAGATTGTATTGCCGCCTGGGGAGTCGCGCGACCAGGAATGTGCAGAGGGCTGCTGCTGCGAGACGGGAGAAGGGTGAAGCAGTGGTGGTGATGCAATGCCGGCCGTAGCGGCGCACGTCGACATCGACGTTCGCTGCGCGCTTCGCAGAGCCTGTGTGAGTGTTCGAATCTGCCCCGAGCGTGGCGGGCGTGTTGCCGTGTGTGCCATGTCGCCTATTCATAGCATTGCATTGGACCCCGCTGCGGTGGCGGCAGCGCAGGCGCAGGAAGAGACTGCACAGATCATGCAGCACGGAACATGCAGCTTGAATACGGACCATGCAGTTCGCGAAGGATGGAGCTCGCGAGCTACGGGGACGTCGCATGCTCAGCGCAGAGCACGGTGCTCCACCGCGCGTCGCCTTCGATTCCCATTCGCCGCCCGGCCGGGCCACGGTGCACGAAAGCTCGCCAAGGCCACATCGATGGCGGCCATGCGAGCGTGCAGCGTGTCGCGGTCTGGCCACGCGAACCACGATTGGGGGTTGCAGCGATGATGGGGTGGTAGATGCGATACGTCTCGTGCGCCTGCGTCTGCGCCACAGAAGACAGAAGATCAGGGCGGGTGCGAGCCTCCAGGTTCAGAGCTGCGGTATGGGGAGGATATGCGAGCCACGATGGGGATCGATGATCGACGGACGTTGCGAGAAGGATGCGGGCGTGTGGGACGCAGGCCATTATCGATTACGGCCGCGGGTTTTTGCTGCTCGCTCGCGTTCATGCGCGAAGGAGGCTCACGGGAGAAGCGGGCACGTATGAATTACGTGTATGGTTGCGTCTGCGTAGGCAATAGTATCAAGCTATAGCAAGAACATTGCAGCCTCAGGCCTAAGGAGTCGACAGAAAGGTGTAGACGAAATGCAGCTGCTGCCTGAGCGATGGAAGAGCTGGTCCGAAGGTATCGCCAAGTGGTCCTTGTGACGGAAGGTGCAGTCCAGCGCAGCGGCCGCAGGTACCGGCGGATCTAGGTCACGGGCCTCCCGCAGAAGAGAAGAAGAGCCCCCTCAGTCCTCTGCAGCCGTGCGTCGGAGCTTCTACGGCTGCATCGGGGGGCTTCGTTGCCGCGGTAGAGCAGTCCCAGGACTTCAGGCTGGAGCGCCACACACCGTACCTCGGCCCCAGCGGAGCGCGCCCTGGGCGTGCAAACAGGCCCGGTGGGAGAGAGAGCGGGCCCGGTCGTGCAGGGTCTAGTTGTGGGCGCATGGGAGGCGGTAGATAGCGCAGAAACGGGGTACATGTTGAATGCTAGGCAGGGTCCAGCGAGTACAGGCGCGTCCGCGTTGGCGGCTCGGTCAAGATTTTGCTTTGTGTTGAGAACGCTCGGAAGGCCAAGTCTGACTAACTGAGCGGGAATCTGGGAAACGGAAGCGGGGGGGCGAACCGCGCAGAAGCGCAGAGAGTGTGCGGGAAGGAGCTGTATTGCATTTCCAGGGTGGACCGACATACCCGCAGTGGGCTCCATTCCGATGCGGCGGGTCGAAAGCGGCTGAAGGGGAGAGCAGCCCCAAGAGAAGGCGTCTGTTGTGGTTGAATTTCAAACCGGGGTGTCTTCGCGTTCGTAGCTACGAGAAGTGCGGAGGCGAAGGTGTCGAAAGTGGCAGGAATACGGGTTTGACGGACGACTGCGTCTAGGGCACGGCGGCGGCGGCGGCGCGGAAATGGTAGGACCTTGAACCACACGGGGCGCGCATCGGAATCAGCGAGGGAGTCAACCAGGGGAATCGGATGTGGCCAATCCAGCGAGTGGCTGCGCGAGCGACAACGAGGCGTCTCGTAGGGTGTTGGGCAACATCGCGTGGGACCATCCTGTGACATCGGGGAGCGCGGTGGTCAGAAGACATAACGAGGAGAGCAAGTATGGTACGAAATTGCGGGTGACTGAGGCGCGAGGGGGTCCATCTTGACAGCAGTGCGCCAATAATACCGCCACCAGAGAATGAATGTGCAGTAGGGGATCTTGTCGCCGGCGACTTGACAGGAACAGTACAAGTCGCCCCATGGACTTGGCAGCCTGTTCCTCGCAGGGGTTCGAAGGGCAGCAAAATGAACGTCTAGGCCTCGTCAGTTGCCCCACATTGTCTTCGGGCGCGACATTTGCTGAGCGTGCACGGTCACAAGACCGTATTTGCGTACCAGGTGTTACATTCCTTTCCCAGCGGTTGACATAGAAGGCGAGCGCTCCGAGCTCATCGATGTGATCGCACATTGACGCCTCCTTCGTGGCCAAAGTACATTCCTGGTAGTAGTGTACACACGATCAGTCCTGCGCTTACCGTCACCTGTAGAGAGACATCGACCGGAGCGCGAGTTGCGCTACTAGTGGATGACGCATACGTGCGCGTATAACGGGATAGCTCGAGTGCAAACTCACCACGAAGCCGAGCCTGTTCGCTCCACCCGCTCTCGGCAGCGAGAGAGAAGGCCGGCGCGTGTCGTCACGAGTGTGCCAGCGAAGGACGAGTCGGGGCCTTGTGCAGCCACGTATCTCAGGACATCTTCCTCGAGGGTCGTTGTCGGGCGCCCCGGCGTCGCGTAGGGTCCCCCAGCGATGGGCGGGTGAGATCTGGAGAGAACGCACCCCTGCACGCGCATATATCCACCTTCACATACGACCGGGGGTGGGGCGAGGCCCGCGGGGCGTGATCATACGACGTCTGTAGGCTGGGCCCGTGAGTGACACAGGGAGGCGACTGTATGGTGCTCACCCACGCAGGACCCGGGTTGCCCTGTTCTCCAGGCTCGCGAGTGCGCAGCCGACGTCGTTTCGCTGCCTATCCCGTTCCATGGACGCCCCAAAGACGTAAAACGCGCCCTGCGAGCCGAGTAGTGCGCCTCTGCTTGACACACCCATCGGCTTCCTGAGTCAATGATATTGCTGCAAACAGGTTGACGGGTCAAGGGGTGATTGGGTGTGATACCTGTGTCTGGGATTACTCTTCTAGTTGCTCGCTCGGGCTGTGATTGAGGGCGCCATGACCGTACGCACCACCACTCCGAGGCCGACGCCGTCAAGATGTCGGAACACGTTTCAGCGAGTATCTGCCTTCTTTTTCGCGCGCGGTGAGTGCGGGATCAGTGCGAAGTCCGACCTGGCGGGGATATCCGCTGCGGGCTGTCCTGCGCACGCGTCCGCTCTGTTCGCGGAGATCTACACGCACAAGGGGCATGCGCTATCGCGTACGCCGACGGATGTATTTGGGACCTAATAACGACATCAACACCGCCCATACAAGCACAAGCTGCCGTGACATACGTACGCTCACCATGGTTGCGCTCCACAGCGGACATGAGCGCAGTGAGAGACGCCGCGGGAGCGAGAGCAGTCTGCAGATATCTCGCCGCTCGGAGCCGGCGCAATGTCGCACACAGCAGCACGGGCGGACGCGGCCGCATCAGGGCAACGCGGCACGAAGGAGGGGGTGCTGGGGGGAACGTGGCGAGCGTCGCGCAGCCTCATGTCGTGAGTGAATGCGCGCGCGGGAGGGCGACGCGCGGCGTGGCACGAGAGGGGGCTCGTTCGACGCGCGCGCATCAGGACATCGCGACTTATCGCAGGAGCAGCACAACGAGTCGCCAGGCGTTGTGGAGCACCCGCCCCGATATATGCGTGCACGTGCACCCACCGCAGGCGGCGAGCCCGAGTCCGTCGGGAAAGGCAGGTCCTCTCCCAGGCACGCGCCGTGCCACAACGCCTGGCGTACCCCCACACTAGCCAGTCCGCGGCACATCCCTCGTCCGCTGCAGGAGCGTCCGCTGCACCGTCCATTCGCGGTTTGGACGCTGCAGGGCTGCATGCAGGGCTAGGACGCCCGCGACCGCTGCGGGTAGCCCGATGGCAGTGTCGCCATGGAGCCGTAATGAACGATTCCTGTCCAAATTGACTCATCCTAGGCTGCGTCGCCGCGGGCAGAGTTTGGGTTCGACTTACGGGACACAGGGCGGAGATGGTTTGCGAGTGCTGCTCGGATCTTGCACACACGGGCGAGATAACGCACCGAGAGAGCTGGCATTGCTCGCGCGCTGTTCTTGGGCACTGCTCGCGAAATCCGGCTTCGAGTATCCGAGCTCTGCGACTCCCCGCGTCTAATCTTGCTGCCACATACACAGGGGGTGTCCTGGAATCCAGATACCGCAGGTGCGCTGCTTGGCCTGGCGAGGGGCGGGTACGCCCACAAGCCAGGACATTGGCGCAAACCGTGCTCGCTATCGCGCGCCCGCCGTCCGGTGGGCGCGGCGCGAGAGACGTCGCGCGCGCGTGCGGCGTGCTCCCCGAACCCGCCGCTTCCGTCATGACAGCCTGAGAGCCCGGACCACATCGAGGGGATGTGCGGCGGGCGTGGGTGCGCGATGCCCAGCGAGCGGGCGGAAGTCTAAGTCTAACTCCAATCCCGTCGGCGCCCAGGCGTCGCTGGGCGGGCGCAGTAGGCCCTCCGGCGCGACGCGGGCGCTGGCAGGGAGACTCGGGTGCTCCTCCGGGCGTGGAAGGCTGAAGAGCCCAAGTATAGTGACCGGTCCTGGGCCGAACGCGTAGGTTGGATTTGGGCCGCCCATCTGGGCGGAGACGATCCTAGGATGCTGTAATTGCGGTATGCTCGGGGCCCAGACGTCCAGGGCGGTCGCAAGTCGGTGAATAGGAGATGCGCGGAGGACGAGCAGAACGAGCGAGAGGAGGCACATGCGGGTGGCGCGGTGGCGGCGGCAGTCTGCGCGAACCAGCGAGTGCAGGACTAGAATTCGTAGTTTGATATCCGCATGCGCAGCGTGAGCGTACATATCCCGCCGCCCCTGGAGATGCTGGAATGGCGGCGAGTCCCACGGAGTGGCAAAAGGTTTGTTTATCTGTTGCATGGATGATATGGCGTCCGACGTCGCGGAACGGCGCAAGACGTGGATCGTGCACCCTGTTTAGATACCGTACGTGCGGCTGCTGGAGCCTGGAGGCGTTAGTGTGGGACGGCGGGGCGGGGGAGAAGCGTGGCCCAGGCTGGCTGCTAGGGGGAGAATGGAATGCTCTGCGAGCACGCCGCGGGTTGGAGACCGGCGTGATGGGCGTGATCGCGTGCGCGCGCCTTGGGCTGCGCCTGCACTCTGAATGCGCGGCGCATTGTGCGCCGTGCATATTGTGCTCGCAGGCGGCGGCGAGGGAGGACAAAGCAGGAATGGGTGGCAAAGCGAATAATAGCAGATTGAGCTGCAGGCATGAGTGGCGGGTGTCTCATAAAACGGGCTGCAGCAGGGTCGCGCGGACGCAGATAAGTCGAGGCCCGCGCGTCCATTCCCCCGCGTCGTCCGTCGCGACCAACACCCACTCCGAACGCCCACTCCGTCTTCAACACCCACCTCCTCTCCCCTGTAGACCTCCTGTGCGCGTGCCCTGTGCCCTCTTGCTCGGTGCAGATCTATCTGGACTGGTGGGTGATATCACTGGCCGCGTTTTGGCAGGAGACGCTGCCTCGAGGCATCTGGGAAGGCCATCTCATCGCATATCTCGGGGGCGTGCCCTGCAGTGCAGAATCTCGGCGTTGGCCTCTGGACGCGTTCCCATCCGCCAATCTGCCATCCGCCGTACGTATAAGCCCTTTCTTGTCGTCACCGCGCCTTCCTGATCATACCCCCCTCCTTCACTCTCAGCCAAACCCCGGCCTGACTTCCTCTCCCGTCCACCGAGGCGCTCACCCGACCATGGACCGCCGCGGCCGCTCCAGAGACGTCTCTCCCGTCGCACTCGCCCGCGCTGCCCTCCACCGCGACCTCAACCACGAGTGCGGTCACAAGCACGCACCGCCTCTTCCCCCGCCACCATTCCTCCCGGCGTTCTTTCCCGACTCCCCCCCGCTGCGCGACTCGGCCGAGCTCTCTCCATACTCGCCCGGACCATCCAAACCTTCAGGCTATGACTCGCGAAGCCCTATAAATCGCTTCAACCAACCAGTTGAGTCCTATCACGTCTTTTTACCACCCTCCGCGCCCCCACTAACAGCGCAACCAGTCCACCTCATCCTCCCCCACAGACACGCTGCCACGCACATACTCCTCCAGCAGCGTCCAGTCCGCCACCTCGGACGCAAACCCACCCGAACCCCTGACACCCCCCGACGTCGAGTGCGCGTACGCGTGCGAGCGCCCACTCGAATACTATGATTCCCCACCCTCTCCGCCCCGCACCCTCCAAGACCAGATGCACGTCGCGTACGCGCTTGAGAACATGCACCTAGCCAAAGTTCTCTTGCTGAAACTGCGCGGCATCGAGGTCAGCGGCGACGACGACCCGCGTATCGAGCAAGTACGCGATGAAGATTTCTCGAGCTCGTTTGTTCCGCCGGGCGGTCTCCAGTTGGACGACGCGACCGAGGCGCGCGTCCGCGAGGCCGAGCAACGCGCCCGTGATGCTCAAAGACGAAGAGAGCGCGAGGTGCGCCTGCGGCGGTGCGAGCGGATATGGGAGAGCAGCGCCCAAAGGCTCAAGACCGAGAAGGCACGTATCGCGGCGCAGCGAGATGAGGAGGTACGAGTCCGGCGGCGCGAGGAGCGCGAGGCCCGCGAACGGGAGCGGGAGCGTGCGCGCAAGGCAGAGGCCGCCCGGGCCGCGCGGCATCAGCTAAGGATAGCTGGCGGCCACCCGCGCCAACTGCTGTCCTATGATTCGCTGAGGAAGGCGGATGCACGCTTTCCCAAGCCCACCACCTCAAGGGAACGCGAGGACGAGTCCAGCGGCGGCTTGTTCCTGTACGACATCATGCCCTCCCCGCCTTCACGCCCCCTCTCGCTCTCTCGCTCGCTGAGCTCCTCCCCGCCTACCGACAACGACCTGTCGCTTCAGCGTGCGCAGCGTGAGCTGGCGCTGGAACATGCACGCAGCATCTCGAGGTCAGTGCCCTTCGGCGATGTGCTCACCTCCATGCACGGCCCCCTATTCGTGGACGATGTCAACTGCCGGCCACGTACCCGTCCCACTTCGCAGCAAGCAGAGCTCCTCGCCATCCTGTTGCAACCGGTTGAGGTGGATCAGGCTGATGTCAAGGGCAAGGGTCGGGAAAGCATCCTACCAAAGCCAGCGTCTCAGCGAAGGGACCATGCCAAGCACAGTCCAGCTGCCCGTGCGGCGCGGTCCTCGACACTCGACTCACTCTCCAGTGAGTCTTCCGGCACGTCATCTTCGGCATCTACCGTCACGCGCTCGGGCTCCTGGTTCTCCTTCGGGAGCAGGGGTTCCTTCCGCTCCGCCTCGACCGCAATCACTTCGCCATCTACGTCCCCCCGAACGCCTACCAAGGCCATCCTATCTTCAAATGCTCCTCTCTCCACCTCCCCCACTTCCATTGAGTCTGGTCGTGTGCCAAGACGGTCGTCGAAGCACCCAGCCGCCCTGACCGTCCCCGCCTCCGACCATCCTCTTTCCCTCCCTATCCCGCCGAAGCCGAAGGCCCGTGAGCCGCTTGCGATAGGGCGAGGTCGGCCTCTCACACGTCAGGCCGGCCCGTCTGGGCAATCGGACGACCTCTCGCCGCCGAATGCCTCGGGGCTCGTGCACCGGGTGAGCCGCTCGGTGTCGACCCTCATGGACTTCGCGGCGCAGTTTCAGAAGGCATACGTCAAGGCGACGATGTTCTCCGCGGGGGTCGACCTGTACACGCGCGCGGACTCGCGCTCCACCTCTCGCTCGCCCTCACGCTCCCCGGTGCGAGCCGCTCCGCGCGTGCGGTGCACGTCGGTGCCCGTGCGCGGACGCTCGGGTGGGCTGCGCCCGGAGGGTTACCGCGTGTGCCCGACGGACGTACACCTTTTCACCGCGCTCGATCTGTCAGCGAACGGAGCACCGCAGCTGCAGCGGACGCTAATTCCGCTTTGCACACCTTCTGTCGACTCCATCCCCGCGCACGAGCGCGTTTTCCCTCTACCCCCGCCGCTACCCCGCTCTCCATTCCGCCCGCCGTTCCCTCCTGGGGCCGTCCTCTCCCGCCTACGCCCTGTCGCAAACCCGTTGTTGGTGCGCCTACAAGCGCTGCATAACGTTTGCAGGGTGTATGGCATCCAGTGGCAGAATCGCACGCGCGAGTCTGCCCTGAGTGGGTTCAAGGAGAAGGTGGTCGGCGTCGCATGGGAAGGCGTCGGCAGGAGTGGCCTCGGGTGGGAGGTCGCCACGACGTACTAGTTGTACGTTGTGCTTCCTCCTTCCCTCAATATTTGCTTTGGGTACTGACGTCGCTGTCGGTATCCTCCCCACGTTATGAATTCTGCGCCTGTTGCTCTGCTATCGCTTGCGCTCCTCACGAGTTTCACGGACTTATCACGACCTATAATACATTCACGCTCACGTTCCCCCGTCTACGCATCTTCTTACCCCTCATCACGCCGTTTACTTCCTCATCCACTTCTCTACTATGGCGGGCTGTCACACCGGGGCCATGTACTTGTTGTCACTATCTGGGCCGGTAGAGCCCCGCTGCGACGCCCCCCGCCTTCTACGTTCTGGATCGGACCTTTCATCTCCCTCCTACCTGCCCCTATGCTGCCTAATGCTCCCCTAGTGATGCCCGCTCGCTTATATCTCCCCCATTTCCTCCCTCCCATCCTTCACTGTATCATTTTTTGCATCCCGCTTTGCGTTGCCCCCTGCCATTTGCTGTACATGCCCTTGCACGCCCCAGGTAGACACGCACGCACACGGCAGTGCGCCGTGTGCGGGGCGTTGTTGTACGAGTATATACCCCGGAGCCGGTGATATCATCCTTCCCGCTGTACCTAGTCGCGCGCCGTCGCATAGTTATGATGAAATGTCTTACGCCTTAATACGTCTGCGCATCGTGCATTCGTCGAGTGAGAGGCCAATATTGTCCACAGAATTGTGACAAGACCGATGCGAATATATAAACATCCTCGAAAGCGAAACAAAGTACAAGACACAACGAGCCCACAGGCCTCAACGGCCAAGATCGAACCCGCCCCCGCCCTGCATCTGCCATGGCCTGTCCTGCGGCGGCCCATTCAGGGTCACGACCTCCCAAGGCGGCTGCCCACCCGACCCCCTCCCCCTTCCAAACATCGCCGGCCGCCGCCCCTGCGCCCCCCGCATGCCCGGCTGCCCCATCCCAGGCCCCTGCATAACCATCGGCACGCCCCCCGGCCCCTGCCCGGGGCCCTGCTGCATGGGCATCGGGCCCTGGCCGCCCTGGCCCTGGTTCGGGCCGCCGCCGCCGCCCATCATGTTCATGCTCATGTTCATGTTCATGCCCATGCCGTCGAACGCGGGGATGCCCTGGCGCTGCATGCCCGCGGGGCTGCCGGTGCGGTACTGGCCCGGGTAGGTCGTCGGGATGTACCGCCGGAAGGTGAGCTCGCGCGCCTCGTCTGCGAGCCAGCCGTTCGCCTCGGCGGAGGCGCGGTCGATGCCGAGTGCGCGGCGGAGTTCTTCGTTTTCGCGTTCTAGGCGCGAAATTTCGGTTTCGCGCTCGAGGGCCCAGTCGTCGCGTGCGTCGAGGAGCGTGGCGAGTGGGTCGGATGGGGCAGCGATAGCGGAGGTAGGTTCGTCGGGTGGTGGATGTAGTTCGGAAGGCTCGCCGTTCAGAGACTGTAGGAGGACGCGAAGTGTTTGTGCGAGTCGGTGGAGGGACAGTGTCGTGGTGGTGTTATGGGAGAGGTCGGTTGAGGCGAGGGAGCTATCTAGGGACTGCATGAGGGCCTCGTAATGTCGCGTGAGCGACAGTTCGTGTTGTTGTGCGGCAGACTGCATCTGGATTGTCAGTTACTACAAGCGTGTGCGAGAAGAGATAGCGTACTGAGTGTGCACGGAATTTTGACATAACGGTCTCCATGGTCTGCTCGTATTCCTCTAGCAACGCAGAAAACTGCTTGTTCTCCTGTAGTAGTGTGTGGTTCTCTATGATGATGTGCGCGTTCTGTCGCTCTAGTTCGGACTCGAACGTCTCTGCACGCACACACAAAGCTATCAGCTCACGCGCCACGCACGTATGCACGGCCTGCACACCTTTGGATATGTCCGTGTTCACCCTTCGCAGCGTGATGCCGGTCGCGAGGGTCTTAGCCTCATTCTACGGCACTTTGCATGCATGAACGTTCGGCGACACGGGTGGAAGCAGCGGGTGCATACTTTGAGTGAGTGGGCCTGCTCGGCGAGCGTTACGGCTAGCCTCTGGTTCATGGCATTTTGCTCGGAAAGTTCGTTCAAGATCGTCCATGCGCGCATGAGGTCGCCATCGAGGTCGTGATACATAGTGAAATTCGTCTAGTGCTCGTGCTGGGAGGAGAGGGATAACGCGTCAAGCGGAGTGGACGAGCGAAAGATGCAACGACCGCGTTTGGACATGATGATGCCTCGATCGCAGTGTCTGGGGTCCAACGTGTCGCACTAACAAGTGAATTGTTTGGACGTTTGTGTGTCCTGCCAACCATCGCCCAACGGTGCCAGCCCAAGTCCCTCACATTTTGCAAGTGCAAGTATGGTATCACAGATGCAGCGTGGATTGCCTGCAGAATGCCTCACAAAGGAGACGGCTTCCGGCGAATCGTATGTGTCCACTCGGGCATCTTCTCGGTATCAACGGATTCGTCGTACTAACGGCACAATGTACAGGTCTCCGACGACAACAACGCAACTGGACCAGACCCTCGCAGTCAATCTTGACGTTGACGTCTTTTGCCTTATCTTGAAATTCCTTCCTCCCGCTGGTCTGCTGCAGATGAGGCTAGCCTCTCAATTTGCTGAGCAGGAGTCCACGAAGGAGTTTCTGGCGCGACCCGTGTGGAGATCTTGGAGCCGGAAAATAGGCTCATTCTGCAAATTCGTACTTGCTCCCGGAAAGCTCGATAGGCCCTCCTTTCTGCAGGCTCTCTATATACTCAATCTGCCAAATCGGGTGTGGTACATCCCAGAAGACGGCAAGGCGTTTCACAAGGTGCTCACCCGCTGTACGAACCTCCGGACACTTCACCTTCGATGGTGCGACAAACTCTTGATGGAGCAGCCCAGCTTGGAAAGGACAATCGCAATGCTCCCGAAGCTCACCCATCTTTACGTCTCGAGACACGGGAAGACCGTCCAGCCCATTCTTCTTGGGATGGCAATGAACATGCGGACTTCGCTTCGCAGCCTCCATCTAACTGTCGACGAGGACGTTACTTCGACGAGAGATGTTCTGAAAGGTCTGGCGAGTGTACACGACCATCTGGAATCCCTCACACTGCAATTCACCACCTTCACTATTCCGAACACGCCGTTCGTCACCATCTGCACGCTCAATTTGGTGGTCCCACGATGGCTCTCCCTTCCCCCGCTTTGTGACCTCTACAGCACTTTCCCAAGCGTACGAGAGCTCGGATTGGATTATTTACCCGAGCCTGACCTTTCAATTACTATGTCAAACTCTCCTGCACTGTCTGGACATGACGGTAGAAGATGCTGGCGCTCACTCGACCTGTTGTGCGCACCCACGGAGCTCACCCACGCCCTTGGGATTACGTGCCCCGTCCACCACTTGGTTGTGGAAGCGAGCGGGGAATATAAACTAGGCCCCACCCGGCTCATCCCTTTGCAGGAGATGATGGCAGAACATATCCCTCGCCTCCACCCTCGAAAACTCACCCTCCCTCTCTATGGCATTGCATCCACGACTATCCGGGAAGTGAGACCAGGTGTATTGCTGCACGACTCCGGGAAATCGGGGGTGACGTATTTGCTTGTGAAGGCGTCCGTCGTGTTGTTGCGGCACGAGATGCAAACTTTCATGGTGAGTATCATTCCTAGGGCCGCTTGGAGCAGCAAATGTGCCGTGTCTAACGATCTTGTGAGCAGGATGGTGCCCTTGCGCTGCTGCACACCGCGTGCGTAGAATTGATGCACGTATATGCCATCCCAAGATTCGGCCACAACGTCCCATTAGATATGTCGTCTGGCTTGGGGTTCGACACCTTCGCCCGGGACCTTGCACAACTTTGCCCGTCAATACGGACCGTGGCCATTACCGAGCATGTGTGCGACGATGTTGTCTGGACTGTCAACAGAGCAGATGGCAAGGTGTGTGTGGCGAGACTGGGAGAGTTTGAAGGAAGACGTGTTTTGGAGGAGGAGGCTAGACGGTGCCTAGAGGCTTAGCTTGGCAGGATGACCTTTGTTGAATTCCTTTCCGTTGCGACATATTCTGCAAGGACAGATTGCCTCGCTAAGTTCAGTTGTGTACCTAGTGTTGTAATATTGTCTGTCAGACGTTCAACGATAGTTTACGCGCATCAGTTGAATTCGAGGCCAAGTACTAGTAGCCCTCATAGCCCCGGCTATCCCGCGTCTAAGCAGCTCGGTTCCGCGCGTCGATCATACTTAATTGGGACGGGATTGCAACAAGCTATGGCAGTGGGTGTTTGGTGTTTTGACTCGGAGCATACAGGTGCGAATCTACCCTTGTGTGCACGCCAGGTCCATCGCTGCCCAGCTGGGGTGCTGCTGGTGCTGCGGGCGCGGTTGTCAGAATGGTGTGATGGGGGCAACGAAGCGGGGACTTTGGCGGAGGTGCGCCTGATGCGCACCGGCGCCTGTGGACCCGCTGGTGCTTCTTGACTGGGTCTATCGAAATTCTCTCTGTACAACACCATCTCCTCGCTCCTTCCTCCGCCTCCTCCTCAACGCCCCGCCCCGTCCGTCTTAACGTATAGCTCTATCATCCTTTAACTTCTTCTCCAGACCCCACCCGCCGCTCGCACAGCACCCACACGCCCATTTCCCCCGACGGTCTCATCGCACCAAAGCCCCACTAGTGTGCTACGATGGCAGCTTCACTCTCTCAGCTCTCTGCATGCGTCACTCGCATCCTCTCCCTCACTGGCTTCCCCAAGGAGCTCAAGACAAGGGATATCCAGGCCGCGTTCTCCGAATGGGACAGCGTGAACGGTGGCTTCAAGATCAAGTGGATTAACGATACCAGTCTCCTGATTGTCTTTAATGATGCTACCGTCGGTGAGTAACTGCCCATATGGCCCACCAGATCCTGTAGCATCCTCTGTGTGACCCTGTGCTGATGTATGCGCTGCGTCTGCTCGTCCAGCTAAGCGGGCATACCTCCATGCCCTCGCCTTCCCTCCTTCGATCTTCACGTCTGCGAGCACCCAAACGAGTGCTACCATCAAACCATACGACGGACCGGATGCTCAGGACATCATCACGTCCGTCAACTCGCGTACGCACAACAACTCGGGACGCGGCCACAACGTACGCGGCTCCGTCTCCCACAACCGCGGTGCCTCCGTCAGCCACTACAACCGCAACCAGAACGCGTCCGGCGGGAGCATCCAGACCAACGGCAGCGCCATCGACCAGGCGGCCACCCGCGACCGCGAGCCGTCCCCCACGCTCCCCAACCTCCCCTCCCACCCCACTCTGAACGCGCTCATCTCCTCGTCACTCGGCGGCGACGTGTCGCCTATCGATCCGACCGCGTCTGATCCTGCCGTCCTTGCTGCGATGCCTGAGCACGGCGCTCCACGCATCGGCGACCCGGGCAAGCGGATGCTCGGCGCTGCGCTCGGCGTGCGGCACCCTGGGCTGGGTCCCCGGGTCATCGGCGGCGCTGGAAACTCGGTCGAGCAGGTGCAGCGGGCGATGAGCGGGCTCGTGGTGAGCGAGTAGACGCCCCCATGCGGCGTCGCTCGGTCGGTCGGATTCTCGGAGGTGCGGGTGCGGGGCGCAGGATTTGGCGTGCAATTCACACAGGTGGAGGTGTTCTCGATACTGTCTATGCTGTTTTCCTAGTTTGTAATCACGGAGCGTCCGGTGTTGATTCCATTTTTCTCTCTCTCCCTTCAGTCACGCTACGCCTCGGTATATGCGCGTGCAAGCGCCTTCGACACGCGGGGTGAAGGTTTGGCTGTACACAGCGCGAGTTTTATGGTCATCTGGGCTGCACGGTGAGCTTCGTTATGTCGTGTGCGCCGGGCGAGCCGTTGTTACGTCCCAAAGGATGCATGATGGTGACATGGTCTTTGCGCTAAGTACGGTTAGCAGGCGCTTAGCCGTGCTACTTTCCAAATCAGGGTCAGCTGACAGCGTAGTGGTCCCGGAGCCACAATTGCGCAGTCTCACTGCTCTCTACGCCGGGTCGCCTCAGCACGGCGCAAGCAGTCCAGCAACCCCAGAACCTTGACCCTGAGTACACGCCAGGATGTCCTCCGATGAAGAGAATCGGAACGCGGCGGAGAAGCTGAAGGCGGAGGGCAACGCGCTGCACCTCAAGGGCGACCACGCCGGCGCGCGATCGAAGTACACCGAGGCCATCGCGCTCGACGGCGCGAACGCGGTGCTGTACGCGAACCGCGCCGCGGCGTACATCGCGCTTAAACAGTGCGTCGCCGCTGCGATAGCGATGGACCGCTGCTGCGCCGGACTGACCGGGCACGGTCTCACAGGTTTCTCGATGCCGGGCGGGACGCGCAGAAGGTGCGCCCGGGTACGCGATTTACCCCGCGGGGGGGTGTAGGACCCCTGTGTCTAACTTGACTAGGCTGTCGAGATAGATCCCAGCTATGGCAAGGGTTGGGCACGGCTCGCGAAAGCTAGTTCTGTAAGTATCCGTCTGCTCACCTGCGCTTTGTAGCTGATCGTAGCGGTCTTGGGCTGGCAGGAACTGCATGCCTGGCCGAAGTCCATTAATGCATGGAAACGCGCGCTCGGGACGCTCCCTGAGGGCGACCTCACGCCGCAGCAAGAGGAGCTGAAGAAGCAATACCAGGAGGGGCTCGAGTTGGCGCAGGCCACGCTGAAAAAGCAGGAAGAAACTCCTCCGGAGGTGCAGGCTCTGCCCAGCATATCTGAACGGCCGTGGAACCGGGCCTTGAAGATGGAAGATGTATTGACGCGCACTAGTGTGTTGAACACCAGCGTAAGTTTGATGACCTCTTGTATGCGCCTAACATCAGATCTAATGTGAACTCAGGCGTGGCCGATTATGAACGCATACAGGGTAGGCTGACATTCGACCGTACACATAACATCAACGAACACGGTCTAGGATTTTTCGGAAGGCGTAGGTTGCATGAAGCAGCTCAAGAAAGTCGATGGCAAAGTGCAAGGGAATCTTAATGTACGCCGTGCACCTCCGACAAATTTTCAAAACGGTGAACCTGACCGGGCAATCTTCAGGCTATATCCTCCATCATTGGCGGCATCCTGAGGGATGATCGGGTGTTCCATATGGACTCTGAGAACTGGTTGGAGCTGCTCCAGCTGCAAGGTTTGAAGATTGATTGTTCTCTTGCAAGGCCACATTATTGATAGACACATAGTGCAACTTGAGATGGCGGCTTTCGAAGGATGGTCGGAAGGCGGCCCAGAAACAATCAAAGAAGAGGCCGTCAAGCGATTGGAGGAGAAGGGCTGGAAGGCGACCCGGATGGCGTTGTCGGCCACAATCAGGTTCGTCAAACTCTCGGCTTGATATCGTTATTCGGGATACCGGCTTACCTCGAGATAGGGCGTGGTTCCTCCGTGCGTATTTTGCGCATCGGAGCGGCGAGAGCCTGTCGCTCGCACTGCAGCACTACAACAACGTAATTGAGGTGCTCGAGTGGGGTTCTGAAACTTGGAAAGACGTGCCGTCGGAGGACCGGGGGTACATCTTCCAGAAGACATTCGTCCGTGCGATCAAGCGCCTGAAGATGGATGCCTACCTCGGGGTGCGTTTGGACCGGTACCGCGCGACATCTTCACGGAGCTAACCTATAATGATAGGCTGTGAGGCAGTCAGAGGACGACTCCACGTACAACGTCGAAGACCTGATCGATATGGCGAACCAGATGGTGGATGAGACGACGAAGAATGTCCCGAAAGATGAGGATGACGGACCGATGGACAAGGGCGCGTGGTACTCGTTCTTCGTGTACCCCATCGCCGAAGCACACGCGTATGACCCAACCATTGTCGCCAGTTGAACTCTCGTTTACTGATATGGATCCACCGCAGCACACTCGGCGCCGTGTTTATGCAGCAGGGCTTGAGCGCGAAGCAAGCGAACGACACTGAGGAAGGGGAGAACATGCTCGCTGCGGCAGCCAAGTTCTACAGGAAGGCAGCGGAGACATACCCGCCAGACGACGAGAAGGCGCCGTGTAAGCCACCCACCGCCGCCTTCATCCCGCGCTCCGCTCTTCTTCTGATAAGCTACCGCAGTCTACCTCAAGATCGCGTTCGAGGCAGAGCTGCACCGCGGGCGGCCGCTTTCGGAGACGCTCGCGCTGTGCGAGCGCATCCGCAAGCTGCTCCCGGGCGTAGCGAAGATTTGGGAGTTCAGCACCTCGAACAATCTCGCGGCGCACCTGCGGCAGCTCGAGCTGTTCGAACAGCGCGCATACACCGGGCTGCTCGAGGGGAGATACAGCATGGAGACGCCATCGGTGAGAGAAGCGTCCGCAGGATGCGATCGCGCCGAGCTGTGCTGACACCCGCCTGATGATGTGCTTTCCTCACAGTCCGATGTGCCGCTGGACTGATACACCGTCTGAATCCCTGCGGGGGCCCATTTGTGCTCGCCCGGCTGATGTCGCAGCCCATTCGTGCGCGTGATGGGTATGTAGGTTCAGGTGGATGTCGCGAAATCTGACTGCTACGACTTGATCCCGTATCCGCATCGTGATGTTTGAACACACCCGTACCCGGAATACGCATGCGTCGAGATGCCCGTGTGCCCTCTGCATACCCACCGTTGCCCCGCTGACGTATATAGGATCGCGAAGGCGCACACACAACGACATCGGCACCAATACCCGTATATTTGCATCCGATCCGACGACCACGCTCGCCCGTCCATGCCACACAAGGCGGCGGAAACGTGTGGCAGCGCGCGGCAGAAGCCTGCTTCGCCGCCCTGGATATCCTGCCATCCACAAATCAGAGCGTTGATCAGCGTTCTGTGTCCGCAACCGACAGCCTTCGCGCTCCCATCCGGACGCCGCCGGCACCTGAGCCTCGCAAGAACCCAAGAATCATTATGCACACGCAGATGGCCATGGCCACCGCCTGCGGTGCACACCTCCGAGGTGCGTCAGCAGCCCCTGGTCCGATTGGGGCCCCTCCAGCGCCGGCCTTCTATATCCCGCACGGTGACGCTCCTCAGACTCAGGCTCCCGGCGCAGCCTGGATATCCATCTGCGTGCAGGGCCGGCGCGGAAGCCCAGCGCCGCGGTTCCTCGCACAGAAGGAGGGCCCTGGGACAGATCATCAGGCCTCAAGCTTTCATTCGCCGTCCCACCGCGGCGGCTACTGCATTGAACTCTGAAGGCTGGCACTTGCGCAACAGCCCTGTGCGGTCCTGCGACCGCCCGATGTGGACGCGCGTGCACACGGGCGTGGGCACGCACCCATGGGACGCGCCCATTCGCGTTTGGGCCGGAGGTTGATCTGGAAGCGGTGGCTCATCATGAACGCATGAACGTTCGCCTCGCCGCTGCCCGGGCGAGCTATGCCACTGCGCCGTGCACCCCGCAGTCACCAGTATGCGCTTCCTTGTTGGCCGCAGCGCGCGAACAATCAAGCGGCGGTCGCAGTCGCAGTCGTGCGGTGGATTAAAATTCAGAAGCCCATTCCATTATTACGCAGACGCCGGCGTGGATACTGGACACAGCGCTGAATGTAGTGGATGTGTCGCACTCGCTGATCTGCATCTCGCGGGTGGCATGACATGCACTGGGGTGGCACGCTCCGTGGGCTGGGCGGCGACCGCTGTCTTCGACCGCCGCACTTCGTCCTTTGTTTCCGCGGACGCGGACGCGCTAGCGAACCTCGCCGCGAGGCCGGGGCACGTGTGGCGCTAGGCGTTTTGCATTGGGGAAGGAGGCAAGCGCGAGTCCAAATCCTGCGTTGTCGTCCGTAATAATACAAGCGACGCGACCGGTTCGGGCGCGAGAAGGAGACGGAATCAGAATGGCGTTGGGCCCGCGCATGTGTCATGCCAACGAAGGTTCGCTCGGTGCAATCATTTACAGCTGCTGGCCAGGCACAGGCTCTGAGTTTGCGGGGCACGGAAGAGGGGTGCTCGGTGGACGCCATGGATAGAGAACCCTGGCTCTGTTGCGACGCTGGGCTGATACAAGCGCAGATAGGGTGAATGGGTGGGCGGAAGGGTCCAGGCCTGCGCTGGGACAGCTGTACTGGGAGGAAGCCGGGATCCTCATAAGTACAGCCAGGGCCGATCGCGCAGCGGGGGCGAACGAGGACGGGATTCGGCGCCCGGGGATGTGAGGTGTGGAAGGCTGTTCCTTACAAGGTTTGGACATTGCGCTGTAGAGGATGCGATCAGTGATGTGTACAGAGCGTGATTGCAGCGTATACAATTCCTGGGGACAAACGCAAGGAAGACGCGGCGACGGATGATGACAGCATGGCCAGGGCTGGCGGCGCACGGACGGGGAGCATGTCACATTAACGGCATGCGCGGCGTGGTGGTCTTAGGGTTGTGCTGCATCGATGGCGCCGCGTCGGAGGCGGCGCTGTCGGGCTGGGAGGCGATGGCGAGGAGTGCGAGGCCAGCTGGTAGAGGCTCTGGTGATGAACATGGTGCCTGATTAAGATTCCGCGGAGGGGCGATGGGGTGATTGAGATACTCGGCGAAGCGGGCGATAGTTGGCATCCCGGACGCGATTGTGGTCGCACTTCCCGATCCGGCTGACTTGGAACACTCTTGGAAGCTTTCTCGGATGCGGTCTCTCACACATCTCACAGCTTCCGTCCCGACTGCTCTCCTCCGAATCAGCCCCACCCGTTTATTTACTGCCGTCCCAGCCAACATGCCCCCCTCCGCCGCCCTCCTCCGCCCATGCCCTGCTTCACCCACAAACGCCCGCTCTCCCCCTCCGCAGCCGCCGCGCGCGACCGTCTCCCGCCCAAGCGCATGAAGATGATCCATCCATCCATGCAAGGCCTCTGTTTATCTGATGCACCGAGTGGTACCTGCAACAGGGCCCCTGCAGCGCCGAGTTGCCTCCTGTCTGGCCTGGATCAGAGCCACTCCATGCGCCCTCTGACCAAGTGCCACGCCGCAAACGAGGCTTGTGAGCTCCGCGAACATGACCACCGCGTGAGTACCCCGCCTTTAATCGCCTTTCTTGCGCGGCGAGGGGCCATTGTACGTGCAGCGTGCCCTCGCCGTGTCCCGCCCCGCCTGCGGCAGGTCCTTTGTAGCAAACGATCTATTGTCCGCGTTTAGCACTTCCCACTCTCCATTTCCCAGAACGCCGGGCTGATCAATCCGGATAGCCACAGACGCCCGCGCTTCTGCCGCAAACGCTCCTTTTGCAGAGTGCTTCGCATCAGCTTCTCTGCAAGCACCCGCAACGTGTACCCAAATCCGCTGTTGTCTCTGCCAGCCCCTGCGCTCACGCCACTCTCGAAGATGGTCGCCATATATCTTCGGGCGACGCCTGGTCCCAGTCGCCTACCGCGACTCGCTCCCTCCCGCTGCAATCCCCTTCTGCACCCGCCCCCGCAATGGCCTATAACTACCCTCAAGCAGGTTCCTCGACCTCCCGCAGCACCCAGTTCCCCTTCGTGAACGACGCTACCGCAGGGATGCCTTTCGAGACTGACGTCCTCAACTACCTCTACGAAGGCCTCGATCAAATGTCCTACGGTGGGTGCATGCCCCTTCACCAATAAATGTGCTCGTCTGACCATAATATTTTCTAGACTTTCCCGAGGACGTGCTCTCACAGCTCGACTTTTCCGTCGGCGAGCAGCAGCAGCGATGCGGGCTCAACGTGTGCCCGCCAAATCAGCAGTCGCCGATCTTCCGCTCCATGTCTCGATCAAGCTTCGGCTCGAGCTCGTACATGGAGTCTTCGTCTCCGGACGACTATCCCACGCCAACCTCCGATAGCTCAGTCACGACGCCTGCCCTCAGTGACGCGGCGTTCGGGTTCCTGCCCGACCTCCGCTACTCTCCCTTCGGCCAGGAGGCCCCGGCGTTCGCCTCAGAAGCGAAGACGAAGGGCGAGCTCGACTGTTCTTACGTCCACGCCTTCCCGGGATCTGCGCCCCTTTCTCCCAACGCCTTCTGCACCTACAGCTTCGACGCGTGCCAGCCGCAGGCCCTCGCCCTCCCCTCGAACGAGGGCAATGGCTTGGCGGGGGCAAGGCGACACAGCGAGCCGGCGAGCCTCGCTGCTCTCCAATTCCCGTTGTTCTTCCAGGAACAACTCGCGCAGATCGCCCCTACCCTCGCCGCCACGCGCTCGATCACAGATAATCTCACTGGGCTTCCCCCGGCCCCAGGGCCTTCATCGATCGCCCCTCACCAGACCCAGCTCCCGCGCCCGCTGGAGATCATGCAGCCCAAACCGGTCCGAGCATTCAAGCCGCCGATCCTGCGAGGCGACCGCCATTACGACCCCAAAGACTTCGTCAGGCGACACTCGGAGCCTGTGCTCCCATTACCGGTGCTTGACGTCTTCAGCCACGAGGCCGCCTCGGAGTGTCCCGAAGAGGACGAGACGATGGACGGCGAGGACGAGCTGTATGACGAAGGGGACTACCCGGACGACATGGGCGACGACGCCCTGATGGACGACTTCGCGTTCGAGGGCGTGGACGAGCAGGGTTTCCCCAGCGACGTCCAGGGGGAGTCCTTGTTCGATCCCGAGTGGACGTGGTACCAACCCGCGTCCAGTTCGTCGGCGCCCGCTACGGCCGCGCCACAACAAGCTTGGCCGGGTGCCGCCTTGTTTGGCGTCCCCTTCGACTGGACGACCGCGTTCGCCGCACCATCGACGTCCGGTTTTGTTTCCGACACACGACCACATGGTTTCACGCAGATGTGAGGCTGCATCCTTGTTGTTCGTTTTTTGATACGCCTCCGTGCCACTCCTTGTTTGCTGTCCGTGCACCGCTCTTCCCGTACATCGCACTCACTCTGCATTGCATCGCTCGTTCTTGCACATGTGTATTTCGGACCCCTCAGTTGACCTGTAGCATACGTCGCTCGTTATCGCACGATACATACGTAGAACCGACCACCGTAATATCCTACGTTGCGCACCCATCACGCGTGCATTATTCGAAGCTTCTTCGTCGTCATGCGGGCCTGGGCCCGAGAAGAGAGGTGACGGACCACGATCGGTGAGCGCAGATCGTAATCTGGGGTATGGGGCACTATGCCGGATCAGGCAACGAGCGGGAGGACCGGCACCGGGCGATTGACTCAGCCGGACCAATCGGAGCATTTGAATCCCCGAGTGTGCACGGCCGCCCGCTCGCTCTCAGCTCTCTCCTCAGCCCTCTGCCTCTCTCTCTGCCTCTGCTCTTGGGCAGTCCTCATGCGTGTGCGGCCCTGCAGATGACTGGTCGTCTTGCGTCCAACCTGAGCTAGCACGCACTACCCTTTCTTGCTATACATAGCTGTAACTTGCGCACCACACGGGCAGCGACGATCTACTTATGCTTGCACGGCTGTCTCAGGCGGCGGCGAGGACCCTCTTGTCCACCCTCGAGCTGCGCGAGCAGTGCGCTGTCTCGGAGGGCGAGAGGGAGTTGTTGGTGAGTAGGATCGCCTGTGAAGAGCGCACCGCGAGCTCGGCTGAAGCAGCGCACGCAGACCCTCAACGTCGAGGATCTGTACGGGTTTGTGAAGCCGCTCCCACAGCTCGCCTGGAGCAGCGTCTCGGGCATATGTTCGCGCACGCTCACCCCTGTCTACCACGCGCTCAGTGCTACGCTGCATGACGACGTGGAGCAACTCGCGCAGCTGTTCGCGGACCTGGAAGCGTCGCACGAGCGCGAGGCGTACTTCGAGGTCAGTTAGTCTCACCAGGCCCTGCAGGGAGTTGCCTATGTTCCCCGGTGCTCACCACTATTTCCACCACAGCCCGCTGAGCGGGACGTGGTCCTTGCGCGACTTCCTCATGCTGATGATCCTGCGTCGTCACGACCAGCACCCGCATTACCCCCACGAGCGAGGCGGCGCTCCTCAGTTAAAGTACGCCCCTTCCCGATTCATGAACCCCTGCGTCTGCGCTCACACTTCACCGCCCTGCACAGAGGTCAGAAGCACCCCTCGTGATCACATTCGACGACCCGTCGATCCCGACCATCGTGGTGACCCCGTGCGCGTCGCTGCCGCGCGCGTCCGCGTGCCTGATCCCGTACCAGGACGCGGCCTTCGGGAACAGGCTGCCCGTGCCGACGCACCCGGCGCTGAACGACGTGTTCCCGCCGCTCGTCGCGAAGCCGTTCCCGCTCGTCGAGCGCTGGCGGTACACGGACGGGCACTGGTGCGCGCAGCTGCCGCCCGTGCAGGAGCAGATGTCGATGGGCATGTTCTCGCGGCCGCTGTCGACGCGCCGGCAGCGCGCGCCGAATCCGGACGGGGCGGGCGCACGCGCGTGTGCGGCGCGCGGACGGACGTGTTATTCGCGTAGCAGCCACCGGGAGGGCTGAGGCGGCTCGGGGGGTGCTTGTTGCGATGCCGTCGTACATGTCGTGCCATCGTGTGTCCGTTCGCTCGTTCGTTACTGGGCATCGCCTCGGAGTCGCGGATCCATAATATGTAGGCCTGCATTTCATGTCGCTCCGAGTAGACGTTTTGATTGGTCGTGTCTTTATTTGGCGTTCGCGTGTGTTGGATATCCCGTTGCAATGCTATGGACTGTACGCCCTGTCGTGTGTCGAGCGAGGAACAGGAAGGCGAGCGAGGGTCGGAACGCGGACGGGCACCGCGTGCTGCATGCAGGTACGCACGTGTGCGTGGGACGGCTGTATGCGGTGACCTCACCGCGCCTGGCGGTGGCGGTGGAGGCGCCGTCCACCACGTATTCCATGTTCTGCACCACCCACCGGGCTCGCCGAGCTCGCTGACCACCCCCCAGTCAGTCGCCCCCGTTCTCCGCGCCCTAAGCTGCTCCTGACCAGGGCGTACGCGCAGGACGCCAAATGTCCCTGAAAGCGCTCTTCTACGCCTACGTGCTCGGCGGCCTCACCTTCCTCCCGCTCGCCGTCCTCGCCGCCGTCTTCTACACCGTCTACACATCTGTGCCCGTCGGCGACCCCGACGGCAGCAAATTCAAACGCCACGAGCTCGAGGCGCAGTCCGAGGCGGATGCGGTCGCAGAGGGCGCTGCGGAGCCGCCCTCGACGACCGCCGCAGCGTCCCCAGCGGAGATAAACGACCTGCCGCGGCCGCGCAAGGGCTGGCTCACCGTGCGGCGGACGTTCGAGGAGACCCCGGGCGATGCGTCGTACGTGGGGCTCGTGAAGGGCTTCCTGGACGCGCGCTCGAAGGACCCGAAGCGGTCGCGGCCGAAGGACATGTGGTACGTCGCGCTCAAGGGCAAGGTGCTGTACCTGTACGAGGACGAGAGCATGACGGAGTGCGAGGCGGCGATCGAGCTGAGCGGGCACGATGTTGTGGTGTTCCCCGAGGGCCTTCCGGACGGCGAGCTGTTCGCGAAGCGGAACGCGATCTGTTTGAAGCCGAAGACGAATGTCGGGGAGAAGGAGCTGCCGAGCGTGACAAGGGAGATGAAGCTTGGAGAGGAGGATTTGGACGAGGAGCTTGACGAGGAGAATATGAGCGCAAAGCAGAGGCAGAGGGAGCGGGAACGGGTGGCGGAACTGGAGAAGCGGAAAGAGGAGGCCAGGGAGCAGGCGATGGACATATCGACGCCGTGGTTTATCTTCGTCCGCTCTGCGGTGGAGATGGAGGACTGGTATCTCTCGCTGGTGCACGCGTCGGACAACCCGCCGAACACCTCGACCCTCGATCCCCTGAAGATGGTGTTCAAGCCCGAGGACATGTCCCACTTGGTATCGACGCTGGACGAGCAGCCCGACGTCATCCCCATGCGCTGGCTGAACGCTCTCATCGGCCGCATATTCTTCAGCTACTACAGGACGCAGACTCTGGAGTCGTACATCATCGGCCGGCTCATGAAGAAGATCTCGAAGGTCAAACGGCCGGGCTTCCTCACAGACATCGTCGTCCGCGAAGTCAGCGTCGGCAATCGCGCACCGACCTTCAGCAAGCCCATGCTTAAGGAGCTCACCAAGGAGGGCGACGCTTCGCTGGAGGTGCATCTTTCCTACAAGGGAGAGGTGCGGATCACCGTGGAGGCGACGGCGACGATCAATCTGGGCGCACGGTTCAAGACGTACACAGTGAAGCTGGTGCTTGCGTTGGTGCTCCGCGAAATTGAAGGCAACCTATTGGTGAAAGTCAAGCGACCGCCGAGCAGTCGTATTTGGTACGCTTTCACACAGATGCCAAGGGTCGTCCTGGACGTAGAGCCCGTCGTGAGTGATCGCCAAATCACATGGGGAATGATTCTCAGCACGATTGAGTCCAAAGTCAAAGAAGTGGTAAGTTCGTTATGAAATGTATTCTGTTCATCCGCATGCCTAAACTCTTGGCGGTAGATCCAAGAATCCGTCGTGCTGCCCAACATGGACGATATCGCGTTCTTCGAAAGCTCGCAGTACCATCATCGTGGCGGTATCTGGGCCGACGCGTCGCGTCGTGAAGACGCTCCGTTGCCTGACGAAGACGCACCCGTGGATGGTACGAGCACACCAGCTTCAGCTCCTCCACCCGAGACGTCGAAACTCGACTCGGGAGAGGCCGAGATCCCCCCTGTGCAGCGGTCGCAATCAGCAGAGGTCGAGAAGACTGTTGATACTTCTCTCTCTGAGTCTGTGCCGCTTACGCGTGCAGCTACCACGGACGCTGCCGTCACGTCGGCTGTGGGCTCATCGTCGGCGGCGCGACGGCGCAGCTGGTTCGCAGGCGTCCAGGAAGAGACCGACGCCCAATCTACAAGCTCTGCTCCCGCATCCGAAGTTGATGAAACAGAATCGCGCGGGCGGACAACTGGGCCTGATACCTCCAGTGGCCGGAGATCGAGCTCAACGCCGAATGCTGCCCCTGCGGAGTACCAGGATGATACGACTTCGTCTGTGGACCCGGATGAAGAAGACCAATATCTTACGCCAACCGCATCGAATCGCCGCAGCTCCTCCCAACATTCACGTTCGGCGTCATCAAGAGCAGCCTCGTTTTCTTCGCAAGCCGGCGATTTCTCCGACGATGGGTCGGAGTCTCAGATGGCGACGTACAGGAACAAGAGCCCCGCCCCGAGCGGAAGCTCGCCGCGCCAGATGCCTACAAGCCCGAGCTCGTTCCTGCAGACATTGAAGTCGCGTGCGGGTGACAAGCAGGCGCTCAGCAATACCGCGAAGGAGGCAATGCGCAAATGGGGCGTTCAGTGGGGCAACTTCCGTAAAGATAATGCGTCTACCACGTCCACGCCCGGGCCTACACCCGCGTCCACATCTGCGTCTATGGCGGACGAGGTCCCCGACGCCGGCAACGGAGACCAGCGGCGGATTGACAGCCGCACGCACGTCACGCGTCCGAGCTACGCTGAAGTACGCGCCGCGGTGGAAGAGAGGCGCGAGCGTGAGCGTCCCCCACTCGGAGAAGCATCCTCGCGAAGCAATCAGCAGGCGTCAGAGCCCATCGTTGTCCCGCTTGACGGGAAGGGGAAGGACACTGCTCTTGTAGGCGCATCCCCGAGACAGACCATGGCAGCTTCGCCGCCTGCAAGGGTGGATGAGGCGCCTGCAGCGCGTTCTGTGTCTCCGGCGGCGCTCCCGGTAGAGAGGTCGGACTCACACGTGTCGACGTCTTCCCGGGAGAGTGCCGCACAGGTGCTCGTCGCGCCTGAGGAGCCGGAGCGGCCGCCCTCGCCAATACACACGCAGCCACCGCCCCCGAAGACGATGACCATCCCTGGAATCCACGCCAGCCATCGCGGGGAAGTGATGTCCATGGGCTTCGTCGCTCCGCAACCGGTCCCGCAGGAGTCGAAGAAGGCCCCGCCGCTGCAGAGCGTCTACCGCCTGTGGAAGAACCCCGGCGCCGCGAGCTCGACCGTGAGCGAGCCGGTGCCAGTCTCCCAGACAGGATTCTCGGGGCGCGACCAGGACTCGGGGGCGGCACACGAGGGCGAGCCCTCGCCGACGCCACCGCGCCCGGTGCCTCCGCCGCTGCCGCCTCGCGCGAACTCAACCCACGTCCTGCAGTCGAAACCCGAGGTGCCACGACCCGTGGAGGCTGACCGCTCGCCGGCCTCTGCTGCCCTGCAGTCTATCGTCTCGAAGGACCGGGTGAAGCGTGCCTCGCTCACCCCGCCGTCGTCTCCCGGGCAGAACGGTCTCGTGCAACGCGGCGACGCGAGCACCCCGGACTTGCCGAATGCACCTGACCGTGACAGGTCGGCGGTGTTCGACTCGCCTACGGACCTCACCCCTACGCCCTCCACTCCGTCTACGCCCCCAATCCCCGCGCAAACTCCGAACGGACGCGGTCCACCGCCTGCGCTCCCGCCGCGCCGCGTACGGACATCTGCATAGTATGTCGCATAGTGCACATAATGACCAGGCCCCACTACCGTACTCCCCCGCTCGCTCGCACCGTCGTCGTCGACACTGTACCGCATATAATCTATAGGGCTGTCACATTGTACGTATATACACCTGGATCTTCTGTTGGCAATCATCGTTTTGCTCGCGCCGTGCGCCTCGTGCACGCCGCCACTCGCTGCTAGGTGCTCGCCGGGGACCCGGCGTGCTGGTAGGCTGACCACAGTAGGTGCGTTCTTGCGCCTCATGTTGTCTTATTTTCCCCATCATTCACACAGGCCGTGATATGCTGAGGACGAGGACGTACAAGGCGGAGCGCACACAAGGGTCGGGCCAGGCTCGGACTCAAGCGAGTCACCGTCGACCCTCAATGTGCTCCGACCGTCGCAACATCACCGATCCGTTTTCTCTCAATTTCCGCCATTATACTGCTCCCAGGCGGCCAGAAGCTTCAAAATTGAAGAGCACTGCGGCTGCGAACTCCCCAGGTGCGCTTCTGGAGCATAGTTTGTGGTGCCACCATCACCTGCGGGCTGCAGACATCCCGCGAAGTCGACAGTCGATAATCGCCGGCGTTTGATATCGAAAAGGCCGAGGGTGTCGATTCGCGATCCGTTGATGATTTGACTGCCCGGCGTCCCCCTATGGCGCTGCAGCCTGCGTCCCGGCGATGAGCGATGGCAGCGTCGTTTACATGCACCGCTGGTGGCGTCTGACAGACGGGTTGGACAGAAGAGATCATGCAGGCGAGGCGCCCATATTCGGATGCCGTCAGCTCGCGGTTCGAGGGGGCGCAGAGGCCGACTCGCGCAGACGTACACACTTCGTTCTAGCCTCCAGGGTCGGAGAAGCGAGACGGTGCTGAGGAGACAAAAACATATGCAATTCGACGACGATCGAGGGCTTGTTGTGATCGAGAGGCGAATCTGAGCGCGGGTTGCACGGGCGTCTGCTGACGAGATCGGATCTATCGGGTGCAGATTGATCACCGGATCAGGCAGGTTGGACGCGGGGATGGGGATAGCCGCACGCTGCAGCGGGGTTGCCAGGTCGACGGGGCGGGTTCCGCGCCTGCCGGAGTGAGAATTCCGATTAGAGATACGCCGCCACAGCGCCCTGAGGTACCGTGCGTCCGCGGCTCCGGCGGGCGCAGACTCTGAACGAGGGCTCTTGTCTGCCCGTCGACTGCTCGTCCTGGCCCACACTTGCCACCGACACGCAGCGCTCCATCTGCGACGTCTCCCCGCCTGCATTCCGACGCGTGCCGGTCCGCAAGAGAGCGCGCACACGCACTCAGTCTAAGCGTAAGTGGGGAAGGGGCAGTGCACGCGAACCTCGCGCTGGACCTCAAGGTCCCTCACAAGCCGTCACCGTGCTCCCTCCGTGCCTGAGGAGCCCACATACTGATTGCGAATTCTTTCCTCTCCTCTCTTTTCTCTAGGTGCAAACACGATCGTCCCGGCCGCCTCCCCCTTCCCTCTCTCTCCCTTCTGTATCTTGAGCCGCTTCCACGCCTGACGGCATCCGTCACGACCCTTCACGCCCACGTCCGACCACTCTAACGGACACGATGATAGCCACAGATGGACCCAGCGGCAGCGCAGAACCACCCCAAGACGCGCGCACGAGCATCGATCGCGGCAACTATCTTCGCTCTCATCCTCTTTCCCCCGCCAACGGAAACAGGTTCATAGTCGAGCCCCAGGTGCTCAACGCTGCTTTCGAGCAGCTCGATTCCGGCGAGAGACGGCCTTTCGGTGCGTGTACAGCTGCCGTGCCCTTCTCACCCTCTTCCCCGGCCCTGGGCACGCCTGAATGACGCGACACTGACTGTCATTTCACTTACAGGACCTTCTCTGCCTCACTCCGCGGGCGGACTTCCACCACCCCCGCGTCCAAATAGCCGCAAGCCACCACCACAGTCCAACCTTCCCTCCCCCGCAGACAGCCTCGAGATCGGCATCCCTTCCTTGCCCAACTCACCGACTTCGTCTCCATATTCCAATGGCCCAGGTACACCAGGAGGAAACTCGGACCTTAGTCCCAAGCCGACCCCGCGTCTGTCCAATTTTCTCCGCGGCGACACACTCATGTTCGGGGTAAGTCACGGGTCGATGGCCATAGCGGAACAGGGCGACGAGTACGACGAGCCAAAGGAGGACGACGAGTCGCAAACGGCGAGCCTGCGCAAGTGGACTTCGCGAAGCACAGGCGACCCGATCTCACCGCTCGACTCGGGTCCTTCTTCGCCTGAGTTCTCCGCGTCCTCCATCGACGGATCACGTCCGCCGCGTCACAATCGCTACCTGTCCGGGCTGCAGAAGATCACGCGACTCGCGAAGCCAAAGGCCTCGTTGAGCGCGTTTTCTGACTCAGGCGGGCGCGGCGGGCGACGGATGAGCGATGCCGAGGTGGACCCCCGGCGCAGCAGCCAGGAGAAGGGGAGCAGCAGCGACTTGTCGGGGCGGATCCGGGGGATGCTGGACAAGGGGGCCAAGGGCGCGACGGGCGAACTGATAAAGCAGCCCGCGAGCGTGCCTAGCTCGCCCGTTGCGGCTCACGGCGTAAAAAGTACGTGTGTTTCCATGGCTATGTGCCGGGTTGCTGCGCAGGGAGGGCCAACTGGATCTGTATCTGTTTTTGTTTCGTCTGCAGATGCAAACACGCAAGAGGAGGGGCGGATGGGAGGGGGCGAGGGGCGGCTTCGCAGGCCATCAGCTGGCGGATCAACGTTCCAATCAGCCAGGGCCGGGGTCGGGGAGACGGGGCTGGGGGGCGCGACGAGGGGTGGCCGGGGCGACTCACCGCTCAATCTGCAGCCACCGCCACGCGCCTGGGTTTCCCACGCGCGGCAAGCGTCGGACATGTCTACAACGAGCTCGTTGGCCTCGCTCGGTCCCAGTCTCTCCCCCGCCTCTGCCTCAGACTCCTCGCACGACCCCCCCTCCTCCCACACCGACGCGCGCATCTCCATCTCCTCTACCATATATCCCTCCTCTTCTAATAACCACTCCTTCGACATCGCTCGCTATCCCCTCCCCGGCAGGTCCTCCATGCACAGTCCAGATCGCGAGTCTTTTATCGACCTCGCGTCCCCCACGTTCTCTCCTCTCAACGCCGACTTCAAGAACTTCTCTATACCCCAGCCGACCCAGAACGCACGCGCAGAACAGCCTATCCCTTACGATTCCAGCAACGATTTCAGTCACGGCGAGTCCTCTGCCCGCTCTACGAAACCCCGTCTCCCGCGCCTCCTCCCCACCGGCTCCGACAAGCCCCCAATCCCCACTACCCCTAAGCCTGACTTCAGCCGGCTATCCCGCTCGGGACAGTCTGCGTCAGGCAAAGCGAGCAAGACGTCGCCCAAACACGGGAGCCCCATGTCGACATTCGCGTCCGACCTCGACCGCAGTCTGAGTGGCCTCACGACCACGAACGCGCTGACCCCGCGCGAGCGCGCGCAGCGGGTGCGGACTACGCACAAGCTCACGCAACTTTTTGGGCAAACGCCCGGCGTCTCCCCTATCTCGCCACAGAACGATGCGCACCTCCCGAACGGGTGCATGCCGATCCCGGGCAATTTGGCGCTGAATTTGACGGCGAAGCGCAAGCACTCCCACCAGCACCACCGCCCGGCGGTGAGTATGTCTGAAGAAGTCGTCACGCCCGTGTACGAGGCGGACGAGATGGTGTGGCCGCCGCCGGACAGCACGCGCTACGTGCCCGTCGCGGCGCGGCGACACTCGGCGCCGTTGAGCCCGGACGAGTTTGCTTTCATGGTCGGGCCCGGCGGGCGGCGCTCGAACGAGTCCGGCGGGTCGCGGGCGTTCAGCGCCGGGTCTGCCGGGGGGCGGGACGACTCGTCGGTGATTGAGATCGGGACGGCGGAGGGGGACGCGGCGAGCGTGGCCGGGTCCGGGCGGTGGACCGGGCGGGGGGAGGGCCCGGGGTCTCCGATGTCGTTCATGGACCTGTCGGACGAGGAGGGCGGGCTGTCGGAGATCCTGGCGGAGACGCCACGGGGGCCCCGGACACGGCAGAGGCTGTCGCCCGCCGAGCTGTCTGATAGCCTCTCGATTTCGGCGGAGGAGCTCGCGGAGGACGAGCGCCGCCGCAAGAGAGAAAAGCTGGCCAAGCTCCACCGCTTCCTCGGCTCCCGCGTCCCCCCGCATCTCGTCCTCGGCACTCTCGACGAGGGCACCCCGCTCCCCCCGCTCGCTGCTCCCTCCCCCTCCACCCCGCTCGACGACGACGCCGCAGAGCGCAGGCTCAAGATGAGGCGCCGCAGGAGCAGTTCCGCCGCTGAGTTCTCCAAGAAGTGGTCCGACGACATCGACCGCCTCAAGGAGGAGCTCAACGAGCGCGAGAAGGCAATCAATGTCCGCCGTGCTGTCAAGATGGAAAAGGTCCGTCTGTCGAGCACATAGTCTGTTCTTATACCGTGTTCTGACAATGGCCGTCTGCAGATGTTCGGCGTGGCTCCCCCGCAGACGCTCTACCACACACGCGCTCCGACCTCGTCATCAAACAGCCTCTCTGCTAGTACGAGCTCAAAGGCGCCGCCCTCCCCGAGGGCGGCCCCGCGCAGCCCGTCTGCCCCTACGTTCCGTCTCAACCCCTCCGACTCCGGGCTCGGACACGGACACAAGTCCAAGTCCAAGAAGAAGAGCGCTCGCCCAGGCACATCAGACTCGTCTGAGCCGCTCATCCGTGACGACAGCAACGACTTCGGTCTCCTCGACGCCAAACGGTCCTCCGTGTACATGCACTACCGTCATTCCTTGAACTCCCTCAACGACATCATTGACAGGGTACGTATACACTCTATCTGACCGTGCTGTACCTGACACCAAGCCCGTGTTTTCCTAGGACGACCGCGAGTCGCTCGCCGAGCTGCACGACTACCTCACAGGCCCGCCCACGTCCCTCGCAGATGACCTGACCGTTGTCACCCCGACGGTCAAGTCGGAGCGGCGGCGGTCGCTCCCATCGCGCACCAGCATCGCGTCGTTTACGTCCGAGATCAGCCTGATCATCGCGCCCACGCCGACGGAGCCGTCGTTCCAGCAGCGCCGCCGTCGCGCCGCGAAGCTCACGCACTTCTTCGGCGTCGACTACCGCGAGCTCATGAGCGAGATCCTCGAGAGCATCGAGAAGGGCCTCGAGGAGGAGCGCGGCCGGGGCACCCTCCGTCCGGACGAAGTCAGAGTACGTGTCTCCATCTGCCAACACCCGTCTGATGATGTTCTCCCGTGCTCGTACCTGGGACTAACCCCGCCTTTTCCCCCCATCCAGGATCTGCAGAAGACACTAGTGTCCCTGAAGACGAAGCGCAACAGCCTCCGCCAGGCTCACGCCGAGTGAGGCGGGGCCGCGCCCTGGCCCGCGGCGCCGCATGCACGCACATCTCTAGCGCGACGCGCCACGATACGACTCTCACACGGGGACTTTGGGTGCTCGGGACCGCGGACTCTTTGTTAGTTCTACCACCATTTACCACCACCAACACCCCTCACTTAGAGTAGAGCTGTCTAATAATGGGCGGCGCCCGGACGCGCCGCCACGCATGCATATCTTCCCTACGAACAGCTCCCTGTACACTATAAATCACTATTGCGCGGGAAACAGGCGAACTAAGTACAACAACACAACCAAGCGTCCGAGACCATCCACGAGGCATGAAGAGAGATGATAGAGATGTGGCGTAAGACTACTAGTTGTTGGTTCTACTGCTAAAGATTAGAGGACGACGAGGTCGCCCTGGCACGAGCTACACCAGAAGACGTGCGACTCGTCCATGAATATTGGGCGTTTGACGGCGGGCGCAGGTGGCGGGGTCGCGGGGTTGGAAGGTGGCTCGATGACGGCGGGGAGACCGTTTGAGTGTTGTGGGGGCGAGGTAACGCTCTTTGAGGCGCGAGAGGTCGGTCGGGAGACGGCGCTCGTCGCGGCGACCTCGCTGTCGAACCGTGCTTTGAGCATGCTGAGGCTCACTTTGCGCTTGTGCCTCGTCTCGGGCGACAGGCCCTCGAAAGAGGACACAGTCTGGGGGACTGCGAGAGTACTGGGGCGACGACTCGAGCTCAACGACGCTCTCCGGAGATCGTCTGAGTGGTCGATCGCCCGAGTCGACGTGCGCCGCGGAAGCGGCTGGGGCTGGTGCGGCAGGTGCGTCGAGGAGCGCGACGACGGCCGCGGCTGTCCGCGGACCTGCACCAGCTCGTCCTCGAGCGCAGCGACCTGCCGCTGGAACGTGTGCACCTGCGCCTCGGTCTTGAAAAGCGAGTCCTCGAGCGCGCGCACCTGCGACTGCGCCTCGGAGAGCTCGAGCGCGTGCTGCTGCTTGAGCGCATTGAGCATCTCCTCGTCGAGCGACTGCGTGCCCGCGCGCGAGGGCGGCGCGGAGAGGGCCTCGCGGAGCCGCTCGAGCTCCTCGTCCTTCTGCGCGAGCTCCGCCCGCAGTGACTCCTGCTCGGCCTGCGCGCGCGCGAGGAACTCCTCGGCCTCCGCCTGTGCCCGCGTGTGCTCGCCGAGCTCGCTGCGGAGCGCGGACAATTGGGTGGAGTGCGACTGCAGCGAGTCCGTGAGCCGTCGGATCTCCTCGACGTTCGAGTTGGAGACTTGGCGCAGCTTATTGCGCTCGTCCTCGAGGTCGCGCACTTCCTTCTGCGCAGCCAGGAGTTCTTTTTGGAGCTCTGCATATGCTTGCTGGATCTCGGACGAGTCTTTCTCGAGCGTCGCACGCTCTGCGTCGAGCGCGGCACTCAGGCGGTCCCGCTCCTGCTCGGTCGATTCTTTTTGCTGCCGCAGCTCGTCGAGGTCTGACTCGAGCTGAGCAATCACAGCGTCCCGGCTCTGGACGGTACCCTCGAGGCTGTCCGCTTTCTCGCTGAGTTGCAGTTTCGCGTCCGTGAGCTCGACGATCTTCGGACGCATCTCGTCCAGCGACCGCATCAGGCCGATACCCTCGGCTTGGAGCTCCTTCTGGGTTTTCTCCGCGTCCTCGGCGCGCGCAGTCGCGGCCCTGAGTTCCGCCTGGACCTGTTTGAGCTGGCGCGCATTGAGGGAGAGTTCGGATGAGAGGGCCGCGAGCTTCTGTTGGAGCTCCGTGGCGAGATTCTTGCCATCTTCCACCTCTGTCTGCAGGGCGATACGTTCCTCTTGGAGGCCGTCTCGTTCCGAAGTGACTGTCGAGAGCTGACCTTGGATGGCCATGCACTGCTGCTCAGATTCGGAGTATCGCGCTTGCCAGTCAGCCTCGGCTTGTGCCTTCTCCTCCAGCTGCTTTGCGAGACCATCCCGCTCTGCTTGGGCTTCTGCATACGTCTTCGCATGATTAGCTAGAATTACGATGTCATAATGGGGCCTCGCTAACCTGCTGCAGCTTCGACAGCTGAAACTCAAGGTCATCTGCTCTGTCTTGGGTGTTTTTGAGTGTCTCCTCGAGGCGGTCTGCACGGTCGTCACTTTCGATTTGCTCTTCCAACTCTCGAACCCGCCGAAGATGTTCTTCAGACTGTGTTTGCAACTCATGCACCCTCCCGTTCAAAAGCTGAATCTCTCGCTCCTGAGAAGCACCGGGCGGGCGTCAGTCTTATACTTCGGCAGCTGTGGCGCAATGCACTTACTTGGTCGCGAGACTTGTCGGTCAACTCTTTCTCGGTGGCAGCAAGAGACACGATTTGCGATTCGGCTGACTGGGCGTCCGATTCGAGCTGCGACACGCGTGCTTGCAGATTCGCGTTCTGTGCGCGTTCCGCTTCGAGCTCTTGTTCGGTTTCCTTGAGAGCTACATACAACGTGAGACGTTGGGTATATGGGACGTGTGTGACGTTACGCACCGGATTCCGCATGCTCGAGACGCTCTACGGCTGAGGACAGTGATGTTTTCTCAGAAACGAGCAAAGTGATCGTTTGCTGCTGCTGCTCGAGACGCTCCGTGTATTCGTGTACGGACTCATCGAGGGCCTGGACCTGCTCTTGCAATCTAGTGGAATTCGCGCGCTCGTTTGTCAGTGCCTTCTCGACCTCCCTGGCCTCTATGACACGAGCTCAGCAGCACACTATATGCGCGGAACCGCGCCACCTACTTGCGAGAGCGGCGTTCAGTTCCGCCGTCGACGCGTCGAGGGCCTCTTTCTCTGCCTTCAGAGAGGACAGAGACTCCTGCTGCTGATTCACCTTCTGCGTGAGCACCTGCGTCTCGCGGCGGAGGTCCTGAACGGTCTTGTCAAGTCCCTCAGTCTTCGCGCGCTCCGCCTGGAAGAGCTCAAGCGTATGGCGGGCCTCTATACGCGGGCGCGTGTGAGCAGCGAAAGACGGAACGCCCGCGTAGCATGTGCGACGTACTGTTCTCGACTTGTGATAGGTTGTCTACCTGAGTAGCGAGTGATGCCTTCTCTACCTCCAGGGTCTCGATGGCCCGCCGCTGGTCGCGCACAAGCGCCCGGAGGTCTTCTCGCTCGGGCGCCGCAGCTGGAGGGGATGTAGGAGTGTGGTGTGGGGGAGGTGACGCGACCGGCGGGGAGGGATGCGACTCAACACGCGTAAGCCCAGACAGCCATGAGTCCGCGTCAGAGTCGCGGCTGCTCTTTGTGAACCTGTCCGCGCAGACGGCAAGCACGGAGTCCGTGAGCAGAGGTTTAGATTCGATAGACGTACATCACGTACAGGTCAGCGGAGTTCCCTTCCACATGTTTGTGCTCTTGCGCAAGTGGTTCACTGGGAGCAGGAGTGGATGTCCTGGACGCGGACGGTGCGGGAGACGCTATGCGAGGAACCGGGGATGCGACGCGCGACGGCGAAGGGGGCCCGCCATGTTCAGCAGCTTTCTGGGCCTGCCTCTTCTTCAGCTGGAACGGCGGACATTGAGCACTCGTGGAACTCGGAGGCGGTCATTGTGAACGACAGACCATTGCGCGTGCACGCGCTGCCTTGGCGGCACGGTCATCTTCGGACATGGTTCGCTATCTGGTCTCGAACACGAGGAGTGGGTGTCGCAAGATATGAGAGCGAAGGGAGAGAAAGAGATGGTGGTTGCGAGTGCTGGTGGCTGAGAGCTGCGCGGTGGCTGCCACCTTTCAGCACATCAGTGAATGGGCGCTTCTGTATATTTACGACCTGACACGTCTTCAGCAGGCTGAATATTCAACTGTGTTGGGTCGAGCAAAACGCATGTGCATATATGCTCCATTGGCCTTCCTACAACAATCTCTTACACCCATGTGAGAGGAAAGAGATGACATAGGTTCTGTATCTGCCAACATGTAAACCAGAACGGAGTGGAAATACGGACAGCAAAGCGGCGAGGGAAGCAACACAGAACAGACAGAACGGGACCGTCGGGGACTAAGGGGGAGTGGAGAATGTATGTCACAAGATACATGTCGCCTAACGTCTGACGGAGAAAGAGTGTACGAGGATGCGAGGAATAACGCGTAAAGACAGACTCGGGGGCGGCCGGCGGGCGCGGGTGGGAGAGATGATATCGCGTAGAAAGAACAAATATCAATATAGAGGCCGTCAAGCCCATTCCGGAGGTACACTGGTGTAGAAGAGAGGGTATTGAGAAGGCGATCCCGAGCTTCCAGGGGCATGGTTTGATTAAGCCCAGACCTGTACCATGTGTGAGCAAGTCTGTGCCTCACACATAATGTTGTGAAAAGACAAACCCTGAGTGTGCTGTCCCAGCTACCAGTGCACAACGCCATGCCGTCGGAGCTGACGCCGAGGCAGCTGACACGGTTCTCGTGGCCAGTGAGAACACCGACCCGCTCGCCCTTGAGGGTGTCCCAAACGTTGCACGTCCAGTCGTCGTAACCGCCGAACAGAATCCGGCCAGAGATTGAGAAGGCAACGGAAGTGATACCGCAAAGGATGTTGTCGTGTGTGAAGGCGTTAAGCTCGCGGTCCGCCCGGATATCGAACAACCGACACGAAGCGTCGTCGGAGCCAGTGGCGAAGGCATCTCCGTTAGGGAAGAAGCTATCTAAGCGTTAATGTGTGTATCTAGATAACATGCGTATGATGCAAGACGAACCTAACGGCGTTGATATCGGACTCGTGGCCAGTGAAGGTCTGCGTCGCCTTGCCACTCCGGATATCCCACAACTTGGCAGTCGCGTCACACGCACCAGACACAAACACGTTCTGGTTGGGGCCGAGCGACAAACTGGCAAGTGTGGTCAGGTCCGATGTAAAACTGTCAGCGCGCCGAGAACTGCGAAAGCTTACCTCATCACATCACCGGTGTGGTCGCTGAACTCAACGACCCGAACGCCTGCCTCGATATCCCACAGCATGCAAGTCATGTCGCCCGAGCTGGTCACGATTTGGCGGTCATTGAGGAAACGGCAGCAACTGAGGTAGCCGGAGTGAGCGCTAAGCTCGCGGGCGCCCTTGACGTTGTTCCCCTCCTTGGAGTGGAGGTTGTAAATTGAGCAGATGTTGTCGAGACCACCGCAAGCGACGTAGTTGCCAGACGGGGAATACGCACACGTCATGACCCAGCTAGACCGCAAGGGAATGGCGTGAACCTTGTTGGTGGTGTATGCGTCCCAAACGATGAGCTTTCCGTCCTGCGAAGCAGAAACCAAGTGCCGCCGGTCAGTCGCCCAGTGCATGGCGTAGATCTTGGCAAGGTGACCGCGAAGTGCACGGCGGGGACGCATGACAACTCTGGGCAGCGCAGGAACCTCGTTGGCCATTGCCCGCACTATCATTGATTATTGATGTAAGTTGACTAGCCAGCTCACAACGTTCGGATGAGGAAGTACTTACGGCTAGTATCCGCGGAGGACTCCCTCTTTGCGCGAATTTTCTCCTTCAGACTCTCCGCCTCGCGCCTGGCGGCGGCGATACGCTCCTGGATATCTCCTTGGGGCGACTGGGACATGGTATGAACAGAAGAGATACTGCAAGAATGGATGGGGTGAGTTCCTGGATCACGTCGTCGAGAAACCGAGTGTCTCAGAGCCTCAAGCGCAGCACACAGCAAGAGAAACGTACCGTGCGAGACTACAAGAAGCTGTAGAGAAGGGGTAGGCGGTCGGGAGCTGACGGAAACTTTCGTGGGAACCGACAAAGACTAGCTGGAGCTACACGGAAGTCTCTGCAGCTGGAGAACGTGTCGGACGACAACGACGAAGTCCTGGAGGATGGGGCGAGCGGAGGAAGATGGGGGGAGATGGCAAGGGGGAGACCGGGCCTGGAGGACGACGGCGACTGTCAACTGGCAGTGGGAGCGTTGATGGACTCTGCTGAGGCTCCCTTCGCCGCCCTCGGATCCGTCCTCTCTCGGTTCGCCCTCCGCTCCGGCCAGACAGGCGCCGTCCTCCAGCCAGCCGTAGCCGGCCGTCCGTCCGCCCGGCCGTGTTCTCGGCCGTGCTCTCGGCCATGTCCGGCTACCCAAAGCGGAAGGGCAAGGTTCGTATACTCAACGCTCACTCCTCCTCGTGCTCCGACTCGCTCGGACCGCGCGCCTCATGCGGTTCTCGTCTTCCCTCCATCTGCTCCCCTCACAGGCTTCATCTCATCCACACACGCATGCAGTGGAGAACAGCTATACGCTCAGCATGGTCGGCGACTTCGGAGGGCATGGCGGAACTCACGTCGGCTCCCAACTCTCCTCGTCGGGTGCACGTAAACTGCGCCTCATCTGTGATCTATGATGATACCGGCCCGACATACCTCGCGTCGCGCCACGGACCTTGGCCAACCTCCTCAGCTCCGCCGAGGCCTCTGAGTCAAGCGAGCTACGGTCCACGCTCCACGACTCACATACAGATCCAAGTACAAGGGCGCAAATGACCTGCAAGATCCGATGGACCAGTGACTCACCCCCAACTTTCTCATCAGTACATTCGCATACAGAACCCGGCTCATCCTCTTTGTAGATACATCACCCAATTGTATCGACGAGCGGACATTCCCGCGCTCGACTATATGCGTTCGATGGCATTCTTGATTTGACACGCAGCAGACTCAACCGTCGAATCTCGTACGTTGAATGTACCCCAGTAGCATGAGTCGACCTGTGAGTGCTTTCCATGCCTTTTCGACGTCCTCAACTTGTCGAATGGTGGGACTGAGATGTACTCAACCACAGGCATGCGTCACTGCTTCCACCGCGTCGAGATGGTCTAATTGTCCGATCCGGAGCGCTGGTCTCAAGGCAGCATGCGAGGAGCCAGCCTGTGCGTTCCTGCAAATCCATCCAGCTATGAGATCGCTGTTGCACAGAAACCGACGGTGCGTCCGGCCGGTCTTTCTTTCTGCCTAGCGTCGCATCGACCAATACCGTTGGTCAGCTATTCTAAGCAATTCAAAGATTGAAGTTTGTGGTCACACAACATTCTCGATATGTCCGGGCAGAAAACAGGGCGGATGGTTTCGCCCGCATGCGTTGTGTTCTGCATCCACATGAAGCTGCCACGGACATCATATCGTAATTATCCGTTGGTCGTACCCACAGCCGATGGCTGGATTGTGAATTTCCCAGGGGTTGTCGACTCCTCTGCAGTACCCATGATATCCAGTGGATGTGGTGAAGCTGCCAGGTTTACGGCAGCCCGTAAGACACCGGCCGCGGAGAGCATCCCCCTTTTGACGCTGGCCAGAAGCGGTGTCCGTCACAGTCTAATCCTACTGACTTTCCCAAACAGGCACATCCCAATCGGCCGCCCGGAGCTGCAGATCTTGGAATCGGTTCCACATATGCTGGCTAATACGATGCATTCTATTAGGACGGACAGAATGGCGCAGTCGCAGCCGGTGCCGCCTACGTTCACGCTACCGCCCTGCCGGCCTTTATGCAAGCCCGTCACCACATCCCCATACGTTACGAGGCGGGGTTCGCGGTGAGGGCCTGCGCAATATCCAGGTAGCAGGGCGTCCCGGTGGTTCATGCGAGTCGCCCATTCAGCGCGGCGCGCTCGCCCGTACTGCGTCTGCGAGGCTCTCGGAGCCGCCCATGCCGCCGACGGTAACTTCTCGCGCAAGCGTGTCTCATTGGCTAATATCATATTGCAGGCGGATGACTGGTGGCACAATTTCCAACTGTGTGTCCCGCTCTACGATGGGGAGGTCGTGGACGTGACATAGATCATGCAGGATAGATCCAAACACAGCATTAACGGTGGGAGACTCAATCTCCGTTGGCCATGATAATTGACCAAACGCAGCCCTGCGGGAGATCGCCTTGGTCCCGAGCCATCTTCGCAGGATCACCCGTTGTGCCACACCCGCGTTTGTGATGTGCTGCCCTGACTCACGTCCGGTGGTTCTCCATGCCAGACCAGCCCCCTGCGTTCGTCTTACCGGGCTCGGCGCAGCAATCTCTGTATTCCACACAGTGACGCATACGTGTTTCCGGATACGCGGCTGTTGACACCGCCCCGTCTTTCTTGTCGCCGTTCCAACCCGCACCGAGCTTGACGTGCTGACATTGTCGGCATCCCATCGACGCATATGTCTCCGAATACCGCAGATGCTCGGACCTGCAGTTATCGCTCGGGACACATGGATGGTATAAGGGACCTGCAAAGCCATCCCGTCTGTCTCATTCCCCCAGTGCTCATCTCCTCTACTCTTCTCTCTCTTTCTCGATCTCATAGTAGATCACACACCGTCTATCTATACTCGACTTTCCCCAAGGATCCTTTCGAATATGTCGCAGCGTGAGTCACATGTATCTTATCCGCCCGTTTCCTACTCACCAAGCCAGGGACAGACTGGCGCATGGAATTCAACAACTACTGTCAGCAGAACCGACTGACCAACGTACAATGGTCGGAGGCAAGAGCCGGGCCTCAGAACGCGCCTACTTGGACTGCTTCAGTATGGAGTAAGTCGGCCTATCACCCCTTGGTATGCAGAAAGCACTGAATTCGGCACGATAGTTAACGGAATAGAATACGGTCGCGGATCTGCACTCAGTGTCGGAGGAGCACGCGAAATTGCCTCGGAGCAAGCACTGCGCGTCCTGTGGAGTGCCCGCAGACAGTGAAAATGCCGGTAAGACATCATTGCAAACCCACTTGCACTGTTGCTGAATGTGCAGTAGACCAAACGAACGACCCCAGCAACGCATCCTTAACCTACCTAATGCTAATGTCCCCCACGGACTCAATGTAGCAACTATCGCCACGCCCGACTGGATCTGTATCTCTCTTAGGCTCTGGGAGTTCCGCTATAGCCCCCTCTGCTATCCTCGCTTTCCCGCTGTGTATGCCTGCAGATGCGTTCGTGCGTGATGCTCTATGATGATAATGCGATGGTTCTACTTCTACGCCGGTCTACGCCGGTCACCGCCTGCGCTCATAAGGACTTGGGCTTGCTATGCTCGGAGGGGACTCAGGAGCTTTTGCTATGCGGTCTGCGGTCTGAGAGCGGCTCTAGCATGTGTTCACGCTGCTCCTGCTTCGCGCCGGCACTGGAAACGGCGCTAATTTCCGAAGCCCGCCGCCCCAAATTTACGACCACTCGCCGACGACCAGCAGACATTTACCTTCCCCAGCACTTCCCCGGAACCGTCTTTTGCACTGAATCTGGATCTGTGATGGCTCGGACATAACCGAAATGGATCGGTAATGTCCCGCAAGCTTCTACATGCGCGGCCATCGAGGATGTGCACGATGCTGGTCGATCTCGGTGCTGCTGGACCGAATTCCTGCTTCCGGCTGGAATACCTCACGAGGAGATTCATGTAGGCACCGAAGTCTAGACCTCCAGTCGCCACGCGGAAACAGACAACACGAAGCAAGCATCAAGCGGACTCGATTTCGGGGAAAGAGCTTGCCGCGAATCCTCGGCTGCCCCACGGCTGCGTGCAGAATGCCTGTGAGTGTCTTATAGAACTCCGCTTTGGCGAATCGCCACCTCCCCGCTTCAGACGGAGCTGCGTTTTGTCATACAGCTTGAATGACACATGTTGCCCGCCGCCCTCGTCGAGCTCTGGGAGTGCCCTAGGGTCGTGCCTCCTTATCTGGCAACAAACGCAAGCCTTCCGCCCCTCACCTTCTTGCGGCGTACGTCTCATGGAGCGGTGCGTCTTCGCCAGTGATCTCCCCGTCCCCGCTTTGTTGCTAGCTCATCGATCGAGCTGCCTGTGATGCGCAAGGACTTCAGTACGGGCATATGAGCTCCTAGCCCTGCTGTTCTCAAGTTCCCCTTCTCGCTGCAGCGCAACCTGCCGTAGACCGCCATGGCAAGCCGAAGGTCCGAGCGGAGCCTGGGGAGGTGTATATAGCGGAACCGTTGGGCACCTCAGAGGCTCTCCAGAACATAGAACAGGATGGCTCCCAAAGGTACGTGCTCACCTACTAGTGTTCGTGCGTCCTCGGCCAACAACATTCTCCCCTCTCTTCTCCGCAATTGCAGAGAACCCCACTGTCGCTTTGAACAACTGTGAGTGGCTCCGGGTCCGCCTCGTGGAACGACGCTCATCCGTCTGCAAACCAGACTTACAGGGCAAAGGTCGCCTAACCGCGCTGACCTGGGAGCACAAGTCTGAGGGGCCTCGCCACGACCCTGTATGGACTTCCCACTGCAAAGGTAAGCCTTTGTGTCATGATTAGTCGCTATCTGAGGTAAATCTGACGTCGTGTGCAGTGGACGGCGTAGAGGTGTCTACCGGTACAGGCAAGACCCAAAATCTGGCCAAGGAGGCGGCGGCAGAGAAGGCTAAGACCATCCTGGAGGCTCAGGACCAGGCGGCTCAAAACTCCGAGTCCGCGACCTGACCGACTGGCGCCTGATCTGAATGCTTCTCTCCATTGTGCTTTCACGTAGCTTTCCTCTCTCCCTTCACGTCGTCTCGGACTTCTCCATGCGCCCCGTGTAGCGATACCTGTGCCTAGATTGTCATGTGTCTTCTCGATCTCGTATGTATTGCTGTGGGTGCTCATACATACCGTCCGATACAAGCGCTGAGGCGCTCGCGAGCATGTGCCTGGGCGCCGTCTGCCTGGAGACTCGCGCATTGCACCACGATGGCGACTGTCGCCGTCCCCATCGTCATCCAGGGAGCGCAGATGCAAAATGCCACAGGCGTTATGCGCAGTCGCGTCTCAGATGCCATACTGACCGGCAGATCCTCCACGTCATGCCCATTATCGTCGTTGCTTGCCCGGCCTCTCGAAACAAGAATGTTGAGTGCACGTATCTTCCCGAGGCTCTTCTATCAGTCCGGTGAGTGTTTCCGAGCATTAATCTAGTTCCCGAGTTTTGACGGTCCTTCAGGCGCAGCGGCCTCACGCTATCGCCGTGCTGTCATCTCAAGTGCTGGCATCTACCTATTGGTTGTGACCGCCCCCCGGGACATGTCGAGCGTCACGATCGCGCCGATTCTATCAGCTCATCTGCAGTGTTTGGTACAGCGCAGCGGTAGAGTCACTTGCTACCCGCAGCACACGGGGGACATGTACGTTGACGTGACTAATCGCGCACTGTGCAGCGCATCGGTGTGGATAGATGTCCAACCCGCTGCAAGCCCCACTCACTGGCAGGTGGCGATTCCAACCGCTCCTTCCAGTGTATAACTTAACGTACGTGGCCCGTTCATTCACGCCGGAGTGTTTTCGGGCTTCCCGGGCCTTGTTCTGTATATCGTCCTGACGGCATTCCGCAGAGACAGCGGCCGATTTGCTTGGCCGCGCAGGATATACAAAATAAGACGCTGGGCAGTAATATTGCGGTGTGCGTGTCCTTTGATATCCCGCGATGATGTCAGTCGATATAAGGAAACGTGTTTGACAGAGTTTAGCTTCGAGGCGCCGTCTCCGCAACGTTACAATCTCGTAATCCCTCGTAGTACTATCCAGATGCAAGCACCTGTCAAGGTGAGTTGTCATCCCCGTAGTGGCGAGATATGATGCAATGCCGTCGACTATATTGAAGTCCACTGATAGATATATATGACCACTTTAACAAGCGTGGACGCCGACTCTGAGCGTGTGGGCGGATCACCCCTCAGTGCCGTTCAAGAGCGTACGACGCTACATTTTATGATATTGTTTAGCTTCAGCAGAAAGCTGCTCACTCCACCCTGGGTCGACCTCAAGAGGAGGGTTCCGTAGCCGACAGAAACTTGTGGGGTCTCGTAGACCCTAAGCAGAAATGTGCGCGGTGAAAACTATAGGGCGGAACGCGTCGAAATACAACTGACTTTGGATTATCAGGTACCCTGGTTGTCGGGTTGGTTGTCCCACGTCTCTCCGATCGCGACGCGGTCGGGCCTCGGCACAGCACACATTCGGAGACACCGCGTGCGAAGACAAGCCTCGTCGCATCGGAGGACCCTGCAGGAAAAATGGATAGAGGTACGCATAATCGCGTCCCATAGTTTTGGGGCCCGGGCACACTCGCGTCTGCCGACTTGTCGTGTTTCCGCCGTTGCTCAGGGACGTCAGAGGCCTAGTGTACCCATGCGTCGTTAGGCGTTCCACTATAGAGGCGGGGGCCACTGACCGGAGTGGCATACCTCTCTGACATCGAACGGGCGTAGATGAGCGCAGGTACCTTGTATAAAACGGTGGAAGGGCCGGGGTGCATTTCCTCAGACCCAGAACCACCTCGAAACCGTCCTCGCATCCTCAGCATTCACCTCTAAATCTATAATGCCTCGTATGCCCGTTTCTCTTCGTCCGCCGTTTCCCCTAGACTGACCGTTTACTTCAGGCTACGCCGTTGACCTGAACAACCGCGAGTACATCGTGCACGCCACTGCGAGCTATGCTGACCGGGTGTTGCTATACAGACCTCCAGAAGCAGAACCAGCTCGCTGCCCTGAACTGGGTTGAGAGCCACACCGGCGCCGGAAACAATATTCAGTGGACCACGACCTGCAAGAGTAAGCTGTCCTGCGCCACAACCTCTCGCCGCTGAAACCCGCTGACCGTGCGTCTTAGTCAACGGCGAGGTTCATGGAACCGGAACTTCTAGTGTGAAGAACACGGCGAAGGAGGAAGCGGCCAGACAGGCCCTCGTCAAGCTCGGGCTCTTGTCTGGGTAGGAGGAAACGGTTGTTCCGCCATCGGCGGCTGCTTAGCTGTGCGCGCTCCCTTAAAGCCTGTTTGTGGAATGTCCGCTGTCGTCATCCGTGGTGGCTGTTTGTGAGAATCAGATCCGCTTGTGCCTTTCTTGGATTGCGGTGTCGTGCGCCGCCGGGGAGTGGTGCTCAAACATTTTGAGTTGCCGCCGGTGTTCCTGCCTTACGTAAGATGCATTGTTCGCGTGTGCCAGCAGAGCTTGCACGGCGCTCGCAGGCTTGAGATAAACTACGACGGCAGATCTGAAGAATGTCACGTAGTCGGGCGGTGCCTTTGCTGGTGGCAGGTGTCACAGGTAGAATGATATTTTCGCTGGAATGCACTGAGATCTCCGAGGCTGATCTGCGTTTGGCGTTGCACAGGCGTGTTGTCCGGCATTTACATCTTTAAGCCCTTGTTTGACCAAAACAGTAACAAGCAAGTGTATTTCCCTGTGTACCCTCCGGCGAAACGCTAACTCACCTGGTCGAAACGGCTTTGTCACAGTGCTCCATCCCGCGCTGACGTGCGCCCCCCAACGACGCCCTCAGATGCGGGCCCTTACGCCGTAGAAACAGCGGCTGAAGGCCAGTCGACACCGGCCTCCGCACCGAACTCTCGAGAGGCTCCCGGACGGGCGTCTGACGGCGGTACAGGCAAATGATGTAGTTCTCTTGAAACGCGCATCTGCTATAGTACATGACAATATTCCTACGGTCAATGCCATGCCCAGTGACGTGGAGTGCATAGCGCGGTGCCCCGGTGGGGACCTCATGGCTTGTCAACGTCCATTCCGCTCGTCGGCGATGCGGCCTCTGGCCTGCGTTCCCATATCTGCACCGACACACGGGAAATTAACCACGGACGGCTTCGCACGGGGGCAGCCCTGGGCGGGCGGGGACGTACCTGCAGGATAGTCTCGCCCAGCACAATCATCTCCTTCCTGATCTCTTCCACAATCAGATCCTGAATCTGGAACCACCTCTCATTCTCCCCGCCGCCTGCACCGGCTCGGAGGTGGACCTTCCACACTGTGCTCTCCTTGTCGTGCGTGGTGCCTGCCGCCGACTCGTGCGTGACGTTCGCGATCAGGTCGTAGACAGTGGAAGGATGCGACGCCGGAGCATCCAGGTCTGTGGGAAGAGGCGCCACGATCGAGGCAGAGGGTTAATACAGATGCTGCGCTTCCATGGCCTGGGGCACCTACACTCCCTGAAGTCGAGACCCCGCAGAGGGAAATTAACAACGGTGGGATTCTTCTCCTCCACGAACTGGTTTTTGGTGAAGCGTTTGAAGTGCAGGACGATGTAAGGCGGTAACCGCTGGCATTTGAAGCGGCGTAGCTGTCCGACGGATTCCTGTGGCGGCACATCAGGGGTGCACGTCAAGGAGGCCCGGGGGCGGCGTACCTGCGTCTTCTGGCCGTCATACTTGGCCAGTACGGACTGTATGCTGACTTGCGGAATGATATTCTTCTCCACCGAGTCTTGGAACAATGGTGGCGGTGGTAGATCGACAGCAAGGAAGAGGAACGGCGATACGGCGGACTTGAGTTCTATCAAGCAGCGTGAGGAACCCGTCCGACGCATTGCGGAGACTGTCTGAAACTACTCACCTCGGTCAATGTCAAACCGTGGCCGTTCGCCGGTCTCGGAGTCTGGTCGTACGAGGACCTGCTGTGTTTCCATGCGAACCTCGCCTTGGAAGGTGCTGAAAATGACGCCTGGCAAGAGCGTCTGTCAATCACTTCGACGAGACGCCGTGTTCGCAGACATACTGGAGTTCTTCTTCTTGGTGCCACCCATATCCTTGTGGAGACGGTTGAGGAGCCATCCGAGGAATTCTACGGGGTCACCCTGTTTTTCCAGGCTGAACTTGCCAGTACTCGCTCGGTTGACCTCTTGCAGAAATTCGTGCGGGCTGACCTGGCTCTTGAACAGGCGAGGGTTCCACAATTTCTTCGCGAGACCAGCGAACCTCCTTAGCAGCTCTGATTGCTTTCCACGGTAATTTGAGAGCAACAGGTGGTCTCGCAATGGTGCTACATGGAGAAGGGAGTGGATAACGACGTTTAGGTAATCGTTCCTTTTGATGTTGTTCAGGCCAATATAGCCAGGGACGTAGGATTTATTGGAGAGGTCGTAGGACGGTTTCTGTAGATGTATGGGGGTGGACAGAGTTGAGGTTGACGCTTGGGTGAAGGTCGGGGAGAGGACGAAAGATATGTCCTCGAGCGAAGGGTCCGAAACGGGGTAGCCGTCGGGGAGTACATAGACCTGGGCGGCTTGTAAGAATGGTAGAGCATATGGCTGGCACGCAGCACGAATGCATACCTTGGTAGTTTCAAGGTTTATGAAAACGTGATGGTCGTCGTGGATGGCATGTGCAAACGCGTACGAGTTTCGCCCTCTGCCCTGGAAGTATTTCCCGCAGACGAGACAGCCATATATGTTGATGTTGGACGAAGAGACAGAGCACACTTTCTCGAAGTCGAAGTCTAGTACAGCCCTGTTGATCTGTGTGCCTGTTAAGATGTAATCCATTTCGCCCTACAGACGATACATACAGTATCGAGATACAGGTCTGAAGCCTTCAAGGGCTCTGTCTGGCCTGCAGATTCCTCCTCCTCTTCTTCGCTGTCCTCGCCGGCTAACGCGGTCGGTGTCTCTACGTGTTCTGGCTGAACGGCGTCCTCTACGCGTGCCTTCTTCGACGGGCGGGCGGAGTCGTCGGTGGGGTTTGCGTGTTTCGAGCGAGTAGCCATCTGCTGAAACAGAAGATCGATACAAGCACAAGGAAGAGCGAGGAGTGAGCAAGATGCAGGGTCGGAGGACGGAGCCGAGTGCAACCTGAGCGCGTTTGCGAGCGCGATGTGGCTCCCGCGCGACGCGTGGATATTCCATATAGAGTGTTCGGGGGCCCTATCCGGCTACTTGGCCGTTTTTGGAAAAGTAGTAAGCGGCGGTCCTCCATTCGCGCATCGCGACTTTGGCTGAAGACCTCTTCTCTTCCTCCTCACTCTCGACGACTCGCTCGACGGTACAGGGCTGTCCGTGTTCTGGGGAAGATAACTGAATATGCTGCGCCTCGGCTGCAACAGGACTCTCGGTGCCATTCTGCGTCGACAGTCTGACGTCGCGCGCTGGGCCTCGACCTCAGCAGCTCCCTCTCACCAACCAAATGCGCCGCTTGACCTTGACCCGGCGTTTCAAGCATTGCTTAGGGACGTGGAGATGTCTCTGACCAATAAAGTCAAGTACGAAGCCTCAAACGTTCCTCGGGAACTGGAAGTGTACCCCCATGATCCCGACGCGGCGGAGGATTACTTGACACCCGCGGAGCTCGACGCACAAGACGAGGGTATTGGCGGTCAAGAACGGAGGAAGTCTCCCGCGGCATTTTTCGGGAGCCAAAGAACTGGCGCTGTTGTGCTTCCTTTTGAGATGCAGTCTACCATCGGCCGCATGGTCGCGGGTGAGTCTCAAACATCCTACTCACGTCTTGGGGTATCACTTATTGAAGTATCAGCTTCGGATAAGCCCCAGCTGCATCGTGACGCCAAGAGGCTGTTCTTCGACGACAGCAGTCCGCGCACCGAGTGGGACTCCGCTTACGACGTGAAATACAAGTCCGGGAAAGAAGCTGGCAAACATTCACTGCGGGACGCTACCGCGTTCGCGACCGTTGCGCTTCCTTCCCACTACTCTGCCATATATGCCGTACTCGATCATGTCAAACTGCGTCTTGGCCCTGAATGGCAGGTACGGCGCGTGATCGACTGGGGCGCTGCCACGGGAAGTGCACTTTGGTCAGTACTGCGTAATGTCGTAACAGCAGTATCAAACTGATATTTCCCTCCATGCAGGGCGTCAGGACACGTGTTTCAGGGCCGTGCTGGCGAGCGGGGCCCCGCCGACATGTCTGGTTTTGAGATGGCGCAGTCGAGCCTCGACAGCTACCTTGGCATTGACAAGCGTGAGGGCCTCGTGCGCATCGGAAAGCGTCTCATCAAGGGTATGCAACGCTGTTGAACAAAGTCCTTTGAGCTGACATTCTGCAGATGTCGAGATGGGTAGTCTTGACGTAGCTTGGCGAAGGGCGTTCCACGAGGACAACGTCTTAACCCGAGCAGATGGCTCCGACGTCCTAGCGGTATCTGCATTTTTGCTCTCTTCGATCCCCACGCCGGTAGAGCGGAAGGCGCTTGTAACAGAAATGTGGGAGAGCGGGGCAGAAGTCATGGTATGTGTGGCAACACGTCAAGGGATACCAAGCATGCGGTCTCATGCGTTCTGCCCTGTATAGGTTCTCATCGACCACGATTTCGAGGCTGTCGCAGAAGCTAGAGAACAATTCCTCAGGCTGGGCAGGAAGGAACTAGAAGATCCGTTGACCTCCGACCTGTCCATTAGGGGCTCCCATGTCGTCGCGCCGGTATGTCACTAATCCGAGGCGGCGGGTTGCATGCTGACGCTGGAACAGTGTCCACATGACGGCGCATGCCCGCTATATCAGCCGGGAGCCAGCAAGCTGGTTTGCAGCTTCTCTCAGCGTCTACAGCGTCCAGAGTTCGTCCGCAAGACGAAGCACTCCGGCACGGGTCATGAGAACACGGATTATTCGTACGTTGTGATACGTAGGGGACCTCGCCCGGCGCCGGCCACCACGAAAGTGGGGCGAGTTGGGGACGTCGCCAGACGCGACATCGCCAAGCAGGTTGACGCGTCGGTAACCCACCTTTCGATCGACGGAGAACACCGGGCCTCACCCGTTGCGGACGGCAGCCAAGATGTCGCGGAAGAAGATGTTCTGGGCCATGAGGAGACGGCACTCACTACGTCCGATGTGTATGCAGCCTTGAGGCAGGAGGCTTACGGCTGGCCCCGTCTAGTCTTCCCTCCGCTCAAACGCAGCGGTCACATTATCATTGACGGCTGCACGGCGGAAGGTGAGTTGACCAATGGTATCGAACACGCGGATTGATGATAACCGGTTCTTTGTAGGTCAAATTATGCGTATGACCATCCCGAAGTCGCAGGGTAAGCAGCCATTCTACGATGCTCGCAAGTCCGAATGGGGGGACTTGTTCCCTCATGAGCCCAAGAACAAGCCGCAAGTACGAAAAGTGCTTCGCCCGGGACAAACCACAGGGGAGGGGCAAGACATCGGCAAACGGAAACGCAGGGGTCCCAAAAGCACTACTGCCAACTATTCTGAGATGTCGGAGGACATCAGGGAAGAGCGGCGGGGTCAACGAAGATCACAGCGACTGGCGGAGGACCATGGAGGCCACTAGACCACCGTTCATGTGCTTTTGAATCGTCGCTTTCATATTGCTCTACTCGCTTTCACACCGTAGTTGTAGTACCCTTACCTTAATGATCCACACTACTCTTATAAGGACATCCTTGCTCACATGTGCCCAGAGAGAAACCAATTATAAGCATCGAGTAGAACAAAGGTAGGCGAGCGACAAGAGGAGCGCGATATCCCTTACGCATCCACAATTTGGATGCTAGGACCCTGCCGAGAGCTTAGGAGGACTCGCGTGATCGCTTGCGCTACAGACTTGTTAAATATGCCTGTTCACAGTTCACGACAAGACCACGCAGACTTACTAGGCTTCTGGCTGGTGTCCTTCTTGGTCGCCTCCGCCTTGGGGTCGCGGATGTTGCCCGTGGCGCGCTTTACGACAGTGAGAAAGTATCGGATGTTCTTCACAACATCGTTCACGGGGAAGTGCATCTAGAGGTAGCCGTCAAGGACATATCCCGACCTCTAGGGGAAACGTGCTTACCTTGGCAATGGGCTGCCTGATGGTGCCTTCCTTGTCGCCCTTCCACTCGCTCGTACCCTTGAGCCTCCGAATAAACCCACCGATGTCATCCGTAACCGTGCCTCTACGTTCTGAAGGCATCAGCCCACGGGGACCGAGGACTCGACCGAGTTTAGGGGTGATGCCACGAATGAGGGAACTGCTACACAGGAAAAGAGTAGCTTGGTGGCGACCATTGATGATCTGGCGCGTACATGAGCAAGCTGAACGCGTCATAGCGGAAGTATACGCACACCCTCGACGAGCTCAAGACCTCCAACAATGTCGGCGCCAGCTTTCTTTGCTTCCTCAGCCTGCCGTCCCTCTGCAAACACGAGGATGCGGTCCTTGCTCTGCTCCTTGGTTTCTCGGGGTAAGTTGAAACGGCCCTTCGGGATGGTGGTCCCCTTGCCCATCTCGGTCTTGACGACGAGCTCGTACGTCGAGTTTGGCGACGCCACCTCGACTGCCTGAGCCAGACGTACACCTTAGGCAAGTTTATACAGCTAGTGTGCACAACTTACCCGCAGGACAGTAATCGCGTCGTCCAGCGTCATCTTCTCGTTGTCATATACGTTTTTCTTCATCTTCTTCGCCCGCTTCCGCTCCTTAATTGCGAGCTGTTTCTTGGTCGGTACGGGAGGCTTCCTCTCCTTACGAGCCAGGATGGCGGGCGTGTAATGAAACTGCCTCTGAGGCGCATACCTCTGCGTGACCGTCAGTACGCGCGCGAAGTGCACCAATTTTTTATTCACCAGAAGTCCCACCGTTCCACTACATTGTCGACAACGAGAAGCAAACTGGACCAAAGCGAGAGACATGGGAGTGGAGGAAGGAGGTCGAGTAGCGTGCTAGCCGGCGGGCGCTAACGACGCCGTCCTCGAAAGAATGTCCAAGAAAGGCAAGTGCGTGCCACGTGCACTTCCGGTACTTGCCGCTTCACCCTTCAAAGTTCACGGCAAATACATCACAGATTTGACCGTGATCTTGCAATGTGATATAATCCAGCTAAAATGGACTTGCAATCGGCGGTAAGGTACCCAATGATCTTTAGTTTGGAATCTGTCATAATATCACTCGGATGACGTTGAGCCCCTTACAACCGCCTCAACGATTCCCAAATTCACAAAGATCCCGTCACCTCCGATAGTTACGAGCACATACAAGACATATAGTTCCGACCATATATTCCTTGCTTTCGATATTCAGGTCGTGATATGCGCAGTAGATGAGGGGAAAACGATATCATTGAAAACACCGAAAATAGCTATATACAAGAGTAGTCTACTGTATACACTGATATACGAGCTGTCGCGCGTGCCCGAAGCGGTCCTCCGCGCAAGAAAGAGCGCCGTGCAGCCATAGAAGCGGAGACCCTTCAAGGTCAGGAGCACCAAAGTCAGGGATGAGCGCAGAAGGCAGCACAGCGAAGACAGCTAAGGACTCGAAGGCTCCCAGAAAGACGATAGACGTAGATGCATCGCATAGAGCCCTAGCAAGTTAAACTAGACCAAGCCACAGTAGTAGTCAGACATGACACAAGAGATAGCAACCAGCCAGGAGCCCTCGAGAAGCCTGAGTACGAGCATGCGAGCCAGCAGAGATAGGTCCAAAGCACAAGAGCGAGCAGCCAGACGAAGACCCCCGTAGTCGAGACCGAGTACAAGGCTGAAAAGGTTAGTAAAGAATTTTCATGGGAGGGCGCGAAGCAGAAAGGAGGAATAATGACAATGGAGAGGAACAGAGGTGAGGGGAGCGAGAGAGAACAGCGCGACAGACGTCCGTCACTAGGAGACCGAGATTTAAGCCCCGCCGATGAACTGTATAGTACATCAGACAGTCGCGCGAAGCGTCCATAAAATCGAGCGCGCAGTTTGCGAGTGGATGGCAAGGCAGGCGTGAGGATTGGGCAGGTTGCAAGACAGGTGCGAGGATTGGGCAGGTTGCGAGACGACGGTAAGAGCCTCGCGACCGTGTTCCAACAGATGCAATGATCGCGGGCGTTTACCACTACTAAGGAGATCACATTGGCTTACTAGCGTGTCATAATGCCATATAACAACGGGAATCCTTATCCATATAACAACTTCCGCGCCGTTTCTGTGATGTACTTGCCACTGTGCCAGCCCACACTTATTTAGTACGCACTGACATTGTCTGGTAGGAAGTAAATATCCTCTATGTTCCAATACGTCATGAAAATACCGCTGGTACCTTGTCAGAACTTCTTTATACTGCTTCGCCGTTGGAGCCGGCCCGGGAGTCCCCGCAAAGAGCCCATATGCCTTCATGAGCGCGCGGCAGTCAATGCTAAGGTGGGTAACATAAAAACCACAAGGGGGCAGACCATGGTGCGACCATTGAGGAGAGTTGTCTAGACAACAGAATACCACCCTGGGGCGAAAACCCGTACTGCCGTGTCATCGTCAGGTGGCCTCAAACGGGACGCCCATACTGGGCAGCGAGGCCCACGTATTACCATAGCCCCGACCACGCAGGAACCTTGAGGTGGGCTAAGGGATGAAAGGGTGTTACAGGAACTTCGCCGTCTGGTCCCAGGGTCCGCGCGGTTCCGCGATTCGGAATTATGCAACAGTCCGTGTGTGGTCGCAGTTCGTGCAAGAGCGTCAGCATGTGCAGGCTGCGGTCACCATTCTATCAGCAGCCAACACGTATGTCCGAGGGATTGGAGAGGTTATGATATTGCTTACAAACTGCCAAAATGTGGGAGTCTGCATGATAGATGGAACCACACACCATGGCCATCTCGACCACCCGATACCAGGGCAGAGACCTCGGAAAGTTGTTGTCCGATGTAGGTCGAGTAAACTCTAGATATGCCGCCCACATGCCACGCCGAACGTCCGCGTTTCAATCATGCAGTAAGGCCGTCATCGCGAGTTGTCAGTCAGCTAGCCAGGAATACGACGCCGCCCGCTGCGTCTCCTGTGGACGCCCTGGACCCTGCAAACGGAGACAACGCCTCGGAATGGCATGTCTGGGGGAGTACCAGTTTTTGGGTGTGGTACTTTCCATCAGAAGATTTCCAGCATCTCGCGGAGAACGTCAGCGGCTTCTCACTGTCAATCGCCGTTGGACGACCACACGGCCGCCGAAAGCGCATGTTGCATGGCGCAACGAGATTTCCCTGTTGTCCTCTCGCATGTCCATATATTGCACACCTCCAAAGACACATATTTCCAATATTGTCGATCACTGGGCACAAGGTTTGGTCAGTCAAATAGGTTGAGAGCGATGCTGCTCAACCGCACGCACCCTTCGATCGGAGGACCGATATCCACAATAAGTTTGGAAAGGACGGAGCTTTACATAACGCGGACTGAGCTGAGGCATTCAGCCCGCTCGCCACGGTAGGCGGGCATCGAATTCCGATGAGTGTCCCGCGTCAGAGGGGCTGTTACCAAACTGACACCTTGCAGGCCCGCAGGCGGTCCGTTCTCATGGGGCGTGGGTCCTAACAGATTTCAATGAGAGAACTTATTAATCTCGGAGTTACTTACCTGTGCGGCGCGTAGGATTGGGTAGAATGGGCTCGCCATCTGGGAACCTTGTACCACGGATAGACGCGGGCAGTAGTAGCTGGCTCGCACTGGTCCGGCGGATCTAACGGTTGGAACCCCCCTAAAACGGGTATGCAAACACCCTTACATGGTGAGGACACACAGCCAGATCGATATTAACCGCTACATCGTCATCGAAGAGACCCACGCATTCTAAGTTAGCCCTTCCCGCGGAGGAAGGCACGAGGCGGAGTTTGCGCTATCAATACATGGTTAGAAGGTCACTAGCCGGATCTATGTGCGGTCAGAATGCTCACGAACGGGATCCGGCCGCCTGGAGGGCGCCTTGCAATTTCAAGGGAGGTGTACAGGAATCATGAGGATAAGGGGAGTGCATTGAGCGTTAGTATACGAGTTTTTCTCGGGCAGATTCGTCTTTTCTCGGCCCGCCGAAGATATCGCATCCCGATATCTTAGTAACTGGCAGCACCAGCGCACATTGGGGATGAGGCGAGCGTAGCGCAGCGCAATGATCTCGAAGCACACGACCTCGCGGCAATGGCGGCGGAGGTAGGAGGATGCAGGGCAGGCGCTCGTTGGCGGCTGCGAGCAGAGCGCCCGACGCGAGTCGGAGTCCCAAAATCATCCTCCTCTTGCCGCCACCATGTCCTCGCCGCTGCTCGCGCTGGGCAAGCAAAAGCTGCCGCTGCGCGTCGCACAGACCTCGGTGCGCTATGCTGGTCGACAGGAGACCTCCGGGCCCGACCCCAGGAACGATATCATCCGGCGCGCACTCTACCCCTCCAACATCCGCAACCGGGCCTCTCCCGTAGGAACTTGGCGGCCAGACGTCGGGCGGCGGCTCCAGCGCGCCATCCCTTCTGCACAGGCGCACGAGACGATCGAGAGGGCGTGGTTCCTGCACCAGAGGCACGTCCGACGGGCGCGCAACGCGGAGCTCGAGCGCAAGTTCCAGTCCGTGCAAAACGCGATGGAGACGCTGCGCCAGGTCGCGCCAGCGCTGTATGCCGATGCGAACAAGGAGGAGGACCCGCGTGCCAGGAGCTCGGCAGAGCTGGAGCTGTTGAAGAAGCTCAAGGGCCCGGAGAAGAAGGCCGTCGAGGCCAGGATACGCGGGCTGTTCCCGAGGGAGTTGCGCATTCCGACAGACACGCCTCCCCGGAATGGATGGACCTATGAGTTCACGCCTGTGGCACGCCCCCCATAGACCGGTATGTGGAGCCCGTTTTCTTAATTATGATGATGTTAAGCTGAAGCACGACGTCAGGGTTCGACTGCATGACTCTTCTGTTCGCGGTTGCCTCGCGGGCTTTGACTACCATATACACCTATACTCCGGGATTAATCTACCGTGCGCGCCCACCATCTATCATGTCATTTCCGGCCTCTTGGCACGTTGGATGCTTCAAGACGTGCCTGAAGCGTGCCGCCTGCCTCCTGAAACGCACGAAGCAATTAGACGCGAGGATGGGTACACGGAGTTGATTGTCTGAGGAAAGTGATGATACAGAGAAAGCAATCGAGAGCGCGAGGCCAGCGAGGCCACGGCGGCCGGAAACATGAGTACACAACGAGTAACTTCACCACCTTCCGTCTCCAACGAGGCTCTCACTCGGGAGGCCGTAGCCGAAGTCGCCACGCTGTCCGCTATGGTTCTTTCCAAGAACCGTGGTATGTATGGAGTCCAGGGCCGCCGACCATTTATCCAGAGCGCTGTAGCGCTTCTTCTGGAGGCTATGTCTGTGAAAGGAGAGTCGAGTTAGTCTTAAAACTAGCGCCGCACACGGCGAGACGCGTACTTGGGTTCCAGCTCGAGGCGCATTGCGACCTGGTCGATGCGACCCTCGACCTTGCCCTCAAGGATGAGCCCAATAAGCAACTCCTCGACCTCCTCGTTCTCGACGTTTAGTTGCTGAAGGAACCACGTAAGTACGGGGCGTCAGAGTGAGTCAGAAAGAGCGCCGAACCTTCGCAAGGAACGCTAGCTCCAGCCGAGTGTAAGGCTTGATGAGGTCAATCAAGTACTGCGTGCGTAGACTGCGCAGGAGCTCCCCGATGTACTGCTTGATGAACGAATCATCCATGATAGTCGCCTTGTTCTCTACAGTGGCGTCAGAGGCTGCGCAGCGGCAGGGAAGAAAGGTCTTACCTCGCAGAATCCTCTCGGCGGCATGCACCTCACGCCGTTGGTAGGCGTCTACAAGATCCGTCATGGCCTTGATCTGAGGGTCGGTCTTGTACCTGTTGGACGGGAGGTGAGATGGATTGGACGACATGATCCGTTACAACTTACGGTTTGGTCTCTTGACTATCGAAGGGGTTGACTTCGCTTCCCGTCAACATGTTGGCGAGGACAAGATACTTGAGCACCTGTATCCGCTGAGGCGAGCCGGCTTCGTCGTAGTTCTTGAAAGACTCGAAGAAATCCTCGCTTGCGCGATTCCATTGACCTATCGCGCACGTTGAGCAGTGAAGTATGTTGAAATCTACCATGAACTTACGTTCGCCCATCCACATCTTCCCGCCACACTCCTTGATCACACCCATGATTCGGGGATGTGGAATGGCAGAGCGTACGGCGTTGGAGGCGTTGTAGATCTCCTACAATGTGAAGCGTGGTTTGAAAGCAGTCAATCGATGATGAACAGCAGAGAACCGACCTTCAATTTCTTGTAGTTCTTCCTCTCATTGTGCATCTGGATCTCAAGCGCGTAGATCTCCAAGAGCTGTGTGCCTTTCTGGGCCTGGTCGTCGGCGTTCTCGCCGATGGTCGATTTGTACAGTTCGTTCAGTATCTGGTGTGATAGAATCATATATTGACATGGGTTTGCATTCACCGGACTCGAATACATACCTTCTGCAGGCGACCGTACTCTTTACGATCCAGCCACAGCTTGGCAAGCTTCAGGTTCGTCTTGGCTGATAACCGCTACAGCAGCAGATGTAAGGCGCGCATTTTGCAGATAAAGATGCGGCGAAGCCTCACGTCATTCTTAGCCTCTGCCAATGCTGCCTTGGTGGCCTCGTAAAACCGCTCGAGGATGTTGACTTCGACCGGACCACTCTTGCTACCGCCGACGTAATCCAAGATGCTGTTGATGGTCTTCTCGGCATAGTTGCGTGTGACAGCGGATTTGGTATACGACAAGAGCTCGGTGTATGTCTTGAGAGCATCTGGTGGTCTGTGCAGGGTGAGGAAGAGGAGTTTGGTAGACTGCTTCAACGCCTTGAACCCCCTGCGATACACATAAGCTACCGGGATAGATCGGACGCAAGTAATAGAGCACACCAGTCTCCCTTTTCCTCTTCTTGCTCTACGATCGCACGGAACTCCTTCAATGCTTGTTCAGGGTTGTCCTCCTTCTTGGCTGTATTTGGCTCAGTGTCCGCCACAAGATGAGCGCGGTTAGATGCACACATTTCGCTGTATAGTACATGTTCTCGGCATCTGCGCCTCCTGCCTCTTCTTCATCATTGTCGTCGTCGGAGTAGGCAAAGCCGTAGTCCTAGGGCGGTGGCGGCTGATTAGTGGGAGATGCTGCGGGTGGCAGACGGCGTGCACACCTCGTCGCTGCCTTGCATGTAGTCGGCATCATCGTCATCCATGGTGAATCGAAGCGGTGAAAGAGGTCGATGAGGTAGAGATGGAGGAGGTCGAGGAAGAGAGCCGCAGACGAAGGCGGCGTGTACGCGGAAGTGGCACAGGACTGAGGTATGCGCGTCGCGTGATCGACGCGTCGCCAAATATGGGCAGGGTCGTATCGCGTCAGTGCTTTCGGCTGAGTGCGCTCCTCACTCCGCCACCCATTCCGCCTTCATGACTGCCACGACCCGGATGCCTGCAACCCCCTCCACTCTATGACCGACCACACAGACAACGTCTCTGTCGACTCCCCCCACAGCCCGCCCTCCTTTCGCTCGCGCAGCAGCACCAAGGTCGTCGACGATGTCACCAGCCTGACCTCTTTCAATCCTTTCTCCGAGGAGGATGAACACGACCAGTCTTCTTACGCTCTCGTCACCTCTCTCTTCTCCAAGGTCAAGAATACCCTTTCCGCGCCGCTGTCCGCCGCGGGGCCGTCCACAGCGCCCGCGCATCCTAGTACATTCTCGGGGAACACTGTTCCGGAGCAACGCCGGCCGTCTCTCAACTACTCGGGCTCTAATCAGTCAAACAAATCCGGTCCAGAGAGACCAACACCATTCAGTATCAATGTCTCAAACCCTGCCCCGCCGCTAGTTTCCCTCACACCTGTCGTTTCCGAGACCCCATCCTACACAGGAGAGTACGATCGACCACCATCTCGGGGAACAGCATACACGGAGATCTTGGACGGGGGCGGGTACGCCATCCCAGGATTCCCCATCCAAGACAGTGATGCACGGAGCATTCGAACCAACGGGAGCTTCGTGAGGTCCGCATCCGTGTCCAAAGTCATTCGCAGGATTCGGGGTGAAGGTAAGTGCACTCTCGTCTAGTCGCAGCCTAATCGAACATTCTCGCAGGACTGTCTCGCGAGTATTGGATGGACGACGAGCTCTGCAAGGAGTGCTATGACTGCAAGAGCGTCTTCACCACTTGGCGACGGAAACATCATTGTCGGATTTGCGGTACGCATTTACGTTCTGTTATGCAGTAGCTGCTGACTTACTGCTCACTTCAGGTCAAATCTTCTGCTCCCGCTGCGCCTCTAATATCATCAAAGGTGCACGCTTCGGCCAAGAAGGCATGGTCCGAATATGCAACCTGTGTCTCGACAAGCTCGCCAAAGTGGATGACGACGAGGACGAAGATGACCGTCGCTCTATCATGTCGTCCATGACTTCGCCATTCGCAGCTCACCAGTTTGGCGGAGAGTCTCGTTCGCTCAATCTCTATGCCCATCCACAGTCGCCGTTCGCCGCATCCCAGCTCTTCGGGCGCACCGATGAGCCGTTCAACCTCTTCTCCATTGCTGAAACCAGGGGGACATATGCGGGTTCTGAAGATAGCGGTTTCGGCTCACGCCCCATGACGCCCATGGACGGATATGCCACCGCTAGGTTCATGCGCGAGAACCCCGTTCCTTTCCGCAGGGCGCTGACCGAGGAAGACAAGGACACTCTCTCCATGGCTGATAAATTCCAGCGCGACAATTCGCCTGTAGCGGGAGGATCGAATTCACCAATCGAGTTTCCGGTAACGGTCCCGGTGTCAATGGAGGGAGCGACCAGCTCTGTTCAGTTCCCGGTCGGTTCGCCGGAGCACCCGTCTGGCGTCGAAAGCGCGGGGGTGTTGCGCTCGCGCTTCAACTCTTATGCAGACTTCGAGGGCTCTCCCCCCTTCATTCGCAGCCGAGTGCAGAGCCGCCTCGGAGATAGCTTCAGCGTCGGTGCATTTGGCGAACCCGGGTGGCGTACAAGGCGGGAAAGCACTGCGTGAGTGGCTTGACAAGGTTCTATCTCGCCCTGAGACGCTCAATACTGTAACCTTATGCAGCTATGCTCAAGAGTTGAATCTAATCTCCATGTTTCATCTGCGTATCATGCTCCGTCAGATGCTCACGGCTGAAGATATCCCCAACATCCGCGAATGGGAGGAGACCTTGCTGAAGCTTGCGCTGCGGATAGCACGGGAACTCACGTTCACAGCACATCCCCACCGGCAGGGCGCCGATATGGATGTCCGACGGTACGTGAAGATCAAGAAGATTCCCGGGGGCGCACCGAAGGACTCCGAGTATGTCGACGGGGCCGTTATCGCCAAGAATGTCGCGCATAAGCAGATGTCGCAGAACTTGCGGAACCCTCGCGTCATGCTAGTCACGTTCCCCCTGGAATTCCACCGTGTGGAAGGCCAGTACATGCATTTCGGCCAGATCTTCCGACAGGAGAAGGAGTACCTGGGAAACCTTGCCAGCCGGATTGCGGCCCTCCGACCGCATGTCGTCCTTGCGGAGAAGTCTGTGTCTAGACTCGCTTTGGATGCGCTTGCGAAGCGTCAGATCGCGGTCGCGAGAGCGGTGAAGCCGTCGGCGGTGCAGTTCGTGGCCCGCATGACGCAGGGCGATGTCTTCTCCTCCATGGACAAGCTGGCGTTGGAGCCGCGCCTTGGGCATTGTGCTCGATTCCGCCTGCAGACCTTCGATCATCCATTAATCCCCGGGCGCCGTAAGACATACATGCGCTTCGAGGGATGCAATAGCGAAATGGGCTGTACCATCCTGCTCCGTGGCGGCGACATCGAGACTTTGCGCCGTGTCAAGAAGGTGACCCGGTTCCTCGCCTTCATGGTCCGCAACCTGAAGCTGGAGACCCATCTCTGGAAGGACTCCGTCATTACCCTCCCCCCACTCACCGCAGAGGCTACACCCCCTACCTACTCCGCGGATGCCACCACACCGATCGCTGGCAACGGCTTCGCAGCCACGCAGAATGCATTCTTCGCTTCTGGCCACCTCCCAGCCTTTCTACACGAGGACCTTACGAGCTCCGCCAGGGACCACCACATTGAGGATCTCCCGGATGAGGACGCCGACCAGATACGACTCTCGCGACGCATCCAAGAGTCCCTGGAACCGTACCGGAAGACCTTCATCTCCGTGTCTGCCACCCTACGGTTCCCGCCTCCCTATCCGATTCGCAGGATGAAAGAGCTGGATGACGAACTCATGCGTGTGAAGCGCGAATGGGAGGATGAGGTGATACGTCGGGAGGAACGCGGCAATGCCGCGCACAAGCCGGAGGAGTCTACGGCGACGATACAGGTATCGCTACCCACGCCAGACCCAGACGATGTTGCTGCCCAAATCGAGTGTCTTCCCCTACCGGATCTTCCCCGAACCCCCACCAACGAAGACGGCACTCCCATGCTTGACGAGCGGCCGGGTTACTTCGATCTTCCACCCACTGCTTCCCCCGGTCTCTATGCGCAGGGCTTGTCAGCCTCACCCCTCCCCCGTTTCCCGCTGGACAGGCCTACGGTGCAGCTGAAGACCGCAGATGATATCAAGCTCGAAAGCCAGTATCAGTATGTGAAGTGGCAGCACTCAGAACAGCGCCGCATATGGGAGTGGTACCTACGGAAGAATCGCGATGACTTCCAGGTCGAGAAGTACCAGTGCATCAGCCTCTGGGAGCTCACGCTCCCCATGGATGAGCTCGGGTCTCAACGCGCTTGCTTCCCGCCGAACCAAGAGTACCTCACATTCTACGGCGAGAACGACTGCACGCTAGGCCAGTTCATCGAGAACTCCGTCATGGATACGCTCAGACGGTTCCTGGACCCTAAGGCGATCTGCGAAAACAAGAGCTGCAACCAGCCTCTCGCGCGCCACTGCAAACTCTACGTGCACAACGAGACCCGCTTGTGCGTCACCGTCGAGCAGTGGGACGGCCAAATCATCAACCACATCAACCACCTGCCGTCCCCAGACACTATCATCACTTGGAGTGCTTGCCGCAATTGCGGGTCAGCGACACCGTTCATTCCTATTTCTCCAGAGATGCAGCGGTATTCCTTCGCCAAGTTCCTGGAGTTGCACTTCTACCCCGCGGACGTGAACATAGTGCAAGGCGCGGGATGCGAGCATAACATCTACAGGGACCACGTCCGCTATTTCGCGATCAAGGGTATGACGGTCCGCTTTGTCACGGACCCGATTGTACTCCACGAGATCGTATACCCTCCCATGCGCATCCGCGTACGCCCAGAGACAAAACTCGAGATCAAGAACACCGACTACGAGCGGCTGCACCACCGGAACAACATGTGGTACTCCGCGCTCATCGATGACCTGAAGCTCATCAACATCGACGCGGCGACGGGCGAGGAGGAAACGGACGCACTGCTGACCTCGCATATCAACGCGCTCATAAACAAGGCGGAGTGGGAGAAGGAGGACATCGCCCGGCTCATCGACAAGGTGTACAGAGAGTCTGCCCCCATCGACACGCTCGCGCTCAACCAGGTGCGCGCGTATCGTCAGGACAAGATCGTTGCGTGGCAGCAGGACTTCGACAAGCTCCCGAAGCCCCGCTTCGCGCAGCCTGACAAGCTGAATGGGCGTCGGACGGCCTTTGGCTCGGTGCGCGCCATGCTGCCCAAGCGAGCGGACTTGTACGGGACGTGGGACCTTGACCGTTCCGCACCTGCGAGCGTGTCGGAGGCGGAGGAGCATATGCCGACGATGCGGCGGGTGACGGGGGACTCGTTCACTTCAATGTCGTCTGCATCAGAGATGTCCGAGACGGAGTCTCTTCCGGGGCCGAGCGAAGGGAAGGGCAAGGAGACGGAACTGGAGAAGTCGCCTGCGCAGGCGGAGGGTGAGTTGGCCGAGAAACCCACAGCCGTCGAGGGCGGGTTGCTCCCACCTGTCGAACTCTCCCTGGTTACTGTCCTTGAGTCGACGACGGGGTCGGATCCCGGGAGCGACTCCACTATCGATGCCGGACCAGGAGACGGACCTATGTCTGACGATGCGACATCCCCGCCTCAGGTCAGTACCGACAACATCTTTGGCTTCTACTTGCTAACTGACCTATGAATAGACGCAACAGACGGAACAGCGCAATGAAGAGAATCGACCCGCGGCTTCCCGCCTCCCCCGCCGAGTTTCAGTCTATCCCAGTGTCGCCGAGTTAGTGAAGAAGTATCAGGACTACCTTCCCCCACAAGGAGTCGAGGACCTCACTAAGACTGCTCTCGCTCCCGGAGTACCCGTGTCCGAGAGCGAGCAGGAGAGTGCGCCTCTCATCCGCCCGCGTGTTCGCACAAAGGCCCGCCAGCAGCAGTTCGTCACCAAGCGGTCGTCGGTCTCTGACTTCGAGTCCAGCTATGCCGCTAACATTGCTCCCAAGTACCTGACGAAGCGACCGCCCGGCCAACCAAGTACTCGCATCCCTATCGCATCGTCCTCAGACTCACGAAACCCCTCGCGCCGGACGTCGCCCGATAAGCGACCATCCTTTTCGCGCATGAGCACCAACTCTACACTGCGCCCTGGAAGGTCTTCTCCTCCCCCACCGGGCAAACCTGGACCCCCTGCACCAAGTTCCCGGCTTCGGAATAAGCCGAGCCTTCGCCTAGGTCCCAAGGATATGAAGCTTCCACCTAGCCGGCCTCCCAGCGTGATCAACGCGAAGTCGACGTTCAGGCGACCGCAGGGCGCTGGTAGCAAGGTCTCCAATATCGCGAAGCATTTCGAGCGTATATCCAAGGATACGGAACGTGCCAATCGTCGGTACGCCGTTATTCGAGGGAAGCGCGCTCGTCCAGTCGCGTCGGCACGCGCCAAGGTGGAGGTTCTCGAGAGTATCAAGGATGCGATCAACGACGAGTCGGACAGCTCTGACTCTAGCGAGGCGGACGATGAAGGAGGCGGAGACCACGATGATCACGCAGAGGAAAGCTTGCCCAAGAGTCCGCAAAAGCAGCCCGAGACCCTCCCCGCGCCGGACGTCACCGTTCATCCTGCGTCGGACTCGGAGCAGCAGACAGCCAAACCGTCCGCGGACGTGACTCCTACCGGTCAAAGCGACGAGAGCGCTGCTGAGCAGCCTCCCACCGCTCCTCAGGAAATCCCAGAATATATCCCGCCCTCGGTTATGAACTCCCCCATGCTTTCCCCCACCACTCAGTATGGCGCGTTGCCGATGACCCCGCCTCCGACGGATATGGATATCGGACGACCTTCTATCCTGAAGGCCCTCACAGGGCTCTGGCCTCAACAAGCACCGTCTCGCAGCCGAATGGATCCTGACTTCGATGACCCGATGGCTGACCCCGAGCACATCTTCCGCGACTCCTCAATGGTGGTTCGCACAGACGAGCCGACCTCTATCATCGCTCTAGCACTGAAGTAAGCAGAACTTCCGTATTACACAGTGTCGTGCTAAACCCCTACACAGCTCCCCGCAATATCGAGACATGCTGGCGAAGTCGCGTGCGGAGAAACGCTCAGCGCGCGAGCCCAAGCTCACAGATGGCGGTGGCGAGGCGTTCATGCCCGACGACTGGTCTGTCGCAGAGTCGTCGTCAACATGGGGCGTAGTCAACGTCGACAGCTCTGACGCCGCCGACCCCACGGAGGAGCTCCGTGTGCCCTCGTCGAAGCTGCCGTGGCAGATCTGTATGTTCTTTGTCCATTCACACATTACACTGTCTGATCAATTGCCTAGCCTTCGAGAGTGGCGGCCTGACAATCAGCTGTACGGTGCTGTATCCTGAACAGTTTGATGCTCTGCGTCGGACATATGACTGCGAAAGGAGCATCATTGAGTCACTGGCGCGCTGTGTCAAGTTCGACGCTAGTGGTGGCAAATCGGGCTCTGCTTTCTTAAAGACCCTTGGCACGTATTCTCAGTCGTTGTCGGTTGCGATGACCTAACCTGTTGGCCACATAGACGACCGCTTCATTGCCAAGGAGCTCTCGCGTGCCGAGCTGCAATCCATGGAGACGTTCGCACCGGCGTACTTCGACTACATGTCATCTGCCGTTGTCGCACAGGTCAGTGGCTCCTTGTTTACCGTCTACATGTTACTGATAGTTGTTCAACAGAGACCCACTCTCCTAGCCAAGATCTTCGGGTGTTACAAGATCACATTCCGAAAGTCACATAAGCATCAGCCCGGTAACAAATCGAAGGTGACTCAAATGAACCTCCTTGTTATGGAGAACCTCTTCTACGACAAACACTTCTCCAAGGTCTGTCGGCTACAGTGACAACATGCTTCTCCCGCTGAACGGTATCTCCGTCAGATCTATGACCTGAAAGGATCCACTCGGAACCGGCATGTTCAGTCCACCGGTCGGGAGAACGAGGTCCTTCTGGATGAGAACCTTGTCCAATGTACGTCCCTGTTACCTGCAAGTTGGTGCAGGGCTATGTCTAATCGCCGATACAGCGTCGCACCTGACACCCTTCTATGTCCGCGAGCATTCCAAGCGGATCCTACGGGGAGCGCTGTTCAACGACAGCAGGTTTCTGGCTGATCTCAACGTCATGGACTACTCCCTGGTCGTTGGCGTCTCTAGTAGCAAGGAGGGCAAGGATGGGAAGGACGTGAAGGACGAGCTCGTTGTTGGCATCGTCGGTGCGTCGGATCGTTTGACGAAGTTGCGCCACATCTGACATTTCCCTTTTCAGACTACATCAGGACGTATACTTGGGACAAGAAGCTGGAGAGTTGGGTGAAGGACACCGCGTTCCTGGGCGGGGCCAACAGGGGAGAGCCGACCATCATCGGTCCAAAACAATATCGACACCGTTTCTTGAGCGCCATGGAACGCTACTTCCCCTTGGTAAGTGGTGTGCGGCCTTTCAACGCTCTATGCTAATGCGCCTTTCAGGTCCCTGACCGGTGGATGAAGCAACCTGATGCCCCTGAAGAAGAGGGCAATAGCCTCCTGGATTTGTGGCCTGACTGGTGATACCGCGGCTTCTTGGGACACTGTACCATCACTGTAATGTTAATCTGACCGTGACTTGTATACCTTCATCTTCACACTCGCACTCGAACTTCTCATGTCGCTACTTCGCTCACGTCCCGCATTCCACACTCATCTTCGTCACATGTAATGACATACCCCGCAATCATACAGCTTGTTTCCAGACTCGCAGCGTACAACAGGCGTCACAGCATACTACAATTACTACATTCAGAGCTTCCGCACCTTCGTCTTCTCCCTGTCCGCCAATGACTGCACCTGCCGCTTCGTCTCTTTCGAGAAGGTCTCTCGTGCAGTCTTTTTCTCCGACCGGCGTGCTTGGCGCTCCGCCTTGACCGCCTGCTTGCGTGCCTTCTTCTCCTCCGCCGTCTCCTCCTTGGGGCGCGTGATGGTCACTCGCACGGCTGTCCAAGTGTCAGCCCAGAGTCCTAAGCTAACGGGGGATGACATACGTCTAGAATCGTCTTCGTCGTCCGTGCCAGAAGAATCAGACTGTGGTTGCTTGCGCGCCGGCTTATCCTCCACGACGGAAGGCAGTCCGGTCTTGGGGTCGAGTCGGATCTTCGGTACAGGCTTGCTGTTGCGCGCCTTGATAACCCGTGGGTGATTCTCAAGGTTACTAAACGTAGCTGTGGAGTGATCGTCAGACGCTGACTCGATGACCGACAAGGAACGGACGTACTCAAGATCGTTTCGCAGTCCCACCGATCTTTCTTCTCGTCCAGGTCAAGCGGCATGAGAATGTCGTCGTCCTCCTGTCCACTGTCCTCCGCACTGTCCCGGATCACTGCCGCTCCGAGACCCTTGCGAACGGCATCCAGCTTGTCAATCGCTGAGCCAGGGAGGACGGGACGCATCTTTCCAGCGATTACTTCATAGTCATCGAGGAACTCGTCCATCATCGACTCGAAGTCTTCGCGGGACGCGATGAGGTCCGGAGCCTCGTCTGGATCTTCGAATGAAGGCTCCTCATCCTCTTCTTCGTCCGAGTCGTCGTATTCGCGTTGAATCTGTAATGCATTTAGACTCCATGGGCGCGGTGGTACTACTCGTGAAGCGCACCTGGTCGAACCTCTCATCGAGCACGCTGAGGTGCTCGTTTCGGAACATTGAAGAGCTGCTCATACTGTAGCCCGAGGCGTCCGATGTACCCTTTCTCCGCCGCTTCCCGCCGGAGACTGCTAACCGTGGGAGGGTACCGATGGTATCTCCACCCTCGGAGTATTCATCGGCATCGGAGGCCTCTTCCTGAGGTGCGGACTTCTGCGTTTGCTTGAACCGGGCAAACCGGGTCTCCCAAGAGTCGTTTGCATCGCCCTCATCTTCTTCTTGAAGACCGTCAGCTCCCAAGTCGCCCTCTCCGAGACCCTCTTCCTTGAACTCGAATGCGACAGCGTCCTTGCCCGCGCGTTCACCATCCGCGACCAGCTCTCCGAAGAAGTCGTCTTCCAAGCCATCGTCCACGAACGCGTCGTCCTCGAGCGCCTCAAGGACTTGCCGCAGATGCGGGTCCATGTCCGGCTGGAACCCGGCGAGAGAGGAGGGAATGTTTTCTTGGGCCTCATAATTTCTAGGCAGCTCAGACTTCGATGCAAGACTGGTCTCGGGAAGGTCGAGCAAGGTGATGGGATCCTTCGCTTTCCCCTTTCCTTTCGGTTTCGGAGCCTCAAGCCATTGACTCTCTACGCCATCCTCTTGCAAGCCGACGGGCTTCAGATGTTGCATGTAGTCATACTCGGTATCGTCGTAGTAAACACCGTAGAGCGTGGCCTCTCCTAGGTTCGGCCTGGCTTGGTCACGGGCGAGCTCTGAAGGCGAAAGCAGCTGCTCCAAATCCGCCCGGGACTTCCCCTGTAACTATTGTGAGAACCACCTTGAGTATTGCGGCGGATCAAGCTCACCTTCAGGTTTGACCGCTGCACGGGCTTGAGGACATGTTTGCTTGCTTCGGGATCGTGGATGAGCGGGTCGCGCTGCGAGCGGTGGACGACCTGGAAATGTTGTGCGCCTGGCTGGCGGAATACAGACTTGGGTGGCATGGCGGTGGCTGAGAGAGACGGAAGTTGAGAGAGCTCAGAGCAGCGTCCGATATTTTTCGCCGATGCTGTGGATCGGAGGATCGATCTCTAACCCTAGCCCAGATCGGGAACCCTAGCAAGACCTGGTCGACCCCGTCTATTACGTAATCTGACTTCTCTCGTCCGCCCAGTCGATGCTGCAGTCATCGTTGCACTCGACGTCGCCGCCACCACCCGCGACGTTCAGCTAGATTCTCTGCTTTGTCACCCCCCTCTCTCTATCTGCGTGCTCTCTTCTCGTGCTCTGAAACTGGTTGACTCCTCTCGCTCATCTTCAACGCGTGTTGTGGCTACTGGAGTTGGTGTTGAAATCTCGAGATGCAACGGGAGCATACGCGTAGAGGATTTACCATATACGTGTCTTTTGCTGCCCAGTGTCTCCTCAGAAGGTGTACTGACATGTCATGACGTCTCTACTAGTCACCAAAGGGTTGTTCTTGAGATAGACTTCTCAGGCCACATATGGGTACGCCCCCGCTTCAATCGCAATGACGTCTGACATCCATATCGTTTTTCAGGGCTACACGACTATCACCCTCAACCCAACCACCAAGGACCTCAGGACGATACATCTGCACGCTCGGCAGTGTGGTATGTCCCCCGTATCCTCACTGCGCCACGAGACCTTACAGCTAAACGCATGACATCCCCAGACGTCCATAGCGTTACAGTCGGCTCCTTCCCCGCAGATTTCGTCCATCACGACCCACTTTCTCATCTAAGTGTATCAGACCCCGGAGATGTCCACAATCACCCCGAACTCAAGCGGCGCGTGTACTCTGCACTTGCAGAAGGCGATGAGGGAGAGCTGTCCGTCTGTATACCGAAGGAAGTCGCGGTAACCCCGTCAGGGAGTCGCACTCAGGCCGGCATCTTCAGCGAGGGTGTGTACTTACCCTTTTCTCCGTAACCTCAAAGTGCTAACCGTCGCGGATCATAGCCGCTACCCCGGAGCCCCAGACACCAGGTCCTTTGACGCAGCCTTCTCATCCCGTCACTGAGTACAGGCAGATTGAAGTCACGATCTCCTACAGTCTGAAGAACCCCGCCGATGGAGTGCAGTTCGTGTTGCCGTCAGATGCATACCCTACGGTGAGTACAAGTTGTATGTTCCGGTATGAGGATACCTCACTTATGCTGCCGTCACTGCAGCGCGTGCCACATGTCTTCACCATCCCGTCGTCACCAGATGCATCGCGATGCTGGGTACCTTGTATCGACAACCTGTGGGAGAAGTGTGCATGGGACTTCGAATTTGTAGTTCCACGGTCGCTGGAACAGCACGACGCGGCCTCAGACGATGAAGACGAAGCCGTGGAGACTGATGAGTACCCGACAGTGGTTGTATGCAGCGGGGAGTTGATGGAACAGGTAAGAGTCCCTCAATGGCGATACCGATTTGTTCTTCATGCTTTGCATTCAAGGTCGCCCACCCCTACAACTCGAGCAAAACCATATTCCTCTTCTCACAGCCCGTTGCCACCTCCGTGCAGCACATCGCGTGGGCAGCTGGTCCGTTCCATGTTCACACCATCCCAGCCGATCTCAGCGCAGCGGAGGATGCCTCTGGAACCACCCAGCCTCTCATGACCGCCTTTTGCTTACCCGGTCACGAGTCCTACCTGACGAGTACGGTCTCCTTCATGCGTTCAGCGATGAGCTTCTACGTCACCGAATTCGGCTCCTATCCGTTCGGCTCATACAAGCTCGTCTTCGTCGAGGAGCTCCCTACTCAGCGGTACGATGCGGCGACACTGTCGCTCGTTACGGTCGACATGCTACATGGGGAAGACGCGATCGACCAAGTCTACGAGGCACGACACGCCCTCAGCCACGCCCTTGCTTGCCAGTGGATTGGAGTCAATATCCAGCAGAAGATGTGGTCCGACACCTGGCTTGTGAATGGACTAGGGCTTTACATCACTGGGCTCTACATCCGCAAGGTGTTTGGAACCAACGAGTACAGGTTCCGGCTGAAGAAAGACATGGACCGCGTTATCGAGCTCGACAATGGCTCGATGCCTCCAATATGCCAGCCTCAGACCCTCGAGCCGCCTGACCCCGCCAACCTTCCCTTCATCAACCTGAAGGCTCCTCTGGTCCTTCATATCCTGGACCGTCGATTGGGGAAGTCCGGCACGTCGCTAGGCCTCTCGCGAGTGCTCCCCAAGTTGTTGCTGTCTGCCCTCACCGGTGATATGGCGAACAACCTTGTGTCGACGCACGCATTCCTCCGTATGTGCAGGAAGGTCAGTGGGATCGATCCTCGCTCGTTCGCGGAGCAATGGATCTACGGAAGCGGATGCCCTACGTTTGGGTTCTCTGCCTCATTCAACAGGAAGAAGATGGCGGTGGAGATCACGATGCGCCAGGACGCCCCGGCCTACAAAGCGCACGAGACCAATGAGATCGCCAAACTCATGATGAAGCCTGTTCCTTTCTTCGAAGTAAGTGCTTCTCTCTACCCGTTGTCTGGAATACATCACGAACCCGAGTACAGGGCCAGATGACGATCCGTATTCACGAAGCTGATGGGACGCCGTACGAGCACGTCTTGGATATTCGAAGTCCCTTTAAGCGCTATGAGGTACCGTTCAACACGAAGTACAAGCGCGTGCGCCGAAATACGAAGCGCTATCTTGCTCGTCAGGCCGCAGCACAGGCTGCCGCAGAAGGCGACGCAGACGCAGCAGCGGCAATGGACATGGTGGATATGGGCTTTGGTCTCGAGATCTGGGAGAACGAGACGGAGCGAGACAACTGGAAGGTCGCGGACTGGACGGAGGAGGACGAGCAGAATATGGCGGGGCAAACGTACGAGTGGATCCGCATCGACGCCGACTTCGAGTGGATCGCTGCGATCGCGTTCGACCAGAAGGACTACATGTGGGTGTCGCAGCTGCAGCGCGACCGAGACGTAGTCGCCCAGTATGAGGTGTGTGTAAATCATACACTCTTTCACATCTCTCTAATTCCCGGGCAGGCCATCGCTGTTCTGTCGAAGTCGCCGAACGCGATCATCGCGAGTACCCTCACCAAGACGATTTTGGTGTCCAACTACTTCTATCGTATTCGCTGCGAGGCAGCGGGGGCGCTAGTGAACGTACGTGACACATCGCTCCTGCACCCTGGCAGCCTTCTTACCCGTTTTGCAGTGCGCGACGCAGAAGCTGGATTGGCTCGGCCTATTCCACCTCTTCAAGCTGTTCTTACGTTACTGCTATGAGCCCGAAGACCAGAAGGCGGATCTCTTCAGCCACACATACGTCCCCCGGCCCAACGACTTCAGCGACATCGCCGAGTACTTTGTACGGAAGGTAAGCGTGCAACCTCACGTCCGCTTACAACAAACCCTCATGGGAGGTACAGGCGATCCTCCGCTCGATAGCGAAGGTGCGGTTCGAGACTGGCAAGACCCCCACCGTCATCCGGCGATTCCTTGTGGACCAACTCCGGTACAACGATAACACAACAAATCCGGTATGTAGTGCTTACAACACTCATGAGATGTGTACTCACCATACGATCTAGTATGCGGATGCGTTGTACATTAGCACTGTAATTTCTGCATTAGGCTACGCAATCGTCTCGGCAGTTCCTCCGGAACGCGGCGAGTTCGTATCCAGCGAGAACGGCCCAGTCCCGGATCTACAGGATGCTGAGTTGCTGAAGTTGGCGCTATCGGAGGTGGATCGATATCGCAGTATGGACAGGCTCATCCCGACTTTCCACAACGTCGTAACCGTGGCCGTCATCGAGGTGAGCGCAGTATGAAGCCATTCCGAACTCCCACTCACACCTTGTAGTTCCACATGCTCCTTACTCTTGCGGGGCTTGTTCCACACGACTCCCGCTTGTTCTTCCCGCTCACTCGGTACGTACGCATGCGCTGCTAGCTGAGAACAAGCTCACACATATACAGCGAGGGCAATTACACTCAAGTCCGTATCGCTGCGTTCGACTACCTCTTCCTCGGGAAGTGGTACGTGCCGAAGATGATGCGGTATGTGCTCGCCGTCATGACGCACGACTCCTCTCGCATCATCCGACGGCACGTCTCTCGGAGCGCGTGTCAAAGTCTCGCACTCCTAGTCACCATGGGCGAGACGAAGACACCCAAGGAGACGGATTCGCTGTTGATCGAGGAGGACGGCAACGGCGGTGAGAAGGTCAAGGAGAACAGGAAGAGCGAGATGGAGATTATGATTAGGGGCTTGCGGAAGGACAGAGAGGTGGGCAAGAACGAGGCTATTCGGGAGTTTCTGATGCCCATCGCCCTGTACGTATACCCCTCTTTAGAATCCTCTCGTGCCCACTAACTGACCGCGATATAGTGCCCCGGAGACCGATAGCGAGGTCCGTTGGTGCCTGCTGAAGCTCGCGGATCTCTTGATCCGTGGCAACGAAGAGGCAGCGCCGAAGGTCACGATTCACCTGCCTCCGACGCCCGTCGCAGAGGTCCCGCCGCCGCTACCGCCAGTCAAGCTTCCAAGCAAGCCTATCCGCGCCCTCAAGTCAGGCGGTCCGACTCCCAAGAGCCCTCTTGCATCCTTCACTGTGCCTCCCAAGCTCAAGCTGCTCCCCGGCAACTCCCAATCTGACGTATCTGCTGCACGCGCCCCAGGCAGCGCTACGCCTGGCCCGGAGAAGCGGAAGGAGTTTTCTGTTCCGAAGGTGCCTGCAAAGGCGTCGGAGAAGAAGACGGGCAAAGCAGCTCCTCGGGCACAGTCCAGTGGGATGAGCGTGCACGATCTGCGTGCTTGCAGGACCGCGCTGAAGAAGGTGCAGACGAACAAGCACGCTGCTTTGTTCTTGCAGCCCGTGGACCCCGTCCGTGACCGAGCTCCCAAGTGAGTGTCGTAAAGCAGCCGCTTGCTAGCTAGGCACTGACTGACATTATACAGCTATTTCGACGTCATCAAGGCCCCCATGGACATGAGCACGATGAACGCGAAGTTGGAGTCGGGCCAGTACAAAGATCGCTTTGCGTTCGAGGCTGACTTCCGTCTGATGACCAACAACGCGAAGACATACAACATGCCGGGGAGCTTCGCTCACAACGAGACTCTGGAGCTGGAGAGTTTCTTTGACAAGAGTACGTTGACACTCGGATTTTGGTACAATGAGATCCTAATGACCATCGCAGTGTGGGTGCGCATCAACAAGACTCTCGAAGTGGCCAACAAGGCTGCTCAGGAGAGGCCGGCTCCGGTCGCCCAGTCTACTCCTTCGATCAAGTTCTCCGCACCTGCCACCACTCCCGCGCCGTCGAAGTCATCCCCCGCGACGACGCCTGCCCCGACATCATCCGTTCCAGTGATCAAGCTCAAGATCGGCGGAGGTCCCACCAACGGCACACATTCCCCGTCACCGGCTACTTCCAAGCCTGCGCCGAAGCCGAAAGGCAAGAAGCCCAAGGAACCCAAGTTGTCCGAGGTACCACCACCAACTCGTATCCCTGCCCCGGCGCCCGTGCCTACATTCGAGGATGACGGTTCCCTCGATCTCCTGGAGGAAGTCATCGCCATCGAGCGAGAGAAGAAGCAGGGACGCAAGCAGGGGTCCAGCTCCGGCTCAAAGGAGCGCGAGCGCGAGAAGCCTGCTCCGCCCCCCGCACCGCCAGCCGAGAAGGCGAAGCTCGTCCCCAGGCTCGTGATAGGCAAACGGAAGGTGCCTGACCCGACGGAAGACGAGATCCTTGCGCTCGCAACGCCAGCGAAGAAGGAGCGGACGAGCGCGCCTAGTTCATCGTCTACACCCGTTCCACCTCCCGCGGCTTCCGTCCCTAAGCATGTCGAGCCCTCTCCACCGTCCAAGAACGGGGTGTCCGGACACAAGTCACGGGAGAAGCCGCCCAAGCCGTCGCCCGTTCCAGAGCCCGCCGTGGTCGCTCGTTCATCTGCGAAGGGTAAAGAGAAGGAGAAGGAGGCACCCCGTCCAACCACCCCTGCGAATGGCAAGGCGAAGAAGGCACCTGAACTGACCGCGCCGATTAATGAGAAGAAATGCCGGGACATTTTGAAGACACTCGCGAAGGTCCCAGAGGCACTTATCTTCATGAGGCCCGTCGACCCAATACAGGATGGCTGCCCAGAGTGAGTATATCACTAGTGATGTCTGGACGTTACTTAGCATTGGTTCCGCAGCTATCTCAAAGAGATCACGGACCCGATGGATTTCGGCACCATGCACACGAAGCTGACGCAGGGCAAGTACTCGACCATGGAGGACTTTGCGCGGGATGCAGAGCTGGTCTTCTCCAACTGCCGCCGTTTTAACCCTGAACAAACCTATCCCTATGTGTGCGCCGACGCAGTTGAAAGGGTCTGGAAGAAGGAATGGGCGAAGGCCATGGAGAAGAAGCTCTCATACGCGGAGAAGCGAAGTTTGCAAGGTCTGATGAAGACCCTGCTCGTCGAGCAAGTGTGCGTATCTCCCTCCCTGTCGTTCGCGATGACGCATCCTCATGCCTTGAACGCACGTAGTACATGGGTTTTCCGGGAGCCCGTCGACCCGGTCGCCCTCGGTATACCCACGTACTTCGACATCATACCCAAGAAGGACGCGCGCGACCTGAGGATGATCCAGCAGAAGCTCAACGGGGACAAGTACGACTCCGTGGAGGCGTTCGAGGCGGATCTGGACCTGATGATCTACAACGCGATCACGTTCAATGGCGCGGATTCCGAGGTCGGCCAGCTCGCTGTGCAGGTGCGCAACCGGTACCGCGACCTGCTGTCGCCGATCAGGGGGACGAACGGCAAGCGAAAGGGGGGCGAGAAGGGGACGCCGCAGCCGACCAAGAAGGTGAAGCTGGGCTGAGCGGGATGGTCGGTGCTGTTTGCTATGATTATATGGACTCGGCTGTCTGTCATGTTGTGTGCTGCAATCGCTATAGTCGTCTATGTGCTTTGTACAATCTATAATATCCTGTTCTAGTGCCCCCGCTAGGAGTGGTAACGAGGTCTACAACTTACTTGCAACGACTGCTTACGGGCGTTGCTGGGCGAGTATGATGTCACTATCAAGATGCACCGATCGAGGCGAGTACATGGTCTTGGCATTCGCTCAACGCCATAGCTACTGCGCGGCGGACAAGGGCATCTCCCCTCTTCTCTTCCACCACCACCACATCGATCATGCATTCACTCACGACCACCTTGCTGGTCCTCACTGTCATCCTCGTTCTCCTGCCAGCCGAGACCTACGCGTTCGGGGCAGGTGACATCCCCGACTTTGCGTACCTTAACGGTGAGCGGCTACGCCATCCTCCAATCTCGACCAGATCGTGTGGACTAAAATTGGAATCTGCGCCTCCAGGCAAGGCTTTCCGCCACGGCGACATCGAGGACATCCTCACTGAGCTCGCGAAGAGCGTCGGACATGCCGGCGGAGGCGGAGGTCTGCTCGGTATCGCGGCGTCGGTCCTAGGCGCAGCTTCCGGTAGTAGCGGCGCGAAGTTCACGAAGGAGGATGTCAAGCGTGTCTACTTTGTGAGGACCCACAACGATCCTAGTGCTGCATAGCATTCCGCTGAATTTGACTGGTTGTTCAGGGCAATTGGCTGCGGGACTACTCTCAGGTACGTAGTCAATTGGCGCCCTCCGATCTCTAATTATAAGTACTGACATCATGCATAGGCCATGGACATTGCGGGTCTGAGCAAGCTCTCTGCAGACACGCTTGTTCTCATTGTCTCTGTCCTTGGTTTCTTGGTGCGTCCATCCTCGGTTTTACTTGGTTGATCACGCTGATATTTATGTATTCAAGACCTTCGGTTTCGCCACCGACGAGTTCGAGGTCACCCCCGACCGTCTAGGTGTTTACCTTCCCACCGAGCACATCGATAACCCGAAGTACGTATGAATAGTCAGCAGGTTGATGCGCCGCTAACGTCTGTGTCGTCTACCAGAGGTTATGCTGAGAAAGAAGGCGATGCTCGTCAGTTCCACCCGAAGCTGCGCCCTCCCGTCAACCCTGAGGAGCTTGAGGTTGACGAGCGGACCGGAATGAAAGTTAGTGCGAAGCGCTGCATCATTATCGGAGAGTCACTGACAGTGTCGAGTGTAGAAGTACATGGCAACCGAGAACCAAGGATGGGATACTTCGACTGCTCTCATTCGCCGCGTGTTCCGTGGCTGCATCGAGAACGGCAGGCGTGCCCAGGGTCGCGAAGGTGCCGAGCTCTGGGAGGCTTACCGCCTCATGGGCACCGGTCTCCATACCATGGAGGACCTGCTCGCGCACAGCAACTGGTGCGAGATCGCGCTCCGCAAGCTTGGACACAACGAAGTATTTTGTCACGTTGGCGACAATGGTACTTGGAACAACTATATGCGGTTATATGCGTGTTGCTAAAGTTGCAATGTAGTCACGATCGACTCCCCTAACGGCCGCACTCAGCCTCTGGTCACCGGGACGTTCGGCAGCGCAGGTATGTCCCGAGCGTCCCGAATCTTAACGATTGACTTACACACTATCTAGACTTCTTGCACTCGCTGATGGGAGAGGCAACTGAGTACGCTGACCATCCAAAATCCATCCAGCACTTTGTCTGATCCACTCTGAACAGCCATTTGAGTCAAGCTAGCGTCGTAGACCTTTCTAAGAAGATGGACGACGTGAGTCGCCCGCCGCTTTGATGACACTAGGGGACTAAACTCTACATACAGGCGCAAAGCGACAACAACAGCCTCGGAAACTTGCAGTCTATCTTGAAAAAGCTCCCTATCGGCGGCTCAGACGATAAGATGGGCGAAGCCGACTCCATGCAGGAGAAGTCCAAGGCGTACAATTTCGACCCCAACAACGTTGCACCCCCGGAGGTCCGCGAGCAGCTGTGGCAGCTGCTAAAGTGGCGCGATGGCATCTTCAGGGACATCATCGCCAAGATCGACATGATCCCTGGGCTGTCTGACCTCATTGACGGTCTCACGAACGCGCTGAATGCTTGTGAGCCCGTTTGCGACATCAATTTCCTTCCTACGCTGACTGTTATTCAGTCGTGTACACCGTGTTGGCCCCTTACCTCTCTGTAATTGGCAAACTATATGCCCTGTCGACGGTCGACTTATACAGCCCTTTGTATGTAGCCGATCCTGAAGCAAGTCACCGACGTCCTGTCGGAGGGTAGCAAGGCTGTCATCGACTCCGACGACCAGTACCAGGTAAGGTTCATCGGAACGTTGTCATGTGAAGTTGCTCACTTCTTTGTTCAGGTCTTCGACGATGCCGACGCGTCCGACCCTTCTCACAGTCTGTTGTCTAAGGTAATTCACATTATCTCTCGTACGTGGTACTGGTACTCACATTTTACCACAGGATCATTTCGCACTCATCCTGAACGAGCCGGCCGGCAAGATTGCCCTGGTTGTCGTGCAACACAGCGTCAAGTTGCTTGTTGACGTATGTATGGAGATTGGCAGTACCAGGATCAGTTGATAATGTGGGATACATACAGGCCTGGTTCAATGACAGCGTTGACCCTGACCGCGTCATCGACGAGGTACGTAGTACTTTCGTCTTCCGCGAAATACCCTCTTTTGACATGAAACGTCGCTCTAGATCCTGGAGGCTTTCCACCACCCGTACTATGCTACTGGACGCTCCCGTATTCAACAGGAGATGTTCCAATGCCTGGAGAACTGGGTCACTAGCCTTGAGGACGTGGACGAGACCATCCGAGCACTTTCAAAGGTAAGCGCAACATCTGCACAGAGCGTACAAAACGTGCACGCTAACCAACATTGTCGGTTCACAGGACAGCGTCCGCAATGGCAAGAACAAGCGCAAGGGCACCGACGACGACATGACCAGCTCAGACCAGATTTACGGAGGTCGCGTCAACCAAAGTTCTGGTGGCGGCCAGTATGGCGCGCAGAACACGGGTTATGGCTCTTCGCAGACGTCTTCCGGCGGCCGTGCTTCGTCCGGAGGATACGGCGCGTCCAGTGGAGCTTCCGGTGGTTATGGCTCCTCGCAGACCAGTACGTATGGTCAATCTGGAGACAGCTACGGGTCTTCTGCTCCCTCCTACGGTGGTACGTCTGCTCGATCACGGCGTTCATGCATTTGCAACTAATCACGGCGTTCGTCTTAGGAGGCAACGACGAACCGAGGCGCACAACCTACGGCGAGTCGGAGGAGCCGCGCCGCGAGCACCACAAGAAGCACCACGAGAGCTCTGGACGCCGCCAGGAAGAAGAGACGTCGTACGGCCGCCAGGAGACTTCGTCTTACGGCCGCCAGGAGGAGACCACTTACGGTGGCCGGAACGAGTCTTCCTACGGAGGGCGCGAACAGTCATCTTACGGCGGGAATGAAACCTCTTACGGGGGTCGCGCCGAGCCCGCGTACGGAGGCCGCACCGAACCTGCTTACGGCGGCCGCGCCGAGCCCTCCTACGAGAGGCCCACTGAGTCCAGCTACGGCCGCACCGAGGAGCGTACGTACGGCAGCTCGGAGACCACCTACAACAGCACCGCTGCCGGCTATGGAGGCGGTCAGCGCAGGCAGGAGGAAGAGTCCTACGGCTCGGCGCGTCCCAGCTACGGAGAGGCTGCTGAAGAAGAGCAGCCTCGCCGCCACCACGGCGGAGGCCGAGGAGGCTACGGCGAGGAGAGCCATGGCCGCGGAGAGTTCGGCGGCGGAAACCGCGCCAACGAGTACGACGCCCCGCCGCCACCTCCCCGTGAGGAGTACGGGGGCTCTGGTGGCTACGGCGGCCGTGAGGAAGGGTACGGCGGCGGCAACGGCGGTGGCGAGCGCGAGGGCTTCGGCAGCGGATACGCGCCGGCCTACAGCCAACCCAGCGGTGGAGGCTATGGAGGTCAGGAGGGCGGCTACGGGGGTGGAAACCGTGGAGGCTACGGTGTTGAGGGCGAGCGCCGGGGCGGGCAGGAGGGTGGGTACGGCGGCTCCGACGAGACGTACGGTGTCCAGGGCCTGTCCCTCGGCGAAGAGGAACCTCGCCGTCACCACGGGGGCCATGGAAGGCACCATCGCGAGGAGGACCGCGAGGACAACTACTAAATGACAGGAGAAGTCGCATGGACAACGCCGCAGTAGCACAAGAAGAAGTGTAGAAATGAATGGCGCTGATTGTACAATCAAAACATGTTGTATCGTTGCTGTAGAATGCATGCGTATCCAGTACTAGTGAAGTTGTGCGCTAAATATGCTCGGGCTACGACCGCCAACGAGGGTGGCGACTCGACTCTGGCTGTGGGTGATGGCGCGGGACCATGAACGTAGTGAGCGGAGGTCGGGCCGATGTTCCGTCCCGCGCCTTGGGCACGTTGTGGCCACGGCCGCCTGCCTCTCCTCCGCTCACTCGTCCACCCTCGCCACCCTGAGCCTGTTACAGCCTCGTGCTACCCTTCGCCCTTGCATACCGTGATGTCGGTCAACCACGCAATGCCCGCGAGCGGCTCGCAAGACCGCGGCCCGCTAAGCGAACAGGAGGTGGACCCCATCTGGATGTCCAGTCGCACTGCGCGGCAGATATACGCCCTCGGGGAGGTCGAGAAGGTCAGACACGCACGCCCACAGCCTCCTGCTCCCCCACCGCACCCTGACGGCGCGTGCTGAACATGCGCCCGCCTGCAGGACATCAGCCGGCTGCTCTCCCTCGCGGCGTCCTCCATGGCGCTGCTCTCGCTGCCCCAGACGGACGGCCCGGAGGACGACCTGCCGCAAGGCGGGGAGCGCTCGGAGAAGTTCGTGGACGTCGCGAACGAGTACTTTGAACGCCTCGACGTGTGTACTTTGTCTTGCATATGATTTCTGGAGCAGACCTAACCTTGGGATCGCAGTCAATACACATTGCCATTCGGTCGTCGCTCGCGCATATCCGCCAGTCGCGCATTGCGCCTTCTGCGATCAACGCGCCCCCGCCCAACTTCATCCCGCCCCCGCTCGGCGTCGGTTTGCCTTCAGCGGATGCCGATGGCACCGCTAGGGGCGAGCGCGGTCTGCAGGAAGAGCGCGTAGAACGCGACGCGTGGAAGGGCATCCTCGCTGCGCTCACCAGGATCAAGGAGGCGCGAGACCGCGAGCAAGCAGAGGCGGCGTCGAGCTCGATGAAGTCGTGAGATACAGCAGTCGAGCGGGTATCGCAAGGATGTATACAGGTACAGTACGTCTCTCCGGTCTACTAGTTCTTCGCGTTCCCTTCTCGGCCTCAGACGCTGACTTCCTCCAGAACCTCCCTCGCCTTTGCCAGATCCTCGTCCTCCGCGAACGCGGGGTCCTTCTCTGCGGAGATCTGGCCGAGTGGTTAGCGAGACGCGTCCCGGTCGGTTGAGAATAGCGGACGGACGCACCACAAGCTCGCGCAGGGACTGCGCGACGACACCCAGCCGCTCGGACGAGTCGACGATCATCTTGCCAGACTCCTCCATCATGCGCCTCTGTAAAACCGGGATCAGAATCGCGTACCTCAACGACAGGCGCAAGGCAGATTCAGGGCGAGGCAGTGAAGGGGAGGGGAGGGGCGGAAAAGAGGAGGTCGCGCGCAGGATGTACATACCGTGTTCCCGATATCCCAGTTCTCCGCGTTCTCCGCAATGTGCTTGTCAAGCTTACGCTTCAGCTCCTCCTCCTCCTTCTGGTAGAGCCTATGTTCCTTGTACAGCCTGCACGCAGAGAATCCACTCAGCATACATCGCGATGGGGCGGATCTCGCATGCGCGCGCACCGTTTGGCCGATCCGGACTTGATCCTGAGCTGCTTGCGGATCGTCGCGGCGTCGCTCATCGTGCTGGTCGTCAAAGTGTGCGGGTGCGTTGTATGCGTGTTTGTGTTGTGGATACGGAGGAAGAGTCTAGAGGAGAGACGCGAGACGAGGATCTGCGCGCGCCGCGGTGATCCCCTTTGTACAAACAAATCGCTCGCGGCTCGCCACCCCGCACCCTACGTCACCCACCGTCACTAGCGTATCGGGGCCGGTGGCATTCGCTACCGTTGGGTCAGTATTGCTGCACAGGGCCCGTGCAATATCGGTGAGATATTCCATCTTGGTGACTCCCAAAAGGTCCTTCAAGCCTATGCGGGTCCCGAACTGGCGCTTAGTGTACTTCCTGCTACATACCGCACTTAGCTAACTTGCGGCGTTCACACAGAAGAATGCACACCAAAGAGGTCCAGTCATGAATAGCGTGAATAACGTGATATGCGTGAGACATCGACTACTAACTACTACGTGCAGAGCAGGACAGGGAGGCGAGCGGGAGCGGGGGGAGCGCGACCGACACGCGCGGCCATGCGGCGACGGAGAAAGCAGCGGGCAGGATGCGACGACAGCAACAGCGACGGGGGGACGGGGAAGCATGCGAAGGCGGGTCGAGGGGCAGCGAGGACGTCCTAGACAGCGCGCGCAAGCACGCACTGTAGCCTCGCCGCGCACCGGGACCTCCACCCTGCACACTACAGCGGACGGCGGGAGGGGCGACATATCCGGGGCATAGGGCGGGCATGGGGAACGCGGGGGCATCGGGACCATACGAACAGACCGTTGTACTGTGAGCGGAAGACAGCAGGAGCGCCGCCACACAGGCGGGCCCCGCACACACCCGCAAGCAGGTGCGCGCAGGGCGCTCACCACCGGCACCACAAGCCCACAACTACAACTCACCGCACGCGCTCGAACATCACCGCACTCGCACAACATCGGCCGGAGGGCGTGAACTAGCACGCGCGCAGCCAGCGGAGGGGCGGACAGGACGGAGCGTTCGGGGCAGCGAGGAGTCGCAAGCTTCGGGCAGGCGGAGGCCGTGAGGCAGCATCGAGCGTCAGCTCGGGTACGCGTGGTCGTTCGTAGGGATGGGCGGGTGGTCCGGGGGAAGGATGCATATCCACGTCGAGTGAGGCCCGCGCCTCGCCATGTCTTCCAGCCCTGGCTAGGCGCGCCGTGCGCGAGCGCGTGCTGTCGGGAAGTGCGCTGCGTCGCTGGCGCGCGGGCGCCACGAGCTTGAACCGGAGCTCGTGGGCGCGTCGATGGTACCAGGAGCCAGGGGGAATAGGAATAGATGGAGAAGCGGGGCAAGACATCGTGCAGCACGATCCAGTGGCGGTGATCAGGCGCTACCGGTACGCGCCAGCACAGGAAGAGGTCATACGGGCATAGGTGGGGAGGTGCCGTAGCGGAAGGGAGGAGTGAGGTGGCTGATCCGAGGGGGAAGGGGAACGATGAGAGCGCAGACGAGGGTTTCGGTGCCGGTGTGTCGGCGTACACATATGCAGCGGCGAGGCACGGAACCACAGTTAAGTGGTCGTCGCCATCAGCCGCAGCGTGCACTAGGCGGGGCTGGGAAGGCGAGCGGGAAGGGTCGACGTACGACAATACCGTGTGGGTGTGAAAAACAAGAAGTGCGCGCAGGGGACGAGGCAGCGCGCGTCGCTGTGGACGCGCACGCCTCAAGTCTGGTCCTGCGGGTCTTGTGTCGTGTCGTGTCGACGCCCCTGCTTCAAGCCGATCCGTAGGCGCCATGGTCGAAGGGGTTCTCGTTTACTGTTCTCCGGTACACGCCGTCCGGGAGGGACGACGCGACCGCGCGGCGCAGCTGCGAAGCGTTCCGGGGAGCTCGGGGGCGACCTTGCTCAACCCGTAGCATGAGCACCACCCGAAGGTGGGGACAAGGGGGAAGAGGGTGGGGGAGCGTGGGGATGAAAAGTGCCGGGTGTAATGAAGTGAATAAAAATGTGTAAAGGGGAATGTGTGATAGTCCGTGTGATCGTCAGCTTCCACTGCGTCCTGGCAGGGAATCCAGTCTCGTGCGGGGTCTTGATACAGTCGTGATACAATAATACAGGGCAGGCGTGGCTCGGCGCGTCCAGACGCGCGAGACGAGCTTTTGAGGCGGGAGCGCGCGGGTGCTCAGAAGTTCTGGCCGGCCGAAGCGGCAACCTGGTGAGCAGCGGCGACGGCAGAAGCCGCCGCGGCGTGACGCTGCTCAGCGGTGCCGAGCATGAGGGCCTCGTTCACATGGCGGAGGTGCGCGGTCTCGGCCTCAGCCTGTTGCAGGCGTGTCTGCAGCTGCTGCTGGGTCATCTCGAGGTAACGAATGTGCGTGGTGGCTGGAAAAGAACAAACACATCAGTTGGGATGGCTCATTGCGAGAAGAGCGCACTTACCCCGATCCAACAAGGAGACCTTGCTCGACTTCTGGTTCGATACCGGGAGAGCGTCCTTGAGACGGCGGTAACCGTCACGGAGCTCATCCCGCCTCCGCTGCTCGGACTCGATCCGCTGGCGGCGGATCTCCTCACGACGCATGTCGTTGTTGGCGGCATTGGAGGGCATCGGGTTGAAGTCCTCGTCGTCATCACTGGCAAACTCGTCGGAGGCCTTGGAACGCTTCTTCTGCTGCTGCTGGCGAGCCGAAGAACGGCTGATTGCAGCGACGCCGAGGGGGTTGAAGCGGTGCGAGCGAGGGATCGCCGCAAGCGAACCAGGAGGCACAACGGGGCCCGGGGAGTGGCTGCCGCTACCGCGACGGCTCCGGCTCGAACCGACACTGTCGGAAGACAGCTCGCCGGTGGAGAGGTTGGAGAGCGCGCCGGGGTAGATGCCCGTGGGAGTGAAGGGGCGGGCGGGGGAGCTGGTGCTGTAGTTGCCACTGGACGAGTACGTGTACTCGTTCATGCCACCGGAGAGGTTGAGCGAGTTGAAGCCCATGCGAGGGGACGTGGTGGAGGGGACTGGGAATTCGAAGTAAGAATGGGCGACGCGTGCGAAGGACAGCCGGAATACTCACGACCCATGGAGACGCTGAAGGGGGAGTGCGGGGGGTACTGCAGGTAGTCGAGCCCATTGAGGGGGTCGTAGTAGTTGGGGGCAGAAGAATCCATGAAATCGGAGCTCTTGGTGGCGTGGTCGAGGACCTGGTCGATGTGGGCGGCGGTCTCCATGATGGCGGGGAGCGAGATGCGAGCAGAGGACGTAGTGCGGGAAGAAAGAGTATCACAAGGAAGACTGTTCGTGAGGGACGTGCTATTAAAAAGAGACGGAAAGAAGCGGAACTGGGGGGAGGTCAGCAGAAGAAAGACAGCTGGGGGCGGCGGACGTACAACTGGCGATGACGGAGGCGGAGGAGGGCACCCGGCGGGGGATGGCGGAGGAGGATGGGGGAGAAGGGGGGAATGGGAGGAGGGCTATATAGGCGGCCAGGGCAGGCGGGAGCCCTGGGCAGCGGAGCGTCCTGCTTCTCCCTCGCAGACGCCCACCTGCTCTCTCCTCCCATCACCTCGTGTCGCGGGCGTCCCGTCACGCCCGTCACGCAAACTCTAATGAATTACATCCGCGGCGTCCATTCGCAGATTCCATCGCCCGTGCGTCTCCCCAGACAGTCCTCCGAGAGTCCGAGCTCTTGTCACTCTGATCCTCCGTCCTCCGTCTCCGGCCTCGCACCGAGCCTGTACGCTCGCCCTGCCGCCTGCCCCCAGCGACCGCGCCATCACGCCCGCGCCCGTTCTGGCGGTGTCCCCTTCCAGCCCTCGTCCTCCCATATCCTCCCCATTAACCTTCCCGCTGGCTTATCACCCGCATCAGCTCCCGGTGGGCCGGTCTGCCCTCCTTGTCCGCATCCAGACGATCTCGGGCATCTCCCCTGCAGCCCTCCCACTCCGTCCGCCACCACCCCCTCAACCGGCTGCCTCATGTCCGACAAACCAAACCCAGCGCCCACAACGTTCCTTTCATTTCCTCCTGCTCCCAGTCTCTCCGACATTGCCCCTCCCGATCCCCCCAGGCCCCCGCCCAGCCTGCGCTATCCGCTTACCGCGTCCCCGCGTCCTCCGTCGCAGCTTCTCGCCCTCCCGTCACACCTCTCCGATCATTTCCCCTTCCTTCCGTTATGTGCTCGCGCCCGAGCCCGGTCTCGCGGTCCCATCCCAGCCCGTCTCGTCCGCTTCCCACTCCGCCCCCACCGCCCCCAACTCTCGAGCACGGCAGGCACCCTTTGTTGTGGTGTATACGTACAACACGTCCGCCGACCCCGTCCCGTCCCCCGCGCACTCGTACGTGTCCCCACCGCCGTATCTCGAAACAGCGCAGCCCGGTCCCCGCAGAACGCGCCCCCTGCCCTTCTCTCCGGCGCGTTCACACCGGCACGGACCTTTCCCCGGCGAGCACACCCACCGCCTGCGCGTCCCTTCCCCTCCCCGCGTCACCAGACGCACCCGTTCTTCTCACATCCTGCCTATATGGCTGCCCAGGCTTACCCAAACGCGAACCTTGTCCGCCGAACGCCCGTGTATTCGCGCGCGCGCGACACACAGACTCAGCTCCTTCTCCGGCGTTTGCCTGCCCAGAATAATAGCGAGCGCCCGCTGCGCGACCCAGTGTGACAGCCCGCGCACGCACAAGCATACCGCCTCAATCAGCACAAGACCCCAAAGCCCAGCGTTCCTGGCGCCGATAGACAGTGCTGTGGCCCGGCGTTCCGCGCTGCACACGCGCCCGCATGTCAGAAAGCAGCATAGTACGAGTATCGGATATATTGCGAAGGTTGATCATCAGCGGTATAGGAATAAGTCAGTAGTCGTGAGCAGGCCCGGTACGTAAGTACGGACCCCGAGATCGTAAGTCGTGAGCGGTCGTGAGGTGCCGAGAGGCGAGATATCGAGACAACAGGACAGGATAACAACAGGCCGGGAACGGAAGCAGGGAGACGCGAGGGAACACGGGGAGACGCGATGGAACGTCCACAAGACGCGGAAGAAGCAAAGCAGCAGCCGTGCAGGCGAGCCGTCTGAGCGACAGCTTCGCTCACATGTCCGCACGGGGGTCAGGGGGGAGGATGGGAGAATTAGCAGATCGTAAGCGCAAGCGAAGGTGGGCACCGAAACGATTGGAACGGAACTGTCCAGGAGACTTCAGAGACGCGAAGGAAGGGCCACAACTATGGCGACCGAGCGCCGCTCGACGATCGGGCAGCGGCTTAGGCATTGTAATATCCTGCACCCGAAGAACAAAGTTTCGGTTAGCGTCCACCGTCCCACAACTTGGGCGCACCACGCGCACGCTCGCTCCGTCCTCGAGGCAAGGAAAAGTTCCTTGCGGGTCGATGCGGACGCTGACAAGCGACGCGTGCGGTACGCAACGAGACAACGTGAATACTCACCGCCATAGAACGGACCCTTCATGTTCGAGTAATGCTCGAGCCTCTTCTGGAAGCGCCAGACCAGGAAGAACATGTACATCTGCAGTCACACGACACAGCACGCCGTCCCATGGTCAGTCCGAGCGACAGCTATGCGGCTATATGACCGGAGCACGTACCTGGAACGCCAGGTCTACCACGAGTCCAACGATGAATGCGGCGTTGAGACTCGAGAATCCGGTCGTACAGAATCCGGCCGGGAACGACGACGTTCCGCCGTACCCTGCCGCTGCTGACTCTGACCACAGCTGGCCGCCATTCGCGCACTCCCACTGGATCTTGTCCTTCCTAAAGTGAAGTAAGGTATTAGGTTCCTGTCACAGCGGAGCGACACTTGAAGCGGAGTGGCTGATGATCGCGGGGATGCAAAGCCACGCGTACGGGCGGAACATCTTGGAACCCAGGATAATCCTGGACTCCAGGAGGCTGTCACACCTCGAAGAAAGGAACACGCGGTGCTAACCGCGCAGCGAAAAAAGATGGACAAACAACTCGTGGTAACACACAACGCCACCCTGCTGATGGAGAAGGTGCAGGGGTCGGCAAAATTTGCGTGAAGTGGTGGGTAATGAAATGAAACTGGAGGAGCTGGTGCTGTGACGAGACAAAGGAGGGCAAAACCCTGAAGACGAATTTGGTGGGACTCACCCTCGTTGGAGTTCGACGATCATGATGATGGCCCGGACGGCGCAGAGCACGATAATGAATGGCCAGATGAACTTGCAGACGCGTATCCAGATGTACGATCGCTGTAAACAAATGGCACCAAGGAGTTAACACACAGATTCAAGCCGATCGTGACAAAGTGATCGAATTCCGCTGCGAGGGCCGGAGAAAGTGGGGGAGAAATTGCGGAGCACTCACGTTAGAGAGCGCGAGGATAGAAAGTGCAGCAGCCACCGCGACACCGATGCCCACACCGCCGTAGATCTGCCTGCATAACACGACATGGTCAGATGGTTCGTAGATGCAGAAGGTAATGCTCACCATTCAGGGAACACAAAGAACAGGTACTGGCCCCAGTTCAATAGGAAGATGCCTCCCGCGAGACTGTACAGCTGTTCATAACGAAAGTAAATCTGCGCTCCGCATCTTCGTGAAGGGCTCGCCCGCTCACAAACATGACGACGCCCCACGCAATAGCACCACCCCTCTACATTAACATCGCCGTTAGATCGGCGCTTGCATGGCTCCTACTGCCATACATACCAGAGGGAGCAAGAGAAGGCAGTTGTCACACCTAGAACATATTCAGAACGCGCCCTAAGATGAGTACGGCCCGCAACTTTGTTATTTTAGGTACGAGAGACGGACCACATCGTTACTGATCGTTTGCAAGGGAAACCAAAGAGCGGCCTGGGGTGAACTCGTTACTGATTCTGAAGACGGCGCGAATCTTGACGCCGAGAGATAGAGCGATGCCTAGAGAGATGGCTAGGGGTGTTTCGCGAGATTGATATCCTTCAGAGATAGTGTGAGGTGGGTATAGAGACCGCTGCTGGCAGCAAAGAACGAAGGGCGGACGTCGTCGACGCTGGGTGGGACGAAGAGCAGCTGGGGCGGCGAGACACGTTCTACGTCGCCACCCCACGGCGTGACCGTCACGCTGACGTCACGGGCGACGCTCTGAGACCTCCCCAATTGGGCATAATGGGACCCCGGATCTGAGCGTGACTGTGACGTGCGATCGAGGACTCGATCGGGCCGTGGTTGCTCGCAGATCCATTTGAAGCTCTTGGACTCATGTCTGGCGATCCTGCGGCTAGAGGACTCGGGAGCTCGCGACCCTTGGAGTGCCTCGTTAATGTGACTGGCTTTTTTCAGAGCTCATCTGCACCCGGTAGGATCATCATGCCACCTGCGCGCCAGCGAGAACCTCGGGCCTTGTCATACAGTTTGGAACTCGCACCAGGATGCTTTCCCGACCCAGGAAACTTCTGCCTGCGGACAGCATGGGCCCCAGGTCCAGCGATCTGGGCCGCATGGGCGTTCTGTTCTGTGGTCATTTGCAAGCGCCTCGCGAACTGTGGACGTGCACGAAGATCACCTGAGCGATACACAGGCTTCTGTCAGCTCCTCGCTCGCACGGAGGCCCCGCGCGGTACGTTAATCTCGCCTCCCACCGCTACACAGGACGGGCTGAAGATACGCTTTACAGTGTGTATCGGTACCTGCCATTACTCTCTCTGGGCTCATCTGTCGGGCGGTGTCATTCACCGCTCTTCGACTTCAAGCCTTCGCTTCGCGACGTCAGTCCACAAGCACCTATTCTCGAGTAATGAACGGCCATTACAACGATAGATTCCAGGGCTGGAATCCGGTGACATTCCTCGGCAACACGCCTTTCTCATTTCCGGGATTACATCCTTCTTTCGAACGTCCACTAGAGCCCGTCCGGTCCGATCCTCCTGGACTTCCCATGCGCAAGATCGGTCGATGCGCCAGAGCGGGTGCGCTCCTCCACGCGTTGCTTCACCTGTCTGGGCCCTGCTGGTCGACTTTACTATGGGGCTGCTCGCGCCACGACGTTGATCACCATCCACATATGTCCCGCTACTCCCCCGCTCTTGATCCTACAGGATGTTCGCGCCCCTTCTCAGGCAGCTCCTTCTACTCTTCTCGGCGCCTTCTGTTCCTTCATCTTCGCTCTCGTTTTCTCACCGGATCGGACAGAAACATGCACCCGCGAAACCATGCACCATCGCACATGTCGACGACATACACTCCATCGATGGCGGCCGTACTCTCAATTCGCACACACAGTCCTTTCGGACACTGCTGCTCGTAGCCCCTATGGAGGCGTCTCACGAGGACTTATACTTCGTCCGGGGTTAAGAAGGGCCCACCATCCCACTACTGCGCGGCCGACGAATCCAAGATGCATCCTGCGGTTCTCGCTCGCCGGGGTGCCGTAAGCTCTGGCGACCACCTCCTGCGTCTCCTTGTGCATCCGCGCCCGGTGAGTCGCTCACTTTTGTGGCTCGTCTGTGAAGAGGCTTTCAGGCGAGGATAGGCTTTACTCCGCCGAGATCCGTATGCGCTTAAAGCGCCTGGTTGTGACGGCGGGCTTACTTGGTGCCCTCCCTCCTTGTCAGTGTGAGCGCGGTCGCGGGTATGAAGGTTCCGCAGGCATGTGGAAGACGTTTGATCGCCGAGTCGACGACATGAGGCAGGCGCACAGTGCTGTCAGCGACGCTCGCCCTCTGGGATGGCCAGCGCCCGGCTGGTCGGTCCCAGATGGTCACAGGGAGCAAGTCGGCGTCGGCGGGACGGCGCGAGTGCGTGTGCGAACGAACTCTGTCCCTCGAATAGTTGTTGCTCTTCCGTCCCCGTTTATCCCGAACGGCAGTCGCGCAAGCACGCTCGCTTGACAAATACTGCACCCGCAGGCCCCTTCCTGTTAGTGCCTCCCTACAGCCGCTCCCAGTTCCGGAAGCTCGCGGCTGGTGGGAATCTGGCTATCTGGGAGGCTTAGAACGTAACGCCCCCTGAACTTGACCCAGCCTCCGTACGCCGACGCCCAAGTTACTTGTTCAGGCTAAAGCTGCCTACCGGCTGCCTCGTGCATCATATTACGAGTCATGCTCGTCGGCGCCCAACCCGGGTTGCTTAACACTGGAGGCCGCGTCGTGCGTGTTCGGAGGCAGAAAGCATTGCTGCCTAGTTCAAGCCAGGCTATGTGGTTTTTTGCGCAGCGGTCGGTCTAGCTGTCCTAGGCTCCTCGTATATCCACATGCTGACATCACTCTCAGATATCACGCTCCCTCAGGCGTCGTGCTCGACAACGCTGGCAGTCTCAGCGGGATCACCGCTTTTCCGGTCTAGCTTTCTACGGACATCACAGACCTTGTGCGCGGTACAGTACTCCTCTTCCGCTGCTGCCATGCGCAGTCGCCCTCGCCGCCCCTTGCTACGCCGCGGACTCACACCGACTCACGTACTTCCTTCGGGCCTAGTAATAGGACCCCCCGCGCGAAGGGCACTTATCTCCAGCATCAGGAAGGTTCAGATCTCACCCCGGCGAAGCCTCGTCCAAGAACGTCAGCGATCCGAGTCAATGGACCGCTCGCACAACGAATCGAGGGTACATATGTTCTTCCGGCCTTTCCAAGTCAAGCGGGCACTCCAGACCTGTACCGACACCGCGGCGGGCTTCGAGGACTGCTCTTACCTAGGACGAACACGTCATGCGCGAGCAGCAACCACACGCACGAGCAGATCCGCCCTACTATTCAGGGCGGTGCGCATCATCCGAATACGGCCCTGCGCACCACCCAGGTCAAGAAAGAGTGGCCTACTCACCTCGAGGCTCGAGGCCGACCGCCGCAGAGCCCATGTCAATCATGGGCGATCCGGCGGTCCTCCTTCTCGACCCCCCGCACCGTCGCTCTCCGCAAGCCCCGTCGACGTCGCTGCCTACGAATGCCGGCATCGAAACATCGAGACATAGTCGCCGCGCGACGGTCTTTCCGGCCGAACACACGCGGCAGCGGACGTGTGCGACCTCCTCCTCCGCAACCCCCAAGCGACGGCCGTGCTCGCCGCCGTCCGCGGCTTTAACGCACAGCGGTACATGCCAACCCGCGGTGCGCACACACGTCTACGTCCGCGATGTTCGCGAAATCCGCGCCACCCCGCTCTGCACAATTGCACAGATGCGCCGATGCACAGAACGCGGGATGACGCGCGCACGCCCGTCTTCTGCTCGCACCGAAGCACCCCCCGAAAGCCGAAGCGCAGAGTGCTAAACGCGAGATGAAACCTTGCCCGCGCGCCCCCCGTCGCGTTCCTGCTCGCCGCACAGGCACCTAGAGGCACCTCCCACGGCCGCTCCGCCGCCCCGAGCCGCTTTTTCCCTTCGCGGGCCCTGCGCATTCCTGGCACTGCGATGGGAGGGCGCCTCGAGGCGGCACCCCCGGTCATCTGCGCACGGGCACCGATGACGTTGCTGCGCTTCGACGCGCGAGACTCGAGTGCTGTCACCCACCGTCGCGACCCGTCGGGCCCGCAAGGTTCACTGGCAGTGGCGGATCCCCGATTGCGCATGGGCATTGCCGCCGCTTCGAACGCGCCCGGGGGATTGCGCCAGGGACGGCGCGCGAGTGAATGGGCGTGGGCGAGTCCGCGGGGGGACGCGCTCAGGGGTGCTGCTGCTGGTGTCTGCGCGTGCCCGCTTTCCGTAATGCGGCCGCGTTGGCAGGCGGCGTGCCTCGTGGGTGATCCTCGAATGTTTGGCGAGACATGAGGGGGCTCAGGGGAGAGGGGCTGTGGCTCGTGTTGGCGCAGGGCGGGCTCTGCGGGGAGGGTTGCGACTGCCGGTGGGCGGGAAGGCTGAGACGGTTCCGCCGGGGGGAAACTACCTTTAGGACGGGACGTCTGCGCCCTTTGTACTTATTGGATCGAAGCCTGTACAGGCCGCTGAATAGAAGCATGGTGAATCCGGGAGTCGAGCAGCCATCCTACGAAGTGCCCTTCGTGAGGTCGAACGGGTAGAACAAGTCCCTAAGTAGGTGTATTTGTGCGGCATCGCGTACCAACGGTGGCGACCAGAGCTTGGATATGGCACTGTGATTCTGAAGAATACAAGACTTTCGCATTGCGCAACCCACGAACCGAACTACCTATGTACTCCTAGGGATACAAGACCTGCATTCTCTTTCCGTGGACGACGGCGACGCTGCGAAGCGTCCCTGTCAACCACAAACTGTCGTAACACGGCCCGCACCCCATCGAGAGGGCAGGCAGCCTCCCATCTACCCAATCACCAAATGCAAGTCGTCAGTCGGATCCCAAGGAGCCAAAATGTTCAGCAGTGCGGTCCGGGGGCTGCTCTTCGGGGAGGGGGTGGAAGAGGTGTCGTGTGGAGTCGTCGTCGAGTCGTATCCTTCATGATTCTGGCTGTCGCGTTCCAGAGCCCGATGTGATATAGTACAGCGCTGGGAGGGGGAGAGGAGCAAAGAGGAAGGTAGGTAGGTACGCAGCAAGCGGGGATGTGGGGCGGGTACGCGGGGGCAGGGGCGGTGTGCGAGAGCGGGCGGGGCGGGATGGAAGAGGCGACTTTGGCCGGTAACGTAGCGGTTCTTCGTTCTACAAGACTAGGAAAATGTCCTTGTGCGTGCGTGGGGGCGTCGTGGCGCAGTATGCGCGAGGGCGGGTGGGTGCTGCGGTAGGAGCGTGTGGCGCTCAGCACCGACCGGCACGACACGACGCCCTTCTATCGGGATCCAAAGCGCGTCGACGAGATAGCATGCGAGACTCTCGCCGGACGCATCGGCCGCCATCAACGGGGCGCGGGAAGTATGCTCACCAGCGCCGTCGGATGGGGAGAGTGAAGCGTCCGGGGGTTGAGCCGTTCTCGCAGTGCACCAGCCTGCAGCGTCAAGCGACAGGGTTCTCCTGGAGGTCAGGCGGTCGAGGGAGGAGACGGGTGGATATCGTCATGCGGCGCGCGCCTGGCACTGTGCACGATCCCCAGCGCCCCAAACCCAAGTCCAACCTTGAACCCCGGAATCTTCGGCTTCGAACAACACGACGCCGCACGGTGCGAATCCCCTCGACGACCGGTGCCGCTCTTTCCCGAGGCGGCATACGGCTGCAAGCAGAGCGAGGAGGGTGCAGGTGCAGGTGGGGGACAAGACATGAGCAAGCGGAGACTAAATGACGATAAGAAAATGGATTGTGATAATGAAACAAGTGGAGGAGGGGGGAGCAATGTCCTGGGAGCAGCAAGAGATGGAGTAGAGGGCGGAGGAGTCAATAGCCGCTCTCCGAGGCAGACGGGCTCGACTCTGCAATGGGTGGATCTTGGCCGGCGACCGACGTGAGTTGATGCTGAGCGGGGGATCCCTCGGGCGGGGGAGACAGTGGTCGAGTCTCCATGGTCGTCCCGCCTGGCGAGGGCGTGTTGTTAACTCCAAGGGAGATCTTCTCGTTCAGAGAGCGGAGTCGCGTCACTTCTGACTCCAGGTGCGCCAGCCGCTGCTGTAGTTGGCGATTCGTCTTCTCCAAGCTGCTAATGTGGTTCGTAGCTGTGGCGAGCCATCGATTAGAAAGGTGCCAGTTGTGCGCCACCGTTCCGGAACGCACCTCGCTCGAGCAATGAGACCTTGCTGCTCTTCTGGTTCGACACCGGGAGCACGTCTTTCAACCGCGCGTACCCATCCCGAAGCTCGTCCCTCCGGCGCTGCTCCGCCTCAATTCTCTGCCGCCGCGTCGCCTCCTTGCGCGTGTTCGCGAGACTCTCGGCTACGTTTACGCCCATGCCTTCGTCGTCGTCGGAAATTGACTGGCCTCGGCTTCGGCGTCCGGCGGAGGAGCTAGTGGGTGATGGGGTGGGATTGTAGCGGAGGGGATGGCGGTGTACAAGGCTGTTCGCACGGGAGGAGGAGGGGGAGCCTGTTGCGCTGCTGTTCCGCGAATGGTAGATGCCGTCGCCGGAGGTGTCTGATCCAGAAATGGGGGGCGAGAGAGGGTCATACATATTAGGAGATTGAGGGGGAGGGGACGCGGAGAGCGGCAACTGGCCATGAGGCGGCGAACCTGCAGGGAAAACACCTGGGGGCGAAGCGAAGTGCTGGTTGGTGGGGATCATATGGATAGTGCGCTGATACTGCATCGCCTGCTGCAGGTCGCTGTCGGACATTTGCCCTGGAGAAGACAATGAGAGTGACGAGAAAGGGCAAGCGGGATCTCGGTTAGCGGAGGATGGGAGGTAAGGCAGACTGCATGAACCCACGAGGAGGATGGCCAGGGTGCGGGTGTTGCTGCTGGATGACAGGCTGATAGCCAGCCTGGAGCTGGGACGGATACACGAGGTAGCCCTGCTCGTCCTCTGATGTCGGGTACATGGAGTACTGGGACTGGACGAAATTTTGGGATTGGTCATCGTGAATGGGCTGCTGGTGCGGGTCCATGACGAGCGGCGTGAGGGTCGTGCAGGGTCGTAGGATGGGATGGGGAAGGACGATGGGGAGAAAGAGAGAAGAAAAAGGCGAGGATGAGGAGGAGATGTATGTATGCGAAAGAAGGAAAACAATGGGAACGGAAGGGGAGGAAACCAAATCCCGGACGCAGACTGTCGATTACGTCCAGTGAGACGGACGGAGTGCTGCAGAGAAGGAAGGCGAAGACGCAGGCAGGCTCTCTCCCCACAGACGCCCGTCCCGTTTGGTCGCCTGCCGAGTACAACGCAAACGCTCAAATTCGCTGTTGTGCAAACAATGCGTCTATTGTCCGCGGCGTCCCTATGCGACCTTCACACGCCCGCTCGCCGTCGCTGCCCCCGCCGCGCTCGTCGCGACCGTCCGCGGGGACAACAGCGGCCATGTTCTCGCTGCACACGGACCCTGTACCCAGCAGCGCACCGGCTACGTCCGCCCCGGTATATCGATGCAGTCATGCAGATCTGATTGCGATCTCGCACCAGCTAGCGAGCGATCGCCCACCACAACGTGTTCTCGTCCTCCTTCCCCAGCGCTCCCTGCCAGATCCTCGCCTCGATCGGCAACTCGCTCTCCTCCCAGCCAACTCGGCCTCCTCCTTCTCTCTCCGGCCTACACCCATGGCGACTCCAGAAACAACACCCGGACATCGTCCAGTCCCACACCCACACATACCATACCCATCGATGGCAACAGCGCTCTGATCCTGCACAACGGCGCTAGTGGCGTACACTATGTCAATTCCTGCGACACATTGCCGCCACAAGGACGCGCACCACTCAGAGTCGTATAACCCCATTCGAGTCCATTCCGCCGCTCGCCCCTCTTGGAGTAGCCGCCTCCTCGTCTTCTTCATCTTGTTCGTCCAGGAAGCCAGGGGGTCCACTCAGCATAGTTTGGCCCTCCTCCGGCGTGCCTCCCAGACCGCCATACCCGTGTCTTCCAGAGCTTCCCCACGACCCACCCTGGCTGCTGCTCCAACTGCGCCCTCCAAACTCCCGCGAGTGCCATGCGTCAGAAGACCGGTCCCTCACGCGTCCTATGCATTCCCGGAAAAACTGGAGCGTGTCCCCGAAGGAAAAGAATGAAAACCGCGGGATTTGGTCGAGCCCTTGGAGTTCGAGCACATAGCGGTTGTACACGAATCCTCCGAGCATGTACAGCGCGAAGAGTATCGCAGCCCTGTGCGCCGTCAGATCGGCATTCCGTAGCCAAACGAGTGGATAGACTCACACTATCGCCAAGATGGAGACGATTTGGCCAAAGGCACCACTCTCAGACGTTGGACACGCCATCTAAGTGAACGATACGCGTGAATTAGGGTAACATGACACTCCCGTGATTCACGCACCTCCGTACGCCATTCGACGAAGAACGCACACGCGTGTTCCTCGTCCGGGGGCAAGGTCGCAATTAACTTCGGTTCTCCTTCACCCCATGATGAGTTCGTGATGTTCTGCGGAAGTATGCCCACATACCTGTTCCGGCGTAGCTGTCGCAAATGAAACGGATGACGGTAGAACCCGTCTGGTCTCCTTCGCCGGAGCAGCGCGTCCCGTCCGTCATAGTAATCACGGGATGGCCATCCCGGACGAACACGGTGGTGTTCACGTCCCTGCAGAACGCGTCAAGAGACGGCGCAAGTGCGGAAAACCTGGCTACCCACCCCAGTGAAAAGTCCCCATGTGCACGGTGCGTAAAAGCCGCGACGTCCTCGGGCTTATCCACCTTCGGGGCCCATACCTCTTGCGAGACGGGTTTACACACATTTAGGATGTATTCCCCACCGGTCGGGGACGTGAACTCGTAGTCCTTTCTGGAGACCTATTGTCAGCTTGTGGGTGCGGCGTCGTAACACCGAGAACCGCTCTACGTACTTCGCCGATAACCTGCTCAGGTCATAGTAGTTTCCATTCGCTCGAGCGGTGCACGGTTTCTCCTCCGCACTAACCCTTCCCAGACTGGCCAGAACAACAATTGTGGAGAGCAGCCAAGGCAACGACGCTTGTTTGACAAACATCTAGCAGCAGAATGGCCAGCACAATAGTCGCCTCAAGACGTGGATAGATACAGCAGCAGCACAGCTCGCGTCCGCAGAGACTCCGCAATGACAGGCGCACCGGACATCGCAGACGCAGCGCAGGCCCCTCCGCGCGCCTCCCATGGCCGCGGCGGCACCATCCGAGCCGCGTCACGGGACCGTGAGCACGGCCTTCCCCATCTGGCGTCCCCGCCGCCATCGAATGAGAACGGTCCGTTTAGCACCGACAACGTCGAACACGACGACGACCACCGCACTCTCTCCAGCGTCGAGGATGGCCTCCACGCTTTTCCGCCGCCAGCTCGCGCGCGTGCCGCGCCTGGCCACAGCCTCGCCCTCTAGCTCCTCCTCGTCACTGCTGTCCACCCGCCGGCACCTGTCGGGCTCCGCCGTCGTCCAGGCCGAGCCGGCCGCGCCCGCGCAGACGGCGGGGGCGAAAAACGTGTTTGACACACATACGGTGGAGGACCTGCATGGGATGCATGCGACGGAGATTCTGGCGGAGACGGGGACGAGGAGGGACGCGCAGTTGCGACACTTCACGGGTGAGTGGGCATGGTCAGAGGTCGGGCGGGGTCGGTACTAACGGCGTCATGGCGCTTGTGTTCAGTCAACTTTGGGTGCGTACTCTTGCGTGAATATAGAAATGATTATGCAGAAGCTGAGATGTGTGTTACAGCCCTCAGCACCCGGCTGCTCACGGTGTGCTCCGATTGATTCTTGAGCTGAATGGCGAGGAGGTGTTGCGTGCGGACCCTGTATGTGCCCTCACGCTCTGTGTATCAAACAATAGGGCTTACTCTGGTCGCAGCACGTCGGTTTGCTTCACCGCGGAACGGAGAAGCTTATCGAGTACAAGACCTACACGCAAGCCCTCCCGTACTTCGACCGTTTGGATTACGTCTCCATGAGTGCGCATCCTTCTGCTTGCTCATGTTGTCACGCATGTTCACATCTCTTGCAGTGACGAATGAGCTCTGTTACTCGCTTGCCGTCGAGAAGCTCCTCAACATCGAGGTCCCCGAGCGTGCGAAATGGATTCGTACGCTGTTCGGCGAGCTCACCCGAGTCCTGAACCGTAAGTCGCCGCTACTGTAATTTAGACTATGTGCGTGCTGAACAAGTGCTTAGACCTCATGGCCGTCCTCACTCACGCGATGGATGTTGGTGCCTTGACGCCCTTCCTGTGGGGTTTCGAGGAGCGGGAGAAGCTCATGGAGTTCTACGAGCGTGTCTCTGGTGCTCGCATGCACGCCGCGTACGTGCGCCCCGGTGGTGTCGCGTTCGATCTCCCCCACGGCCTTCTAGAGGACATCTTCAAATGGGCGACCCAGTTTAGCTCGCGCGTAGACGAGATCGAGGAGGTCGTGACCGGCAACCGTATCTGGAAGGAGCGTACGATCGGGATCGGTGTAGTGACCGCGAAGGAGGCTCTGGACTGGTCGTTCAGCGGCGTCATGCTCCGCGGCAGCGGCATCCCGTGGGATATTCGCAAGGCGGCACCGTACGACAAGTACGACGAGGTGTGTCACTTGGCATCCATCTAGTTCTGCTGTAAAGCTAAACTTTGAGTTCTAGGTTGAGTTCGACATCCCCGTCGGTAAGAACGGTGACTGCTACGACCGTTATCTGTGCCGTGTCCAGGAGTTCCGCGAGTCGCTTCGCATCATCAGCCAGGTGAGTTCTATGTGACATCGCACACAGGGGCTGCTGCTTAAACTCTCCCTCCCAGTGCTTGAACAAGATTCCCACCGGCGCGATCAAGGTCGACGACTACAAGCTCGTTCCCCCGCCACGTGCGTCCATGAAGGAGAGCATGGAATCCCTCATCCACCACTTCAAGGTATACATTGCAGCTTCTCGGTCCCGATACCCGTGCTCATTCCCGCTCTCGCCTGCGTGCCCCCATGCAGCTCTTTAGCGAGGGCTACTCGGTTCCCCCCGGCGAGACTTACAGCGCGATCGAGGCGCCGAAGGGCGAGATGGGTGTTTACCTCGTGTCCGACGGCACCAACCGCCCGTACCGCTGCAAGATCCGTGCCCCGGGCTTCGCGCACCTTGCCGGCGCGGACTTCATGATGAGACGTGAGTTCCCGACTTGTCCTACTTCTTGTTCAAGTCGCCGTTGCTCACCCCCGGATCTCGACGTCCTTTGCAGATGTGAGATGCGACCATGAGCGTGCGGTGTGGTCGCGTACTGACGCGGCCCTTATTTTTCTCCCTGCAGCACATGATCGCCGATGTCGTCGCCATCATTGGTACCATGGTACGTAAATCTTATGTTTTGTGACCCAGGGAGACGTTGTAATGCTAACACAATATCTCGCAGGATCTGGTGTTCGGGTGCGTGCTTCTTTTGGTGCCGTTAGTATCACGATCGGGTGCTGACCGCTTGCAACTCGGGCTCTGTATAATAGCGAGGTCGACCGGTGACGTACGTAGAAATACAATATTCACCGCTATCTTCTCGACATCGGGGGATGGTCACAGTGCATTCACAGGCTGGACGGGTACATTATGGATTAAGTGTGAGGTAACAGACCGGCGCTCCTGAGCTAGTTACGAGTCGATTGTCACAAGGGGGTGCTTGTCCTGCTGGCTGACCACGATCTCGAGACCTTTGAGCAACTCGACTCCTGCTGGGTCGGTCGGCTGATCGATCTCCTCCTGGATGAACTCCTCGATATCCTTGGCAAGCCAGGGGAGGAAGCCCCGCTCGGTGTTTGTATGTCCGCCTGCAGATATGTATCATTGTTGTTAGACATGACAAGAGCCGCATGAGGAGCGACTTACAAAGGATGACGTTGTGCCCACTTTGGACGGCCGCGAGGACTTCGTGGTGGGACATCTCGCCGGTAAAGTATACGTCGGCGTCGACGCCGAGTAGCATCCCGCCACCCGAGCCCGCGCATATAGCGATCGTGCTGACCATCGTCTTCTCTTGCTCCGGCTTCGCGTACGCCACTTGAACTAAACGCGGTCAGTGGTCCGTGTATATCGTCTGAGGACGCGACATACTGTGCTTCAGCTCGAGCTCGGTCCGGATGGTGAACTGCAGCATCTTAAGCTCTACCGGCTGCTTCAGTGTCACGATACGCCCCACGCCACCGAGACCTTCAGGATATTCCTGTCCGATGAAGCGCGCGGACCAGTTGATGTCGCGCAACGGGCCTGCGACCTTCGTGCAGAGCCAGTCGTTGAGGCCATCCGTGACGGAGTCAAGCGCGGTGTGCGGCGTGTAGATGGAGATGCCGGCGGCGGCGCAGCGGAGGAGGGACGCCTGGAGCGGATTTGCCAGTGTGATAGAGGCGAGCGGCTTAAAGATGGGCGGGTGGTAGGAGACGATGAGGGAGGTCGCGCTCGCGAGAGCCTCTTCTACCACCGCGGGTGTAAGGCTGAATGTACGGAAAGTCAAAATTGAAACAGAACTGCCATCAAGAGCGAAGGAGGCTTACTCGATGGTGAGTAGGATGCGCTTGGCGTCGGGGCGCACATGCGGAGCCTCTACAGCACATTGAGTAGTTGCGTATGTATGCATCAGATGAGATGCGAACCTAGAATGAGGCCGACCTGTTGCGAGGTTCCTCATGAGCGATGGGTGTACGATTATTTGATTGGAGGGATGCTGACATTGTCCCACTTTTCAGCAAGGTGCAGGGGCGCGACGCGCCCCATGATCCTGCAGAAGCTTTTTACGAGAGACATCGCAGTTTGAGCGGTGATGAGCAGGGAGAATTCGGTGATGAGCTCCGGTGGTGGGTGTATGCGTCGATGGCGGCGATGGTGGGCGAGTGTGAGCAGCGAGGACGGGAGCACGCGAAGGGGCCACGGACAACTCCACGGACGCGTCGGGAGGGGCGCGGTGACGGTGTGACGAGACGCGTCGGGGACGGCCACGTGCGGGACTGAGAGCCGATGACGCCATGACGCGCTCTGTCAGAGCTGCGTGCACTTTGGCAGAGGCTCACTCAGCAGCGCCGTGTTAGACTTTGTTAGACTTTCCTATAATCGATGCTCCCCTCGGTATTTAGAGGCTTTTCAAGCTGGTTCCACTCTTCTGCAGCCATCAACCCAGTAAGCCCCCACTCCCACATACCACCACGGCCTCCTCTTCCAACCCCTCCGCCTTTCAGTTGAAAGCCATGTCCGTCAAAGATCTCGTAGAGGTACGCAGCTGTCGAAGCTCATTCATGCGCTATACTCACTGCTACACGTCGCGCTATAGAGCTCCATCTCGGAGAACAAGATTGCGATCTTCTCCAAGTCCTACTGCCCCTACTGCAAGCGCGCCAAGGCTCTCCTCACCTCCAAGTTCCCCGACGTCCCTACCAAGATCTACGAGTAAGCAGGTCGTCATATCGTGCCCTTTCTGGTTCTCAATCGTCCGCGCTGCACCCGCAGGCTTGACGAGATCGAGGATGGTTCTGCCATCCAGGACTACCTCCAGGAGAAGACCGGCCAGCGCACCGTGCCCAACATCTTCATCAGTGAGTACAGTACTCATATATCCGTGTATCAGCGACTAACCATACCACAGACAACAAGCACGTTGGAGGGTGTGACGCCGTCGTCGGTCTCGACAACTCTGGCAAGCTCGCCAGCCTTGTTTCCGCGTAAGCCGTCTAGGCTCTTTCAACAGCCTGCGGCGTCGTGATTGGCCCTTTTCTTGTACAGTCCTCAGAGCTCGCGTTTGTAGATATCCAGAGAGTCAATACAGAAGTTATACACACATGCAGATGATTGCACGAGACTTCAGCAGTTCAGCTGCAGCAGATCGGGTAAGCAAGAAACACTGGCAGAAGAGTTTCTGTGGACCAGAGTCGACTGGAGAATTATGTGCATGCTCGCCATACAGACTAGAAATACATGAACATCAAAAACACAGCAGAGGCGCATATAACCGAGTCGGACGGAGCCCGACAGAGCATAGAAAGCGTCCAGGAGATGTACGAGCTTCGAGATTATGTTGGCATCCCAAGAGTAGCGCGCTAGTGGACAGTCAGTAGCAGTCCATTAAAGGGCAACACAGGAATCACCAACCAGCTTAATGATGTTTTCCCGCTCACTCGGAGGCATCGCATATACCTCTTCTCTTGACATCTGCATGACCCGAAGGATGACCGCCTGTAAAATACGCATGGTTAGAACAATCATCTACCACAATATAGCGACGAGATGATGTAACGCGCCTTCTGCTCCTCGGGCAGTCCAGCGAACGCATCCGGCAACCGTGCAGCAGACGAAGGCGCTGCAGGCGGCGGCGCACCGTGCATATGAGGGTGTTGAGGCGGCTGCATATGAGGCGGCGCATGGGCAGCATGCGGCGGGGGCTGGTGGCCGTGTGCCCCAGGGCCATATCCCGGCCCTGGCGGAGGGGTCCCATACCCATGCCCTCCGGGATAGCTTGGAGTTTGCGGGGGATATCCTTGTGGCGCGCCGTATGGGGGGTAGGTAGGCGTGCCGCCGCGAGGAGGACCTTGAGACTGCATATGCGGGGGGATTGCGGGGGCTGGTTGTGGGACAGGCGGGGGTGCGGCGGGTGCGGCGGGTGCAGGGGTGGCTGCTCCTGGCAATGCGCCGTATTTTGCGATTGTTTCCTGTAGGGCGCGTAATTCAGCAATAAGCTACTAGACAGCTCTGGCGGAACACACCTGTACAACCTCCATTTTGACTGCGCCGACGTCGGCCATGACGGCCATGAGCGCATACGCGATCTGCGGCTGGCTATTGAGGATTGTCCTCGCCTCGTTCGCTGTAGTCCTCTGCAAGTATTATGAGACACAATCCAAGGCTACAGCGTAGTGTGCATTTGGGTCCCCCAGACCTTCAGGGTAAGCAGTAGCTCGAGTAACTGGTCTTCAGCCATGGCTTGAGCAGACATGTTGGGTTCAGAGAAAGCCCAAGTAGCACAAAGATCTTGTTTCTGACGACCGCAGAGTTATGAACACAGGTCGCAATATTAAACTAAACACGCCAGCAGTGTGCGCAGTATGGGTGCCGCCGATACAGTCTTTGCTACGCAGGTCCGAGTGGTGGCAGAAGCTGAGGTCAATATCCTGTGCGGGCGCCTGTAGAACGCGTCTCGGTGGCAGCACGTATGTTGCCCTAATATAGCAGCTCATCTCTGTACTTCCACGGCATCGCCGACCCTCCCTCTCCTCATTCTGGTCTCTCTGCTCGGTCTCGTTCGCCATGGCCGCTTCCACGGACTCCTCGTGCTACACACTGGTCTTTGAGGACAGCTCAGAGGCCCCCACGACCCAGGAGCTCCGCACCGCCCTGCAGAAGGGCTCGGACGAGGTCAAGCTTGACACGTTGCGCAAAATCATCATCTCCACGATAAATGGGAATCACCAGGTGCGTCGGTGCTGCGCTGGGAACTTGGCGGGCGAAGAAGGGAGACTGACGGCGCGCACGGGATAGCCGCAACTGTTGATGCCCGTCATCCAATATGTTATGCCATCCCGGAATAAGCAGCTCAAGAAGCTGCTGCACTTCTACTGGGAGGTGTGCCCGAAATACGACGACAACGGGAAGCTGAAGCAGGAGATGATCCTCGTTGTGTGAGTAGCCCCAGATGTGATTACGCCTGCCTGCGCTGACCCCCCGGGTGAAGCAATGCGATCCGTAACGACCTTGTGAGTGCGCCATAGCATATATGCTTCCCGAGACTCACCCGATGGCGCGGCAGCAACATCCCAACGAGTACATCCGCGGCTCGACGCTCCGCTTCCTGCAGAAGATCTCGAAGGACCAGGAGCTGCTCGAGCCGCTCGTGCCCATATGCCGCTCGTGCCTCGAGCACCGGCACTCGTACGTGCGCAAGAACGCGGTGTTCGCGGTGTACTCGATCTACCGCGAGTTCGAGCACCTCATCCCCGACGCGCCCGAGCTCCTCCAGACGTTCCTAGCGGCAGAGTCGGACGCGACGTGCAAGCGGAACGCGTTCGTGTTCCTTGCGAACTGCGCGATGCCGAAGGCGGTCGAGTACATTGTGCAGGTGTTTGACCAGATCCCGGGCATGGACGAGCTGCTGCAAATGAGCATTATCGAGGTCATCCGGTTGGACTGCAAGCAGGAAACAACGCACAAGGTACCATTCTACTCACGGAAATGTCTAGCAGACTGGTCTGATATACGACCTCTTGCTAGTCGCGATACATCCTCCTCATTTCAGAGCTGCTCAACGCGACATCACACGCTGTAAAGTACGAAGCCGCCGCCACCCTCACTTCCCTTACGCAGAACCCGGCCGCGGTCAAGGGTGTGTAACAATGCGGCAGACGCGTTTTGTATACTAAATTGCAATTTCACAGCTGCTGCGTCCTGCTACATCAGCCTGGTCCAGAAGGAGTCTGACAACAACGCGAAGCTCATCGTCCTTGACCGTCTTGATTCTCTCCGCTCCAAACACGGCCATGTACTCGATGCCCTCATCATGGACATTTTGCAGATTTTGTCCAGGTTTGCTTCATAGATTTGTATCTCATGGTACCACACGGCTGACTTATTTGCGTAGCGCTGACCTCGAGGTCCGCCGAAAGGCTATCAGTATTGTCCTTAGCCTCACCTCCAGCCGCAATGTGGAGGAAGTGGTTATGTTCCTCAAGAAGCAGCTCCAGAGGACGCAAGACCAGGAGTTCGAGAAGGTGCATATACGCGAGTCCTGATGTATTCACATCGATCTAACCCCAAAATATAGGCCCCCGAGTACAGGCAATTGCTCATCCAGTCGATTCACGTATGCGCGGTCAAGTTCTCCGAGGTGGCCGCCAGCGTTGTACACGCGCTCATGGACTTCCTGGGCGACTCGAACAACCCTTCCGCGCTCGACGTTGTCTCCTTCGTGCGCGAGGTCGTCGAGAAGTTCCCCCAGCTGCGCCGCACCATCTGCGACAAGCTCATCCAGACCCTGCCCGAGATCAAGTCCGGCAAGGTGTACCGCGGGGTGCTCTGGATCCTTGGCGAGTACGCGGAGGACGTGCAGGAGATCCAGGAGGTCTTCCGGCAGCTGCGCAAGGTGCTTGGGGAGATCCCCATTCTCGCCAGTGAGCAGCGCCTGCTGGAGGAGGCGAGCGCGGAGGACGGGGAGGAGAAGAAGGACGAAGTGAAGACGGAGTCGCACAAGCCGAAGGTGCTCGCGGACGGCACGTACGCGACGGAGAGCGCGTTCACGAGCGTATCGTCTGCACGGCTGGAGGCTGTGAAGGCGGCCTCGAAACCGCCATTGAGAGGTCGGTTGCGATGAACGAACCGGATGAATACGTAGTTTGCTAACGGCACGCCCAACCTTAGCACTTATCCTCGGCGGCGACTTCTACACTGGCGCTGTCCTCGCTTCTGCGCTGACGAAGCTTGTCCTCCGCTACTCTGAGCTTTCCAAGGAAGCGCGCAAGTCCAACGCCGTCAAGGCTGAGGTCGGTTACCACTTCTTGTATCTAAGCTCCTACATGTCCATACTGATCAACTCTCCAGGCAATGCTCATCATGGCGTCCATCATCCGCGTCGGCCAGTCCAAGTTTGTCTCGGTGCCGATCGACGAGGATTCGAGCGAGCGCATCATGAACTGCATCCAAACCCTTAGCGAGCTCGAGGCGCAGCCCGCCGTCCACGACATCTTCCTGAAGGATACTAAGGCGGCGTACTCCAAGATGGTCGCTGCGCAGGAGGTGCGTTGCTCTTCGCGTACCTCGAGACAATTTCTAACACACTTTGTTTCTGTAGAAGAAGGCAGCGGAGAAGAGGGAATCGGAGAAGGCGAAGGCGGCGATCGTGCAGGTCGACGATCTGCTGAGCTTCCGGCAGTTCTCGAAGAAGGCGGTGGATGATACCCTTGACGTGAGTCCGACCTATTGGCATGTGCGCCCCCGTCTGACGGAATATACAGGACTCGGAGGATGTCAACCGCGCTACGGGTGCTGGCGAGGTTACGGAGGACTTCCTTTCGAACCTCAGCAGGATCTCGCAGCTCACCGGCTTCTCCGACCCCATCTACGCGGAAGCCTACGTCAAGGTCCACGGCTTCGACATTCTCCTCGGTCAGTCAGGCTACCGCAAATTATGGGAATACCTGCTGATCTGTTATGATCAGACGTCCTCCTCGTCAACCAGACCGCCGACACCCTGCAAAACCTGTGCCTTGACTTTGCCACTCTCGGCGACCTCAAGCTTGTCGAGCGTCCATCCGTCTACACTGTCGCGCCTCATAGCTTCCAAAGCATCAAGGCCACCATCAAGGTGCGCTTGCCTGTTACGGAATTCTGACAGACCGCTAAACTAATGTTTTCCCGTAGGTATCGTCAACGGAGACGGGCGTCATCTTCGGTAGCATTCTCTGGGAGGGCCCTGGTCTCGCAGAGCAATGTGTGATCTTGAACGACATCCACATTGATATCATGGACTACATCAAGCCTGCGTACTGCACAGAGCAGCAGGTGAGTGTGGGAGCATCACACAACGGCGCCCCCGTACTCACACTTTGACACCGCAGTTCCGGAGCATGTGGACTGAGTTCGAGTGGGAGAACCGCGTCAATGTCACGACGACAATTTCGTAAGTGTCTGGAGCCTTTGGCATATTCGAAGAGATCCCTGACAGCCTGTAGTGACCCGAGGGAATACCTCAACCACGTCATGAAGGCGACGAACATGTCGTGTCTCACGCCCGAGGGCGCGCTCTCGGGCGACTGCGACTTCCTCTCGGCGAACATGTACGCGAGGAGCTTATTCGGTCAGTTTGGTACACCCTTCTATGCGGCTACACGTACTCACATTATCACAGGCGAGGACGCCTTGGCGAACTTGAGCGTGGAACGGACGGAGGACGGTTCGATCACCGGCCATGTACGGATACGGAGCAAAACTCAGGGCATTGCGTTGTCGTTGGGTGACAGGATCACCATGGGTAAGTGTTTTGAGCTGTACCTCCCGACCATCGTACTGAAGTCGTCATATAGCGCAAAAGGACAACAAGCCCCCGGTGTAGATTGTGTATCGAGCGCGTTAATATTATCTGGATCGGTTTCGGCTACGAACTTACTGTTTGATGCGATTATGGCGTACGCGCGTGCTTCGATTGCAAAAATAGCCCAGGTACGTACGGGACGCTCGACGAGATCCACCGGTGCGCTGCACTAGCAGAAACATTTATGTGCCATGCTCCCCGGTGCGTCTCCCCGCACCGTCCATCTTCCTCCCCATGTCTACGCACGCGTCGGACCACTCCTACGACAAGGAGAAGGGCGTAGCCGTCCACGAGGCTACGCACTCGGTTGAAGTCGCGCCTGAGGAAGTTATCGTGCGCAGGTATGGCCGCTTTGGCCCGGTCTTGGCAAAGCTGTTCGCGAGCGGTGTGGAGGCGAGAGGAGTTGAGCGCGTCCCGGAGGACCAGCGGGAGACGAAGAATATGTGGAACAAGTGAGTCTCGCGCAATAATCTCCTTGACGCGTCTATTGAGCCGTCTGCGCACGAAGCTTGTTGATGTGGTGGTCGGTCAACACCGTTCTCACGACTATTCCTATCGGCACACTCGCGCAAGAGTTCTACACCCTGACCCTCCCGTGAGTGCTATAATTTCGGTGCTGAGTGCAGGCGGTCCTGAAGTATGCCTGTAGACATGCTATCGCCACCATTCTCTGCTTTGGCGCGTTGGGTGCTGTGGCCACAGCATTTATCAGTACCCTTGGTCCGAAGACGGGGCTCCGGACCATGGTTATCACGCGGTTCAGCTCTGGATATGTCGGAGGAGCCATCTACTCTATCCTGAACATCCTCACGCAGTAAGTCCGAACTTGTCGCACGGCTGCACATTCCATCCTGACATAACGACTCTCATAAAGGCTCGGATTCTCTGTGACGGCAGTCATCCTCGGAGGGCAGACGCTCGCGTCCATTAACCCGGGAACGCTTCCGCTCGTGGTCGGCATCATCATCGTCGGCGTGCTCAGCGTCATACCGTGTTTTGTCGGGTACAACCTGGTCCATTACTACGAACGGTATGCGTGGACGATCATCTTCATCATCATACTGTTCCTCTGGGGCCTCGGCGGACACGCCGGGTACGATATCAACGCCCAGAAGCCGCTCGAGGACACGGGCAGGGCTCTCTCGGCAGATATCCTCAGTTTCGGAGGGATCGTTTTCGGTTCTGTGTCTGGGGTGCGTGTTGTATCGCATGGAATACGGGTTTCGTGGCTTACTATCCCCACACCGATTAGTGGGCACCCGTCGCGGCGGACTACAACTGCAGGCTACCGGCGGACACCTCCAGCATGAAGGTGTTCCTGCTTACGTTCTTCGGCCTTTGGATACCCATCTGCTTCGTCGAGATCCTCGGCGCCGCTCTTATGACCATCACCAACCCCGCATACACCCAGGCATACACGGACGGCAGCACAGGCGGGCTCGTCGCACAGGTCCTTTCTCCCTGGGGAGGTGGCGGGAAGTTCCTGCTCGTCCTGCTCGGCCTCTCCGTAGTGTGAGTTATTCTCAACATTATTCTCTGTCAGCAAGGCCCGAATCTAACCGTACCTTCCCGCGCAGCGCAAACAACATCCCGAACAGCTACAGCGCCGGGCTCTCGATGCAGTCGCTCGGCCGGCCGTTCGCGCTCGTGCCGCGCTTCGCGTGGACGTTCCTCGCGTTCGTGATCTACACGGTCGCGGGCGTCGCCGGGCGCGAGCACTTCTCGGAGATCCTGTCGAACTTCCTGAGCATCCTCTCGTACTGGACTGCGTTCTTCATCGTCATCGTCGCCGAGGAGCACTTTATCTTCCGGCGCGCGGGCGGTGCGCTTGGAGGGTACCACCTCGATGATTGGGATACGCCTAGCAGGTGAGTATCGTTTGTCGAGTATCTGGATTTATTTTGACTATTTTGACTGTAATCTATACAGGCTGCCGCTGGGCTTCGCTGGTATCCTCGCGGGTTGCTTTGGCGTTGCGGGCGCTGTGGTCGGGATGTCTGAGGTGTGGTACACGGGCCCACTAGGCATGAAAGCCGGCGCCGAATTTGGTGCAGACCTCGGTTTCGAGGTGAGCATCGCTGTTTGTTCAGGGGAAGCATCGCGTTACTGAACATACCTTTCCCTCCAGCTCGCAGCTGGGTTTGCCGCGGTGACGTACCCGCCGCTGCGTTGGCTGGAAATTCGTCTGACTGGGAGGTAGTCTTGTAACGTTACATTATACCCACGTGTTACACTTTTAAGTGCGATGTTATGATATGATGAATGGATCTATTGGGAACATAGACTGTCTGCGCCGGACTCGTTTGCTGTGATCGTACAACGCAAATGGACTCTGATGACTAGTATACTACTCGGGCCGAACCCCCTCCCTCAGAGGACGAGCGCCCCCACCTCGTCCACACGCCCCATCTCCGACTGCACCCTCCTGCTCCGATAATAGCTGGGCGGCGGACTCAGCTCCGTAGGATGCGCCCGCGCGCCCGTATAGTCCGCGTGCCTAGGCCTGTCCGGGGTCGGAAGCCCCTCGAGGATCTGCGCGAGCTCGTCCGGGGAGACGATGTGCGCGGACAGCTGCGAGGACGCCACGCTGTGGGCGTGTGCATGCCCGCGCACGCGCTGCCGCACACCGATCCCCGGGGAAGAGGCAGAGGCAGAGGGTTGCGGGAGCGCACTGGCGGCGCACACGGACGCAGGCCTCGCTTTCCTCGGAGGACCTGCTTGCCCCTGCGGCCATGCGGGCGCGCTTGAGGGATCGGACGAGCGCGTGCGGCGGTGGAGAGTGCGTCCCTGAGCCCGCGGCGCCCCCTGAGGTATCCTGGGGAGCTCGGGCAGCCCGTGCAGCGCGCTGTCGTCGCCCGCGGCACGCTTTGCGCTGAGCTTCGGGGCGATGTTCTTCCTGAGCACATGCATGAGGCGCACGCGTTTCCCGTGTCCCGCGTGCAGCAGCCCTGGGGCGCACGCAAAGCTTAGTGGGGTGAGGGCCTTCTCCCCCCGCAGGTCGTCGACCGCGTACTCGAAGCGCCACCGCAGGGGAGCATGTCCCGGGCCCGGGGCGTCCTCGGTGCCGCACACCGCATACACCCCGTTTGCTTTGATGGTGAGGGATGCTTGACGAGAAATGTAGTCGCGCTCCTCGGTGCCGGCGAGCGTGAGCCGGCGGAGGACTGGAGCCGAGTCGAGAGCGCCGTGGTGGTAAACCGCACGTTGAGGGCGGGTGGGGTGAAAGATGGCCAGCCCGTACGTGGGCTCGTCGGTAGGCGATGAAAAGAGCGGTGGCGCCGGGGTGTATGCGCCGAGGTGGAATTGGGCGCGGATGGCGCGGAAGCCTTCTTGGTCGATCCAGAGCTCGATGCATGTGTCTCGGAGCCAGTTCAGAGCTTCGGGGAGGTTGTCTACTTTGGAGGGTGTACGCATATGCCCAGAACCAGAACTAGAGCCAGAGCCATAGAAAGGACCGGTGCTTGTGCTGCGCCCGAGTAGGGGACACGGGTGACGATCAAATCGGGGAGGCCGAGGCTCAGGTGAGGATGGTGTAGAGTGCAACATCTTCCCGAAGAGCGGAGAGAGGCATCGTATCGCTTGTTCCGCCAGGTCTGAATGCGCCGAGGGGCTCCGAGGAGGCTTTCCAGAGTTCATGTGGGGGAAGCGAAAGGTGTTCTTGGTAGGACTGTTATCTGCCGAGGCTAGAGTACTGGCCATGGAAAGCGACGGAGATATTGGACGCCGGTTGAAGAGCACCGTGGATATAGTCGACCAAGACCGAGAAGGCGTAGGTGGAGCCAGATGCGAGGGAGGTCCGTTGGAGAGATTCTCAGTGGACGGGAACGGGGAAACCCTGTACATTGGAGGCGGCGATGTCGGGACGGACGGGTAGTCATCAGCAGGGGAGACTATGATAGACCCCGAGGGTGACACTAGAGGGCCGATGTCGACAGTCGGAGAACTTGGACCTGATGTAGACGCAGCAAGGTTGTCGTTGGAGCCCCAAGGTTCCGCATAGGCCGAGACGGAAAAGCGCGAGAGGTCTGCGATACTAGCGAAGCGATTGCTGAAGTATCCAGCGCTGCGGCTAGGCCGTACAGCAGAGAGATAGGCGGGGTCAGGAGAAGGGCGGGCAATAGATGATCGAGCAGTGTAGTAGTCGCTAGCGTCGTCAGATGCAACGTCGTCTGAGGTACCGCCATTAGGATCAGGCGTACGGGGAACGCCGAAGGTGTTGGTGGATTGAAAGGTAGTGGTGCTGCAGTTAGGAGCAAGAAAGGTAGAGACTCTAGGGCTTGCAGGCTCGGTTACAGCGAGGTTCAAGTCCGTCGGAGAAGCATCGTCGCTGGTGTGGAGGAAGATAGGGAGGTCGCCGAAGCTGGCAAATGTAGCGATAGCACCGAGGCTACCCGAGGGAGAAGGGCTGAGAGGAGAGAGAGATCCGAGCGAGTCGAGGGCGGACCAGCTTTGGGGTCTGCTGAAGAGGCCGTCGACGTCGGTATCGATGTCCATTCCTGCAACAGCGACCAGGCTACGCTGCAAGACTGGGGAATATCTGGGTAGGGTGTGGCAAGACGAGGGCTCGTATAAGTAGCAAGCCAGAAAAATGGGCTGAGGTCAGCCCCGAGCAGACAGGTGCAGTCAGCCGAACAACTCCCCGGGGCTAGCTCCCCCGACGGAGCACATCTCCTCTCTTCACGCGCTTCGGCAGGGCTGGTGCGTCGATTTCTGCTAACTTCTGAGCTAAGAACTTAGCCAATAGAACAAAGAAGGCAGAATACTCGATGTAGAGACTCGCCGAACTATCATGGTGGCGGCGAGAACGCGTGAAGTGAGCGCTCGGAACGCGTCGCGATGTCATGACGCGCGACATTCCCCACGTGGGTTGCCCGCTCACGTCCCTTCACCTCCGTCTCCTGCCGCTGCCACCGTCGGCCGACAACGCTCTCACCACTCTCTCACCGCACTCTGTACATGGTCACCCTAGTCGTCCTCTAGGTCTTCCACACAGACCACCATGTCTACAGGCTATCAAGGGAACCCGAACGTCCAGACTATTAGCTTCCGGAGGCCCACGAACAAGCCCGCAGAAACCTCTGTGAAGCCGAAGAATCGTCATGGAGGTCTTCTGCAGGATCAGCTCCGGAGGTGCGTCCATATCTTCTGGGAAGTGCATCTGCACCTGGCTTAATGTGTTCTATAGAGCGCAGCGCGCACCATGGTGTCCGTCCTGGTCGGCGGCCCTGCGCATCTTCCTGCTCATCCGAGTAGCGGGCGCCATGTATAGCGGCATTCAAGACTGTGACGAAGGTACGTCGGCTCTCGTCTAAAGCTCAGTGCCTTCATAACGACGTGTCGTGCAACAGTCTTCAACTTCTGGGAGCCCTTGCATTACCTGTACAAGGGTTATGGTTTCCAGACATGGGAGACTTCGCCCGAATACTCGATTCGCAGTTGGGCGTACATCCTCCTCCACTATCTACCCGTACAAATCACAGCGACATTCCTAGGACCCGAGAAGGTATGTGTGGTGTGCGTGTATTTTGCGTATATTGAGCTTTTGTTTTAGCGACCTGCTTTCTTTGCCGTTCGCATCACCCTAGCTGTTCTGTCGTCCTTGTGTGAAGTCACGTTCTACCGTGCTGTGGTCGACCGGATCAACTACCGCGTTGGGCGTTATGTGTTCTTCCTATTGGCCTTCAACGCGGGAATGTGGACTGCCTCTACATGTAGGCTGACGCTCTATACTGGTTATATGTAGTTATATGCTGACCTTACGCCGCAGCATTCCTCCCCTCGTCGTTTGTCATGTATGCGAACACTTTCGCATTTGCATACGCACTAGAGCCGCCCAGCAGCGACAATATGCGCCGGACGCTCCTGGCCACGCTAGCATTCGCAACTGGGGCGGTAGTGGGCTGGCCGTTCTCATTGGCAGTCGCTATCCCATTCGTGTTCGAGGAACTCTTCGTCAGCGGTACTGACAAGGTCACGTCTGAGGCTAAAACCTCGTGGCTCGTCGGTAGGTGGAAGCGGATGATTACTTCCGCGGCAACTGCACTGCTGCTCTTGGTATGTATCTGTTCACTTGAGTCAATCACGCTCATGTGAACGCCTCGTTGCAGGTCCCCGTGGTCGCCCTGGACACCCTCTTCTACGGGAAGCTGACCATCGTGCCTTGGAACATTGTCAAGTACAATGTCTTTCCGGATGCGCAGCGTGGCCCAGAGCTATACGGGACAGAGCCGACGACCTTCTATCTCTCCAACCTACTTTTGAACTTCAACGTGCTTGTTCCGTTCGCCTTGGCCGCCATCCCGGCACTTGCCGTCACATACCGGGTAGACAACAAACGTCTTGGGGAACGCTATCTGTACGCCGACAAAAGCTCTCCATACACCCTTCTTGCGGTCCGACTCGCACCGGTGTACGTGTGGCTTGCGATCATGACCTTGCAGAAGCACAAGGAGGAACGGTTCCTGTACCCGATCTATCCGTTGATTTGCTTCAATGCTGCGGTGACAGTTTACCTTGTTCGCGGATGGCTCGAGACGGTGTTCATCGCCTTCACGAATTCGCCTTACAAGGTGAGCGTGGCTTTGTGGATTCGCCTCGTGACGTACGTATATTGAACTCTACACAGGCCTCGCGCTCGACGTTCTTTAGCCAGTTCACGCTCTCCGTCATCGCCGCGTCGTGCGTGCTCTCCGTGTCTCGGATAATGGCACACTGGAAGTACTACCACGCTCCGATGTCGGTTACGCACGCCTTGGAGGCCGCGGAGGTCCCCCGTCTGCTGAACGTCACCGGCCTCATCTCCCTCCCGCCCCCCTCGACGACAGCGGGGCGCTCACAGCGACACTCGGACGAGGATCAGCTGCCGCGGATCGACCTGGGCCTCATACAGGACTGGGACCTGCGTCTGTGCGTCGGCAAGGAGTGGTACCGCTTCCCGGGCCACTTCCTCGTCCCGGACGGGGTGCGCGTGGACTGGATCAAGAGCGAGTTCGACGGCATGCTGCCTGGACACTTCGCAGAGACGGCGCGGCGTGGCGGATTGCTCGAGCGTGCCGGCGGCACGAGGGCGGTGCCCAAGTACCTCAACGATCTGAACGCGGAAGCGCCACAGCTCTATGTGAGTGCCGGCTTCGTCGGGTGCAGCGAAGCGGGAGGCGTTGTGGCTGACAGCATCTGCTTTCTCTTCTCTCCCCTCCCTCCCTCGACAATGGCACGCGCCGCTGGGCGTGAAGGCGGACGTGGCGGGGTGCGACTACCTGCTCGACCTCGACTTCCCCCTTCACCCGACGGAGGCGGCGCACGAGCCGCGGTACATCGCGGACGAGAAGACGTGGGAGCGGGTGACGTGCCAGCCGTTCCTGGACGCAGCGCACTCGCCGCTGCTGACGCGCACGCTTTGGATGCCGGGCGCGCTGTGGCAGCAGAACAACGAGTTTGGGGAGTTCTGCCTGCTGAAACACCGCGCGAACGTGGCGAGAAAGGAGAAGGCGCACACGGTCGTGGGCCGGACGTAACGCGGTCGGTGGCGGGAGCGAGGACGGTATCAAAAGCGCGCGCTGCAGAGCTGCACGGTTACTTATTCTACGTCGGGCGTGCCGTAATGTTAATCCCGGTTTATCCTGCAGAGAGCCGTGTTCGAACGCGTTGGAGGCCGGTGTGAACTGTGCGCACCGCGAGTAGCGTCGAGCAGCACATGCGCGGGCGATGTGATGCCGCGAGCCTCCGGTGACGGCGGCACAGATCGATCATGCACGGCGTCGAAGCGGGCGGCGCGTGTGCTGGTGTTCCGGAAAAGGAGGTGCACCTGCCGGATGCGGGCATGTATGTTCGTGCGCAGGTCCTGCTCGGCTTGTGTGCTGGTCGAAGCCCGTTCGTTCCGCACGCCCGGGGCCGTCGGATGGGTGGGTTGGATGGCCGGGTGGCCGGGGCTTCGCTCGCTGGGAGGCGAGCGCGGGCCTCAACGCCTCGGAGGCGCGGGGATGGGGGCAGGCGGACGTGCTTCGTGCCAGGACGCGTTGTGGCGGGCCCGGGGCGTGCCATATCGGGGCGAGCACGCTGGCGGGCGGCGTGGGCGCTGTGCTGGGACGGGAGGGGTGTGTCCGGATCGGGCGGGGGTGGTGCTGGGATGGCGGCTTCGATTTCTGGTCGTGCGGGCGAGGGCGACGTGCCCGTCCGCTCTCCCGAGTGCGCCGTGGGCGTGACGGCAAGGGCGAAAACGGCAGTCGCGCGGGCTTCCTATATCCCCTCCTCGCTCGCCCTCCTCCCGTGGCTTTCTCTCCTCCCCCACCATCCCCTCCGCCAGCACGGCTATCGCCCGCCCCCGCCCCCCGCCCCGCCCGTCTCTAGACTTGTCTGTAGAGCCAGCAAGACGCGATGCCGAAGTACGACGACACGCCGGAGACCGCGCTCTACTTCATCTTCGTGTGCGTATCCCGCCGTGTTCGTTTCTTGGTTCGGGTTCGCTCACGCCGCCCGCGACCAATCTTAACGCCTCCAACGCCTACAGCACACAAGTCCACTTTTGTGGTAAGTCCCTGTTGCTGCGGTGGATGCTAGACTGTGAGGCATCAGGCTAACGCGACTTTTTGATTTTTAGCGATGTGTAGGTTCATGTTGACGCGTCAACGGTGATTTCGGCTGATGAGTGCGCGCGCCAGATGCTGTCGTGGTCTGGGATTGGTTCTTTGGCCTCCAGCGGGAGTGGCGCTTCGTAAGTACACTGTTGTCGTTGTGTCGTTCAATGTTGAACTTGTGATTGTTAGATCTGGAAGACGAGCTGGACGCCAGTCAAGGTCGCGTACCTGCTCTGCCGGTACGTCTGACGTGTCACACATGGGGGAGGGGCGCTCATGCGCCTCCTCGGCTTAGGTACTGGGTCCTGGCCGTCGTCCCATACCTCCTCTGGGCGTTTGCCGTCAACCACTCCCTCGAGACGTGCCAGCGAATCTTCAGGGTACGTAGGGTCTCCCGTCGTCGCCCCAACGCATGGACTGAGCGGTTCATACTTTCCCGGCGACTGCAGATCCCCGTCTCCCTGGCGATGTGGAATCAAGTCGCGGCGGAGTGCATCCTCCTAATTAGGACGTACGCCTTCTTTAACCGCAACATCTACATCCTCGCGTTCCTCGTGTCCGCTCTCGCGGGCGTGGTGTCGTACCAGCTGTACGTCGCCACGTCGCAGATGCTCCGTAAGTCTTGTCGTCATCGTCCGCTCACCTCATGCTGACGTCAGTATCAATTTCTGCTTGCAGTCCTCCCGTTCCTTCCCGGAAGTGTACGTCTTCCGCGATCCGCCTTGTCTTGTTTTGTGCTCATGCGCGGTGCAGGCTTCTGGACCGTGTTTCCCGAGGTCAAAGCCTCATTCTGCCCACCTTCTCGGTACATCTTTTGCTCGTCGCCGCCATTGCGCTTTACTGACTGCTCGTTGCCTTTTCTAGGATTTTTCGTTAGTGATCTCGACACGTCCACCCGATGTTCGGCTCATAACTGATTACACTCCGACAGATTGCACCTCTACTCTACGACACCGTAGTTACCTTCATGACTGTTGGCAAGGCCATCTCCATCCGGCGCCGCAACGGTGGACCCAGCAGCCGCCTCATCCAGACGTTCCTTCGCGAGGGTATGTTCCGACTCACCTTGCGCGTCTTTGTCTTTTCGCTGAAGTTTGCGTTAAAAAGGTGTCTTTTACTACATTCTCATCTCATTCGCCAACTTGGTAAGTCGACCTTACAAAGTACATATCTCATCAATGCTGACACACGTACCGGCAGGTCAACGGCATCTTCTATCTTCAGTACGTAGACGCTGCGCTTACTTCTCAATTCTCCGTGCTAAACATATCATAGGCCCCGTCAAGCTATCTCCGCTATCTGCATACCTCTCAGTGTCATGCTGTCGCCCGTCCTCGCATGCCGGCTTATCCTCGACCTCCGCGAGCGCGGGTCCGAAACCGTCAGCCATAACCAGTCCACGGGCACCATCGCGTTCACCGCCGGCGTTACCTCGACCAAGTCAAATCCAGGGTCTCCCTTCTCTGGTTTGGGTTTCGGCTTCGGAATGCAAGGACGCGGCGGCTCAAAGACAATTGTGCGTCCGCAGGGGGTTGTGTTGAGCACCATTGGCAGCATTCCCGGGGACGGGATGACGACGAGTATGAGCGGCCTGGAGTTGGACCACATGCACGGGTACAAAGCGGACGTGGAGGCAGCGGTCTATAGCGGGGAGATGGGCCTGGGTAGCCCTGTCAGCGGAATCAGGGTGGAAGTCGAAAAGACGACCATGTAGATTGGTGAGTGTCGCCGTACTAATGTTAGACGGTGGAGCATTACTCATGGGTGTGGTCGCAGCGCTCGGAAAACACGACTCGCCGGACCCCGCAGCTGCCAGTGACACTCTGTAATCATACGACGCTCTGTTTACACTATCCTCCGCGCCCCCCTTTCCAATCGCAGCTTTACTATTCGTCGTCCTTTCATCCACCGCTGTTCACGAATCGCACCTTGTATTGCATAGTAGTGTTCTCGTAATTGTCGCATACATACCTTCACACTTTCACCGCCTCTTGAGTAGATGAGTTACCCCTGCGAACCATGTCTGAAACAGAGAAGCATCGCACAAGACTCTTGGCTGCCCTTCGCTGGTTCTCCACTGGCGCTGTGCGAGTCCGGGCGTGTTCCCTCCGGTACAAGAGCCTCCCGCGTGGTTGAACACAACTCCGCACATATGCCTCAGGCGTGGGCTGAGAAGCCGATGTTGCAACTCCCACCTGGCAAAACTTGAGCTCGAAATAAGACTGAAATAAATGCGCCGCTATGGATGGGGTGGGCGTATGTGTGCAGATTTAACTCACTGCCGAGGGCTGCCGAGCACCGGAAATGGGCATCGTGGTTGGTACCGCCGGTTCGCCGCCGCACCCTCACTGCCACAGCCCAACCATAATCTTCACGTCGTTCATCGGCATTGACACTCCCCAGCGGCCATCCGCCGTCCACCGCTGTCTTATCTTCCACTCTCACTCCCGCATGCTCAAGGAAGCAAGCCAAGCACAATAACAAGCCCTTCCTTTGACGCGTCGCAGCGCGTTATCCTGCGGCCACGCCCATTTTGGGCGCAGCAACCCGCGGTGCTGGACGAGCTCCCACGGGCGCGAACCCGGCGGCACGCACGCTCCTCCGCAAGGCTCCTCGCTGTGGGGACGGGCGAGGATCCGAAGGTCAATGCGGGCGTACGTACAGGACCCCGAAGATACCAGCCTGATATGTATGCTGATACTGATACCGGCGTCGCTGTGGGTGTGCACGCCCGCCGCGCTGCCGGGCGTCCGACCCTGCCCGCATTCGCGCTTGGCTCGTGCTTGGAGGCTGGTGCGTCGCACACCGGGCGAGCGGGTGTGAGTCGGGAGGCCCGGAGACTGAGGGATGCGCTCGCGAGCTAAAAGCGGAGGCTTCGGAGGGGTGCGTGGCTGCTGCCAAGTGGGGGCATGGTTCGGGCGGGAGCCTCGCGGAGGGTTCGGATCGCGCTCGCGCTGTTGTGCGCGCACGCGTACGTATGCTTGCCTGACATCGTTCGCGTCCCTGCTAGCGGTCCGGCATTCTGCGTGGTCGTGGTCGACCCGGCGACTAAGTACGAGGGAACAGTCACGTCGGGTCGCCCCGCGACGGACATCATGCTCAGCCTTTCATAATTTCAGGCTTCAAGGTAGAGTGACAGGCTCGGCTCGGAGGAGCGGGGCGAGACCGCGCCCGAACACGGCGGCGCACCTCCCGCTGTGGTGGGCGGGCGCGATCTGCGTCCTGTGCGCTCGAAGGCCGCGCCCTTGTGACTGCTAGAAGGACGGCGGTGGGAACGCGCGGGCGTCATCTGCGCTTCGGACGTCAAAGGAGAAGGGCGGCCCTGAGGAGGGTAGCCAGGGACTCGGACTCGGACCACGAAGGAGGGCGGAGTGTGTTGGACGGAGGCGGGCGAAGGCGGGTTTTGAGTTCGGGACTGCGCCACGACGGCGAAGAGAGCTGCTTTGTCGGTGTTGGCGAAGCGTTCGATGGACACGAGGCGCTGTTCAGGAGAGTTCGCCGGCTTCTATCGCATCCACCGGCCTCCGTCAACGTCATTGGGCATGACCGCGCTCGGGCCATGCAGGGTGGGGGTACTTTTAGGCTTGTCCTCGTAGGTTTACTACTGTCGGCATGCACTCAAGCTGGCAGCACTCACTGACATGATGATGTTTTGCAGATGGTTTGCTCGTTTGTCTCGAGACGTGAAGCTTGGGGCTTCAGCTTGAAACGCGATCCTGTCCGTGCGACGACCTCACGTTTTGGTGGCTGCTATACTCAGGCTGGCCGCTCAAACTGAATGAACGTATTTCCGAGGTGCGCGCTTGCAGTCAATGCACAAGGTCGCACACCTCACTTGAGCCCAGTGTGCCTGTTCATTAATCAATGACTATTTCGAAGGCAGCTCCGCTCGCACCGGGGCTTACACGATCAATCCTCGCCCGCACCAATATGGACCGCTCGCGCGTTCAGCCGTGCCCTCGAGGCTCGCAGGCCCTCGCAAACCCTGGCTGCTCCGAGGCCGCGTGGGCTGCTCGTGCACCCGGCGCGCGTACATACGGCGCAGACGTTCCTGCCAACTGGGGATAGTCGCACCTTCGTTGAATAGCCGATCACGACAGGACGTCGAGCTCGCGGGCCTCGAGGCTTTAGCGGACGTGCGCACTGGCATGAAGCTGATGAGCGGCGGCCCCAGGTACGTACAACGCGCCTCTCACCTGTCCACCTTCCGCAATTGTGCCCTATCCTGGCTGATCTCTCTGATTAGCAGCACCCCCACACCCTAGTCTCTCCGGCGGCGGATTTGCGCGCAGATGGCGGCAGATCTGGTCCCAGCCGGGCGCGCATCGACATCTGTGAAGTGCTGGCACCACCGGACGCGCATCCATGATCTCGACCAACACGCTAGCAGCTATATCAGCCTGAGCCTCCAACCCCCGCTCCGGATCGGCGCACGCACCAAACCATATGCGATTGGGTGCGCGCGGGCGCGTAGCGCAGATGTAGGTGCCCGCCTCGCGCGCCGTGCTGTGTTGCGTCTGATACTAGCTTCGTGATAGCCGCTGCAGGCGGTGTTAGCTCGGGCTGCACTGTATTGACTTCGTCGACTTCGTGGAGCTTCGAGGCCGCCAGATCGTCCACATCTCAATATGTAATCACCCACCGCCCGGATGTCGAGCGGCTGTCGGCTGATTCTCACCCGTCCATGCTCGCAGCGGACGTGTCGGCTGGCCACCCGTCGTGATCCTCCGCTGGTCCTGTGCGCTCCTGCGCGTCGACATCTGCGCTCATCTGCGCTGCAAAAAGGCACTTCCGGGGCGACGACTGGACGGTGGGACGTTCCGACAATCTTCCGTGCTGTATTTAGCATTGTGTTGCGCAGCCCAGACCGGACGCACGAGCGCGCGCGGGGGACCGTGGCCGCAGCTTCCCCATGGGCGCACAGCGACGACGCAGGTTCTGCCGGGAGGACGGAAGCAAAATGATAAATCTGATTAGATGCGATGGCGACGGTGGGCCCAAAAACAAACCGCGCACGAATGGGCAAACGCTGCGGGGCGCGAACATGGCCCGGTTGCAGCGAAGAGGCCAGCGGTATATTTTTGTGGACCGATGGACGCGTCGACGGTCGGGTGCGGTCGTCGAGAATAGCGCATATGTGCGAGATGGGCGCGCTCGAGAGCGTGTGCATGGTGCGAGGGTGTGTGGCATGCGCACTAGTACTTGCTGGGACACTACAATATGGCGTACAAATGCGGCGGTCTGCGGACACGGGCGCGGGGGCGTGTGGTGGTAGTGGTCCAAATGCATATGCGGTGCGATGTAGCTATGCGAAAACTATACGAGGCAGCGACGGGTCCGATATTACTGCTGCGAAGCCCGAGTGCGCGCGCGCGCAGGCGGGCGTGACCCGCGGGCGATCACGGTGTGTAGTTGTATAGGTAATAGTACACGTTCGGAGTCTGCTGCTTCTGCTTCTGCGTCCGCGCTCTCGCGGCGGACCGGCGGCGGAGGCGGGGACGATTAGAACGTCGGCGGGGTGCGAGGCGTAGTACGATACGTGGACTGTCCAGGCCAGGAAGCGGAGCTGCCGGCGGCGGCGTGCGGTGTATAGAGACGGACGAATGCGCATCTGTCCGCACGCACGGGTCCTCGCTGCCCCTGCACAAGCTCCGTCCGCGCGCCCCGTGTCCCCCAGCAGGCGAGTAGAAGGCCTGGCGAGCGCACGGGGCAGCGTATCGCGCATAATGGCCACGGCCACGGAGGGGCTCATCCCAGATCGAGAGCACAGGGACTCTAGGGGATGTGCTGCTGCTATGGAAGGTACTGGGGCGGCGCCGCGTCTCCTGTACCACGGACCCGGGAGGGGACGCGTGCGCCTGGAGCCGAGCTGGCGGTGACGTGGGCACTGACACTTCCCTGATCGTCAGGAGACGGCGAGCGCGCGTGGGCCTCTGGCGGGCGGTCGCCGTGGTGTGCGGACGCGCTCGAGCTCGACTGCGCAGGCAGCGCTGGGAAGGCCTCGTCTTCGTCCTCGTATTCTAGCGATGGCGCGGATGGTGCGTGTGCTTCTGACGTACCCATCGGCTCCTCGAACGCATACTCGAGCGGCGGCGCGCTGGGAGCTATCATGTGAGCGTGGGTTGCGTCAGGTACGCCTGCGTCCAGGGGCGCGTAAGGTTCTAGCGGGGGCGACGACGGGTCCTCGAACGGCGGAGCAGACGGCTCTTCGGGCGGGTCGACCGACACCACGTCGCGCTCGAAGTCGTCCGGATACTCGTAGAACATCGGCCCTGTGAGTGGCACCTTCGCCGGAGGCGACGGGAGCAATAGCGGTCTGTGCCGCAGCACGTCTTCCGCGTACGAAGGAACCACGCCGTCCTCGTCGTCGTCCTCATCCCCGTCTGCTGCGCCGAGCGCGTCCAGCTCGATTGGCACCGAAGGGAGGAGCTGCGGGGCCAGGCCGTGCGGAGGAGAACTGTGGGTGCCGTCATGTGCCTGGCTCGCGAGCCCAGGGCGCCGGTCCGAGCGAACCCCGCTGGGAGGCGCGTCGCTGTCGAACTCAATGTCGGGCGGGACGCACTCGTACGGATCTTCGTCGAGCACAGGCACCGAGGGCTGCATCTCCGACGATCCCCCAGGCGGCAGCGCTGGCGACGTCGACCTGTCGGCGGCGAGCGCAGGAGGGGCGCTCGCGAGATGGACGAGGCGCGCGAGGACGGCCTTGTCGTCCACGGCAACGTGCGCGGAGTGGGCCGGCGGCTCGTATGGGAGCGGTGAGAGCGACGGCGGTGGGGATCTGTCAGCGGAGCATGGGGGAGGGCTCTCGGGTGGTGGGGGAAGGCGAGAAGCGTGGTGAGAGTCTGGCGTGGTGTCAAGGGGGTGGGAATCCCAGCGAGGGTAGGCGTACTGGAACGCTGATGAGGAACTCTGGAGGTATGCGGGTGGGTGGTGCGAAGACGAGGATGGCCTATGTCGATCCGTGGGCGTGGGGCTGGGGGAACGCGAAACAATGCTCCTTCTGCTGCTCCGCAGGGAGGATGGGCTTGATGCGCGGTTGTCAAAGTCGTGTGCAATGGTTGTGTGCGCTAACGAAACGGAAGACGAAGAACCTTGCGGATCTCGCAGCAGCCTACCGTCGGAATCCTTAGCGGCGGTCGCCGCCATGCGCTTCCGTCGTCGCCTGGCTGATTGCCTGACGTTCGCTACCCATTTAGCGGAGGCCCTTGCCCACAGGCGCTGCTGGGTGCGCGCGCGTTTCAGCTCCTCGCTTTCCTCCATGCTGTCTCCGCCGAAGACGGAAGGCGTGCCCTCGGTATCCTTTTCGGCTCGTGCTTGCCGTTTCTGTCGCCATCGCACAATGCCCATCATGAACACTGTGAGCGCCACGGCGAGCGATAGCGAGAGACCGAGAATCATGCCCGTCATGTCATCATCGACCTTGCCCTTGTCCCAGCCGGGGGGCAGGGAAGGCGACGAGGATACGGAGGAGGTCGCAGTGACTGATCCGGACGACGTTGGCGTCACCTGATCGTCCTGGACGGGAAACTCTGTGGGCTTTGGTGTGTCCATGCAATCTGACGACGTCTGGGCGCCGAGTGACACGCGTGAGCAGAGGGGGGAGGGCGAGGAGGGGTGCGACGTACCGAACACGACGACGATCCGTACAGTTCCCAAGAATCCGCCTTTCTCCACCGCCCGTCTGGCCCCTGGGTGTATTTATCCGCGATGTTGTTGGAGGTGAGGCGCGTGCGACGCTTGCGGCGCCGGGATGAGAGATCGACGTAGGTCGCAGCTTCACTCGCGTCGCAGGGCTCCCAGTACCAAGAGTTTGTCTGCTGGGCGGCAGATGAGGAGGAAGAGGGCTCCGAGAGAGACCAAGCGTGGAGACGGGGGCAGAGAAAGTCTGGCGGGACGTGAGAGTCAAGCGGTTCGAGCGGATGGGCGGCGACCGAAGACGAGCCAGCGACGGTGACCAGGAGCGCAAGGATGCCCGAAGAGGGGTCTGGGAGGGTGGCGGGGTGGGGCGGGGGGAGTCGGGAGGCCTTCTTGGGCGGGCGTGGACGACGGCGGGAGGAGGAGGCGGCGGGGGCTTGTGCCAACGCGGGATCTAGAAGAGGCTTGGGCGGGCGCATGGCATCGTCTGGGAGAGTGAGGGTGCGCCAAGGGTCGGTGAGAGGGGTGCCAAGCCACGAGGGGCGGGGGCAGTCGCTTGGCGGCGGAGGGGACGTCGGGAGTGCAGAGGACAGCAGGCAAAGGCCAAGGAGGAGGGGACGGAGACGGAGTCGGGCGGTGCTTATGGCCCGTCCTAGTCGATACTTATCCGTCAACTATCGGGCTATCAATAGACTACACCGACACTTATATACACAACGCCCCTATAAATAGACATCCAATCACCGGCTAAGCACCCGACTGAACAGCCGCCGTCGCTCTTCTTCTCGCAAGCCTGCCCGCTCCCCCAGCCAGCGCGCCCGCTCCCGCCCGCGCGTCCGCCAGAGCGCGTCCTCCGTCCCCGCCTCGTACGCCAGCTTGTAGCTCCCCCGCCGTATCTGCACCCCCAGCCCCCTTGTCTCCCGCACCACTCCGTCCCTGACGCCCTCCTCCCCGCCGTCCTGCACGTTCCTAATAATAGTAGTGCGATCAGCATTCCCTGCCCCCAGCCCACATACACGCTCACGCCTATATTTGTACAACACGCACCGTTTCAAGAACGCCGGCCCACAGCTGCTCGCGCTAGGCACCCATTCGGACGCATGCACCATCACGTACGACGCGACGTACCCCCGCCACCGGCCCTCGCAGCTCTCGTCTTCGTCCACGGTCGGGTCCTCAGGGCCCATCAGCTGCATCCGCAACTTCTTCTCCGTAGCATCCTGTCCACGTCCCAAAATGCCGTCAGCGACCCCCTTCGCATCCCCATCCGCGCGTTTACGACCACGCACCCAGTCCAGCCTATACAGCTTTTCGTCCGATCCGACGTGCCCCTCCGCCTCGCGTCGATATCGGATCGTGTCCTGTGTCGTCGGCGCCCTCTCCGCGCCCCGCGCCTGACGCAGCAGGTACCACAGCTCCTGGCACTTGTGGTCCGCAAGCACGGTTTGAACCTTGCAAATAAAGCACGCCTCGAGTCAGCCCCGTCCGCGCCTGCGCACAAATAACCCGCCCTTCTCCTGCGCTTACCTGCTTGATGATCGCCCCGATGACCCTGTCCAGCGTAAAGACGTTGTAAGCCTATCACCACGGGTCTCTCGTCAGCGCGCCCGTCCTGCCGGCGATTCGTGCGGAGGCACGCATGCACGTTACCTTGGTGCGGAAAAACCACCGCATATGCTCCTCAAACGTCGCCTGGTCCAGCTCGTTCTCGAAGACCTTCTCCCACGCGTCCAGAAGGTACAGATATAGCACGTTGGGCTCTTCCCCGCCCCGCCCGTCCCCGAACGCCTCCATCGCCGCCTGCAATACGACCGACGGCCCGCTGGGCTCGTCCAACCCGAGCTTGACCGCGATCGGGTTCGCGAGCAATGACGCGTGCTTCTCCGCCGCCGCCTGCGCACCGAGCTCCTTGCAGACCAGGAGGCGCGAGTACAATAGCTGCACGCGACGACGCCGGGCGAGACGCGCGTTTGGGAATCAAGCACGTCAGTCTTGTCCGGTACGCTCGAGCCTAGAAGGCGCGCCCGAAGATGTCACGCACCTGCAGCAGGCGCAGCAATGTATAGAACGTCGTGCCCGCAAAGAAGGGGCGTCGTACAAGCGGCGTCTCGCCTGCGCCCAGGGCCCCGCTCGCCTTCAGTTCCCTCACCCAGATATCCTCGGGATTAGTGCGGCCTTCTGGTGCGCGCGCACCTGCCGGGTGCGCCGTAGCGGAGCCCGAAGCACCATCCCCTTTCAGGCTGTTGTCGCTCGCGGCCGGCGACGTCGAGTGGGTGTCCATCGATGAGCCGCTGTCGCCATCCTGTGTCTTCTCCTGTGCCGTCTTGAGCAGGCGTGTCCGTAGGTCTGTTGCCGAAACACCTTCTTGCTGTGGCACCGATGCCGTATCGTCCTCAGCGGCTTTCACGACGCTGCCGTCGTCCTCACCGGCGGGTGGAGACGCCGCGTCCTCGGCGGAGTCATCGTCGTGGCCCGGCGCCAGAGGTCCACAGGCGTTGTTGAACTCCTGCGGTGGGAACATGAACAAGGAGGGAATAAATGACCGGAGGAACCGCTCAATTCCGCGTCGTTCCGCCGGGCTGTAGTGTTGTGGCGAGTGGTCGAGGAACGAGAAGACGAGCTTTACGGCGTCGAGGAGCACGCCGGCGTCCTCAAACGCGTACTCGAGCTGGTAGCCGAGCGAGCGCATCGGCATCCCGCCGGACGTCGACGACCCGCTGTTCGACGCCTCCCGGTCGCGCTCCTTCATCTGCGCCGCCTTCGCGCTCTCGATCTCGAACACGAAGCTCTTCGCAGTGATCCCCTTCTTGTCGCTCTGCTTGAACGCGATACCCTGGTGGTCGAGCGCCTTGTAAAAGTTCTTCGCATCGACCTCGCGCCATGTCCGGTTCCACTCGCGCTGCGCTCGCCGCCACTCCTCGTCCTTGCGTCGCAGACGTGTGAGCACGACCGGAACCGCCACAGCGGGTGTCTCCTGTAGCGCACGCAGGACCTCGTTCCCCGCGTCGTACCCGTAAATCCGCTTGATGATGCGCTCGTACACCGTGCGCGACATCCCGCCCAGGTTCGGCTTCAGCCGGAACGCGGCGCGCTCTTCGGGGCCCATCCCGTCGATGCGCGCCTCTAGCGGCTCTAGCACCGCGATCGTGCGCGTGAGCGCCTCGATGTGCACCTGGAACTCGTGCCGCTCCTCTTCGCTCTTGTGCAGCGTGTCCTCGAACGAGTTCTTCTTGTGTGTCATGAACCCGGCCTCCTCGGACGCCCACGTCGGGTGCGACACCCATTTGTCGTTCAGCACCGACCAGCAGAGCTGGTCGCGCCCCGAGCACGCAAGCCGCACCTCCTGCATGCACGTCATGAGACCGGCGTTCCGAGCGGTGGGAAGCGGAGAGCACTCACACTGTCAGGTAGCCGTCGGTAGCTAGGACCTTGGCCGTCATCAGGCGGCCGCGCCGTGTAATAATCGGGGGCGCCGGTGCGCAGACTTCCTGGAGGGCCCTCGTCGCGGTTCCCAAGCCTATCGTCCCAGCTCAGGAGGTCCTTGAATTGGGCCATGAGGTCGCCGTCGCCCAAGAATACCTCCGCCCGATCAATGAGCGTTCTCGTGCTGACGATGTCGCGCGAGAATAAATTGAGAAGCTTGAGGAACTCGTCGTAACTCCCGCCATGCTCCAGCGCCTTCTTCGCGCGGTCGAAAAAGTTGAACTCCTCGTTAGCAGTGGGTACCGGTGGGCCGGGACCGACGCTCGCTGGACGGATGGGATGTGGCCCGGGTGGGTGCATGGGCGCAGCCATCGCGGGGTGGACGTGTACATTGACGGGTTGCGGAGAGTGCGGGGGTCCTTGGTATGGCGAGAACTTGGGAGACGCGGTGTCTGGTTTCTGGGTAGTCTTCGCCCGCTTCACAGCCTAATTTCGCGGAGTGAATACTGAGCCACTTGACGGTGAGCCACTCGAACACGCACCCGACCACCAGGGCCCTTTGGAGGGGCTGCCGGCTCCTTTTCTGGGCGCTTTCGTCGCCTGCTTTGTGTCTTCGTACTCTTCTCGGTTGGTTGCGGAGCCTCGTGTGTTGTGAAGGACCCCGGGATACGAGGGCCGGCCGTCGGCTGAGGCAATATACCCACGACGCCCTGGAGATGCGCAGCCGGCCCCGTCGCCTCCGGTAGGAAGTCCTTGAACTCGTCCATAAGATCGGGCGCGTCCTTGAACAACATCTGCACCTGCGCGTACACCTGCGTTTGCTTCATTCGCGGACGCGGACAAGGAGGTCTCAGCCGGGCTGTCCGGGCGGCACACTATCACAAGAAAGGAGACGCTCACATCCTGCACGTGCTTCTGCTCTTTCTGGTACGTTTGCAGTATCTCGAGGAACTGCTTGTACGTCTCCGGATCGTCCTGGTATCGAAGCTTGATCTTGTTCAGATAGTTGATCGCGTGGTGGAACTCGCCACTCGGCTGCTTGTCCGTCTGCCGCGCGTTCAGGCTGTTCAGCATCGACACCGCGCTATTCTCTTCGCGCCTGCTCTGCAGCCCCGGCGAGTGCGAGAGAAGATGGCGCATGCCCTGCATTTCTGCGCCGAGGTGCGGAGGCGGGTGGTTGTGTATAGGGATCGGCGTAACGGGGCGCGAGCCGCTCCCGATCCCGACGGGGAGGACTGGAGGAGGCGCGAGCCCGAACGGCGGCTGGGAGTACGGAGGGGCAACGCCGGGGGTGCCGCCGGGCTCGCGCGCAAGGGTAGTGGGTATACCGTACATCGTAGTTCGCTGGGTCATTTGGCCCATGGGGGTGGTCACGGTGATCGTGTCGGTGTGGTCGTTGTTGAGCTCTATGCGGTACCCGGGCGGCAGAAACGTGTTGAAGCCTTGGATGAGGTAGGGGTTGCCGTGGAAGAGCATGGAGACGCGTTCGATGACCCCAGGCGTGTCGATCCTGCAGCATAACCGCGTTGAGCACGAGTGATCAAATAGAAGCAGAAAGTCTCGTCGAGCACGGATGTTGGACGGAACGGATTCAGCCCGTTGAGTGACGCACGCGCGTCGTGTCGCGCTCATCTCCTTACTACGTCTTGGTCGATGGGAGCGCGGTCGCGACCGCACCTACGTCGAGGAAGATGACCTATTCCATATGCGATAATTAAGTCGTATACCGATTTGCACGGCGCCGCCCTCTCATTACTCGTCACTCAACCACCACAGCGCAATGGAGCGGGGTAGAACCTTGTCAATAAACAATGTGTGGGCGGCGGCTTGGCCGACGTGACTGGAAGACGGGGACTTCAAACGGGCCAGCAAGAGGTGTCGCCCAAACGGCGTACTCGGATGGTGACTTCTGTGGCCTGGTCACTCATCCCAGTCACATAGCGGATTTCAGCTGATATGATTCGAGGAACACGCGAATAAAAGGCAGGGCTGTCTCCATAGAACAAACAGCCCGGCCCTCTGGTGCAGTGTTCAGCCGGATATGTTACGCGCGGAACGAGTAAAGTTTGCCCGCCTGCCTGATCCCATGATGAGAACATACATGATGCTTTGCAAGGCGTATGTGGCGTCGCGTCTCGTTGCAAGTCACATCCGACAACGATTTCGTTTACGGCCACGCTACCCACGCGTTGGGCAGCACGACCCATGTGGCTGGAACTGGGCAGGTTATAACCACTCCGTTGACCTGCGAAACATGTTCGCCGTACATTTTTCGCAGAACAACTTGTTCAAGAGAAAGGGGGTTCTCCGATAGGTGGAGCCGTGTTACCCGCCGGAACCGGGTGCAGCGGGCGGACGAGTGGTGGGCGCAGAAAGTCCCGTCGTCTGGCGCGTATGAACTATGGAACGCATTCAACTCGTCCCATAAAACAAGCGCGAGTCGCCGAACCACTTCGACGAGAGTGAGCGGCCGTTCATCGACGCGTGCGCGTCAGTTCGCGCTCTTCTACCAGCCTCCTCCGCTCTCGCGGCCCCGGCTGCACCCACGGCAAGGGAGACGGCAAGACTCCTCATGATCCTCCTAGATGCCTAACAAAAACTCCGCACCAAAATTGGACATCTGAGAAGCGTATGCCTCGCGCCGAACCAACGCGCGCGGCCTCACACCCGCCCGGACCACCAGCTGTATCAGGACCGAGTTTCGCGTCGAATGCAGCGAGATACCCGATTCCAGTTCCCGGACCAGCTCGTCCCTACGGACGTAAGCCTTACGCACGGCGCAGACCAAAACGCGAACCTCCGTAGGCCTCCGTATAAGGCATCTCAGAGGATGATCAGGGGTCCTGAGACGGCCCATCTCATACCCAATGATGAAGATGTATGCTGACTTGGACCGCGCTGCCCCTCCCCACTCAACCGTCGCGGGCGCAGTGAGGCGGGGCGGCACGATGTGGATGGGCGACAGCTCGGCGACGTCGCGCGAACGGCATGCATAGATGGTGACTTCTGTGGTTCATCCACCCATCTCGGTGATACGCGTTCCGTTGTTCCAGGGGGCATGCTCCGAGGTACACCTCGTTCGGGAAATAGGGCGACGCAGACGAGACGAGAACAAGGAGGCGGACTCACACTTGGCTCTTGAAGTCCTTCATGATGTCGAGGAAGTGGTTGTACACGTCCGGCTTGTCCTGGAACTGCTGCTTGACCGCGTCGAGGTAGCCGAGCGCATCGGACACGTTCAGCGCCCTGCCTGCTTCTCCCCCAGGTGTGCCAGCGGGGCCGCCGCCGTCCCCGGTGCTCATCGCGAGGATTTGCGAGTGCGGGCTGAGGGGCTTGGGGATCTTCCGGGGCGTTCTGTTGCGCGAGGGCGAGGAGGGGGCGCTCGCGCGTGTGCTGTGGCGATCGACTCCGAGGAACTGCGGGGGAAGCCCGACTCGTGGGGTGGGCGCTGAGAGTCTGTGTTGAGGTGGGGAGCGGGGGCGGGCGAGGAGGGTGGCGTCGTCGGTGGGTGTTGCTCGTCGGGAGGTCGGTGGACGTGGAGGACGCGGGAGGTCGGAGGGCAAGGATGAGTTGGAGGGCCCTGGATCCATTGTGTGGAGGGCGTCCGGCCGGGTCGGTTAGGGCTCGCTTCGATGATTCTGCAAGACACCGCGTTCACAGCGCAAGTCGTCAAACAGCCCCGACCTGGTTCCTACCAACTCCCATCTTATCTTATCTGATAACCCGGCGTTTTCCCGCGTGACCGCATTGTCCTCCCGTTCAGATCTCCAGCTCAGGACTTCGAATTCGTTCACTGCTCGAACTTCTAACGATGTGTAGAGGGCAGGCAACGACTATTTGATTTTATGGTATGTATGACAACATGCTGGTACAGTACATTACGTTGGACATACAGTGAGCGAATTTCGGCAAAGCCAATAATGATGGGGAGTAAGCGGTTGAAAGCGAGTCTACAGAGATGTTAAGGAGTGGCGGGGTTTGGCAGATGGAGACAGTAGGGAGGAAATTGTGGAGAGGTATGTGTGTGATCCCACTGATGCGTCGGGCGGATTAGTGATAAATAGACGCAAAATGTGGATAGTGCATGATGTGCGAAGGACAAAGGAGGTCTACGACTGAGCAGGCAGCGATGCTCGCTTCGCCTTCACATCCTCACTGGCGGTTCCATTACGCCTGAGTGTACCACGTTCAATGATCGAAACCGATAGAATGACGTGTTGATGCATACCGTCTGTGATGCCCGAACAAGAACTTTGCAGGCGTTTGCGGCTTCTCAGCAGTCTCTTGAGACACCGCTTCGTCCTGCGCAGACTTGGCATGCAGATGCGGCAAATGCCACGACCACCTATGACTCTTCTCGCGAAGAGATGGCCGAACCGGAGGCTCAGGCGTAGATTCAGTAGGCGCGGGTGCTGTCTCCGAGACAACGATATCGGGAGTAGGGGGCGGCAACAGTTCCTCCTTGGACTTTGGCGAGGTGCGAGGAGACAAGGGAACGCGATCCCGGTACTGGCGGAAGCTAATTGGATCCGTGACCCGGGCGCCTTGTCGTTCACTGAGTACTTGCTCGACGTAGATGTCGGCATCTGGCGACAGAGGGGTGGGGAAGTAGTATGGTGCCTGGTAAGGATCAGTCCGCCGTGCAGGCTTTGCAGGCTTCGCGGTCGGCATGCTGTGCACGCGTATGAGGCAGCGTTCGCGGACTACGGCGTACCAGAAATTAGTTACAGATTCACTGACTGCTTTGCGAAGAGAGGAACTCACATTGGGTGTGCTGCTCCTTCATGCGCTTCAGAACCCGGATGGGCGATCGCGAACGGTCCACGCGCGATCCGCCCTCCACTGACTCCGACTCGATCGACGGTTCCGTCGATTGCGTCGGAGACGAGTCGCTGAGAACCGGAGCAGGAGACGAAAGCGCGCGAACCGGATCACGTCCCGCAGCATTGCCACGCACATCCAGCGCCGGGCGCCCGGCCGTCGACGAGGACGGCTCGACGAACTCCATCGTAGAGTCGATCGTAGGCAAAGTCGAAGGAGGCGATAGAGGTGCAGGTCGCCGGCGACGTCTCCGCTCCCTTGGTGGCGAATTGGGTTGGCGTCGTTCGGACGGAAGCATCGGCTCGGGCGACGAGCGCAGGGGTGCCAGTGTTCGGCTTACGCTCGCGTCGCGTGCCTCGAGACTAGGTGACCGGGATGCATGAGTGGACCTGTGGCGGGGTGGTGGCTTGTGGCCTCGGTGGTCACGGTCACGGAGGGGTGATGAATGAAGCTCATGCTGGAGTTGTTTCTCCGAAGGATCGTCGATCCCTCGCAGGCGTACATAGGCTCGCCGGATCGCGGCGACGATACTCTGCACTGCTGTTAGATCGCCAGCGCACGCAGTCTGTGAAGTCTACAACGTACCAGGAGGATGCCGGCCAAGGCAAGGACCGCACTCGCGGCACCGATGAACAGCAACCGCAGCCCAGACTGCACCAGTTTCAACACCTGTTGCATAGGGCAGCAGCCTACGTACACGCGGCCTCCGAAAGGTTCGACCGCTCCGGAGCTGACAGTAAGAACGCGGGCGACCGACTGTACAGTGGCGGTCCTAGACGCGGCGGTGAGATTCATGGCCGCAGGGAGGCGCAAACGCGCATGGAGTCGTCTGAAAGGAAGCACCGAGGCGGCACAGCACAAGCAAGAGCGAAGAGAATTTGCGAGGCGGTGCCGGGGCGGGCGCAAGAGGTCTTATAACGCGCGTTTGCGCGTTGCCCGCGCGGATCGGGCATTTATCATATGCGGGAGGAGAGGACGTGTTGCACCGGCCGCGCCGAGGAAGTGATCGCACCGCCGTAAGCGTCCCATTAACGATCTCGGCCCTCGGGCGCGTTGTCATCACAATCATGCTTGTCCCGCGAGCGCCGGCGCTGCTTGTATGCCGGAAGGCCACACCCTCGCGTCGCCCGTCTGCACACGAACAGGCGTCGCGAGTCGAGGCGGCGTCGCCATCGATTACATCGTACCACCAGTAAAACGATGAGTGAGCACAGGAATATCTGGTGGCGCAAACACGCTCCTAATGTGTGCTCCTGAGTGTTAGGAGGCACCCTGTTTGGACCGGATGTGTCAGACGAGAGGGAGCAGATTCGAAGGGCGCGGACGCTGGCGGACAAACCTAAATAAGAGATTTGGCTTGGCGGCAGTGCTGACGGCGCGGCGGCGCGGGTGCCCAAACCGGATGTCCGACGCCGGTCGCGTAGTCATCCCGCTGATGCCACGCCTCGCTTGCCCGCCCCATCGGCATCCGAGCGAATATGGCAGGTCCTGTGGTTGGGCTTGCGTATGTCGGGGTTTGTGTCATACTTCTTGAGCGTATAATCTTTAAGATCGGGCAATCGTAGTCAGATGGACTATGCTTATATCGCGATTCCGATTGAGGCGGTCGGACCGTTGTTGCGCTGCATCGGACGGCCGTGTTCCTGGTGGCTTGAATTTCAGTCTTGCCCAAAAAGTACGCCTCAGTTGGCCTGGCGAAGGAGATTGAACGCCAGCATTATTCATAGGAGTCGTACCAGTAGTAAGGCCTAAGGCATAGGGTGATACGAATTGGCGTCCAGCCGCAATAGCTCACGGAACAGTCGTAAAGCGATGGATCCACCGACGGGTTTTCTGACTTGATTCCCGGTCAATTTGCTCGAAAGCATCCGGCCCGGCCCTTTTGAGGATTTGGATGTTTAGCCGGTAACACGATCAGTGCAATTACGGTGAGCACGTACGAGACATCCGGGATTCCTGAGGATTGGACGGAGAACAAGACATGTTGTTGGTCCTATAAATTCTGGTTCTGACTCGGGTACGCCACATGCGGAATCTTCGTGAAGTGGATCAGTATGGTCTTGTTCATCGACTTCGGACGGCAAAGATGCCGGCCACCATCATGACCTGGATGATCTACTGAAGTAACACCGCCTGTTTGAATGATCCCTTCTGTGGTGCCGCATTGCTGTCAATTACGGTGGGCTGGAAGACTGTCGTAGCCGAGTTCGACTGATACATAGAGAAACACTTTGATTTAGAGCATGCGTGACACTAGACTCTTCGACACGAGGATCGGCGATATGTCCTGGTGGTGCCGACCCCAGTATAGCTGGACCAATTTTGGAACAGACTGGGGACTTCTGCGCGACACGAGGGGTCCCCGGGAGCGCACATAGAGATACGATAGGGCGGCGGACTGGGCGAGAACAAGATGGTGACGTCTTATGACATGCACGCGGTGTCTTGGAAGGACGAATGCGGTGTACGTTCCCAGGGGCGTAAGTGGCAGGCATGGGCTTGTGAGACGTGTTGCTGGGGAGACGGGACGGAGAGGTGGTGCATCGCGAGGCGACTGGGAGAAAAAGGGCGATGAATGGAGCGGGAAGGCCGAGGAATGCTCGCAGGCTGTGGGAGACGGCTGAGTGTGAGTCCTCTTTGGGCGCGTCGAGCGACTCGCGTGTGACACGTCGCGCGCGTGGGAAGGCAGAGGGCAGTGTGACGATCGTCATTCTGCAGACGGAGCGTGACAGACGTTGAACTCGTTCCCCGCTGCGGACTCACGCTGCTCTGCGCACACAAGTCCCTCTCGGGCGACCCCTCCTCTTCTCCGTAAATCTCAGTCTCTCCTTCTGCCTCTTCCCCAAATACCCCCTTCAAGCCCAAAATGCCGCCACGCGGGAGCGAAGGCTATGACTTTACGCCGATACTTACCCACTACCTCTTCTTGTTCACGACCATCCTTGCAGTGGTAAGCCCCTTCCACTCCTTGCTAGTTCGGCCCCCTCTTGATGCACAGTTCCCCGAGCACAGATAGGATGGTTCGTAGCCTTCATTGGCCAGGCCGTGGCCACCGCGCAGAGTGAGTCTCCCCCTACCATGCTCTCCTGCCAACCGCTCAAGCGTCCCACAGTCGGTAACGGCTCCGTCGGCGTGCTGTGGTTCGCCATATTCGTCCAGCTCATCCTCATCTTCGGCGTCCTGCACACACTTGCTACCGACTCCATCGCCATGCACCGCTTCCAAATTTCGACCTTTGGCTCGATCGCCATCGTCTTCGCCGTCGTTGGTGTCAACCAAGGCATCTTCTCCGGCGCAGCCTCCCTCGATGCTATGGCCGCTGGTTGGCTCATCCTTGCCATGGTCGACATCCTCTGGGTGCTCTACTTCACCTCCGAAGAAGACTCGCTCATGCTCCATGTCTTCAACTCCCTCGGGACGGGTGGGCTCACCCCACCTTCGCGTCGCCGCCGCGCGACACGCACCACGTCCATGATGAACATGGGTGCTAACGGCTATACTGCGGGCTACTCTACCGGTGGCATTGGGCCCATGTACGATACCAAGATGGGCGGGAGCATGACGGGTCCCATCGGCAACACAGGCAGCTTCCGTGGCGGTAGCGCCGAGAACGGCGCTGCGAGGAGTCTTGGTACAGGCAGCGTGAACAATTTGGGGAACGGTGGTGGCCCCGGGTCGATTGGCGGGGGCGACGGGAGCATAGGCCCCGCGTCACCGTTGATGGGCAGTGGCGCGGCGGGCATCGGGGCGGGCGGCGGCGGACCTGTGGCACCTACGACGCCTGGGTCTACAGGTGGAGACACCGGCTTGACAAGCCCAGAGGGGCACCAGTACCGCGCGAAGGCGCTTTACAACTGTGAGTAACCATCACCTTGTCATCTTGTCATGGTAGGCAGCCCGATACTAAGTTGAGTGACATGGCAGACACCGCATCTACTGACGATCCAAACGAAATATCGTTTGCAAAGGGCGACATCCTCGAGATTCTGGACAAGAACGGAAAGTGGTGGCAGGCGCGGAAAGCGGACGGATCGGTTGGAAGTGAGTCCCCTCCCCACGAGTCGTATCCGCTTCGTTGCTAACTTGCCTCACCCCTCCCTCTCTCGCTCTTTCTAGTCGCGCCGTCGAATTATCTCCAAATCGTCTGAAAGCTGCTGCGCACGCTTTGCTTCCCCCAGTCCCATCTATGTCACGAGAAGTCACGAACATTGCCCCCTGCACATACATGCACCCGCGCCGTGTACGTAGCTGCTTGCCCTTCCTCTTCTGCGCTCCCCCTGCTGTTGTCGTTAGCTATATCTATCCCTTCTGCTCGTTTGGTTCTACTCTTTTGCTCGGACCGGCTCCCGCTGTGTGCTCTAGTCAGTATCCCCTCCGGATTGAATACATAATCGGCATTCTCTCGTCCGCGCAAGGTGCTCTGCTCGTCTCCTCACCTGCACTATCTGTATGGCCTCATGCGGCACTCCCTCGGACCTCCCGGCCTAGGACAGCCTCCGCGGCGCACCCTGAGAACGGCATAGTCGATCTGCGCTGCGCCGGTGCGGGTGTAAATTTATGCTTGCGTTACTGTTGCTACAGAGGCTAAGTATGGGGGTCCTGCGTGCGCTATACATGTACATGCTATGAATCCAGCCACCCCTATCCCACGGCGACGCCCACCGCCGGAGCGCCGCGCTGTCCTTGCGCCGTCCACCACGACGCGACGTCTCCGTCGTCGTATGTAAATCTAGACCACACAGAGGCTCGAGAACGTCTCCCCCGGTCCGCGTGCGTAACCCAGCGTTACCGCGCCCGCCTCCCACCGCCGCCGCCGAGGACGACGAGCCGGTTCCCGCGCTTCTTCCCCCCGCTCTTCGCCGTGCGCTGCTCGAGCTCGTGGAACGCGACGTCCAGCTCCCACTCGTCCTCCTCGCGCTCGCGCGCGCGCACCGCCGGCGCCGGCCGCTGCCCCGGCTCGCGGCCCTGCGCGGCATGCGCCGCGGACGCAAAGCTGCGCTGGCCCCACGCCCCCGTCGGCTGCGGTATCGACGCTGCCTCGTGCTCTGCGGCGGCAGTAGGGGGAGCGGGCGACGGCTCGCGGGGGATGTCAGGGGGGATGACGAACCCGAAGGCGGACGTGGGCGAGATCCCGAACTCGCTGTACGTCTGCGCGAGGCGCTCCTTCTCGCGCTCCTCGGCGCGGGCGCGGGCCTTGTCGTCCCGCCGGCCCTTCTCCTTGCGCCGTGCGCGGCGGAGCTTGAGTGCGCCCTCAAAGGGGCGGAGGCCGTCTGCGCCGACGACGGCCTCGAGGTCTGCCTCGACGAAGACGACGTCCGCGCCTTCGGGCAGGTGCGCGAGGTACTTGCAGCGTTTGCGCAGGTCGTCGTTCACCGTGCTCTCGGTATATGATTCGACCTTGATGGTGATTGCATCCGGGAACGCAGCATAGCTGTTGTAGTGCGAGAGCAAGATCTTGATATCTAGCGGATGCAAGAACACTGGCATCCCGCTGGCCGCCTGATAGTAATAGTATGTCGAAGTCGACGGTGGCGGCGGATTGAGATTCCGGCGTTGTCGGGGATTGCGCCCGGACGTGGGTGTGGGCGCAGATTCTCGTGCCGGAACTGGTGCGGTGAAGCCCGGTCCATGAATGTTGAGGAAGGCCTGAGGGACTTCCTCGGAGGAGATCGCGGTGTACTCCTCTTTGCGCTGTCGGTCGCGGGCCGACTGGTCGTGAAGCCGCTGGGCGACGTGCCGCGCGGTTTCGATGGCCTCACGTAGGTGTGCTGTGTCCAGTGCGTTCGCCTTCTCAATCTGGTGCCGTACCTTTGCGTCCGCAGCGTCGATGAAGACGGTGCCTAGTTCATCACCCATGCCGGCCAAGAGCCGCCTTTCTGTGGCAAGTTCATCCAGATCGTTGGTCAGGTCCCGGATTAGTTCCGAGGGTGTTGCCAGCATGAATTTGGAGAAGGCGAAGACATCAGGTAGGAAGTGAAACGGCGCCTGGTGAGGCGGTAGGAGATCCGAGGGCCAGGTGGATGACCGAGGCAACGCCAGCGTAGTGATCTGCGGTCGCTGAATAAGACGCATACGCAGCGTAGACCCTTCCCGAGGAGTAGTCGACAGCTCCTGGTCTAGCGTCACCGATGACGAAGAACCCTCGGCAGGGGCATCGTCGACCTCGTCCGGAAATGGAACTTCATCGAGCCATTTGACGGCCTTGAGCTGACGCTCGTTGACTGAGTCAAAGCAGATGGGACACCGCACCCATTTGGGTTGGTCGGAAGTGCTGATGAGGTGCAGGATACACGGATAGCAGTACACCTGGTATCAACTTAGCGACATTCGACATGATGGTTCCGAAAGGCACCTACATGACCGCATTTAGTCATCCGAGGGGCGGTAGGTGGCGAAAGGCATATCGGACATGTCAGAATGCCCGCGTCTTCAGAGGCCTGTGCGCGAGAGGCTGCAGAGAGATTGTGGCCCCTAGGGATGATGACCTGCAGGATGTCGTGCCATTGAAAGTAGCTGGAAAACGGGTGAGTACCATGAGATACGCCGATAACGCAAGGACGCCTACATGTCGGGATCGGCGAAATGTACGGTATAATCTCCGGTAGGGTTCATGACGAAACGATACTGTGCATTCACGAAACCTGAGTAGCGTCCATGGATATGTTTAGCACGTCAAATGCTCGAACCCGGAGGAGTTTACTGACGCTCTTTATTCCAAATGCCATGCTGGGTGCCGGTCCTCCTCGCCCTGCGGGGAGTACTCTGATTATACGAAGACTGTCTAGGCGGTAGCGAGAAGTTGAGGAGGTGGTTGAGAGACTGGTTGGGGGCCTTGCCGGCGCGTTTGGCCTGGCCGGCAGAGTGGGGCGTGGTGGTCGGGGTGATCATGGCGAGACAGAGACAAGACAGCTAAGTCCTCCCGGTCGTGGTGTCGCAAGGTGGGATATGAGAGAGGAGGCGGAGGTGCTGGGACGGAGCTGAGCTGAGCAGAGGGTCGACGAGGGCGATAGGCTTCCTGAGAGAGGAAGCTTAGGGAGAGCGTTACCGGCAGCCATGGATGTCATGACTCTCCCCCCGCGCACGTGCGGCGCTCCCGAATCGGCAACCGATCGCGAGCCCTGGTGGCGCCCGTTTGGGCGCTAACACACTTCCGTCCTCCGCATCCCTCAGCATGGCAAAGGGCAAGACTGCAAACCCCGCAGATGCATTCAGTACGTTATCTTACCGTTGAACTTCTCTCATATCTGACAAGATGTGCAGGAAAGGCACAGCGGAAGAAGGAGTTGAAGAAGGCGAGTCTGCGTACTGGCCACGCGTGCTTGTGCTCATTGGCATTCCATGCAGTAGAACAAGGCGGACCGTGCCAAGACACGAGATTTCGCGCTTGTGAAGAAGGATACGCGAGGTGAGTGAATATACTCATCTAGTCTCAGGCCCTTCTGAAGCAACGGGCGGCCAGACCTTGAGGATGAGGTACAGAAGCTGGAGTCTGCAGCGGAACCGTCTGCTGCCGACAAGTCGCGTCTGGCCGAATTGAAAGCTGAGCTCGAGAAGATCAATAAGAAGAAGGAAGAGTATGTCAATGAGCATCCTGAACAGCGGAAGCTCGTCTACAAGTCTCGCCGTACGAATGAGGCCCGTGAAGAGACCAAGGAGGAAAGCACGAAGCCCAAAACGCGCAACTTGTTCAGGAAGAACGGTCTTCCCCGTCATCCCGAGAGGAGTATCTACTATGATCCCGTCTACAATCCGTATGGCGTACCGCCACCTGGTATGCCATATGTAGAGCGAGGTGAGTTCATTATGCGGCAGCCCTGCCTCTCTCTCTAACCACCTCCCAAAGCGCTCCTTCCCAACGAAGTAGACAGCGAAGCCGAACCGGAGTCTGGTAAGTGCATATCCTGTATCAACGTTTGCCCATCTGACCCCGCAGTGTAGATGATGACATTGTCATGCCCGAAGGGCCGCCTCCAGAAGAAGAGGAATCTGACGACGACGACGATGACATCCCTATGCCTGAAGGTCCCCCTCCCCCCAAGCCAGGTCAACAAGGTAAATAGTGTTTACTACGCATTTCTTAGAAGAATTTAACCAATTGTGCGTAGTTATCGCCTCACCACCATTGCCTCCCCCTCCCCCTGGAGCATACCCACCTCCACCGAACGATGTCTATGTTCCTCCGCCACCTCCCGGATTCGCAGGCGGACCTCCGCTTCCTAGCCATCCACTTCCCTTGCCGCCACCTCCCCCTCCAGTTTTTCCTGTGATGGCCCCGCCAGCCGGTGGTTTCGCCCCACCACCTCCACCACCACCGGGCTTCTCACTCATGTCGCCGCCTCCTCCACCTCCGCCTGGCTTCCCTATGATGTCAGGCGCGCCTCCTGGCATGCCTCCCCCGCCTCCGCCTGGCTTCCCGGCAGCGTTCCCGCCATTCTCTCCAATGATGCAAATGCAACCACCTATGCCCCCGCCCCCGCCGGGCTTCTATCCCCGGCGCGGCCCAAACTCTGGCCCGATCCAGGACCCGCTCTCCGCCGTCCCGCACCAAACTTATCAAGCGCACCGCGCATCTCGTGCAGCCGGCGGCTCCGCGCCCAAGGCCGTTTCAGGCGGCGTCCGTTTGGGCGCGCCAGCCCCGTCGTCGGGTCCCTCAGCTTCTGCGGTCATCTCAGCGGAACCAGAGCTGAGGGACTTCAAAAAGGAAGCCACCGCATTCGTCCCGACCACCTTAAAGCGGAAGAAAGCGGGGGTCGGCGCATCGAAGGTCAACGCTGCACCGACAGTCGATCCTTCGGAAGACCAGGGCGAAGATGCAGAGCCCGCGCCGGCTGCACGGCCTGATTTGCTCAGCACCCTACAGGATAAGTTTGGGGCACCGCCTCCGAAGAAGGCGAAGACTGAGGCAAACACTGTGAAGGCGGCGCCTGTGAAGCCGAAGGACGATTACGATAAGTTCTTGGAGGAAATGGGTGACATCCTGGCGAAACCTCCTAGTTGAACGATTGCTGGTCAGTTCTGCCTACTGCGGTTGCGAGTATGCGCCGTGACGCTAATCTTCTCCCGTCAGTATTTTAGCGTTGTGCTGTATAATGAGGGCAAACTATACGCAATACTACCCTAGTTTTATGAACCGATAATTCCACTCACCATGCAGTAGACTTCAACATCAAGCCAGTCTTCACAGGCGTACTCAGTTGGCGAAAGATCCGCGCTCGTTGCGGTACGGCCCGCTTCGCTGCTCGCGAGCTCGCACCTGCGCCGGATTTTGATTCATCCTGAACTTCTTTCTTCTCTGCTCACGGTCTGAGTTGTCAGCCTCCCTGTTCGCCACACATACAGGACCTGGCTACCTGTTACTCTCCGCTCCTTCCACCTCTGCACCTTTCTTTCCCGAAACCTCTCAGCATGGGTCTATCACCATGTCAAGTGTGTTTCATCGATACCCCAAAACGCTGCCCGACATGCAAAATCACTCATTATTGCTCCAGCGAACACCAGCGTTCGGTAAGTGTCTACGGAGCTCCCGCCAGGTTGACGAATCCCTATTGAGCTCTTTACAGGATCGAACGCGCCACGCTCGCGAATGCGCCGTGCTTGCTGCGGGCCTGGAGACGCAGATTGAGTACCCACTCAAGGTTAAGGCTGTACTGTTCCCCGTTAGCGGTGGGGCGCCGCGCATAATCGATGTCTCGTACCGGCTCGGTCACTGGCCGACGACGCCCAACATACCCAAACACGACCTCGACCTGCCCCCCGTCTTAGGCGACACCCGTATGGCGCTCCCAGTCACAATCCAAAGGGACGGCCCCAAGCCGACAGCGCCGGCACTGGGACACACCCTGACGCTAGTGCATACCCTCGAGTACGCAGACGAGGGCCGGGCGCGGAACATGTGCATCGATCGGATTGCGCCGAAGGGCTTCCCGTGGCGGGACAATGCGGTCGGGTTCCGGAACACGCCGCCTGCTGAGCGCATAGCGCAGTATGATGATGTGACCGAGGACGACGTGCGGGTGTTCACGAAGTACTTCGCAGAGGGCGGGGATGGAGGGAACGTCTGTAAGTGTTCAGTGTGTCTATACTGCGCTACCACTTGCTAACAATCAAGTATGTTAGTGGATGCTGATACGCAAGCCTTGCTGGACGCGATTCCGAGGGGTGTCGACACCGTGATATTTTGACCACTGCAAGGTCTCTTGCTAGAGATGATTATATAAAAGAGTCGAGATTCCCAAATGTTAAGGTCTCAACCTAAACGGTGTTCGCTCGCGAGGTGCTAGAACTTCTGATGTTTATTCTATCTGCGCATGATTGATACCGGCGTATGTTCGCTCGAGCACAGACCGTGAATCAAGTGCAATGAGGCCAACTAGCATCGGGCGTGCATTTCCGGGCCGCGGACGGGTGCGGGGAGCCTACGGGCGGCTCGGACTTCAGCGGGTCAGCGTCCGACACGCAGAGTCAATGGTATCTCACGACCACCACCGTATACATGATGGCATTACTCACTTGCCGGTCAGCACCATCTCTTCCTCTCGCCGCCTTGTCGCTGTGGACTGGTGTGTCTTGCGCTGACCCGTGTCGATGAGCACGATCGTCGCGGTGCCTCAGGCGGTGTGGCTGAGGCCACGGCCGCTCGCGCGCACCCCGAGCAGCTTCCCCCTTCTCCCGCTCTTGCCGCCGAGGCCCGCGCTAAAACATCTCCCACCCGAAGTGTGGATACAGATCCTCGAGAACGCGTTTGCGTTCTACCGCCCCAAGCACGCGTCGGAGCACGCGCAGGTGATTGGCTTGAGAGTGGGACTCTTGCTAATCTCAAAAGACATTCATGTGAGTAATGGTGTATTAAAACGACTGCCGCGAGTTGTCTCTCTGAACATGCTGCTTGACCAGGACGTCGCGCTCCCGCTGTTCTACGCGCATATCCATGTTCCTTCGCTGCGCGTTCTCGACAAGCTTACAGCGCGCCTCCACGCCGCCGATCAGCAATGGGATTCCATTCGGCGTATCCCGTACTCTGCTCCTGGACGGTGGATCCAATCTCTCGACCTATCCGCTCTGCGTCTGAACTCGCACGAAGATGTCTTCCAGCTGGATGCCCTGCTAAACTGCATTGCGGGGCTGGTGCCGTTCATGACGAACCTCGTCGTGAGCCCTACGGTCGTGCTCAGCCGGCGCGCTATTTCCAGTCTGGGAGACCGCGACGGTGCGAGCAACCTGCGCACGCTGAAGGGCATACAACTCCTCACGTCGCTGCAGACCGAGGATGACACATTCGTTGGGCTGCTCAGGTCCTGCACGCGGCTTGAGGAGCTCGAGATTTTCGGGACAGGCGTCGACACGGCCGAACTACTTTCCGAACAGGGCGACACTTCGCCTCCCCCTCCTGACTTCCGACCCTTACACCTCCCCTTTCTTCGTCGTCTGTCGGTGTTGTCTATGCCCACGTCTCCCACGCTGTATATGTTGCTTCACTCGCCTCTACCTGCACTCCGACATCTCACGCTTACGCCCTACGACGAAAGGCATATTCCCGCGTCCCTTATACCACGAATTATCGCGGCGCACGGAGCGCTCCTCACATCTTTATACCTACACACCGTGAAACAATGGCCCACTGCACTCTTCCCTTCCCCCACGACACTCCTCGAAACTTGCCCCGCACTCAAGCACCTCTCGCTCGAGCTGCCTCTCCCGACCCTCACACTTTCCACGGTCCCACAGCACCGCTTGGACATCCTTTCCGTCGCGCGGCCCACTGCCGAGTTCCTGACCATCCTGGAGGGACTCTTGCCGAAGCTGCCGGTCCTGCGCCTGGTCCGAGCGCGCGACGTGAAGTGGCTCAGGGGCGGGATGTCAGCGCGGGCGCAGCAGGCGGGAGTACAGGGCGAGATGCAGGTCTGGAAGCGCAAGCTGAACAGGCGAGGCATTCAGCTACTCGACGCCGAGTGGAAGCTTCTGGGGACGGAATGATCAATAAGGGTTGGAGCTTTTCGGCTAGGGATGGGACATCGTTATTATTCTGGATGTATCACAGGGGGCATCCTGCGATGTTTTCGAGAAAAACATGTCAGAAACATGGCGGAGATTGAAAATATATCACCCGCCATGTCTTTGAACTGAACATGGCGAGATTATGGCGGAAACATTTGATATATTTCTAGCCATGTGGTTTCCGTGTTCCTCCGCGAAACATGAAAAGAAATATTTGAACTATTCCCGGTATGTTTTGCTTGCACGAGCACATGGCAGAACTATTTCGCATGTCCTTGCCATTTTTAGGCAGTAATATGGCGAAAACATGCCTCGAGTATATGTCATTTTCAAGGTGCGATGTTTCCGACGTGTTTGGCACCGAAAAATGCCATGAATACATCAAATGAATCACCGTGGTCGAGAACATAGCCATAATTTTGAAAATATTTGGCCCATGTTCTCCCCGAGAATATGTCACCGACATGAGTTAAAACATGACATATAGTTCCGCCATAATCTCGCCATGTTCAGTTCAAAGACACGGCAGGTAATCTATTTTCAATCTCCGCCATGTTTCTGACATGTTTTTCTCGACCAGAAGTGCCGACTTATGTCGGCACTGACCTGAGCCTGATTGTACGCCTGTTTACAGCATCGCATATTTTCTGTCCTCGTTACTTACAATCTCAGAGTGCTATCCGAGCTTGCAGTTCCCTCTACCGCTTTTTTGCGTATACTTATTTGTGAACTCTGAGCTGCGCGGGCGCGCGACGTCGCGTCGGCGGGTGCGGGCGCTTGTACCCGAACAGCTGCGCTACACAATTTCTAGAATATCCCGAGCAACAAATTGACCGTCCATTGCCCACTCATATAGGGCGCAAGTTTATTTGGATCTAGTTACGCGCTACTCACAATCGGGTGCGTGACCGTTGAGACTCGGAGAACCCGAATATTCTCGATATTTCAGCAGTTTCGGCATTTGCCGGTAGGTTTGGCGCCCGCGAATTTCAGGCCGCAGAATTAACCTTCGCAGGCTCAGGTAAAAACATCGCAGGATGCCCCCTGTGTATGTCTACCTGTACCTCTTTGTTCTCTTATCCGTGTACGCTATAATATATAACCACTCTACTCACTGTATGATATCTATCCGATGCGCTTCCTGCGACTGGGAGCAGCAGCATTGTCAACTATCAGGGGCCCGGGCGTGGTTAACCTGCAACGGCAAACGCATGGTCCCGCATTCTGCGAGGCACCGGCATTGGAATAACGTAGACAAAGAGACCGGCCGAGACGACCATGATAGTCAAAGCGACACGTCGGCTAGTCGTGGCTAAACACGCGTTGGTCATTGTCTAGTTTGTTCAAAGCTCAGGATATCGTCTCGGGAGCCGTATAAAGCTACTATCGCTAACAGAAAATACAGACGAACACCCACTACCAGCCTCACCAAAAATCTCACACGGGCCGACGCACCATGCCAACCTACAGCACCATAGACATTATCTTTCAGCAAGCAACCGCGAATGCGGGAAGGCCATACCGCCTCTGGTCGGACCCTGACCAGAATTATCCCCACAACATCATGGCTAGAGTGGCAGACCAGCGGCAGAACCCACCCTGGTTTATCAAGAAGGAAGACTGGGACGAAAGTCACGTCGTCGACCAGGACGAACACGGGCGACTGTACCGCGCGGAGCTGTCCTTCTACGGGGATGCCTCTGGGCAGTCGCGCCCGGTCGCGGTGAAGTGGATGCGCGGCGAGCACGCGATCAAAGGGTTGCGCCGGGAGGCGAGCATGTACACGGGCCCGCTGCGGAAACTCCAGGGCAAGGTCGTCCCAGTCTTCTACGGATTCTTCACCGGGAACGTTGAGGGTGTCGATATCGGGTGCATCGTGCTCGAGTGGTGCGAGGACTGGGAGCTGACGCACAAGCCGCCTCCGAAGGAGGAGATGTGAGTGTCACTAATTTCTGCCCGTATTTGACTGAATGCTGACCGTTTTCATTGGCAGGAATGAGCGATTGAAGGCGGTGCGGGAGCTACACGCAGCGGGTGTCAAGCACGGGAAGTTGTACAAGACGCGCGATTCGGTCGGTCCCTTCGACAGTCGACACTTCCTGCACGACAAACATGGGGCTACGCGCATCGTGGGCTTCCAGCACGCGTCAATGCACAAATGCGCGGGGGGCCTTGGCAAGCATGACGACGTGAAAGCTTGCTTAGACGACAAGTGCAGAGAGCTGTGTTATGTCGAGGTGCATTGGCGGAGGGCGTGCGGAGTGGCCCCGGAGGCTCGGTGGCAGCCCTTTTAGCGTTTACACCGCAGCCGTTCTTCAGTCGAGCCCCGCGTTTATTTTTTCGATCTTGTATATTTGGAGGTTAGCGAGAGGATATGTACATGCACTTAGAGACTCTGGGGACGAATCTTACATTACCGGTTATATCATCTAGAGGGCGATGTCGTCTTGACTAAATCGAGGACAACTTCATTATACAAAGCGTGAGTTCGTTGAACGTTTGAACCGCAAAGTCTATGCTTTGGACCGTCAACGGTGACACTGGTCAAGGGCATCGGAAACGGGACAGCCGCCGATCTCTTGCCTTGACCTCAGCCCATGACTGCCCCGACGATCCTAGATCTGTTAGAACCATCTTGCCTGGGTAGAGTGACGGCTATACCTTACAGAACGCTGATGATGGCTTGACCTACGAAAGAAAGTGGCAAGAGCCTGCTCAGTGCTGAAGGTCACGATGATGAATCAGCCGCGCGAGCGTATAGCACAGCTTGCTGCCGCAGGCCTCGGAGCAGCTTCTCTCCTGCCGTCGCGCTCTCCTGCCTGCTTCTGCCCCGTTTGCTCTTTCTCGTGTCCTTTGCGTCTGGCATGAGTCCTACCTTGGATATACTACCTGGAGAGCTGCTATACGACATTGTCTTGCACTTCGATCAGGACAGCTTCAAACAGTCGCTTCTCGCACTCAGCAGAGCTATCCCGCGATCCCCAGTCCCCGCATTTCTACTATTTGAGAAGATACACCTCGAACATGGAGACCAAGTCTTCAAGCTCTACCGCCGTCTTCGCCACGCCCCCGAGGATGCTGCTCGCGTGCGCGAATTCTCATTTGAGAGCTGGATCGTCGATGCGGACATCTTTGTCAATCTCATGGCCCTCCTGCCTTCTCTGACGTCACTCAAGATGCACATTGGGCCAAACTTCGCCCCGGAACACCTCGAGGAGATATTCCAGCCCCCTCGTACGCATCTGCGTTTTCTTTCTATGCGATTTCGACCATAGTACGTCTGTCACCCCCGCTCGCGAGCATTCGGCTGACTGTGCATCAAGCGTTCAGAGGGCTACGTACTACCAGTTTCTCAAGGTGAGTTGCAGCACCTACAGAATACTTCGAGACCTCATGCTCATTCTGAACAGGGTGCATACTTTGATTCAACCATCCTAGCATTGTCTGGTTGGCCAGAGCCTGCACTGCCCATACTATCCATCGTACAAGATCCACTCGATCCTGCTCTCGCACCAACGAACTTTGCCCAGCCGCTGGTGTTCTTCCGCCTGGACCCCTTGTCTGCCCTGGCAGTATCTCCGCTGGCGGATGAACTCAAGCAGTTCCGCCTGCGCATACCAGGGCGTCAAATTGCCCGCCATCTGCATTCTATCATGCACTCATTCCCCGCCCTGGAATTCCTCGACCTGTCGACCAGCAATGTCGGCAGCCACGATGTCGCCGGGCTGCTTGGGCGCCTCCGAGAACTCCAGATTCTGGTGCTCGACGGCTGCCCGATTGTGAGCCAGCGTGTCGACGTTCAGATCGATGCCGGCGACCCGTTCCTCCAGTGGGCAGAGCTCGGCGAGGCCCTCGCGCTCGCCGGTGTCGCGCGCGCGACCGAGCGCGAGAAGCGGCTTCGCGCGTGGACCGACGCGTACTACGCCGCGGAGAACGAGCAGGAGACGACCGAGAAGGGCAAGAAGGCTCGGCGCGGTCGCAAGGGTCTAGCCACTGCGACCATCTCGTTGCGTGCGCCCGAGCCCGAGCGAGTCCTGCAGCCAAGCAGGGACATCCCACCGGCGCGAATACCGAAACGCGACCAGCGGATCCGCGTGCTACCGCCTGCCCCCGTGCTCTGCTCGCTCGCGACGAGCTTTCCGGGTGCGCTAACCACGGGCGTCTATGAGGAGGTGAAGGAGGCGTTCGAGCGCGGCTGGGCGGTGGGCATCGCACGGCTCCAGGCCATTCGGCTGCGGCATCTTACGAGTTGGCGCAATGGCGTGTCTCGTGTAGTGCGTTTCGCGGATAGGGGGTCGGCGGAGTGGGAGGAAGAGGAGGAGTACGGAGAGGAGGGTCTCATTGGGTTCGTCGACGTAACGGAGGAGAACGCGTTCATGCTCAATGTTGTCGGGGAAGATCAGACCGAGGGAAGTGCTGGGACGGGCCACTCCTGTCCGCTGTTGTGTGTTGCTGGACCCGAGCGTGATGCGGCACATGTTGACGGTTGCGGACACCGGGCGGGCTGGGACATTTACAAGGACGAGATTTAATGGTTGTATGATATGCAAGAACTCATTCGTTTCGTTTGCGATTGTAGCGCTAGCATTTGAGGTAGACGTAGTAGACATAGACATGTTTGGCATTGGGCGTAGGAACAAAAAGTGGGAAGAATAGAATTACATGATCGCCTTGACTTGAGAGCGACAGCTAGCACGGGAAGTCAGAGAACATACTGTTTATCAAGCGGAGCGCTGTGCCGAGCCTTTCGGCGTGGACCCCGTACCACGACTCTATGTCGTTGAGCTCTTCGCAGCTCTCTGGCGGCCGAGCATCCCCACTGATATTCAGGGTGAGAGGATGCGCACCCGGACACGAGTGGACCTCGGCGGTCGAGAAGTCGCAAATTCGGAGCGTGCCATCCGGCATATTGAGGAAGTTGCGAGCTTTCAGCAAGTCGCCATGTATAATCCCGGCGCTGTGCAGCTTTGCACAGACGCGCATCCGCTGGAGGCTGCAGCACGATGCCGGTGAGTAACGATAGCCAGTGTGACAGACATAGCGGGCACTCACTTCAGCTGGTAAACGTCGATAATACGCCGCCCATTGCACCACTCCAGGACGATGCACGCGACGTTCGCGCCCTCAATCTCGGCCGTGAAATACCCGTAGTACTGCGGCGCGATACCCTGCAGTGCGTCGCGGTTCGCTTCGTAGAAATCGGCTTCTTGCCGCAGGCGTGCGATGCGTCTCTCCCCTACCACCCACTTCAAGGCGATTTTGACAGGGGGCGCCGATGCAAGGCCTTCCTTGCCGGGGTACTCCATTTTGCCCTGGTAGACATAGTGGGCGTCGTCGAAGACGCGGATGAGCGGCGGGGTCGTCCACGGTATCGCTCCCGCCTCGCCGAGGACGGTCACCTTCGAGGCGGGAAAGTGACGCCCCGGCTGGGTGAAGATATACGGGAGGTCCCTGTGGGCGAAGCAGAGTTGCAGTTGATGGGTGTTTTGGGCGGCCATGGCGTCGAGGATGCAGATGGGTGTGTGGGCGGCATGTGCAGAGCGCGCCGTTATATGTGGACAACCGCTTTGACCCGCATTGTCCTGCGCAAGTGGCTTAGACATTGTGCCGCTTGGCTAAGATCCCCTGAGTGTCAAATAGACACACGCGTCAATGCCAGAATTATGAGAGGCCCATGATTAGAAATTACAGAGGGACAGAACAATGAGAGTTGTTCTTAGTGTCGGCGCAGACCTACAAACCTATGCAAAAGGGGAGTGCCACGACCCCGCGAGATGATGGTCGTGTGCTGTACTTGGTGATTGTTGTATCAGTGTGCTGTACATTCGAAGCTCGTCCCAGACTATATTTCGCTTGATGTTGTCCACTAAATCTGGAGAACGTTTTCAATACTTATATGGCATGCTACCAGCGACTAAACTGTAGCTCACTCTCGAAATAACTGATACCAAGACGTGTTTGTCGGAGACATCCTACCAACCTTGAGGTCGACGGCCTTCAATGCGGGTTCTTGCAGGTATCAATAGAATTCGATGATCGAATACTAGGGCGGCTGCATTGGTAGGTGAAAGCTTCCCGCTACCTGCGCCGCGGCAGCCGCCCGTGGCTTGAGCAGCAGTTCCTCAAAGGATACCGGCCGCAGCGTGCGCACCCTCTTCAGGAAGCTAGGGGGAAAGCGCACTTGGCTTTCCCGTTTGTTTTTGTTTCAGAGACATCAACATTGACATAAACGCACCGATGCTAGTATGAGAAGATCATGGTACTCTGTGTGCACTTCGCCAGTACTGCCGCTAAGTCCAGGGATTCTCTGATCAAATGAAAAACTGTCAGCACTCCCCACCGTTGGAACCTGAGTCGGGTATGATACAATTCGCCGCGCACATGGCTACACGCACCGGCACGACGGATGCTGTCATAATTTGCGGGTTGCCCAATGCCGGGGGTCGGGCCCGGGGGTCGTGGGCCGGCGGCACAGGCAGCAGCTTGGATCCGCGAATGCAGCAGGGCATCGCGAGATGATACGAGGAGCGCGCTGGAGCCCGACGGCACGATATGTGCGCCGAAAGGTGCAGCATTTGGAGGGGCAGTCAGCTGCAGATGGCACGTTCGGTCGCACATGGTCGAGATAAAGAGAGCTGTCGGCGTCGAGCACACCCGCGCGGCCCAGGCGCCCGTCGGGTGTTCTCTCCATCCAACCACCATGTGCTCCCTTCCTCCATCCGGCGTGAGCCACGCTTATTTCTCGCTCCTTCGTTCTCGTGCGTGTTCGCAGCATACAGACTCGCGCCAAACGGAATTCCATCGCTCTATTGCGAACCGCGCAACACAAACTGCCAAGCCCTGCACAACTTCTGCCTATCTGTCTCTATAGCCTGCGCGGCTCGTGCTTCGTCCTGAATACACCGTGATTGACACAGAGAGCATGTGCATCCGAGACCCAGCCATGTCCGGCCAGCCTTGCTCGACTTCGGGCACGTCAACGCCTGCTGGATAGCACCCTCAGGTACATTCCTTCCAAATGTGGCGCTAGGTCAGTCGGTCTCGGTTACCTGACGATCCAACCTTTACATAGGTTCCTCGATGCAGTACCACGGAGGTACTCTTTCATTCTACAGGTCCCGTCTCTTCGGCCCTTCTCTGTGTCTGAGGGCGCAGCTCAAACTTCTGGTCTGGACGGTCGCCCGATCCTACGGAGGACTGCCTGCTCGATCTCCGTTGCTAACTGGTATACGAATTCTCCTGCCAAGCGGCGTTGAGCTCCATCACGCGTTTCCCGTGTCTTGGCATCTCCATTGCTTGTGGACTGCATGCTTCCGCGTCCCTTATCCCGAGGCGACAACATGGTGCTGTCGGCGTTGCCTGCACGATTGCGTCAGCATCCCCAACGTTGCCAGTGTATAAAGCTTATGCTGCAACAGCACGTCTCTCCAGCCGCCGGCCTTCATTGAGCACCTCGTCCTCTCGTCGCCATGTTCTCCTCTGCTCTTCGCACCGCCCTCGTGGCCCTCGCTGCCTCCGCTGTCGCTGTGTCCGCAGAGCGCGGCCTCTCCCTCAAGGTCTCCGGACCCGAGGCGGTCGATGGCGTCGACAACTTGAAGGTCACCACCACCCTCGTCAACACGGGTGACGAGACCCTCAAGCTGCTGAACGACCCCCGTGGTGCTCTGCACACGCTCCCGGCCAACACCTTCGACATCGTCGCTGACTCTGGCGCGAGCCCGAGCTTCACTGGTGTCAAGGTTTGTACCGCTCTCATCTGACATTTCTTTGGTACTTACACAGTACAACAGGTGAAGTACGTGCCCTCCGTTGCCGCCAAGGGCACCGACGAGTCGCTGTTCACCGTCCTCGCCCCCGGCGAGTCCGTGTCGGTTGTCCACGATCGTATGTCACTTCACTCCAGAGTCAATCTTGCATGTGCTGATGACACACATAGTCTCGGCTGCGTACAACTTCACCACCTCCGGTGCCAGCACGTACACCGTCGAGCCGTCGAACCTCTTCCACTTCGTCGACCCGACCACCAGCGAGCCCGTCGAGATCCGCGCCGACGCTGAGGCACACGTCGCTGCCGTCTCCGGCAAGCTCGCCATTGCCCGCCGGTCCCAGTTCTCCAAGCGCGAGACCTACGTTGGCTGCTCGACTTCCCAGAAGTCCGCGCTCACCACCGCTGCGCCCAACGCCCTGACCTACGCCACCAACGCGAAGTCGTGAGTACTTAACGCTATCTACGTCCGCGACCGAGGCGCTGATCACTGTCCTTCGTGTAGGTACTTGACGGCCAACACCGCGGCGACGACGCGCTACACCACCTGGTTCGGCGCGTACACGGCCGCCCGCCACAGCACCGTGCTCAGCCACTTCACGAACCTCGCTGGCAACAGCTACTCGACGTTCACCTACGACTGCACGTGCACCGACTCCGGTGTCTACGCCTTCGTTGACCCCTCCGAGTGCGTTCCCTTCACACCGCTCTGCCCCGATGCCGATACTGACGCGTTGTTCGTTGCAGCTTCGGCTACATCACCCTCTGCGGTGCGTTCTGGGACGCCCCCGCGACCGGCACGGACTCCAAGGCGGGCACGCTCATCCACGAGTCGAGCCACTTCACGAAGAACGGCGGCACCGACGACGTCGTGTACGGCCAGTCTGCGGCCAAGTCGCTCGCCAAGAGCAGCCCCGCGCAGGCGATCACCAACGCCGACAGCCACGAGTACTTCGCGGAGAACAACCCCGCCCAGTCCTAAGTGCTCGATGGCTGCCCCGCGTTATAGCGGGAACGTCGTCGGTGTATTTATGTAAACAACCCCGGATTGTATAACAAAAGGAATATACCTGTATACATGTACACCAGAGCTCGCTTCAGAGTGCAGAGGGAACATTGCTCGCCCATTTGGAGCTGTACAGCGAGGTTCACCTTACACTATGTCTCTAAGACCATGAGAGCGGTGGAGGGGCACTACTTCTATCTGAACGACGCCTTACGGAAATTGAATTGATAGCAAGTGGGACCGGCGTTTCCAAATTCAAAGACAGCCCATACATGGCACTACCCGCTACACCTTCCCAACTTAACCCTTTTCGACGACCACGCAAGAAGCGCGTTATGTATCCATAGGCAACAACCCCACCCGGCCTCGAGCTTACTGGACAGACCCGAACCCGGCCTGGCAGTTCTGCTTAGCGATGGGGACGCTCCCACTGCGGATGTAGCAGATCTTCGCGGCGACGCAGTCCCCAGTACACGGCGGGCTGCGCACCGAACCCTTCCCTTGGAACGTGTTGAACTTCTGCACGTTCAGCGGTGGGAAGCCCCGGTAAATAAACGGGTATTTCTAGAATGCGCGAACTCGACGCACCGTGACCAGGGATGCATCCGCCTCCATGGCTGAGGGCGCACGTTCATTTAATTTCGGAAAATTCGGGGGCGTGGTGGCGTCAGCGGGCACTAACCACTGACGACGAGGGTGGGGGACGCAACGCACCTTCGGTCACTAGATGCCACCAGGTGGCATTCAGCGGGTCGGTGGGGCCCCAGCCGGGGATGTTCGCGCCATACGCGTCGCGGGTGCTGTATTCGTACTCGAACGTGGGCCCGTGCGCGAGCTGCGAGTCGAGCTGCGGGAACGCGTTGACGTCACTCTTCCACCTGCGCGGTGTGCGTGTCGCGTTAGCTTCGGCGTCTGTGGGCTGTGTGTTGGAGTGCTCACGTGTGCGCGTCGACGATTTCGAAGGTCTACGTAGCGACATGAACGTCCGACGGATCAAGGAGGAAGGGGGTTCGTTAGGAGGCGCTTCCGGGCATGTGGAGTAGGGAAGGCGTACCCCGGAGTCCACTTCGTAGACGCGGAAGCCCGAGTTGAGGTTCGTCAAGGGTGTCACCGAGGGCCCGATCTACACGTATCCCCGCTCAGTCCCCCGGCAACCTATGGGATATAGCAACGCCGCGGTACGTACCCACCCCACCGCGCCTGCCGTTTGCGCGCTGATAGCAGTGGCGTTGTTCGCGTAGTATATCTATACCGGGATGATAGTATCAGATCAGGCGGGACGCCGACGACGTTTGGGGTAGGACCACCGCGGACTGACCATGACCTGGTCCTCGTGGGTGTGGCCGAAGAAGATCGCTAGCGGAGGGGGTCAGACTTCCATCCCGGGGGTGGTTCTGCAGCGAAGATGGACACACCCTTGATGACATGGGGTGAGAAGCGATCCACGCTGGGCGTTTCGTCATTTCAATTGAGAGGAGCTCGAAGGCTCAGCGGCGGGGCAACTCACATCTGGTAGACTGTCGTGGAATATAGCGTGATCAGCTACGGACGCGCCGAAAGAAGCTAGGCTACTACTTACATAGGTTCGTCGGGTTCTGCAGGGGGTTCGTGCCATCCCAGCCAGATAGCACATGTCCGAGGATCCAAACTTGAACGTGGCGTCAGCGCCAGTACTGTACACATGTGGACGCGAAAAATTGTGTGGCTCATACCAGCGTCACCGGCATCCTCCGCTGCTTGGAGCTCGTCCGTCAGGAACCGAAGCATGCCAGAAACGTCCGGGTTCGTCATGTTGATATAGTTGAAGTAGTTCGCTCTGGACAGTCGTGTTAACTGCAACCGTTTCTAGAAGATGGGTGCGGGGGCTCACGTGTACCCTGTAGACCCAGGGGTGAGTATAATGGTGGAGCGGGTGACTTGGAAGCATGAGGGTACATACATAAGTCGGTATTCAGCGTCATGATACGCAGGCCATCTTGGCGTCGGACCATGTACGCGGCGTAGTGCGCGCGAGCGGTTTCGACGGCGGAATGGGGCAACCATCCTTCGTGTTCCCAGAGCGCGGCGACGTGGTCGTAGTTCCTGTTGTTACGAAGTGTAAGAAACATATGATATGTGACCCCCTTGCTAACTGCATACCAGCTGAACTGATCGGCCAACTGGCCATTTAGAGCGTGAGGAGCGTCCTGTGCCCTGAAGGTAAAATTAGCCCATGTCGAATGGTTCCTGTATCGATGCCACGCCTACTGGTTGTAGGAGTCATGGTTGCCTAGAGCAGCATACACAGGCCCTGAGCCGAGCGCCCGACGGAGAAGGTCGTACATAAGGGTCTGGCTCCTGTAAGTTTATTTGTTCTCACGGGAGCGTCAAACGGCTACTGACCTCTGTGTACAGAATGTAGTCCCTACACAGGAACTGTCAGCCATTCAGGTCATGAGTGGGGTCAAACGAGAGCGACGCACCTCGACAGCTGGTTCTCGGAGTCGTGAGAGACCAGATCGCCCGTGTAGAGGGTAAAGTCGAATCCAGTTTTCTCTGTGCCTGCAAGGACAGGAATGGACTCAAGTGCAGACACGATCAACGACACAGGTGAGTCACTACATCGACGGCGCAAATGAGTACACGCTCGAGTGTATGGTCAATGGATAGATATCTACCAGAGGTACGAGCCAAAGCGCGGGGCGGGGAACAAAACCTTCTGCGGGCTCTGGGTGTTGAAGTTGTTCTCGCGGCAGCAGAGTCCAGACGTGCAGTTCGCCTCCGCGCCGTTAGCGTAGCCTGGACAATATGTTAGCTACATATTCATCCATTAGCACAACTAGGCGTAGTCGCGTACGTGGGTCGATATGCATGTCGGATAGGTGCAGGACCTTCATGCGCTTGCCGGAGGGCTTCTTCGCAGCAGGAAGCGGATTAGGCTTGGGCTTCGCGAACCAGTTGGTGAGGTTAAGCGGGCTCGCGGTCGGAGCCGGGCACAGGCCTGAGAGGAAGTGCGAGCAGATCATCTGAAAACACGCGCTGGTGAGATCTCGGTACACAGATGGTGTTCGCGAGGGAAGCACTGGCGTTACCTGTCCGTCGAGTCCGCCCACGTCCGAGTTCGCGATGACCTGCGTGACGACGGACCCGAGCTGGAAGATGCCGAACTGGGTCGCGCAGTCTTTGTTGAAGTTGAAGTGCTCGCACACGCGGACCGCGAACGCAGGGCCCTCCTCCGGGGCCGCGAGCGCGAGGAACTTGCCGACCTGGAGGGCCGCCTGGCAGCGCGCGCAGTTGTTGTCCCCAAAGGTCGGGTTGCTGGCGATCGACAGGACCTGCGCGAACGCAGACTCGAGGATCGCCCCCGACGACGCCTTTGGCGGCAAGATGTGGGGATCATGCGTGTTGTTCTATTCGGAACGAAGTCAACCTCGGGCCCTCGCAGAGTGACCGGGGCACCCTTACCTTGGGCAGCGTCGCCGGGTTCGTCAACTCAAACGGATAGATACTGTGCTGAAAGCGCCAAGAACGGATGAGCGCACGCCCCGAGGAAGGTGCCGACTGGGACGGTACCCACCGATACGGGGTCAGAGATGACGGGCTGTGGCTGGGCAGAGGTCGCGGTGGGAGAGTTGTAATAGTGTTTGTAGACAGACGTCGGGAACGCCCCTGGTGCCGTGAACGCGGAAGGCCCGAGCGCGTCTACCGCGACCGGTTCTGCAAATCCAGGGACGGAGAAGACTGCGGCCGACGCGGCCACGATACTCAACACCCTGTGCGACAGCATTGCAGCTCCGAGGAGGGCAGCGAGCGTGGGTCCCATCGTCGTCGACGGTGCACGGGTATAAGAGCGTTCGAGTGAATTACATTTAGCGCACTGGACATCGCGAAGCGGTGATGGGCCTCGTTGCGTGCATCGAACGTGCGTCCCGTGGCTGGGACGAACGCGGGCGGACTTAGCGGGGAGCCGCTTAGACAGGACGTCGTTCCTCGAGGCGATATACTCGCGGGTCACATGGGACACGTTTGACACGGTGTGCCTGGCATAATCGTCGCGACGACCGACCGCGATAGTTGGTCGTCAAAAGCCGGTATTTTGCTACTGCGGTTGCACGCGAGCGCGAACATGGCAGGCGTACATCCGGGCACCTGGGGAAGATAACGGCTTGAGGGCATCACCAGCGGCATCGGGGCGCACACGACCTGTCGCGTCCGTGCGCATGGCGTGCGAGGAGGACGCGAAGGAGATGAAGCTGCTTGAAAGAGGAAGAGGATAGCGAGCGCCGGTCTAGACTCGCCGATGCTACTTTCTAAGTGACGTGTGACACGCTGCCCATCCTCGGTCGTCACTTGCTCAGCGTGTCACGCAGCGGTCTAGACGCACCCCGACTGAGGACGGGTGGTATATAGGCCGGGAGGCGTGTGGTAGAAGGCGTCTCCCTCTTGTCCTCCCTCGCAGCTGTCTGTCTAGTGTAAATACGATTGATTCGAGATATACAGGACGTACTGACAACACCACCAAAGCCCAGTGGAAAGCATAACGCCTGGTGCGTCCCGAGGGTGCACGAGTACTACGGAAGTATAGGGTGGTGAGGGAGTAGTAGGTGGATGGCAAATATCGATACTGATCATGCAAAAATACTATACAGGCACATAGAGAGCGTCAGCAGAAAGCGAGACAACGGGAACGGGAACGCGAATAAGAAATCATCGAAGAGGGGAGACCGCCGCGAACGGCGCTGGCTCGGCAGCAGGTCGGCCATGTCTGGGAAGAATATCCTGCGGTCAGGTTCAAGGCCATCGGGAGTATATGGGCGGCACGCATCAACTCACCGGCAGCAGGCTCGCATCCCGACCCCCCCTCAACATCCACCATCTATCCTCGACCAGCGCGTACGAAACGCCGTCAGGCCTTAACCGGCGGCACCGTCGTCGGCTTGTCCTCGCCATCGAGATCGGCCTTGGCTTTGGTGGCGGGGCCGCCGGCGGCAGCTCGGATACGGGACTTTTCCTCCGCGATTCTCCTCGACTCCGTCCAAAGACGGAGCGTGTAGTCGTGCAGGGAGCGCGCGTACAGCACGAACGGGTCCGCATCCGCGTCCTCGACGTGATGGCTCGGGGTGGCCACGGGGGGCATCGTCGATGGTGTGGCGAGCATGATGGTGAGTTTTACAGGTCGGATGTGGCTTCCGAAGCGGGCAGACGTGTGTAGTGACGGTAGGTCGAGCAGAGACTAAGGACGCGAGCGGACGACGAGCAGACGTGTATATGCAGCGCGAAGGATCCGGGGACGGCGGAGACTGGACGGCAGAAGAGGACGGAACGGAGGGTGGATATAGCGTTCGAGCGCTATCAGGGAGTTTATGAAGAGGCTCGGCAAGCGTGCGGCCGTGGCTCCTGCGCTGGACCGTAGGCGGGGGCACAAAAATGGGGGTCCTTCTCAGATGAAGACATCGCGACGCGCCGCAACGGCTCCATCCTCCCTCGACTCGGTCGGCATCCCTCTTCCACACGCGGTGCCACGGGGTCCCCCTACGGCTCCTGTCTCCGGCCCACTCACCGCGCACCCCTCCTCCGCGCACGTCCTCCCCCTCCTCGTCCCTCTCACGCGTCCGGCCTCATGCACCCGCTGCAGCCATCCCACAGCGCCCGCCTATCGCCCCGAAGCAGCTGCCCGCTCGTGTCCAGGGCCCCCAAGCGCGACGTGCGAGGGCTGCTCCACCGGCAGAGCATGATCGCACTGATTGTCCGGTGACAAGCTGCGAGCCATCCGCTCCAACGTGTGTATCATCACCACCCCCTCGACTCGCCCGCCACCACCTCCTCTGGGCGCGTCGTAGCGGGCGTATCCAGCCAGTCCCCTCGCGACGCCCCGCCGTGCAACGTCCGGCGACAGGGGCGCAGTCCGTGCCTGCGGCACTGGAAAACTGCAGGTGCGTAGGTGGGTGTGCGGTGTACCAGCGCAGCGGAGTCCCTCGATGAGGTCATGCATGCATGGCGTTTTGCAAGCGCGCGGCACCGTTGCGTCGGCGCTGCATTACCTAAGCAAGACCCCGGGGGCGCGCCTCAATCTTCTTGTCGAGCTCGTCTAAACCGCGGACCGAGCGCGTCGGCGGCGTCCCCGCCTCTTCTGTGCCCCCACAGCGTGCGCGAGAGCGTAATGTCTATCGAACGGGCCTAGCGTCCGATCGACTGTCAGGTTCGCGTTTTAAGGTTATCCAGCATGCAGTGGCACCGGGTGCGTGTTGTGTTCTGACGTACCGTCGAGGAATTTGTATATCGCGCAGGTACCTCTTGTGCAATCCGCGCAGTACAGACATCAATACACCGTCGGATATCGCGCCGGTTGTGCGATACCCCATAAATCCGCCTATTACTCGGGCCCCGACATCCACACCGACACATGCGCCCACAACTCCGTCAGACTTTGGCGCGTTTGCACCATAAGAAGCGCGAGACGTCTCTCGATGGGCGTCCGCGTAACATTGTACGTACTTTGTCTGCTGAAGGGTCGAACGTTAACGATTCTAGCGCCTCGTCATCCCTTCCCCCGCGAACATGCAGCGCGACGAGCGTGAAATCGAGCCGCTGCGGCGTTTCATCGTTCGTGGCGTATTCTGTTGGTCGCGGCGAATGCGAGGGAGCGATCCATGTGCGTATTGCTTAAAACATGTGAATTCAGCCTCTGGTTGCGTTGCGAGATGCTGTCGCCTGCCACGCTGCTGCAAGTGCGATTAGCGGCCAGACGTACGACTTTCGACATTATCTACTGGCCTTGAGGCGTTCAAGTAGTCTGTGCCTACAAGCGTACCTGCTACTTGAGATTGACCAACAGTTGAGGTTAGAAGTGACGACAACCATATTCGCGTTGGAGTTGCTATCGAGGCACCGAGGCATTGAACATGGAAAAAGGTTGTGCTCTCTGTCGGGGAGTCGAACCCCGCTTTCGCGCGGCCAGTGTTGAATGACAGGCGCGTGTACTAACCGATATACTAACAGAGAGATATTCGAGATGACTCGCATGCATTTTCGGCTTCCGGAGTGGACATGGCTTTCTTCTACTCAACCACCCGCCACACCTTGGCTTTCTACCACCATCACCACTGTAAATTGTAATATTGTGGTGTCGCAGGTGTGCTCAAGACACTCACGAGCTTCCTCATTGAATTCTGGCTTGCGACGACAAATACAACGACGACCTGATGTGTGGTAGGATCCCGGGATCTACTGCCGTCGCTCATTTCAGGACTGGGTCGCATGAATTGGATGGTCTTCCTAAAGGAACACGATCCCTGGGTCTGTACGTACTATCATCTCTCATCCGCCGTCCATCGGCATCATTGCTTCGCTGGAAATCCGACATGCAGAAAGTTATAAACATAACAAGGTAATTTAGACAGTCCTTCTACCTTAGTGAGTGCTCTAGTGGCAGTCTTACTTCCTCACTTATCTACTCGTCCGAAGCTCGGTTTGCTAATGTTCATGGGCCGATGGTCCACCCAGTCAAGTCTAGATGTTGCAAAGGTCGCGGAAAGCACCCAGAAACGGCGGTGAAAAACCGTATGCAAAATTGGAACGGTTGCAATGTCGCCAGCCTCTTCATCGGCATTACGGCCCATACCCTGTCGAACTCGACGCGCACCGTCGCGAGGGCTCTTCAAACCTCCGGAGTGTCTCTCACAGCCAAACATGGACAAGACGAATTGACCACGGGCCGTCCACGGTGCTTCTGCACGCACGAAGTCTTCGCATGCAATTACCGAACCTTCTCAAAGCCTTCCCGTCGCCCCTTTAGACACCCCGTCTTCCAGCTGGGGTCTCTCTCTGCCCTTCTACAGGCCAAGCGCGACAATTCGCCGCGAAGGACATCTAAGAACTGCGGCAAACTTAGAACGTGTGTACGGCCGCGTGCGAGCTCGAGCGGAGTGCGATGTGGGCACCCGTGCGCACATACAAAGGCTAATTCTGCGCGCACGGCCCTGGGAGAAGGATCGCTGATCGCAGCGGTTCGTCCTCGCAAGGTGAAGGAGCTTTCACCGCAGTCCTCGTGCCGGATGAGCGTCGCTCTGAAACCTCGTTTTAGGCAAAGCGACGTCTCCGTTGCGATGCCGGAGGGATGTTGCGCGCAATTATAGAGTTCAGCCAAGGAGACACGGCATGCTCTTCTCGGTACGCATGCTATAGTTGCACGTTCGGATCGTCGGGGTGCGCGAATTCTCCCTTTGGGTGCTACTTGCCGCGCGCAGCTGCGGTGAGGGCGCTGAGCGCTGAGCCAGTACCGCCGGCCTCTCTCACTGGCCGCGTTGCAAGGCATCCGATCGGACTGGACTATGCGTAATGATCACCGCAGGGAACGGCGCCTGGTGGTACGTACCATACCTGTGCTTCCAGTCGCAGAACCAGATGTCGGTGGCATGGGGTTGGCATTGGCGCTGTATATGCTGTTCGCCGCGGGTAGAATCTGGGTAGAATCTTGTCTAAAGGCGCCCTGAGCGCCATTTTGCGCGCTTTCTGCTGCTGGAGGTGTATCTAAAGCGCGCAGAGAACAAGGATAGTGTCCGTCATGAGACCAACGAGCGCATGCCTCAACGTGATTTATTTGCAGACGGTGTCCGGCGAATACAGCTCTCCATGGATCCCGGCGAGAGGTGTGCCTCGACAGTCCACCCAATGGTGGATAGACGCCTAGCGCGCCAAGGCCGCCAAATCTAATCTGAGCAGAAAATTATCTGATTAGATTACAGAAAAGCACATCTTTCCTGCCCCCCATCGCCTTGCGCCTCACCATGACTCAAGGTATATAACCTCCCTTCCTCCTCCTCCCTCGGGGTTCGTCCCTGGGCGCCCTCTCCTCACCATGCTCTCCTCCTCTGCTCGCATACACTGCCGTAATGCTGCCGCGCCAGCGGCCCTCCATTCACGGTCCGCACAGACGTTCAAGGCGTTCTATGCTGTTCGTCCGCTCCGGCAAACGTTGTGCATGCAGGATTCCTGACCCCCAGCCACTTTGTGTTGCAGACAATACGGAGCTTGCGGAATACCTACGAGCCTCCAGACCCGGACGATGTGGAACCGTCGGAAAAGGTATGTCGGGTTCTTACGTGTGTCCGACGGCGCGTCCTGAACGCCGTGATCAGGATTTCATCCTCTCCCTCCTCCGCGCAAACCCTTCACTGAGGGACACAAAATCATACCTCGCCTCCTTCGGACCACGCCCTAAACCCCCACAACCCCCCGCGTCTGTGACAACGGAGTCGCCGCTCGTCACGGACCAGGATGTGGACGCCGAGACGGAGACAAAACCTCCGGACATCAAGCCCGCCACCAGCACTGTGGTGGCATCGATCCTCAATCCAGTGTACAGGCGTACGGCGTTGGTCAAGCTCCAGGCGCCGTTCACGGACCGGCAGCTCGAGAGCATCGCGCGGGGCATGATCTACCTGGAGAAGCTCGGGCTCGTCAGCGTGATCGTCGTCGAGAACGACCAGCTCGCAAAAGGCGAGGGCGGCGAGCGCGCCGCGCTCACAGAGGAGGCCATGCGCGTCGTCAACGCGCTCGAAAACCAAGGCGCGCGGGCCCGCCCGGTGCTCGGTGCGGTCGTCCGCCTCGGGCCACGTCCCGGCGACGAGGATTCTTCCGAGCCGAGGGACTACATCCTTCCTGAAGCGCACACGAAGCCGTCCGACCTCATCCATATACGTTCGGCGCTGCGTGCCGGCGAAATACCTGTGCTTCCGCCGTTCGCCCTGGACTCGTTCTGTCGCAGCGTCCGGGTGGAAGCGAACGACGTGATTGCCGCGCTTGTCCGTGGCATGGGTGAGGCGGCGGCGCTCGAGGACACGCCAGGCCACGGAGATGAGAGTCCCTCCACCTCCCACGACGAGATCGACTTGACGCCGTTACGGCTCATGATCATCACGCGCGAGGGAGGCGTTCCTTCGTACGCGCGCCAGGGCCTCCCCCATCTCCTCATCAACCTCACGTCCGAGTACTCGTACATTCGCGAAACGTTCGATCCGCGATGGAAGCCTGCCCACCCCACAGCGCTCAACAACCTCGAGCTCGCCCGGACGTGTCTGGCGTTCATGCCGCCCACATCCTCCGCCGTCATGGTCTCGCACCGCTCCCCCAGCTCCCTGATCGGCAACCTCATCACCAACCGGCCCGCCGTCAGCTCGAGCCTCCCGCACGCGCTCCTCCAGGGGAACCGCAAGCTGACCCCGCACACGCCCACCCTCCTCCGGCGGGGCCTGCCGATCCGCGTCGTGCGCCGCGTGGACGAGATCGACAAGCCGAAGATGAAGGCGCTCCTCGAGCAGTCCTTCCGGCGCACGCTCTGCGAGGACGCCTTCTGGGAACGCATGCAGCGCGACCTCGACTTCGTGATCATCGCGGGCGACTACGCCGGCGCGGCGATCGTCACGCGCGAGCCGTGCCCCGCGGGCACGCCCGCCGCGGTCGCCCCGATCACGTACCTCGACAAGTTCGCGGTGCTGCCGAGCCACCAGGGCGACGGCACGGTCGACTTCCTCTGGGTCGCGCTGCACGACGAGACGTACGGGCTCGGGCTGCCGTTCAGCGCGAACCCGAACGGCGGCAAGCAGGGCGCGGGCGAGGGCCGCGACCTCGTGTGGCGCAGCCGCGCGGACAACCCGGTCAACAAGTGGTACTTTGAGCGCAGCACGGGGCACGTGCGCCAGGGCGACTGGGTGCTGTTCTGGTGCGACGCGGAGGTAAGGCTGAAGACGGAGGAGGGGCGGCGCGCGAACGCGGGGCTGTCGTACCTCGAGGAGTGGGAGAGGGGCCGGCTGGCGTCGTGGAACGACGTGGTGATGAAGATCCCGAGCAGCTGGAAGCCGAAAACATAGACCGACCGCCCCGACATAGACTCGTCGGAGACTCGGAGACCGCCGTTCTTGATTATTGCTCGTGTCCGCTGATGGACTGCTGTAGATTGTTGTGCGATACTTGCTGAAGCCCTTCCTTTGTGTATTTCTATCTTGCTCACCCTTACCTAGACTGGCGGATATCTCTTTACCCGTGCTGCACGTAGTTAGTTCATACCCGCTGGTTGTGTCATGACGTTCATTCTTGGATACTACATTGCAACGGAAACAAAATGAAGCAGAACTACAGAAATCATACAGCGCCATGTCGTGTGCTCCTCGGGACTCGGACCTCGTCACTCAGCAGTTGCTCCCCAAGCTGGTGCGCGGCGCGTGCTTGCGCTTCTTGGCCTTGCGTTGCTTGGCTGCAGGAGCTGCCGCGGGCTCGGCCGACACGGTGTCGGGCTCCGGCGGAGGGGGAGCGGCCACCTTATGCGCGACAGAGAGGCTGAGGTCGCCCTTGCGCCGCCACGAAACTACGTCCGCCTCGCCCGCCTTGACGCGCCTGGCCAGGTCTGTGATCCCCGCGACGACCGCGTCCCGGAATGCGCCCGTGGTCCAGCGGTCCAGGTTCCTCATAAAAAGGTAGACCTGGATGATGTCTGCGGGCTCGGCCAGATTCCACTGATGAAACGCGGAACTCTGTCGGCGGTCGCCCTGGGCGGGAAGGTTGCCATACGCCGCGGAGTAGATCTTCTGCAATACATCGGTGAGCACGGTACACTCGGAGACTCGGGCCATGCACCCTTGTGAGTAGTTAGTCTGACTTACCAGGACGTCGGCCTTGCCCTCGGTCTTGAGGTCCCACCAGTCCGTGTGTGCGCGCACACTGCCGTCGGCCCAGACCAGCCCAAAGACGGGCGCGCGGACGTTCAGCGCGTGCAGCTGCCGAAGGGCCGCGGTCGACGCCATGCGGTTCTGGCGGTACGCGACGGCGAGCTCATCTTGGGAGGGCTTCTTATCCTCCCAAAACGCGCTCGCAACCTCAAAAACGCACGCGTCCGGGAGCTTGGCGCAGAGGGTAGCTTGGTATCTGAAAGAAGCATCGCCGCTGGATGCGCCTTTCTTCTGCGCTCCGCGAGAGCACCGGTGCAGTATGTTGAAGGGAGACTGCTCTTTCTCACAGAGCTCAGACACCAGTTGCCGCGTAGGGACGAAAAGGGACCCGTCCGGTTTGGCCGTTTTCCCTTTCAATATACGCGCGGTTTCGGAATTGACCTTGTGTCGCGTCAAGGGTTGTGGAAGGGCAATAGTACATTGCTCCCTGCATCGCAGTGCTGTCAGCGTCTCGAGCGTATTCTAGAGACATGTGAACGGTTTACCTCTGCTCGCTATACCGTATGGCAGCTCGCCGAACTAGACCATAGCTGTTTGTCGTTAGCACACGCGAAGTAATATATATAGGCGCAGCACAGACTCACACTCCGGCAGCGTAGTCCGCTTCGGACCACTTGCGACTTGACTCGCGCATCCGCCGTGCGCTCTCCCAGGCCATGAAGACCACCTGGAGATCGCCCAGGATGCGTTTGGCCTCGTCATCATGCGGAACGTCCGCACTGAACAGGTCTGGTTGTGTCGCTTTCGCAGCGGCAAGGAACTTGAGGAATTCCGGATCCGCGAAACGTGCCAGGTTGCGGCCGACTTTGGTGCCCTGTAGACGGAAGGTTAGTTGGGTACTACTTGCACAAAGAACGATACGTACCTCGACCATCCAGACATTGGGGAGGTGCCCCAGGAGCTCGAACACCTCATCCGTATGTACTTTGATCGAACTTGGCAGATCGGCCGAGAAGGATACTTCTTCGCAGCCTTGGTAGTCTGCCCAGAGATCAAAGGCACCGACATCTTTCGCAATCCTGGAGGCAGCTCAGTGGCACCGAAGAGAAAGAACAGGTACCACAACGTACTGCGACGCGGAAAGACAACGTTCTGTGCGGGACTTCGCCTGCGAGGACATGGAGGGGTTGGAATTATGGGACATGAAGGGGTATCGCGCTGAAGTTCTGGACAAAGACCCGCGAGGATGAGACGTGCAAGGGTATCATGAGAGGAGGAGAGGGTACTCACGAGGATTAAAAGAGTGAGCGTAGTGTTCCTAGAGGCCGTGAGTGTCGTGGAGAGTCGTTACTTACATGGGTGGAGAGGAGGAGGTGGGGAGAGGAAGAGAAGGATGCGTGGGAGTGGCAGCTTCCTTCAAATTAAATACGCCCGCGGCCCTCAGCTCGACGGAGCGCGCACCATCTACACGTGACCGTGTCAGGGCTTCGACATGCCTCGTTTAGCGGACGGGGATGCAAGATCAATCGATGCCATTGCTCAAAGAATACAAGAGGTACCGAGCGACAGGCTCCGGTCATAGCAATCCGTCCAACAGCTTCTTCGTCGCCTCCACCCCGAGCTACAGCGCGAAATGTCAGCGAATATAACGGCTGTGAGCAATGCGGACATACGAAAGTAGCAGCGTTCGCCGGGAATGCCTAGCGAGAACACGCGTCAGAATATCCCCTGTCAACTGCACGCGAATAACACGCTTACCCGAGCCATCGCAGGCCCAAGGCCCCTCCACAGAGCTCGGACGCCGTCCTGTGCGATGGTCTTCCGCGCGCAGTCCATAAATCCAGAGTACGTCCCTGTAGGCGCGGACTGGATACGCGACTTGAGAACCTACATAACGTCTTGTCAGCACCGAAGGTACGAGAGCAACGCGAAACACTTACATCTGGTGGAATGGCAATCGACCACATTGCGATGCCCGCCATGCCGCCCGCGACGATGACGGCACCAAGGTTCAAATCAGACGGAGACGATCCTACCGGTGTCAACGCCCGCTTCGTGACCTCGTATGCCGCGAAGTACCTAACGCGCATCCGGTTAGGTGATAGAGCGGAGGAGTCCCAGTAGACACTCACGCAGCGCTGCCGGGTCCGTCTCTCGCGACAGTCGCGAAAGACCCGCGGAAGACGCTCCGCAAGCCGCCCTCACGGTACAAGTGTCTCACTACGTCGGTGACGCCCTTGTATTGGGGGCCGTTGGGAGTTTGCCCTTGCACCTATGAGATGCCTGGTTTGTAAACGCACAACGCGAGACTGACGTCACGGCGCTCACCTGCAGAAGGACCTTCGCGCGTTCTACCGGTGCGGTGATAAGCGTTGTGGGTACCGCAGAGAAGAAACCAGCAGCGGCCAGTTCGGGTATCGACAGCTCCTTGTTAACGCGATTCGGAGTAAGTTTAAGGATGAGCAGCTTGGACGTGTCATAGGCCTGCGCGAGGAGGTGAGACTTGGCTGACGGCGATTCATTGCGTAACACCACGTACCCAGAACGATACGGCGAAGATGGGTGTAACACCCAGTAATGGGGGCACTACACCACGGTAGAGTCTGAGACATACACCCGTTAGAGACAGGCGCATTGTATAGCTTTCAGAAACCAGACACGTACCCCTTAACACCATCTACAGCAAGAGCCTTCTTCACGACATCCACCGCGCCGGTGTAAGTACCGGGAGCAGCGGTCTGCAGCCGGGTCTTCGTCAAGTCGAACGGATGCCCTAGCGGTACCGCACACGCTCAGTAAGCCACTTCCTACACAAGCTTGCTCAAGCCCGTACGTACCGACGAGAACCGCAGCGACACCACCCGCGCCGCCCGCAAAGAAGGACTTGATTGACTCCTTCGTGGACGAGTTCCGCTGCGTCTCCTCTGCCAATGCCGCGTCGCTCTGCCCGCGCGCGTCAGCAGCCGCGCTCCCAGGCGCGTCGGGGCCACGCACCATGCTTCTAGTGGAGAGTCGGGAGTCGGGAGAGGAGGGGGAAGGTGGGGGCGCGGAGGAGAGGGCGAGGGCGCGCTATATGGACAGGTCCGGCAAGCTTCTGCGCCTGCTCCCTTGGCGCCGCGTTGGCGCGTGATTTATAGGGGCGCGCGGGGGATCGCGCGGGCGTCTAAATAATCAGATAGCCTGCATACCAGTCTGCTCGTCCAAGTACGTCGCCGGCCTGCAGCGGCTTGCAATTGACAAACCTTCCCCGCGACTTGTTTCGACTTTCCGCACGTCCCCCGCACTAAGCGTCTCCACGGAGGTCGGTTTGCGATGCGAGTGCGGGGAAGGAGCCAATGGAGTGAACCGGAATGTGTGGGGAGAGGGGCCGGACGCTGATCGAGCAGAATTGCTCCGCCTAGGCACGGCTGTCCGCGATTTTGTGGACGCCACTACGCCCATCCTGTCTCCGCGAGGATTCCGAGCTTGTCATACGGGCGTGTAGGGGAGGGTATGACCGATGCGTAGCACGCTAGCGGGGGAGCAGTGGATCGCGAAAGGCGCGTGAGAGTGGTTGTGGACAGGACAGGTCGGTGCTAATATACCTTCACTTCCTGCGATGTTCCGACGCTTGCTGATTCGTGGCCGCAGAGCGTCCGCTGCGCCGAACCCTGCCGAACCGCAAACCTCAACGACGCACAGGTCGAGAATGCGTTTGATCCTTGGAAAGCATATACACAGCCATGGCTCGTGTTTGAAGTTAACATAGCAAATACACACTGTCCTAGAGGACATACCGCCGACGATTAGCTACTCTACACTATCCCAAAGGGGCGGGGGCATCCGGATCCAGATTCCAAACCTCCTTCTATCATATAACGCAAAAAATACCTATCCAATACGCACGCGACTACTTCCCTCTTCCCGCCTCCTCTCCGACTACCTTCTCGCGCGCTACGAGTCGTCCGAGTCGTCGTGCCCGAACCCGCCGACGGGCTCATACGTCGCCTCCGTCGTGTCCCGCCGCCACACCCACCGCACGCCCAGGAAGAAGAGCACGATCATCACCACGCCGCCGGCCCCGACCGCCACCGGCGCGCCGTACTCTTCGTACCACGTCGGCGTGTACGGCACGAGCAGCCTGTCGATCTGCACGACGCCGCCCGCGCCCGCGCCCGTCGTCGAGCGGCCCCACGAGAGCACGCGAGCCCAGTCCTGCGCGCCGTCGCTCCCGCGCGCGCCCTTGATCCCGAGCACGGTCCCGCCGTCGCCGTCGAGCACGCGCACGAGTACGTCCCCATACGCGCTCGTCGCGCTCTGCAGCGTCGAGTACGTCGCGGAGTCGTCCAGCGCCAGCGGTGTGTTGTGCGCGAGCGTGTCGAGCACTGCGAGCGCGGCCGGGGCCGCTGGAGCCGCCGGAGCGGTCGGAATGAGGTGTTGTGCGACGATAATTTGCAGACGCTCCTCGTCCGCGTACAGGTGAGTGAGGTTCACCTGCTTGAACGCGTCGTCCGTCGGACAGAGGAGTGTCCATCCGGTGCCGCTCAGGCCCATGTCCGCCCAGCGCGAGCCCTCGGGCGGTGCGGTCCCGTTCAGAACCCATCCGAACCCGGCCTTGACCAGCATCGTTGTCATCGTGGTGGCCTTCGCAGCCTTGACGAGCTTCCCGACCGTGAGGTGCACGGAGCGCGGGATGAGGATGTCCGAGATCTCGTGGATTACGCCTGTTTGTGTGAGCATGTTACGCGGGTACAGCTCGGCCTGCATGTCTGGCCAGCCGCCGCTTGGCGCGAAGAGAACCGTCCGGTTCGCGCCTCGTCGCTCGACGTGCAGGTCTGAGCCCTCGAGTGTGGCGAACGTGCGCTGTGAGCCTTCGACGAGTGGGTCCGCGTACTCGACACCGATGACTGCGTGGTGTCGGATGACGCGCTCGAGGTCGGCCTTCGAAGAGGATGCGAGCAAGTGGTTGCTAACGAGTAGCCCGAGGCGCCGGAAGGCGCCGTTTGGCGGCATGAGCACAGTCGTCCGCGGTGTTGCCTTCAGCGTCTCAGCGAGATTGGTGGAGAAGATACCAGCGAGGAAAGTAGACAGCTCGAGTTCGGGCAGCGCAGTCTCCATCACGTCTGCCGGGGGGATCAAGGGACGGGAGACAAAGTAGAACAAGGTATTGTGGATCTCCTCTGTTATGCGGATGAGTTTGTGTTCAGCATGTAAGACTAACGTCTACCATACCATGTTCGCCCATAACGCCCGCCCCGGCGAACCTGATCGACTTGGCGTCATCCTTCTTCTTGCCCTCGTCGGTGACCTCGATCGTCATGACCTGATGCCCATCCAGACCAGGCTCGTCCAAGGCAGTCTCAATAAGCATGCCGTCCTGCAGCTTCTTCGGCGCCCACTTCCCGGGAATGAAATGGTACTGCAAGACCCGCTTTAGCTCCTCGCTGCCGCGGTGCGGGAGCTCGTGGTGCCCGAACAGCTTCAGCACGTCGTCGCGCGGCGCGAGGATCGTGTACTGCGCGTCCGGGTCGTTGATGAGATGCGTGAGGTTGACGGAGTGGATGAGGGACACGAATTCCGTGCAGTTCAACCCCAGTAGGAACTTCTCCGGGGTGAGCCGTATAGCTCCCTCAGGGATGAGCAAGGAGGAGACCGTGTGCACAACGCCGTTGGATGCATAGATGTCAGGCTCAATGAGATCTGCCTCGGCCACTTTGATATTGTTCTCCTCCAATGGCACAACTTCAAGCTTGCGCCCGTAGATCGTGGTGACTAAGGGCGCGGTATTAGTGACCCTGAGCGCTCCCCCGAGCAACGAGGCTTACGGTTAACCGCTTGCTCGGTGAAGTTGTCCGACCACTTGACCTCGTTCGGGATCACAGCGTGCATATTGAGGATCTGGGTCAGGTCGTCCGACGCGAAGTCGCTTTCCAGGTACACACGTTCCCAGGTCGGCAATGCTTGCCAAGCATTGTCCTCGGGGAGGAAGACGGTGAGCGTGGGGGTGCTGTTCAAGAACTTCACGAGCTCCGGCGTGAGGATCTTCGAGAAATACGAGAGCTTTGGGTGTCGGGATATCACGGTAGCTGCGCAGTCCTCCATTATTAGTACATATGCACACGGACAAAGGGACGATATCCCGGCACGACGGGCAAATACCCAGGTTCTATCCAGGTACGGTTCAAGTAGACGCTGAATGCCGCCCTCCCGCCACTAGCATAATGTGCACACCGGAAGGGAGGAGCGGAAGCGGACCGGACGCCTCCCGGAGAGGAACATGGGCCAATGCCCGTCGTGCATCGGGAGGTATTCGGGGCGTACCTAGATCTGGAGGCATTTCGACGACCTCGTCAAGTCCGAAGAGCACGCCGTTTGTGGTCTGAACCTGCTCCTTGACCACCTTCGCGCCATTATTGCCATACGCGTCCACCCCGGCCCACATGGCCTCATCCCGGTAGGAGAGCCGGAGTCGCTGCGGTTCCTTGCCTAGCATCCCGTTCGGTATTGGCATCCATGGCGGGTACGGAGGGGGTAGTTGTGTGGGTGGCGCGGTCGTGTCCGTCGGGAAGAGCAATGTCAAATGTTGCTGTGGCGTCTGCTCTGTCGGGAGGACGGAGAGGGTGTAGTTGAAGAGATGGTAAAACAGCTCCTGACGGAGCCGGAGGTGGAGATTATCAGTAAGTGCAGGAGCATCGTCGTCTAGTGCATGTTGCCAGAGAGGATTAGAGGCTGTGTGACGCTTGATGGCGTCGTTGGTAGGAGCGAGGAAGGTACTGCCGTTCAGCCTGTTGAGAGTAGGCACGAGTTTCGCGCGCTGAACGAGCTTGAGGAGGGAGAGGTAGTCGGGATCGGCAGAGAGAGCTTCAATTAGTGTAAAGGACTGAGCGGTCGGTGGGGCTGCATGAGAGAGCGGCACCTGCGCCGGAGCGGCGAAAGGGAGAAAGGCAAGGACGCCGAGGGGGATGCACGCCAGGGGCCGCATAGGAAGTATATCGCGGCGTCAGCGCAGAGTAAGATAGTGGGAGAAAGCGAGCCTATCCAGGATATATAGATGACAGAGCAGAGAGCAAAGAGAGGTGGTGGGAGGAGAGAGGAAGGCTGCGGGCAGCTGCGTTCGAGAGCCGTGCTCTGCAGGAGTCGCCGAGTCGGACGAGTGCGCTGAGCCTGAGATGACGTCCGGCCTGCGCGTGGTCCCCACGTGGGCACAGACGCCCATGCAGGCACCGCGGGTCGCGTACGCGGGGTCACTTGGCTTGCGTGCTCCTGCTGCTACCGCCACCGTCTACAGAATGGGATATCTCGGCCGCTGCTAGCTATCGATCTGACGACCACCCTAGACTAGACGTCTCTCTCGCACTCTCGGATACTCTATATCGCCTAGCCGCCATAATGCTCGACCTCACTCAAGCATACACCGGCTGCCCGTCCTCCAGCCTGCAGTTCCTTCACCTGCCTCGCGAGACCTTGCTGGTAAGTCTTCTTCTCTATCTACAGTCGAGCGCCGGCTCTAACCTGGCGTGCCATCAGCTATATCCGTTCGCGGACTCCGTCGTCGTGCTCAACGCGCGCACCCTAGCCTTCGTCCGCGCCCTGGCCTTCTGGGAGGTCTATCCTTCTACCCGTCACCTCGCCCAGTCCGTGCAGTGTCTGGCCGTTGAGAATGGCATGAAACTGGTACGCGAGTTTAGCCTTCTTGATGTCATATTCAGGCGGTATGGGGGTCGCACGCTCCTTCTCAATTGGGGAGGGGAGAATTCGCGCAGGAAATCCAGGCACGAATTCGCTCCTCGCTCCGCTGTTTCCGCGCCGTTACACGAGCGATCCATATACCGTCTGGTGGCGAAATTGGAGCTTCCCGCACGCGCCTCATTGTTCCTCACACGAGCAGGTCGTCGCATCTCTTGGCCACCGTGTAGTCGCATGGTCCTTGTCAGGCACTCGAAATGATTATTGGCGAGTACACTCTTCACTCCTCCTTCCTGAAGATCAGCAGGTCACAGCCCTCAACTGCGTGTCTGGTAATTATGCCCCTACTTTCCGCCGTCCATGTCTAACCCGTCCCAGGTCTGCTCGCGGTCGGGACGCGATCCACTCTTTCAGTGTATACCCTCATCCTAGAGAATGACCTCCCCACGTGGTCCATGAAGTGGTCTTTCACGTATGCCGCGCATTTTGATACAGCACAATTTATGTACCGTTCATCACCTATCGAACAGTGTGCCTCCCCTGTCCCGCGTGCGGTTCTCGCCCTCTCTTATGTACATCGCCACCACTTCCCTGGTAAGTGTCGCAAGTTGGCTGGGAAAACGTCACGAGCCAACATTGCCCACAGTACGACAATGTGGTCCACATATACCTCACAACCACAGGCCGCAAAACTCAGGCCATAGCACACCCGCGGCCAGTGACGGACCTTGTCTGGCGCAACTCTCCGTCTTCGAGCCGGTGCGTGCGAGCCGGTCGATATCAGTTGTACCACTCAACATGCACGTTATAGGGATGATCCGGTATTGTATACCATCACCACCGACGCAACGTTGCGGATATTCCTCCCCGTCCTAGATGCACCCCAGTATCTCCAGCTGCACTCCGCGCTTGATACCTTTTCATCTCTCCCATTCTCTGTAGCCTCGCGGGAGACGAACTCCAGCATCTTCCGCCTCGATCGCGAGGTCATGAACGCTGCCCTCAAATCCGTTCTTGCGCAGCCACAATCCGCAGAGGAAGACGGCCGTCGACGGCGTATCCGCGAGATCACCGATGAAGGGTGGGACGTGTTCTTACGCGTTTTGGGCGACGGATCGCTCGTCGTCCAAGCCATCGCGGTATGTCCGGCAGTCTTTAATCGTCTCATCCACCCTCTTAGTTCTTGCTAGAACATCGACCGACGCCCGCCTACCCTCCTCAAACAATTTACTCTTCTCCAAACCGCCCCTGGTGCTCTCCCCGGCCCCCCAGCCCACCTCTACATTGTCCCCAACCCCGGCCGGGCGTCGCTGACGCTCGTCACCTCACCACCACTAAAGTCTTACGAACTCGCGATCCTCCCCTTCTTCGACGCACGCGCAGACGGGTTGCGCATGATCGCGTCCGGAGCGGAACATGCGGACGCAGACGCGCGGGAGGATTCGCGCGCAGAAGTCGTCCGGTTCATGCGCACGCCGAACGGGGAGGGCGTTGGTGCGCTGCGCTCGGACGGCTCTGGGGAGGCTTGGAACTTCGACTGGGCGCGGACGGGTAGGCTAGTGCGCACGGGGCGGTGGCCGGCGAGTTCGGGCGCGGAACGCGTGGATCATTTCGTCGTACTCGACGCAGGTATGTGTTACGTTATGCATTCCTCGAAAATCCCCGCGACGCTCACATTTGACCCATACAGGTCGCCGTTTCGTCACCTACTCATCTTCGAGCAGTCTCCTGACCCTCCACACCTCCCCGCCCGCAACCCTCCATGTGCCTTTGATAACGTCCTTCTTCGCTCTCTCTCCGCCTACCCACTCGAGCCCTCAGCGCACGCTCATCGGCGTCACCGCGTCATATACGATCGTCATCATCTCCGCGACCATCTCTGGAGCTACACCATCCCTCTCCCTCCTGTCAGAGTCGTCACTACCCCTCCCCGCACCTCCAAAGATGATCCTTCCCGTCGACCCAATGGCATGGGTTGGACAATTCGGCACGGGCACGCGAGGCGCTGCACAAGCGCACGACGTGCTCCTGAGCGTATCAGAGGACGGGGAGCTAGCGTTCTGGGTGCCGGAGGGCGGACTTGGCGACCGTCTTGATCCTGCCACGAATGGGAAGACAAACGGCGCGGACAAGGCAAATGGACACAAGGTAGCCTGGAAATGCACGGGCATCGTACGTACAGGTTGCAAAGGGCTGAGCATGGCGCGCTGCAGCTCCGCGAAGAAGTCCGTCCTCGGTGAGCTGTCTTTGTATCATTTCCGTGGAAATGCAGTACTGACGCGCATACAAACAGTGGTCCCAACCCCCGACGGCGCCGAGCTAACAATCTGGGATTCGAAAGAGTCCGAGTTCGCACTCGGACTCGAGTATCGCTCTTTGCTCAGCGATGCGATCACGGACCTCGACTGGGCCGCGACGCCCGACGGGCAGTCGCTCCTCGCCGTAGGCTTCGCCCATCGTGTCGAGCTGCTCTGCCAGCAGCGCGCGACATACTTTGACCAGACGCCCGGATGGGGCGTTTGCTGGAAGGTCGACGTCGGCGCGATGGTGCCACATCCGATCAGCGACTCCATCTGGCTCGCGCGTGGCACGCTTCTGGTTGGGGCGGGCCACCAGCTGTTCATGTACGGGCAGCGACGCGGTGTGGAGGTAGAGGCGGATGCGCCGAAGCGCCAGGAGGAGAGCTTGTTCGAGCATGTCGCGAGGCTGAATGGTCCGCTGGACGACTATCACCCGCAGATGGTGCTACAATGTCTTCTGTGGGGTGGGTTTGATGTCGTTTTTCGCCACTACAGGAGTTACTGACTTTTGGTGCAGAGAAGATCCAGCTGGTGAAAGGCATCATCGTCAATCTCGCGCGTAACGTCGAGTCTAGACGCGATGTCCATGAGTGGGAGAACCTCCCCGCAGATAAGTTCTTGCAGAGGGACGATGAGGCGAGGGCGGTGCGTGCTCTTCAAGAATGGGGTCGATGACTGTTTGTACTGACAAGTGAGCGTAGACGAATGCCTCGCACAGGCCAAAGTATTCGCTTCTGTTCGACATCCCCGAGCGGAATGATGAGTAGGTCATGTCCCTCGGATGCTTGCATCGCATGATCTGACCGTGGCCCACAGCGACGAGGATGACCCCTTCAACCCGACAACGGTGAAAAAGCTGATAGACCGCCTTGAGGAGCAGCCACTCCCACATCTGACTCCGAGCGAGAACGCATCCCTCCTCGTGCTCGTCCAGACTGCGCTCGAGGTATGTTGTACCCAGATACACATCACACCGTACATCGTGCTGACCCGTATGCCGCAGATCGAAGAGCAACGTCGCGCACTTGACTCCAATGGTCTGCGGTACCTCATCTCCATGCGGAGCTTCTACATTCTCAACCGGCGAGCGTCCGAGCCGACCACGCCAGCTTCCCCATCGACCGGGTCCCCTGCACCACCACAACTGCAGCGACGGGAGCGCCTGCGCTACCGCGACATGATCTGGGCGTTCCACAGCGACAGCCAGGAGGTGCTCCTCGCGACGTCGATGGCGGCGTGCGGCGGGAAGATGTGCTGGCCCGACGCTCGGGCGCTCGGGGTGTTCACCTGGATGCGGTCCGCGGATGCTATGGTCAGTGTATCCCCGTTTATCTTCCGCATGTTGTCGCTGACCGGGGATGGAGCACTCAGCGCGCACACATGGAAGTCGTTGCGCGGAACGCGTACATGGCGGGCGACCTGCGTGACCCCACGGCCTGCAGCTTGTTCTACTTCGCGCTCGGGAAGGTGAAGCTCGTGCACGGGCTGTGGCGGCAGGCGGCGTGGCACAAGGAGTACCAGGTGATGCTCAAGTTCTTGAACAACGACTTCAAGGAGCCCCGGTGGCGCACGGCCGCGCTCAAGAACGCGTTTGCGCTATTGAGTAAACGACGGTTTGGTATGTCATGCCGTTTACGAAGACTTCCATACACTGACGAGCTGGGTGGCCTATCAGAGTACGCCGCTGCGTTCTTTTTGCTCGGTGGAAGTCTCAAAGACGCGGTCAACGTATGTATCAAGAACATGTCCGATTGGCAGCTGGCCGTCGCGCTCGCGCGCGTAGTCGAAGGCGGAGATGATGGTCCTGTTCTTGGTGATATATTAAACAACACCGTCATCCCGCTCGCGTTCAAGAACGGCAATCGTTACCTCGCAAGTTGGGCGTTCTGGCTGCTCCACCGACGCGACCTTGCTGTCCGGATATTAGTGGTAAGACCGACCTCCATCGGCTAGCCGTCTATTGCTCACTATGCCTCTAGACACCCCTACAGGATATGGCATCCACCGTCGATGCGCCGATAGTTGAAATCGGAGACCCGCATTACGACGACCCCAGCCTCGCGCTGCTGTTCTCGCAGCTCAAATCGAAGACGCTTCAGACAGCCCAGGGGACGAGTGAGATTTCCGGGCGGACCGAGTTCAACTTCGTCCTCCAAATTGCCCGGGTCTTCTGCCGAATGGGTATGTGTGTCGTTCTGCTCCATGTCTGCATTTTCTGATTATGCCTGTCTACCAGGATGCCACGTCCTGGCGCTCGATCTCGTCCGCTCGTGGTTCTTCCAGCGGCCGTCTACAGTCGTCCGGGATGGCCGCGCGGCTCGAAGACCTCCAAGTCCGGTATCGACGCGTTTCGCGCTCGAGCCCGCGCTCCGCCACAAGTCCTCGATCCTCATCGACATCGACGTCACGACTGCGCCACCGACGCGGCGCGCATCGCCCTCCCGCTCGCCCTCGCGCGGGGGCTCGCCGCCTCGTGTAGCGAAGGAGGAGCTCACGCTGAAGGACGAGGGCGATCTCGTGGCGCGGAAGGCGGGTATTGGTAGCCTGATGAAGTCTGCGAAGCAGGATGTGAAAGTGCCCGAGTTCGACATGGGCGCGTTCTTCTAGTAGTACCCTAATTTATAATAGCTAGACTGCACTTGAGAGGTTTCACACGTTCTATTCAGTGTATACTGAAGCATGAGGCCTGAGGACACAGAAGAGAGGCAGACACTGGACAGACAGCCCCGGGCCCGACATCGCGGGTGCCGTCGCGACCACGTGTTTAACGCGAAACGACAGGGACGCGTCGGAATCGTCGACGCGTCGCCGCTAGCGCTTCTTCCCTCTTGCCACCACCCCGTGCATCCTCTGGCTCGTGCGCTGACAACACTGGATCCAAGCATCGTATGGAGTGTGTGGACCAAACTGATCCTACCACGTATCTTGGCTCAGAGTTTCCCCACTGCAAGGCGCGAGCTGGAGTCTCATGAACACAAAAAGCTACGCAGAGCCACACTGTATCAAAACCTCAAGTCACACCAATCGTTTCCTTCAAATCCCCATCTCCTTTCGGTTAGAAGCACACCTCTCATGATCTACCTCGCAATTTCAACTCCTCGGAGTGCCCTGTCGGTTTTGCGTTGTGCCAGGGGGGCCGCGGGAGTCAGGTCGTTGCTGAATACAGCATCCAGCGGTCAAAAATCAAGACATATGTGAGGTCATCCCGAGAAACGAGGATTGCCCGCGGCGTAACTTTCGTGTTACGCCACTGCGATCCCGAATTTGAGGCCATACAGGTGCGAGCATACACCGCGGAGACGTGCGACTTGGCGGGACACACTCTTGCCCACCGTGATCCGCGCACGCCTCATGGCGCATTTCAGGGGCTCGAGGTTGGCCTCGGGGAGTCGGGAGGGATACGGGCGACCCTTTGCAGGGTCCCTACCCTGATTATCGAGCTCCCGCACCGAAGCAGCCGACGAACGCGTACGCGTACGTACGCGCGCGCTCCCCGCCGCCATCGGCGCGGGATGAAGTGGGCTTCTGGCGGGTCCGGCGCCGCAGCGCTCTCAAGCGCGCCTCTCGCCTCTCGCCACACCGAACCCCGACGTCGGACAGTCCCGGGTGCCTTCCAGTCTTACCACACTGTCTGACAGATGAAGCAGGCCATGCTTGGTACGCACCCTCACGCTGAGCTGATCTCGGAGTCGTCGCTGCTCACAAATTCGCGGCATGGTACATATGTATCTCCAGCTGCTGATATTCTACAAAACTTCAGCCGTGCACATCATCTTCGAGTTCGTCCGACTGACCGCTTCGGCACAGAATGGGGTCGGTCCGATAGCGTCGTGGCAGCGGTGGCGGCGGCGAGCATCATTGTGGGCATCTCCGTGCCGTCTGGGACAGCTTCGTGGCCTCGGCCGCCTCGGTTGCGCTGGACGCATCGGCGCATCCCTGCGTCCCCCCGATGGGCCACCGGGAGACGTGCAAGCGTCGATCCAGGAGTGAGGACCGCAGGACGGCAAGATGTGTCGGTAGCGGCGCAGGAGATTCGTGTTAGCCGCGACGACCTTGCGCTGGGCTTAGCACGGCGGAGTTTGGGCCCGTACTGTGGTTGAAGGTGCGTAGCGAGCTGGTGTGGGGAGATGCCGTGAGGTTCTGTTCGTTCCTTGAGCGTTAGCGATGGTTGACGCCGTTGCGATGACCGCCGCGGCTACCCCGCCGTCGTCTGTCGGTGTAGATTCATTGCTGTCCAAGAGACTTTGACAGCGTGGAGACCGCTGCCTTCTTGCTCATGCGCTCGGTGCTGGTGTGGGGTGTGGTATACGTGAGTCCTCTCGAGAGGAATTTGCCGGGTGTACTCATTGACTATCACAGCCAGATTCCGACGGCATTGAAGTAATTTGCTTGAACGCCCAAGCTTCATCAGAATATAGGACATGCGAAAAGATTGAGAGCGTACACCTCAGGGTCGCATTGCATACATTCCTGATGGGGTCATGTCCGCACAAATGCTCCCGCCGGGCCTCCTCCGCTCGTCTCCTCGAGGCTCACACGCATCGCGCACCACCAAGACGGCTTCTGAGCACAGAGAACGCGGAGATGACGGTCCAGAGCGATGCTTCTTGCGATTGCAGATACGGTTACGGTAGAGTTCTGACTTCTAGCTGTTGCATCATGCGGGATTCGAACGCACGGCGAGCGGTGCCGCTCGGGATGCACCTTCCGCCGCTCCGCGGGTTGTTTCGGGCGTCTTCTTGGTTCGCGGAAGCAGATGCCACTGCAAGTTTGTCCTCCTTCCGCCCAAACAGTTCACCCCGAAGACTTTCAGGACGGAGAGAGTTGTGCAGCACTCAAACAAATTGCATTGCCACGGCCCTCGGTGTGTGTGTCCCACCCTCAGATGTCTCATCTTATTTACCAGCGTCCATCCATTTCCGTCAGAAAGTCTTCCAAGGTTCCCGCCTAGGTCCGCGCTAATCCGCGCGTTCTCGGCCGCACCACAACCGTCGGCGTCGCCCGCGAGTGTGTCCAAATTGTCAAAATGTCGCCCCCATTCGCCAGGCCAGCATGTCCCACGTATGCGCTCGCCAATCGGCGAGGGACCGTTCCTTCTGATGCATGATTCCCCGCCTCGCTCCCTGCGAGCCGAACGTCGAGGTTGGTGACCGGTGTCAGCGGTGGTGACCATCACGCCCTATTCAATTAGATCTCAGAACGCCGCTTGCTAGCGCTTGCTCCGCGTCCCTCCTTGCGAGGCACTCCCCCACGGACCACACTTCTGGAAATCTGCACTCCCCGAATAAACAAGGCGGCTCGTCTTGCGGAGCGCTGCGATTGCCGCAGGGCGCATCTCAGCATCTCCGTCCTCTCGGGGCATACGCCCAGAACTTAAAGACGATGGCCCCGCCTTACGTCCCCACATTGGGCCCCTCCTCCCCTGTCACCCAGAGCTCTAGGTTTGCTCGTCCTTTGGTTCTTGACCTCCTCCCTTCAATCCAGTATTCAGTATGGCAGTCATCGACGGAACGTGAGTCTTCTGTCCTCGTAAAGCTTTAGTGTGTTGGTCGCTCATGGTTTGCCTTCTAGCATGGGTCCCCTCCTGATTGGAGTCATCATCTGCGCCGTGTAAGCCACGATCTGTTGAGCGATCACATTGTCGTGTTTCGGAAAACTTATTGGGATCGCCGTGGCCGCTTTCAGGTTCTACGGAGGTGTGTATTCCCGACCTTCGTACCCCATCTAGCGCTGACGAGTCCCACAGTGTCCCTATCGCAGGTCTACTACTACTACACTCGCTACCGGCGCGATCCTCTGTACCTGAAAGTGCTGGTAAATATGATGGACACGATCTACTCAATGTTGTGATTCTGACCCTTTTGTAGGTTGGAGCTGTGTTGACTACAGACACCATCCATCAGGTGCGTCACTTCATCAGCAACTCTATCTCGATTTTCGTCTTATGCTTCCTTCCCAGGCCATGATTTCGCATAGTGGTATGTGCATGCGAGTCTTCGAATCCGCCATTTGTCGTATTCAACTTCCGCAGTGTACTGGTATCTGGTAACGGAGTACGGGCACCCGGATAGCCTTGGTCTACTCTCCGCGTACGTCAGTCTCCATGCGTCACTGAGGTCCTCCACTCAAAGGTCATGCACACAGCACAATGATCCCGGAGGTCTTCTTCCAAGCTTTCACTGGGTTGTTTGTTCAAAGGTACGCCGCTTCGTGCTTTGGCGCCGAACACCATGATCTGACCGCGGCCTAGTTTCTACGCCGTCCGCGTATGGAAGCGTAAGTCGTACTTCCATCTGCTCCGGCCTCAATAGCTGATTAAGAGCGTTAGTGAGCGGACGTCGGTTGTATCTGGTTATCCCCGTGGTACGTAGACTCGCTTCTCCGCCCGCGAGATCTGTGCTGACCAGATTCGATTAGGTTGCATTCATCGCCGCTGAGTTCTGTATGTATCGTTCAATCACGTCGTGAACTTCGTCTGACCTTCTGGGTGTCGCGCACATCAGCTGTGGCTATGGGTACGTGATTATGTCTCGTCCTCATTCTCCTTCAGCCGCTGACTCGCCACTACTATAGCATACGCAATCCAGGCGTGAGTGCCCTCGAGCGACGCCATCACGACCCGGCCGCTGACTGTTTGCTTCTTTTTAGTCTGTCGTTCAAGACTTTTGAGGACCTGGGCAAGATCAAGGTAAGACACATCGTCTTGATACCCAACCGGATGGAGCTGACGGCTTGTTCATGCAGGTGTTGTCCATCAGTATCAACGGGTTCGCCGCCGCGGGAGACGTGGTCATCGCCGCCATCCTGTGCACAATCCTGCAAGTCTCGAAAACCGGCTTCTCCAAGTGTGTAGTTTATCAGAGCTCCTCGTCAAACGGCCATAACTTACACACACATGCTACAGGTCGAACCTGCTGGTCAACCGCTTGATCGTCTTCTCCGTCAACACCGGTCTGTTGACGAGGTATGTCTTTCCGTGAGATTTTACAGGGTCAGACTAACCATCCCGGTACGCAGCGTCTGTGCATGCATGTCGCTCATCACCATCCTGGCCCTGCCGAACACCTTCGTTTACATCTGCTTCTTCTTCCTCATCGGCCGGCGTGCGTATCTCATTCTCCCCTGTTCCTCCTCCTCTGATCCCTTTGCGACTCGCAGTGTACTCTAACTCGCTCATGGCGACCCTCAACGCGCGCAAATCGCTCCGGGAAAAGTCCACCATCCACGACACGTCCATGTCGTTGCGCGACATCAACCCCTCTGGTGGTGGCGCGACTGCGAACATGTCGCCCTTCAGCCCGACCGTATGTCTACACTTAGCGCTTACCAGTTTTAGATCGGTGGTGCTAACCAGTGAACACAGACCAAGCGCGACATCACGTCCGGCATCGCGATCCGCATCGACACCACGCAGGACACGCGGCACGACATCGACGAGGAGGTACGTATCAGCTCACGCGTTGCGGTTAGTTGTAGCTCACGCCTTTCTCCCAGTCGGCCAAGTACGGCAGTCAGGACAAGCACGAGGGCATCGAGGCTGTCTGAGCTTGTTTAGCCCTTCTTGCCGCTCTACCCTGAGCTGGCCCCGCACGCGGCGCCACATCGAGGGCCCCGCCATTCCACGGCGCCCCAGTTGTCGGCCGCGATGCGGAAGACCCGATAGCGTTCTCTCCTTTACACCCACACGGCGCAGCCCTTCCTTGCTGTTATTTTCGCGCTGCGCCGCCCGCAGTTGTCGACGGTCCGATGTCCTGGCGCGCACGGCCCCCACCCCCAACCCCCGGTACATAGTGCAAGCGCACACCATTGCTCTGATACCCGCCGCCGCCCGCGCCGAGATATCCCCCTGAAAATATGTACATAGGCGCGGCTGTCGTTCCTCACCCCGACCCACACCGGACGCTGATCGTTTTCTGGTGCGGCTTGTTGTTCAGCTTCTTTTACTGCTCGCTCGTTGTTTTGTTCTGCGCCCGCTGTCGTGTAGACTCTAGTAGTAAATAGGAAGCCCATGTAGTACCATTTAGCAAGGAATATGCAGTTGTTCGGAGTACCCGCGTTCATGTGCCTGTGTTCCCCATTCTTCTTCGTCTTTCTGGTCCGTCGTCTGGATATGAGGTCTTCGTTGTAACTCCTTGGCTACACGCAGCGGTGCTTCTAGTACTCCCGCCGTGGGTGTTGAGTATGCGGATCCTGGTCAGAACGATGGCATACCCCTGGCATTGCACGCGATTCCGAGCTCGCTGAGTTTAGCCAAGCAGGCACAGCGCGCGGGACCATTCACATGCTAGCATAACGTTATAACGTTTAACGTACGTATTTACCCATGAGGTGATAGCGCGGTCACTGTGGAGACCCGCAGCATCCTCCCGACCCCCGCAGGATGAGAATGCGCTATTTTTTAGTACGTCCCGGGCAGAAGTCCTTCTCAATGCCAGGTATCGCATGCGCAGGCCCTGCACCGACGGCGGGGCACCTGCAGAATGTCCATCACCCGCCTGCAGGCCGGAGAGCATCCGAGTCTGCCTCTATCTTCGGCTATAGCTTCATAGCCTGGCGCCGAAAGATTTCGAGGACTCGTGGAGAACTTTGTAATAACTTTGCGTGACATCGCCATGGGCGAGCCGCCGACCCCGCACGCCGGTAGCGCGGCGAGCCCCGCGTGCGAGCTGTCCTGCTCGGCGAGGGGCGCCACGCAATGGAGCCTCCATTGTCCAGCGGGAAGAGACACATGACGATAGTCGTACTATTAGTATCACGCTATGTGGTAAGTAGCACCCCCGACCTCGCGTCAGAAGACATAGTGGCCGCCGCCCCCGCACCAAGTAACCCCCGGCACCGCTGAGCTGCTCGTCGAAGCAGGTCGAAGCTCACCGTGTCGTACACGTCGGTCAGAGTCGTGATGTTCCATTGCTCCGGTGGTCCCTCGCCCCGCCGAGGGACGGGCCCCGCGCGACGTGCTGCGAAGTCGCTGACGGTGACGCGCCCCCCGGGGGCACCGGGTTCGAGATGCCATGACGCCCGCCTTCAATGTTCTTCTGATGGCCCCGGCCCCGCCGAGCCTGGACGTCGTCGGAAGCCGCCTTCTCCTGGTCCGTAAGCCCGTTATCCCATATGCTCACTGCGCCTCCTCCGCGTGCCAGTCCGACTGCGTGACAGTGGACGCCAGCGAGCCGACGAAGCGTTCAAAGACGAGTGAGCCGGGGGACGGGAAGCCCCCTCCGATGCCCGCCTCGGCATCGTCGCTCGACTCGCACGCGTCGAGCGCGGACCGGTTCGTCGCCTGGAGGTCGAGGAGGAAGCGCGCGATCAGAACCGCGGTCAGCCTGGTGGGGGTAGTCAGTGGCGGGTACGGAGGGGTGAGGGAAGGGGTTGGTGACGCTCACGGTTCTGTGAAGATGGTGAGGTAGCTCGCGGGCGACTGGGAGTCGCCGACGATCTGTGTAGGTGCCCAGTCAGGACTCGCGTGAGCTAGATGGGGTTGTTGATGGTACGTACTGAGAGCATCGTGAATATGAGATGGAGAGTGTTCAGGATGAGGAGGACGCTGTAATGTTCACGCCGGTGAGTGGTCAAGCTCACGCGAGGGCGTGGTGAAAGGTGGCATACACGAAGTATAACAACCCTGTACATGACAATGGCCCATGAGATTGGAACGGAAACGGTCGTTATCAGGACATGGGGACTTACCATCTTGAAGAAGGGTGGAGGCGAAAGACGGCGCACCGCTCATACTCGCAGGAGCCAGCCGGGTCGTGCTATACGTTGCATACCAGGTGACTGCTACGGTAATCAGGTCGGCGGCGATGAGGCATGTCCGCGTGGTTATAGTGACTGGAAAGACTCAGTAAGGGTGCATTGCTCGTCATTGCAAGCAGAAGCACATACGCCTAGGACAGCACAATGAGCACATGTAAGCACAGCGTTAGAGCAGTGGGACGTACTGCTTTGCGAACTCTACGGAGTACGTCGCGGCCCCCTCACACCCGACGATGGGGTCATAAACTCCCGTGATGAATTGTTGAGTACCCTAAATTGGATGCAGAAGCCATCAGGTTGAGGCAGATGCGTCCCATTACGACGTCAGCGTACCAGCTTCCACCCCAATGGCACGAGCGAGAGGAGAAGCACAAGAATAGAGAGTGGTAGACCGGTGCCGCGCTTGCTTAGCGCATATACACGCATGGCGGAAAACGCTAGACAACGGCGTTACATCCGCATTTTGAGTCGACGTAGCAGGGAAGTGACTGAATGACCGGTGCGTACCTCCCCACGGTAAGTATTGGATGGCTGAGAGTATGGACCCAGCGCGGACATATGGCGTACACCTGTCGCACATCACGAAGTAAGCGATCCATACAATACGTGCACCCTGCTTGAGTATATGCGGCCTCACATCTACGGGATAATTTCGTTCAAAAGGCGAGTAGTCAAACAAAAGCAAGCGACTTCACCTGCGGCGTGATGTTCGCAAAGCCACTCGTCTCAATGACGTTCACAAGCACAGCCAGGTATCGCGTTAAGAAGAAGAGCACGGACGCCCCGGTGAATTTGCCCTTCCAAAAGTAGTCGATTTCTTGACGAAATGTCAGGATATATTCGTACGCGATGATCGCTGTAACAACCAGGGGGTTAGACATGCGTTTGTTGACCGAGGCGTAGCTTACTCATGACCGTGAGGCCAAGGCAGTTCTCCGTAAAGCTGCAAGGACGTGTGAGCGGTGCCAACACACATGAAAAGGATGTACTCACTAGCCCTGGTATACTGCAACGACGATACCATCATCAGACGACATGGTAAGGAGATAGTGGTGGGTCCGGGGAGTAACAGCTGCTGCAGATCAAGAGAGTTCGATATTCATATGGGCGGCCTCTTCGCGGTAATGCGATACCTATTGAGTGCGGGCCCGAGTCGGAGCGGCATCGCAGCGTGCCGATGGCTCTCCGGTACAGCCGAAACGCTTGTTCGGTCTTATGTCAGGGATGAGCAAACCTATGTTTTCTCCGAGCGGCCAAGTGCGCGGCGTGCACATCCCACGCGCGATACGAGTAACGTTCAATTAAGACTGTCGCCGTACAGCCTTCACCGATATATCATCCGTAGGATCCTCGATTTGGCTTAGGAAGGATGCGTCAGCTATGTTGCGAATCGTGGGGTGACGGATTGATACGTACTATATGCCAAGATCAGAGTGTAGAACTCAAACCACTCGAGCTTCAGCATGCTCATCAGGATGGCTGTGGGATCGGCAGCGCACGTAAAGGGGAGTTACCAGCCTTCTGAAAGATAGCGGTCCTAAACATAGGATTTGATCTGTGCAGGAAGACCACGAAGCTCTAGGTACATTCAGCCCGCAAGCTTACGGTCTCATGGCAGAAGTGCGAAGTGGCGCTGAGGCGCCATATGCCCGACCGCATCGGAATATGGCACTGCACTATAAGAAAAAGGCAAGATCAGCGTAGCAGTTCACCGTGTTGATGTACCTTGCTTATCAACAACAACGGGAGTACTAGCGAACCGGCGGGCAAGTACTGTGAATATCTAGGCAACAACATACTTCCCGGCATGACTTCAAACCATAAGCCTGTACATCCTACTGCTTTCTAGCAAGACATTAGTTGAGTCTGAAATGGTTGCATAGCTTGTTACTAAGATTGTTGAGGCCCTTATAAGGTAGGGTATGCAGGTCAAGGCGTCGAGAGAGATTCGAGGAGGAAGAATCAGGGAGAATCGTGGCAAGCGTGCTCGTTGTTCGCGGAGACGCGTTACATCCCGGTCATGTGCGCGTGACAGCCCGCGAAATATTCACGCGCGCGGTGACCGGCTTGGCGCTCACAAGCGCTGGCTTTTACCCCACACTCTTCGTCCAGGCTTCGTGGATCTCTACTCCGTTCCACGTCGCAGAGTCAACCATGGCGTCTCCCAAAAAGACGTCGGCGACGGGCTTCCTCAACATCAAGGCTTTAACTGCTCTACCTCGGACGCTAGTGCAGATGCTTCACCGAAAAAGGGAAGGGCCCGCCATTGAAATTGCTGGGCCCGCTAGAGCTGTACCTGGGACCCCGTACGGTCAGTCATAAATTTTTCGGAAAGCTGAGAAGTCCTCAATTCGTTTCACTCATTGAAATATGTAGTCCACACAACAAAGAAGGAGAAAGCGGTATCGGAACCCACCGAGAATGCGTCCGCACCGACACCGTCGGATCGACCGGAGGGAGACTCATCAGCGGATATCAAGGCGGGAACTTTTTTTCTCACCTACATGCATGCATATTAAATCCTTCGGGCTGCTATAGGGTGACTTACAGCATATTCTGGACTCAGCTTGCAATGACAAGACCACCGAAGACCTCGAGGCAGACGAAGAACTTGCTCAGGGGCTCCGCAAAATTTTCCTTTCGTGGAGAGATGTGCAACCCCAGGAAAAGCCGCAGAAACTTGTATATCTGTTGGAAACCCCCTATGACCACTGGCAGAAGCTCGACCTCGATGCCCTCAACGAGGATGACGTAAAGAAAGTCACTCTGCTCGACCTCTACTCGCGCGAGTACGGGTTTCACGTCGGCTTCGGCGAGGCTGTCTTCTACGAGGAGGGTTACGGGCTCCGTATGGACGGTGGCTATAGATGCAACCGGTCCGGAGGGCGGTATGGTGGACCGGTCTGTGGACACTACGGTCATGACTACCTCGACCCCTGCTTCGGTACCGGCTATGGCCAACACGGTTTGGATTCGTCAGACTCTGAATCAGGATCTGAAGGGGAGTGGTACGATCCATACTTGCATTCAAGGGACGAAGTGGAGATGGAGGAGGTTCACGAGACGAAGCTCACTCTTGTGAATCTCGTCGGCTTGGATGGCAAGAACCTCGCAGATGCTGTCAGTCTGATCGCGCGTTTGGAGGCCATGCCTGAGGATCTGCAGAAGAAGCTGAAGACGCGCGGTTATACAAAGCAGAAGTACAGTGCTAACCGTACGCCTTCTCTTCCGGCCGGTTCAAGTCCGTTCTGACACTAACCATCAATCCCTCTTGGCAGAATGCAGCACGCTCAAACGATGTAAGACCGTATTTCAGCCGTTCCTGTCTACTAAAATCGTCAGCTAACATGCTTTTCAAGGGTACTATGGCAAGGTACTGCTCATCTGGCCGAAGCGTCACCATTTCGATATCCTCCACGGCTCCGATGCCCTCAAATGTGCTTGCGAGGCACTTGCGGCATCCATCTCCGCCCAACCCACTAGCGAAGCACGGGATCTCGTGGAGATGATGCTCTTGCGCACCGATGTGCGGCAGAATGGGGACGTCGTCAAGAATGTCTGCCACGCAGCCATCCTCTGGGGCGACGCGGATCTCTGGGTGCGCGCTGTACGTGCATGCAAGGCTGACCATGCCATCTCTGAGCTCGGGTGTGAGAATGTCGTGGCCGCGATCGGCGCATTTGGGTTCGACGCGATTAAAGAATGGTGCGTCGACTTCATTCGAGTCGCGCATGCAAGGCTCACTAACTCTGCAACACTGTACAGCGTCGAACGCGCACTCAAACAAGATCCTCAGTACTCGTCGGCACTCGAGCTCCTGCAAACGCTCGAAGACAAGGCGGCTGGCGAGGATGATAGCGCCTTGTTCGCGTTCACTGAAGATTGGGCACCTCAGTGGCGACTCAAAGTTGTTGGTGCTCTCAAAAATCCAGGCGTCGATGAAGTTGAGACCATCGTTTCTGCCGGTTTGAGTGTGGGCGGCACGACGGTCTTGGAAAAGACGTGAGCTTTTCGTTTCTTGGCAAGGTATGCTTTCTCTAACCATGTTGGGATTGCAGGATCATCCCCGCGCTGAAAATGACCGCCGAGCCCACATTCATGTTCGTCCTCTCCGAGAAGGTACATGCCGCTGAGGGGATCGCGCCCGGCGTGAAGAAACGCATCGTCAAGGATCTAGTCGTTTTCGCACTATCACAAACGAAGCTCTACGACACCATGGACGACGCAGAGACCCTCAGGCTCGCAGAGACGGCCATCAAGGCGTGTTTGGTGACCGGGAATGAGGCCTGCGTTGCTGAGCTCGCTAAACGCTTAGTTGACTTCTCCGGCCTCGACGAGGCTGCCGTGCAACAGCACTCAAGATATGTGTTGCTCCCGCTTGCCGGGGCTATCTCCAAACTAGCAGGGGATAGTCCGAGGGCGAAGGCTGTCAAGGCGGTCAAGACCATCTGCGACACCGCTGTCACTCAATTCTTGCGAGGCTTGTCTGCTTCAGGCGCGAAGGTCGACACAAAGGATGTACAAACCCTCCTCGACGCTGCGCGCATGTGCGGCATGAGCATCTCCAAGTACGTCTCATCTATTACAGAACTAGCGGCACTGCCGCACATGGGGACGCGCTGACGGGGCACATGCATAGCATCGTCGAGAAACTGCTCCCGCTCAATCTTGCTGGCTCAATCCTCGAAGATTTCATCGAGGAGCTCAACAAGAGACGCTCTGCAGGCACCGTGGACGGCATCGACGTCGCCCTCACCGCGCTGGTGCACAAGTACGCACACGTCGCCCAGATCAAGGGCGGCACCGTGTACTGGTACTTTGGCATCCCGCCTACCGTCGCGCAGTCGATAGGGTGCTGCGTGCGTGCCGGGGTCCCCGAAGCCGGCCTTACGATAATCGAGCGCGTGCTGGAGCAGCACCCCGCGGAAGAGGGCTATGTGTCCGAGGCCATGTGTTTCGCAATGTCGGCAGCAAGGCGTGCACGCATATGGAGCAGCAGCCGGCGAAGCGCTTCAACGGAGAGGTGCATTGCGAGCGCATCTCTGGGATTCAGCAGGGCCTCAAGGTGTGTCTCCTAGCTCTGGGTCAGCTAGGCATGCATCTGCGCCATTGTTTGCTCACATCACGATGCGCAACCTTGTAGGTGACGAAGCACGCGTCGTTGCTCGCATCCTCGCAGTGGTGGACCTGGAAGGAAGAGGCGAATACGTTCCTAAACAGCCTCACCGAGAAGACGAGCGAGGAGGACATCGAGGTCGTCTTTGGTGAAGACTACGTGCGCATCATGCAGACCATACGCGGCACTGCCGTCCCCTCAACTTCAAGTGCCCTCAAGTGGCCTGAAGACAGCGCCCCTGGGGCATCAGGAGACTCAAATGGTCCTCCCGCAGCAAAACGCAGAAAGATCTAGGCGGACGAGTTTGTCCCAAGGGCCGCGCACCAGATTGAGGGGCGATTTGATTTATTAGTATCTATAGGGTATGTGCCTGCATGCATGTATATTTCTTCTCTGCTATATTGGCGAACTGTGTGATATATGATATATATCTTGCCCATCCCTCGGGCCTCGGGCCTCAGGGTCGCGCGTTACGTGATGGTCATGTGCGTGTGACGGACCGCGAACGTCCGCCATATGCGCAGTCCGAGCGCGTCACCAGCGTTAGCTACAGCTCCGACCGGGACCACGCACTTTTGAGGCTCTCGGTATTCGCCCATCTCTGCTCTCTACCACATCGCACTAACCATGGCGCCACGCAAGGTGAGTTGCACTCGCTTACTCGAACTGTACCTCCTCGGGTGCCAATGAGGATGCTGTCCCAGAAGACAGGCACAGCCGCGAAAACAGCCCGACCCGCCAAAGCTGCAGCCAAACCTCGTGGTCAGTTCATCCATAACATTCTAGGGGAAATAAGATTAAGGGCCGACTCACACGTTTGATATACATAGGTGGTGCAGCTAAGAAGGGAAAAGCGGTGGCCGAAGTTGCTGAACCGATCGTGAACGAACACGCAGGGACACCTTTAGAACGTCTGGAGGGAGAGCCGTCGGCGGACATCAAAGTGCGTGTCTTATTCCTCAACCATGTATATGTGTCTTACTTACGCGATCTATATCACTGTAGGGTGACTTACAGCGCCTCCTAGATGAGACGTGCAAGAACAAGACCGCGAAAGACCTTGAGACGGACGAAGCAGTCATCCAAGGGCTCCGCAAAGTCCTGCTCTCCTGGCGGGACGTGCAATCTGAGGATAAACCGCAGAAGCTCGTCTACCTGTTGGACACCGCCCACGACCGCAAGCAGCTTCGCCTTGCCGCTCTCGACAAGGAGGACGCGAAGAAGGCCACCCTGCTTGACGTACATGCACGCAAGTACGGTTTCCACGTCGGCCTCGGAGAAATTGTTTTCCTCGAAGAAGGTTACGGGCTGCGTATGGGCGGTCCCCGTGGACAAAACCGGGGCGGGAGGTTCGGTGGGCGGTTCGGTGGCTTCTATCGAGGCTGCCACGGCTATGGAGGCATGGACTCGGGCTCCGAAATGGACTCAGAGTCTGAAGGGGGCTGGGGTGATCTATACTCGGACGCTGGTGGGGATGATGTAGAGATGGAGGAGGTCCACGAGACGAAGCTAACCCTCGAGAATCTGGTGGATTTGGAGGGCACGGTTTTAGCAGAAGCCGTCGAGCTCACTGCGGGAGCGGAGGTTATGCACGAGGACGTGAAAAAGAAGCTGAAGATACGCGGGCATACGAAGCAGAAGTTCAGCGCGACCAGTACGCTTTCTCTTCCAGCCAGTCTGAGTCGATTATGGCACTAACGGTGAACTGTTTGGACAGAATGCAGCACGCTTGAGCGCTGTAAGAGTTTATTTAGTTGCACTTATCCACCCAGACTGTTGGCTGACGTACTTTTCAAGGGTACCGTGGCAGGGCCCTGCTCGTCTGGCCAAAGAGTCGCCACTTCGATATCCTCCACGGCCCAAACGCCCTCACCCATGCTTGCTACGCACTCAAGAAATCTACTTCCGCTCAGCCCACAAGCGAAGCCCGGGATCTTGTCAACATGATCCTCTCGCGCACCGATGTGGTCCGAAGCTGGGCTGCCAGCACCTATATTTGCGAAGCAGCTGTGCTCTGGGGCGATGCCGATCTCTGGGTGCGCGCTGTGCGCGCGTGCGAGACTGACCGCGCCATCTCTGAGTTACGGCCTGACAACATCTTCGCCGCCGTCAGCGCATTCGGTTTCGACGCAATCAAGGAATGGTATGCACTTTCTTTGCCACTCTGTGGACATGGCCAGGTTTTTCTGAATGTATGCAGCGTCGAACGCGCCCTTGAGCAAGATAAGACACCCTTGATAACACTTCTCTTCCTCGATAACCTTGAAGCCAAGGCCTCTGGAGACGATGGCGCTTCATACGCGTTCGCTGAAGAATGGGCACCTGAATGGCGCCTCAAGGTCGTAAGTGCGATCAAGAATCCAAACACCTATGAAGCTGGGACCATCCTGGCCGCCAGCATGAAGGCAGGCGGCGCAAAGATTCTGGAGAAGACGTGCGCCTGGTTCATCATTGGGCTGTCCTCGGGATGCTGATCGTGCTCTTTCGCCAGGGTCATCCCCACGTTGAAGGCCACCGCCTCGCCCGCGTTCATGCTTGCCCTTGCCGAGCAGGTGCACGCAACTGACGGTATCACGCCCGGGGTCAAGAAGCGCATCGTGAAGGATGCGCTTGTGTTCGCGCTGTCGCAGGCAAAGATCTACGACACCATGGACGACGCGGCGACGCTCACGTTCGCCGAGGCCGCCCTCAAGGCGTGCCTGCAGACCGGGAACGAGGCCAGCGCCGCTGAACTCGCCCAACGCTTGGTCGACCTGTCGGGGCTGGACGAGGCCGCTGTGCGAAAGCGTTTCACAGGTGTATTGTTGCCGCTCGCTGGGGCGGTTCCGAAGCTCGTAGGCGATCACCCGAGCGCGAAGGTGCTGGCGGCGGTCAACCCAATCTGCGATACTGCAATCACCCAGTTTTGGCAGGGCTTGTCTGCCCCGGACGCAACCGTCAACAACAAAGATGTGAAAGCTTTCCTCGACACCACACGCATGAGTAGCATGACAGTCCCTGAGTACGTCCCACTCGCATAACTGATAGTGATGCACGCAAAGGCCGACTGACGCGACTGTATGCAGTATCATCGGGAAACTACTAATGCTTGACCTCAAGTCCTCCATCCTGGAGACCTTCATCAACGAGCTCAACAGCAGGCGCTCCGCGGGCACGCTGGACGGTATCGATAACGCGCTCCCCGCGCTCGTGCAGAAGTTCGCGCAGATCGTGTCTATCGACACGTCAAGCTTTATGTACTACAAATACCGCTTCCAGCCCCCAGTCGTGCAGTCCGTCGCATGCTGCATCCGCGCCGGCGTCCCCAACGCGGCACGCACGATCATCGACCGCGTCCTGAAGCAGTACCCCGCGGAATCGGACGACGTGTCGTTGGTAGTGGTCCTCGTCGCTTCCCGCCTCCCCGGCTGGCTCGCCGAGCTCAAGCGCACGCCGACGGACCCCGCGTACGCCGCGCTCTTCAGACGCCTCTACACGTTCTGGGTCGACACCATGATGGTCCCGCTGCGCGTGACCCCGGGGCTGGACGCGTCGGTGGCCGCGCTCGAGAAGCGCATCGCCGAGTGGGAGAAGGAGTGCGCGTGCGGGTCGTGCGACCGGATCCGCGGCATTGTGCAGGGATGGCGGGCGGAGTACGAGTTCGAGGATATCAGCGCGAAGGTGCGCTCGCACATGAAGCGGAGCATGAACACGTACTTCGACAAGCAGATCCACGCCAAGAATTCACCGTACGGGCATGGCTTCAAGGTATGTGTTGTTATTTCAGCCATGGTTTTTGAGGGGTGTTGCTCACGGGCTCGTGTAGGTCACGAAGTACACGGAGTTGCTCACTGCGTCACGATGGCGGACCTGGAAGGCGGAGGGGAATAGTTTCCTCAACGACCTCGCTGAGACGACGAGCGAAGGGGACATCAAGATCGTCTTGGGCAACGACTACGCGCGCATCATGCAGACCCTGCGTGGCACGGCAACTCCTGCTAATGCTCTCAAGCGGTCTGCAGACAGCGCACCAGTGGCATCGGGGTCCGGCTCAACCGCACCTCCGGCGGCGAAACGCAGGAAGGTCTAAACGAGTGTTTTGAGTCGGGCGCGAACAGCGCGCCGCGCGGTGTTCGATTTATTGGTAAAATATAGGGCATCTATCTAACATCTGTCTACGAGCAGGTACATCTATCATAGCCGCGATCTCCTTATTATGCAGTCTGTCCGCTGATTTCTCTCATTCCGAAAGCCACACCGAGCCTCGAGGATCACTGAACGACGACTGACACGATTATAGCCATCGCGGGATCGCACTCATTCCAGCGTCCTGGCTAGTCTGGACACTGGGTCCCGAAAATGCTATCTTTGGAGTATCCTATCATCGCGCACATGCAATGCAAACTCTTTCCACGTCTTCATCTGCAGTACTGATCACTCGCAACAGCATGCCTCGGCGGTGCGTGTCAGGACACACGTCGAAATTGTTGTGCCACTGAGAGATGCCGCAGTACGTCTAGCACAACTCCCTCGGAGGATTCATGAAGACCTCCATGCCCTAGTCCCTGGGCTTCACTGCATGTTGGACGAATGCAGCCCGAGTGTCCTATTCCGGTCCGTACAGTGGCAATATAAATGCTGCCATTGCCTGCACACCAACCTCGCCACTCGCATTCATCGCCTCGCCTCTCATTCAACCTCCCAGTCTAAATCGTTCTTTCCCTCGAACTTTCCACCTGACACTCCATACATCATGCTCGTCAAACTCGCTACCTTCCTCGCCGTCGTCACCCTCACGGCGGCTACACCGATGCCGCAGGCCAGCGGGACTCCGAAGTGCACCACCGGCACTCTCCAGTGCTGCACGGCCCTTCCGCTGGAGAATCCCAGCGCTTTCGGGATCGATGACCTCCCCGGTGACCTAATCGACTTCTCCAAAGAGAAGCGCAGTGGGGAGGATGGTCTCCTGTGCGACGCCGAAACCGGTGAAGGCCTTCCCTGGCAAGCTCTATTAATCTTCTACCCACGCACGGCTGCGTAGCTTACGCTCCTTTAAATTGCCAGTTTGTCGCAGCTGTTGTGTTGCGACGGCGATACCAATAGTAGGTCCTGTCCTTTACAGCTTTCTCGCACGGTACTGAGTACGCTTAATACCCCTAGCATTGGGCCTTGCGACCAAGGGCTGCAACCCCCCTATCTACGTCATGACTTGAGAGTCGTCCGTCTAGCCCAGATTTGTACATTATACGCGTTTGCGACTCCAGCTCTGCACCTTGCGGCTGCGCGCGGAGGGATGGACAACGTGGATGCAGGGTTCCGGCCGCGGAGGCTGTCACGGATGTCTTGCAGATTCTTCCGGTGTTGCACCCAGGATGTCGGCGTGTCTGAGTCAATATTTTCATGTTCGCGTGCGAGAATTATCGGACGAGTGATGGCCTACCTATGATAACGAATGTTGAGCGTTGAACGTTGGATGAGTTAAGGTGTCTAGCTCTGACGCGCACCACACGAGACGCGTTGCGCCCTCCCTCGGCCGCACGACCGTTACAACGCGTTTCCTGTTACGGAGCATCGGTGCATTCTGTTGATAAGACTGTGGTGAGTGACGAGCATCAGGACAATGACACCGAATGAGTTTATGTTTGCTGCATGCGCGCGATGATTACCCGAAGAATAGCGTACCCGGCACGTGGAAGCGAGAGCATCTCATTCCAGGATGACTATCATGTCTTCCAGTACTGACAGTGATCAGTACCTGCCTTCAGGTTGTAGGACACTGATGAGAGAATACCACGACCCAGATAGATTACGGGGGGGGGGGCATATGGCTCGCAGCTACGAGAAATGTGTCAGTACGGAGTGAAGGAAGCCGAGTGCGAAGACGAACACGAACCGACGGGCGCTTTCTCCCTAACGCGATCACACAAATCCTCCAGTGGAATAACTTGAATGAAGGCCGGTGTGCTCGCACATACGCAAATCCGGCCTACTCTGCTCTCAATGACGCACCAGAAAGCCATGGTCCGAGTCTAACACACTCTCCGGATGGCAGATATAAATCCCTCCGTTGCCTGTACGCCATCCTCAGCGAATACCATCGCCACTTTCACATACAGCTTCGCCTTTCCTCTCGCCTTCCAGCCCATATTGCTCTCTTCCTCCCACCAATCACACCGCCCACCACCTTTAGCCATGCTCGCCAAACTCGTCACCTTCGCCGCCCTCCTCGCCACTGTCACTGCTGCCACAGCGGTATCCCAGGCCAGCCCGACATCCCAGACCAGTCGGATGTCGCGGGCCAGCGGGGGAAAACCTACCAGGACGCCGCATGCCATCGGCGAACCGCAGATTAGCCCGACACCGGCGCAGGCCGGTGGGACCCCCGGGAAGTGCACCATCGGCAATCTCATGTGCTGCACGGATGTAGTTGATCCAAACGGCTTCGGTCTCTTGGGCATACTCGGTGCATTGCCAGTCGTCCCCACCCACAAGCTCAACGGGGCGATCGGCGTGGTGTGCAACCCCGTCACCGCTGACAGCGTTGGCTGGTACGCTCTGCCGTTCTGCTGAGCACGGGAGCCTATGTCGCTAATGCACCCTCGATTATGTAGCATTGCACAGCTGGCATGCTGCACTGGCGAGGACGCGGGTACGTGCTACTGCTCCCCTCAGTGAACTCGTGTGATCTTGACACCGGAACCCTTAGTACTCGGCGTGACGACCTTCGATTGTATCCCGGTTCCTCCCGAAGGGCCAGAGGTTACCAGCTTGCCTGCGTAGACGTCTCATACTTGTTGGTGACTCTGGCTCGTCTGAGCATCGCGATGAGGCTGAGAGGGGCGGGGAGGAGGAGCTGGGGGCGCCGTTGATGTTTTGCCAGGTTCCTCCAATCTTGTCTTGTTGTCGGCGTGTTTGATAAAGTCATGATCCCACACTGAATACATTGTTGCGCGCGAGGTGTTCCATTTTTCGAACGTCGACTGCTACATATGACGGTGGACTACATGGAATGTCTGACTGGCGGCACCACGCAGTGATCGGCCCCGTCGAGACAAAGGCGCCCGGCGTCTGTTCCGCATTCGTGTTCATGCCGCGTTGCGGCTTGCTTCACTCCACCACCATCAGTCTCTGTAAACGTTTTCGTTGGCCAGATTTTGTGCTGGTGTTTGGAAAAAGGACTTATACGTGGTGAGATGAGGGCCAACAGAGCTCATTCAGCTGCTTGTTTTCACAACAGCACGTAGGAGGCGTGTTCGACACCCACATGCAAGTCATTGGTGACCGCAGGTAAGCTTCAAATACCTTCTGCTCACATATAATCTCATCGCATCAGGAACATATCATAGTCACGGAACACGCTTGAGCTTTTCCAGCGTCTCGCCGTCGCCTCTATCCGAGAGTTGATCCACACCCGGCGGCACACGGCGGCGCAACATTCATAGCAGGCATTGCCTGGTATATTGCTCGCACATCGGCCTCTTGCATGGCATCGCACTCGCGTCCGGACTCGATATAGGATGCAAACGTCACCCAGTCATCTGGGGACCATACCCTCAAGGATCCACAGACATGCCGTTCCAGTTCAAGGCACTATGGATCCTCCCGCATGCGTTCACACTGCATGACGTGCTGGACCCAGCTACATATAACATTGTCAACACTTGTCAATCTTCGAACTTACTCCAGGAGACCCGCGATGATCGCAGCGCGCTTCTGTCGCAGGTGGCGGCGGCGACATCTCAGAGCACTGTTCTCTTCCGGCCGTCTCAGGCATACCAGCCAGACCAAACATTCGACGCCGTCCTGGCGATACCCGGCCGAGGGGACGGCGTACTTTCAACGTCTTCAAGGCCAGGCCCTGACGGGCAATAAACGTGAGTCAAAGAAAGAACCTCTTCGTGCATGACACTCGGCACTCACCTCGGACCTTTGCGACAGGAAAGTCGCTGCCAACAATCGCACGGCCGAGAGACGCTACGAGCACCCTCGTACGGCGACATTCACAGTAGGCCGATGAATGCTGGGGTGCTTGTAGATCCGCAGGTCCGTTCAGCTATATGGCATTTATGCAACGGAGGATCGTAAACTATCAAGGTGTTACAGTCTTCTCTTCCGTTCAGACGGCGGGATGGAGGTATAAAATCTCCTACGGTCGCCCCCCATCCTCAGCAAACACCGTCGCCACCAGCACACACATTCATTCCCGAGCCTCTCCAACCACTCAACCTGCACTTTCCTTTACCACCCAGTCCACCTCAACAGCCATGTTCGCCCAGCTCTTAATCTTTGTCTCCCTTCTCGCCACCTTCGTCGCTGCGACACCGGTGTCCACTTCCACGCCGGTAGCGACCGCGGCGCCGATCATGAGCGTTGTGCCGGTGTCTACTGCAACGCCGGTGTTTCCTGTAGCGCCGGTCCCGCTGGCCCCCGCGCCTCTCCAGTGCACCCAGGGCAGCCCCCAGTGCTGCCAGAGCATCAAGCATGTAACCCCAGCAAACACGACGGACCCGGGTTCCACGCTATTCGGCGTTTTTGAGGGTGACATCCTCCCTCAGGCTGGCATCAATTGCAACATGCTCCACGGCCTCGTGGCTCTTCTGGGCTCTCCGACCTGGTGAGCTGTTTTCTTTTTAAATGTGTACAGTGCTGCGACTAACACGCGTCCGACCCCACAGCGAGGCCCAGCTGGGTTGCTGTGTCACTGGGTCCATCATCGAGGGCATGGGTGCGCGGCGTCCGCTCTTCTTGGCTGTCGCGCTTGTGCTGACGACGCTGGGACTCATCTATAGACGGCGACGGCCTCGCCACTCAAGGCATCCAGTGTATTCCCTTTGCCCAGGGACAGAAGACCAACCCCTTCGGAGGGGCGGCCTGAATAGACTCTCATACCCATTTGTAACTCTCTTCGGCTCGTGCGGTGGTTCTGGAGAGATGGACGGAGGCGGTGGGAAGCGGATGTGGATGTGTTGTAGTGCTCTGTTGTGTTCGAGGTCGTCCTATAATATTTGCCGATTATTCTTGAGCTTGAGTACTCGCCGCGAGTACTGAGGGACGAGTTCCAGCCTCAGCCTGGGCAGCCTGCATGTTCCCGGGAAACTCGGAGCCCCACCACGTGTGAGACCGACGCGTCAAAATTTGGTGCGGGGCGCGTCGGAGCGGGCGCTTCGTCGTGCTCGCTGTTCCCCTCCCCTCCGCCATCATGTTCGCTGCCCGCAGACTCGCCGCCAACACCCCCTCCGCCGCCGCGCGCCTCTACTCTACCGCGCCCCCAGTAAAGCCATCTGTCAAGCTCATCGCCGAGCTCCGCAAGGTCACCGACGGCGTCTCTCTCACCAAGGCCCGTGAGGCGCTCGCTGCCAGCAATAACGACCTCCAGGCCGCGCTCAAATGGCTCGACACCGACCGCGCGGCGACGGGGGCAGCCAGGGTGGCGAAGCTCGCTGATCGCCATGCGGGTGAAGGTCTTGTTGGTGTGCAGGTGCTCTCGCCGGGAGCCCGTCCAGGCGCCGCGGGCGCGGTGCGTGCGGCGATGGTCGAGCTGAACTGCGAGACGGACTTCGTCGCGCGGAACGAGCTCTTCGGGAAGCTTCTCGCCGACATTGCGCACACCGCCGCATTCCTTGCTGAGCCCGCGCAGGGCTCGCGGCTCATTCAATCGGTCTCGTGCGACCTGCTGAACGAGGCCCCGCTGCTCGACCACCTCAACCCCCAAGCATCGTCCGCGTCGCACGCTACCGTCGCCAGCGCCGTGCGCGACCTCGTCACGAAGGTCGGAGAGAAGATCACCTTGCGGCGCGCGGCCGCCGTCGCGCGCGACCCGTTCCCCGCGCAGCAGCGCCACCTCGGCCTGCGCGTGTTCCCGTTCCTCCACGGGTCTGTGGCGCTCCCGACGAACGGCACCAAGGGCACGCTCGCGCTGCTTGCGCTCAAGTCGCCGCAGCTGCCCGAGCTGGTCACGTCGGAGGAGTTCCAGAAGAGGCTCGCGGCGCTGCAGCGCTCGCTCGGCCGCACGATCGTTGGCTTCCCGACGAGGGGGGTCCGCGCGCTGAACGGCGAGCGAGACCCGGATGCGTTGTACTCGCAGCCGACGGACATGTTCATGGACAAGCAGGGGAGCAACATCGAGGAGGAGCTGCGGTTCTGGGCGCAGAAGCATGGGTTGGCTGGTAAGGGGGCGGAAGATGGCGGGATCGAGGTGCTGGAGTTTGAGAAGTGGTCCGTTGGGGAGGTGTTGGAGGGCAACTAGACCGTTCGATCACACCGGTATGTTCTGGTTACCGACACATTGAGCCCCTCCGTTCAGAAGGCGTTCACCCTTTTCGACACGACGACCTCTAGATGCATCTACATATATCACTCAAGTATAATCCGCCATGTATAATACCTGCCCATCACCATCTCACAACTCAGTATGTAATACCTCACGAACAGCAAACGGCGGGACTCAAAAGACGAGCCATCTGGACGGGTAAAGGTGCGTCATAACTCTCCTAAGACTATGAAGTCGTTGTAGTTTCAAGAATGATACATCATCTCTAGCTCTAGTACTTATCCTCACATGATTTCACAGACAGAACCGTACCTCCTGGGATCTTCTGGTAGCCCTTCGTTGCTCACCGTCCAAAGCTACCAAGGCGCGACGCTAGGGGGCCAGCCCCCAATGATCTCCACGCGTCCTGGTGTAATGCACGTTATGTGCCACAATGCACTCGAGGAGCAACTGGTCGGCCTCAGCGTAAGCAGGGTGAGCGTAGTGGGTACCCTGGGCGGCCATTAGCTTGAATTGAGGATGGCGGGAGAGGCACTGGCCTATCGCGCATAGCATCTCTCGACGCCGTCCTTCACACGAAGAACCGCGGGAGAAAGAGACCATGCGATGACCTTTGCACCCCCCAATAACTGGGCGTATGGCCAGTACTGTCCTCGAAGTGGACTCACAGAGCATCCGTGAAGGTGAGCCCGAGTTCTCGTGTGCATACCGGCTCTCGGACTGCCTTATGGCATCAGTCCCCGGGCCCCGTGTATCGCGTTGTCCATACGTTCCATTTGATTTCTAGATCACGAGTCGATGTCTCCGTGTTGCTATCGTCCCGTCAAAGCAACAGGGGTGACATGCTTCTATGCGTCGGCAACACTACCGCCGCACCCGCACAGAAGGACACCTATGGGTAGCTTGTCGTCGCGCAGCGTCCACAAAGGTGTCGCATCCCCCCGTACTTGGCAGTAATCTCTACCACATCCACTCGGCGGCGGGGTGGAGGTGCGGCACGAAGTTCTATACATGCAGGGCCTTGGGCGTTCGGAACATCTCCGAGTCGTTGCCTAGTGAGTCGGTGGTGAACTGCAGTGGCACTGAAACTACCCTTTCAAGGTAACGTGAAATGCCGGTCAAGACCCCTGGGAAGCGACCGCTCAGATGACAGACGTTTCACAGGGCGTTTTGGACAGTCCATACATCGAGGTGGGTTAAATACATCCTGAGCCCGAATGAGGAACTCCTGCTGATGCTTATGGTGCATAGATCGGCAAAGAAGCTACTTTTGTAGCTCTACCGCGCAGCGCGGCGCGGCGATTAGTAGCGTTCAAGACTTGACCCAATGACCCTTCAAAGAACGAGAAGTTGCTTCTCTCCCTTGTCCGTGTGGGTCGTGGCTCCAATCTGACCTCAGCGACGCTCCCATGCGTGAAGAGCTAGGGCACGAAAGCTTCCTTCTGTAGGCGCCGGCCAAACTGCGCGCGGTCTATAAGGACTCCATGGTCTGTATTGGCATTCCCACCATTATTCCCCCACAGCCATGATCGACTCAGCGCTCGTCCCCGACTTATGGACAGGCGTCGCCATCTTTGCCGTTCTATACCTCGTGAAATGGCGCCTTGACCCGGTAAGCACTCCTCTCATGACACGCAAATACTGCACGCAGTTGACGCAGACTCGGACTCTAGTTGTATCACATCCCGACGGTGGGAGGCACCTCCCTCCCGCTCCTCTCCTACATAGGGGCACGCAAGTTCGTGCACCGAGGCAAGGATGTCATTCAGGAAGGTTATCGTAAGGTATGTCATACCTTCCTCGTACGACTGGTGCTCGGTGACACAAAGCCCATCTTGTGCAGCATCACGGCAGGGCCTTCAAGGTCCCTATGATGGATAAGTGGAAGGTGTTTGTCTCGGGCCCAGAGTTGTTAGACGACATCAGGCGCAGACCGGACGACGAGGTATCGCTTACGGAGAGCGTCGAGGCTGTGAGATTTCGCATGCTCTGATCACCGTTGTCCGTGCTTGACGTGAAGAAACAGGATTTACAGATCAGGAACATCGTTGATCGTGAAGTGGTCGATAATCCGTACCATATCGACATAATCAAGGAGAAGCTCACGCGAAGCCTCCCCGCGGTCTTGCCACACGTCGTCGACGAACTGCGACTGGCAGTGCCAGAGCATGTCCCGGCCGTCTCGGGAGGTAAGTTTCCCACAGCCTCTTCAACGAATAATGCCATTCAGAGTAAATTCGCGCTTAGAGTGGACAGAGGTCAACGTACTAGGCGCTTTCCGACAGATCGTAGCCCGTGCAAGCAATCGCGTCTTCGTCGGTGAACCACTTTGTGTGTATACATGACCTTCACACCTAACGCGTCTAACGATGTTTACCCTACAGGTCGTAATGAAGAATTTTTGGCTCTTATGATTAGATTCGCTGTCGACCTCTGGAAAGACCGAGCCAGGCTCGGCTGGTTCCCGCAATTCCTGAAACCGTGAGCGCGTTCGATATAGCCAACACCCTGTTTTGTTTGCTAATCCGTAAATAACAGATACCTTAGCATGAGCTACAGCTTGGCGAGGCGTTCGTTGCGTAGGAATAAGGAGATTCTGCAGCCGGTGATCGATGAGCGCAAAGTGATGATGGAGAAATGGGGGGACGACTGGACTGACAAACCTGTTTGTTGCCTGCAGCACCTGTATGGCGTTGACTAAAACTGCTCCGCAGAACGACATGTTGCAATGGTTCATAGAAGCCCAGGAGACGGAAGACCAGTACCAGAAGGTCGCTGACAAGATCGTGCTCACGAACTTCGCTGCGATTCACACTTCTTCAATAGTCTGTCGTTCACTTACCTGCCAGAAATGCACACTGATACTCGATCAGACCGGCAGTGTCTCCTTTTTGTGGCTCGCGGACCACCCCCAGTACATTGAGCCGATCCGTGACGAGATCGAAGAGGTTGTTTCTCGGAACGGCTGGACGAAGGCGGCCTTAGGCAAAATGTGGAAGCTTGACAGCCTTCTCAAGGAGTCTCAGCGCCGTCAGGGATTCAATCTGGGTACGCACACATTCTTTCTGCTTGCGGTCGAATCACCCGCACCGGCACTGAGCATACTTAGCTTCCTTGAGACGGAAGGTGATGAAGGATATCACGCTGTGCGACGGCACCGTCCTCCCGCGCGGCACGGATGTCGTTGCGGCGGCTTACGACATCCACCACAACGCCGCCAAGTACGAGGACCCGTACGTCTTCGACCCATTCCGCTTCTCGCGCATGCGCGCGGAGTCAGAGGAGGAGCGCGTCAAGAACCAGTTCGTTAACACATCTGTCGACTACATCCCATTCGGTCATGGTAAGCACGCGTGGTACGTCCTCGATGCAGCGATCAAGTGGCGCATCGATTTACTGATCATCCCAATTTAATTATGAAGCCCGGGACGCTTCTTCGCGGCGAACGAACTGAAGGCACTGCTCGCATACCTTATCCTCAACTACGACTTCAAAATGGGTGGCGATGGCCATGCTGGGCCTCTGACGTACCAAGGCTTGCTAGTCATTCCTCCTGCGAATCCAATGGTGAAGTTCAGGAAGCGCGAGCCGACCCATCACGGTCCCACAGCTCAGCTTGTAATACCTCGCGACTAGCAGATGGCGAAGATGTGGCAAGCAAGTGTTTGTCCAGGAAACTGTATTATAGTGTCCAAACGGCTTTCAAATTATCCCAGTAACAAAAATTTAAATGGCACCAGCCCTTGGATTGGCATCACCGGACTCTCAGTATGCATCCTCGTACGCTTTCACAGGCAGAACCGCGCCTCCTGGGACGTCCCGGTAGCCCTTGTTTGCCCTATTAGCGCGTACCATAAGCACTACCACTAAAATCAGCAGCACGATCACGCCCGCGAGCATCCCGATGATGACAGTCGAGTCTCGCAACAGGTCGTCCACGCGCTTGCTGTCGGCCTTGCTGCCAGCGTTGCTACTGCCAGTGTCATCTTCCGCGAGCGCACCAGCGACGAGCTGCTGGGAGGCGGCCCCTTGCGGGCTCGTCGTCTGCTGGTAGACCGGAGGCGAGGTGGGAGTCGCGGAGGACTCGGACGTGCCCCACTCGCCCAAATGCGGCGCCGCGCCGGAGGGGAGGGGTGCGTACGTCTGCTTGTCGTCGGCCGAGGACACGCTGATGACCGGAGTGCTGCCGGTCCACGCGTACTGCGTTGTCGTCGGGGTTACTCCGCGCGTCGAGGTAAAGTACGCGTTGTGCGCGACAATGCGCTCGAGCAGCAGCTTGTCTGTCTCGGCCCAGGCAGCATCGGCGTCGGTAATCTATACTCTTGTCAGAGAGCGAGTGATTCATGATACAATAGATACTGACGCTCAGGAGCTGCATATATGCGGGGCCCTCGCTCGGATTTGTGTCCCACCCGAGGTCGAATAGCGAGTACACGTTACGCAGGAACGTATCTCCGAGGAGCCAGTCTGAACGGTAATATATCAGTGAGTGTTATGCTGTGTGCGGCCAATGACGCTAACCTGGACCACTCGAGCCGTCACTCTCATCGGCGTGTGAAATCGCGCCCGTACAATAGAAGGTTCCATTGGGTGTCGTGTTCACAGTGACCATGTCGATGGGATGGACGGGATACTGTTGGCCTCTGCGAAGACATATCAGCACGAAAACACTAGAGAGCAGCATGAGTTGAATAGCGCACCCGAACACGAAACTGATGTTCAGCTTCGTGTCACAAGGAATGACATATCCGAACCCATTCGAACCATCCGCGTTGTCGGTTGGTATCGCACCTGCGACATCCTTGAATATGGTGTCGACATAGTATTGCGGGCCGCGTGCTGCGTACAATAGTTGACGTTTCATAAGTAGGGTCGTGATTATTGAGGGCTCTCAGGAGATACGACCTCTCAGCGGAGGTGGGACGTACCGTAACTACTTCCGGTATCAATCGCGGCAATCGTAGCATTCCCAGGAATGTCGTGGTGAAATTCACTAGCGTATGCCTCGCTCGCCTCCGAATGACCATCGAGTAGCATCCCATTGACGTAAACCCCATCGAGTAGAGTCGTCCATGTGCCATTTCCCAGTGTCTCGAGACGGGGCGCAGACGTGATTGCAGATAGCTCAGTAACAAGCTCCGCTGTAATAAGAGTCAGTCTTGATCGCAAGACGACAGGCGCATGCGCGACGTACATATCGTGAACACGCCGCCGGGGTTGACCCCAAGCTCTGGACGTGACAGCAAGAAAGTGAAGTAGTTGGGCTGATCCTCCAGTGAGGACAGAATCTGCAAGCCGTGTAAGCTTCCTACTACAATATACTTCACTAAGAAGCGACTGCTAACGTTATGAGCTATGGGTCTTCCATTTTCTGCGAATGGTGTGCCATTGGATAGCAGTTCATGAGTTGTCGAGATGGAAACTCTATGGAAAGCGGGTCGACATAAGTGATGCTACGCCTTTGAAAAAGCCCCGAATATACCTCGATAATCCCAAGATGCCTTGAAACCAGTCGGGTGATGGTGAGCCCTTAGGCGAGAGCACTGTGAAGTGGGCGAGAATTATGGGAACCCGATAAGTGGCTGTAGATACACCTTGGCTCACTGATCGCCTGGTTCGAGGCTGCATATGGCCCTAGAGTGATATTAGCAAGCACAAGTTGTCCAGAAGACACCGTCCCATCGCTATCGCCCCGCACATCAGCCTGACGCGTCCGAAATGAGAAAACCCAATACGCGTACGCACGCATAAGTGGCACTGTTGTTCTTGCCCGTGTAGATCATATCGGGTGGCGTAATGCCTTGTATAACGGGGTCGATCCATGTGTCAGGACTTCCAGTGTCACAAAGGACCTGTACGTGGCGTCAGCTATAAGCACTCCACAAATCGGGGAAACGCGCACTTGGAAAGGAACCCCATTCACAGTGAGGGTCACTGTGTATTGTTGATCATAGATGTGCGTGAACCCAAAGCCTTCGTCTCCACCCGCATGCGCAACGGAGTACGGATGCGGATTTTGCTGGCGAGATGAAATAGGGAGCCGCAGTGCGCTGATTAGGGATGCGGAAGAGATAAGAAGCGATAGTAAAGGCCGAAGCAGCATCGTAAAATTGTGAAGACGTCTCCCGGTCTTAGAGGAAATAAACGAAAGAGACAGCAGAGGAAGGGTAGACGAAAACGTCCCCTCGCGAGGCTTTATATTTACCTGCTGCATCCTTGAAGAATCCCTGGGAGCTTTTCTGAGCACATCGCACCCCTTCGAAACCAATTCGCTAGGCAACCTTGGCGTGCTGTCTTGCCTAATTTAGGTGAGGCAGTGTGCCTTCCTTAACCGTGACACCTCCGAGGGGCATACACTTCCGAGAACCGCGTAGTGGCGCGAGACCGTCCTACCGGAACGCGTCGCTCGAGTCTAGTAAGTATCTGAATCTGGCTGTTCAGTGAGCTGTCGCTCAGCGTTGGTGTCAAAGGCCACAATATTCTTGTCACTCACGTAGTCTGGCTCCAATATTTCCAGAGCATATCAACTGTTGCCCAGAGTGGCCTTAGGCGGATGAGGAACTGGACGAGTCTCGCCATCTGTCCGGACAGCCCCAGCGGGTGCCTGCGGAAAGAGTGAGAGTATTTCCTGAGCCTTGTGTATGCGCTCCCCGCAACCGGCGAGTAGTGGATCAGAGAGAACAAGGGTTCGTAGCATTGTTCGCATGCACTAGCATGCGCCAAGAAGGGTAACTAGACAAACAGTGGTGTGCAGTTGGCAGGACTCAAGCAGCAAACCCCAAACCGCCGCACGCTGACGACTATTTCGGTGGCAGTGCACTACAGCCGCCACATCTGCCCTGCCATATATGGTCTTGGCAGATCACGCTGATGGTGAAATGCGCCTTCGGAGGGTCCACGCAACCCTACCCTCCCCGAACATGAGTGATGCGATGTCATATTTGTTAATTACGGCGGATGCGGGATTTTCGATGAGACCTCTCCGAGACACGAGGAGCTACAACACTGGCAGTGTCATGTCCAACTGCGACACGATATCCGGGGTGTAAGTAACTTCCCTTGCGTGGCGAAATGGGACTTGAACTCGGACATTGTCTCATCCAAAGTATCGCCATGAATCAGCGCGATGCTGGTCAGCAGCATATCCGGCTTCAAGTTGGGCAATCTATGCAAAACGCCTCGCTACCATGGCGTTCCGAATGGGCGGCGGTGTGAATAAAGTAATCATCAATATACGGACCCCTTATAACGTTATAAGCTACAGAAGTGCATGCAGGGTAACAAGAGGTGTCGTAAAGAGGGGCAGGGGGGCGCGGCATGTGCGGGTCTACTCAGAGTAAGTACTCATAAACGACTTCGGCGGACCACCCGTCGCACCGAGCGCCCGGTATCCCTTATTCGCCCGGCTGGCACGAACAGCGAGTGCGACGACAGCGACTAGAAGAAGTAGAGCTGCCGCCAACAGCCCAATTATGATGTACGTGTTCCGGGTGAGGCCGCTGAGGTCGACATGGCCGGATCCGGAGTCGCCGACAACGGCGTTCTCGGCTACCGCACCGCTTAAGGTATTCGGCGAGACTGACTCGGAAACGAAAGTGTACGATGAGGCGACAGCGGCGGCCGACGCGGAAGGGCGCGGTGAAAACGTCTGCTTGTCGTCCGCAGAGGTGAGGGCAGGGGCGGAAGTGGGGCCCGCGTACGCGCGCTGCGTTGTCGTCGGGGTGACGCCATATGTCGAGGTGAAGTAGCTCTCGTAGGCGACTAGGCGCTTGAGCATTAATGCATCGGTCTCCGCCCATGCAGCGTCGGCATCCGTGATCTACGTGCTTGCTGAGCACGGAACACCGCAATAAAAAAAGGGAGAGCACGTACACTCAGCAGTTGCATGTAGGGAAACCCGGCGTTCGGGTTCGACATATTCCCATAGTCGTAGAGCGAGTACACGTTGCGCATAAACGTGTCACCGATGAGCCAGTCTAAAGGTGGCAATATGATATGAGACCGCCGCGCGATATAGCAAGCTTCCTGCTGCGACCCACCACTCGCGAGATCCACTGGATCCAGGTTCATGCTAAGAGCGCTCAAGCATACCATGAGACCGTTCGCCGTCTGGTTGACGATCACGGCATCGAGAGGATGGATAGGGAATGGCTGGCCGCTGTCCTACATGTCAGTTGCGACCTCGGAGTTATAGCTAAAATAGTGGAAACATACCCGAAGTGAAGTGTAAGATTCAACTTAGTGTCACAGGGAATGATGTACGCTGGACCAGCACCAGCTGTATCATTGGTAAGGATGGCGCCGGGAATGTTCTTGTACGCAGCGTCGACGTATGCTGGCGGTCCCATAACTGTCGTGAAGGTCGCCATAATCAGCACTGTTCCCATGGGGAAGCAAGGCCAGGTATACTAACTGAAGCTAGAACCAGAGTCGACCACGGCGATGGTTTTGCCCGGGGGAAGCCCACCGCGGAATTGGGTTGCGTATGATATCAACCCCGAATGGCCGTCCATGAATTGACCGTTGATAGTCATACCGTCCATGTGAGTCTCCCATCCTTGGTCTATGACCGGGATCATGTGTGGCGCAGAGGTGATGGACGCGTACTCGGTGATAAGTTCGGCTGGCAGCAGCGTATTAGCGATGCAGCTTCGCTTAGACAGAGAAGCAATGCTGACAGACTGTGAAAGTACCGCCATTAGTCACCCCCAGCTCGTCCCGGTCCATGAGGAACGTGAAATAGTTGTGCTCTTCCTGGGTTTGGGCAAAAACCTGGGTGTCGCAAGACGATCAGCATCATGACTTCGAACGTCGACTTCAACTTAGAAGGCTTACGTTCACTAGCAAGGGGAGGCTATTCGCGGCGTAAGAAGAGTTATACAAGGCGGTGAAAATGGTCGACGATTTAATCCTGTACAAAGCTCCGTGTCAGATGTGCGCAAAGTAGGGCTGTGCAGCACTCACATTGACAGCCCAATCAGCCCGCTGATCATATCGGGAGAAGGAGCGACATTCTGCACGACACCTGAATACGGCACTGATCAGCACATGCGCAGCGAATAGATCTGCAGCCGACGTACGGATGGCCTGATTGTTCACTGTGTAAGGCCCAAGAGTAACATTTGCGAGCATCACCATACCTGGAGCCTCGGTTCCGTCCCTAGATAGACTATATCAGCAAACATCTAGGCTTCCAATCGCACGTTCGGCACTTACGCATACGCAGTGGACGTGTTAAAGCCCGAGTAAAACATGTCCGGCGGCGTGATGGCTGGCCCCACGGATACATCGATCCACGTATCCGAACTACCTGTGTCAAGAATGCACTGTTGGATAGATGTTCAGGGAATAGCTCATATGACGATGATGGCCGTTTGGACTCGCCTGGAAAGGTACCCCGTTGACCCATAGCGTCGCGGTATAAGCATCGTTCGCCGCGTGCGAGAACCCAAAACTCTTATCGCCGGCCGTCAAGACAGACACTGGGTGGTCAGAGTCTGCCCGGGGAACACGCCCTGTGACTGGGACCCTCCGGCTGGAGACATGTGAGGCAAGAAGTGGGATGAATGGGAGAAGGAAGTTCGTGAAACGCATCTCTGCACTCGAACGCGAGTATAGCAGAGGCGTGATCCAGCAAGAAAACCGTGGCGCCGGAGAAGAAAGAGAGGATAAATGGCGAAGTTAAACGGCGCAACATCGACTTTTATATGAGAGAAGGACGGGCGAAAAAAGCAGGTCCCCGTCACAGCATCAGCCGCACTTGTCCGTGGGCTGTTTGAAAAAGGGGTCTAGCGTTGACAGATGCCCGAAACTGTTCGATGGTACAACAAACAGCGGTCACCCCGGGAATCCTTGGTTGCCGCAGAAATTATTAGCGGCATCACCGAACGCACTGGCCCTTGACACTGTCGTCTAGATGTACCGCATGTAGTGCCCGGGCCCCTGACCGAGGGAGTCAGTTGGATGTATTCATGCGTATGGATGATAAGGGTATACCTTCGGATGCGGTCAGCGCTGGTAATGCCTGATGTACATGTTATCTCAAGCAGGCGGCTGCACTTGCTGACCCGAGGTGAGGAAGAGAGTAGCAGCGTCAAGCGGTGCCAGTTGGGTATTCGCTGAAGGATCAGATTGCTGAAGCTGATAGCTGCCGAGTGAGCGGGTCTACATATGTGTGCTGAAGGGAAGTGCCGAAACATCGGACGTTAAGTCGATGGCCCGGCAATGTAAATTCCACGAGCGACGGGGCGATACAGTCGTCTTGGACGGCGGCGGGTAGGCTATATTTGAATTTCAACAAATGTTCTTGGGATGCACTCGAAGCGGGGCTGCGTACGCATACAACAGCGTGGCTGTGGCCGTAGCGCTCCTGTAGTAAAGACGAAGTCGATTTTCAGCCAATTCGAACGTCTTAGTAGTGTCTGTATGACGCAGAGCTTCCCCCATTTCTAAGCTCCCCAGAGGCATGGCATGCACGGGCCTCAGGCCCGATGCAGTTGGTCCTTGCACGGTGTAGTTCCCCGGCGTGCAACGTCCAGGTATGGATGCACGCCGGCGATTCACAGACATAGTCTGCCGGCTTACCGCTCAACAAGAATAACATGGCAGCGTGGGCTACCGATGTCCAAACGTTGCTTCATCCGACACTGAGCAAGGCGGTTTTGCGCGGTGAGAGGGCGACAACTTTGTTTGATTTTATGGCCTTCGGCGACTGTATAAGCCCGCGCCAAGTCATGTAGTAGCAACGCTTTTGCGAGCGGCACGGCATGACAGCGCTGTAGATGAGAATAAGCTCATTACGCATGCATTGAAGATTGTAGTAATGAACGCTAAAAATTATGCGACGCCCGCCACCCCGAAGTTTAAGCCACTGGAGCATATACGCGCCTAGGGATGTTGACCACCGCGATGAAACTCTATTCCACCTTCTCGCTACGTCGTCCGATGGGAGACTGGCCAAGTGCAAGTTCTCGCCATGACGAAAATAGCCGTGAAGGCGGGATGGCTGAGCGGGGAACGGGTGCATTATGCACCGTTTAGCAGTAGTCGACAGCAGGGTATTCAATCCAGGTAAAGCCCAATCATGGCGAAGCAAGACGACAAGCAGAGCAAAGAGGCGGCGAGGAGAGATGGTGGTGGGAGGGAAGGAAGGGGCCGTGACGGAAAGGGCGGGAAGAGAACGTGACAAACGAACGCAAGGGGAAGGGCGCCTGCCACGGACGAAGGCTCCGTCCAAAGCTCAAAGCTTCAGCTCTCCGTCCGGGCTGAGCCCTCTGGTAATATTCGTCTCCTCGCCCTCTTCACCTGCTGTCTGCCCACCAAGATACCCGTCTCACCCCCCGCCATCCCTGCCGCCGCCGCCACCACCATGAACGGCACGCAGACCGCGAGACACGGCAGACCTGCCCCCGCGGGACCCACTCCTCCAGCACCCGCCGCCGCACCACCCGTACCGCCAAATACGGCACACACCCAGCCTGGGACGCGTCCACCCAACGGGGCGCCCGCGAATGGCACACATCCGCCCCCGCAGAAGGGCAAGAAGAAGGCCCCAGACCAGCCTGTGGACCCCACGCAGATGTACGAGACGCTGAAGAACCGCATCGCGGCGCTGGAGGAGGAGGAGGTGCACGAAGAGGAAGAGGAGAGGCGATTCAGTGCGTACAAGTCTATAGACGCATTCCGGGTGGCGAACTGACCTTCAGCAGCCGAGGAGGCACAGAAGTCCGTCTCCGGAATGACTGAGACGGCCATACATGCCAAATACATCGAGCTAGTGCGTTTCTACCTCACCTGTTCGTCGCGCGCACTATTCATATACCTCTGCTAGTTCGCGGAACTCAAACGACTGGAACGCGACCACGCAAAGGAGAAGCAAAAGCTGACCAAAGACAAGGATGCGGGTACGTTCGTACTCAGGAGTCCGTATTGACCACACAACTCAAGTTGAGCAGCCAAGGGTCAGTTAACGAAGGCGAACCAGACCAAGACCAAGATGGAGAACCTTGCCCGGGAGCTGCAGAAGGTGACCGCTAGCCCGTACACCCGCCCCGTTCCGCTTTTGACCGTTCTTGCAGGATAACAAGAAACTAAGGGTGGGTCGTCGCGCGGACCCCAAAATATTTGCTGTATCTTACGAGATCGTGCTCTACAGGAAGACAGCAAACGACTAGCCACATGCGTAGAGGAGGCGCAAGACGAGGTACGTCCCGGCCATTCCAACCCGTCCAAGCGACACATCCCAATATGTCCCCGCCGCCGCCCCACACAGATCATGCAGATGAAGAGCGACATGGCGAAACGTGCGGAGCGCGCGAAGGTGCAGGAGAGCAAGTACCGCGAGATGCCCGACATCGTCGTGCGCGTCGTGTGCAAGTACCGCGCCGAGCTCTACTTCAAGATCTCGCGCAAGACGAAACTCTCGCGCCTCTTCAACGCGTGGACGGACCGCATGGAGACAAACATGGGCGGTGGCGCGTCCGCCGCGGGAGCAAGCACCGTCAGCGCGGGTCCGGGCAAGAAGGGCAGCAGCCCGCAGCCGAACGGGATGGTGCGCTCGGACGCGGCAAGCACGAGCGGGTCGTCTCTCGCTGGCGCGAGCTCGATGCAGTTCATATTCTCGCACGGCGGGCGCACACTCGAGCCGGACCAGACGCCGGAGGAGGCAGGCATCGAGGATGGAGACGTCATCTTGGCTGTTGAGATGATGGACCTCACGGAGGGGTCCGGCACGGAGGAGCTGGACGACGGCCCTCAGCCTGTGCGACAGAAGCTCAAGAAGGAGTGGGTGGAGAACCCAACAGAGTGAGTACTCTCTCCCATTGCGACCAGTGGGATATGCTGAACGTCCGAGCAGAGCACGGAAGACTCTCCAGAGCATATTCGACGAAGTGTGCGTACATGCGCCACATTTACGTCGCTTTACCCTGCTGACCACGCATTCGCACCACGCCAGTGTGCGCGAGCGCTTGAAGGAGGTTCTCCGACAGTATAAGCTGCGAGAAAGCCACTTTGAGTGCGTCGTGCGATCGAAGGAGCTCGAGGTCCTCTTGTCCCGCGCGCGAGCAGCGGAGCAGAAACAGCTCGCAGACGCTGAGAAGGCGCGAGCCGACAAAACGGACGATGAGGTACGCACACGTCCCTCAACGCTATGTCTCTTAATGTTATTCACGCTCTGCGATGCTCCACAGATAAAGGCTCTACGTAAAGAGCTGGACGAGGCGACAGAGCAGCAGACAATCCTCATCAACAAGCTCCTATCGTGTTGTCACGAAGTACGTTTCCCCCCTCCGCGCGACCTGCACACCCCCTGACCGGTATGTTTCCCGCGACAGCCCGACAGCGAGCGAACACGACAATTCCTACAATCCCTACACGGCGCGCTACACAGCAAAGACATACACAAGTCTGTGCCTGTGGACGGGGACAAGGGGAATAATCGGCGGGCGGAAGGCTCGTGACAGTGAACGTGGCGGGTGTGTGTTGGACGGGCTATTCTATACGTGTACCGTCCCTTGCATGCTCATCGAAGTTCACCGTTCTGTTTTCACCGCTCGGAGACATGCGTGTGTGTGAGGGGAGGCCGCTCGGCTGCGGAGTGAGCGCTGCTTTTATTACGCCTCCTTGACCGTCTTCCACCGCGTGGTAATGTGCCATGTTCCAACCTTACTCGCGGAGTACTAAATATCGACAGGCACACAAATTTATCGATGCCGCAAGGTGCAATATCGCCGGGTAGAACCCGATGGTTAGAATGAGATGTCCCGTGCAATGTCCATTCCGCTGGTTAAGGTCCCTCACTACAACGACGAATATAGGCTGATACTACAGAGCTGTCCATGTGTGTTCCTTCTCGTCCGAGGGATTGCAATAGTCCGGCATCCTACACAAGAGCATCGAGTTCCTCCACACTCTCCACGTAACCCGACCGCGAGAACGTCTTCCCCTTCACCGACTCGAGGCCCTCGCCCGCGTACGTCACGAGCGGCGACAGCTCGATCTCCACGCCCTCCAGCACCTTCGCGCCCGCGGCCTCGAGGTACCGCCGGTGCTGCGCGAGGAGGTCGCGCCGGCTGGTGTCCGGGTCGTCCGACCCGGTCCCCGGCGCGTTTTTGAGCGGGCTGAACTCGTCCGCGCGCGCGACCTCGAGCACGGCGAAGTGCTTCGTGAACGGGAACACGTCGAACACGAACATCTCGAGCTTCATCCCATTCGGCGTCGCGGGCTTGACCGCCTCGCCCGTCGCGGTGTCCACGTGCGCGATCTTCTTGCGCGCGATGTGGAACGCGAGCTCGTCCTCGAACGCCTCGACGGAGCGCAGGAAGTCCGTCGTGTAGAAGTGGTTCGCGATGTTGCCCGCGCGGAACGCGAGCCCGCCCTGCGCGTCGCGGCGCTCCGCCTGCTCGGGCGTGATCTCCGAATACTCGACCACGCTGAACTTGTCGCCGCGCCGCGCGATGACGCCGACGGACTCCTTCGGGTACGCCTTGGGCACGACCTTCGCCGCGCAGTCCGCCTGCTTCTGGATGCAGTAGCCGAGGAACACGGGGTCCGCGATGCGCACGAGGCAGTTGTCCACGCAGTAGCCGTGCACGTAACGGATGTTGCGCCGCTCAAGGTCGGAAAGCACGGTGCGCGACTTGTCCGAGGGAGAGAGGGGTTGACGGAGCGCGGCGTAAAGGCCGCCGTTACCGTCTGGCGCGACGGCTACGCGCGAGCGCGTCTCGAGAAGGACCTTGCCATCCATGGTGAGGCAGGGAAGGGTGCCTGCAGGATCATTGAGTGTCAGCGGGCTGTTCGCATGCTGTCGTAAGCCTCGCACTACGCGGTTTGAGGGCGCAAATACGAGGCCACCGTAACAAGACGCGAATGAAGCCAAACGGTACGCACCCTGCTCGAAGAAGGTAACATTGGCGGGGTCCAGCCCGAAGTAGTTCTGTTTCTTGAAGAACGCCTCGGTTTCATGCCTTGTTGGCCCGCTCGTCATCACGTACCACGGAATCACGACTGATCCCGCAGGCTTGCCCGCCGTCTCGGCCGCGACCTGCTGAAGGCGCGCAATGCGCTCCGCCTGGTACTGGAACAGGGTCTTGTGTGACGGGAGTCCAATGTCATAGCAGCCCTTCGGCGCTGAACTTCCTAGGCGCGTACCCTGCCCACCGGCCATGAGAAGGACACCGACCTGTCCGCGCGCGATGGCCTCTAGGCCAGTCTGGCGCCATTCACGCTCCTTTTCTGGGAGCCCGATGACGGAGCCTGCAGCGTCCTCCGGGAGGGGCTCGATGATGTCCTTGCCGCTGTTTTCGGCGATTTCTTTCTCGGAAGAGACCGCCTTCTTGTAGATACGGTTGACACGTTCAATGTCGAGGGCCTCGAGCTGCGCGCGCAGGGCGCCGCGCTCGGACTCGGAGAGGTCATCCCAGAAGGCGAAGAGGTGGCCCTGACCCGCAGTTTCGTAGCGCTTGCGCAAATTATCGGCAGACATAGTGGGGTAGGGTAGGGAAGAGGACTTCTAGGGAATTCGTGGGGCGGAGAGGAGGGAGATGGTGGTTGGGGGGAAAGCTGTATGTTCTGCTTTAACGCGTCGCGTCCATGACGATCTGCCACATTCGGAAGTTTCCGTACAGCCCACTTACGATGCCGGCGGTGCGCTGGGCTCGTGGCTGTTCCCCTGCTCTGCACAGATCATCCGCTCATCCTCCCCTCCGAGCCCCGCAATGCGTTTGCATCCAGGCAGGAACGTTCGTCGTTGCTGCCCGGCTTGTGAACTCGGCCAACCCAGCCCGCAATCACCGCATACCAGGACGGTCGCATTCATGACACGCACCGACCCTCTTTCCCCGCCACTCCAATCCGCTTCGCTTCGCGATGATGTGGACGCTAGCTGCGAATGAAGTCCATCATCTCTTGGAACGCGAACGCTTGCTATACCTCCGGTCCCTTTTCGACTCTCGAAAGAGTGTGCATCTGGGCAGAAGTTGTGAAGAGATGGTGGTGGGAGGAGCAGTGAAGAGTCGCAAGGTATGGCACTCATCGATCGCGAGGCGCTCTCTACGTCTGCGAAGCTGCACCGTTTGACCCAACTAGGCCTCAACGTGTTGCAACAAGCATACTAGATAGCTAATACGGTATCTGAGCGTCGAAGGCAGATTCGTAAAGCCTCCGGCGCAGACCTCTATCAGGCGCACGCTATCTTTCGGGTCCAAAAATACTGACAACGAGGAGTCGCAGCTCCCTGGATATGTTCGACGACGTCATTTATGAGTGGCCCCTGGCTAGAACACCCCTCTGCAGTCCGTATGTGTAACTTGGGCGAAATATCGTCCGCGTGCCAATCACCAGGTGATGAACATGTCCCATATGTACCACTAACGAAATCCCGCGACGCCCAAAATACTAGGCTCAAATCCCACCGGTTGTTTCGTATGGTCGCCGAGTACTGCTCATTCAGGTCCGAGGACGAAGTGGACGGAGATGGTCGTTCTTGTCCAGAATAGGCCGAAAGTTAGGTGAGTGTGCGAGGATCCTCCGGGTGGGCATCGTCTGGTCAACCGAGCTACCTCTGACCACATCACAGCGTGCCGGACCTCGAGAACGGTTGTAGCGATCTGCGACGCTCGCCCGTGGCGGAGCCGTGCGAGACGACGTTTCGGGCGGGCGCACGAGGCGTCATGCAACCATCCCAATGGTCACCTGGTCGTCCCAAGCCGGCGCCCACAGCAGATTTCGCGATGGCGAACGGTTTCGTGTCTCTGCCTACCGTCTCTTATCATATGTCAGCCATCCCGCCTCGTGGTATTCAGGTACGACGGAAGCCAGGATGATCACAAGTGGGTGTCCGCGAGAATGCTACCGCCAGGCCCCAGGTCATGGCCGCGCAGCACATGCACCTGCAGAACGCCAGCCGCGTTGCACGAGTAGGCGCCTGGCAACACACAGTACTGTCCCTGCTAATTTCGTCGCGGCCCAGCGCACGTCGCGGGCGGCGAACGGCTCGGCGAAGAGGAGCACGTGTGGTAGCGAGCAAGGTTCCGAGAGGGCTGGCAGGGCTGGCAAGTGGATTGTGATGGAAGCCCCACTGCGTCTCTCTTAGCGTCAATTTCCGCTGCTATTCTTTCCACTCGCCCGGGCTACTTAAACCCGCGCCTCATTCCATCCCTCTTGTCCTTGTCCGACGACCTCCCCCTCCCTGGCCCCTCACACTCTCCTTGGAACCCCCACCGCCATCGCCATGGTCTCCTTCAGCGCCCTCTTGTCCTCGGTCTCCGTTCTCGCCGCATTCTTCGTGCCCGCCGTCCTGGGCGACAACCCCATCAACTCCGCCTTTGCGTATGGCTCCACCAAAGTGCGCGGTGTGAACCTGGGAGGTTGGCTGGTCTTGGAGGTACGTAGTGCAACATGCGGGGTGGAGCGCCTCTTACGCGTCGCGTCTCATTTCGCTTCCCTCTCTAGCCGTGGATCACCCCAAGCCTGTTCGACCACACCGGAAACTCTGCGATCGTGGACGAGTGGACGTTCGGCCAGCTGCAGAACCGCAACACCGCACTGTCCGCGCTGCAGAACCACTGGAACACATGGATCACCGAGCAGGACTTCATTAGCATCGCTAACGCTGGGTAAGTCACGTGGCCGTGTAATGCAGGGACTACATTCACACTCGTCCAGCCTCAACCACGTCCGCATTCCCATCGGATACTGGGCCTTCGAGGTTGGCCCGGGCGAGCCCTACATTTCCGGCCAGCTGCCCTACCTCCAGAAGGCAGTCGGCTGGGCGCGCTCGCACGGACTCAAGGTCATCGTTGACTTGCACGGAGCTCCGGGAAGCCAGAACGGGTAGGCTTTGCATTCATGCTTTATCTACGGTCCATGCCAAGACTCAAGGTTCTCCGTTGCAGTTTTGATAACTCTGGACATCGTATTTCATTCCCTCAGTGGCACTCCAACTCGACCAACGTTGCGCGCACGGATGCGATCATCAAGCGGATCGCGTCCCTGTTCGTCAACGACCAAGACGTCGTGACGGTGATCGCGCCCCTAAACGAGTATGTCCATCTCTCTTTGCTGCCAAGATCATCTCTGACGGAAGTGGCGCTCTAGACCCGCCGGCTTCGACGGCTCCGACGTCCTGAGCGTTGTCCAGCAGTATTGGTACGACTCCTACGGCAACATTCGGTAAGCGCTCCCGATTGCCACCCGATCGAGCAGCCCTGCTGACCTCCCTCGATCCTTTAAGCTTCCCCTACGGCACGTCCCAACAGAGCAACACGGTCGTTCTACTCCACGATGCCTTCCAGCCTCTGAGGTGCGCGCTATACGCCTCGGTTCCGAAGATCCACTTCTGACCATTGCCCACATGATCTCTTTCCTCTCAGCTACTGGCAGGGCTTCCAGACGCCCCCGAATTGGCAGGGTGTGGCAATGGACACACACATCTACCAGATGTTCTCGCAGGACGTAAGTTTCGTCTCTCAACTCTCCCTATCATCCTTACTGACCATCTGGGCAGGAGGTCAGTCGTTCGAACCAGCAACACATCCAGGCAGCGTGCAACATGGCGTCGTCCCTCTCTTCGTTTGACCTCTGGCTTATTGTCGGCGAGTGGACGCCCGCCGCGACGGACTGCGCGACCTACCTGAACGGCCTCGGTGTCGGCGCGCGCTTCGACGGCTCCTACCCCGGCTCGACGCGTGTGGGTAGCTGCTCCGGCATCACCGGTTCCTCGTCCACGTTCAGCTCGAGCTACAAGACCTTCCTCCGCCAGTACTGGGAGGCACAGGTGCGCCTTCCACGCCTCCTCATCGGCCTCCTCCGCTGCGATACTGACCTCCGGCGTTCGTAGACGATCACGTACGAGAAGGCTGCAGGCTGGATCCAGTGGACGTGGAAGGCGGAGAACGCCGACGACTGGTCCTACCAGGCCGGCCTCGAGGGCGGGTGGATCCCCCAGAACCCCACGCAGCGCCAGTTCCCGAACATCTGCGGCTGAGCGGCAGAGGCCCGCAGCGTCTCTTGCGTTCGGCGCGGAGGCGGCGTTCCGCTCCGTGTATACCCCACTCACACCGCGTGTCTGCGCCGGTGTGCGCAACAGGATCGGATGGCGAAGCTGCGCCGACCTATCCGGATTTTTATGACTCTTGACGATACGTGCTGTTTCCCCGAGATTTGGAGTTTCTGCTGGCCGTGCGCGGCGACTTGTATTATAACCGAGCAACACAGATGTGATCACTACTTACATGTATTGTGGTCGGTCTGATGTATCATACACGTCTTTCTTTTACCACACCTCGATGATCATAGGAGGAACGGAGTGATGTGCGAACAGATGAACAGCAAATCCAGGGGCGCCACGGCTTCAGCTCGACTGCGAGGCCGACTCGCTTTTATGGCTACAATATAGATACAATGTTGGAGGTTCGTCTAAGTAACAGGATATGCTATGGATACAACGCTGACGGGAGATAATCTATAGTACTTGGCTGTACAGTAAGATGAACGAATAAATAGTAGATGGTCTGGATGGGAACGGCTGCAATACATAGGTGGGGGAACGAGACCAGACAAGGTACATACGGGAATAAAAAGAGGCCCAGCGATAGGTATAAATAAGGGTCGTTGGAACGTCGAAGATCATGCCGGAGACGCGTGATAGATAGCAGTCCTAGGAGGAGTCATGGTCGTGAGCAGCGTAGCGTCATCTGAGCTTCGTGATAAATAATGAACATAACCGTACCGTCATCCAGACGGCGTATCGTGATATCGTCCAAGCAGTGTTATGCGACGATGGTCCCCCACAGAGATCACGGACCACTCGGGGCCCTCTGCGCAATCACGGAGAGCGGGAGGATGATCAGAGGGAGGATGGGCCAGCATAATCCCAATCACAGAATCCGGATGTGCCGTGGGCGGAGGGTGGCAAATCAGGCATTCCCCAAGTAGCATAGAGATCCGCTGACGGAGGCCAGGAGGGCGGTGTATCCGGAGGGTAGTTCGCGTAGACGCCAGGGTGACATTCGTCCGGTTGGTCGGCCAAAGAAAAGTGGCGCTCTGCATGTCCTACAAGACCTAGCGCCGGGTGATGGAATGCAGAAGATGAACCAGATGAGTTCGGCGTGGCAGAGAATAGAAGACTGGGATCTAGAGAAGGTCGTTAGCGAAGGAGGCCTGCCGGGTAGAATCACTGACCGAACCTTGGTCCATTGGTAGGCCGCAGCCGTCAAGTGTCGAGGGGAAGCTGGCAGCATCTGCTGCAGGCGTAGAGCCAGCGCTATAGCCGCCAGAGGCGGTTCGGGCAACGCGGGGACGTCCCGCAGGCTTCGGCGAAGGGTTGGCACAGGTATCTTCTATGCGGCCCTTGACGCATCGTTGACAAGGCCGCCCCTCGTCACATTTCTTGTTCGATCGGCGACAGTTGGTACACTAGGCGGGCACAGACGTGAGAACGAAGTTCCTGTGTGCGAGCAAAGAGAGTAAGTATACACACCGCCACTTTGACACCACGAGGCTTGCGATGGGGCGTCATGTCAGGACTGGCAACCGGATGGTCGGGGGTTCGCACGGATGCTGTGGAACTGGATGTGGACGGGACATCATTGCCATGCTCGACCGTGTCGATTGAGGTACCGCCTACAGCTGCAGCTATCCAATATAGGCACCTAAGAACGATAGGGACCATAATGAGAACAAGAGAGACGCACCAAGTTGCGAACGGTGAACGAGGACGGGTACATATGCGTCGAGCTGGCCTTGAAAGAGCATTTGCGACGACTCTGTACTCATACACCCTGACAGAGTGCCAGTAGCCCGGGCGTGGGCGAGTAGTGCTCTGATCACAGGGCCGCACGACGAACACCACGGGAAGTTGAGGAAGAGATTGTGCGCATGGTCCATTGCAGGCAGAGCGACGTCTAGATGCGGTGAGGGGCTAGGATCTAGAGAAGACGTAGAGAAGACGTAAGACATATTGCTGCCAACTGAGAGAAACCGAACACGGGGCGAGGGTGGGTGGTGAGAGCGAGCTCACAAGACAAGGCTCTCGCAAGCCTAGCACATATATAGCTAAGCGTCTACGCGTTTCCGGCGGTCAGGCTGTCGCCGCCAACTCCCGCTAAAGCGCTAGAGATGCTTGGGGCGGCGAAAGATCCACGTTGTGGTGCCAGTGAGTGTCGCCTCCAGAGCGTCGTAGTTTGATCATCATTTGACGTCCGATGCAGAGACAGCCCCGGGCCATATAACAAGAGACTCTTGAGTATTGTACCACCGTCGCTCCGTTCATCGGGCCTCGTGTTCCTGGCTGTGATCACCTCAAGACGAGAAAAGCTCAGCGGGACAGCATACCCGCCTTGCATGGTGGCAGTGTTCTAGTGACTAAACTGACACCTTGCGACGTCGTCAGTGCACTTCGGTATATGCTGGGTGAATCTGTAAGATGCATCTATCGTCCCTTACACAGTGTGAGCTAGTTTATGATAGATATAACTGATAGTAGGACTTACTGTTACTGGCAGACAAAACTTACTCCGACTCTTGAGAACTTACTGACTTGCTGGCGATAACTTGCAATTCAATCTGAGTAAGGGTGTACCCTTTCAGAGCCCATATATGCTAATCAAAAATCTGTCTGTCTGCATGGGTATAGAGAGGACATCGTGGTAAGTGTGCAAAGGTGTGCAAGCCTCGTTAAACGCAACCGCCGGCTCCGAATCTTCGACGCCAGTTCCGGAAAGTCACACTTCCGTGACGTAACACCATCACGCCCAAAGCAGTTGCCGCCGCCACAGCCTGAGGTTGGAAGTCAACCACACCCATCATCCTCTCAGCGGTCCCTCTGTACGGCTTGCAACGTCCTGTGCTCGGCCCTGGTTGGCCTCTTCCTCAAGTCTACAACAAGCTATATCAAGACCTGTCCGACTGACTCTAGTGACCGTACCTCTGGAGGAATTGAACGAACACCATGCGGCTGCCTGTCATCTTGTGTACCGCTGCGCTTGTAAACACGGTCTTTGCTGCAGCGCTCCTAGAGACCCCTATATCTGCTGCCGCTCAAGCACGAGGCTTGGACGGCTTTTTTGACGGCCTTCAGGACCAGAGTCAAACTGCTACGGCAGCACACGACCATACACAGGTCGGACCTGATGCGACACCGACCGCCACGCCATCTACGCCGGGCGATGCAAACCTGAAGTCTCTGTTGGGCCTCTCGTCGTCTGCTACCGACACCGCGACAGCGAAGGGCAAGGGCAAGGAGACGAATGCTATCCCCACTGGTACAGCCTACTCTATCATCGGCTCTCTGCCTCCCATCCACACGCCCAGTGCTGCCTACTCCCCGATGACTCCGGCGACATCCACGGCATCCACCGACGCGTCATCTCCAACTACTGCCGCCGCAGCTAACACCGAGAGCGCGACGAGTAGCGGCACGAGCGAATGGAAGATCATCGGCGTCGCGGTCATAGCTTTCACCACCGTCGCTGGTATCCTCCTCCTCTCTGTCTTCTTTGACCACTGGTGGCGCTTCGTACGCGGTCTCGTTTGTCGGAACAAGGGGAACACAGACGAAGAGCTTGTGCCGGACTGGGAGAAGGCTGAATGGGATATGCGTTGCGGGCAAGACCGCCAGCGCTACCCGTCCTTCTCCTCCCTCCCTTCGGCTGCGAAGGTGCAAGCGCCTCCGCCTGCTGCGCCTGGACCGTCTAGAAACTCGTACTCGGAGGCTGGGACTAGTGCTGGCTTGGCTGGCTATCATCAAGAGGCGCGTCGCAACCGGACGCCGAGCGGAGTCGGGCTGGGACTAGGGCGTGTGGGGAGCACGCGGTCGCAGCGGTCGCAGAGGTCCCCGTCGATCGGAGGCGCCGCCGGACGGTCGCCTTTCGCGAAGCACAAGAAGGCTGCGTACGAGGGGGCACCACAGAATCCCTTCGATGACATACACTCACCGACGCCGGAGGACGTGTACGGCGGAGTCGTGCACTGATCAAAGGGGGAAGGAGAAGGAAAGGACTGGCCAGAAACATGTACTATTCACATACCGGTGTAGCTCTAGCTCATAATCCACTACCTCACGCTCGTTCATATCTGCCATCGGAATCTGTGACGACATATTATTGGGGAGCGCAACGTCATGAAGATGGCGACGGGGTCGGTTGTGAGGACGTTTTCGGCGCGGCGCCCGACTGCGCAGGAGGGAGTATATCCTCAAGCTTGTCCGACGCGTAAAGTCCTATCGCCGCAAACGTGGTGATCCCCAGGGAAACATACAGTCTTGTCCGTGCAGGTAGAGCTGGGCAGCCGTTCTCAGTCCGACGTGGAACTGCAATCACAGGCTGGGCATTACCTGCGTACGACTCCCATATTGACCGCTCCTTAACCGGCTTCGTCCTGAATTTGAACTCTGGGTATTTCGTCTCTGTTTGCTGCGGTACTTTGGGGCGTTGAGACATCGTGCCAGGATATAGATACACGCGCACGGGTGCCAGATGGTGGTAACGGAAGAAGGTGCGATCGGGACAAACGCGCAGCGCACGCGTCTCGCAATTCGCGAATCCACATCTCAGATTTGTACCATTCGCACCCTTTTCCCGTCAAGTTGGAATATTGCAGTGATGTTCACAGGTCTGGTATGCTATCTAGCCCCCTCGTTGCGCGCCGCTAACAATCGTGTATGTCGGCTTTGCACAGATCGAGCACCTCGGCAGCGTCGTAGACATCGTGCATGATGCCGGCGGATGCACGCTCACGATTGCGGACTCCGCGCCCATCCTAGCCGACTGCCACATCGGCGATTCTATCGCAGTGAACGGCGCATGTCTCACCGTCACTGAGTTCGACAATGAGGACAAGGGCGGCTGGTTCAAGGTGTGGCTCGCGAACGAGACGCTTGATAGGACTGATCTCGGTGCGTTGCTCTGCGCCATATGTCTGTGCCTCGCAACCACACTTATGGCCGCACTACGTCAGGGGAGCGGAAGGTCGGCGACCAGGTGAACCTGGAGCGCGCGATGGGGGCACACGTCCGCTTCGGAGGCCACTTTGTGCAGGTGCGCCCCGACGTTCTGATGTTCTGGAGGTCTCACAGTATTAATTATGTCTCGGGCCCGTGCGTGCATTCCATCCATCGCGCCAGGCACACGTCGACACCACCGCCACCATCGTGGAGAAGAAGCCGGATGGCGACTCGCTGCGCATCCTGTTCCAGCTGCCGGAACCCACCCCCGCACGGCCGTCGTTGCTCCCGTACCTTATTCCGAAGGGCTACGTCGCGATTGACGGGACGTCGCTCACGCTCACTGTGGTCGACGACGCGACGCGCACTTTCGGCGTTATGCTCATCACACATACGCAGGAGAAGATTACGCTGCCGAAGAAGCCTGTCGGGGCGAAGGTGAACATCGAGGTCGACATGGTCGGCAAGTTCGTGGAGAAGAGCGTTCACGCTGCGCTTGGTGGCGGCAGCGGCCCCCTGCGCTCATTGGTCGAGAAGATCGTCGAGGATGTGCTCGTCAAGAAGGGGCTCGTTCAGTAAGGGAGAAGCTATGACGTGAAGTGTACACAATATAAACCACTCAATACTTGCATAGAACCTGACATGCTTATGACCGCGTCATTACGGCTCTCGGTTCTCCGTCTTGCAGTTCGAAGCTTTGAGATCCCGATCTACCAAGAGATCAAACCCGCGACGGCGAGTTGCCAGGAATTTCTGACAGAGGAGCCCTCCGCCGCCGGCCGACGCTCGCATGTTCCCCACAGCGGGTCTTGTGTTGTGCAAGTCCAGGGTGGTCGCTCGGCTCGCCCTCGGCGCACTTATTTGGGCACCTTTACTTCTCCGGTGTCGGTACCGCCGGGCCTCGACCATGCTGGCGCTGGTATCCACTCTCGCCCCACCGTTGCGGCCACCTCCTGGAACGGGCAAGTGCCGTTGCCATCCCCGCCTCACGGACTTCTTCACCACTAGCTCCGCGGGCGACTCGTCTTTCGGTCATACGACCCCTTCGGCCACTAGTATGATGCACGCTACGTATTCCTGGGTACTTCCTATGTTTTTCTTACACCCCTGTCTTGTCTTTCGGCCCCCCAAGATCCTCGACGGCCCACAAGAGCCCGCGCCCGTTGGTGGATTAGATTAGATGGATCCCTATTTGGTAACTATACCACTTCGTCTCTCATTTACCCGCAGCCACCATCGACCGGCCGACGCCTAGACATTCCGGGGCCCGCATGGTCTCCTATGCCGTCGCAGATGTTTCCGACGGTGCCGTTTACTCGCCTACCACTCTGCCAGCTAGAAGTCGCACTCTATGAATATCGTTGCAGATGACCGCGCTCGCGTCCCAGCTAGCGCGAAGTGAAACAAACGCCAAGGTGTTTACTCGGGGCGGGTAAACGATTGCGCGGGTGGACCGCGAGCCACCGCGCTCAAAATGCCTAACGAGAATCAGCGTGAATCCCGGCCAGACTGATTAAGGCACGCGCACCACACCACTGCCCGGGCTCTTTTGAGCAGGGTCGAGGATCTCCCGCCGGACTAGAAGCTGGCTTCCGAGCCCACCGGCACCCGTTTTTCGTCGATCGATCCATCCGCCCGTATAAACGTCCATGCTTGTGCAATACGCCGTCCCCTTCACTCCCTCGCGCCCCCTGAGTTCTGACAATGGCCGATCCCGTCGCCTTCGACATTGCCGTCCTCTATGGCATCCTCTTTGAGTGCATGTTCTATGGTGAGCGGGACGCTCGAGCTGTCAGCGGAAGAGCGGATGCTAACCACGGCATGTCCTTTCAGGCCTCTACCTCGCCGTCTTTGGCGCGACCATGTACGTGTTGTTCATGCCGGTGTTCAGTCCCCGGACGGCCAGACAGGAGAAGGTCAACCTCGTCCTGTTGTCGACCGCGATTCTCCTATTCTTGTCACTCACAGTGGTACGTGCTACGTTCGTGTCGTTTGAGCGCACGCGAGCTTACGCGTCCTGCCCCGCAGCACTTCTGTATAAACATGGCACGTATATATGGCGCGTATGTTGTGCACGGCGCGGAGCCGTACGGCCCCATCTTGTTCTTCGCGGATTTGAAGTCACCACTGTCATTGGTCTGGGCCGCGTGCTATGTCTTTGAGGCGTTCATTACGGACAGTCTCACGGTGCGTTTGCCCCCAAATTCGCGCCTTTCGTTACGCTCATGCTCGTTCGTCCACCTGGCAGATCTATCGTCTGTACGTCATTTGGGGAAGCAACTTCTGGGTGTGTATTCCCCCCGGCCTGTGCGTCGGTGCCATGCTTGGTACGTATACCTAACTGTGCTTCATCAAACATCGGCTGAACCCGCGTTGCAGTTTCTGGCGTCGGCACTGTCGTCTCGTTCTCCAAACTTGACTCGGGCAACGACCTCTGGACGAACGTCGCTGGAGAGTATGTCACAGCCACCTTCAACCAGGCGACTACGAACTCACCGCTCTTCCGCTACCTTCTAGCTGGTTGATTTGCTCTTTCGTCCTCGGCCTTGCGTGAGTTCAATTATGCTGCATCGCTCTTATCTCCGTGGCTAACGGGTTCTATCACAGCACCAACATCTTGGCCGTCAGTCTCATCGGCTACCGTATCCTCGTTCGTGACCGCAGAATCACAGCCATCGGTGGTGTTGGCAGCTTGAAGGTTCGTTGCATATCATGCTGGACTTCTGAAGCATAGAACTCACCGGCGACCTGTACAGAACGTTATCGTCGTCATCATTGAGTCGGCGGCGCTGTACACTTTCCTCAAGACGATCAACTTGGTCCTACTTCTCACGAAGTCCAACGTCGCATGGGCGTTCCTTAGCATTGCCAACCCCATCATTGTGCGCTCCCAGCCCTTCCCGCGTGTCTGGTGTATACTGACAGCATTCTTATCACAGGGTATTGCGTCGCATTTACTCATCCTCCGGGTTGCCTGGATGCGCCACTTCAAGCCTGCGACCACCCACTCTGCTATGACCACACCGTCTCGCGGCGGCACATACCCCATGCGCGTGCAAGTCACCACCGACCGCGTGAACGACGACGACCTCGAGGCGTCGACGATGAAGGGCGGCGACGACAAGCTCGCGCGCTCCGGCAACTGGTGATCGCCTTTCGACACCCGTCTCGCTGTTTTCGTCCGTTCCCACTGGCAGGCACCACTCCTGCTTCGCTTCGGAACACTGTGCATGGCCGCCCGGGAACATGGCCCTGGAAGGAGCACTGGAATTCTCTGCATTTTTACACGTTCACCGCCCCGCTCGGCCCTCCCCCCACCCCTGCTCGCCGCATTCCTTTTTACCCGCCGCTGTGCGTCCGCTCTTTTTACCTTCGTCGTCGGCTGTTCGGAGCGACCTGGCCCCCCGTGGAGGTCCCCTTTACTTGAGGGCGTGAACTTGTTGGCATCCGATATCGACCTCTGGTACCATACCCAGGATTTCGCACACCCCATCCTTCCCTTGACCACGCTCGCTTTGTAGCAGATTGAACGTGGGCGTGCTCTCGTATCAAAATTGTAGAACCATATACTATCAGCATTTAAACGCGATCGTCTGTGCTCCGGCGACTCTCCAGTGTGACGGTTGCCTGGATCTCTGGGAAAGTTGCACCAAGAACCGTCGGTTAAGTTCAAGTTCGTGCACGGTTGACTCAACACCTCCAACAAGATATAGGGTAATTACGATTTTAGCAAGTAGTGTATGCGCAGTATTAACGAGTGCTCGTATTCCTAATACATGACCATGACACTCGCAACATAGCAGTGACTCCCTATCGAGCAAACCGTGCGGGACATGATAGGAGGTCGCAAAAAAGCGCTTAACATACTGGCCGTGATTGCCGTATATGGATGGCGCCTAAGCGCGGGAAGAGCCGCCCAGGAGCAGTCCGAGCCCGACGTCCGACCCCAACCTCTTCGTCCTGCTCTCCCTGTTCTCTCTCCCACCGCCATCATCCTGTACTCTATCGTCGCTCGCTGGTCGCCATGGATGGTCAGCTGAAGCCCAAGGTCCGCCTTGCCGCACGTCCAAAGCGGCTGTGGGGATGCTGAGATCAACTTCCAGGTCACCGCCAGGATGGGCTACGAAAGACCTCGTCCGGCATCCCCATTCAAGCCCCCAGCGACGTCTCTGTCGCCCCCACCAGTCCGTCCCAAGGCGAAGGTGAACAGCAGTGCGAACATAACGACCCGCAAGCCGCCCACCATCGTCTCGCCTCCACCGTCTGCGCGGGGTGTACATAGCGCGTTCCCTTCACGCGCTCCCTCTCCGTTCAAGCCTACGCAAACGCGTACACAGAACACACCGCCAGCAGGAACTGCGGCGAAGGCACGGCTGGGTGCGCGTATCAACGGTGGAAACTCAACGTCACCCCTCCCGGAGCACCGGCAGCGTGCACTCACATCAGCCACCCCCGAGGCGTCATCCTTCGTTCGGACACGGAGAGGAAGCACGTCTTCTCATGTCTTGTCGTCACCCTCGCACACCGAGTTGAGTACCGCTTCATCGCCTGCGAGGTCTGCGCTCTCGTTGCAGATCGACGAGACCTTGTCCACCGCATCATCGGCTCCGAGGTCTCCTGCAGGGGCGAACATACGAGTGAGGGCGAAGTTATCGAGGGTGGCCGACCC